ACTGATTATCCACACATCACTGGCCGAAGATTCCGGAGGTGAGACCGAATTCGAAGATTTTATGAGGGATCTCCATGATTTTCAGGACATATTTTTTATGTAAGCAGCTATAGAAACATGGCCGTTTTTGTTCCCACAGAAACAGTTATTAAGTTAATCGTTCCCCTCCTTTTTTGGACTGATAGTCAGCAACGCTTTGACAGCTTCAGTCGACAGAACCTGGACATTAATTCCCATCAAGCCTTGTAGCTCTAGCCGAGTGATTTCAGCAATATGGAATCATTCGGTCAATAACTTTCTTGAAAAAATTGACTGTTCTAAGGTAATGCTAAAATTCCGTTGACTGCCTTCGTCAAGGCCCCGCTGACTGTCGGTCAAACAAGGTAAATAACCGATCATCTAGTTGTTTCTATAGGGGGAAACGGACTGTTGAAAAACCCCCTTAAAAATTCTTATGGACACAAGCTAGAGGTAAACCGGGCCTAAATGCTAGATCACAAAAGTGCAAGCAAAACAAGTCCATACATCGCATGCGACCCATTTTCGTCAACCTCCACGGAACCAACTAAACTTGTAATCTCCACGTTTACAACGGGCACTCACTGAACATTAGTGACGCGGTTAGGTCAAGTGGATAACAAAAATAATCATCACAAAGGGCTTAGCGGCATCGTTGGCGTAAAATTATGAAATCAAACTTCTGATGTCCTCGATTTTAGTGGATTGTAAATAATGCGGACTGTGATTCGAATCCAAAAACTTTTTGTCAAAAACACCTGCGCCATTGTTAAAATGTCAAATTTCCGAAAACAAATTTGATTATTAGTGCGAGTACATTGGTTTGGTACATTTACAAAAATCACCGTCATTACTGTTTACAAAAACAATTTGCAGCTTGACGCCCAAAAATTGCTGAGGAAGAAAAGTTTTCCGCCCAAAAAACGCTTTCCATTGGACACCTTCCGGGTCATCCATCTTTTTTAACAATTCAACAAGTCATGTTTTGCAATAACCTGTAATCAAAAAGTAGTAAATGTATTATAGTAGTCTTATCCTCTTATTTCCCCGAATTTCAAAGGGCTTTGATCGTTGAATTTGGTGGGGACAATTGACGATGACATCAACCGTATAATTTGTCATAAATCAAGTACAGATATAACACCTTCAGAGAACTTGTAATTTCCCTCTCCTGCCCTAAGGCAGCCCGCGGCACACACTCGCTAATCCGTCATACAAAAAACAACGGGAAACAAACATTTTTTGTTTATAAATAGAGGGATTTAAATCGAATTATATCCGCTGTAATACGCAGAGTCCACGAGAGGGATGGATAACATAAAGTTAAGGATTTCCTTCTGTTTTTTGTACTACTCTTTAGTGGGCCAAATCGAGAAAATTTCATAGTAGAATTTCCACAATAACTTTTCGAATTCGTATGACAAATTGTAATACGACAATATTTAGAACACTGTAAGCTCGGGCGAGAATTCGAATAACAAGCGGTCATACAACTGGATCCAAAAATATTGTAAATTCCGTTCATCCGGCTCTTGTAAGATTAGACGTCCTCTCCGTCGGAATCTGCGGAATTCGCTGATTAATCAGCAGGTTGTAAACAGACACAACACCACCGCTTACGTCCTCTACAAAACATTTCAACACATTTTGTGGAAGTGGTGTTACTTTGTAAAGACAATGCACTCGCAAGTTGTATTTTACTATGCACGGCAACCCGAAATAAATGGAAGAAAATGCCTCCCGCCCATTTTGACGTTTCGTCCGAAAGGAATGTCGCAAAAGACATAAAATAATTCCGTGAAAAAAATTTTTCCATCAAAAAACCTCACGCAAAAGTCTTTTGTGACATTTTGTTTGATTCCAGTCGATACAAATTGGGCAAATCATCTTTTTTTTGCCGTATTATGGAAAAATGTAACCAGAAGACCTTTCCATAATAAGCGTGTCATTTCCCTCGTTTTGCTGACTTTCTCCAGGGCATTTTTGTACTCATGTAAAGATAGGATTTGTTGAGATTATGCTGACATGTGGAAATAATCCGAATCCGAATGTTTAGGCCCTGCGGAGTAAACACAAATAACGCGTGGAAGGGGAAAGTACGAATGAAATGGCAACAAACCCTGCTGCAAACCCCCCGCTTATTTAAAAATTGATCCACTAAGGGCTTTGTGATTTTCTTTAAGGGTAAAGGGGGATGTTCTGGAGCCTTCATGTATATACATACTTGCAGGAAACCACTTTTCGGGCATATTCGCGACTTGCGGCAACAGCAAAATTTAGCAACGGATCTGGAAATTATGTTATGTTGTAGATGAACTTATAGGAAGATATGGCACGATAAAAAGAACCCACATTCTTTATGAGGTCATAATTGTGCCTTGAGGGGAAATTGCTGATCAGATATCACAAAAAGCCCACTATCTTGCAGCCTCAGCCACTGTGCAAATACAAGTTTTAAAGATCTGATTATACAGTGTTTATTTACTTGCAATTATCTTGAAATCATTTGTTGCAAAACTGTCAATTGTTTTCCCGCTGTCCAATGATTTCCTAAATGCCAGGCTTGTTGACTTTTTTGACCCTATTGTACGGGTAAATGCTATAATTTCACGCTATTTTTTGCAATTGTGCTCCAACCAAAGCCGAGAGTAATAATAGGTGTTTTGGATCCGAAATGTCACTCATTACAACTTCTACTCGGTTTGTTTACAATCCGAATCGAGGGGGGAAGTCTTGATTTACAAAACCCCCTTTTTTTAGTTCTCTGAACGCGTGACTAACCGCAGCTAGCTCGCGCTCGTCACGTTGTCAGCGAGCTCCTCGTGGAACGCTTCCGAGAACGCGGGGTGAGTAAAGCGAAAACAACCTCCAAACCGTCAAAGTAAAATAGTCCCGAGTTGGCCTTCCGACCTTAAACATTCATTCCATGATTTTGGTGACGCAAGTCGATTCAACTGGTTAACTCAAATTCAAGTCGACTTCGCAAGAACTTCTAGCTGTAAAATTGCTGTAAATATTCGAATAACGAAAGAAGTTGTTCTAAAATTAACTTTTTTTGTACACGTATGTTAGTCATTGCAGGCGAACTCTTAGGAAAAACCATTTGGAAATCTACCGTAGATCCTTTTTCTTATAAAGAAACCTCCCCCTCCAGATGTAAATGTTGGTTTTTTACGTTTTTTTTTATTTCAGGCTATGATTATCGCCAAACAAGAATTACTGTAAAAAAGAAACAAAACAAGGGCAATGAGACGTTGTAATTGCCCAAATTGCGGAGTAAACCGGGGTTCATTGTCTCCATCATTTAACACAGTAATTCTTATCGAAAATCAAGTCTAAGTTAGTCATCCCGCCTTTTTCTCTGGGGATCCCCAACCCACACTTTAAACCGATCATTTTTGTGATTCTTCAGGGTTTAACTGACGTTGTGTAATTAGTTAATTTCCAATTAATAGCCACCGATAACTATACGGGAAGAAGGCAATCTTTGGAATCTATTATCTGCTCTTTGTTGGTGTACATATTAGAGTGCATGCATGATTCTGGAGATGCCTGAGGGGCAGTGCAAAGACGCGTTTATAATCCAATTTCCCGGCCTCTAATCTCTGCAGATTCCTGATTAATTTAAGACATGCATACCGTAAAGGGGGAGGGGGGCTTCCGCTACACAATGAAACCTGTGTGTGTTTATATGCGGCATGCAAATGTCATTATCCCCAAAGGGTAATTTAATAATTTCAATGCGAAATCTCCCACTTTAAGTGCACTAAATTAAACCCTTTACACGTGTAGGCGACGCACCGTGCAAAGGTACTAAGCCGAAGGCGAAAGGCTCCGTTCAGGCGACAAATTCTTTTCAAGCCCTGAGGAGTTCGGTAAAATGCCCTGAGGCTCTGTTATTTGGCAATTTGTTTGTTGAAAAGATCACTACAACAAGATAATGGGCTTGAGTAGAATGTAAACCGATTACTTATACAAAAAACGACTGTTATCTAAGCACCCTTGCTCAAGAGCCCTCGAGCACAATGCAAATGACCCTAATTACGGCCACTTATGGGCAATTAATTGCATTTTCCGGGTTAATTGTACCTCAACTTTTAAGGTATAGTTTACATTGTTTATCGGGTAAAATTAGTCCATCACCAAAGCCACCGTTCGGTGGAACGTTGGTGACAGGGAGCACCAGCAAGTTGTTGATATTGCCCTCTAATTATGGGCACGGCAGAAGGTCATAATAAAAATGCAAGAAGTTGACATTAAACATCAAAGAATTACACTTTACACAACAAATCCAACTTCACATTTGGTGGTCAGCAAGCCGAGTACTTGAAGTGTAAGTAATATGAAATTCTAAGCCAAAACACTATGTTCTGAATCCTGATGATCTACAGACACAATGGACATTAAGTACGCCATCAACTTCGTCCAGACACGAACCAAGAGTTGCCGTGAGAGCGCTGACAGACGGACCGAAAGCGTAGGAAGTTGTGCGAACCCGTTGTAAAGCGTTTAATCGGCTACAAGTGAGCTCAAACAAACAACAAACAAAGTGCAATTTCTTTTCTCCTTTCCCGGTTTCCAATTTACATTTTTCGCGGATGACGCAGCGCCCCGATCTCTTACACTTACACTTACACTTGCTGTTGTAGTTGGTGTAGCAATACGGGCCCGGGCTCCGCCCCCCGTTTTGTGAAAATATGTGTGTTTCGGAGTAAACCTTGCACCGCCGCTATTTTGATTATTCTCTCCTCCTTCCCGCGCTGGGCCCCGCCCACTTTTACATTGCTTTCGAAGTTAATCCGGTTTTCGAAGATATCCCCCTATAAAAGGGCCGCGAATTACCCGCACAGAAATAAGTGTATTCTTCGCGGAGAGACTTCTTGTTGCCAATCGACTGGTCGATTGTTGTTTTTTTATTTATTTTTTACAAAATGAATCCGATTCTCTGTTTTCTCACCCTATTCTCGACAACATATCTGGCGATGGCGGACGGCCTGACCGACGACGACCTAAGGGAGATTGTAAATAAGATTCAAGTGGAAGGATTCTACAGTCAGAGCTTGAATACGACGATCACGCGACGGAAACCGTGCGTCGAAGTGACGGCCAAGAATGTGGAGATCAAACAAGCGTATGGTATGTTGATTTGCCTGCTTTTCTACTTTTCAATTTTATTTTTTATCAATTTTATAAGCTTTTCATTGAAAATATTTAATGTCTTTTATAAATTCTTTCCTTTACAGGTAAATTCTCCAAATCGTTCGTTGAACTCGACCCATCCCAACGCTTCAGCGTCAACTACTGCTCGACACTTGAAAATGTTGGAACGTGTGCTGACGAGTCGACCTGTTCTACCGTCTTCACCTGGCAGAAAGTCAAGGTCCGACCGGTGGGGCGGAAAGTGCAATGGGTGGGCGAGGAGGTGCTACTGCCCACCAGCTGCATGTGCGTGATGGGTATGTCGGACGCGCCGATCATCGTCCTCTAGATTGTTGGTCGCCTAGTTGTTGTGTAGTTTTCGAATAGTTGTTTCTCCTAGTCGCATTGCGGGTCTTCAACTGCCTTCCTCCCTCATTTCTCTTGTTGATCTCACATATTTATATATATCATCTCAATACAAATGGAATATCAGCCCTAACTTATTACCCTAATTATATTTATATGTAAGTATTCTTGTTATGTATTTAATTTTTGAAATAAATTCATATTTGACAGCGTCAGTTGTGGTTGAAGATGTATCGGGTCCTACAAAAGAATGTTACAAAAACTACGCAAGGAAAAGCGATTTCCTCGAAACTGTCATCTCCGTTCACCTCTGTAAACAAGTTGTTTTTTCTGGTTAAAATGTCGGAGTACAGTGATATTTGAACGACTCTAGCTGGAGATGTGAAACATGGAATTAATCGGCATTTCGTCCAAGTGTTTGGTGTCCTCACGGTCATTCTAAGGGTACTAAATTGTCGTACTTCCCTTGTTCAGACCTTTACAATCTGTAATTTGATGGTATTTGGGTTACATATTGTGTTTACAAACGTTTTAAATTTAATTTTATTGCGATTGAAATGCAGAAGCTCTAGAATCGTATGCTGCTGCCTTCGGTCTCTTCTTCGCTGACATCTGGGGCCGAAGCGATGAAGCTGGCTTTGTTCTCATCGAATCCAGAAACAGATTTACGCGGGTCTTGTTCGATAAGAGAACTTGTGGGCTTATCATTCAGACGGATCGAATGTTTGGGACTTTGTGGATGAATAATCGATCCATTCCTCGCCGGTACAGATCCGGTCCTGGATGGGTGTATTACCGAGCCATTTGGAGGATGGCGAACTGATCCATTCCGAGCTGGCTGAGGTTCCTCTGGTGGAGCGACTGGATGGTTTCGCGGCCGACGTAATGCCAGTTTTATGCAGTAGGCTTCTACCTTAAACCGGATACTCATCAAATTTATAACAGTAATTCTCGACCAAAGGTCGCTCATCTTACCTTGGCAATTGGAATCTCGAAGATCGCCGACCAAAAGATTGCCAAGAGATAAGTGGCAGTGATAATTGGAAGTGTGAAGAGAAGGAACTGAAATAATTGAGATCCTAATACTAAAAGAACAGCACAGAATCTTCTAAAAAATCTCCACTTACAGTTTGCGTCAATCCCAAGAAGACCATTTTGTGATGGAACAACAGTAAATAGTGGACGACAACGAACAAGTGGACCAGATAGGCGCAGTAGCTCAACTTCCCCAAGGGAACCCATCCGGGCCAGTTGAGGAAGCGGTTAACCGGCCCTCCGTACCCATAATAACATGAGAACACAATCCAACCAATCATGTATGACCAAGCATACCGCGCCAAAGCAGAGTAAAGAGCCCTGGGCAACAGAGCCATGGGTTGTTGGGCTACCCAATCTCGGATCGGATAAGATACGGCGAAGACACATACTGGTATCAAGAACCATCCAAGGAAAACGGAGAACTGTAAAAGTGTTTGTAAATCTCGTTTACAGTAGAAAAAATGTTGTTTTTGCCGCAGTCATGCGGCACAATTACTGTAGGTTAATTAGTCATGTAAGTCGGGCAAATATTTTCACAGAGTAGTCTCATGACGCGCGATCAAAACCTATGGGTGGCACTAATACTATAACTACGAGTTCAGTCGTCTCACGGGACCAACATCAGTTTGACTGAGGGTTTCGCAATTTCATAAACCGTGTAGACTTAAACTTGTAGCCGCAATTTCTTCATTACATATTAACCTTGGTGACCTTAACGTTTCTCGAGCTATATAATATACGTAAATAATTTATTAAAAAGTCTAAATATAGTAGGAGAAACAACTGCTTTTGGAATAAAATACGGTCAGTGATTGCCATGTTAAACAGCCCAAAGAAACGCTAATAACCCCTACCTTGTTCAGTCGGATTCTGAGTTTGTCGTGCATGAAATACCCGAGAATAAACCCGATGATATATGGCTGAGCTCTCATCCATGGCGGATTGTACATCCACGTCTCATAGGCTCTGTAATTACAGTACTCTTAGACCCCTTTCTACTCACACTCTGCTCCAATCACTCTCCGGATCTTGCCATCCATAGTCGAAATTGTAAGGTGGTAACCGATGAAGATATACGGTAATAAAGTTGAATACAGTGCCCCCAATAAGTAGCAGCAATGACACAAAGAACCCAATGGGTTTGCTCAATATATACGGCAAAATAAGTACCGGCGCTGCAATATACAACTGCATGTCCGTTGCAAGATACCATGATATGAGATAGCACTGTAAATAGGAACTTAATGCCTACGTGATCTTCAGTAATAAGGTTTGATTTGAAGCTTCGTAACAATCTAATTAGAAGTGTCAAACATACGTTTGCAAGGTCAGGTTTTAACAATGCAATTACTTTAAGATAACGCTTGTTTTTCAAAACACACTAACGCCATATGTATGACCTAATTATGTTCTAAAAAATAAATAAGAAAAATTCTAATATGATTAAATGACGTCAGTTCCGTTGACGACATAATTGTCATTATGTAGGTAAGGGTAAAGGTGCTATGTTATATCAAAGTCCAACCTTTCATATTATCCTCTGTATGTGTAATACCATGTTAGATAGCCCCTCTACTCACCGCATTCTTAACTCCAACCAGGTTGTTCACATAGAGTAGATTGTAATGCCATTGAGTTGGGCATGACGACAGTGTTGTGGCCGGCGTTCCAAGGAACAACGGGGACTTGACGAGGAGGTCGCTTTGAGAGTAGACGAAAGTGTAAAACGCAATGACTATGTAATATGCGGGGGATAATCTGGAAAGGTCGTCATTTGGTGGGTAGGCCAGAGATCGTTTATAACAATAAATGTTTTCCTAAATGATGACATCTCGGATATAGTATATCTATTTCAGAATTTATAGTGCACTAGGAAGAGATTGGACTTTCAGCAAAAAGAATGACAAGGATTTTTGAATGCTCCTTGAATCATGGCAATGCTATAATTGCGACTGAAGATTATCTTCTCTACACTAGTCTTGTCTGTAAACTCTCACCTGAAGAACCGATGGACATAAAACATGACCCAAGAAGATACAGAGGTAGCAGCCTTCGGGTTCCGATCGTAGCCTTTGAACCACAAAAAGGCCAACAAAAACCCGGATTGGAAGAAGAATGTGTCCACGGCATAATAAGAGAGCGCTGGGATCATGACCGTCCATTTCTTGATATACTCCAAAGCATCCTTTAGATTGGCACTCAAGAGCATCGACGTTGACATTGAATGGCCCATGATAATCCAACACATGCTGAGGAATCTGATGCCATGCAGTTGGTTGATTTGGCCGGCTTTATTCTTCTTTACGGCCAAAAGTTCGGAGACATTTTGGAAAATGGAAAACGACGAGATAAAATACGCCCCACCAACTACAAATACATATATGTGTGAATATTCATGTACGGTTTTTGATCCGCTAATAATGAATTTCCCCTTTTCTTTGGAATGTTTTACTTAGTAGCCAGTTTAACAAACAAATATTTTAAGTTAATTCTTACGTAAAAATATTTTGCAAACCTTTCGACATGCTCGTTCGCTTTCTGCAAACTGTTTAAAAATACTTTACAATTAACCTACGCATACGTATTTCCCCTACGGTAACCAGGGGCCTGTTTCACTAACGTAAAAATAAATAAAAGAGAAGTAGGGGGGACCGAGAGAGCATCGAAAACGCGTTTGCGAGCGAGAGAAACCGGACGAAAAGCAGAAGTAGCCTACTTCTGCGGGAGTGACTTTTTACGTCCAAAACCGGGGTTGGGGGCAGTATTTTGGCCATAACTTTTTTCTCAGTTGGTCTAGGAACACCCTTCAAAATTTAGAATGAAGCTGACAGTTTCAGCTATCACCAAGATTATTTTCATTGCTGTGGTGCCAAAACCCGTCCTTAAAAAAATCGTAAAGTACGCGTGCTGTAATTTTTGAGAAAACCGACTAAATTTGAGCTTAAAATTCCCATAACTTGGGTAAAACTTCTCGGATTGAAACCCTCCAAAAAACAACACATAGAATTTTTTAAGTAGTTTTAGACAGTATGTGTTTTGAATTCCTTTTATAGCCCGGTGGACCGCTAATTTTACAGTAGTACGGCCAACCATCTCGTTTTTTCTTCTTCGCGGAATAAAAACGCATTTTTCTCACCAATTTTTATAAGAATAATTACAAATTTCATATCAGTGTCTAAAGACGTTCCTTAGCTACATTATGTTTTTTGAGGGGTGGCGATATATCATAAATTGATAGAGTTACGGGCAATTAAATCAAGGTAACCTCCATTTTTGACCATAAAAAGTCGTTCCGAAAGGGGCGAACTTTTCCTCTTCCTTTGATTTGAGGGCTCTTTTTATGACAAAAATGGAGGTAAATTTGCCATAACTCAGCCATAATAAGACCTACAATTGGCCCTCTAAAAAAGCCTCATAGAAAAAAAGACGGGCTATCGACTGGTATAAATTAAAGCGTCAACATTTTGAAATTGACCGAGAAATAAAACATTTCGTATCTTCAGTATAAATGTACTCTGTACTTTAAGCTATATAGCTAATCTACTCTTGAAAATAAAACAACGAAATTTGGATATGTTGTAGTCTCAACCGTCAGCTTTATTTGGTTTTTTGAAGGGTGTTCCTATACCAATTGAGAAAAAAGTTATGGCCAAAATTCTGCGGCCAACTCCGGTTTTTGGACGCAAAAAGTCACTCCGAAAGAGAAGTAGGCTACTTTTGCTTTTCGTCCGGTTTCTCTTGCTCGCAAACGCGTTTTCGATGCTCTCTCGCTCCCCCCTACTTCTCTTTTATTTATTTTTATGTTAGTGAAACAGGCCCCAGGTTCCGAAGAGTTCCGAGAAACAATCCGATTATCCCAACAATAACCCACTATGTACTTTAACATTTAACGCAATTAAAATTTGATTAAATCGTTTTCCCCCAAATAGCCTCACCTTCTTTGGACTCGGAGGAAAGAGTTACATCGAGAACAGAGGCGATAACCACTAGGCCGGTCAGAAACGTCATATAGAATCTGGAAATGACATTAATCGAATTAGCCCAAAATAGGAGGGCCGTTCTTGACATGCACTACTAATACTGCAATAAAGAGAGGGAATAGTTCAAGATCTACAGTAGACTTGTAGGCAAAACGCGAAGTTTGGGGATTTTAAAGGGCGAGCGAAAAGGTCAAATAAAGCTAGCTGTCTCGTAAAGTTCGGGGAATTTGCACAAGCACATTTCTTCCCGGTTGCCACAACCTCTGTTTTTTTACGAAAGCGAAACGCATTGCTTACAGGGGAAGTACTTTAAGTGCGACGCTCAGATTTTCTTTAAATTTTGCACACACGTCGGACATAAAACGAATATCAATTCCTGAAAGTTTGAGCTCGCGCTTTGCGGCTGCCGCCGAGATATCGAACGATTTTTGCCGCCGAGAGAGCACGCTAAACGTGGAGAGCGGTCGGAGAGAAAAGCGCTTTTTGGCCATAACTTTGGCAGTTTCGTGCGGAAAAATTTGATTTTTTGTAGAAACATTATCGTTTACGGTAGAAATAGGCACGAAACTTTTCATGCCGAAATTCGGCCAGAAGCCCCAAATTTTCGCCGACTTTTCGATCTAAAAATCTCGGTTGTTTCTGCAAAACGCGAGCTAGGATTCTCGCATATATCTCAGAAAAAATTATTCTAAATTTGTACCAAGTTTCGTTAAAATCTGAGCGTCCTTGGAGTAATTCCCCTGTTAGTCTCCAAATTTCACTCGCGTCGCCGGCGAAAAAATTGCCATAATATGCAAACCGAGGACTCAGATATCCCAAACTTTTACCGTGGGGCATTTGAATGAACGTTCGGAGTTTTGTAAGCCCTTACCGTAACTCTTACTAAGGTTGTTCAAAAATCTTTAGTACTCCGAAAGCAAGGAAGTTTCTTGTTCATAACGACCCAGGAAATTCGGATTTTAGCAATATGAAGAGACCTTTTGGAACCCCATGTAAAATCGGAGTTATTTTCCGTTAGTTACGGTAACGAAGGCTTTGCTTCTAACCCTTAAATGAACTTACAGTGTAATATAAGACTGGTAATTCCAATTCCCTGTCCTCTCATTTAGAAGATGCACATTGCAAAGATGGGTAAAGGACGTTCTGTTCAGAAAGGTGTGGTCGAAAAACCATTTGTTTTAATTGCTATATAACAACTTACTTGATCCAAATGCAATCGTCAAATCTCTGCGACTACAAGATTCGGGTAAACACATGTCCCACAAAAAGTTTTGCTGAGGATTGGCACATCGCCCAGTTCGATTGGCATCCAAATAACTCAATTCCAATCTAAAATTAATTGAAAATTAATCGAATCAGCAAGTCCTTTTGATCATCGTGACGTCCTCTCACACCAAATAACATTATTATTCTCTATGCAAGTTCAAAAATAATCTAATATCACACAAATCTGGGAATTATATATTTCTACGTAGTGATTACATCAACTGCAGATACTCGGAAGTTTCTTATTTTCCGTGAAAGAAGAAGGGAAAAACAGTTGGATGTTACGTAGATGGTCTGAGGTTTATAGTGAATACTGTAGAGCAAAGAAAATGTTATTTTAAGCATGGCCATGTAATAGTAATTTCCGGTTGAAAAAATAAAAATTTTGAAGTGAAATTGATTCATCTTTTCAAAAATTTTGCCAAATAAAAAAATCTAGAGGAAGATATCACAACAGTCAGGTTTATAGTTTAGCCACGTCTCAACGTAACTCTAAGAACTCACTTCAAAAATTGCCCTTTCAACGGCCGCTCTCTCTCATGGAAGTAATGCTCAACGGCTTCACACTCTCCTTTGTAACCCTCAAAGTGCAAGTTGAATTGCAATAATCCAGCTCCTGGTTTCCCACCGGCATCGATTACTAAAATATATCACTGTATTTTGGGATCTGTCCTTGCTGAAGTGATTTTTTAGAAATTTTAATTAATTTTAGGCCTAGTCTCCCACATAGAATCTTTAGTTTCATCGTTGTATATTTAGTTCTAAGAACTACAAGCCCTGCAAACAGAAACTTCCTTATCATTCAAAAAATTGAAATTTAGGAGTCGAAAAAATAAAGAAAACGATAATTAATAATTAGAGTTCGGGAGTCGATAAGAACCCTAAAGCTTTGTAAAAAGAACTTTTTTTTTAATTTTGTCATATTACATAAATTGAGCCGTCTGGAAAAAACAAGTCCTTTTTAGATATTTCAACCGTCTCAAAACAACGCTTACAGCTTCGAAATATGCATAAATCTTTAACATTTCTGTAGCCAAATCAGTCATCAAAATGCAAATTAAGCACTTACAAGACATCATGTCCAAGATAAAATCATCTTGTTGGCCCGTCACCATATGATAAATGGCCAGTTGGATTTTCCAGAGATCTGCACCGCATTCGGCCGAGATTTGTGAATTATTCGCGTCCAGAGATTGGATTAAGTCGATCAATGTAAAGTTGAAAGAATGGTAGAGCTAAAATAATTTATATTATTATTTTTGGACCACGAACAATTATTCTGCTATCAGTTGAGTGGAGTTGTACTTAAGCTGCTTATTTATGAATTGAAGGGCTCCTTCCTGTTGCTCCTTATACTCTGACGGAATTATCGGAATTAAAGATCATCAAAGACGTAACAAAGAGACAAAAGAGACTGCTCGATTTCAAAAAAAAATAGGAGAAATATACGAATTAGGCGCATGATTATAACTATGTATTGCCAAAGTGTAGTAGCATGTTAGATCAAGCCCATTGAAATCTTCAGCATCCAGAGTTATATGTAATTTTTTTTTATTCATGAAAAGTTGTTCCAAATTTTCTATACCACTTTATATTCATACAATAAATAAGAGATCCCAAGATAGATTTACCTCTTCCGCATTCTCCTTCCAAATCTCATGTCGACTGATCTCCAAGTCCGTGAATTTCCTCAGGTCCAACGACACCACCGGCTGCCACAATATGACCAACAAGGCCAAGGAGCTGAAACTCATTTTGGGTGGAATGAAGGGACCGTCATGGCGGTGATGAGAGTCAATGAGTGATAAGGAAATTCAGCCAGGAATGTTAAACAAATCATATCACCGACCATTTCCTTTTATTACCCAGAGGCATTGTCTGTGTGGAAACTTTTAATTTATTAACTAAATGAATTGCTATATGTAGGAGAGGAAGAGGCATGTCAGTAGTCACAGAAAACCCGAATTAGGATCACCGGTTCTTCGCATTTTTGCGTGGTAGTGTAGACAACTTATATATAATTAGAGGGCCGTTCTTTTTTGGACAGTAGAACTTCCGTATCAACAAAATACAAAATATAATCCAAGAAAACCGTGATGTGTTTTATGTCGAGTTCAAATTGATACCAACCAAAGATGTCACAACTTTCCATTCAATTGTGATGGAAGTAGGAGCATTTCAGGTTTATTATGACACATATTTACCATTCGTATCATCGACCGATAATGTAAACCTCCTCCGATGATTCACATTAGGCTTTGGTCACACAGTCATCAAAATTTTGGTAAAGCGATGGCTTGGAATGCACTGACAATGAACTTTCTTGCAAAATGTCAACAAATACGAGATGGAACGCTCCAAAAAGGTCGAGAAATGGGAAACTAAACCTTGCGAAGACTCCAATGCTATGCAGAGGCATAAATACATCTTTCAGACTTCCTGGTTAAGAATACTCCAGAAAGTGCGTAGATTTTTTCGGTCTTTTTTCGCAACGCACAGTGCAAGTTTCCTGTTCGCCGCGCGACGCGATCCTTTTCGAAAAATTTTGCACTGTGCATTTTCATTTCGTGCGCCCAAAATTCGCGCCGACTCCGTTGGGAAAAGCGGGTCGCAGCGATATTGGACTTGTACGGTGCAAAACATCAAATGCACGCCGCAAAAAGGGTCTTTTGTGCACGGTACGACAAAAAATCTACGCATTTTCTCGAGCGACTAGTAGCTGCGCTCCGAGAAAGAACATGTCATACGTATCGTGGAGCCAATTTAAAAAGTCAGGGGTTCAGAGGTTTGCGATGTTTCAGTTGGAAAAAATGCTGCAGAATTCGTTACTGTTATACATTTTTTGTCCCTATTGGCGTTTTTGGTGAAGTTAATCTTATGCCTTATAAAATTTATATTGTTCACAGCCTGCTGGGGTATGGAATTATAAAGCAACATGTCTGAAAGCCTGCAAATAAGTGAACGGGGTCCAGAAAATACGGTAGGAGTCTTTTCGGCATCATAGAGAAAAAAAATTTCCCATAATTATGACTAAGATTTCTGAGGATTACGAGTGCAGAATGCTCCACCTTCTAGTGTCCATCTCTCACTCATGCGTTCACTGTTTTGTTATTCCGTTAGCATCCAAAATGAGATAACTGCAGGGTGCGTTGGCGTCGGAGGAAACTGTGAAAAGGAAGCGTTTCAAAGGTCGACACAAATTGAGTAACGATTGGAATACGATGAGGACGTGATGCTCCACAATATCAGCATTTAACAGGGGTGTTCTGATAGAATGACCGTCTTTTTGGTAGGATTATATTTTTCTGTTTTTGAGAGTGCAGTCAGAGATTTGGAACTTGTTTTTTCTTAGTCGCATTTCCGGCAAGTTTGAGATTTTGCCCCAGCCAATTAACCCATCAAACGTCAACAAACGCCCAATTCAATTCTTTACAATAACTTTATTTGTGCCGACGTCAGCAGCCGAAACGAAAGGCGACTCAATGTCGGCCCTAACTGCACTACTGTTTACTGGCCGTTCCGTGACGTTCCGCATGGGTGTTTCCGCTTTGGGTAACAAATGGGATTGTATGTCTTGGGCCAAGAAAGTCGGCCAAATCTGTCTCATCTCGCATATAATCACGGCCAAATCCGCGTATTATCCTTGACATTTGACCTGTCAGCGTTCGGGAGAAGCGTTTGTTTTGTTTACTCGCATCAAAGTTTTAGAAATTCCGTCAGTCTGACGGCCCTTACTTGGCCACTCGATTCAAGACCGCGCTCTCAGCGAGTCCGACCCTGAAAAGGAAGCGAAAAGGGGGGAGGAAAACGGAGCGTGTCCCAATTTTTTGAGAAGCCCTCAGGGCCGAACAGTCAGTCAATCCCTCTTCTTCCTTCTAAGTCCAGTCAACCGAAAAGTCCTTTTCTTCAGCCCCTTCCCTTACCAGCAGCACCTTATTCATGACCTGTCACCTCGGCCCAGAAACCCCCAACGAAACTTCCGTTTTCTGGGAGGCCGCAAGTTTTTTTCGATTATGTACATTCAGCCCAGGTTTGACGTTTTTCTTTTGTTTGGAAGCCGGGGAATATCTCGTGAGAATGGGGATGGTGTTCTGGTTTGTATGAAGAGTTGTTTTGGAGATTTGTTGAGGAGTTTTATTCTTTTCTCTCTGATGATTACAACCTTCCTTTTACCTCTTCTGACCTGTTCTTCGACCCTTCAGCTCCTCTAATGTCCCTGTCATTCCAATATTTCTTCTTCGATCACCTTAATCTCCCACAAAATTAAGATTCGACCCCGTCGACTTCGTAATTATCGACCAAAAAGAGCGGCAAAACACGCTAGGGTCCATTTGGAATTAAAACGCCGGAGGGCGCATCCTCCAAAAATGTTGCTATTTTAAGGGGCCAAGCGTGCTTTCATTGTGATGGCCCGCATTTCTCGAGCCCAAGAAATTGGATAGGATAAATGAGGGCGAAATTGCACAGATTTATATAAATTATTTTCCTTTATTTATGCGTTTACTGGGAGAGTGTTGACGTGAGTTGCGTCAGATTATGGTAATGGAGGGCTGGGGAAGGCTTAGGTTTGGATTTAGTATTTATTGTTTTTGTTATAACATCTCAGAGTTTTGGTTATAATTTTGGCCAAAAATGACACTGGAAAAGCTTGATTTAAATGTAATATCTAGTGTCCTGAAGTCTTCAAACATGATAAAGAATTACATAATCTCTGATGCCTTTCCCCGCCCCCATCTCCGTACTTTGGCATATCTTTTTCCGGTTGCATATTTGCAGTTCTGCTCCCACTTTTGTTTCCAAATTCCCAAAACTTTAACTTGAATATCGCGCCTTATTTGAGGCCATGAAATTCGACTTCTGGACAAATATTTGGCTTCCATTTATTTGCCTTTTTATTTGGCGTTTCGAACTGTTTCGCATTTCCACATTCTTCGAGAACGACCTAAAAGTTTGGAGCCGATGATTCACATGGGAATTTCCAAAGGTGCGAGCAATGGATTTCAGTGAAATTTTGTGTATTTACTTGGCCTAGAATGGCGGTAAATTGCTGAAAGTTTGAACGTGTTATCTGCGATGGCGGCCAAGATTTTTATTAATCTTTTTTGGAAAATTTTCATAGAAAAATTCTTAAATTTCGATCAAAAAATTTTCTAAATTGCAAGCGAAAAATCTTACCCCGACGAAATTTTAAGCTTATTATGTCTGGTTTTCTCAAATTTTGAGCGTCATGTCTTGGCATTCCTCGCCGCTCCGCTCTCTACTAATCTTACAACTTTTCGCAAAAAAATTTTTTCATTCAAAACAAGATTTGGGCCCAAGATTTGGAGGCCTTATAGGGAGTATAATAAAAAGAGGAGAGGGGGGAGGAGGCCGTTTCCTGAACAGCTCAAAAGACGAGCAATTCCTGGGAAATAACTAGTTTTCTCAACTTTGGAATGAATTCAGCGAATAGTTGGCGTTGGTACTTTGGGGAGTTGGAACAGCGCCGTTTGCCGCCCTACCACCGTGTTTCCAATTGCCCTACCACTTTGTTTTCAATTTTTGTCTCAAAAAGTTTTAATGAATGTGTTTGCGGGAATTGGAGCCACTGAGTCATGAAAACAGTTTGAAGCGCCGGAATTACTGCCTTTGAAGGGAGATGACAATGTTTTCTGTGGATGAATCGTGTGTTTTTGTTGAGAATAAGATGGTTCGTGGGTAATTAAACAGCTTAGGAATTACATTCCGACCTCATTTTAGTAATGAAACGGGCGTCTTTTGTCCGTTGTTAAATTACTTTTTAATTCCTCACTTTGTGTCGTCCCAGAACTGACTTAATCAGCCACTTTTACCTCTAGATTGACGTGTTTTCCCCTCCCTTCCTCACACTCCCCTTACGAATTCTTATGGCGGAGTAAAAAACAGCCCTTAAGGTCTAAAAAATTTTATTTTTCCTCTTTTTCTCCTATTTGCATTCCCGCTTTTTATGCGGGGGATTCTGTTTCGAGACTGGGGACGTTAATCTTTTTGGGAAAACATGTTCGAAAAGAGGGCCTCAACTTAAGGGATGCTCTTGTTACGGAATTCCGGATTTCCCTTTACTCTCATGCCCAACATAAAGTGCTATTTTCGGGGAGGAAAATGTACAAAAAGAGCGAAAGTTGTCAGGTTACGTGGGCTTTGTAAAGGATTAATTGAATTATGAGGAAATTCAGGGGTTTGGGGGAATTTGAAGCGTGATTTTCACGAAATTATTTACTTATAATCACATTTTTTGAAAAATGTTTTCTGAGTGCTATACCGATTGCATCATATTATTTACTCATCTGCTTGGATTCCATCATTGCTAATGCCCCAAATCCCTTGAACTTTCCCTTTATTTCGGTTTATAAGGTGAATGACTGTACTTATGGGATAGCCAAGCAGAAAATTACGTTTTAGAGGGTGAACTAGTCACTGTGCATATGAATTTAGTTTGTTATAGAGCATGAAGGTGCTTGCATCCTCCATAAGTTCCTTTATCTTGTGGGTATTGCCTTACAGGAGAAGTACAAAGATTTGATGCAAATTTCTTCTTTTATCGGGGGGACTATTGGGGAGGTCAAATAAGTCACAGATCTTTTGCTTAGAAGTTATGAATAGAAGACTGGAGTTACTACAGAACAAAACTTACAATTTGTTTGGACCTTTAGTGACTTTCAACGCTATTTTTGCGAAGGTTCGTTCTGAAAGTGCGTTGCTCAGATTCCGTGTCTAATTTGGCTCATGTACTCTATCTAGGCCACGCATTTGTCCCCGCAAGTTACATCTTTAAATATGCAACAACAGTCGAGATTTTGAGCAATCTCTGCAGGTGGGCCACAATAGAAAAAAAGAAAGATAATCGATGTAACCGCGAATTTTGGATGGGAACGCTTTGCTTTTATTAGGAGCCCCATACTCCATACTTCAGTCAAAAATTTTATCCTCAAAAAGATCCTGTTTTTTGGAATTAAATTTGCATAAAAAGATTTTTTTGCAAACCTGATCCATTGATCCGCATTCTACCAAGTTTCTGGTCTTTTTTCGATGATTTCTCAAGATCCCCGTCTCATATTACATATGAACATTCACCTGTTATTTGGCCATTTGGAATGAAGAGGAAGTGGAAATAAATTTTTTTTTTCTGATCTCCACTCTTTTCGCCTTTACTTTTCTTTTGACCTGAGGGCATTTTCCTTCGTTTCGAAGTGGTATTCGATTAATTGTAAGTAATTTAGCGAGTAATGTGCCATTCAAAAGTGTACACGCAAATTTTACGTAATTATTCGATAATTTTACAGTCTTTCGAAGCTAGAATTTTTACTGTGTAAGTAATCTTCGTGACCAGAAATCCGTGGCGAATTCTGAGATTACAATTTTTTGATTACTTTTTAAGAATGAACACGCAATTTTAATGACGTCCTCAAATCACGTGTCCTCGATAATTGTAAATGTTCTTACGCAATTCTGGCGCATGTTTTAGCACTTATAAAACGGAACAAAAAATTTAAATTTAAGCCCTCCGGGGATGAAATGTGGACAGTTTTGCCCTGGGGGGCCTTCCCTTTGTTGGGAGTACCGTTTATTTTTCTCTTTTGTTTTTTTTCTGTTTTGTATAAGAATTCGTAAAGATTTGGGGAAAACTGTCAGTTGCTCCGGTTACTGGGCCTAATCAATGTTGTTATTGTCGAATCCATGGTTAGTTTTGGCTGTGAATTGGTTAATGAAAGCACAAATAATCAAAATTATAAAACGCTTCTTTAGACTATAGTTCAGTTTAGGCAGCAATGCACTTACCATTTCGCTACTGAAAAGCCTCAAATCTGACCAAGTCACGCAATTTTTTCACGTGAATTCCAGAAATTTAATAATTTTAGACGTAACTGGCATGAGTTCAAGTAAATCGAAAAAATATTTTCTATTTCGAAAAGTTGTCATAATGACATGCTTTTCCTGCTTTCGTAAATTTTCTTCCGCCTTGAAATACAATTTTAAAAAACGTCACCACCAACCTACAATGGTAACTACATATATATGTCATTATTCTTCATAGTTATTTTTATATTTTTCTTGTTTTCCCCCCATCATTTGTTTATGAGAATACCGAGTTTTTGCATGAATATTGTAATGCCCTTTGTCACAATACCAACCTGCCCTTGGCCGCGGGGAAGCTATATATTGGGAGATAAGAATACTCGTCTTTTTGGTCCAATTTGTCAAGAAGATCCCATAAAAATGGTATTTTAGAAACAGCGAATCTTATTTTCTTATTTTTCGATTGTTTTTATAAAGAAAGGGAGGGTGTGTCGATGGAGAAGATAACTAGGTGGACGGTGAATGTAGATAAGGGTCTTCAGAGAAATCTGGGGTATCTGAGGGTCCTTCTTCGGCGGATTTGCAGTTTTTTTTTGGCTTGTTTGAGGACTAAATGTATTTTGGATTTACAGCTCAAAACGCGGCGAAAAGAGTTGATGAAAACTTTTGGCGTAGATACAAATGTGCCTTGAGATTATTCTTTTTGAATGTGTTTATTCCGAAGAAGTCAATATTTATACTTATTGATCAAAAAACTCCAGAATTTGGGGCATCTCTTTCTCTAAAAAAGTAAAAAAAAAGTCTTTTGAGATTACAAGTAAAAGACGAAAAATTAACTTATTATTTTTGCGGCTGTGCTTTATACAATGATAAAGTAGGCATATAAGTGTTCACAATTAAGTATTTTACTTTTGTTTTACAATTTTTTGTCGAGTTCAGGTACAATATTTTAAGAAGTAGAACCTTACAAAAAAAGGTGTTTTATAGGCTGTTTTGTAACCGTTTAAGCTCTCGAATACGCTTGAAAACCATTACTCATAGCTTTCTTAACGAGTAGTCAACCAGCAAAAAATTTTTTAAAAAACTCCCCATTTTGTTAGACGGCGTGGGCCTTGTTTACAATACTTTTTACGTTTGAGTCTGGCTACAAATCCCGTTCATTATTCCCTGAGGGCATAAAAGATTTGGTCAGCGTTCTTGGGCGTGCCAAAATCCGCTTAAATTTTTAATCAGACCTCTATTATCCGCATCTACACAGTTATGCCGTTTGGGAAAATGGCGGTTTTTAGAGATCTGCCCTAAGGGCGGAAACTCAAAAAATACGTTACAATGGCTTTTGATGGTGTTCTTTGATATTCCATCGCCTAAATCCATCTTTCTGTTTGATGGCATCCAAATTTTTATTCATGGCCACTGCAGACTCAAAGCCCATCGGAACGGAACGAGGATTCTTTTGACAACTGATTATGATATCAAGAAACTTAATTAGAAGGGAGCACAGTTCAAAAGGGCTGGCTCATTATGTAATCCACATATACTTTGCGGGACTTTCATCGCGAAAATGATGTGGAATGGGTGGGAGGGAGAAGTTCGAGGACGGTGTTAATACAATGGGGGACTCTGAAAGACTGGGTGGTATTTAGAACGGGATAAGAGGGCAGATTATTCGATGGTTCCATAGTTATTTAAAAAGTGCAAGATGTAGGTGGTGGAACGGGGAGATTTAAGGAGGCTATGTCAAAGTTTGAGTCCTAGTTTTTCGAATAAATATTTAACTGCCAATTTGTAAAGGTTTATACGTTACAGTAAGAATTGTGCGCGATCTATTATAGAATTTGTAAATTTTTATATTACACTTGACCATCACTCCACCATTTATTCCTTATAACTCCCGCTGCGTTTGTATTTTTCCTCTCCACTTTTTTTTATTCTTTTCCAGACTCTTTAGACTTTTGGAAAGTCCCGTTTCCTTCAAAATTTTTTAAACGCATTGACCGAACACTCCGAAATCCCTGAGGACATTTTATTTGTAAACAGCCATTCCCCCGCTCTCTCCCAGACGCCCCTTCTCCCTAAATAAGCGTCACGAACGTTCCCAGAAGTCCCGACGAAATGTAGACATCAGTCATCGTAAATTTCATGCAACTTTACGTTTTTTTGGATAAGAGCAAAAAGATATGACAAGATAAATGACAGAAATTGGATGAAAAATGGAAAAGAAGAACCTAGAAATGGCCGTGATAACTTTACAATAATTTTTAGAAGCTTGGAACATCATGGAAGTGAGGGTTGCATGATGTGGAATTACTCTAGATACGACAGTCAGATATTCCTCAAAATTTGAAGACATGAGCTGTCTGTTACACATACCAATCACAGAAGATTATAGCTCTTGTTTTCCTGAGAGAGCCGAGATATTCAATGATCTTTATGGGCAAGAGACAGCAGGGAATGAGGAGAGATGGTGGCAGAAAAGTTTTTCGGCAATATCTTTGTGATTTTTGAAGAGTTTTTTTTTTTGCAAATATTGTACTCATCCAAGTCATACAGAATATTAATCTTTCATCTTGACATATGTATTTTTATTCCCACAAAAATTTGATGATAGCGTTTGTTATTAAAACCCTTTTGTAAAGAAATGGGACATTAACTTCAGCTCTCTCTCTGGCCATACACTTCCCGATTATTTTAACTTTTTTGTCTTTGCCAATGTCTGGGAGATTGCACTCTGTTGTCATGTGCGGATGTGTTGTCTTAATTACACCCCACGCGTTTTTTTGGTCCAAAAGCCGGGGCTCACAGGGCACGGGCTTCCTTAATGTACTCTTCTTCGGAGGTGTTTTTTGTGGGATTTCGTAAGAAATCCGGATATTGCATTGGTTTACCGCGTCAGGCGTTAACTCATCCGAAATTCTTCAGACACTCTTGCGTAATTGAGGGTCTGCAAAATTTCAAACTGGTTAAGAGGCAAACTACATGTTGTTTAGTATTTACACTGGAATGGAAATAACCTGCATGAATTTTCTGTACTTTGAAGTCGAAAAGAGCCGCCGTTTCGGCCATATTTGTACATTACACTTGAGTTTGTAGGATACTCCAGTAAAATGCTGCCTTATACCCCATTGTGAATACTTTTATCACGTCAAAAACCCCATTTTCTGCAACTTTTTGCATTTACATTTTAATATTTTACGGCTTTGCGTCACAATTAGCCTTTATTTGGTCGAAATTCACCATCATTCCACCAATCTCATCTTTTATTTTATATTTTCAGCCAAAAACCTCGTCATATTCCCGTCTGCAGGCCCTTAGGTCATCCTCGCGCAACCTCAGCGATGCCGGTGTTCAAGAAAAAGAAGACCAAAGAGGCGGCGCCCTGTCCGCTGGACGCGGACGGTCCCGTTAAGGTGCTGGACAAACGCGTTGGAATGGACTGCTATCGAGACTTTTTCACACTCAAAAACTTTTGGAAGACGGTCCGACGGAACGAGAAGGACTGTGGAAAGGCGCTGCTGTCCAGGTAATATTCTAATTGAATCGGGGCCCATATTAATTTACCCTCTCCTTCTCTTTCACTCGCCGTTTTTTTCGCCGAGCAAACACCTGTGTTCGCATCAATGTTTACATAAAAAATGCCTTCGAATGTTCACCAATTTGCGACGTAATTTGCATGTCTTGAGCTGGAGTTTGTTTTGCGTTATCGCCAGAGGTCTACACCTACTCCATTATTACTTTTGGAACCACAAATCTCCCCCAAATCCCCGTCTTCTCTGGCCCTCTTTTGGGCCGCGTAATGTCATCGGCGCGGCCCTTAAACCATTTACTTGTTTGTGCCTTGTGTAGCAGTCGTATCGGGCGTTACGTTGCCCGTTTTCCCTTACTTTCCTCCCCTCATCCTGAACCGTGCACGCAAAATCCGTGGCCGGAGGGCGTTTGTGACGTCGGAACGGCTTTATTGCTGTAAGTGGGAGGGGCCAATGTCGTCGGCCCTCAGGGCTCTTATTATAACAATACCTTGTAATATACTTTTACCTTGCGACGGGACATTGGCCCTCTTTTTTTGTCCAAACAGCCCGAATTTCGGGGTCGAATTTTGGGCCCTCAGGCGCCACGGACATTCGGCGTTTTTTCGGCGTGAGCCCTGAGGCCAACTCCTTGACTTCTGACAATTTTTACGCCCAAATTTGGCCGGAATTTCAATTGCTGAAGGGAGTTTTTAAAGGTTTAATTGAGGGGACTTTTTAAAGGTTCAATTCTTCTTGCGCGTAACTTTCCTAAATTTATTCAAATTCACTGAGTAATTCGTCGCAGTAATAGCCTGAAATTGTAATCCAAACCTGGTTCACCATGCGGTGAGATGCTTCACACGTCGAATGGGCTCCGGTGCTAGCAAGAACAAGGGTCGCGTCGTCCGTCAGCAGGACCCGCCGCCGGCCGCTCCCGCGGCCAAGGAAAACGCGCCGCCCCAGCTGGACACGAGGCTCGGCTTTGCCAGTTTCCGCGATTTCTTTACGTTAAAGGTAGAGGGGTCTACAGGCAATTGAAAACTAGCAGCATTTACTCGGTTAATTGCCTACGTAGCCCTTTTTTAGTAGTTGAGGTATTACACTTGGAATTGTAGTATTAACTTGCTTCCGTGCCGCAAATTTCTCGGCCAGATTAAGAATGTTTGCTGAAAGCCGCGAGTAATTAGTTTTGAAGGCAAAAACGGGGATTAGCGTGATTAGATTTGGAGAAGGAAACACCTGACTCACCTGGGGCAAGTGTTTCCCTGTGCGAAGAAAGTGATGATTAAACGCAAAATTTTTTAAATCACATCAAAATTTACACCGCAAATTGTGGAAATAGGTGAGCAAAAGTAGTTAAGAAGAAAAATGAATGGAAATCGACGACTTCACCGACATTACACTTGATTTTTAGAACTATTGGAAGACGATTCGACGAGGCGAAGTGGACTGCGCCAAGAATATGTTCGCCAGGTCTGGGACCCTCTCTCTTTGATGACGTCTTTTCTCTGTCTGCAATATTAAAGTCCTTCTTTCTCACAGTTTCTCTATTTTTAAATGAATTTTATTTTTTTCAGATATTTAAATGCCAATCCCCAATTTCGCAGTAAATATCCAAAGTTACGAAACGCGCCCGAGGAGCTGAGTACAAGTTGTTCGGACTCGGGGTTCGAAAACGTCTCGGCCCAATATTTGAAAGTGAGTAAAAAGATTTTGAAGAAAAAGTAAACTAAACGAATTTATAGTTGTTGGACTTGATTACTTTTTATTATAATTCTGTTTTGACTCCCTAAACGTGCCTACTAAATAGCCTGTTGCTTTTTTATATTGTTATTTACTATTTGGTTTGCTTTCAGTTATTCGATGACGTCATCACAATAATCGAAGAGCAGCCCGGAGACGCCTCAGATGCCATTACCAGGCTCACAAATTGTGGGAAAATGCACAAAAACAAGGTCGGTCTTACCGAATACAGTTCTATTTTTCACATTGTAGCTTGCCAAAAAAAATTTTTTAATAACCAAAATATTTCAATTTTTTTGTAATTCTTTCCCTGCATTACAGTCTAAATTCCGAAAAAAAAAATAATTTTTTTTATTTACATTATTTTTTACTTTTTTGTATACTTTTAGGTCGAAGGTGTAAAGGCCGCCGACTTTGCCCTGATGGAAAAACCCTTTCTGAAGATGGTCGAAGACGTTCTACAGGATCGATTCAACGACAAAGCCGAGACTTTGTTCTCGAAATTCTTCCAGTTCTGTCAGAAATATATGAATGAGGGATTCAATGCCTAGAAAATGATGATTTAGGTATTGTCGGGGGGTGGGAAATGTCATGATTGGGAGGGATGATTTATTTCTCTGGAATTGATCAAAATGAAAGGAACAGACTTTGGGACACTGACTGTCGAAATTAAAATTGCAATTTTCGAAGGCATGTGTAATTTTACAGAAAGTTTTTTCGCAATTTTTTGACTGAGAGATTCGGAATCCGATAGACCATGAGGATTTCAAATTTTTTTCGTTTTCTTAGAATGGAAACTTGGCCAAAAAAAGAAAAATATTCGAAATTTTAAAAATTGCCCAGGCCATAATATAAATTTAAGAAATGAATTACTTCGAAATTTGCGGTAAAGTCTATTTTTAGGCGTCATCTTATTATTTTTTGATGATTTTTAGAAAATTCCATCAAAAAATCGGGAAATTCTTATTTGAAATGAGACTTTGGTTCCACAATATCTTGTTTATCTTCTAAATTATACGATCTAAGCCTGTACTCTTTTAAAATCCACCTTTTTTATCCCAAACAGTGACCTGAAAACTGTCCTTTTCCCAAGTTTTTCGAGAATCAAGAGCCATGTGGCCAGATGTCCTTTTATCTCAAAATCCAATTCCCTCGGATCCATCATGACATTTCCCCTCGTTCCATGCCATTTTTGTATTCAATTTCCTTTTTTCCCGCATGCCCTGAGGGTCTGAATGGAAGGGAGAACAATAGAAAAAACGGGATTTGTAATCTTTGACATAAGTATTCGAATATTCTTCGACTTTTTCCTTTCTATAATTCTATTTACTGCCCTTTGCTTGAGGTCCACGAAATATGAGATACGACACCTCAATTGTATATATGAATTTATGTTTTTTTTGTGTGTAAACTTCCAATCATTTTATGTAAATTTCCGCAAAAAGATAATCAAAACAGGGAGTAATTGTGTTATTGTATTTGGTATTTACCGAGTAATTTGCAAACGTAACACACGGAATTCGCGTGACATTATCGCTCTGAAATATTCAAATCGTTATAAATAAACCTGTGATTGCGTAGGAAATGGGCGTTGTAACAAAGGCCTACGGTAAGTTGTAATGCAAGGAAAAAACATTTACACAAATCTTAAAATGGTCTGGTTATGGTAATGACGGCGACAAGAGCTTTGAAATTTCAGAATTTGGAAGTTCTGATGAAGTCTTTCGCCTTTCGAGCCTCAAAAAGTACCTCACTTTTAGAAAGATTTGGGCGGTTTCTGCATAAAGCAACCAAAAGAAGAATATCATCACCATTTTCCAATTTGTTATCCAAGAACTTTGCATATAGTTTTCAGATTATATCTACTGCCCGCAGGGCATTTAAAACTGCTGGGAATTTGGCCAAAGTTTGATGGCGTCTCCAATGGTCTGCAATCTTTGCTTTTAGCGCTGACCCCAGAACAAGAGTCAGCACAAGGATCAGCACCTGTATCCATCAGAGAGACCATTAATTTGGTCTTTTCCTCGAAGGATTCGCTTGCATTTACAGTTACAAAAAGGAGAGAAATAAAGAAAATAAAGAGTTTCATAGACTCTGCGTTTCGGTTAAAACATTTAGTAAGACCAAGATTCAAAAAGGTAATCATTAGTATTATCTTGAGTACAGAAAATTAAATGTAAAAATTCAAATAGCACTTAATTTATTTGGTCTCCTGGGTTTATCGCCCACATTTCCACCCGAAATCCTCTTTGCCCTGCATCATAACCTTCTGTTTCATCTGAAATTGCCGTTTTCCTACCGATCCCTACAAAATCTCCGTCGCCTTTTCCGCGACGTTTATGTGTTTTGAGGGCGGAAGAGTAAAGTTTGGGAAGGGAAGGTCGGAATCCGCCGGTTATATCGGTCAGGGGAATATTTTCTCCCCATTCGGCGATCATGAACATCTCCGAGGCTGTTCGCAAATCTTTTCGGCGATCTTTTCGAACCAAAAGCAGATTCCCCGTGGTTCAAGAGTACTCGAGATTGTTGCCTGGAGAGGAGAGGATCAGGGAGAATGTGCTGGTCGAGGGTGAGTGAACATTCAAAAAATTGTACATGTGAGTGCCGAGATAAAAAAAAAGAGGACAGACGGTCAGAGAAAAAACCTTTTTGACATTTCTGTGCGCGGATAGATCAGTTTTAAATTGATGTTCCAAACAGTGGGTCATTTTTTCATCTCAAGATCCACCAAGAAATTAAATTTTTGTTTTATATGGCCCTAAAAATCTTGATGATTTCTGTAAAACGCAAATTAAAAATTTCAATTGCCTCTTCAAAAATTTAGATATTAATTTTTGCCAAGTTTTTTCTAACCCAACCGTTATTAACTCATTCAATTTACAGCCCCAATCACAAGACCACAAGACCCTGAAGTGAAGATAATCTCGGATCTCTTGACCCGAGGAAAGCGACTGTCCAATGATGGGAAATGCTATGGAACTCTTGATGAAAACCGTAATATCATCTGGTCGAAATACAGTGAAGTTATCGAGATGGTGGAGGCAATTGGTTCGGGGTTAATTGAGCTTGGAATTGAGGCCAGCCAAGAGACAAAAATTGGAGTAATTGGGAAAAACTCGAAGGAATACGCGATGGTTGGGCATGTGTGTAGTGCATATTCGATGGTCATGGTCCCATTGTATCATAATTACAAGTTCCAGGAGATTCAGTGAGCTCTTTTAGAAACTTCGAGATTATTTTAGTTTAGTGTAGCTTCTATCCGAAGATATTTATTTTGCAGGCAAATTGTTGCAAAATGCTCAATTCACGTGTTATTCTGCGACTCCGTGGAGCTCGCTGAGAAATTTAAAGATGACGCAAACATTAAGCACTTAATTATTCTGAACCATATCGATGATATTGTACTTGGCGATGACTCAAAGGTAAATTGGCCATCTTTCATGCGAAATCCATACTGGTTCTCGATTAATTTATCGTTTTAGATCATCTCCTGGCCTAGTCTCCTTGAAAAAGGTCGTTCTTCCCCTCATTCTCCACTTCCCGCTCAGCCATCGGACATTTACATGATTTGTCACACCAGTGGAACCACTGGTTACCCCAAGGGCGCTATGATCAGTCATCACGCCATTTTGACAGCCATGACCGGCACTTACATCAATTGGTTCTCGGAGGCCAACAAGCTCACTTTATCCCCGTCGGATGTCTACATTTCCTTCTTATCCTTGGCCCATGTTTATGAACAAGTTATGGAGGCGATCTTGCTCTTTAGTGGAGGGCAGATTGGCTTCTATAGTGGTGATATCACCCGCTTATTGGACGATATTCAGTCTTACCGACCGACTGTTGTCGCTTTTGTCCCAAGGGTTTTGGAAAAATTCAAACAAAAAATTGAGGCCGGATTAAAAACGAAACCAATCTTCGTCCAGAAACTGATTTCTTTGGCCATAAAAAAGAAGACCGAAATGCTGAATAAGAAGGTGCTGAGCTACAAAACGTTTGCCGACACTCTTCTCCGACCAATTCATAAGATTTTCGGAGGGAAATTACGGCTGATCATCACTGGCGGAGCCCCAATTAGCAGTGATTTGAAGACGTTCAGCCGAGTCATTTACGGCTGCCCCTTATTGGAGGGGTATGGACAAACCGAATGTGTGGCGGCTGGAACTCTGAGTTTGGTTGGTGATACAGAGGCTGGGCATGTTGGAGGACCCAGTGCTTGGTCACAAGTAAGAAATTTTTCGAATTTTTAACTCTGTACTATATAAAAATGTCAAGTCTACAACAAAAATCTAAGCTCACCAATATCTTTTCGGTTTGCAGATCAAGCTTGTCTCCGTCCCCGAGATGTCCTACGACGCTTCCGATGACAAAGGAGAGATCTGTTTTCGAGGCCCGGCTTTAATGTCCGGCTACATTGGAGAGCCCGAATTAACCGAGCAAACGATCGATAAAGAAGGATGGTTACACACTGGAGATATTGGCTGTTGGTTGCCAAATGGAGCCTTGAAGATTATCGACAGGAAAAAGAACTTCTTCAAACTTGCCCAAGGTGATTTTGTCTCGCCCGAACGAGTCGAACAAATCTATGCAAAGCACCCAGCCGTCACTCAAATATTTGTCGATGGGAAGGGAACTGAGGCCTTCTTGGTTGCCATAATTGTTGTAGATGAAGGATCGATTAAGAAAATCGCCGAGGACTTGGGAACTGTAAGATTTTATATTATCCATGACCTAAAATTGATTTAAAAAATCTATTTTTTCCAAATATTATCGTAATTTTCAGGACCCATCCAATCTAAATAACAACGTGATCCGTTCCAAAATCCTCTCGGATCTTCGGGAACTTGGTCGTGAAGGTGGATTGAGCAGCTTGGAGCAAATCCAGAATCTCCATTTGGTCTCGGAAGAGTTTGGGCTGGAGAACGGACTCCTAACTCCGACTTTGAAGATGAAAAGGAACGAATTGCGGGCCAAATACCAGGATGTGATCAGCAATCTTTATCAACAATCACTTCTTCAACAATAAAATTTAACAATTTTTATCCAAAACATGTAAAAAAAGGTCCAAAATCGTATATATAAACACGTCCTAAAATCTATCCAAACTTATTCACAGACTAGATGAGGGTTTTCTCGACGATATCGTTCCATTTTTTTCATTCTAAAAGGTTAAATCTTACTGTAACCTGGGGTTTTAACCTACCTCATCGTAAAAAAAGTCATCGTTCCAAGGAAGATGCCGAATGAGGCACAAAGTACTGCTCGAATCACAATGGGGATATCAGTTATGTAATCCACGGCACGTCTGAACATTCAATAATTCATTTTATATTACTAATTACGTCCTAACTTTACAAAGACAACTAAAGTAGTACAAACTTACTCGAAAAAACCTATTTTATGCGGTTTCTCGTATTCCCCAACATCCTCCTTTACCGTATACACCGGTTTGTGTGCTTTATAATCCACCGTCCGCGATCTATAGTAGTTCTTGAACCGTTCATCCACCTAAAATTGTCAAATATGTATTTCTGACATAAATTAATACAAATTTTCATCAAACCCCTTGCCTTTTCCAAATCCTCTCGTGTAAACCTATGCAAACTAGATTTGCCATTCTCTTCTGATGTCTTTTTTCGATCTCTTAGCTTTTCATACGCATTTTTTATCTCCAAAAACCTTTTTGGATCAGCTGTTGGACTGTCTGGATGATATTTCTTGGATAATGTGTAGTAGGAATCCTTGATTTCCTCCGGAGTGGCACTTCTGGAGACCTCAAGTAGTTTGTAGACATCTCTGAAAATACAATTTTCTTATTTTCCAATTGCAATTTAATTAATACCTAAAACCAAAAAAATGCGTACCTTCTAGTTGAATAAAACCTGAAACTCCTGGCCAAACAAGGTCGGAGTGAACTCATAAATGCTAGATCACCGGTGCTGCTGGGATATCATAGCCTAAACATTTGTAAAATGTTTTGAAAAAAAATATATGAACATGACGCATATCAGAAATCATAAAATATTTGATCAAAACACAATCCAATAATACACAGGACCAAAAAAATTTCGAATAACCTAATTTATATTCAAAATTAACAACAATTTCAGTCATCTAAACTCGGATTTATACGTCTGCGGGAATCCAAAGGGCTGGTTTTGCTCCTCCTGATGAACTTCTTGGTCTAGCGGTTTAATCGGCGGGGTCTCCATCATTTTCTTTATGCTCTGTCGATTATAAAGGTCTCCTTCTTGATCATGATAAACCTTTCTTGGCTTTGTTGCGTCATAATCTTGTCTAAAAGTCAAAAATTAAAGATTTTAGTCATCAAAAAAAGTATGTACAGGGTGGGCCAAAAAAAATGGACATTTATTTTTCTTCGATTTTTCCTGCCATGAAACAGTTTGTGAAAAAAGGTATATATGGCATGAAAATACTGTGTTAAGGGAACATATTTACTGTAGAAGTTTTGTTCTATCTGCAAAAGTTTCCAACATACGGTTGCAGGAAAGTCACCAGGTCAGCGCGCCAATTCCCGCAGCAAAATTTTAAAAGTTCTTGCTCCTAAACTTTTTAGAGCGGCCGTAAAGACATACCAAGCGGTCTAAGCAGATCTAAGAGACTTGCCCCCTTAGGCTTTAAAAGGATTTAACCCAAGCTTTTCGGAAAATGAAGAACCAGTGACCAGAAGTTAGACACTCGGCCAGGGAAAATCGACCTTCATTTGGGCGCTTTCGGAAAAACAATGCTCTACCAAACGTGGTGAACCTTTTGACACTGGTTACCCTCATACGGTGTTTGCTACTCTATGATGAATATACTAAACGCATTTTTGACAATAGTACAACTCAATGAGCAAGATGGCAAGCAAAAATCGATTTTTTTGACTTTTTGATGGGTCATCGCAATAAAACTTGGATTCTGAAGGTTAGCTGCTTCCTCATTTTACGAAACTGACTTAAAATGGAAGAAAGGGGTCGTATAACCCTGATATATAAGTATCCCGTCATAGTTATGCGGACCGTTCAAGAACGCCAACAAAAAAGAAAAAATTTTCTGGCCAAAAATATCAGCGTCTCTGGGTATTGCCGGCTAAACTTTTTTAAGTGTTGCGCACGGCTAGTGCAAGCTATTACCAAATCAACTGCTGGCTCATGTAAAGCAATGTCAGGTGTCTTATAGGGACCACTTTTTGCTATTAATAGCATGAAACAGGCTCACCTGCGAGTCTTCAATGTCAATGATCTCAAAAATTTAGAATTATCTAGATGGACCTCTTGTGGATCACGTTGCGAACTGGGGGAGTGCTATTAATCGAACATTATCAACTTTTTTGCTTCTCTGGGTTCCCCTTGGTACGTCCATAAACAGTCAACCCCCAGGTTTCGGCTAGTTATAGAAATTTAGGTCGGTAAAGATCTTTGGACCCACAAAATTTTTGGAAAACGTGGTCAGAATATGGGCTGGCCTAAAATTTTGGCTCGTATCAGCGATTCAGAAAAAGTATATAAAAATTTAAATAGTTGTGATAAAGCAGGATAGTTGACAATTATAAAACTATTTTTCTTTCCATTGATAACGGTATTCGTGCCGGGATACACCAACTTTTAATTTTGTCCATTTTTTTTGGCCCACCCTGTAAATAAAGTATGTAATGTAAACGCTCACTTCCAAAGAAACGCAGCGAATATCAACAGCACAGTTCCAACTGACAGCCCCTGAAGCAATCGGAGCCATTTCTTCGTGTCAATGTAATTCTCCACTCTGAATTGATAAAAGTTCCAATGCTCTCTAAAATAATGTCAAGGTGAATATAAAAATGAATTTTCAACCCAAAAAAAGCGCCAAAACTATCTCCAGTCCCCACTAAAATGCGTTTGCTTACTTATCCTTCCTGTCATTACTATTATTTTGCCATCTTTCATCGTTCTGTTGTCGATAAAAAGCATCCGATCTTTCTCGAGCTCTTCTAAATGCGTCTTCGAAGATGGAGCCACCTCGGGAAGCCGTGTTCTTCTGTATTTCTTCCCATATCTGCAAACAAAATACGTTTCCATGATAAAACTTAGCATAATCAACCCTTTTAAGCGTCAAAAATATCGGCAGGTATTCTAATATTACTTTAAGTGGCTTCCTCTTACCCTGTCAAATTCTTTTTGATCAAACTCTCTTCTGAACCCGTAAAATCGACTAGATTGACTGTTCATATTGCTCGCATTCCTTCCACCAAATTGTCTGAACATCCGTTCCATGTCTCTCATCATCTAAATCCAGAAAAATGCAAGATAAAATTCGACATACCTGATCAAACTCCTGTGGGTTTACGTTTCTCCTGTAAACTCGCTGATATCCCTCGCTTCTGAAGGGATTTTGATGTTCTTGGCCTTGTCCAAATCCATGAGCATATGGGTTGGCTCCAGCATGACCAAAGTTATCGTAATCCCGACGTTTATTAGTGTCTCTAAGCACATCATATGCCTCTTTTACCTCCAGAAACTTTTCGGAATCGGATCCTGGAACATCTGGATGATACTGAGGAAAAATTGAGGGAGTTATAGATGGGGATTACCTGTTTTGAGAGTCTGTAGAAGGCTGATTTGATTTCTCGATCAGTTGCGGTACGGGAAACTCCGAGGATCTCGTAATAATCTCTGGAATTATATTGTCGTAGATAAAAAATCTCAAGACACATGTGTAAAGGAGGCCTTAATGGCTGAATAAATTGAACTCACTAATCTAGATAAACTTTTCGAGCTATTAACTTACTTTTTAGCACTTGAAAAATGTCGAATACGTGTTGCTAAAAACCTTCTCCTTGCCAGGTCTAAGCTCCTCCACATCTTCCTGTAATCGGTTTCATTATCTCAGAACCAATTCGTCAAAGCACCATTGCTCTTTATAGACAGTAAAAAATAATATTTTTGGACGAAAAAACCAACCAACAACATAATCCAATGTTATCCATGATGAAAGACAAGTTTATTCCTATGATCCTAAATTTATGCGACTTTGAATTTTTTCCAATCCAAGTAATGGACATAACAAATGTCAGCAAAAATAATAACAACAAAGAAGACGGCTCCGTAGATCAGCCGTCGCCTTTCGATCTCCTCAAAAGCCATGGCTTTGGCCGGATCAAAGAAATGGCCAACTCGATCTGATAAAGACATCCTTTTAACTGCCGGCCGAAGCTGAGATCTTGGAGATTTGATGTGCAGGTTGATTAAATTAGGATCAACATGTAGAGATGAGTGGGCATCCTGGAAACTTATATTGTAGTAGAAGTTTAGGTACCCAAAAGTTAATTCTAAACACAGAAGACAAATAAACAACCTTACCGGTTCATAAAACATATCTCGAGCTGCTTCTCGGCCAAATGAGAGTTCTCGATCGTATTCTTTCCGCTTTTCTGGCCTCCTCAACACATCATAAGCTTCTTTCAGTGCCATGAAGTCCTCGGTTCCTTTCTTTGTTTTCTTAAAATGCTTTCCATCTGGGTGTAATTCATTCGATTTCTTGATGAAAGCCTGCCTTATGTGCGCATCTGAATCCTTAGGATCGACTTCCAAGATTTCATAGTAGGTTTTCTTCCTACAATTATAAAAAATATAATCACAACGTATACTAACTACCTGGGGATGTACGAGACCAATCGTTTTGAGTGGAAACCTATCTGTTTTATCGAGAACATACAAAGTCGTTGGCCAGAAACTGAAAAATTGTCGAAATTTTACATTTTTTCTGAAAATAACAGAATGCCAAAGATTTTTTGACAACTGCTTGTTTTCGTGGTGGTACGGAGGGCTTGGAATAGAAAGTGTAGATTATGAACTGTGACTGTTATCAGAACTTTAGGCACTCGAAACAGCCTTGATTTTACATTTATCACAGTCCGCGATGAACAGTTTGCGTTTTTCCTTCTACTCAAGTAAGCAATTATGACATTGACGTCAAATTTTCGGCTTCATAAACAAAAACCGACATCAAATTGCGACATCACATTTGGGGCCATTGTTCGACGTCAAAAAACGGCAGCATAAATTGAAGTCGGGAACCCATGAATTTTTGCAAGCGCTTGCTGAGTCCAACTTCATCAAGGACGTCGAATAGAAAGAACCCAAGCCGCTGCCTTCGTTCCAATCCCTGGATTCAACCGAGACCAGGTTATTTGTTGAAGCAATGGACAGTTGACCGCAAGGAACAAAAGACTTCCGGCATCCGTGATTTTAATTCATCCGTATAACGTGTTTATGACTTTGTAAAACAATGAAAAATAAAAGTTTACTTTATTGTAACTAAATCTCAAATGGCAAAATGAAAAAGAGAAGTTGAAAGACAATGAAACATGTACTCAGGAGATTGGATACCAACCCTTTCAGGACCTTCTCGTCAGGGATCTTCTACATGACCTTGCAAAGGCTTTTCGATCTTGACCTTGCCTTCGTCGACCTTCTGCCTTTCCACCTCCAATTCATGGAGTTGAAGAATTGTGCGGGCGGCGAAAACCGTTTTTCTACATCGAGGTGCTCATCAATGGGTTCAACCATGTAGACGACCTCGAATCCACAATTCTTGACGCGTCAGAAAAATTAGATCTAAAAAAATCAAAATTTTTCTTTAAAAGAAGCTAAAATCGAGAAAATATACTAGAAAAACAAAAGAATATACATAAAATAAACTTACAACGACGCGAAAGCTCGAAAATCGTCCATTCCATCCGCAAACAAAAAAATTCTCGGCACCAGCCACAAAAAAAAAATTATTTTTCTACCGTACAAAAATTATTTTTTTGAGTCTCAACGCGACTTATTGCATTTTTGCCAAGTGTGTACGTAGTTATACGGAAGCGCGTACTTTAATATGTTCTTTGATTCTCTGGCACCCTACTCTTTCTACACTATCTGTTGTCACGATACGAGATAATCGAAAAACCCCTTACTCGTTTGGTTGGAGTTTCAAATCTTTTCACATTCATTATTTTTCTTCAATTTTAAGCCTATAAATATTTAAAAGTGCAAGAACAGTATTCGAAAATAGGATTAAAATATTTTCATTGTATGCAGAGATCAGGATCCGGCTCAGTTGAACTCCGTTCGTATTTGGACGAGAACGCGAGTCCTGTCAGCTGAGTCAATGATCTCTCCGTGGGTGTGTGATACAGGGCATAACAATTTCAATAAAGGGCACAAATATTATCCCAAAATATAGCCCTGTGTAATTTATTCATCTGGACGTGAATTTCGGATATTCCGGCTTGATCCAGCTGGCTAAATAGATTTGTTTTTACTTGGGTGTGAAGACAATGTAGTATAAAAGCCATGGAATGTTTCAAAGAATCACTTGTTCATTCCAATCATGGTTCATTTCTCGGTTCCTCTCTTGTGTTTGGTCACCGTAGCCTCGGGTTCTTTCCCGTCTTGGCCATCTCCAACATCCACAACCACCCTCGCCAAGACTGTTAGTGTCAAAGCCGACACTCCTTACGACGGAAAATTGGTCAGGTTCAACGCCGCCTTCGGAGATGGCGGTCAAGATGAAGGACAAGCTCCCCTTTTCGAGTTGGAGGATGGAGCCACCATCAAGAATGTTGTGATTGGTCCTAAGGCTGCTGATGGAATCCACTGCAAGGGATCTTGTACTATCGAGAACTGCTGGTGGGAGGATGTTGGAGAAGATGCCGCTACCTTCCGAGGAACCACATCGGCCAAGTATACAGTCAGTGGAGGCGGAGCGCAGAAGGCTGATGACAAGGTGTTCCAACACAATGGATTCGGGACCGTTACTATCACAAACTTCCAGGTAAAATTATTTTATGACTTTCAAAAATTGTCAATCTAGTTCTATGACTATGACTAGATACATTTCCCTTCAGGCCACCGACATTGGAAAGCTCTACCGTTCGTGCGGAAACTGCGTTGAGAACGGAAAAGATCGTCACGTTGTTATCGACACTGTAAAGCTCAGTGGAACCACCAAGGTCATCGCTGGAGTCAACGGAAACTATGGAGATACCGCCATCCTCAAGAACATCCAAATTGCCGGCACTGTCAAGGTTGTTTGCGAAAATTACAAAGGCATCAGTGACAACGATGAAGAACCGAAAGGTGTCGCTTCTTACACGACCACTCAGGATGGAGATGGAAAGATTTGCATCTACAAGAAGAGCGATATTGTCTCTGCCTAAGGGCTTGAGAGTGAATCAATTACTAGTAATTTATGTTTAGTTACATTTGAATAAACCTGCGCAGCTTTATTTCACAATAAAATAAATTTCGATTATTTACACATGCTTTTTGTTCTTTGTTCTCCGTTAAATAACCTCTATTTTTGCTTGTCAAAACTTAAGGCTAGGCTAGGTAAGAGTAAAACATATTTACTTCAACCAAACCGACCTTTCTTTCAGTCAACAGACTGTCGATGTTTTTACCGCTTTAACTTTACTGTCCCTCCAATTCAATGTCAAATGTCTGCGTGTCCGCAAAAGGTTTACCGCAAAGTTCGTACCGCTGAAAAACAATTAATATTTAAAAAATGAAAACATCACGCTTCAGGCAGTTCTTACGCTAGAAAGTACTATTTCCTTTCTGGGAAGTATTCACAGAACATGTTGGCCAAATAAGGCTAATTTATGGGTTCTTCACACTTGTTTTACTTCCGTTTAACTTGCTCTTTGTCCTTTTACATTTGAAAAAGCCTTTGTGGCAGTATATATTATCATAGGTATCTCTGTTCCAAAGGGCCAGTACAGGCACCTCTGAGTTGCTCCTTTTGGAAAACAAAATGTCAAAAAGTTTTTTATGTCCTTCCGCGAATAATTGTCGGCAAAATTGAAAACAGTAAAATAATTTTTAGTAATCATGTTGATTGTCACTATATCTTTTACTTTTATCGGTATAAACATACAGTAGACGAAGAAATCTTTTGGACATTTCGTCTCCCAAGCCGGAAAATGGGCGTTTCAAAAGTAGCCGGCCTTGTAGAAACAGAATTTGTTACTTCTTAGAGTGTCTGCGGTCGCCTCAATTGAATTTGCATCCCAACGACGTCTGCGGAAGAAATGAACGGTTATTTGCCCGGAGGGGCTGGGCATAATTCTCATCAAATATTCCGGAAGAATTGTGGGGGGCCGGCCGAAACTTTTTTTGGGCCCATTCCCATGTTTTTGAACGCTTTTACCTGAGGGCCCGCAGGGCCTGAAGACGTTTTTTATGGGCTTTGCCCGCAGCACGCAAGAGTAATTCCAAAAAACAGAATTCACTTTCTAATCCTCATACTTCATTGTTAATTTTAAAGAGCGCTGCTACTTTTTTCTTAAGCAGTACTGCTTATAAAGTAGTTAATTGTCATCAAAATTTAATGCAATTCAAATTCAGCCATTCTTCATACTTTTTTTTGTTTTTTACAACAAAATTTACATTTTAAATCAAAATTTAATTTTATACTGTAAATTATTTATAGTTTTTTTATGCTGAAATTAACGTGGTATTCAAGGGCCATTTAGTTTTTACACCCATGTGAGAACTTGTTTGCCATAACAGTAAGCGTGTTTTCGGGTAGTTTAATTCATATTTCGTTTTTATGTAATCCAGGTGTATGGAGTAAATTAGCGTGCCAGTGAATATTATTTTGTTTGGAGATGACTCGTCATATAACCAGAAAATAGGTAGAGTGTTTAGGCTACCAGGGGATCATTCATTTTTTTTTGTGGTTAGGTTTTGCAAAAACCTGGCTAAAATTAAAAGTTGATTTCTAAGGGATCAACTTTCATTTTTTAATCCCGAACATTTGAACTCCCCAAATATTCCATTAGATTTCTTTTACTCCCACTCCCAAATCCAATGCTAAAATAGCCCGCATTTCAACGAACTAGAGATATAAATATTGACTTAAATCTGCAATTCTCAAGGTAGATTACATTTGCCAAACTGCACATTTATATTATTTGTATGCATAAATAAACGCTTGCATAACAATTGGTCGTTAAAAATTCTTTTGAAAGGGTCAAGGCATGGCAACGGTACTCCCAAATGGTCCTGTAGTTCCATTTTTATTCTGTTTTGAATAATTTTAGTTTGTGGAAGTACTTTGGACTTGGCCAGACAAGTCTTACGTGGTTTATTTAGCGGTTTTAGGTTGGGAAAGCAAAAGATGATTGTCTTTTGCGAAAATGAAAACAAAATTATTAATTTTGAAGCCTTTTCCTATTAATTTTTGATGGCTTGTTGACGGTATTTTTAATTAATTTTCCTTATTTATTCTGTATTCCTTTTCATACCTCAAAAAATTGTAAAAAAATACTGTTAAATTGTATTGTAAACAGATGGATAAATTCTTTATTCGTTTTCCGAAATGGCGCTATTAACCTTGACATTCAAAGGCCACTTAAATTTTACATACATAACATCTGAGAATTTTCTTGCTACGAAAAGCAAACGTGTTTTCAAGCAGTGTATTTAAAATTCCATTTTATTTCAGGAAACAATGCAAATTTAGAAGCCTTTGAACGGAAATACTGCAGGGTGGGCCACTCGAAACTTCCTTTCTCTTCTGGTTATTAATTTTTTCGTCAATCCTGTCTCTAAATCTTTCTAATATTTTTGATTATTAAAATTGCAACCCCTATTACCTTGCCAATTTTCAGGATTTTAGCTGGAAATGCACTTTACAGTAATCTCCAAAATTTTGAGATTTATTTTTGGAACGCAAAAGCTGTAAAATTTACAAAATTATTGAAATAATTTTGATTTGACGTTCTCGGATTTGGAAAGCTTTGGCCGATTGAATTTAAATCCATCAAAATCTGAACGTTTTGCCATGCTAATCACAAATTTCTTGTCGAAAGTTGAGTTCAACTTACTCAAAAAAAGTTCAATTTTGTTTTCTTTGATCTTGTTTGATTGTCCTACACTGAAAGACATCATGAATTAACCCTATTAACCCCGTATTTCAGAACGTATTTTCCAAGGATTAAGGGCACAAACTACTGCTTGACATGGTGGTATGTATGTTTTCGGGCCCTTTCTTTTATGCGATTTTTTATTTGAATTTCTGTCGAGTTGTTACTAAAGGTTTTACTTTACATTTCAGTTTGTATTTTCCTTCTGAAAGGTAGGTATTTTTTTCAAGTAGGCCAGTAATTCCTTTTCAATAATTTTACTTTTTAATCCGAATGTATTACTGCTATTAATCTTTGGGATAATTCGATGTTAATTGAGTGTAATAGTGAGTACGTATGTAGGCATTCTGAAGATGGCATGTGGAAAGGGAAATAAATGTAGGCGGTTGAGTGCTCTGGAATCAAAGTCATACTTTCATTTGCCGTTTATATGTTGTATTGAAGTTAATTGCGAGCCTTTCTTGATTGATTAATAACGATCTTTAAAGTGTACTGCGTCTGTTGTTTTGCTCTTTTCTGTAGTTTGAAATTCTGTGTTCATATTATTAAATCGATCTTCGAAACAGACTATGTGATTTGAAAGAAACTTTTAAATATACGTAGGATTTGTCGACCATTGAGATTGTAAATATTGTCATGAGATGTGCTTTATAAGTCTGGCCACCATTTGCTCCCTACAAACATTTGGCCCGGTCCAATCAACATATTCAAAACGTACATTATAAAGATTCTTATGGTGACCATGGTTCCCTGTTGCGATTTTATTTCCAAATTTTCCAGACTTGTTGTCCGAAAGGGTCTGTAAAAGTGTGAAGCAGTTGATGTCCTAAAGTATGACTTTTGAGGGGTCAGGTTAGGAGCCCTATGCATAAACAAGTGCGCCGAGGTTGGCCAATGTATCTAAAATTTAACACCAGAGGTGTACGTAGAAGCTGTCTTCTTAGGGCCTTGGAGAAAACGTATACCATAGAAAACCGAGCTCGTTTACTCTGAGTACTTTCGCTGAAAATAGCTTGCATCGTTAACGAGCGCACCTCATTGTGGTATCAATTATTGGCTCAGCCAACCTTTCTTTTGTCGCCTACTTCAACATAACCGCTCGTCCCCAACCTATCCCCGAACACATTACCATCCAAATCCCCTCAAGGGCCATCCAAAAACGAACCCAATAATAAGCCCCACACCATTTTCCGCGCCCCGGAACACGTAACGTAACCTGATTATCTATTTCAGGAAGCGTTTCCCTCACTCTCGATTTCATTGTTAAACTTCTGGGTCATTCAAATTGCCCGAGGGCTTCGCCTTTTTTGTTGTTTTTAACCACTCGTTCGTTTAGCGGGCGCTGTAAATTCGTGTAAACGGAAGGAAGTTTGCTGTAATTTCAGGCACGCAGAGAGATTGGGAACAGGTTGTTTTTGTTTGATTTCAAGAAATTGCAAGGCCTTTTGGAATAAGTAAGGCATTAATAATTTCAAAAAAGTCATTACGGTAATGGTGAAACAATGTTTTGCTCGGCAGCTTAATATGTTGGCAGTATAGGTTTTCTTTTACGAAATATCGTATAATAGAAATAACACTGGCTGCAGCACTTATGAAACGTATGCCAGGCTTTCCTCCGGCGTCTTACGGAAACCAGAAACCTTTTAAGAATCGAAGTACACCAAAATGCGACTTTTTTGTGATTTCCGGACGAAAAATATAGGGAAATAGAGTGCATATCCGAGTGGTCGCAAAATAATAATATCTTGTGGGCACAAAATAAACGGGTTGAAAATGTATTTCTGTCTGTCCAGCGTGCCGTTTTATGATGTTTTGCCTTACGGGTTTCATCAGCAACGCATCTAAGAGCTAAATAGTTCAAATTAAATCTTTCGGTATTGGTTGTAAAGTCTTTTTTTTTTTGATTCTGGAATCTCAACAAGTGTTTGCACAAGGACCCAGAATATTTTCTTAACCCCGGAGGACCTTAAACCGCATTCGTAAAACATTCTGTTCAGAAAAATTTAATGAAAAAATGCAAAAATCTGTGGAAGATCCTAAAAATAGACCTTGTAAAGCTTCATATTGAAATTTGCACAAAATCGAAACTAACAATTTCTGTTACAGTACCTTAATTGTGGACGACAAGGCCTCGAAATTATTGGCTGTAACTCTAAAGCAGCCCTATAATTATCGTACGTACGAAACGATAACTTTGCATAACCTGCCACACATTTTATTAAGTTATTAGTTCACCCCCATTTTTTGCCCTATTTTTTACCCAAACATTTTTATTCCCATACAATTTATGATCTTGGATTTCCGTTCTTTGTGCTCTATGTATTTTATTTTACTATAATAGCACGTTATTTTATGCAAACAGGGTTCGAATTCTCTCCATTCTTGACAGGAAATGTGTGTATTTTGCAAAAAAATGCAATAACTCAAGAGTTCAAAAATCTCCCCCCGGTCCTGATGTACTGTGAAGGTCGGAAAAACAATTTTTTCTATAAAATTGCGCGGAATGACAGAATAAAAGTTCATTGAATTATTTAATTAATTATGGTTTTCCCCTTTTCAGACTGTTTTCAAATGTCTCTCGGGGCTAAAATCCACTTCTGAAGTTGTAAAATGGACCACAAAAAATTTGTAAGTCGTTTTTTTTAATTTTTAGTACGAATGATTATTTTAAAAATCACTTATTACATAACTTTTGACATCAAAATTTTTCATTACTTTCTTGCAAGTTACTTAATTTTTGTTAACAAAAAATTTTTTAGGATGGGGACTAATTTGGCATCTGTGGTGAGGTTGTGTAACCACTCCCCCAGAGCTCTGAAAATATGAAATTCCCATGATTCCAGAATTCGATTATGCAAATTTCGAGCTCAAAATTTTTAAAAATTTGAATTTTGAGAGCTCTCGGCTCTCAAAACACCGCCAACTTTCCCCCGGAATGAAGGCCCCGGGCCCAAGTTCCTAATCGAATTTTTGGTTCAATAATTCGACTTCCAACGTCACCATTTGAATTTGCGTGGGAATGTTGAATCTTCATAACTTTGAGAAATCAAAATTCCAAAGATTTCGTATTTTTTGAGCAAAATATGCGTAGACATGGAAGTTCGATCAAAAATCCGATTAGGAAATTGGCCCCCGGCTGAAACTTTTTTCGAAATATTTTTTCCAAAAAGCAAAAAAGGTTCAAGAAATTTTTGCACGGTGCAATGACCTCAAGAAGGTGTCATAGAGAAGAATTCCTAAGTAAGTCTGGAAACTGACATGATCTCTCAACTTTGTAGACACTGAGATCTCAAAGAAACCTGCAAAATTATGAATTATTTTTCTCGATACAGGTAAAGGTAGTGCCAATACAAACAAAGTGCTTTTTTGGAGAGCAAAAAAACACGGGGATTCTGGTTGCAAGATAAACAAATGTACGTAACTTGAGGATTAGGAAGTTATGAGCGGAAATTGTAAACTAACAATTTTGCGGATGTTCGAAAAGGCTGGTATTTGCTTGGTCGACTAAAAAATACGTAATGGAAAATAAAAATTTTTGCAAGGTAAGCAAACGCAATAAATTCCAAACCACCTTCCAAAAATAGCCCCGTGAACTTTCCGAATTTTTATTAATCAGTAATCCCCTAATTTATTTTCCCTTTCGAAACAGGAATTTACTGTAATGAATTTGTTGTTTGTCTCCGTTTTATTCGTCGAAACGTCGCATTTCCTTTGCAGAGTCGCTCCCTCCGCGGTCCATCCCCTCCTCTGACGGGCCGATGGAACCGGCTGTCGCTGTTCGTTCATTCGCGACTTTGGACCTCGGCCCGACGTCGCTCCGCCATCAAAACCATGGGAAGTTCGGTGTCGCGACAGTACGCCGACCCTCCGCGCGTCCGGACGAGCTTGGGCTGGGTGGAGGGGAAATGGGTCGAGATCAACGAGTACAATGCGGCCAAGGCCTTCTTGGGGATTCCTTTTGCGAAACCACCGATTGGCGAATTGAGGTTTGAGGTGGGTTTTTTCTGTCATTTTTTGAATAATTTTTTTGATTTTTTGTTTCAAAATTTTTTACAAAATCTGTAAATGTCGTAAATTTTTGATGACAAAGGAAGGATTTGGAGACATTTTATAAGATAAAAAAATTCTATTTTAATTTTCTTGTTGGAAGTTTTTTACAAAGACCCATGAAGTCCTGAAACAATGTTTGATGCAAATAAAAAGCCGGCGGAGACATTTTATACGGTGAAACATGCTTGATTTTTTTGATCTTTTTCAATTTCAAAATTTTTTTCTTGTTTTTTTATTTTGCAAAATGTAAAACGACTTGTCACCCCTCGAAAAATTCTGAAACCATTTTTCAATTATACGCCTTTTTTATTATTTTTTTGGATTTGTCTAGACCAATAAAGCTAAGTCACTTCGAATACTTCCCGAACAATTTATGTCGAATTACTGGCTTTTTCGAATATTTAAAAGTTGTTTTTGCATTTTTAAGTTTCTTTTTCTCAATTCAAAAAAAAAAGATTTTGACAAAATTGCGACATTTTTCTCAACGGGTCATCCATTTTTCGAAGGGAACTTTAAATCTTTTTTTGTTACAACCTTCCCGAATAATCACGGAAAATACGAAAACAATGGAACGAAGAAAACGTGACTTAATTTGAGGCGAAAATTGAAGAAAAAAAATTTATGTGGTCGAGTCTGAAAGATATTAAAAATTACTGTAGGCCACTTACATTGTTTGACCGATTTCACAATTGTCTGCCCAAATTGGCATTTCGGACCATTTTATACGATGAAACATGGTTTTTCAAAATTTCTGAAAAAATCAGCCAAAAAATTTGTTAAAGTCCAAAATTGCTGCAGATGTTGCAGAAATTATTTTTTCGACATTTTAAGATGATTTTTTTAGAAGCCCCAACCACCAGATCCCTGGACCGGGATCCTGGAATGCCGCAAGTATCGCTCTCGCTCAGTTCAAACCTCTTTTGTCTGGGATTTTGTTGATGTCCGCGTCCCGATCAGTGAGGACTGCCTCTACTTGAATATTATTACCCCTTCCAAACAAACAACTGAGTTTCCGGTAAGTCCGCCAAGTATAATATAATTTATATCCATGATTTCAGAAAGGTTATGCCGTGATGGTCTACATTCATGGCGGTGGATACGTGATGGATAGTGCCGCCAAATATCATTATACCAAATGCGCAAAGTCTGTTTTTTTAATCTTTTTGTCATCGAGTGGTCTAGTATAACATAATTTGACGATTTTTTCAGGTATCTAGTCAAGAATAATGTAATCGTGGTAACAATTCAGTATCGTCTCGGTCTTCTCGGGTATTTCTGTCTGGACGATGAATATATCAGAGGGAATTTTGGGTTCTGGGATCAGATTATGGCCCTCAAGTTCATCAAGGAGAACATTTCCAAGTTTGGAGGCGATCCCGAGAGGATTACCGTGTTCGGCCAAAGTGCTGGTGGAGCAGCGACTGATCTGTTATCGGTTTCTCCGGTCTCGAGAGGTGAGCGTTCAAAAATATTTTAAAAAATACAAGGTTAAAATTATATTATTTTCAAAAAATTTTATTCTTCATTTTTGTTGACATTCGACTAAAAATTTTTATTATAAAACGAATGCGTCGTATTTTTCTTCGTATTTTACAATTTCAGATCTCTTCCAACGAAAAATTTGCATGGCCGGATCGGCTGAAAATAATTGGGCAGTGACTGATCGAGCAAAGGCCATCGAATATAGCCGAGAAAAGGCCATTGCCTTAGGGTTCAGACCTCAAAACAGTAAGATTTGACCTTGAGATTTTGTTTGTTAACTACTTTAATATCAAATTCTTTTGTCTTTAGACTGGGACGACATTGATAACAAAAAATGTTTGGATTTCCTCAGAAAACAGCCTAGTCAGAAGTTCGGACTAACGATGGTTGGTAAGCAAATGTTTTGTCGATTTAATATTGTACCGTTCAGGTGAAAGAGCGGTTCTAAACGAAATGAGATTACTTTTGGCCCCGGTTTATGACGATGAATTGTTGCCAAGGCCAGTTTGCGAACTGAGGAAGGAAACGAAGCCAAAAGATTCGATCAGTGGACTCTGTGCTCACGAGGGATTACTGTTTTGTAAGTTATATTGCTTTTGCTTGGGAATGGAAATTGCCAAGAACGATGATCCAGGCCTATATACAGGTTTTGTTGAAATTTGGCAAAAAAATTTAGCGATCTACAGTAGTTGACAGCGAATTGTCAATTTTTTTATTTCGTGTGTAACTTCACTCAGACTCAACAGAATTTGATGAGACCAAGAGCGTTTAAGAGGCTGGGAGACACGCTTCAACCTTATGAAATTGTTTTATTTCATATCGGCCACAGGCGTGGTAAAAATTTTAAAACAAATTTTTTTGGGGGACAACGAATTGTCAATTTTTACATTTTGAGGCATAAGATCTCAATAAACCAGCATATAAAGACTAGAATGGAGAGTAATCAGTTGCCAGCAATCATAGAACAGCATACAACGGGTTTCAGCCATTATTATAATCTCCCTCGCTTTCTATAGGTCGGGCACTTGGGGGTGGACCATGTACAATATAATGACAGCTTAGGGGTCTCAAAGGCCGAAATTATTTGATATTATGGTTTTTAATGGAAGAGTATTGCTTATGTGTAAGAAAATTGCACCAGATTACAACTTGGAGGAGCTAAGGGTCAAGCATTCGTCAGATAATATTATTTATGGTCATCTAAACCCTGTGTTACTCCCAAAAATCGATAATTTTCTTTCCGACAGGGGGCATAGGTTCATTTAAACTTTCTTTACGGCCATACTGACGACATTCTACAAATTATTTCATTACCTGTCTCGACGCCCTGAAATTTCCGGGTGAGATTCTGACGGTCCAATTAATTCTTGTGCCACACTAGGGTGGTGAGTATATTAATCATTTTATTGCGCGTCTTCTGCTTTTTTAAACGTTAAAACTAATATTTTTAATGCTTGTAAAAATCTCTAATATGCTAATAAAATGTCTTGGAAGTTGCAGGCTTGAAGAAATAAGAATTTTTCTGGGTGTTGCAAACCCGGCGTGAAAATTCATGTAAAACCAAATATTTCCCTCTGCATACCTCATCCATGAGTGCTGGTACTGACATGTGAAAGGCACTGAATATTTGTCTTTTAGTGTAGTTTGTTTTCAAATATAGAAGGTTTCTCCAACGATCCTCATGCGCGACATTTTTTGATTTTTGATACTCTGACCAACAGCATGAAAGGCCATGATTAACATATTCGAGGTAACAAGGCGCAAGTGTAACCCGTTAGGTGTAATTTTTTGACTTGCCCTAGCGTAGTAAGATGTAACCGCCCATAAAAAACCGGAATATAAGATAATTTCGGCCTAGGAAGCCCCCAGGCTGACATTATATTGTACATGGTCCACCCCCAAGTGCCCGACCTATAGAAAGCGAGGGAGATTATAATAATGGCTGAAACCCGTTGTATGCTGTTCTATGATTGCTGGCAACTGATTACTCTCCATTCTAGTCTTTATATGCTGGTTTATTGAGATCTTATGCCTCAAAATGTAAAAATTGACAATTCGTTGTCCCCCAAAAAAATTTGTTTTAAAATTTTTACCACGCCTGTGGCCGATATGAAATAAAACAATTTCATAAGGTTGAAGCGTGTCTCCCAGCCTCTTAAACGCTCTTGGTCTCATCAAATTCTGTTGAGTCTGAGTGAAGTTACACACGAAATAAAAAAATTGACAATTCGCTGTCAACTACTGTATATTGTTTCTTACCATAATTTTTTATTTCAGTACTCCTAAGTCGTCGGTTTCCCAATCGAAAACTCCTGGAGCTATTCGAAAGCAATGTTATCAAGATGCTGGAACGCCATAATCATCTTCTCCCAGAGTCCCAAAAGATTTATCCAGCCGATTTTAAAGCCTTATATGGAGTGGATGAGGACATGAAAAGGGATAAAAAGAAGGTCCAAGACGCTTGTTTAGCTGTAAGTAATAGAAAAGTGATCCAGGAATAATAATTTTAGATGATGGACGACTTTATAAACAACACTCCCGTCTACAACTACAGTAAAAATATGGTTGATCAAGGGGGGAAATGCTACTTATATCTGTTTGAACACTACAATCCCGCTCTTTTCCATGGATTCAATCTGTTCATGCCGTTTACAGGTAAGGTTCTAGCTCGCTCTTTGCAAAACTAGTTGAGATGTTGCTCAGAGAATTCAAATTTTCCCCTTTTGAGAAGTCTTTTTTCACTTATTCAAATCTGAGAGTTCAATTTTGAGCTCCTGTTGGAAAATTCCAAGATTTCCTAAAGCTGAACCATTTTCTCTAAACATCTCATCGTAAAAAATTATATTTGAACCGATTGCTTTCAGCCGCCACCCACTGCACCGAGCTCGCCTATCTATTTGATGTAAATATTCTCCTGAAGCCTTGGAAACGCTCAAAAGAGGACATAAAAGTCCGAAACCTGATCACCACAATGTGGACCAACTTTGCCAAATATGGAAACCCGAACTCGGTTCGATTCGACTTTAATTGGGCTCCCGCGACCAAAGAGTCGCTCGGAAAACACCTGGTGATAAAAGAGAAGCCAGAGATGAGACTGGAATACGACTTCGAGGAACGGGTCAAGAAGTTGTCGCCATCTTTCATGGCGTATAATAAGGAGCTGTATTCGGCTTCATGTCTGTGAAAATTGTTGTTGATGTACATAGAATAAATATATACGAATATTATTGGCTAAAAATTACCCAATAACCGAAATGTTAGGTAATTCGGAGATCTAATGTAACGTCAGAAATGTTTCTTATGATGTAAGGAGTTCAAAATGTCATGTCAGAGCTTGCAAAATCGCTTGCAACAACATCAATTGCAATTTGACATTTTGTTTTTTTTTTGTCATTCCGTAGCTTTACAAAAAATTTGGCCGGCAAAATCAGAAAAGTTTTTTTTTGTTCTTGGTCGGTTTTGGTCCAGATTCGACGGAAGATGGTGAGATTTTTTTCAGATTGTACTAGAATTGTCCCTTCTGATATTTCTGCGAAATTTTTCAGCGGATTCCACCAAAAAATTTGAATTTTAATACCTAAAATATTATTTTAGTCCAAAAAAATCGCAGTCTTTTGTTGCGGCTAATGATCAGAGTAATTTTTGTGTGAAAATTGATTTGTAGGAAATAAGATCCTAAATCAGCCATCTGCAAGCAGATTTATTTATATTTTTTATCAAAATTTGATATTTTACAGTACTTTGCGCTGTACGTTCTAGAACTAATATTTTCCTTTTTTGGATTACCTCCGGTACCCAAATCAAAGAGCTTTCCCCTTTCTCAAGCCCGAAAGTTTCTGCGAGGCATGCGGATATTCAAAAAATGCTCAAAAATGAGAATTTCTGCCCAGCCCGCGTCGTTTTCTTATCCATTTTTCTGTCAATCCCCGTTTATAATCCCCGTCCTCCGTCAGATCGTTACCAAATCATTCAACGTAAAGTTACAGCTTCGGTTCGGTCCTCATTTTCCACAACTACTCGCAATGGACAAGACTGTCAGCTCGAACATCGATCCCAACATGAGCTTGACCAAGATGGATGGGGTTTCTGATGCCCCTGATGCCTCCACCAGCATGGGATATCAATACCATCCCAACCCACTGCTCTACCAACAAGCCATGGCCTATGGACAGCCCATGTTCTATCCGTATGCACCTGGGTTCCCATATGTAAGTGTGGATTATATTGTAGTAGGGATGGAGGTGGTTTTGGGTTGAGAAACTTAATTTGTTGATTATTTTTTGGGTGATCTAGTATACCAGAAGATTTTAAATGTTGTTTGAGAGGTTGTCAAAAATTTTAGAGGGTTGCGACTTTGATTTTTTTCGAAAAATTGATTTGTTTGGTTTTTGTTTTGGTGGCCTACTGTAATGTAATTTTTTGTGGTTTTTTGAGTTGATCGGGTCTTCTTGTTGATTTTGAAAGCCAGTAGATAGCTTCTTAGATAATTAAGACTTAAAAAAATGTTCAAAGGTATAATTTTTTTGATGGTCTTGTATAATGTTAATTTTTTTTCCATTCCAGGAAGTCCCTCAAAGCCTAATCAACTCCAACTTGAACAACAGTGTTTCTTCTCCCAAATCGTCATCTCCGACCGATAATTCTGAAGAATCCAATTCTCCACCAGCCACCAAAACCCGGAAGATTGTTGTGAACCGTCTAACGAAGGTATTCAATACCGAAGAAGAGAAGAAACTGTATGAAGAGCGTCGAGCCAAGAACAATGCAGCAGCCAGAGAATCGCGGAAACGTCGAGCTACCCGCGAAAGTATGAAGGAAGCTGAGAATGAGCAGTTGAAACAGACAATCCTGGAGTTGCAAGGGAAATTAGCCGAAGCCAAGGCCGAATTAAAAGTGATGAGGCTGAAGGTTGGAGAGAGCCTCACATTCTGAAGTCATACATCTTACAAGGTTGTTCATTATTCATAGTTTTTTAGCTTTACACATATCCGATACTCATTTTTTAGCGATTGTCTTTCATTTTAATAAATTAGTTAATAAAAAGTGATTGAATTTTGGATAGATACAGTAATTGTAAGGTTAGAAAGACTAGATTTTAACTTCGAGGCTTTGAATCAGTTGCTGGATTGGCGTTTTATTTTTAAATTAAAATAGTTAATTTAGAAATTCTATGCCTTAACAGATTGCTGGAGGGTTGAATCTTTAATTATTTTCAAATTTTGTTTAAAATCTTTATCTCTTCCACATAAATCTACGAAAATTTAAGTTTATGCGTTGCAAAGACCGCCAAGAAATTCATCGATGTTTTGCAGACGAGAGAGTATGGGAAATGGAGAGGCGGGCAGAGCAATTATGTTGTTGAGAGTGTGTCCGAAATTTGCGCGGGAAAAATTTTTTTTTTTTTGTTGAAACATCGTAATCCCACTCCTCGACAGCGCAACAAATTTTTATTGCTTCCTGAATTTTCAGTTCCAAATCTCAAAAAATCACTTAAAACTTTATTATACATTTTCATCGTAATCAAAATACGTAAAAGCAGTCAACAAAGAAAAACAATGCACATAATTTTCGAGACGTTCTTATGATTTCCCTTCAGAAAGTTCGTTCTCTGAATGAATCGACAAGTGAATGCTCTCCTCCTTGACGGATTTGTTCAGCAGAGGAGATCGGTTTTCTTCCTGGCCTCGTTTCAGACAGGCCAAATAAATGACGGCGAAAATAAAAGCGACTAGACAAAACACTAAGATTACCCAAACAAGGAAATTCCAGAAAGAAACGAGGCCCTCGTCGATCGAATCGTCGGTGGAGTAGTCCAGCTCGTGGTTGAAAAGGCTGACTGTGGCCTGCAAATGGTGTGTTGGGAAGGGTAACATAGTAAAAAATTTTTGTAACAGTAAAAAAATTTTTATTTTACTTGGTGGACTAGGTAAAACAAGCTAAAAAAAGGCCCCAAGAAAACTGTTAAATGGGCACAGCTACCGTTTCAGAATTCTCAGACAGCTTGATGACTAATGGAATTGGTAAACTAAGGTCAGATTCGGTCATAAAACGGTTTGAAAATGATACTGTCGCTTTTAAAAATACCACAAAGGCATGAATATCATGACATTAAAAATTATTTTATGACAGGAAAGATTATATTGTACTTGATGACTAATAATGCGCAAAGTAAAATTAGGCCAAAATAGACCACAGAGCGCTTTGAAACAGTTTCTGCTAGATGTCAGGCCTACTTTTAGTACCAAGCAAAACTTTAGGACTTTATTTTTTATTATATATTACACTAGACGGCATAACGTTTTACTGAACCTTACCTGGAACCCATAATTATCCGGCACTCCTCTCCCAGCGACGAATCTGATCCCGATCCGTGGCCCCGTTGCTTTATACTCGCATTCCTCCCGTTTATGGCATTCAGCCGAGGCATTATCACTTCGAAAATTCCTCAAAAACTTTTCCTCCTCCAAATCTTTGCTGTCGTAAAATCTAATGGAGTCTCTTCGAAGGCGGAGGTCGACTTTTCGAGTATAAAATCGAATAACAGAAGTGTTGGACGGAGCCTCGATGATCCACAAACAATCAATGTTACCACAATAAGGTCGGGGATAATCGGGGGAAAAGATTTGACGCTGGGGTTCGAAGGCATTCAGACGGATGTGGCGGACGGAGCAGGAACATAGCGATAGTACTGAAAACAAAGTCGTATTTTAGCGACCAATAGTTTTTTTAGACAATAAGAAATAAAAATTGTTACGGTAATGTTGTTTTCCAAATTTTCCGAAAATCCCTTCAATTTAAGGCCATTGTGTTGGCTTTTGGCGTTCGGCCAATGCCATTTTGACTTTAGATTGGATTATCGACAAGAGGAAAAGGCGATAAACACTCGGAGGATTCGAAAATGGCATAAGTTCCGGAGATATCTTTAGAGAAATGGCAAAAGTTCCGGGGATGAAATAAAAATTTGCCAAAAAACAATATTACGATACGTTTTTTCTCCGCATTGTTCTATTGCAACCTGAGAAGTTTATTTTTTTCTATGAAACTTTTGGCAACCCAGAATTGTGGCAATTATACTCAAAGAACAATATTACTGAGCCCTCCCGATGACTGTCCCATCTTACTCACCCCACCAAACAACCCATCACCATCTAAATTGCACTCACCTGACCAGACAGAGTCCAGAAGGACGAGCAACGACAGACCCGAGAGTCTCATTCAGGACCTGAGGGCATCTCTTTTCATTCGATTATTCCTCCACCCTCTCTCAATCACGCAATTCGCCGCTGAAAGTATTTGAAAACAACATGCCCGAAAAAAGTAGTTTGGCCTTTTCTGGAGCCATCTTATCGATGAGACATCAGGCCCCTCCCGAATATTACAAAGCCCTTTTTCGGAGATTTTTTATTTAATTTTCGGCCAAACAAAAAAACGAAAGATTGACCTGAACTTTTTCGGCGAATGAAACATCAATAATTGTGGACCTTGAGGGGAAATGAGGGAAATGTCATCCAAAATGGGAGAATATCGCGAAAACAATAAAAGTTACGGAAAAAAATGCATTACAAAAGTAAAAAAGTAATGGAAAGTGATTTAAATCATAATATAATCTAAAAAAATGGCTAGCAGAATATAAAAAAGCTTCTAAAAATATAATTCTGCTGCCAAAAATAGGCAGTACTACTGGTAGAAGCGTTCAGAATTGCTTCTTTGTCATAGTAAAGTCACTTTTTGAAAGCTTATAATCAGATTACAAAAGATTATCCTAAAAAATGCTGAACTCTCTCCCTTGTATAAGATGATTTATACATTCAAAAGACCGCGACCACCCATTTTCAATTCTATAAAAGCTTCCTGCAATTGTGCAACTTTGTTGATTGCTTTATGTTTCTCTAGCAGTTAGTCACAATGAAGGAATGCCTCAGGGAATTAATGAATATTTGGATGAGCAATGGGAAATCGAGCATGGAAAAGATGGCTAGGAGATTTACTGAGGGCTATTTTAAAAAATGTGCGGAAATGGAAAGGATATTGTAGTAGACATAATAGATGACTTGTTCAGAGGGCTAGCGCTCATCTCTTGCATTTGACATACCAAGCAAGGATTGTTCCAAAAATTCGTGTCCGATATAACAAAACCCGTCCAAAACTTCGTAAAAAAAAATCTTTGCAACCCTTCTCGCAAAAAATATAAAAATATTTTCCCCTCCAGAATTTCGAATTTCACGTGTAATTTAAGGCGCTGAAAGGGAGGGAATGTATATTTATCTATTATGCTGAAGGTGTTTTGTGTGTTGACCAACACACTCAAGAGCGGCCAGCCTTTTTACCCGACAATACAAACAAATGCCCGGAGGGGCTTTATCAGGGATTATTCTCAGTCGCATATGCAATCCGACAATCGAATCGGAAACTTTTTATTGGTTTAGCAATATAAGGAAAGTACAATTTAAAATGTGAGTAAATAAAAGATCAAGTGCAAAGCGAGTTCGAAAAAGATCAAATTGTTTGTTGAAAAGTTCGAAAAGTTTTGCTTTAACTCCGGTTTTGGATGACACACTGTATTACACACAAAAAAGAGGTGGATTCTTTTGGAAAAGAGGTAATAGAAGCCATCAAAAAGTTCAGACTAGAGCTGTCAGCGCATTGTTTACCTCTAAATGACGTTAGATTGCTGCCACACTGAAGGTTATTGTTATAGGCTCCAACTAAATTTGTTACAGTAACGTTTTCAGTTCTGAAAACAACGATTTTGAAGAGGAAATCACTGAAAATAGTATAAAACAGCCCCTAATCGCCTTTAAAATTGATCCCAACTCCGGCCTGATTCCTCTCGTTCGATGGCGACAGTCAGCGCCTCAGGTCAGAGGTCAGGAATGTTGCTGCGGAGGCCGCGAAAAAAGTTGGGTAAGCTGCTCGAGACGCCTTTCTTTCTATGTTCGGATTACTTTTTTGTTCGCCCCGCGATTGATACCAACCTCAACAAAAAACCCGTCTCAAATTACATTAAATAGATTCTCAGGCCCGAAGACACGTTAATAATGTACGTCAGATCTTTGCGGAACATTAGGAAAATAAAACACAGCATCAGCTTTATATTATACATGACAAAAGAGATGAATTTTAAATTAAACTTTGCAAAAATGTCTAATCAAACCGCACACAGAGACTAAAATGTTGTTACTACTGACAAATCGCTAACGGTTTGCAATTTGTAAACTCAATTGGTTTCCCTACTGCTCGGAAATTTATGATTTCGGTAATAAAACGACCACTTTACAGCTACTGATAAGAAGACTCCAGCAAACTTTTTTGGCTATTAAGAAAGTAATTTTGCAACTTTAAAGCTACTATCGACAATTTTATGAATTTTAGGACCATAAAAGCAGTAAATCGGAATTTTTAAGCTTTGGTAGATCTAATCAAATTACAATATTATTCATGATGTCGTGGTCGGCATTGAAGGTGTGCTTTGTAATTATTATGGTGCGTAAAGTCCTATTTTAAAACTCCTCCTCTAGCTCTGACGTTACTCATGAGATTCCCGTTCAAATCTGGGTTTTTCGCCAAAAAGAGAAACTTGACCCATTTCTCGTCTGGGGAAACACTTGACCCAAAGGCGCGTGAAATTTATTTTTGCAAAATTATTTTTGGTCGTTCTTTTAAAAATTTTCCGGGATTGATTCTCTCCTTCTTCAACGCCAATATGCCGTCTCCAGAGCAGGAGAAATTGTTAAAACAGTTCTTGGAGTGCTCGGTATGTTACAATTCTATGAAAGATCCGAGAATGTTGCCTTGTGGCCATCGGTATTGCTTCAAATGCTGTCAAAGTTGTTGTGAAAACGATGGTGGAAACACATTATTATGTCCAGAATGTCGAAGCAGGTGGTCTATGAAGGATTTGATCAAGGATTATTCGCTGCAAAGTTAGTTACTTTACTTGACTTTAGTTATACTATGCTTGGTATATTTTTTGAGGTTTTTATGTTTAAAAATTTAGGTTTCGTGGAGAAGGTTGAGAAAATGACAACAAAAAGTGATCCAGAGGAGCAAGAGGAACCACGGGTGAAGTGCAGTCTATGCAAAGGAGGAATTCCCCCAGGAAAGGTGTATTGCTGTCCAAAATGTCCAGTTCATGATGCCGAATTAGTTGTAAGTCTTATTTTGTGTTCGTTTATTTGAATTTAGGTTGTAAAATATGTAAGGGATTATTTTACCTCCATCTTTGACTATTGTATTACCTTTAACACCTATTTCGGTTACAACAATACCTAAAATTCCCCTGATTTTCGATTAAATTAATTTTAATGCTAATATTGTTTGTTTCAGGACAAGCTATGTTCAGACTGCATCATCAGACACCACCAACACCACGAATATCAGAACAGGACCGATGCCCAGATTATCTCCATAAAGAACCTCGAGCTGGCCAATGCGGATCTAACAGGCGTTGTGGAGCGCTTGAAGCTTCACGAAAGTTATTGTCAAGGTCGAGAACAAGACTTGCAATTAGTAAGTCCGATAAATCATTCGCTTTTTAAACTTTTCGACTTTAGGTACCTAGTGTAACATAATTATTTTTAGCTGATCGCCACGCTCAAAGAACGATGCGAAGCCTCCAAGGAGATTATTCAAGATGAGTTCCAAGTCGGGTATGTGGAGAAGATCGATGTATTCAACAAATGTGTCCACGATATTCGAAAAGAAATGGCCGAGTTCTTTGATGAGACGGAGGAAAAGTGGAATCAACTGTTCACGAAGACGCTTAATATGGTTTCATCAAATTTCGGAGCGATCGAAGGACTAGCCCAAGTGTCCACAGGCCAGCCGTCATCATCTGGAACAGCACGGTCACAATCTCCCAATCTCGGGGGACCCCAGAATGTGTAAGTTTGACATAAATATTTAGTAATATTTTGTTTGGAAAATACGACTATTTACCTGATCTCTTTCAGATTTACTCCCAGCACAACTCCCAACCGAATCTCATTTGGGTCCAAAATGTATCAAAAGTCCCGGAAAAGAGGCACAATCTTGAATTAGACCACCAACTAAAGTTATATCGTTTTACCTGAAAGGTTTATAAATAAAGTTACTTAATTGCTGATGACTCATCTTCTTCATATTTGTAGTGTCAAAAAAGTGATTTTTATATCTTTTCTGTCGTTTTTATATTATACTAGATATTAGTCGGATCGGATGGATGACTATGAGGTCCGAAGGAATATCTGGGAATCCACCATCCCCATCGAATTCAGACTTGGTCCGGATATTGTGCATTCGGTGAAACCTACTTTTGTAAGTTTTACCTTTATTTTTTGATGCAGATTATGTCGCTTTAGCATCCAAAAAATATTTTTTAGTTAATGTTGAAACGGGTCGATTATTTTCCTTTGGTCATGGATAAAGTCTTACAAAATTTTACGAATATCAGTAGCACTGTCCGGGAAATGGAGGATATCTGGCTGGAATGCAATGGAAAACCTCTTAAGTGGTGAGTCAGTCTAAAGTAAGATGATTTTTTTGTTTTTCTCTAGGCATTATCCTGTTGGCGTCCTTTATGATCTACACTCAGGCCCAGAACAGCTTCCATGGACTGTGACGGTCAGATTAAAGGTAAGGTTGGCTTGCAACGTCTCTATTTTTCGATTTTTTCTAGGGCTTTCCGGATGATCTCGTTCGGAAAGAGGAAATGAGGAATCTATTTCTCCAGACGATAAAAGAAGCCGATCAACTGAAGCATCGAGGGAATATTATATCAGAGATGAAGGCCGACGAGCACTCGCGTCTTTTCGAGTCCATTTCCCAAGGTATTTTTAATAATTTTTGATTTTTTTTTGGCTTCTTTATGACCCATATGCCCTTACTTTTTCTCATGAAATATGAGATTACGTGAAGAACATCTGGCACTATAAATTTTGTTGATTTACAGGGCGATTCGACGATTTTTGGTCGATAAATTCGAGATTGATGGATGAAAATATGTTTAATCTTCCGATTAAAGTTTATTTGGTAAGTGTTTAATCTAATAATGTTATTTTTAATCTACTTCCAGCCTAATCAAACGATGAAACAACTCCTTATTGGTATAAAAAACGAAGAGGATGAAGAAAACACCCTCCAAAATGTAATATCAGCGGCTTCGGAAGGTAAAGAAGAAGATATTCAAATAATTTCTCATGGGGTACCCCTCCCACATCACACTCCACTCCTTTGGCTCGCCAGAAACATGTCTTATCCGGACAATTTCATCCATCTCATCTTCAAATCTAAATAATTCAGAGATTTTTTTGTAAAATTTAGTCATCATTATATTGTACGGTAAATTATTTTAATTATTAAAAATAGTGTGCTTTTTGGTCTCATGCTTTCGTAAAATGGCTAATAAATCTATTTTTTAGCCTCCAAGTGATGAGCAAATCATCTTCTTGCAGCCTCCGGACAGCCGCCAGATCTGCGGCTTTTCTTTGGCCAAGGTCAACCAAAGATTGAAGAGGCCTAGGAGCTAAGGAACTTAGGGAAGATTGAGTCATAGATTAGTTTTCCGGAGGCCTTAAAATGCAAAAAGCCATAAATTTCTAGTAAAAATTTCAGAATCTGTTGATCAAGGTCATCATTATCGTCAGTTTTTTATTCAAAAATATATAAAATTCATGCAGATCTGATTTTAAGTCCTGAAAAAATAAGAGTTGTGGAACGTCCTCGAATTATTCTTCTCATGTCCAAAGAATTTCAAAATTTAAAAGTTTGGTCAAAAATTGCAAAATCCACGCCTACTTCAATATCAGCAGACGCCCCTCCGCCCTTTCCCTGACCTCAAATCCATGGAAAAGTGATAAAAACTGCGAATCGGAACATGTTTCCACGTATTTTAATTAATAGCCGCCCTCTTCCGTCTGTGGACCGAGAACCAAAGAGCAGCCGCCCTCAGGGCAAATCGCTCCTTTTATCAGTTCTTTTTGGCATCTCCTCAGGGCACCGATCGGTCTCAGTCGGAAAAACTGGCTGGATGTGAGGTCAGAAAGCGAGATGAGCAGGCTTATTCTGGTGCTGGCCGTCGTATCTTTGACAGTTTATGGGCAGAATGGTCGAAGAACAGAGGTAGGGTGGTGATTTATGTTATTGTTGATGTAATGAGTAAATTTCTGATGGCATCTTTTGATTATTTGCAAAGAAATATTCCGAGAGGTATTTTTGCATACTTTAAACCCAAAAGAACAGTGATTTAGACATTCATTTCCTTTTAATGATTTTTTTTCCATCAGACCTAGTATAATACCAAAATTTTCAGCCCAATTCGTTCAGCAAGTACGTTGAGTACGCTGAGACACCATTCCGTCGTCCTTCCTACTTCTCCGTCCCCTTCAGAGCCCCACCTTTATACAATCTGAACTACATTTCCAATGACATGTTCGCCCATTTAATCCGAGAGCACATGCGACATCAGCAGCGTTTAAGATTGGCCCAACTACAACAGCAGCAAGAACAACAGAATCGTTTTGGAGATGAGCCAATATTAAAGGGGGTTTCTCATATAACGGAGTTGCGACAGACCCCCTTCAGAAGATGGTCACATAATTCGACAGCCATGACTTATGAAGAGAAAAGGAAATTGTGGAAAGATGGGATAAAAAAGAAGCTCAGAGATGGGAAGATACCGGCAAGACAAGTGGGAGACGGACGTAATCAACAACAGATTGATGGGATTAACACAGCTGGAAGATATTACATTACTTATAGTCCCACAAACAGGGTCTACCAAGTGTCAAGAAGACCTCCACCGTTGGTTACGAGCAGTGGGTCGGAGGGAGTGATGTGAGTTCTACATTTTACATGGTTTTTAGGAAATGGGATACTTGTAAAATTCGGGCCCTAATTTTTCTACTTCTTACCGTCATCTTTAAACTGAGATTTTGATGGTATTTTTATGGTATTTTTTTGGATCGTTAATCTCTAAAAGCCCAGAAATTAACCTCTGCACCTTGATTCTTACATTGTTAGTTGCAAATTTATCACTCTTTAATAATTTTTATATTTTCATGCCTTCCAGAGACACAACAACAAGCACCACTACTTCCACCACAACTACAACCACACCTCCCCCTATTGTTATTACTCATACCGCCGAACCAGTGGACCGGGGATTCTCCGAGACCATCAAAGTCAAAGCAACCAAGCCAAAAGTTCCAGAAGTCCCGGCAAAACAAATGCTTAACCTTGATTATTATGATGATGACTTTGAGGATGATGAAGAAACTACTACCACAACTACTACGACTACTACTACAACAACTACTACCACAATTCCGACGACTACAACTACTACAACGACTACACCAAGACCACCGAGTTTGGTTTATCCCGTCTCAACGAGATGTAAGTGATATTGCAAAGGCAATTGTAGGAAATTTTAATTTTTTTCTACGGTATTTTGAGATTCTTTAAAGCAAAGTTTTTGAACGAAAATTGTATAAAAAATTGATGCACAGTGTAATTTTTTTACATTTTTTTGGAGGTTTTGCAATTTTATTTTTTTTGTTACAGTACCCGTTCCCTACGGTCGCTCCGATCCCCGTCAGCCCCCTCCGACCACTCCTTCTCCAACTCCCCCTCCAGTGAAAGGAAAGTCCTTGTTCGATATGGACGATGATTACGATGATGAAGATGAGGAAGAAGATGACGACCAATTCTTTTTCTTCAAACCCAAAGGCTTCGAACCGCCAGAAGATCCCTTCAAAATTGTGGTTCATGACCCGAAACGCAAAAGAACTTGAGAATTTCTCGAATATTTATTATGGGTATCTGATTTCCGAATAAATTCTTTGTGATCATAAAGCTTTGTATTAGCTGTAGCAAAATTCATTCAAATTGCAATTTTGAGATTTTCAAAAAAAAAATTAATTTCCTATCGACTAAAGACAAAAAGTCAATTTATTTCCGGGAGTAAAACTACCAATAAGCCATGGAAATTGATGCCTACTTATTTTTAGTAGTCAATAATATTGACTACTTATGGTACTTTGCCACAGAATCGATACAAACCCCTTCGGAGGTAGAACCAACGAGTTTCTTGCGGCGGATTGACTATGGAAAATGAGTAGACGGTCAGGGAAAAATCGTCGTTTTTCGGCTGTTTCTTCTCTCTACAATAATTTTTTTTTGGGAACCAAAAATCATCAAAATATTTTTTTCTTTTTTAAAATTTTTATGGCAATATCAAAAATACTTGTTAATGGTAGTAATTTTTTACCACTTTTTGCCTAATTGTTATTCTTTTTTTATGTTATACTAGCTCTCGACAATTGCACTTCCAAAAAAAACTCTTAAAATCCCGGTCAAACCTCTCTTTTTTCTCGTCTTGTACCTCCAAAATTACCACCTATACTCTCTCCCATTCCTATGTCACATTATCGTCTCAGACAAACCCACGAGAAATACATCAACCGCTCCAAACATCTTGGAGTTCTTTTCTTGAAAATGTACAGGAATTGTGTTCATGCTGAACATACTCGGGCCGTTCATGATCGCCATGAGGGTCCTTTCGAGAAATTTATCGCTGATAATATGCATCTACACTACATATTCTTACTGTATTTTGCTCTTGGATTGCTTTTCGCTTGGCTTTTCACGGAGTTGATCATGATGAAAGAGTGAGTTTTGAGACAATTTTTCTTCATAGGCCATGAATAAATTGTCAAAAATTTTAAGTCATGTTTTTCAGGGGCATCCATAATACTGGGTTTCTCGACTCTAGGGATGAACGAAACATGACAACTTTTTTCACAAACTTTTGCTATATCACTTATAAAATATTCGTTACAATTAGTAGCCAAACTCCTCAATTTATCGCCCATTTTTCAGCCATTTTGCCTTCCTCACATTCATCGCCCTTCTTCTTGGCTATATAGTCATTGTAATTTTGCTGAATGTTTGGTGTTTTACTGAGCGAACACAGTATGGATCAGGCCCAGAAGGAGGCCAACAAAGCCCACATCCAACGTCAAGAAGTACCAATAATCAAGTTGTTCCGATCAAGCATAAAACTGCGACAACGGCGACCTATGGAAGATAAAAGAAGGACAATTGATTTTTTTTACATTTTTATGTTGCTTTATATCTGTTAAAAGTCTTTCAGTAGTAGTAGTTGAATCAATTTTTTCAAAAAAATGTAAAAATAAATGTTTATTATGGTATAATTTTACAAGTTATTTAAAGTAATTTTGAGTGTAGTAAATTGCAAATTGAAGTTTCAATTCGACTAAGATGGCCTTTGTTTACTCGTATCTTCATTCCACAACATTATCCCAATAACTTTTCACCTTTGTTTTGCCGGTAATCAAATCCTCCATTTCCCTCTCCTCCCCACTCAAATCTCATCTCGAACAGGCGTCCAGGCCATCCCTCCTTTGACAGTTTCTTTTATTGTAATCCGACGCTCTCATCCATCGTATTTCCCCGCTTCTCTCGGATATTTTTTATTGGCGGGAAATCGGGGCCGTGGAGGTGGGTCGAGGACGCTGAAAACACGGCATTAACCAGCGATCGGCCCCTTGCCGAGTCGAGCGCCAAAATATTTTTCCGCTGACCGGCGTCCAAATTTTTTGGCGCGCTCGGGAATATAGAAATTAGGCCGAGAAAATGGCGGGAACGGAGGGATTAGGAGCGTTGGGCAAGGAGCCAAAGAAACGGAGTTCGAGGTCAGAATAGAAATGTAAACCATTTAGAGCAAGCAAATAATGTTAAAAGCAAAAAGAAAAAAAACGAAAAAAGTGTAAATGACTTCAAAAAATGTATATAAATTGACAATAAATAGCGCAAATGGGACAAAATAAATTATTCAAGTTGTCTTAAAACGAATTTTCTGCTACATTAAAAATTACTAACTTACATTAGTTTTTAATCTACTACAAGGACTTCTCAAATTTGCAACTTTGAAAAAAATTTAAGAATTTTTTTTTACTAGTCCCAAAATGTTGATCTTATTCCTGTAACTGGCCCAAATATTTTATACAAAATATAACCATTTTTTTACTCTACTAAAATTGCCAAATTGACAACTGTTGCATTTTTTTTTGCAACTTTGTGCCACCAGCTCTCCATTTTCCCATTCATGTTGTACAACTCGCCCTGACCTATTAGGTCAAACATTTACCCGTTGCGTAATCGCTTTTATCTCCAAAAATCTCAATGTCAAAAACCCCCGCAATTTTGTTCTGTGCGATAAAATTACGTCTTTTACACAAACAAGCCAAAAAATGTTAGATGAAATAGCGAAAAAAATGTTTATTAGCAAGGCAAAATAAATGTGTAGTAACTGGTGATAACAAAATTTTAAACCAATTCAAAAGCTATTACTAAATAGTGAGCTTGAGCCATTGTTATTGCGTAGAAAGAAGTAAAAGTATTGTGAAACAGCAAAAAAAAATGTTAGCAAGGCCTGACAGTTTTTTCAAGATGTTATCACAACATTTGAGGTATCTTGAAAAAAATTATAACGGATTTGTCCTCGTTTTGTACATAGTCACGATCACAGTTGTGCTCTTAGAACTTGCTTCAACTCCTATCAAATGCAGCAGGAACTTTCGGACCGGTCGGAAAACGTGGCCTCTCAGTTTGGTCGAAGTTGCCAAAAGTAAAATCGCCGGTGCCAGAGTCTCCAGATCACAGAAATACGGGTATTGAGCAGTTATCCACAGCATCCAAGGTGCTCCATTCACATATCCGCAATAAACGTAGATGCATTGCTCCGCCACCAGTAAAACATGGCATCCAAATAAGGCGATTGTAAAGACAAAAAGGCGGGTTTGAGTGTCTTGCGTCACTTTGGCTACTTTTTGGCGAAATGCAAGGTACAATAAACTGGTCAGATTGACCAGGAATGTCAGTGAAGCTGTGATGAGGAAGAAGGTCAGGGAACGGAGGCGCATTGAGAGCTGAAATAAAAAAAAATGTTGTCATATTGTACTTGCCTGATCATTACTTTTCGGATTTTTGCTTTCATTTCAATTTTTTGTATCGTATTATTTTTTTCTTTCCCAATCATTTCTTTCTTCATAATGTATAAACAACACTTTAACTTATTCTATTTTCTTCCATAATTACTGATTTTGAAGATATCATAATCTAAACTTATCATCTCCAATCTTATCATCCTTTTATAAGTATCCACAAACCCCACAAAAGTCGACTAACCCAAATTACAGTAACCCTTGGCTGATTTAGAGCCCCGGTCACATGTCCCCCAGCCCCTCTCGGTCATGCTTCGGACCCTCGAGAGGAGAAATAAAACATTTCCCAGAGAAGTCTCCGCCAAATTCCCTCCAAATTCGTCATCAAAATCACCGATTCATCGACGAATTGGCGTGCGCATTCCATTGGTTAGGCCTTGTAAATGTTATGTGCAAATCTCATTACATATGCACCAATGCAACGCCAACTGAGCATTGGTTGTAGAAGGTCGAAAAGGGAATATCGATTGGTTTTGAGGCGGCATTGGAATCGAAAACAACCCAACAGAGCCCAAAAAGTACACAAAAACAAGTCAAAAACGGTGAAAAACAGTCTACAGTAACTTCCTACACAATTCTATGTAATATTGTACATGCAACTTTACATCTGTGGATGTAAATGGCTCATGTTGAGTATAGCTTTTGTCCCCCTCTCCTCCATCTCTCTCCCTTTTTCCCGCTGCACGGAAGAAACTTTAGGGCTCAAATTAACGACTTTGCCGGCATCAAAAAATTCTGAAAATTACATCAAAAAATCGGAAATTACTGTAGCAACATATCGATACAACTTTTACATCCCTTACATCAATTGTAACTCGATAAAACGCCATGTTTGTTCTTCCACTCAACTATAATTTCGACGCTTTCGCTGCTTTTCAGGGCGTGACGCCTTTACTTTCCGGTGTTGTAACTTGCGCCTAACTTTACACCAAGAGCTGTAATATACCCCGTCTGAACCGCTACAACATTGTCTTTCGAATGGTATAACTTCCATTATTCAAAGTGCTTTACTTTCCGCAATAATCACATCTTTATGTTTTGAATGATACTAGCAGTGTAGTTGGTCGGGATGACTTTTTGATCTCTATCAAGTGAACATGACCTTATATGTATATCAATATGTACTTCAATCGAAAGCTCAAGGACCTGGTAACAAATTCTTCCCACAACTTGGTAAAATTTTTTACACTTTTAAATTGAAACGCGATGATAAACAACACCTACTATGCATCAAAAACATAATTTTGCCTTTCTCTGTTTACTGTAACTTTACTAGTGGGTTTGAAGTAGCCGAATTGGACTTCAAACGAAACTAGAGGTTATTGGCTAACCGATGGTGTAAATGGTGCATGTGGTTCAATAGGTGCGGACCGCGAAATCGGCGGTTTTCGGCTGCCCACTCCGTCCTTCGTCCGTTCTCTTTTGGTGGAAAAAGAGGCGGGCTTTGGAGGTCCACTCGCGGTTGAGGCGCCCGATATAAAAGCGCATTAACGCGCTGCAAGCACCATTTTGCATCACTGCAATTCTTCGCTACAACTCTCGCTAGCCACGATGTCTGACTCAGCTGCTCCAGTTGCCGCTCCAGCCTCGCCGAAGGCCCCAGCCTCCCCCAAGGCCAGCCCTAAGGCCAAGAAGGTCGCCAAGGCCCCCAAAGCCAAGGCAGCCGCCAAGCCCAAGACCCCCGCCAACCATCCTACCTACATCGACATGATCAAGAAGGCCATCACTGAGCTCAAGGAGAAGAAGGGATCCAGCCGTGCCGCCATCTTGAAGTACATCCTCCAACACTACAAAGTCGGAAGCAACATTGTTGCGGTAAGTATCGGGGGGTAATGGGATCATCTGGCCGAAAGCATTAGTATCATAGCCTTCATATTAGAGACTTCTTCTAGTCGTATCGATATTGCAATTGCTTCACTATTACTTAGTTTACTTATTGAGCTTTTCTTTCAGATTAACGCTCATCTCCGCCAAGGATTGAAGCGTGGAGTTACCACTGGTGCCTTGAAGCAGACCAAGGGAGTTGGTGCCTCCGGATCCTTCCGTCTGGCTGACTCTGCCCCCAAGCCAAAGAAGGCGCCCAAGGCCAAGAAGCCAGCTGCCGCCAAGAAAGCCCCAGCCTCCCCCAAGCCCAAGAAGGCCGCCGTTAAGAAAGCCGCCAAGCCAAAGAGCCCAGCCAAGGCTAAGGCCCCCAAGGCCAAGAAACCAGCCGCCGCTGCCAAGCCCAAGAGCCCCGCCAAGAAGGCCGCGCCCAAAAAGGCCGTCGTCAAGAAATCGCCTGCGAAAAAGGCCGCTCCCAAGAAGAAGGCCGCCCCTAAGGCCAAAGCCTAAGTGTCCTTATAATAAGTAATAATGTAACTTTGTCTTTTCACTTTTTCTTCATAGTTATGTTAGTTCTGTACATACGAATGACCTCTGAAGGGACTTGATGTCTCGATTGATCTCTGTTGTAAATGCAATTCAAAGACCAATGAATATTTATATTGTTCAGATGTGGGACAATCTATTCGTTTATAGTTGATGCTCTTAAAGTATTGAAGTTGAGATAGGGATAGTCGAGAAATGGATTGATTAAGCTCTTCCTTGTGAGAAGATGCGATATGTATTACATAGAAAAGGCAAGACTTCCTGATAGAAAAGGAAATAGACGAGAATAACTCAATAATTCGACATCATCTGATCGTTATGTTGTCATAGGCAGGCTTAAGGCAGATTACCGTAATTTACAATTGCTTTCGCTTTCTCGGCACGGGTTCTTGTTTCTCGAAGAAGCCGAGAGACCAGGCAACTGTAAAATCAACTTTTAATCGGCTCAAAGCGAAACAATCCGCTTATTCGTACAAGGAAATACAGCCTTATTATCCTTACCATATCCTCCGAAGCCGATCAGCGCAATTATGATCAGACCGACAGCTAGGAATCCAGTCATTTCTCGGAATAAATAACAGCGCAGTGATTAAGAATTTGAATCGTGGAAGGGGGAAGCAGCGATTCTTGGGGGTTTTGAAGCGGGAAAAAGGGAAAAGGTGCGGTTGAATGGAGAAGATGGGGCGATGGTAATTAACAGAGGAACTGTGCAATGTAAAATAGGGAAAGATTGAAGATTTAAAGGGAGCAAATCTTATCTGATGTGTTAGACATAATTAAAAATTATTAGTCTCATAGGCAGCCAGTTTTACCTCAGAGTTGCAAAAAAGCAACTCCGAGATTTAAAATACGACGATCTTATCTAGTCTGTGCAATTTCCTGACAATCCGATTGGTATTTCCGTTTTATTCTTTTGCAATAATATTTTTCGCAAAACAAATCGGAGAAAAATATTTTTTTTTTTGAACGAGCAATGAAACCTAAGAGCAAACAAGTGTTCCCATTCAATCCCCGGTGTGAAATATGCAACATTAAATAAACTTTTACATGTGCGATTCCAATTACAACAAAAACTTTGCCATTTCATTAGAGTTACTTGACTTTAGCGCCCCTAAAACAATGTTCTTGTTCTCTTCTAGTGCATGTTTTGAAGTACGTAATAGAAGCACAGCGCGTTGTCTTTATGCTTGTGGATGTATGCGTTGTTTCCTTTTCGTAAGTGCAGCCTGAATTCAACGCCATCGCCGCGTCGTTTTCTTTCCTCCCATCTGTTTCCCAGCATGCCCCGCGAAGAGAGCGTGCCTTCGGAAGAGGGTCAGAGAACAAAGAGAGCCGAGTTTTCTTTCTCTTCGCTCCCAAAAAAACGAAAAAGAAATCGACTCCAAAGCCAACCGAATGCAGATTTTCAGAGGGTACGTTATATAAATTTGGATCTGCGACAAGAAAAGAAGCGACAGCCGAAAGTCGGAGGAAACAGCGATATGTCCGTATTAAAGAACCGTTAAAGGGAAAATTGCATAGAAATGTTGGATAATGACTCTGCAATTGAAATCAGGGTCATGTAAACGAAAATTTTGATTATCTAAAGGTATGCGTCATATTATGTACACATATTCCCTCGTAAAATATAAACTTATTTTTTGCTGATAAATTCAACTAAATGCCCTTTGTCAGTTTGAGGGAAGTGTGGTGAAGACAGGCAGGGCGAAAAAATTCAGTTCTTTGCCCACATCGATGAATTTTGGGCAATGAAATTATTTTTTTAAGTATTTTTGTGATCCTCGATCTGATCAAAGGATCAACTGCGACCCTAAAAACGGCAATGCGATGCTTTTGGCGAAACACCTGCTAAAATCTGGGCTTTACCAATTTCTATTTTACAGTATGCTTTTCGGGCCTTTCAGAGTGGAATTGCTTTAGAGTTTCTGTAAGCTTGATCTGACTTCTCATAAAACGGCAAGATGAAGCAAAATCAAATTATCCATCTAATCTTAAAGCCCGAAGTACAAGCCCCTACCCCGCAAGAAATAATTGCACTTTGATTCACTTGCTCTGCTTAGGAGACAATACAACACTGCACTACAGAAGTACACAACCTCAATGATCTCTCATTAGTTACACATTAATTTTAGACCTTTCTCATACTTTTGCAGCATTTTTTGAGCTTACAGGCTATAACATCTACGCACACTAAGACTACGATTCTTATTTGTATTTCGGCCAACTAATGTTTTAACCTTGGTTTTGCATATTAGGGATTGTAATCTTTGAGAAGTAAGCATGCAAACCTACCCCAAAGAAAGCACCTTGAAAGATTTGGACGTATTTGAAGTAATGGTTGGGAGTTTCTGTAGACACGTAGGTGGGAGATGCCAGTAAATGGAAGCAAATTATAAAAGGCACTGCAAAATAAAACAACAAAAGCCAATGGAAATGACCTCTCCACACCTAAAATATCATCGTTTAAAAAATATACTTGAATAAAATTAGGTAAAGATTACCTTCTCATAAGAGAGCGGAATCAACAATGAGCTGACTCTGTTCAACGCCAAGAGGAATGCACTCATATGGACCAGATACATCGAGTAGAAGGTGCACATATATGGCAGGGTGAGATAGTAAGTTGGCGTTTGAAAAAGGAATAAAAGAGCATCACCAAGCAAGGGAGCTGCCGGCCAGCGATTGAAGATTTGATTTAGCCAGTAACCGCAGCAATCCTGAAAATTATTTCAAGCTGTCAAAAATTGGAACAAATGTCCATTTTGCAAACATTTATAATTATTAGTATACAAAATATTTGGGGTTTGTGACTTCCTTGACCTCTCCGAGGCCGTAATAAAATTATCAATAATTTCAATTGTTAACTTTGGCACTATTCAATGGCACTCTAGATTCATCTTCAAGTGTAACAAAAGTTTCCATGCAATCTTGTATAAAGTAGTTGTAACAGTATACAATTAGCAGGTGTTACACAGTATAACGAAAACACAGAAGTAGGTTACTCTAATCAGATTCAAAACGGGAAGTGCCAGACCGCCGAAAACACCGCGCATTTTTGGGGATTATGTCATAATTAAATGAACGGACAATTCGGAAAACATATGATGGATAGTTATGTAATCGGGTTGAAGTTACGGCCAAGGGGCATTGCCGATTTAAAAAATATATAGTATATGGTTCGACCATGTCTTGGCAGCTTTTGCAAAAAAAAGATTCCATGCATTTGAAGCAGGGATTTGTATTAAAAAATTTTGGCGAAACTCGTAAGAGTCGTTTCAAAAGAATAATTACAACTACAATAGACTCCAAAGTATGCATAATGTAAGACAGGCTAAAAAATACCGCAATCAGTGAAAAGAAAAGTAGATTTATAATTGTCAGCTGGCCTCTGTCACCACACCCATTACAATTTTTGAAATATTTTCACTAAGCGACTGATACGAGCAAAAATACAAAACCCGTACATATTCCGACCACGTATTCGAAAAATTCTGTAGGTCGAAAATCTTCAACGACCTGATTTTTTTTCTAACAGCAGATTTTTTAAAATAGCAGAGAGTACAACGCGTATATCTCACCATTGCTCACGATCAAGTAAAATATACAAAATTGAAGTTATCTGGAAAACAGGCTTACCACAATCCCGCTGACCACCACAAAGTTGTAGAAAGCGGACGTGTAGATCTGTCGATTGGTCCGCAAAACATGAATAATCCTTATATACAGAATAAACAAGGGGATCCCGTACAAATTACAGATGATGAACTCGGTCCAATCCATCATCTACAACATCATAAAACTAAAATGTAACGCATTCGACATTCGCAAATTACTGGAATATGATTGTGGCCGGAGTGTTCCCACGCCACAAAAAAAAATAATTTCAATAGAACGGCGGAATTACTTCAGCAAGGCCGGGACAGTAATCAAATTGGAACGTGAGAGAACAATTAGGAATGTTTGTATATTTAGCCTATAAGGAAGGTAAAACAGGCTTTGCAAATGCATTAAAACAAGATTCCGAGGAAAAGCAGGTATTCCAAGGCACAAAGATTATTTCAGCTTCAAAAAAATTGTAATACGTAAAGCTTTCTAACGATAAAACATAGAGTAAAATTTAGCTCGAATTTCTCTGTAGCTAAAGAGTGGCAGCTTGACAAAGATGTCACGTTTAAAAGGGCAGCCAAATTCATGATGATATCTTCATGGAAGTCGCGGCAAATTGAGACTAGAATGTTATAAGGCAAGATTGTCAGATCACTCCTTGCAAACCGGATTTAGGTCGGAAAAAATACGAATTAAGCACACCTTTTTTGGTTTGAAATCTTGCTTAAATCGTATCTCCTCATTATTCACTGACCGGAAAAGAATCTTGAATTTCTTGGCACCTCTTTAATTTTAAATTTTTGGAGCTTGTATCTGTGGCATAGACATGACATAACACCGTAATAAAAAAATTGTAATACGCCTTGAATCCGCATAAGACCATCAAATTCTCAGCAAAATAAAAAACCTGTAACAAAACTGTTCATTCATAACTCGTAATCTTGCATAATTCTCTATTTCATTGTTTTGAGTCAAAAACATGCCACCGAAATACATATGACATAGGGCTAGTAGTAAATTGATTTTCTTCTTACTCAATAATCTCTAAAATAAAATAAGGAAAGTCCATAGGTTACTGTAATAATGAGCTTGTCATTATGGGTGTTTACAGTAGTCGAATTAAGCCCACGCTGACAACAAAACCCAGAACTTCCTGCTCTTTTCCACCCACCTTCAACGTCCGTACCTGTACTCTATTAATGTCGCCCTTCCCATCAGGAACGAACTAATTTAGTAAACTCGCCAAAGTAAACTTGAAAACGGCCCGAATGTAACATCGGGGGACAATATGCGTGGTGAGGGTCCATTCATATCGCCTTGTTCGATTTGCAATGGACGTTGTAAATTAGAATACAAAAGAATAATGTGCAGCACGTGAGGAAATCAGGAACGTAGAGATGATACGGCCCCCAGTGCAGATATTACGTAACAACAAATTTAATAATTGGACACTCAAAAGGCAAGGAGAACAGAAAGTTTACGCTTTCATTGTAGCGGGGAGGTTGTGATGAAATTTGAACCCAAATTGCACTCTGTGGCAAACAAGGAGTTCCTTACAAATCTTCTTACAATCCGAGTAGGGTAGCCTTTAGGGATCATATCGGATGTATCAAATCCAGAAAGGATTTCATATATCCGGGAATTTTTTTTTAAATGAACCAAGTCACGAATCGATGAGATGTTGTGAATGAACAACATACCTATGTTGATGTTGTTGGTGAATGGTTTTCCTCGATCTCACGATCTTTCGAAACGAATTTTCACATCGAAGATTAATATCTTTTTTGTACGAAAAAGTTAATTGCAAGAACTATGAATCCATTTGTGCTGCAAAAAACCAGTTAGCCAAGGAATTATTTTTGCAAAAACTAACGGCCGTTTGGCCGCCAGAATCGATACGATTTTTGGGTACCTTCCTTAGCATAATTCCTTTAGCAAGTTCCTTTATATCTGTAATTCTGACATTCTGATTCATGTATATCTGTAATTCTGACATTCTGATTCAAGTATATCTGTAATTCTTGGTTGGCGTCCCGGAGCTTTGCAGCCGCATCTAATCCCCGAACCCGCATCCCGGACATGCGAGAACAGGATTTTATCCGACTGCGCCACCCCGGTGGCCGGCTGTGAATTCTTATTCTACAGTTTTGATGAATCCCAAAACTCAAACATTATCGGTTTGACTATTCAAATATAATTTTTTTTCAAATTTTCCATCTTTAAACTTATTTGTTGAGTCCCGCCACGAAAACAACCGACTGCCAGAGCTTTCCTGGCATTCTGTTGCATGAAAAAAAGTACAGGGTGGGCCACTCGAAACGGGTAAGTTTTTTCCTTGGATTTCTCCGCGGAGACTCCGCCGATTTTCCCGAAATTTAGATTTTTCTGTAGCTGAGACCCGCCATTTTTAACCGGTTGAATTTGAAACAAATATATTTTGAATTGACCTTTCTGTGCCTTCCCAAAGTTTCGAAGAATTATTTTCGGGCCGAAACCGCTAAAACTTGGAAAATTTTTGGAATGATTTCGAAAACTTGGTCATTTTTTCGAGTTTTTGGATGAAATTTTCTAAGTTTTACCTCAGATAACCATAAAATATTGTCGTAAAAACAATTTTATTTAACGGCCTGATTATTAATATTTATATCTGAGTTCGAAATGCCCATTTCCTCTCGCAGCACAAACTTGTAGGAGTTTTGAGAGTCATGAGAGTCGTGAACAGCTCGAATTGCAGATCGTGAACATCGTCTATCTTTAATCGGGCTGGGCTCCAAGCTTCAATGACTTGGAGCTGGGGCTCGTTGCCAATTGTGTGGACTTTTACAATCTTTTTGAATTTTTTTTTTTTTTTGAATGTTCGTGCCTTAATGGTAATACAAACAACCCTCTTGTGGCTTTCAACTTGCTTTAAACAAGTTTAAGGCGAGCACTAGCAACTTTTTACTCCGCGATTTCCCGTAAAAAAAGCCAAAAATTTTCCAAGTCCGAGAAAGTCAATTGAAAATCATTCCAAAAATTTTCAAAGTTTTAGCGGTTTCGGCTCGAAAATAATTCTTCAAAACTTTGGGAAGGCACAGAAAGGTCAATTCAAAATATATTTTTTTCAAATTCAACCGGTTAAAAATGGCGGGTCTCAGCTACAGAAAAATCTAAATTTCGGGAAAATCGGCGGAGTCTCCGCGGAGAAATCCAAGGACAAAACTTACCCGTTTCGAGTGGCCCACCCTGTATTTCGAAACGTTGAAGAAATCGGCGTCAGAGCACACAAACTCTCTTCTACAAGTCTTTTGATTAATTGTTCTATTATTTTGTCGTTGTTGCTATAGATTTATATTATCATTGATCAAATCGAGTCAAAATGGCCCAATTGGTCTGTCCAAATCACCCAAACGCCCATCTGGTGGAAGACCATCGAGCTGGAGATGTGATTTGCCCAGAATGCGGCCTTGTGGTGGGAGATCGACTGGTCGATGTGGGCACAGAATGGAGATCGTTCAGTAATGAGCGGAGTGGAAATGATCCCAGCCGTGTTGGAGCCCCCGAAAATCCATTGTTGGGTGGATCTGATCTCTCTACAACAATTGCCGTTGGTTTTGGTGGATCGGAATCGGATCAGAGGTAAGCATTCCAATTTTTTTATTGATTTTTTGATAATTGTGGTTTGGACATGGTTTGATATCTAAAATAATGTCAAAAGCAATGTTCAATTCCGTCTTACATCCTTCCTTTTTTGCAAATTTGATATCTAATACGAGTTTTTTAGTTTGGCCAATGCGCAAAGGAAGAATATGAACAACACAGATCGTCAAATGACTCAGGCCATAAGTGTGATCCGAGAAATGTCCGAAAGAATCCATTTGACCAGAGGAATCCAAGATCAAGCTGCAGAAATTTTCAAAAATGTCCTAGATTCCCGAGCTCTCCGAGGTAGAAACAATGAAGCCCAAGCTGCCGCATGTTTGTATATCGCTTGTCGTAAGGAAGGAGTCCCTCGTACGTTCAAGGGTAAGAACTTATTTCTCTTTTTTTATGCTTTTAGATTATTCTTCCTACTTAATTCGCAAGATGTCCTGTGATCTCACTTTGATGTCTAAAATAATTTTTGTTTCTTTTCAGAGATCTGTGCCGTTTCCCGTGTATCCAAGAAAGAGATTGGCAGGTGTTTTAAACTGATTATCAGGTCGTTGGAGACCAATCTGGAACAGATCACTTCGGCGGACTTTATGGTAAGCTGTTGTCCCTACCACCATATTCCCCTTGCAGAGTCGGTTCTGTGGAAATCTGGGGTTGCCCATTCAGATCCAAGCGGCGGCCACGAGGATTGCCAAGAAGGCGGTGGACCTGGACTTGGTGGCCGGGTAAGCAGCAATGCTGATATTGAAGTTAATCTTCCTTTAGTCGAAGTCCCATCTCAATTGCTGCAGCTGCCATCTACATGGCCAGTCAAGCCTCAGCAGACAAACGATCGGCCAGAGAGATTGGAGAGATCGCCGGAGCGGCAGAAGTTACAGTCCGACAGACCTATCGGTTACTGTATCCGAAGGCCAAAGAATTATTCCCGGAGGACTTCCGCTTCGACACCCCGGTCGAACAATTACCCCCATCGTAGTTGATCTCATTATTTTATTCGTTTTTGAGAATGGAATCAACGATCTACAAGATTCTTTTGTCTTATATTGCTCATAATGTATAGAAATAAAACGTTTATTCAAATCTTTTTTTGTAGTTACACCGGAGTTTATATCACCTAATATTTCCTATTTTGAATTCCTCGGCTTCTGGGAAATCGGGAAACGAATCCAAAAATTGACCTGAAATTTCACGGATAAAACAAATTGAAATATGCGACCTTACCTTTGCACATCCTATTGTAAACATAAGTACTCCCCATCCTTAGGGCTTCGCTGATCTTTGAAGCTCTCGCTACAGTGAATTTGGAGAAGGGATCATACATCAAAAGTCGGGAATCTCCGGGCAGTTGACGTCTAAATTTTGAACATAAAAAAAATAAAAAAATTACTTTTTCACAACTTTTCCAAATCGAATATGAATGGCGTTTGTTTGCGTGTCCAAAGTTGCGTAATACTCCATGAAATCTATCGCCAACTGTCCAACTGATTTTTTGTTATCACTTTTCCAATCAATCAGATCTTCCAGAGGGATCTCCAACATTTCAAGCAGAGTTTCCAAGGGTAGCTGGCTGCCAACCTTATCCTTATGCGTCAAACTAAGCACGGGTAGGACCGGGGGAGACTAAAAAACAAAAAAATGGAAGAATTACATTATTCTTGATAAAAAGAATTAAAAATTGTTACCGTTCTGCTTTGAAGAAAATGGATAACCAGTAACAATATATGATAGCTCGAAAGATACCCGTCTTTACTATTTCGTATCCCTAATCGGTTGAATAACGCCCTCACATACAAATATAGCTGCCGAAACCTTGGATCTACCTAAAAATTAAACACCAAATAAGGTATTTTATATAAGAAAATACAACTTACGGCAGCGTAGTGTCTGACAAGATTGGTATTCCGTATGGCATGGAAGTTCTCATCGGGAAATTGAATATCAATACTAAGACCACTGGTGAAAAAACAACAAACTAAAGGCACATGCGCACGATATAATGGGAAAGGAGGGGCAGAGAAAGCGAGATTAGGGTCCTTGAGTTGTAATTGAGAGAGTAATTCCATCACTGAGTCCATAAATACCCTGAAAAGAATAAGATTTTATAGTAGGTGTCACGGTGAACATACGAAAACCCATGACTGAAGCATAAACGAAAATTGAAAAATTACCGTTTAAAATTGTGATTATGAAAGAAATCCCGGTAAAATGAAATATCCTTCGGCAGCAAACAAAAATCGTAATCTGAGGAATCCTCCACGGCCAAACTCGTAACCAAAGAGCCAACAGAAATCAATCGACTACGTCCAGAGTCACCGCATACCACTTCCTCAAGCAGATTCTTGAATTCTGCTTGCTTCTTCGCTTGCACCCTCGTCTTTCGCATCCTTTTTTCTTCCGCAGCCATCAAGATGGTGGTCATTTTGTGGATTTTCTCACGATATTCACGGCAAATCTCCTAAATATCAAAGTAATGAATTGTTTGAAAGGTAACTTGCATCACAAGACATCGGCGTAATATAGACGGGCTTTGGAGGAGCTAAAATATAAAGAATTATCTAAAACGTTACGTTATTCTTACGTCTGTGGGGATTTTCTTTCGCAGCTGGAATCGAAACGGCTTTTGATATCCGCCGAAGAGATATTCTTATTGCTAATGAAGCCATTTACATTTTGGACAGCAAATTTTACGTGAAATACCCGATTTTTGACAAAATATTTCTAATTTTTTTCAGGCTCGGTATCATATCACGTTCTGCTATTTTTTCGCAAACTGCGCCCTGTGTGTAAATTTTTGTAGAATTTACCGAATAAACGCTTGTAATAGATCACTAAAATACAAAGATCAAAGATGTACAAACAAGACATAATTGACGTTTTGTAGAAACAGGAGCACAGTTGTATTTGCAAACAAATACTTCTACAATTTTTGTTTTACAACCCAGTATAAGGTAAATTTTCCGATTGGTTTAAGAATAAGGAACATATCCAGATTTTGTCTTGTGGGATTGGTGTATGGGTCGTGTAGTCTCTATCTACACCTTGCAGAGTCGATTACCTGCCAAAAGGTTACTGTTACACCTGTTTGAACTTCGGTTGTGGGCGCGACTGAGCAAGGGCCCAATCGAACGCGCAAATGTTCGCTTCCTACGTCCTGCAACGAAAGAAATGAACGCCAAAAAATCATGGCGATCTGTTCACAAATGAATTATTTTTTTACGAATTTACGCAAAAAAGATGTTCTGATGCTGAAAGGTGTTCGTTTGGTTTCCTTGGATGTGACCAACACTCTAATTGGGCTTCGGGAATCCCCTGGCCAAACATATCAGCGGATTGGTGCCAAACATGAATTAAAATTAGACGCCGACTTGATTCAAGAACGATTTCCAGCTGCTTTCAAACGTTTAGAACTCCAAAAGCCGGCGTTTGATTATGCGGGAAGTGGTAGTGTTCGTTGGTGGCGAGATTTATTGGATGAAGTTTGTGTGGAAGACAAGGACAATGTGAATTTTGGGCGGTTTTACGTGGATTTGTACAGACATTATTACATAGATGCCGCAGCATGGAGAATTCTCGATGAAAAGGTTGGTTGTTACGCATTTTCTTTGATTTTTAGGTTTAACACTCGTCCCACCTTACACTAGGTCTTTTCCAGATCTTCAGTTATTTTGATCGCTTCCATTCCCTCGGCCTCAAGGTTGGAGTAATTTCGAATTTCGATATGAGGCTTCGAACTATTCTTAGACACCTCAAGCTGCTTGATCGAGTCGATTATCTCGTTTTGAGTGGAGAAGTTGGAGTTCAGAAGCCGGATGGGAAGATATTGGAGATTCTACAGGAGAAATCTGGGATCCAAAGGAAGGACGAGATAGTTCACATCGGAGACAATGTTGAAAAGGATTACAAAGCTGCTTTGGATTATGGAATAAGGGCGATTTTATATGATCCAAAGAAGAAATTTGAGGATTGGAAGGAAATTCAGAGAATTTCAAGCTTCGAGGAGATGTTTTGATGTATAATATTGCGGATCATGAAAAAGTGCCAATAGTGAGGCTACCCATATTCTAGTCAACATCTGAATTTGTTTTTATATTATTTCAGTTACCTTTTTTACTATTGTGTATAAAGAACGTGAACTATTGAATACGCTGTAGGTTCTTTTGTGCGATAGGTTAATAGCCTGTAAATACCTTTCACTTACGTTACGAGTATTAATGGTTTAGTAGGATGGCGTCAAATCAGTCGCCGCCCAATCCGAGCACCTCCAAATTCGCAGTCGAATGTCCTCCAGAGAATCCGATTGAATATATCGAGTACAACGGAGAAGAACATCTTGTGCCGTAAGTTGTTTTATCTTTTATTCTCTTTGACTTTTAGGTGAAAATATAATACCTGAATTTATTACAGACCCCCTCGATTTGCCGATTTGATCACAAAGAATGCGGAGAAGATCCAATGGCGGCAGATTGTTGGCCAGATGACTCTTCTGGATCTGTATGATGATCAAGACAGCGCTGAAGTCAAAGAGGCCAAAAAGATTCTCCAAACAACCCAAGCAGTCAGAGATCAAGCCCGGGAAAAGGTTGAACCTGTCGCCGGACCATGGGCATCAGTTGCCAAGCTTATGTAGTAAGTATTTTTGATATCTTTTGTCTTGTCTTTTAGGGGGAAAGTATAATTTCAATTTCAGCCAATCATTACAAGAGATTGATGTTCTCCTGGATGTTTTGAGGATATCCAGGACACCCTACTTGAAGCCCGAGCAGGTCGCTTCAACTATGCCTGAAGATTTGACTGGAGAACAGCTCAATAAAACCAAAGGGTTCCATTTGGCGTCAAGACGGAAGGTATAGATAATATAATTATATTAGGCTAGTCAAGTACAACATCGAAGTTTTGTACCATTACTTTTTTAGGCATTTGACGAGGCCAAGAAGCTCTTAGAGATGTTTAAACACAACAATCGAGATATTAATGCGATGAATGAGAAGTCACAATTCTTCGATGAGCTGAAGAAAATGAGAGAAAATTGGAGAATTCGGAAAGTAAACGAACTCATATTTGGAGATCTTGGATACAGGTTATGTAAGCTTCCCTGTTCTTGGTTGTTATGTCAGTTTAGATGGCCCAAAGTTTCAACAATCAGAGGTGTTCGATATTTTTTGGAACCCTAAGGTGAATAACCAAACTGGGAAAGGATCCGTCCAAATCCAAGTCCCAAAACATCTGCAAAGGCGGACAAAACTGTCAGTCAGTGTGATGGCAGGTGAAGAAGGTTTTCGTAATTATTTTACTTTCAAGTTTAGACTCTCAAGAGAACCACGACCTAATCTTCGCTCAGAAAGATTTTTCTTATAATTTTGATGACTCCAGTTCTATGGTTGTTCCATGGGAAAATGCTCTGGAATGGGCACAAGAGAGTCTCATATGCAGGGATATATTCATTCAGGTGAGTTGACCAGGTTTTTTGGTGTGAAATTTGAGTTTAAATTAGATCATGTCAAGTGTAATATATAAATTTTTAGTTGACCAAAGAAGCGGTTGCCGAGAAGCATGTGTGTATCATCACAGACAACTCTTTGACCGTCTGTTTGTCCGATGGAATGCTCTTGAAGTTCGAAATGCATTATTTCCCATTCCAGGTACCTAAAATAATATAAAGTTTTTATTTTTTACCTATTGTTTTAGGATGGAGACATGCCAGAGGTCGGAGATCCGTATTTAAATATGAGTATGAGAGAATTATTTGTCTCAGATGTCATCAAACCCAAATATCGCCCTCAATTGTTTGTTGGAGCCCCATTATCAACTCTTCCAGAGGCCCTAGATCTTCGAGGAGCGCAAGGACTGTCTGCTGAAGAGGTGAGGAGTCTTATTTGAATTGGATTTATTTGATTCTTTTAGTTGATGATTATTGTTCGAGGACCTTATTTTAGGCATTTGACGAGACTTATTTTTACTTCTTTTGTAATATTGATGAGAATTTTGTTTTTGACATAGAAGGAAGATAGTAATACTATTATTTTCGGTTTTTTACAAATTTATTTCAAGACTAAATTTATTTTTAAAGATTTTTTGGTCAATGCATAGTATAATGTCCAAATATTTTTAGATAAAAAGCCGCTATCGTCCCCCTCAGCCGCTCCTGACTCGAATGATCCGTCGTTCCGATCATTTTATCCTGATAGATCGTGTCACTGAAGTCCTAAATCGTCATATGGTGCTCCGAGAAGACCCATCGCTAACATGGAAGTGGCTGAGGTGCACATCTATCTTCTCCATTATCTCATGTCAACTCCAAAGCCGTCCGGATAGTCACAATCGATTCAATTTTATGATCCAAATCGGCTCGAACGAAGTGATGGTGTTGACCAAAGAAAACATGGTGATCCAATGCTTCAGACAGATGCCATTGCTCAGCCAGGCCATTCATACTATGGTGAGAGGGTTTTTTGATAAGTATAGAGTTTAGTTGATGATTTGAGAGAGATTTGAAATTGTTTTAGGCATCAAGTTGTCAGCTCTACACGACCTCCAACTTTGCCCGCCAATATGGATGGCAAGTTCTGCATGCCAACAATAATGCCTACGGCAAAGATGGAGTTCCAGCACCCACCTTGTACGCCTGCAATCAAAGCTGCACAAAGTAAGCGATTTTGGGACTGGGTAAAATACTTTTTTACTCTTTGGTTCAAGGATAATATAAATTTTTGCTTTTCAGGCGGTTGTTCGCCCAATTTTTCGCCGATCATCGCTTACCGAAAGTGTTTCTGAAGTATGAAGATTGGCCCAAACCAAATGATGACCCATTATCAGATGAACAAATGTCATCAGAGGAGTTTTTGTTATCCTTCAGACCTGTAAATCTCAACAGAATACCCGGCTCCAGCTTCATGAAGAAGATTGAGTACATTCTGACCATGTTCCGCAACTAATTTTATTGTGATTATAGTCGTTTCATGTTCATATCGTTATAAATTATACTTGGATTTTTTGGGATGTTGTTTTAGATTACTAGAACATATTTTTGGAAATTAATTTAGATTTTTTTGGGGGCTTAGTACAAGTGATGGCATGGAAGTGGATGAGACATATTTTTGGCACTAATTGGATTAATATTTCTCTAAATTTTTGCAGTTTTACAGTCGGAAGGGAAGAAAATAGCCCCTCTAATTGATAAATCATGAGATTTCCTCTATGCCCTCGAGCATAATGCCCATCTAATGGCCCTCCAACAACTCCACACCACCTTCTTCCCCACCCGCATCACTTTTGCCCCCGGATATCCCCCATAATTGACGCTGTCCCCAAATTAATTCCATTCAAAGTTCCCCCGTTCTCGGGACGTTCCCTTTTTGGGGTCGTTCTCGGGCTCGCCTGAAAACGGCCGAAACGGCACTTGCGTGCGTCTCTTTGCCCTGAGGCACTGGGGAGAGGGGGGAAGGGAAAAAGTAATCAATAAAGCCTGAAGGCCTTATCAGGCACTGAGAAAGGGGGGCTTTCAACCCCGTCCGATTTAAGGGAAGGCGATGTTGTCGGGGGATTTTTGGGAAAAGTTGCGGGAAAATGGGAGTTTCCATGTTGCAAGAGTATCTGATTTTGGACTCTACGATTCTCCGGTGTTTCTTGTGCGTCAGACTTTTTATGGAATGTCGTTTTACACGTGTGTTTGACGTGAGACGAAGTCCAGATTCGGGAATTTCCGTGAATTTTTGTAAATAAGAATTGAAATGGATGTTAAAGTTGGAGACCACATTGCTAGTTAGTACAGTTTCTTGATGCTCTTTGGCAAGTTTTCGAGTAATTTTTATAGGTTTGACTTTGTGCTTTTACAAGTTAGAGCCCATTTATTTTGGTGACCTACTATAACATTTGGCTGTTATTTCAGAAGCCAACAGTGACCAAGAATTTCGAATCAGTACTTATTTTACACAGAATTAAAGCTGTCCTTTGTATCTTTCTTACAGTTTTGTTTTGGGTACCCCAAAAAATTTGATTACAGCCGATTAAATTATACATCATCATGAACAATATCGACGATAACTGTTCACATATTAATCTCTATTCTTTTTTTAAATATTTGTAAAAACGTTATTATTTTTCGTGTTGAACTTTACCATCCACTTCAACATTGATTTTTTACATTTTCTCAGGGGTCAGACATGTTCAAATTAATCGGTCTGCTCGGCTTGGTCGGTGTCCTAAATGGCCAGAATCTTGAATTTGGAGATAAGGTGAGCATGTCAACCGGCTGACGTCACATTTAAATATTTAATGAGAGTGTAACAGAGCAAAAAGGATGAAATATCAGCCATGATGACCTGTGTTTTCAGCTGTACCCCGACTCGCCTTACATTGACCTCATCTCCCGAGATATGGAGCACTTCCAGGGGCCATTGGGATTCGGAAACAAGTTCATGACAGGTCTGCTGCTTTACAATTTGTATTTTGGATATATGACCTTGTTTTAGATGGCTTTAGATAGTTAAAAAACCAAAAAATCATCTGATTTTTTTATTAAAAGATCATATAATTTTTATCTTATAAAGTAAGAGTGTTATAGGTGGAGCCGGCGAAGGAGACCAACAACTTCGACCGGAGGACTCGTTCGAGCATCGCGAGCAAGTCAAGAGCGACAATGTTCTGCCCGCTTACTGCGAGCCCCCGAACCCGTGCCCGGTCGGATATTCGGCCGAACACGGATGTCTGGAGGAATTCGACAACAGCGCCGAGTTCTCCCGCAACTACCAGGCCCAACAACAATGCCTCTGCGACCAGGAGCACATGTTCAAGTAGGACTTTTTTTATTTTATTTTAGTTGAATTTAGAGGGTGCAGATTGTAATTAAATTGGTTTAGCTGCCCTTCCAAGAACACCAACGAATTCGGGGACAATCTGGACGATATGTTGGAGAAGAACGGCCTTCATAAGAGCATGATCGCCAAGAAATTCCACGAGAAACGGTCCGAGGTGAGACTTGTTTGGCTTTCTCTCAAGTTTAGAAACATTTGACGTCCAATTTTAAACTCGCGTTTTACCTTGAACACCTTCAAAACTCCCTCTAATTTGGGCAAGTTTCAGTTCGAAGAGCCCCGTCGCCGCAAGCGCTCCGTGGCCTTCAAGCCGAACCCATATCTGCAGGGCGAGATCCTGCACAGTGTGTCCAAGAAGGATGGGCGTCGCTTGTAAATAATCCCTGATGTGTTCGTAATAACCGGACTTTTCACTTTTTTCCCTGTCGTCTCTTTATTCCCCGGCGTCTCTCGCTCTCTCTTCGATCCCAAAACATTGGAAAAACGCCATCTTTTCCAAAAAAAACGTCATTTTTTTAGAATAAAATGTCATCTTTTCCAAGGAATGTCATCTTTTTCTGGTGAAGTCACTCTAATGTCGGATGCAAATTTTAAAAAATTCAACCGTATTTTATGACACTTAATGTCATCCAACGATGAACGGAGGTTCCACAACACCCTCTCTGTTTAGCGCGATCCCTGCATAACGCGGTGTATCTCTCTCCTTCTCTGACTTCTCTGTCGACTCTCCTCACGTTGCGTGTTCCCTCTCTCCCCCATCGAGTAGTTGCTCTTAATTATTGCGGACCCAGTGATTTTAAAATAAACGTCATGTGTTAACATATGTACAATTATCATAATAAAACTCTATCTCTTTTGTTTAGCCGTTGGAAAAAAATTAATAAGGGAGTTTGCTCGAGATGTCATGTTTAAGGGCCTTTGCCTGTTCGCCCTCGCAGTAGATGACTTTAGATATAAGGGGAATTGTAATCTATACTTTATAAACTTTGAAAAAAAGCTTTAACTCCCATTGGCGTTGGAATTTATTTACAAATTGAGATCAATAGAGGGTTTGCATGATATAAAAATTTTAAAATTTAGGCAAAAAAATGACAGTGCTAAAGCTGAAGTGGGGAGGAAAGAGGGCGCTAAAACTAAGCATTAGACTAGAAATTACTCAAAAGGTAATAATTGTAACTACCATTCAACTAGGTTAACTAAAAAATTTTGAAAAACTCTGCCTAAGAACCGGAGAATGCGAAGAAACGAAGATATGCCTGGAAAACGATGAAAACCGAGGTAAGAAGTTCGCTTCAGTCGTCGTTGAATGGCTGGAGAGTGTGCCACATGGCCACGGAACGACGGGGAGTGGCCAGCATATCGGTCCAATGTTTGAGGCCGGCTCCGGTAGCCGAGGCCCCGATCATCACTTGGCCTATCCTTTCGTTCGATCCCACTCGGTCGTAGTCAGAGACAATCACGTGCAAATGGACTCGCTGAAAATGGATTTTGCCAATTTACTTGTAAGGTGGGAAAAATTGGAAGATAGGCTTCAATTATCCGTAAATCATCAAAATTTTGCAAACGGCAGCCTTCTAAAACGATTAGGCAATAATCCAAATCTTGGCCCTATTTTTGTGAATTTTGCCGGGAAAACGTCTCGGATGTCTTTAAAAATCTCGATCTCAATTGCTAAATTTTATAAATAAATTTTCCTACGTTTCTTAGATTCAAAATTTGCATACCTGCATTTTCTCGGGTGTGACGTCATAACTGAAGCTCTCATTATAATACGGATTGAGAGTTTTCATCTTGATGGTCGTCTTCTTCTTCTCCAATCTCTTATTTTGAGCCATCAAATACACTTTTACATAAGGATCTAGAATTTTGTTGCTTAAAATTCAAAAAGTCATCACCTCTGTCTACTAGAATATAAAAACTGACCTGAAAGACCGAGGACATCCATTTTCTTGAGGTTTTTGCATTCCATGACGACCACCGTTAATTTATTTTTATTCGGGACATATCTCAAGGCCAAGCAAACTTCGCCCAGTCGGTTTTCCTAAAGCGTTTCACACCTGATGCTACACTTACCGGAGGCGCTTCAATCTGAGCCCTTTTCTCTATTGTGACTGCCAAATCTATTTTGCCTAAGGGGATCGAGACTTGGCCTATCTAAAAATTACAATTAAACGTTATCTTTTATCCGAAAATTACCTGATCATGCTTTCCAAATCGATCAAAATCGAACACATTTAGAACCAAAGTTTGCCCGCCAATCTCGCTAAATGGCACCTAAAATACGGATAATTTAAAATTTGAATATTCGAAAATACCTAGTAAATTTTAATCTTCAAATTCTATTCTTAAAATCTGAATTTTGTTTAGATTTTTGCGACTTGCCTTGAATGTAAAGGACTCGTTGAAGACGGGGTTCAGCGATTTCCTTTGCACCTTTGTCTGGAATTTCTTTTTCTTGTCCGGCAATAAATAAACCTTCACATACGGATCCGAGGTACCCCCCAAATCCATGGCTGGCAAATTCTCGGCGCTGATGACAAGGACTGTCAGCTGAAAATTCAAAATTGTGAAAAGTTTGTCATCATGTTTTAATTTTTGCAAAGAAAAAGAAAATTATGCAAATTTTAGAAGAAAAGTTCTAGAAAATGTCAAAGAACAGGATTCCAAATTGTTTCAAAAAATATATTTGGTTGTGTTCCTTGATGTCAGACGCTGTAGAGATCGCAAATTTGGAGCCGGAGGCAAGAGAAAAACGGCTCTCCGAGAAGCCCTTGGAATATTTCAAACTGCTCAAAGACTGCCCTGATGTTGTCGCTATCCCGATTTACGATGTAGGCTAGCCATTTCCAGCAGTTTCAGGCACTTTAGCACTTCCAAAATTTAAATTTCCGTTTTCCCGCAATTTTTGGCATTGTGTTTCAGGTGTCGAAGTCTGCGTGAAAAGCTTGCGTAATGGTTCAAAAAGCCGTAATATTGCTCTCTGAACTTTCGTTTTCTGATTTCAGGAAGTGAAACGTCGCTGGGAACGGGCGGAAGAGCGTGTTAAAACCTTAGAGGAGCTGGTCAAGGGCGTAAAATGGGAGGAGAACTCGATCGAAGAGGACCGATATGACATTATCAGTGAGGTCATGGACAAGGCCATGCAGGGATTCGAAATCAACGAGGAGCATGAGGTAAAAAATCGAATTTTGAGATTTTTATGGGTAAAAAAATAAAATTTTGGGGCTTTCGACAAAAATTTCAAAATTAAAAAGTTGAATATTTAAATTTTCAGAACCGAAAAATCAAATTTGGTCATCGAATTTTCCTCGAGGCCAAGATGTTGTTGGGGATTAACCATGCCTTCGACCGAGTTGAAGCCATTCTCAAGGACTTCTTTGCCTTCCACAATGACAAGACTGGAGCCGCCTACGAAAGGGATGATTTGAGGATGGAAATTAGACTTATGGACGCCTGCTTCACCGAAGTCCACACTGGATTCCTCAAGAGTTATTTGGATATGGAGTTGTGAGATTATTTTAGATTAAGATTCAGAAAATTATATTATACGGACATCAGATGAATAAATTTTAAACGCTTGTTTCTGGCGGGTTTTACTTACCGCATTCTTGTCAAAGTCATAGTCGAGCTTGAAGGAGAGGTACCCCAGGAACTTCTTCTCCTTCTCGTCCTCTTTATCTTTCTTTTTGGTCGTCGGGGTCCCAATCGCTGACATTTGGGGCTGAAATTCGATTATACAAACGTTTTTATTCTTATTATGCATTCAAAAAGGCATGAATACGGAAGAAAGGAGGGTGAGACAGATATTTAAGACCAAATTTCTGAATTTTATATTGATTTAGATCAAAGAAGTGATAAATTTTATATTAATTTAGGTCAAAATTCATAAAAATTCTTAATTTTCCGGCCAAATAAGAATGCGTTGAGCAGCATTAAGTAGTAAATAACATGCTAATGGCAAGAACAAAGTATATGAAGCCTTTGTTTTTTCTCGATTTGTCATCCTTTTCACCTCAAAAAATCCCATTTCCTCGGACTAATGGCCCACGTGTCCAGCCCCACACAATACAGCCAAAATGGGCGCAAGATGTTCATGGAGATGGGCCGGATTTGTGTCGCCGTTCAGCCTAATAATTTTTGGCGAAACCAAATCCCCCGCGGGCATTGTCCAAATAATCTCGATTTGGGCAAATTTAATTCGTTTTTTGAGTGAAATCTGGCCATGAAAAAGAGCGCTCTTGGCCCAGAAACTTTTATCCTTTTGTCCCTAAAAAAAGGCCTGAGGGCATGCGGCGGGCGCCCCTTTCCCTTTTATGCGCTTTTTGTGGCCAGAAGAACGTGGAATTTATTATTTGCTGAGACGCGGCCGCAAGAAGTTGAACTCAGTCGTTAAATAAAAGCTTCATCACATAGTATACTGGATAAAAATAGAGTTATCAGTCATCTATCGCGTCAAAAAATAAAAAAAATCAAAAAAAAAGTAGCAAAAAGTATTAAATTATTCAAATTGATTATTTATTCTGGAATCCATGCAAACTCGCCTGGATTATGCATGGATTGCAACTGCAGACGGATTATCTTCCCATATTGTTCAGAAATTCGGCCAAAGAAAACCGAAGAGAGCCAGGCGACCACCCATATTGGGCATGATGGATAATATACGAAAGCGGTTCAAATGGCAAAATTCGAAGAAAATTCAAATGTCAGAAAGGTGTAAATGCGAGCAAAAAATGTGAAAGGGACCAACTCCCAAAGTCACTTTTGCAGATTACAATGAGAAACCTTCCAATTCCGGGGGTTCCTCCCACTTTTTATCCCTTTTCTCAATCTCCTCCGGTTCATTTCCCTTTTGGCTATAAATCTATTTTTTTGGATGATAAAATAAGTCTTCTGAACTCTCACATGTAAAGTTTACTGCTCCTTTAATCGAGTTGTGAAGTGCGGAGACTTAAGGACCACTTCTTTACTACTCTTTACCAACTTTTCTCTGAAAAAAAGTCGCTTCTCAAAAAGCCGAACATACATAATTAACATAGCCGACGATGCCTGAGGGCGAAAAAGGAACGAAAAAAAAAGTTAAAAAATGGAATTTGAATAAAAAATTTAGAGAAAAAATGCTTTATTTTACAAAAAGATCTTAAAAAGTAGCCCTTAAATTGTAAGCATTCCTTAACGCAGTCATTTTGTTTGTCATGTGCCCCTATGTATATCCAGTATTTTCTTTTCAACGACAAAATCTTGAGCAGTCACAGAATGAATAGTATTTACATAAACGAGAGAGCCAAAAAAGGAAAAAAAAAGATTACATTAGGGACCAAAAAAAGGAAAATTCAAAAAAATGGAGGGAGCAACTGAAGGGATGACATATCTTTTTTTGAAGGTTCAGAGATGAGAAAAGTTTAGGGGAAAATTTCGGTAAAATACGTGGTTTTCAACTCTGAAAAACTAATAAAAAACTTCAAATTTGATGGACAAAAGGTTCGATTTTAATAAAAAATTATATGAATGACCACTGGGAAATTTTAATCCTGGAATTTCTCCAATTTTCCACAAAAAAATTGTCAGATTTTTTTTGAAATCACAGTAGACTTCTTTGAGATACTGACAAAAAAGGTTTTAAAAATTTGGAGAGCAATGCAAGTACGCAAGACCCTAAAAATGTCGCGTAGAAATGCCTGGAATTCCCCTTAAATTGGCCGTTTTCATTTTTCGTCGCGCGAGGTCAGAATCCAGGTCTGATTAGCGGTCCAAGCCCTATTTCCCCTCCGGGTTTCCGTCTCAGTTTCCCCTTTTTTCGCCCTAACAAGCCTCATGCCCTGCGGGCTTTGGCTTGCTTAAGGCTTTATTTTTTTCTCGTTTTTTTGCGCATAAATATCGAAAAACAAAATAAAATGCCCGAGGGGATTGACAATGAGGCCACATTTGATACACTCAGGAAATGATGACTGCAAAAGTGTGCAAAAATTGCACTCAAATCTGCCAAAATAAGAAAGAACGGCCTCTGAAGCGAGACAAAATTGGAATTTTTTTTATTTCCATATCAACATGGGAGATTTAATGGATTCCGCGGGGGGAGAAGAGCCTGCTGTTATGTCATAATGCAAATTCAGAACGTAAGTTTCACTAGAATCATGGATAATTTATAAAGAAAAAGCTTTGGAAGTGCTGAGTCAAAAATAATATTAAAAATAGAATTGTTTTTACAATTCGGAGACGTATTATGAATAAAAAAGGGCTCAAATTCCGAGTATTATATTACCAGACAAGGCATTTCCTTGTATTTGGTAGTGTGGAAAACTGTGTTTTTTTCCGGGGAACTCCTATTTTCCCTAAAAATAAAAAACTGTCAAAAATAATTGTAGACATCTTAAAAAGTAGCAGGTTCCCCTGAGGCATTAATATTCGAAAACAAAATTCAATTTCACTCCTGGGTTACCATGGTAAAGGTGAGATGTTTCGTGGCGATATGGAATACATAGCGTTCATTTCGACTAGTAATTTAATTCGTTTCTCGGGATTACACTTACAGGGGAAATACTCCAAGTGCGACGCTTAGATTTTCTTTAAATTTTGCACACACGTCGGGTATGAACCAAATATCAATTCCTGAAAGTTTTAGCTCGCGCTTTGCGGGCGCGGCCGAGATATCGAACGATTTTTGCCGCCGAGAGAGCACGCTAAACGTGGAGAGCGGTCAGAGAGAAAATCGCTTTTTGGTCATAACTTTGGCAGTTTCGTGCGAAAAAATTTGATTTTTTGTAGAAACATTATCCTTTACGGTAGAAATTGGCATGAAAATTTTCGTGCCGAAATTCGGCAAAAAGTCCTTAATTTTCGCCGACTTTCGATCTAAAAATCTCGGTTGTTTCTGCAAAGCGCGAGCTAGGATTCTCGCATATATCTTAGAAAAAATTATTCTAAATTTGTGCCAAGTTTCATCAAAATCTGAGCGTCGCACTTGGAGTACTTCCCCTGTTAATTTAGGGCTAAAAAGTTTTATTTTTATTGAAAATGTCGGACTTGAAAGCTTTTTTGCGAACTCTAAGGATGTTTTTGGTATAGAGAAGGATTCGATTACAAGTTTTCAACAATGCTGATCAATTTTTTAGCCATCTAACCCAATGAAAAATCTCCACTTTTCATCTTTCCAAAATGCCTTTCTGCTGATCAGATATGAGCCTTTTATTAGATACTGTAGCAGGGCAAGTTGCCCGTTACATCCTTTGACTCTTTGTCATAACAAATAATCGTCGTATTTGAATGGCCCTCCAGAGATCTAATAGAATTTTTAAGTTCATTTCTGTGCTTTTACACGAGTAAAGGTCATGTTTTCTTTTTTTGAGACGGAATGCGGGATCAAAGGATTCCAAACTTTTGATTTTTACGTTAACTTTTTGTTATGTCAGATAATGGAAGGGGAATATTTTTAGATTAGAGTATGGATCATTAGTAGAGAAAAATTTCACAAGAGGTCAAAGGCTAGATCTTATGAATTGCTAAAAATTTGAGGGTTTTAGGATGGGAGTCCTTTTTTCCCTTGTTGATTTATTAAGAAACTAATCGTCAGATTGAAGACAATTCTTTCATAGTACCATGTACCATTAGACAACTCTAAGAAATGGGAAATTACAGTAACCTCAAGCTTCCACAGCAAACCCTCTCTTCGAAATCCTCACCTGACTTCTGAAGAGCCAACTCATCGTGGTCCTCGCCCTTGCACGACCCTCCCAATTCCAGTGGTCCTCTCTTGCCCAAACCAGATGAAGACGTCGGGCCCAGTCTTTCCTTGGCCATAAAACTCCCGGCCCTTTCTCGTCTATTTATTCGGCCTCCAAATGAATGAATTCCACACCGGAATTCAGAAGGAAGGGCTTCGAGACTGAAAACAAAAAAAGCGAATTGGATATTTGCAAACTTCTCCGAGGAATATTAGTCGCGCGAATGGGGCCAAGGCGCGGGGATGGGCCACTAATTCGGCTCTCTTGTTTTTTGGGCCCTCTGGGAATTCACAGAGGGCCGATGGGGAAAATATACAGAGAATGAGGGATTACAATGACTTACAACAGAAGCGAAGGGAAGAAGATAAGCTGAAAAGAAGATCAGGGGAAAAAGTGGTGTCTGAAATTACAGTTGGAGATCTAGATATGGAGAATGGACTCTAAAGAAGTCAACAAAATATTTTGTCAAAAAATATTTTTTGGTAGGGGAATTGCCCAAGGTAAGACCCTCAAAATTGCCTTTAAACTTTGCCTCCTTATTCTGCGTTGGCCATATATACATTAATTTCTTCAAAGACTGTAAATTTGTGGTAATTTTGTAAAGCTAAAAATCAAAGTCACCATTTTTTTTGGGAATTGCGAGCTTTAATTTTTTTCGGTGATTTCCGCCTTATAATTATAAAATTGATATACTGCGCGTCAAAAGTTTGGAACAGGCCGGATCTTCTTTGCGGCTTGAGATGGGAGTTTCATTTCTTTTTTATTAGAAGCTCCATGTATTAGGAACCTCAATGAATACATAGCCATGGAAATCAGAAAGCTCGTTGGAATTTAAAAAAAAAATTTTAAAAATAAGTGCGTCAAAAGTTTGGAACAGCTTTTGGAAGGTGATTATAAACTTCGGGATAGAGGCAGGTATCCTCGCATTTAGTATTTTTGGATGATGCAAGGAATCGGAATGCCAAAGGCATACTGATTTTCATCGATAAACCCAAAATGAAAAAAATGCTTATTGAGCCAAAAACTACGGTCAAATTTGCGAAAAAAGGAATTTTTTGGTTTGGGTTCTCTATGTTATCGGTGTGTAAACGTTCTAAAATATTTAATGTGGTCGCACAATTGTACAAAGGCACTCAGGTCTTCGCATAGGAACCATATCCGCACAGCATAATTTATGAAAATTTTGAATTTTGCTATGAATCTTTATTTAATGTATTTTATATTTTTCATAGAGCGGCTTAGAGGCTAATTGGCTTTAACACCGTTATCGTGGAATAAAAAGGTGTCTTCAAGATGCAGAACTTTCCCACTGTTTGGAACATCAAGGCCACATCTTTAAAAATAGCGGGTATATGAAATGTTAATATTCCCATATTTTTTATCCTGGATTTGAAGCCGCTGCATGGCTCAAAACTAAGTGCCTTTATCGTTATCACACCGATACAGTATTATAAACCAACTCTCCGAATTATCACGCCACAAATCCGGGTCAGATATGAATATTGATTTTGGGGACAAAAAATTTTTTTAATATCTGAAAGATGTGGCCTTGGATGTTGCAAATACCGTGGATTTTTGTTGCTTGAAAATACCTTTTTATTCCACGATGACGGTCAGAAAGCCAATTAGCCTCCAAGCCACTCAATAAAAAATATAAAATACATTAAATCAAGATTTATAGCAAAACTCAAAATTTTCATAAATTATGCTGTGCGGATATGGTTCCTATGCGAAGACCTGAGTGCCTTTGTACAATTGTGCGACCACATTAAATATTTTAGAACGTTTACACACCGATAACATAGAGAACCCAAACCAAAAAATTCCTTTTTTCGCAAATTTGACCGTAGTTTTTGGCTCAATAAGCATTTTTTTCATTTTGGGTTTATCGATGAAAATCAGTATGCCTTTGGCATTCCGATTCCTTGCATCATCCAAAAATACTAAATGCGAGGATACCTGCCTCTATCCCGAAGTTTATAATCACCTTCCAAAAGCTGTTCCAAACTTTTGACGCACTTATTTTTAAAATTTTTTTTTTAAATTCCAACGAGCTTTCTGATTTCCATGGCTATGTATTCATTGAGGTTCCTAATACATGGAGCTTCTAATAAAAAAGAAATGAAACTCCCATCTCAAGCCGCAAAGAAGATCCGGCCTGTTCCAAACTTTTGACGCGCAGTATATCATGCCAGTTTCAGAAAACTCAGAAGCACTTCTTTTTTCGTCTTTTAAGACTTCTAACTGAAATAAAACAACAAATCATCCAGAAATTCAGACTGATAGTCGCACAGCCCATCGTTCTTTATAACCAAATTGAATAGCCTTGAATCAAAAATTAATTTAAATTCCATTTTCGAAAATATTAAATCAGCTGCAAGAATTCAAATAAAAATTGCCCCAGGGGTTGTGTCAGAAGCTGTTCAAATTGAAGCAATTTTCAAAATAAAAACCTCAAAAAATGAAAAAGAAGCCCTCAACAGGAAAAGATCCCACGAAAAATCTCAAGAATTCTTTAGCTTAATCTTGCACTTGAATATTAAGATAAATGTAAAATAATGTGAGAAAGGGAGAGAAGACGTAGGTTAGAGAATTGGCAAAGAGATGTGATTAGACGCTATCACAATGCAAATATCAAGCTGTAAGGGCTCCGATTACACATTGTTTTTTTAGTTGAGGAGAGCAGAAAACAAACATCTGCTCGTTGTAGTATGTTGTTTTACATCAGAGGACAGATGGACAAACAGAACCTGCAAAAGGGTAATTAATTTGAAAAATTTTGTGATAAAACCCATTAATTTTCAGGTTTATTTCTGACATCAAAAAATTTTTTCATCATTTGTGGTGTGTTGACGACACTTCTTCTATTATGACGTATCTTATAATATCGTAAACAGCTACTTAAAAGTCATCTAGCAGCTCATGATGACTAAAAAATACAAATGAAACCTACAATCTAAAAAACCTTTTGTTTTATCCCAATTCCGTTTCTTGCTAGAAATTTCTTGTTTTGTAAACTACTAATGACATTGGTCTCCTATATAATACCATAAACAATCACATCGACCCATCGTAACCCACTAAGAGCATAATATATATACCTGATGCCTACTACAACATAACCTCTTAAACTTGATCCCGTAACCAACCAGATGTTTCGAAAATACCCCCAGCCCCATTATTATTTACCCACACGGCATTTTACGCACATACTCAAATGCCACAGTAAACGTTTACCTCTAATGTAAAGTGTAATATGACTAATAAACCGTGATCAGAAAAGTGGCATTGAAGCTCTAAAACAACAAGAAATGGCAATTCCCTGCGAAAAATCGAATAGGCACTATACAATTACTCAACTGCGAGGCAATCCTTTATTTATGGCAATTAAATCGCCTAAAGTAATATAATTCCTCCCGGTTTAATGGGCCAAAAAATAAAAAGACTCCAAAAAACAAAAACACCCCAAACATGGACGGAATTCCGCCACACGTGAGAAGGGAAATAAATTTTTAAGTATTCGAAAAGCCCTCGAGGCAAAAGAGAACCAAAAAAGGGCCATGCAATGTATTCGATATGACTTTTGTAGCCGAATATTTTGTTTTATGGGGCCGAGTGTATATAATTAGTGGTCTTGAATGGAGTTTGAAGGAATGTAAAGCGAAGAGAATGCATTTCAGATGAGATATTACAATAAAAATATTATAAATGTGATTAAATGTCATCTTGAACTAAAAATGTAATTGCTCGAAGATAGAACCTCGGATCTTCTTCAAATTTTGCACAAGTAATGCATAAGAACTACAACTTAAGATCAGAGATCTTTAGCTTTTGCTTTACAGTGCCAGCCAAGATACTCATCCATCTTTAAAGGCGATTTATTACAGAAAACTAATAAAATTGGCCATAAAAAATGTCTTCCAGTCTACTGAAAGTTACTCAGTAATCTTCATGAAAAAATGCGACATTCACATCTTCAATTACGTCAAAAAACATTCAAAAAATAATCAAGAAAATTACATTACACTTGACATTTAATATTCAAAATTCCAAAAAATTTCTGCCTTGATTTTGATAAGAAGAAAAGTGGATAATTATGCAATCAAATCAAAGCAAAATATCTGCAAAAAATCAATCTCGACGCCCACAGTAATTTTTCTGTGAAATAAGGGCAGAAAAATCAGCAAATAAGCAGAATGAAAAGAAAGTAATCACTCACCTCATTATCACACTTTGTGAAAGGTATACCGATTTTTAATCGCTCCAAATATTTTAAAATGGCCCCAACTTTGTGTAATGTCACCATGAAGGCCCAGAAGAGACCATTGTCCTTCGAAGACCAATTGGCGGCAGCTGATAAGGTAAGTTCAATATTTACTTTATATTATATAGTATTATTTAATCCGTATAATAATTTGTATTTTACAAAATTTGAGGAATTATGTTTTTATTTTTGATATTATGTAATTAAAAAATTTTTTTTTTAAAATTAAACCGTGATTTTGATTTTTTAGTAATTATAATGTCTTTAGTTTGCCTTGATCCAAAAATTTATTCAAAACTTATTTTTCTGTTATTTCAGCCCATTGTTAAGCGGCCCAAGGTCGTTGCGAAGTCAGCTGCGCCCGTTCAGAAGCCAGTGGAGGCCCCAGTCCAGCCCCAAAATTCTGAAAAACAAGTGGTCGAGGGTAAGCCATTTTTTCTATTATTTCGGATAAAAAATATTTTTGTCCATTTTTAACACTTGATATTTCAGAATCCTTCTACGATCCCACCACTGGGCGTAAAAGTGGTCATTGCCCGGGAGTCGGCCGCCCGATCCAGCCCAAGAAGCCCTTAGGGCACGAGACGAATCTGGAAGGCCGTACAGTGCGGGAACTGGAATTGTTGTTTAGTTACAACAAGAAGATCAGAGAAGAAAAGGACCACATTTGGGAAGATGTGGCGAGGAGAGAATTCTCCATCAAGCTGGAGAAAAGGGCAGAAGAAAGCTGGTACAGCTATTTTAAGGTGAGTAAAAAAAATTTTATTTTTGAGTATATTTTTTATAAAAAAAGTAAAAATCAGAAAAAATGAACATGATTTTTGAAATCAGCACCATTGAAAACCCCTAAATCAAGTATTTTTAGAAAAAAATCAAAAAATTATTTTTTAACACTACTACGAAGTAAAAAATAGCCATAGGGAAAATAATAAAATTTTTGTAAAAAACAAAAAAAAAATTATTTTACTTGTGAATATTTATTGATTTTTTACAATTATTTTTTCAGAGAACACAGTCAGCTGAGGAAGCCAGACTGTCCGAGCTGGCTAGCCGAATCTCGGCGAAACAACAGCAGGCCAATGAGAAGGAGAAGACGACCAAGGTCTGTAATACGGTCGCTTCTCAAAAGAAGAGAAGGTCGAGCAAAGCCAGCGGATCGACGGAGAAGAAGACCAGTGGGAAGGTCGAGAAGAAGAAAGCCCCTCCTCCCTTGATGCGAAAGGCAATGAGAATGGCCAAATCAATGAGGAGGTAAAGTTTTTTTATCCATTTCATTTTTTCATTCCGGTTTGTAATATAGAAAATTTTTTATATGTAAATATTTGTTGCTTTTTTTGTGTCATTGTTTTTTATTTTAATATTGTAATTTTTCATTGTTAATAAATTTTTTATAAAAAACGTCATCGGAATGTATTTTTGATTCGAAAAACTTTGTTTTATAAAAATTGGCATACTCCAAATGTAAATCTTGGATTTCCAAGCTACATTTTCCCAGAATTCCCTCGGATCGGTCGATTTCCCAATTCAAATGTCCGAAGAAGAGGAGATCGTGTATTCTCCGCATGTTGCGGCGGCTATGCAGTCTCTGATTTTGTTCACAATGCTCGTGAGCACGGGTCTGATGGTCATCTCGATTGTGACCGCCTACAAAGTGCGGAAGGGAAATAAGGAAATCAAGTTGAAGGAGCTGGTCGAGAAGACGGTAATGGACCTGAAGAAGGAGCGAGACAAGTTGGAGGTCAAACCGTGAGTTCTTCACGAGCCTTATTAGGAGAATTCTCATTAATTATTTGTCAAAAGATCATAATTTTTGGCTATTTTTGTAATGGATAATACACTGCTCCACGAAATGATAGACGCACCCTGTTTTTAGCGATTATCTTCCTTGTACTAAATGATATCGAATTATGTTCAACAGATGAAATGTGGCAAATTAAACGAGAATTCATGTCCCGTAGCGATTTTGGAACAAAATTTTGCCTTGACTGAGATATGACATTTTTAGACTTTTTTGGGGTCCACAAAATGATAGACGCAATTAAGTAATTTTTTGTTTATTTAAAAGAATTTTGAGTTAACCTGCTCTTATTACACTTCCTCGTGTTCTCTGTCGTATTAGAAAGGTAATTACATTTATATCCGCTGTACTTCATCGACGCAGTGGCCTTATGAGCCATTTCCGACCTTGTACATGGGGTAAAAATTCGTTTGAAAAAAAATTTGATTAACGATTTTGCTTTCGCCAAAAAACCATCTTAAACCATCATAGATTACTAGTTGCAAATATAAGACATAAAATAAACCAATACCGATTCGCTTGAAGTCATTTAATCGACCATTAAGTTACCGTATACCTTCTACAGTAACCTTCAAAGGCTCTAAAAGTACAGAAGATTACTATCGATGTCAATTTTTTGCTCAGAAAATCAAACTCAGCATGTTAACAAACCTAAAACCGCAACTTATTGCCTGCTTAAATGTCATGATGATTGACAGATGATTGATTAAAGATAAACGTGTAAAAACAAGCCTATTTTTGTGAACTTTTTTTTGTCGAACGACGTTACCGACTAAAGGTATTCTGTAACGGCGGATGATTAAAACATTACGTTTTCAGGCATGCTCAGTTCGAATTTGCAAATTAAATTTTGTCATTCTCTTTGATCGCCTTGGTATTTCGGGGGTCTAAAAGTATTAAGGTAGCTAGTTGTTGAAGATGATATGCCAAGAAAATGCTCGGGATCCTTGAGCAAGCCGTTTTTTTCATCAGTGAGATCTACACGTATAATGTGATAGTATTAGCTAGTTTTTCGCCCAAGAAAACAGAATCACCTACAGTTTTTTTCAAACCGAATATTTACCTCATGTACAAGGTCGGAAATGGCTCATAAGGCCGCTGCGTCGATGAAGTACGGCGGATATAAATGTAATTACCTTTCTAATACTACAGAGCACACGAGGAAGTGTAATAAGAGCAGGTTAACTCAAAATTCTTTTAAATAAACAAAAAATTACTTACAAGGGAAGTACTTGAAGTGTGACGCTCAGATTTTGATGAAACTTGGCACAAATTTAGAATATTTTTTTCTAAGATATATGCGGGAATCCTAGCTCGCGCTTTGCAGAAACAACCGAGATTTTTAGATCGAAAGTCGGCGAAAATTTTGGACTTTTTGCCGAATTTCGGCACGAAAAGTTTCATGCCTATTTCAACCGTAAAGAATAATGTTTCTACAAAAAATCAAATTTTTCCGCACGAAACTGCCAAAGTTATGGCCAAAAAGCGGTTTTCTCTCTGACCGCTCTCCACGTTGAGCTTGCTCTCTCGGCGGCAAAAATCGTTCAATATCTCGGCGGCGCCCGCAAAGCGCGAGCTAAAACTTTCAGGAATTGATATTTAGTCCATACCCGATGTGTGTGCAAAATTTAAAGAAAATCTGAGCGTCACACTTGAAGTACTTCCCCTGTTAATTGCGTCTATCATTTTGTGGACCCCAAAAAAGTCTAAAAATGTCATATCTCAGTCAAGGCAAAATTTTGTTCCAAAATCGCTACGGGACATGAATTCTCGTTTAATTTGCCACATTTCATCTGTTGAACATTATTCGATATCATTTAGTACAAGGAAGATAATCACTAAAAACAGGGTGCACTGCGGGTCGGGTCAAGTTTTTTTCATGGGGTGGTCAAGTCTTTCCCCTAATATTATTTTTTCCCCGAAATTCAGACTGTTATATGGGAGGTTAATCAAGGTAAATCTGGTCAGTTCTTGTTGATTATTTCAAGAACAAGTCTTATTCTATTTTTAGAAATCAAATTTGATTGAATTACGGTGTGGGTTTGCCTCAATTTTTAGCATTCTTTGGGGGTATGTATTCTATACCTAAATGATCAATTGTGAGACAGTTTCAAGTCTGATTTACGATATCGTTTCCATTTCACCTTCGGACGTACGCCACCTGTCCAATAAAGGTAAGTAACTGTGAATCTGGTAGTCCGTTTTCTAGTAATTAAAGATTTTGTATATTATACTAGGTACTTTTGAAGATTTTTGTTGAGATTTGCCAAGTTTTCGGCCTGGATTAGATTATTTAGCGTAATATTGGTCTCTAGTGCCTATAAAAACGTAAGTGGACAGGTTTCTCCTTCTCTTTTAGACTTTTTCTTTGTGTCCAAAGTTGATGCAGATTTTAGGTAGAGATGAAATTCAACGCCCAAACTATGCGGAATTTTCATAAAAATCAAAGAAAATACTTTCGAGGATCATCAAGCGAAGCAAAAATGTGTTTGAGACCAATCTAGCGTTTTTTTCAGGCGGATGTTATACATGATCCCTGTAACGTATAACATCTGGATCACATCTGTGAAGACCTCTGGTGATGGAAAACGTGGTTAGGACAGTAAAATTAATATGTTGGACGTGATTTTGAGGGAAAACCAGGCAAATCCCGTACAAAATTTTCTGAATAACCTAGAATAATATACAAAATCTTTAATTACTAAAAAACGGACTACCAGATTCACAGTTACTTACCTTTATTGGACAGGTGGCGTACGTCCGAAGGTGAAATGGAAACGATATCGTAAATCAGACTTGAAACTGTCTCACAATTGATCATTTAGGTATAGAATACATACCCCCAAAGAATGCTAAAAATTGAGGCAAACCCACACCGTAATTCAATCAAATTTGATTTCTAAAAATAGAATAAGACTTGTTCTTGAAATAATCAACAAGAACTGACCAGATTTACCTTGATTAACCTCCGATATAACAGTCTGAATTTCGGGGAAAAAATAATATTAGGGGAAAGACTTGACCACCACATGAAAAAAACTTGACCCGACCCGCAGTGGGGTGCGTCTATCATTTCGTGGAGCAGTGTATATTTTACAACTGCAAGCCCCTTTTCTATTATTTACTCTGAATTTTACAGAATCAACTACTAGTCGTCGCTATATCCAAACTAATTTATAATCGACATCACCTCTGTTTTTGATTATTTCTTTGAATAAATTTATAAAATCTCAATTATCATCCATAAATTTACTAACAACCTATTATTGTCATAACAAAGGAGATCTAAACAGTGGCAGTTTCGTGTTGGATCCACCCGAATCTGCTTGGTGGCCATATTCTGGCCATCACTTTGACCTGGACCAATCCCAAAGGAACCGGCCCAATATGTCTGGAGTCCTGCGATTGGTCGGCGTTATCACCGAGGAGGAAACAATGGCCTGGAGGGACGCGTCTCAATGGGGCTTCGTATTCTTGTTCCACTTCGATCTGAAATAATCGACGATTAAATGTTTTACTATGCCTTGTATAATATAAAAAATAGTCATTTTATTGGCTTCATATCCAATACCAGCCCTCTCAATCGCCACTCAGACCTTCCTGATCACAATTAACTCACCTTATCCAAGGGCATATAAGCAATTCTTTTGCACAACAAAACCCTCGGCTCAACCGGACTCATCGAACAAACAATATCCCCGGCCTTCAGCTTCCCCTTCTTCACGGATATTCTCTCTCCAATCACCCAATCGCCATCTCGGAAAGTCGGTATCATCGAACTTCCCCGGCAAATTATCAGTTCTCCGAGATGTTTGTTGATGACATAACAGGTCGAGTAGAGGTAGACGAGGAAGCGGGCTCGTTTAAGCGTGAACTGAGATCGTATTCCGGCCCATACCGACATCACTAAACACATCATGTCATCAATAAGAAATTTTTTTTTATTTTGTATTTACGAATGAAATTACTCTAGACAAATTTATATTAAAATATCCGAAAACTCAGGCCAAGACCAGTAAAAAGAACAAAAAACAAAACAAACCCACTTTAGCTTTCATTATTTTATTCCCGAAAGTAAAAATGAACATCAGTGCTTCAACATTCAAAAGAAACATAAACCTGAGATCTGTATATCTGGGAAATTATCGTATTTTACTCGGATATGTTTTATGATATGACGAATTCAGCCAAAAGAGGGAGATGATCTGACCCGCATTCTTGATTGGGCATGGGGCCGACCAATTTGTCAATTTCACCGAGCGATGGGAGACGGAGTCTTTGGAATAATTGGATGCGATCTTCTTGCGGCGTGCCACCTGGACCTGCCTGAAAATAATCACAAATCATTAGTCCATCCTTCTTAAACCAAAATCAACATAACACCCCGAAAAAAAAAGAAAAAAATCAAAAAATATTGCATTGTAGAATAAAAAAACCCCGAGGTAGTCTCATAAAATCGAGTATGAATCATCATGAAATGCCTTGAAACCATTCATTTAGATAATTCTACCAAAACCCACAAAGCCAACCCCATACTTACCACCCCTTGATAGAAAATAAAGTCCGGGCACCCAAAATCTAAATGTCTGGTGGAAACCTCCGGCTGTCCCTTCTCAGTTCTGTGTTCATACGCCGAGAGGAATTTCATTGGGTGGCTGTACGAAGTTTGTTCATTCACAAAACCTATAAGACCAAAAACGTATAAACTTTTACATTATCCATAAAACCCTAGATATCAAATCCTACCCTTTCTTTCTAGTCGTGTGCAATTATAAGTCAATCCAATCCTTGATGGTTTAACATCGACCACGTGATACTTTGATTCTTTCATACATTTATGGGGACTAAGAGCGAGGTGATAAGCCATCTTTTTCGACACTCTAAGAATGCCCTGTCTGACAAAGTCGTATAACAGCGACCGCGGGTCCATATTGAAGTCTCCACAGACAATATTGCCGACAAACTTGGGGTCAGTGTGATTAGTATTCTCATGTATCCTGTTTAAGAGGATAATCAGTTGTCCTAACTTCAGATCTCCTCTCCTCATGTTGAATAATATGTGAGTGTTGATCACATTGAACCTCAGACCTGATTTCAGATGTTCAAAGCGGAGCAATTGACCTAAAAACAAAATCAAATCAAAAATTTTGAAACCCACCAACATTATCCTTGTTGAATCCATCTACTTTATGATTGTAGAAGATGTGTTCATGATCCCCTTCAATCCTCTTTAATTCTTTCAGATTGTACGCGATCATACATCCATCAGGGTTTCCATTGCCCCTTGCCGTGTAAATATAACCAAATCCTCCTAAAAATACCAAAAAAATTATCCTATTCAATCAAACGTTGTATTATACGGCCTAAAACAACTTACTTTCGCTGAAAAAAGAGCGGAAATGTGTCGTAACATATTTCTCTTCGACCTCTTGAATGCAATAGATGTCAGCGTAATTCTCTCTGAAGAATTTGCACAACTTCTTCCATCGAACAGACCATGGGAGACTGGATTCATCGCAGGATTTATAGAGATGTTCGCAGCGAAGACGAGTCGACTCACAGAGAACGTTGTAAGTGCAAACAGAGATTGGAACTCCATTAGGGGGCAGTGGATTGCTCTAAAAACACAAACATCAAACAAAAATATCAAAAAACTTTTTAGGTATTAACCTCAAGTACAATATCTAAAATCATACCTTTTTAGCCGGAACCATGCACCTTCTAAGTTTCCCGCCCATTCCTTGTTTATTTCTATTGTCATCGGACACATTTTCTATCAAAACAACATCGTCTTCTTCCCTTTTGTTACCTAAATCAACATCCATGGCTTCTTCTTTGGGCTTCGGATCAACCTCCATAGGTTCCTGTGAACTAACTGGTTGATCGTTAGGGGCCTCAGCAAGCTGTTCCCTTAGAAATGCAGCTCGTTTCTTTTTTGCTTTCCTGCCGCTTGTTTTAGTGGTGGGCGCAGAAATATTAAATTGTTGTGTCTAAAAATACAAAAATCAGATAAAATAATCGGCAAAAATAAAGAAAATTATCCAAACACTTACTACGACTGGTTCCACGGCACTTTTGCTGCTACTTTGGACTTGCGAAATCGCTGAAAATTGATAAAAAAATAAAAAATTTCCGATTTCTCACATTCTTTATCAGTAATCACAACAACTTCTAGACCACAAAGATAGCACTAAATTTATTTAAATTTACCTTTGTGAGATGCTATCCTTGCACTTCTTCTGACTTTAGTTCCTACCTCTTCGCATTTATTGTGCCAAGGAGTTGTCTGAAGGATAATATAATATACTTGAATTCCATGTTCTAAACGTAAAAAAAACAAACAAATAGACCTACCAGGACCTTGGAAGCAGTATCACTGAGAAAGATCTGATTCGAATTCCCAGCCGATATTACACTTGCCTTTGGTGGACTCGGCAGGAATATAATATCGTCATCTAAACAGAATAACTAAAAAGCATAGACGGTACTACCTTTAGTTCCGCGCTTTTTCTTTTTATTAAACAGTAATGGTTTCTCCAAATTCAGGCCCTTCTTCTTTCCAGCGGGCAATGTTGAAAAACGGACGTTCGAAAAAAAATTGGCGGCTTTTTCCCGCTCGGTTAAAGGAACTTCAACTAAAATATGAAAGAATATCCTAAGACTGCAAGTAGGAACTAACCTAGCTCAACGTCGTTCGACTCCTCAGTGTCCGTATAATCATCCAAGACAATCCTAAAACAAAGTCAAAAAATAGATAGGCGAATTGAAAGAATATTCCCGCAAGAGTCAACCCGCAAGGAAGTCAAAAGGCTCGGCTAGTACAAACAGTAATGTATGAATAGTAATGTTCGCGTTGGCAGCTAAAGGAGAGACTGACAGCCGTCTCCCCCATGATCAATTAGACCATGACACCCCAACGGGAGAACGGCTCCAATCATTGCATTCATATATTGAACACCCCCTTTAGCACCTGTGCGGATAGCTGCAGCAAATTTTAACCTCTAATTTGACTAAAATCGCATACGACTATATTATCCATGCATTCAAACAAAGAATTCCGAAATGTTACCTAAATATGGAAGAAATCAATAAAACAAAACTAACGTCTCATTGACAGGTTTAAATGGCGGAGTGGTTTTATCCTTTCTTGGAGAAACCCCCAATTTGATGTTAGTTTTGGCCCGATCTTCTTCGGTTATAGGCTTCCGTATAACAACAATATCATTGAGACCGCCTGCCTCGTCGTCACCCAAATTACGCTGAAGTCCGGAGAAATCTAGATCGCCAAAGCCAGCAAAAGCGTCGTCAAAGTGTTTTTCGTTGAGAGTTGGTCTGAAATTTAGGTACAAAAATAAATTTATGTTATTTCACCGACAGAATCAAAATATTGTGAAATACTGATTGAAATCTATCTCACCCTTCAAACAATAACAAAACAGAAATTAAAAAGAAATCAGCTTACTCTTCTGCTTCACGTGCCTCACCGGATTGATTGTCAATAAGAGAAAGTTTGCAGCGTTTCTTTGGAGGAGACCGTCCAGCAGGTACGTGCATATGTCTTCGAGCACCTGCTCGGTAGCCGTACATTCTACCACACTTCTAAATTTATTTCTTGACAAAATGAGATAACGTACGTTAACGTAGTAAAAAATTTATTCGCACAGCCTTGTGCCCTCCGTCCTGCAACGAAAAATTGCTCTGGCATTTTGTAGCAATAAAAAAATTCTAATTGTAAAAAAATCTCGAAATTTTGGAAAATGGTGTAAAAGGCAGTTTTCCTGTAGGTATTTTTTTGGTAAAGATGGAATTGCATAGAACTTGCCGGCTTCTTAGATCTCTCAGGATATTCAGGTCTTATGGGTAAGTTAAAATCATGTTTTCTTTTATTTTCTAATGTTTAGAAGTTCAGTAGTGAATGTTGGTGCGCCAAGGCGATCTCGACTGGCTGTTGAACAAAAGAAAAAACAGACTACAGGGCCAGAAGCGTTTTTGCAACGATTTTTGGAGACCTACCCCGATTTGTCCGACATGGATAAGAAAATTATGACGACAAACTTCTTTGTGAACAAAAGACAAAGTGAACGCATGGTTAGTTGGCATGAAGATCCATCTATTTGATATGTGTTTTAGTTAACAAAGAGATTATCACCTCGTGGGGCTCAAAAATACTTTGAAAATGAAGCGAACATCAGTTATTGCGTTTATTCCGATCAATTCTTGGCCTTCATTTTGTTGCCAATCGAGGAGGGGAAGGGTAAGTGTTGTCTTCACTTGTTTATTTGCTTTTAGATTACTTTATAAAGTCGCTGAAGAAGAGTCCAGCCGAATTTATCCCACATTATTTCAATTTCTGCGGAAATTTGATGAGAGGAATTGATAAAGCCGGTCGAAGAATGCTGATTCAAAGACTCTACAAAGCAGTCGAAAGCAATGGTGATTTTTTAAAATTTATTCAATGTTTTATATTATTTTAGGTATAAAATTTGATATAAAGATGATAAATTCTTGGCTGAAGGCGAGGCTGGAGAACGACGATCATTTTGAGCCCTGGGAGATGTTGCGGTTAGCCGAGAATGATATGAAATTGGAGGTGGATCAAGACTTTTTCGATTGTTTGGTCTGGCAAATTGCGAAATCTGGAGAAATTCATATGTTTGAGTGAGTATAACGTTATTTTTGGCCATTAAATGCTTTACTTTTAGTTCATTACATCTTGAAATGTCCAAAAGGGGGTTTGGCCCATCAATTGAGACAAAACTGGCCGAGATTTTCGCCTCGGAATGTTGCGGAGTGACCCTAAAGTCAGATGGCCTTTTGAATAAATTCCAAATTCAACACCCCGAAATGAGACATCAAGCCATGGCAGTTGCTTGTGAGGGTGCCACATGCCGTCGGGATTACGATCGTCTCAGGGTATTGTTGCGGAAGAGTGTGGAAATGGCCAAAGACGGAAAGGTTTACGATCTCTCGCTACCTCAACAAAAAATCTTCGACGTGGTCTTCAGTTTGGCCGAGAATTCGGTGGACGGAATGGGGAAAGAATGTTCGACCCTTGTCCAACAGGTGGGTTATATTGATTGAACCGATTTTATAAATATTTTTGTTTTATGACCTTATTTTAGGTCCTATCCCATACCCGCCGAGAACATGGATTTCATCAACGATTGGCCGCCGAAGCCGAATCCCACCTGGACAATGGCTTCTTTTTCACAGCGATTGCGTTGCTAGGCCAGAGTCGGCGGTCTGTGGCCACGAAACAATTCAAATATCCCAATTTTGTCGACTTTTTCCAAAGACTTTCCGCCGATTTCCTCCACAAACTGGCTGATAAAATGATTGAAAAAAGGCTGGAAGAGGATGTAATAATCGATATATCCAATCGAGTCCTCTCTCTTTTGGGCCCAGAGACTGATTTCTACACAGTTTTGATGACAAAATTGATCCAGAAGTCGGAGATCACCTGGTTTTATCGATTTGAATTGTTCAAAAGAGTGGTGGACATTGTGGATTCGGAGAGAGAAAGGCCTCATTTGATGATGCCATTTGTCGCTAGGTGAGGATTAGCCCTTTCCGGACGAGTCGGCACCTCCATGCAGAAATGAAAGAGGGTACCCTACTGAGTAACGGCATAATAGTGGTTCAGCCCATCGAAGCGTTATTTGGGACTTATGACAAAAAATGTCCTAAAAAGTACCCCCAGTTGACATAACCCTTATAAAATTTTGCTAACGACCTGTAAATTAGAAACTACCTTAAGTTAAAGTCTAAGACTCCTAGTACTGTTACATCCAAGAACTGTCCAAATCGGACCACTACAGGATTAGTTATCGACTTTTGGAAATTGAATTTTAAATTTCGACCAATTTTTGGCCCAAAATTGAGTATATCTTCCGCCAGAATCAACCATTTCGGTCCAAATGTGGTTTTTCTGAATCTAGAGTGACGCTAGCTTCTTCCTAGAATGTTTACAGAAAAAACCTATAGAGCACTTTTCTGTAAAAAGCGAAAAAGTTGAAAACGTAAAGGTTTCACCGTATAAAATGTCGCCGCAAGCCGCAAAGGGTCGGGCGCAGCTCGAAATGCTAAAATAATATTTTTTCTTCGAAAAATATTATTTTAGTGTCGACAAGCTGAATTCAGATGAAATACAGACAGACAGAGCATGCAAACATTAACTCAATGTCATTTTAATATTTTTAATGCGTTTTCAGGCAATTTCATTGGATTTTGCTTTAGTTTCACACTAAAATAGTATTTCTCAAAAAAATATATATTATTTTCGCCTTTCGAGCTGCGCCCGGCCCTTCTCGGCTTGCGGCGACATTTTATACGGTGAAACCTTTACGCCTTCAACCTTTTCGCTTTTTACAGAAACGTGCCCTATAGGTTTTTTCTGGAAACATTCTGGGAAGAAGCTAGCGTCACTCTAGATTCAGAAAAACCACATTTAGACTGAAATGGTTGATTCCGGCGGAAGATATACTCAATTTTGGGCCAAAAATTGATCGAAATTTAAAATTCAATTTCCAAAAGTCGATAACTAATCCTGTAATGGTCCGATTTGGACAGTTCTTGGATGTAACAGTAGTAGGAGTCTTAGACTTTAACTTAGGGGTGGTTTCTAATTTACAGGTCGTTAGCAAAATTTTATAAGGGTTATGTCAACTGGGGGTACTTTTTAGGACATTTTTTGTCATAAGTCCCAAATAACGCTTCGATGGGCTGAACCACTATTATGCCGTTACTCAGTAGGGTACCCTCTTTCATTTCTGCATGGAGGTGCCGACTCGTCCGGAAAGGGTTAGAGAACTTTAGGAGTGGAACTTGAATTTCCATTGCTTTTAATTGTTGAATTGTTGATGACATCGTTTTCAGCGCAACCAGCGTGTTTGAAAAGCTCTCGATCATCTACCGAATGAAATTAATGGGCTATAACAACTTGTTCGAGGTGGATAACGACTTTTTGGTCAGACATATTGTCATCCCAGACCTCAGTAAGAAATTAATTGCCATTTTAGGAAGTCAAAATGAGTTTGAAGATGACATATGACCTTATTTTAGAGTACAAAGTCTACTCGGATCTGTCCGCCACAGATAAAACGCGGCTGAATTATATGTACACGTCGCTAAAATCCTTTGGAATAACTGATCGAGAGATCCTAAAATTGGCAAAAGTGGCCAAGCGAGTGTCCAGAAGCGAACCAATTTTTGTCTCGCCGATGAATTTGACAAGGTAGGCGGTCAGTGTCATGGATAATATTTTGTTTGTTTTAATCTCATGGTTAATATATTTCTAGCTGGATAGAAGAGAAAGAACAGAATTTACCGGTCGATGATGCTGCAGATTTCATCCCATCACCTGAAATGACAACCGATCAACTGAAACATTTGATAGATGAGGAGAATGTGGAGAAATTACACCTGGCCCTGGTCAGAAATGGAGGGTTCCCGGAGAATACGGACTTCTCCCAGGTCACGGAACCCTTGCTAGTACTGTATTTGGAACAGGCCAACTTTGGATACGTCCAGAAATTACTTCAAATGCTGTTAGTTCTAGAATAGTATTGAATTTTGAGTTGAATTCGATTTTTTTATATTTTTATTTAGAAGCCAGGCAGCAGAGCCAGATTCCCACTCAGAAGTCGAGAATTCGCCCAAAAACCCCCATAATTTTGTTGAAAATTATCATCTTTTACACATTCTACACCGAAAATTGACCGAGTTGGGGGTGAATAACGATCTGGAGGTGCTGATTGAGTACGTTTATGAACTCAGAAGGATGTTCCCATATGGTGAGTGGTTTGACGATTGAATTTTTGGTTGTTTGGAGATCCATTGATCTTATTTTAGCCACCGCCGACTCCTCCACCGCCTTTCAAACAGTTGGCGCATACAGGAATTTATTCAAGGCCTTGATGCAGGAAAAGACCCTGACAAAAGATGTTTTGGATAAGATTACTGACTTCCTGGATGTGCTGGTCAGGCTGAATTATATTAATTTACACACAAACGAAACAATCAGCCCCTATATTATGAGAAGAGTCATCAGGATGTAAGGATTACGCATTTTTTTTGGAAAGCCTAGCATTTGAGGTCATATTGTAGTTGACTTGATGTAACTTCAATATAATTTGTCTTAGGGTATGGCTGATATTGTTCTAAATGCTTTTGTTTTTCAGTTTGGGCTGGAACACCGCCGTGGATACGTGGCTGAAGCTCCAGCAGACCTTCCATTTATCCAACGGGATGCTGGAACTCCTCAAAGAAGTCCTCTCCAAGAACCCCGTTGACTCGCATCGCAAGAATTTCGTCTTACAAAGAGCCAAAACATATCTTTCGGAGTCCAGAATCAACGCGTTCTTGGCCATTGCGTATGTCCAGATCCAGAAATATGAAGAGGCCGAAAATGTCCTCAGGCAAAACAAAGTCAGGCCAATGGATCTGGCCCAGCTTTTTAGACTGAATAATTCGCTTCAAACTGCGACTCTAGGGCAGGATGCAGACACTACATACGAATTCCTGAAGATTTGTTTGAATTCTACGGAACTGGGGAAGGACAAAGATGCCCTGAGGGTATGCCATGCGGATTGGATCAAAGTGTGCGGTAAGAAGGGGTTTAGGACGAAATTTGAAGTGGATTAGAGCAGTGAAAGAGACCTTAAATAGAAGAGAGCTCAGTTTGGAATAGATTTGAATTATTATTGGGGCAGTTTTAGCGATCAAACATCAACAATTATTTTGATTTACCGATTTTTTATTATTTGCTTTTTTTTCGGAAGCGACCAAACACAAAAAGAAGAAGGGAGTAGACAAATATTCCACTGAGTGGACCTACATTTTATTATTTATAGTAACAATCGGAGAAAGTTTTAAAATAATTGAAAAAAATAAAGTGTTTAGAAGAGATATGTCATGGATAATGTAATTTTGGATCTGTTTCAGAACGAAATAACCTCGGAGTCCACGCCATTCGAATCAAAGAATTGTTGGACCATTATAATGTGGAACTGGACAGAGAATATCTGAATAGAGTCCAGGCATTGGCGGAGGAACATAATCGACTGGTCGAGTAAGTCGAAAAAATTAATAAATTATTGTTTTGGTCTATTTAACCTTTTTCAATTGCAGTAAATGGATTCTGAATCCCCAAACGAACGTGCTGAACAGCTCTCTTTTGACCGGATCCGAGGTTTTGAAACAAATTAATGAGTTCAAACAGAAGAGTAATATAAATGATGGCATGGAGCAGCTCAAAATGACGTCAGTTGTGACATGATGGCCAAAAAAGGCAAAGTTAGGATTTTATAGAGGTCTGGAATGGTTTTAGAAAATTTTTGTTGCGTGTATATTGTTGTTGTTATTTTGTTACAATAAATATTTAAGAAAATTACTTTGGAATATATATTTTTTATATTTATCACAAAAAATTGGGGAACAATACAAAGTGAATACCATTTTTATTTACTTGAATTTCGAACCCCCTCAAGAAGCCCTATAACCCGAGAAATACGGTACTTTCCTTTAGCGGAATACCGTATCTTTGAACGTCATCCGAAGCCAGAATTTTGGGGATTTCTGAAAATTTGGGAAAACGTCATTATGTAGTCAGCATTCGAAAAGGGGAAGTGGATATCCATTATTCTGGGTCGAGCCGGGATTAAAACTTTTTAATTCCGACAAAAAACAAAACGTTTTGGAGAGTTGAATGGACGGGAATGGCAGGAAGAGAGCAAGTGCAATTTTCGAAACAATTTTTCCATTTTTTGGAGGAAAAATTAGCTGGGTATGTCAACAAAAAAATGCTGTGGGGCATGGAAAATTTGATTTTTTAGCCAAGTACACTAAACAATATAACAAACCGTCCAAAATCTCGCTCAAAACAGCTTCAGTCCTTCGCAATCTTCGTTCGATGTCTTCTGCAATATATATCCAATAATATTACCACCAAACATTCAATATATTGTCTGCTAAAGGTCGTCTTCTGTTCAAATTTCCCTTTCTTCTCCATTTTTAGGCCCAAAAATGATTCATTTGTGGGAGAAAAGGGGGAGAATATTCAAATTATTCCATTCCATGGCCATAAAAATTGCCAAATGGGGGTTTCAAGGGAGTTTTGGAGGCTAATTAGGGAATTGTTGTAAGCGGAGGGAGGCTTAATTTCGACGACCTCCCTTTCAATAGGCAAGTCTCGAGTGCCTTGGACGTAGGATTACGTAATTATGACGATTTTTAAAAGTTTTTTAAAAATATAAATTCGTCACTTTCCCTGTACCCAAGAAGAGGGTGAATTGGTTGGCAAAGGAGTTGTAGTTGACGCCAAATCCATAAATATTATAGCTAGCCAAAAGAATGGGAGTGCTGAATAAGGGTTGGCAAGTCAGCTAAATCATATGGAAACTAGCGTATTTAAAAAAATCAAAAATTAAAATTTTTGTTTTTTTTTCTCTAAAGGTCATCTCCTTCTAAGACCCTCATTTCTCATAATTTATCTCTCCAATTTATTCAAATTTATGCCACTTTTATCTGGCCCCGCTATCTCTCCCTTCCAGGACCATCTGTTACCACATCTTCCCCTCTCTCCAGAGTCCAAAAGTATTGGGAAAACATTGCGGGGAAAGCAGTAAGTGGTAATTAATGCGCCTCTTTTTTGGTCACTGTTTATACAGAACAAGGGATCAGTTATTGTATAGGGTTATTGGTCGGTGTTGTTACAGGGCTGTGCTATCTTGGGAGAATATTTGTTTTGGTTTGGGTTACTGTAAAAAAATTTTTGGATTTTTTATTTCCAAAAATTGCCGGCAAAATTGGAAAAATAATTTTGAGGTTACTGTAACATTTTTTCGGATTTTTTCATCAACTTTTTGTCAAAAAAAATGCGTCGGGTTACTGTAACAAAATTCATAATTTTTCCCCCAAAAAAGCGAAGAATTAAAATTTTTTGGCCGGGATTGAACAATTTTAAATTTATTTTTGATTTACGCCCTGCAAATTCTCTTTTTATTGGATTATTTAACGGATTTTTTGTTGATCCGAACCTCCGATCGCTCATTTCCCTCACTTCTCTTGGCCGACATTCGAAAGCGATAAAATTTGGGGAGGAAAAAAAGCGAAAATGGCCGGTGAACTCGGCCATTTGACACTCCATCTTCAAAGTAATCCCGATTTAAACTCAAAAAGAAAATTTTTTTGACATTTTAATTAATGTGCCTGCTTTTTCTTGCAAATTACTTTGTTTTTGGATATTAATTTGATTATTCGCCCGCCCTTTTCCTTGGGCCGTTTTTAATCCAATCTAAAACGTCCCTCGGCTAGGAAATTAGGGCTTGTTTCGAGCGAAGAAACTTGGAAATAATGTTTGGCTTGGGAATTCGCGATATTACACATGGCAACTTTGTGCTCTAAGGCTGTTTCAAGCAGCTTTTTGTATTATTTTAGAGCACTTAGAGCTCTAAAAATTATAAATTCTCTAATTTCGTAATATTTCCGAAGAAGATTTTAGTTAATATCGCTTTGAAAGACCGCCTGTTTTCTCATTTTAATAGAAAAACTAAAATTTTTGATGATTTTTACCATAAATTTAACCAAAATCTTAATTTTTAGCCCAATGTCTAAAATAATGTCGCTTTATCTCCCTCAAAATCGTATATCATAATCCCTGGCCCCTCCTCATCCATCATTCTCTCTCCATTTTGCCCTTTACATCGCCACTTTTGATGGATTTTTTGAAACTTTGGACAACTGTTGTCCCCTTAGGGCCCAAATGGACCCAGAAAAGCGATATTTGCACATCTTTATCCACATTATGTCATTCCAAAGAGCAAAATCCTCAAAATTAGGCCGATTTGGATTCCGAAATCGAATATTCCGCCACCTTCTGATATCCGATCCCGGCCGTACGTGTGTTTTACATTAATTCTGGCTTCCGTTCGTGCATATCATGCGGGGAAATTCAATCTTTCCGGGCACGATATTTGCATATTTGAGAGGTCTGGGCCTCGGCCAAAAAAGGAAGCATCAAATCGTCAGAAAATGGAGTCGTTGGCGACCTTATTTTAGCCATCAAACCCATATTTTACGCCATTTTTTTATTTTTTAAATTTTTTTGTTGACATTTTTTTTAAAGTTGAAATCAAGTTTAGTGTCCCAAATTGAATATTCTGTAATCCAATTTCTCTCTTTTCTCATTTTCATACGTCTTTTTCAACGTTCCGACATTATTTTAGTCATCAAATAATGTTTTTTCTCACAGGGGAAGTACTCCAAGTGCGACGCTCAGATTTTGATGAAACTTGGCACAAATTTAGAACAATTTTTTCTAAGATATATGCGAGAATCCTAGCTCGTGCTGTGCAGAAACAACCGAGATTTTTAGGTCGAAAGTCGGCCCAAATTTAGGACTTTTTACCGAATTTCGGCGCGAAAAGTTTCCTGTCTATTTCTACCGTAAAGGATAATATTTCTACAAAAAATCAAATTTTTCCGCACGAAACTGCCAAAGTTATGGCCAAAAAGCGATTTTCTCTCTGACCGCTCTCCACGTTTTGCGTGCTCTCTCGGCGGCAAAAATCGTTCGATATCTCGGCGGCGCCCGCAAAGCGCGAGCTAAAACTTTCAGAAATTGATATTTAGTCAACACCCGACGTGTGTGCAAAATTTAAAGAAAATCTGGGCGTCGCACTTGGGGTACTTTCCCTGTCAGCCATTTTTTGTTCTGATATCAAAAATAACATCTCAAAATCATTATTGTATCTTCTAATCTTCCCTTCTGCATCCCTCTACGTCCTCTTTGACTATTATCATCACCACCATCTATCGGCTTTTGGCCTTTGATCCCCTTATTCCGAAAATTAAATGACCAAACGTTTCCCTTTTGCGGATAAGCGGATCTTTCGTAGCCTCGAGGCCGGTTTCCTTGGCCCATTTTATTTCCCCCGGGAAAAGAATTCGGGCCTCTCGAAATGGACGGGGCCTTTCTTTTTTGGGGGGAATAAAATATGCAAATTTCGGGGATGATGTTCTGTCCAGCCGGCTTTTGATCTCTTCATGGGCCTCGGAATGGGCCTTTGGGGGATAAATTACCCTAAAAAGGATGAAAATCTCTGTAAAATAGGTTTCTTGGCCGCTTTTTTATATTACACTAGGCATTTTTTGTCTAAGATTTTTTTCTCTGAACATAGTTTATATACTCTTGAAGACGTATTTTACGGTTTTCTTATTCAAAAAATTCGCCTTGAGATGGTGAAGATCCCATAAAATTCGGTCGTTTTCGCTGTTTTCCGCATCATTTTTTGGCCATTCGGCTTCGAATTTCAGGGCACTCACGAATTCTTGACTCTTGAAACAACCAATTCCCGGTTTAAGGCTTCTTTTGCAGCTCAATTTCGGCGCTACTTTTCAAGCGAAAATTTTGATGAAATTTTAGGGTTACCGTAATTTAAATTTGATAGTGGGTACTGTTCACTTGATAAATTCTGCTTTTTTTTGTTACAGTAAGACGTTTCTCTTTATAAACCGTTATTTAGGGCGGTTTAATTAAATTTTTAATTTTTTACATCATTGTTTTCGTAAAAATGAATAAAATAATATGAAAATCAAGTGTAATATCGAAAAAAAGCCAAAAACGAGGGTTTTTTAACTTGTAAATACAATTAAAGATAACATAGTATACTATTCCCCCTCCTTTTTGCGCATTCATCCATAAAATCGCAAACTTACTCGAGATTACCAGCCCTGACTCCTTCCAAAACTGGTGTGGAAGGAGGTCTTCTGGCCCAAAAATATAAATTTCTTTTCGGTCCAACAGATATTTTGTGGCCAAAGAAACCGCGCACAACTTTTCCCAGCTCTTTTTTGTTTTCTTTTTATGCCGAACCGGCTTTTTTTAGATCTGGAAGGTCTAGTGTATTATAAAAAAGCCCAAAAATAAAGTTGCCAACCTTTCTGAAAGCCGACATGTTTAAAAATGCGTTGAATTTGCGAGTTAAGGCACGCTAGACCTATAGAAAATTGTTTATATTACTCATGATGCAGGTGTTTTTATTCCACATGGCCAAAGCATGTCTGGGAAACAAATGTCATCAAGATTTCTAAGAAAAATTTTTATCCAACAAAAATTGGATAAAAAAGCTAAAATTGGGTGTTTTGAAAAGAGATTGTTGGAATTTGAGACCTCAATATTTTTATATTATACTTGGAAAATCATGAATTTGTTCAGCTGTCGGGGTTGCTAGAAATATTTTTGAGCCTTCCAAGTATTAGGATAAGGGTTTTTGGACAATTTAAACCGCCTCCAATTAATTTTCAGCTGCAGGTTTTATGATTTTGGACCTTTGCTGGCCTTTACTATATTGTAGTAGGCATTTTTGATGATTTTTTGCCGAAATTTCTAAAAAAATATAACACCTGACCTTAAGATTTTTTGAAAGCACTTGTAAAATTGATTTTGCTATTCTTCGGTACCATAACACACAGATCTTAAATGTAAATTTTATTATTTTTGCTATAAAACTTTTTGATGACTAAATTTTCAAAATTCCGAAAATCTCCGAAAACTTCCGAGTTTTGCATTGCACTGCCCCTCCAAGTCTAAGAGTCCATATCTAAAGATTTCCCTTCCTCCCTGTCACTTCCATTCGCCCTCTCCGTCAAAAATATTCAGGGTAATATGGACTCTAAAACAATCTATTTGAATAAATTATCGCTGCCCTCCTCGCTACACACTGATTCCGTTGGGAGGATTAATAGATTCAGAAGTGAAAATAGCAAACTGAGAACGGGAATTCTCTGAATGAAGGCCTCAGGGCGGAAAAGGGGGAATCGCTTTGTTTTGGTTGGATATTACGTGTAAATGGGCGATGGTTTGTTTCAAAAGTCGCAATTTTTTTGGCCATTTATATTTACCAAATGCTATTTGGGCCTTTGCGGGCAATCTCGCATCGGGAAAAAAGGTTTTTTGCCTTGAAATCAGACTTGTCATCGCTTGGTGTCAAGTATAATATAAAATTTGCCTCTAAATCCAAACTTTAATTAAAATCATTATTTATTACGCAAACTAGACCATCAAAGAAGTATATTGATATCCAACTCGGCATTTATTTTTTCCCTATATTACACTAGATGTTAAAATAATCAAAATCCTTAAATTCCCGGCAAACCCCTGAAATTCTACGTAATTTCCTCACGTTTTCTCTGCCCTCTGCCCATTATTCACCACTATTTCCTCCCCAATTTATCTCAAATTTTTATCAAAAAAGCGAAGGGAATTTCGAGAAAAATGGCCGCTTTTTTGGCCCGAGAATGGCCGAAAAGCGGCCGAAAACTTGGAATAAACCCGCTCTTTATAACGAATATGTGGTTTACGGCCGATTAAAATGTTGTTTTCACTTCAGGAAACAATCCCGAACTTGTCAAAAGTCATCTTTCTTCCACTTTTTAACGTACTCCTTTACATTTATTTTCGCAAAATCTTTGCTGTTTTCAATGTGAGGTTGTGGGCAAAGTTGTAGTTGGATTGCGTGTCAAATCTGTTTTTTCTGTTTAATGGTGGTAGCTTGACATCTTTGACTTTTTTTAAGGATCTTTGGAAATGGTGTTGGATTTGGGGAGAACTGGAAAGAATGGGGTGTAGCCGGGATCTCTGTAATCCGGATTTGGCTGTTCAACACTAAACAAGATCTTTTTACTACACTTTATTCCATTTTGGGGCATTCTAACGTTACCATAAGTTTATAGTGACTTACACGAAAAATTTTAAATTATACTGAACATTTTTGATGATTTTTTGTATTTTTTTTTTACTTATATGGGATTTAGTGAATTATAAACACCTGTCAGTTAAAGCTGTCGACTTTTTACATACTTTGTAACACACGCCCGATGACTTTGCTTTTATAATTGTACATAAATTTTGGAAAATTCTTGCCGTAATTATGACCAAAACCAGGGTTGTATAGAATCATAAAAAAGATGTCCTCTAAAACTACATTCCTCCAAAATCTTTGATCATCAGTATCGCATCATCAGCACTCTTCTTCATTCTCCTTACACTTGCCCTCATTTGGATTACTTTTCAACTCCATTCACAACATAATTACCCTTATTATTCAAGAACATTTCCACGTGTCCTCTACTCTTTTTGCTTACTCTAAACTTGCAGAACATTACTGGTTAATACATCTTTCATGTGCTGAATACGGTGTTTGACTTGTGAAATGGGGTGATTACCGAGGAAAGCAACCCTCTTCTTGGCCTAATCTAATTCGTTTAGTCTCTTTCGGCGACTGACATGTTGTTATGGGTTTTTTCATGGAGAGCTTACCTTTTTGGGCGAGCAGAGGGGATTATGACGTAATCTCGTAAAACTACGTAACAAAAAGACATCGTTTTCAAAATTAGTACGCATTTTTATGTAATATGAGATTTTAACATGCGAGAAAACATTTCACATCGCCTAAACAGACTAGTTCTGATATTTGATAGCTCTTATTGGGAGTTATTTCGAACGAGGGGAACAGTTGACTCAATTGAGTCAAGTTTTTCTCTCTTCGAAATGGCATAGCATAGGTAATTGGGATTACTTTTATAGTGTTCCTAGCTGTGATTACAACGCATATTTTTCAATTTTACCTTTTTTCCCACAAACTTCGTCATAATAACAGCTTTTCTATAGAAATTTATGCAAATTTTATTTTTTCCCATTTTTTTCGTGTCACTTTATTTTTCTATCCACGCGACTGTAATGTTGCCAACATTTACGCAAAGATTTCAGCGACATGATGCGATGAGACAGTGTCAGTTGACGACCTTGCTCCTCTGGGGCTGTGGGGCGGCGGTTATTTTGTGGCTGATCATGGTCATGAAGCTCTCCAGTCGGGTCGACAACTCACAATTCAGCGGTAAGTTATGATCTTGTAGGGACCCTGGGTGAATTTTGGAAAGTCGCGGGTTTTCTGGGCAACAATCTCAAATTTTTACGGAAATTTCTGGCGAGGATGAACAAACTTTTCGCTCCAGATATAAGCCAACAACAACAGCTGAACTCGGCCCTCTCCGAGATCGATCGACTGCGCCGAGAAACTGCCGAACTCAAAAAGAAATTGGAAGCCAGCAATTCAGAGGCCAAGTCAGATCAAAAACTGGAATTAAATCCAGTCTTACCAGAGCCCAAAATCAATATAATCGACGGGAAATTGTACACAAAAGAACATGAAGTCGAAAGGAGAGAGTTGGATAATCAGATTAGGGAATTGTTTTACTATCTCCGAAGCCAAACGGATTCAGAAAATGGGGAGATCAAGGACAAGGTCAACTTTAGGCAACGGGTACTCAATCAGGTGAGTTTTGAGCTTTTCAAAATTTCTATTCGGCAATTGATGTCGTATTTTACCGACCAGGAGAATTATTTTCCGTATTTTTTATATTACTGTAGTCAACTTCCCCCTAAAATTTTAATAAATAAAAAAATAAACTTTTACTTTCAGACGATCTCCTTGATGGCATTATCGACCAACTTTGGCTCTCTAGTCGACCAATCAGCCGTTTGGCACAAGCAGGAACTCCAGAAACTCACCGACCATATCCAAAAACGTATCTACGACCTTCAGCACCCATCTTCTTGCTCAAACACGCGGTATGTCTGCTTAATTCGTTTACCTATATTTTATTCGATGTATTTTATCCTCTGAAAACGCTTACTTTTACCAAAAAACGGCCTAATACGATCAGAGAAAGACTTGGCACATGTCCTAAAATTTGAGTCATGTGTTGGCTCTCGGATTTTTTTTTTATTCTTTTGTCGAAAAAGTAATGTGGATTCTTTCAGGGTATTAGTGTGTGATCTAAACAAAGGATGCGGCTTTGGATGTCAGTTGCATCACGTTTCTTACTGTCTAACAGTCGCTGCCGCCTCCAATCGAACAATGGTACTACAACAAGATGGAGAAGGCTGGAGATACTCGAAACATGGGTGGACAGCTGTCTTTGAAGATGTTTCGGGTTGTAGATACGGAGATGCTGTTCAAGTATGTTTGATTTATTTGTCGTTTATATTCTTCTTTAGAAGTCGGAGAAGGTCGAGGCGTGGAGATCCATCGATCAGCCGGACCGAGTGACCTTTCTGACCATCGTAGATGCTCTTCACACTAAGCCAGCCCAATTGCCATTGTCTTTTCCCAAAGAGCTTGCCAATGAGTTGCTAACTCACCACTCAAATCCTCCAGTTTTCTTCGAATCTCAATTTGTTTGGTATTTGATGCGATCGAATGATCATATGCGAGAGATTCTGGACAAAGCGGCTAGCAAAATCCCTTTTGGCGAAGGTATCAACATTTTTTCTTTTTCTTTCAAGATTTAGACTACTTTTCCGAGATTTTTTATTTTTTGTTACCTAATTATATTATTTTAGGTCCAATCGTTGGTCTACAGATCAGAAGGACGGATAAGATTGGACTAGAAGCTGCCTTCCATAGTGTGGATGAGTATATGAAGTGGACCGAGCTGTGGTATAAGGTGCAGGAGAAGAGATTATCGCCGGAAAGGCCATTGAAAAGACGGGTTTATATTGCGACAGATGATCCAAATGCGGTAAAAGAGGCGAGAGAAAAGTGAGCACTTGTGATTTCTGATCTATGAACTGTAAAACACCCGTTGGTTTTTTTAAAATATTAATTATTTTTTATTGTTTTAGGTACCCAGCTTATGAAGTGTATGCGGATGTCGGGATTGCTCAATCAGCCCAACTTTCGAACAGATACACTGATGTCTCGTTGTATGGAGTTGTAACAGATGTCCATATGCTCTCTCGATGTGATTATCTCGTCTGCACATTCAGTTCTCAAGTCTGTCGGGTCGGCTATGAACTAAAACAAGTAAAGGACGGAGATGTGGCCGAGAAGTTTCATTCCTTGGACGATATTTATTATTATGGTGGTCAGCATGGTGAGTGGCGGATTTGGGAGTTTTTTTGGGGGAGTAATAAGGATTTTTTGGCGTTGTTAGCCGTATTTTATATTATTCATGAGGACTTATCATTTTTAGTTAAAAAAATCAAAGTTTTTGTCCAGTTTGGTGTAGATTTGATTGATATTAGTGTTATCTTAAATTTGAAATGGATTTATGTTGTTGTAAGACATCAATGTTTAAGCTATGGCCTTAATTTTACATTTTTCAGGCCACGAACAGATAACCTACGAACGCCATGAAAAACTTGCCTCAAATGAACTTGCCATGGAAGTAGGAGATACGATAGGAATTGCTGGTAATCATTGGGACGGTTGGAGCAAAGGAATTAACAAGCGAACAGGGGAAACTGGCCTCTATCCCAGCTATAAAACCAGAGAGAAGTGGCGGATCGTCGACTTCCCGTTGTTCGCTCTTTAGTTGGTATCAGACACTGGTTGTAACAATATACACGACATGGTAATAGGGTCTGCAAAACATCAAATATCAAGGATGGTATTTTCGAATACATTTTTGTGAAGATTTTTCTTCTTTTCTGTACATTTTTTGTTTAAATACCGGTCATAATGGAAATACTCACGCTTTAAATGTTAAATAACTCATCGGTCTAATTGAAAATATTGCTTTAAGATACGAAAACTGCGTCAGTTTTAATATTTTAGCTAAAATTAGGGAAATTTTAGGTTTTTGTTAGACTTTTTTGTTTCTATAATACAATACGTCATGCTGACGCTGTTTTTTCTTCTGAATTTTCGATGGTGCGAGATTCGGAAGCACTGGATTCCCGCTTTCCTCTCTTTAATTCCCCGGTACTCTGCCTAATTCTTGTCCCTTTTTACATTTCAAAGTCTCCGAATTTAATTCTATTCCAGCCATTCTCTAACATAATATATTTTGGTTCTCCAATAAACAGATTTTTATTAATCTTTTGAAGAAATCTTCGAATTTTTGAAACTGGAGGTCTGAAGTAATATAAAAGGTATTTTAGGTCATTTTATGCCATAAAGTTGCAGATTGTGTCCAAAGATAGTCATTTATTGTCTCTATTTGGATAGTAGTAAGGCAAATCGAATGAAATATGGTAATGTCCCCTGTAAATAATGTAAATAAAAGGCGATGTTATTGTTTTCCCCGAGGAATCAGAGAACCAATCCCCCGTCTCCAGACCCCCTTAACTCGGCATAATTAGCCTCTTTAAGTGAACGCCTCGAGGCGTAAATTATTCCTGTTTTTTTTTGCGTGGCCCGAGATGGCCAAACTGATAATTAAGAGTGGCATTTGAGCTGTGATTTTTACGATTTTCCGGAATTCCACGTAATTTTTAATGCGACAGAAGGGCTAATTGAAGGGGTGAGGTGGTTTTGAAATTTTTTGGAGAAGCAGGGAAGTCTAGTAGAGTTTGCAAAAAGTAGTTTTTGGACGCCAACACCTGGGAATGGCACGAATTTTGACAAATCAGCGTGATTGGAGGTACAAATTTTTGGATTGAAAGGTCGGAGTTCAAACATTGCGGGAAGATTTTCCTCAAGTGTTGCAAACATCGTCTATACTGGCCGTATTTAAGACCCTGAAATTCTGGAAATGCTTTGCCAAGGTTGCTGAGATATTCAACGAGGTATACAGACAAGACCATCAAAAAATGTTTTTTAATTTGTGACGTTTTCGGTCTCAAAATATCGATGACGAGTTTCGCGTGGGTCTTGGAGATTTTGGGCTTGATTTTTGTCAATTTTTATCAAAATCTGTACCACAAACATAAAATTTTCCCCTCAATCCCCAAATTCCAGATCTCACTTTTCAAATTTATACTCTCAATTTTAATTTTCAATCCCTTAAAGGTCCTTCTCCTCCGGATTTTAATCCCATCTCCAACACAAACATAACAACCAATATTCTGGTGCATAATATTAAGAGGGATAAATCTGGTTCGTACGTGGTCCATCCATCCATCAGCGGCTCCATCAACTGTCATTTCCCCCAATCTCACGTGGAATTAATTAATTTATTGGCCAATTTTTGGACTTTGCTTTCGCTTTGGCCGAAATTAGCCTAGACTTGGAGCAGAAAGGAGGCGGGAGTTCCGGAAAAACTCTGAAATTGTTTTTCGTCACCACTCTCGTGGACAGTGGAGGAGATTTTTGGGGCTTACGGTAGTTCACAGGTGGGCTTTCAGTTCAAACATTGGAAATTGGGCGAAACATTCATTACTGAATAAGCAATTTTGTTCGAAAAATAATAATTAAAGGGTTTACAACATCTTCGAGGTCACTTTAGCAATTTACAACAATTTTAAGTTAATGATTTTTGAAATTTATTACACCTTTATCTGCTAACAGGGGAATTACTCCAAGTGCGACGCTCAGATTTTGATGAAACTTGGCACAAATTTAGATTAATTTTTTCTAAGATATATGCGAGAATCCTAGCTCGCGCTTTGCAGAAACAACCGATATTTTTAGATCGAAAGTCGGCCAAAATTTAGGACTTTTAGGACTTTCGGCACGAAAAGTTTCATGCCTATTTCTACCGCAAAGGATAATGTTTCTACAAAAAATCAAATTTTTCCGCGCGAAACTGCCAAAGTTATGGCCAAAAAGGTGTTTTCTCTCTGACCGCTCTCCACGTTTAGCGTGCTCTCTCGGCGGCAAAATCGTTCGATATCTCGACGGCGCCCGCAAAGCGCGACCTAAAACTTTCAGAAATTGATATTTAGTCCATACCCGACGTGTGTGCAAATTTTAAAGAAAATCTGAGCGTCGCACTTGGAGCACTTCCCCTGTAAAATGTAATTTTACCTCCTAAAAAAATTTTTTTGAACAGAATTTATATCACGCTATGCGTTTTGACCTTTCCTTTCCCTTATAACGCATTTTCCTCGAGATTTTATGGTGAAATTCAATCTATGCCCTGAGGGCTTATCTCTTCAGGAAACATTCCTTCCGCCGCTGGCGTCATTCCATTTAAAAATTAATTCAATTCACCCGCAAAAGTTAATTTTTGAGCCTAATTTGGGCCGACAGTACTGCCTTTACTTATCCTAATATTTTTTGCAAAAAAATTGTTTTATTTTTGCCGTTTTTTAGACCTAATATTTTAGGTCGCATTTAATCAATTCTTTCAATTTGAGTCCAAGAATACCAAAATATCGCCAAGGAAAGGGCCTTGTAATCCCTTCGTTTTGCGCAAATTCCCTGAGGCTGATCAAATTTTGGGTTGTTTTGGAGAGACCAAAAACTTATGAGAGCTCTCTAAAAGTTGAAGAAAGAGAAGTTTCTGGGATAATTGAGAGACAATGAAACAATAAACATCTCATTTAAGCTTCTCATTTCTCGTTTTTACAATTCATTTTCAGACAAAAGTCCAAAAAGGGATAATTTTTGTTGTTGATGACATTGAAATGGCAAACAGTCACTGTATTCTGGGGGCCTCATATTTTGGCTATTCTTTTGTAACGGAACGTTGAAACTTTTCTGTCAAAACACAGACGTTTGAATTTTTAAATTGTTTAAAATTTTTTCTTTGATTTTTTAAAATTTTCACAAATTTAACGTTCTAAAGATTCCTAAGTTTTCAACAAATTCCAAGAAAACAACATTATTTCTGATGACGTCATTTGCTCTAAAATGGACGTTAGTCCTGTAATTTTTTCCCAAAATGTTTACAGGGTGTTTCAAGAAATTTGGAACAAATGATTTGCTTATATCTTTGTGTTCTTTGCAGCTATCAACGAATTTCATTTCGCTTCTAAAAATTGACAGCGTGCGTTTTTAGAATCTCAAAAAAAAAAAATTTTTTTTGTCGGCGGAGGGCCGATTTCTCGGCGAAGAAAATTAGGGCCTTTTTTAAAAATCACATCGTATTACATGGCGGAAACGCCGTTGCAACGGCTAAAATCAAGTTTACGTTACACCTCCGTCGATTTTACGGTATGCATTTTTTTGTTTTCGATTTTACGCGCACCTGCGGAGGCGCGGCGGAGACTTCAGATTTCGGCGGACGTTGTTTTGGGTCTTCGGCTGTTGCAATTCATGTTGGAAAAGAGGTTGGGGTTATTTTTTGTTGTCATCCGATGCACAGATGACAAAAATTTCGTGCTTTTTTTCCCCGGCGGAGGATTCGGCGGAGGCTTTATCAAAGGGTCAAAGCGGTCTTACGAGTCCGGGAAAATTCTCAGCTGCAAGAATCCATCAGAGCAGCATTGTCTTTCAAAGATTTTTGATTTTTTTGGTCCGGCGGACAAATCGGCGGAGTTTTGTTTTTACTGTTTGATAAAGCCTCCGCCGACTCCTCCGCCGGGGATAAAAAGCACGAAATTTTTGCCATCTGTGCATCGGATGACAACAAAAAATCACCCAAACCTCCTTTTCCAACACGAATTGCAACCGCCGAAGGCCCAAAACAACGTCCGCCGAAATCCGAGGTCTCCGCCGCGCATCCGCGGAAGTTCGTAAAATCGAAAACGCAAAAAATGCATACCGTAAAATCGATGGAGGTATTACGTAAACTTGATTTCAGCCGTTGCAACGGCGTTTCCGCCACGTAATACGCTGTGATTTTTAAAAAAGGCCCTAATTTTCTCCGCCGAGAAATGGGCCGTCCGCCGACGAAAAAAAAAATTTTTTGAGATTCTCAAAACGCACGCTGTCAATTTTTAGAAGCAAAAAGAAATTCGTTGATAGCTGCAAAGAACACAAAGATATAAGCAAATCATTTGTTCCAAATTTCTTGAAACACCCTGTACTTGAGTCATCAAGAATATTTTTATTTTAACTCTCGTTTTCCAAAAAAAAATTTGACGTATATACTTTTTCCTACAATGGTCGTATCTTGTAGGCGTTTGTTTTATGGCTTTAATTCTTTAGTGATCACACAATTTCCTTTTCAAAAACAAAATTTTTCTTATTCCAAATTCCTGATGACTTTGCTTCAGAATTGATAAAAATAGTTGTAAGAAAATCCAGGAACTTCCTTTTTGCCCCGCTTCCTGGAAGATTGCTTTATCCGATTTGGGTTGTTATTGTTCTCTGAACTCGGGAAGAGACCGGTCTCTTCACAGAACACCCAATTGCTTACAATCTAATCGTATTTCAACTGTTTTAGAGGTCAAATAAGTGCTGATAACTGCTTAAAAGGGCGGTTTTACACAACACTTGTTACCATTTCCGTCGGCGATGGGGAATCATTCATCTTTCAGCAAGTCGGTGGTGAGTTCAATATGCAAATTTAAAAATTTATGAATTTGTCCACGCTATTTTTATTTCAATTGAACAAGTTGCGAATTAGTTAGAAGCAAGGCGTATAATACTTGTACAAAAAATCATTTTTTTTCCCATGTAAAATTCTACAATAAAAATACATATTACAAATACGAAGTCTCTGCGCCACCTCCGCCGGAAGTTATAGTCTTCCACTTTCCTTCACGTTTTTTGTAAGACCCTGTATATTAGGAGAAAAGAACATTTTTCTATGACCGTCTCTCCTCTTTCCGTTGTCCCTTTTTTAGAAATCCCGACTAAAATTTTGAGCAAAAATATATAAGTAATGCTGTTTCTTAAATTGTAATCTCCTTCCCTAGGACCAAAACGATGAGAATCTCCTTCGTCGAAACATGCGGACCTTTTCGCCGATGCCCTCGCTGGAGGAAGCGCGGACCATCAGAAGTCGAAGTTTGGAGCCTCGGGCGACCGCCGAAATCCATATGGTGGAGCACAGTAAATCGGCGAGATATACGCGGAAGAAAACAACATGCCCCAGATTATGGGATCCGAATGACCCCAGGCTGTTTGCATTGGCCCGCCAAGAGGAGCAGAAGAGGAAACAAACCCTGGTGGACGAACGGCCAAGGAGTCCAAGCCCGGCACCTGGATTGGGTAAGGGAAATGAATGGATTCGGAAATAGGACGGGCATGTCATAGATAATACTTGCAATTTTGGCTGAAGATTTGTAAAAGGGTATAAATCAATTCCTGAAATTTTTAGTTTTTTCTTTACAAGGGAAGCCGATATGTTCAATGATCACGGCAGAGCAGAGATCATGGAAAATGAGGAGAGATGGCCACAGAAAAGCTTTTTTCGGTTTTATCTTTTTCATAATTTGTTACTCATTTAGAATACGAAATTTTTATAATAATTCGAAATCAGCTTTTTTTGAGTAAAACTGGATCTGAAAAACTTGTGGATTTGTGCGCCCCGCGATCTCTCAAGATTATTTCAGAAGATTTTAGTCCTTATTTGTGCCAAATTACAAGATTTTTCCCCAAATTTATTGCATTTGTCTCAAAAATGATAATATCATTAATATTATTTTTTTCAGTTTCGGAGCGAAGTTGCATAACCGGAATGACCCGGCATCACAAAATGATTCTCCAGAAGATCTGGATGCGCGCTTCCGAAGCGGATATAAACGAATGTTCCCGGAATATGATGTCCCATCTCCTCAGATCCAATCAGCAGTTATATCAGATGTTCAACCTGGTCGGGATGACAGACAAGGAGATCCAGCAGAGCATTCCCTTCAATCGACAAGCCGCTAATTTTGCCATGGTCTTTGATTTCGTGATCACCAACCTCACCGATGACTTGAATCGGGTCGCCTTTGCTTTGGAGGTAGGGATTTGGGGTACGGAATATTTTAGTAAAGAATTTTTGTAGGATAAATATTGGTCGATAAACTTTGGTCGACCTCAATTTTTTATACAAATTCGAGCTTTTTAGTTCGTGCTTTATGTATTATACAAAATTTGCTGGATCTTGCGGAAAAAAATAAATTAAAAAAGTTAAGGCTTTAACGTTAAGGGTTTTCAAAGCGAGGACTGCAATTTTTCCACAAAAAATCAAGTTTTCGTAATTTTACGACCAAAAAATTTTTTAAGAAATTACAGTAATTTAATTATTCTGCTTTCAGTTCCTCGGCCAACACCACGCCGATCTCGGATTCACCATCGATCAGCCATTCTGGGCCCTGTTTAATCGCGTTTTCGAGGACAATCCCCCCAAGTTGGTGTTCCAAAACCCCGAAGGCCATCAGGTTTGGAAGTTGATGGTGAATTTTGTGGTCCGCCAAGTGAAGAACGGCTACGTGAAAGAGATGGAATCACCTCAGAGAAAGACCTCCAACACTCTGCATGTGGACAGACCTTACTGAATACCTTTTTTGGATGTGGAAGGCAACTTTTTGAGGAGATTTTACTTTTTCCTTTTGAAGAAGATGAAATTGGTCTTCAAAATGTTGACATTTCCATATTCGGCACGATCTCATCCAATGTACATAAGCTTATTCAATAAAATTTTTTACAATTGTCTGATGTGTTGTATGTATAAATGGGAGAATTCTCAAAATTAGAGGAGGATGAGACTTGATGATCCCGTTCAGGAATTGAGATTCGATTTTTTTGAGATAGCTGGCGGATTTTTAACCATCGTTTTGCGTCTAACCGTCTAAATTTTTTGGCCAAAATGATCGCAAATGGCCAGGGCGTATGTGGAAAATTTGAAAAAAAAAATTCTGGGCCTCACAACACTCTTAATCAGCAAATCACGTTTAAATATTTATCAAAAAATAACTGTGGTAGCACTAACTTTTTAGTTACGATGTGTTCTTATCTCATCTTCGATGATAACCATAGATTAAAGTAATATAATCATCACAAGATTCTTTGTTTGTCTCGTTAAAACAACAGTGCCATTATCAGCACAAATATAAAAACTGTATTGTCTTTGTCTTCCCTCCAAAATTCTCAAAATTCCCAATTTTCCTCTTTTTCTTACCAGAACATACTGCAATATCGGAAATGATTTAAAATCTTTTTTTTCGATAAAGGCCCATTTATCTCCTCAAGGTCTTGCAATAAAACCCGAAGGTAAAAGGTCTCTGTTAAAGGTTACTTTAACAGCTCAGCCTCAAAAATCTTCGTGGGAGTATTTGCTTTGGAATTTTATTAAAATAAATGGAAGTAAATACAGTTTTCGGATAGTAAAAAAGGTCACGGTAATTTTTATTTGTCCTGCGTGAAACTGAGATCCCACCAAATTACTGCGTAAAAACACGTGGACTCGAAGAAAACGAGGAGTCCCGTCTGTTTTTTTAGACCAATCGGTCAAAAACAAGGCGAGAAACGTCCATTTTCAGCGATTCCTACCTAGTGTAACATAATGATTTGAAATTTTTGATAAGATTATTGCTTAGTATGGCTTCTGAAACTTTCTAGATCTAAAATAATTTGTTTAAAGTGTGTTTGGAGCAATGTCCACTTGTCTGGACATCGTTTTTCCCTCCGATTGTTATCCTTTTCCTCAATCTCCGAAGGGGCGAAAGAAAAGATCCCTTTTTACTTTCCAAAACAGGTATTAATAGGGCTGATGGCAGTTGCTGAGAAGAGTCATACGATGACTACTGCCTCACTAGTCGTTATTTTAGACTTACTTTTGGAAACTTTTAGCATTCTATCTATGAGTTCCAAGCAAAATTAATTTTGTGATTTTCCACTTTTTACCGCTAAATTTTACATTTTACATTACTGTATGATATTTATTCCGCGTTTTTATTCCATTTTCAGCGGAGACTTCGGCTGGAAACCTCTTCGGATGCCAATAAAATACCATGTAAAAAATGATGACTATTAAAAAAAAGTCTATTCCACAACTTTGTAACACGCAGATATTCCCACAGTGAAGTCGTTTTCACTTTCTTTTGTAACTTTTCTTTCGATCTGGATCTTCTTCAACGATTACACAAAGGATCAAAGCGGAGAAACAGCTAATGTTATATTGTAGTAGGTGTCAGATGATATTTAAGGGAAAGCGAAACATAATCGCCACAGGAAATGCCGGTTTTAGCGCGGGATTGAAAGCAAAGGGCCTGTCATTTAGTCGTATGTTGTTGATCGTTCGTAATGTAGTCAAAAATTTCAAAAAAGGTCAATTTTCCGTATTGACCTGGATGTTTGGCCAAAAATTTTAAAAATCTCAAAATTACAGTAAGAAACTCTCTCAAATCTGGATAAATTTCATTATTAACCCGTAACATTCTTAAGCAGTAATTGTAAATTGGTAGTTAACCCGCTGACCCACTCTTTCCAAACCCCCTTTCTCTCCTCTATCAGCCGTTTTCTCAATGCGTTCGAGAAATCGATGGGTTTTCTCGTCGAATTAGAGCGAAAAATGGATTGGAAAAAGATTGAAACCAGCGAAAAAAGCGGTGCCAAAAAAGGAAAGCCGAGATCAACTGATAAAAAATGGATCCCGACCTTAGGCGATTCAAGTTTCGCAAGGGGTTTGCAACATTTTTGGAGAATCAACGATTCTTTTTTGTTTTTTTAAGGAAAAAATAACTTTTAAAGATCTGAAACTTGAGATTTTTTGACCTGACATCAAGTATAATATAATTTTATTCAAGATCCTACAAATTGGATGACTTTCGAATCAAATAGCCTCTAATCGAAGGCATATTCGGTATGCTTATTGGATTCGGTCGTTAAAAATAATTGGAAATATTAATTTTGGTGACCTGGATGAATATTTTATTGTAATATCCGACCAAAATCGTCTCTTCTTGTCACACTTTTGTTCTCCCTGCACCGAAATGAATGTAGCGGAGCGTGAGAAGATGTGGGAAGCTCTGTGAAGGTGAAGGAAGGGACCTTCCGAATCCTCTTTTTTCATCCGATTCGAAGACTTTCCGATAAATTACTTCTAATTGTTTATGTTTAGACTTCCTGATCTCTTATCTGCTACTTGTCGGTTATAAGTCTCGGTCTATGCTGCTTTAACCTCCAACTTCGAAATTAATTATATTAACCATGGTATCTCATTGGCCTCCGAAGAATACTTCGCCGAATTCCTCCGTTGAAATGGGATTTCAGAGCTATCCACAAAAGGACAGACATCTGTTGAGAAGGTATTGTATTAGATAATGTCCCAACCCATATTTTGTGAGCTCCAATTCTATTACTTCAGGTTATTCCTCCAACTTTGTATCGGAATGGCGGTTGTTATCGCGTTGGTGACGATAATATTCGTCATGGCGGGACTTCCCACATTTTCTGACGGATCTCCCATCCAGAGGACGATGGTAAGGTCTCATTACCTGCTTTAGACTTTGAGGGAAACACTTGACTCAAAAAGAAAATTCTGAGTCAAGTGTTTCCCTCAAACCTAAAACTTACCGCAGAAGCTCCCAACCTGTTGTTAATACTTGATATGTCTAAAATTCGTATTTTAGTGGAAGAACAACGCAAAACATCGCTATGAATGGCCACTTCCAGCTAATTCTCTTTTGGGAAAATTCGAAAAAGCGGCGGTCACCTGTGACCACGGATTCTGCAACGAGATTGGTCGGGATATCCTGATCAAAGGTGGAAATGCAATCGACTCATCGATAGCCTCCTTATTCTGCCTCGGTGTCACGAATCCACAGAGCTCCGGGATTGGTGGTGGCTTTATTATGACCGTTTATAACCGGTAAGCTGTTGCCTAGTTAAAGCTCTTTGATTTAGAGCCCCATATTCTTTTTTGCATCATTAATTATTGTTATTTCTTTTCAGGACATTGGGTAAATGCCTGGCGTTGGACGCTCGAGAAACGGCTCCAGCCAAGGCCGTTGAGGACATGTTTAAGGGAAATTCGAACGGCTCCAAATACGGATGGAATGCCATCGCCACTCCCGGAGAACTTCATGGATATCGGTTCGCCTGGGAGAACTGGGGAAGTGGATTGGTCAGCTGGAAAGAGCTGATCCAGCCGTCCATTGACCTGGCCAGAAACGGAGTCCCCGTCTCTGAATACTTGGCCTATGTTTTGGAGAAGAAAGAGTGGCATTTCAATTTAACCACTCCCAATATGGAGTAGGTTACTTAGTGATTCTTTCAGTATATTTTACAGCGATTGGATCAATCCTGAGACCAAGAGAGTTTGGAAATTTGGAGACATCATCAAGAGAAATAAACTGGCCGATACTTTGGAAAGAATCGCCAATTCGGAGGATCCGATCAAAGATTTCTACGAGGGAGAGCTTGCTGAAATTATGGTCGACGAGATTCAGAAAGCAGGTAAAGAAAAACAAAAATTTAATAAGCAAAATTTTATAAAAACAATCTGTCTAATACAATGTCCGAATACCAAATCTTATCGAACGCGTTTTCAGGTGGAATAATGTCCAAAGAAGACCTCAAGAACTACCGACCCAAGCTCTACGAGACCCCGCTGATCCGCTCTCGGTTCTACGAGAACTTGACCATGTGTGGACCTCCTCCTCCCTCTTCGTTCGCCATAACTCAGAATATTATCTCTGTTATGACTTCCAAATTCTACAACTATACTGGAAATGGAGCTCCGGCGGATGGCGTCTATTCGGACACCTACTTTTATCATGCTTTAATCGAAGCTCAGAAGTTTGCATATGCAAAACGAACATTAATGGGAGATGTGGACTTTGAGGAAGGGAGCAAGCTGCTGGCCGAGAATATGACCACTGCCGAGTATAACCGGTATATCGCCGAGATTATCCCAGATTTTGCTCAGGACACCAGCTTCTATGGGCTGAATGACACGGCAACTGTAAGTCGAATATCAGAAGACGTGTAAAGTTAAGCTGACAAAAAATACGGATTGTTATCCATTTTTACGCGATAATTATGTAATAATCCGCCTGAAGTCTATCTAAAGTCTAATAATAGAAAAAATTTCAATTTTCCTTCAGAAAGAAGACCACGGAACCTCCCATGTTAGTGTTCTTGATCAATTTGGAAACGGCGTGTCAGCCACATCAACTGTAAACAGGTGGATGGGAGCTGGAGTCCAATCACCGGCCCTTGGAATCGTTTGGAATGATGAGATGGACGATTTTAGCACTCCCGGGCAAGACAATGGATTTGGGTAAGCACCTTCTACAACATAGTAAAAGTCGGGTAAAACGTACTCAATGCCGAATAAAATTCTGTAATATTGGCAAGAGATAACCCAATGATCTTCAAGGTTCGCCCCGTCCCCGGAGAACTTTATCAAGCCCGGGAAACGACCAATGTCTTCAATGTCGCCTATGGTAATATACGATGAAGAGACCTTGGATGTAAAGATGGTCATCGGAGCCTCTGGAGGATCGAAAATCATCTCAGCAGTTGCCAAACCCGTTATTCGAGTGCTCTGTTTCAATGAGACCATCAAACAAGCGATCGATGCCCCCATTTTCCATAATCAATACACTCCCGACGTCACTCAATACGAAGATAATATGCCTTTAGTAAGTTGCAAACATACGTTGATGCATATTATGGTTTATAAGCGACCGAAATGTCTGTTTTAGGAACTTATTCATGATCTCGAAAACAAATTTGGCCAAAAATTCAAGCCCACTGGGGGATTCGAAGGTATCGTTCAAGGAATTGTTGTTGGAAATGACGGAAAAATATATGCGAATGGAGACTACCGCAGGAAAACGCAACAACACCCGGAGGGCTTTTGATAGTTTAGATCATAATAATAAAAACTCGGTTATAACAGACATAATACAGGGTGTCCCAAAAAAAATGCATGTTTTTTTCCATTGGTCCTGACGCGAAAATGTTTAGGTCAGGCCAAAAGATTTTTGTACCACTAAAATCTCCGTTTTTTTCTGTCCTAGACATTTCAGTTTCGTGTTCATATCGATTAACTAACGTGGTTTTTTAAAATGTCAAACAAAGGAACTGCAATTCTGTCACTATTTTTGAGCCGTTCAAGTTGTAAATCTGCCCAGTATAGAAAGGACGTTGTGTCAAAAGTAATCACGCGATGTAGGGAGCTTGACAACGATAGTAAGCGTCCAGGACGTAAAAGAAAACGCACCGCCAGCGGTTCTGTCAACCGGGAGATCACCAACAGCAAAACGCTATTTTCAAGAAAAAATTGGCTGTGAGATCGGCATCAGCGACCGATCGGTCACCCGAATAGTCTATGATGAGCTGTGCCTTACGCTGTATAAGCTGTAAAAAGCTCAGATCTTTAAAGTAGACGACAAGTGCGTGCAGCGCGAAAAATGTCGGAAAGTCAAGGGCTGGGCCGCAGCTTACAGACGTGAGCGCATTCCTTCATGGTTCAACATTTGGCGGATGCACAGCCACCAGAACGATAGGAACTTTCTAGATGAGGCCTTCGGCACGTCGGCTGACGTCGAAACCCGTCGAAATCCGGGCCGTCATCCCCTAAGGCGGAACTTCTCCCAGAGGCAAGAATTCCATGGTTTTCTCGGATCAAGGGGGCAAAATTCTAGCGCCGCGTTAATGTTGATTTTCCCATACTTCTGTTGACTCAGCAGAACCTCGGCAATGCAAATCTGGCGTTCCTGCTAGACTCAGCGCCGGCTCACAAGGCAAAATCGACTCAGGACCCGAAATGGGACCGATTTTCCCGATTTCACCCCGTCCGCAAATGGCCGTCTGCTCGCCGGATCTGAATCCGACAGACCAAAAATTTTTTTAAATTGGAGACCAACGCGTGCACTACACGCCACAAAAGTTTGGAGTCGCAGAGTAGTCGTTGCGCCAAGAACGGGACCGATTTCCCCGAAACTAGCTGCGGCCCCGAGCCCAAAATTTTAAGTTACGTTTGGAGCTATATATCGCCACCAAAGGCAGCCACTGTGAAACTGGCTTGATATGTTATCAATAATCCTCTATGTTACTGATATCCATCGTTAGTTTTGCCAAATTTTGTTTGGTATATAAAATGTAGCCATAAGAATAACATGCATTTTTTTTGGGACACCCTGTAAAGGTAAAAAGAAATCTTTGGCGATATTAGGCCTTGTTTACAAAAAATATCAAATTCAAACAAACATTTATAGCCAAACAAACAACAAGGCAAACATTAGATTCCACAAAAGTTAGTATTATAAACCAATATTTTTAATTAAAATGAAAATTGTGAGGATATTAGAAGCCATCAAAGTGCTCGGCGCCAAATTTGAGACATTTCTTGAGAAGATTGGAGCATAACAGTTGATAGGCCAAGGCAATTCGATCCTCCAAAACATCCAGAGACAGTGTGGACCCCAACTTGATCTCACATTGAGTCTTCAGATCAGGGACTTGATATTTATCGGCCAAAATTATCACTTCTCTGGCCAGATCATCATCAACCGACTTCTTGTGAAACATGTACTGCAACATGGCTTCAACCGGCGCGGGATCAACACCTTCCATCACCATAAAACCGGTGTCGACCTCACTGCAATCCGTCATAAACATGCGATGGAAAACTTCGGAGTTGGCGGCCAAAACCATCTTCGATACCTAAAATAATATAAATTTGTGAATAATAAAATTAAAAGCAAGACCAATGAGGTCAGACAGTTGCATCATGACTCCACACCCCTGTTACGGTGACCGGGCACCAAAAACGGCGAAAAATAACGACAATTCCCGCGCCTGACATTAGTCCACCTAGTACAACGTTAACAAATCGTTCCCTTGCCTTCCTAGACTTCAAAAAAAATGGAAAAAAACTCACGTAGAATGTCCTATTTCCGACTCTGATCTGAAAATCGCTCAACTTGGGCTCATTGAACGCGCTCTGTCCCTTCAAATTTACCCCATTTGTTTTAGACATCTCAAAACTTCGAGGCTTCACTGTGAAACTCTCTGGGATCTTAGGCTGCATCCGCATGGGTCCGAAACTGGATGAAGATTGAATATTGACCGGTGGATCAAAAACTTTGACTTCCGGAGCTTTCGTGGTTTTCTGAATCTGCACCTTGCGACCCACCGGGATTGGCTGGGTGTTCTGCGGAGGAGTGGTCAAGACACGGTTACGAGAGCTGTAGCGGGTCTTCAGGTAATCAAAGTTCATAGTGAAGCTGAAAGAAGAGAAATCACGAAGCAATAAGTTAGACAATCCTGGGTCCCGGGATCCGGGATCTCTGGAAATTTGAAATTTCGGTTCGTGGAAATTGCAGATTTTTTTCGCTGCAATCATACGAAATGTCACTATTGAATCATCAAATAACTATTTTTTGCGCAAATTTCGTCGTTATGAGAAGCTTCAATCTGTAAAATACTCAGTAAAATAGTTTAAAAAAAAGTATTTAGATTTTTTCGTAATGTTATGTTGTTTTCGACCGTACTCCTCATCTATATTTTGCAGTCATATTTTTTGCACAATGCGGTTAGAGACGGGAAATAAACAACGAGCCAAAAGTTCAGCTTGACAGCAAGTTTACTGATGATAATCCTACAAAGAAATCAAGCCACGGCCTTGTTGTATTCGTCAAGGAATTTGACATAGCGGGGATCATTGCGATCATACTTCTTGTATCTCTCCACAAAGTAGAACAAGACGACACGATGGACAAACAGGTACTGCTGAAAGCACAAAAAACGTCAACAAAACAATTCAAGTCAACCTTAATCTATAAAAATATGGACTTACAACATCATTCTGGATGGAGTAGGGGCGATGGTCGCGGAGCTCCTTGAAGATAACAGGCATGTCCTCACACGGCTGACCATTCTGGAATCTCTCCATGATGAAGGAGATGGCCACGATGGATCCAGTGCGGCCAATTCCGGCGGAACAGTGGACAATGATCGGTTTCTTGGTGCCACGGACCGAAGAGAGCAGGTCGAAGATGGTGTGTCCCACCGTGGGGACTCCACGATCCGGCCAATCCATCCATTGGTAATGGCGAACCTGAAGGATGACATAAATCGAATCTGGTAAAAGTTCCTTATTTTGGCCACAGCTTATAACTTTGCGGAAACTGGTCGGAATTAGCCCAAATTTAGCGTGCACGCTCAAGTCATCGTTGTCAATGCCCGGACGGTGGATTTAGTCAGCGAGGTACCTTCTTTTTTACGTACCACCTTACCCTTCAAAAACGGCTGCAGCCTGTGATTTTACGCTTTATACGATGAAACATGTCCGGAACTAAACTTATTGCCTCCGTATGGAACTAAATGAGTCGTCGTACCCTTCGTAGGTACCCTTAAAACTATAGAGCTATTATAGTAATCCAGTGCGAGCTAGGTCAAAGCGTTTTTTCCTAACTTTAGTGCCCAAGCTTGGACGCAGTTCGCGGAGTACCTTTGTTGTGGCCAAAATAAGGAACTTTTTCCTCGAATCTTCGCTTACTTCTCTCTGGGACTTCTTTCCTTCCAAGGTATACGTTAACTTGAGGATTGTTCTCATAACGGTCTTGTCACTTCCTCCCAAAGGAGTGACCCCGAGATTCGTAACCACAATTCCCTCAAAAGTCGCACTCTCGCCTTCCTTCAGTGGCCAATACTGGGCGCACTTGTCCATTCCCTTTTCCTTCACATTGCACAGCATGATGATGCTCTCCGATTGCTCCAGAATGGTCATTCGCCAGAAGTCGGCGATTGTGTTGTCAAGGGGACCCTGCAGAGCAAACGATAACACCAGACGCAACGTTACTGCCCATAGATGACTCAGGCAAAGATGGGTAGATCTAAGCCTCTCACCAAACGTTTTATCTGATAGTACTCACCTGAGTGCAGATGTATCTTTTGTCAGAGACGGGAGTGGGCATGTAGTTGGCATGGATGTAGTCATGGCTGACTCCAGGCCATTTCACAATCACACGCGCCTTCTCTTGGCAAGGAACATCTTTGTAGCGATTCCTGCCAGCTTCCCAATGAATTTGAAACGCCGTCACATTCATGTCCGGGGGACAATAACGTTTCATCTCCATAAATTCTTCACGCAGACCGTTCACGCCTTTTTCCAAGGTCCGATTGAACCAGCGATCAACCTAAAAACAATACATTAATTATTAAGTTATGACAACCTATCATATCTAGCATGAACAACATACATAAAGACTTCCATCGGAAGCGCAAGGAGCTACAGCGGCTGGACGAGCACCTTGCTTCTCTATGTTGACTATGCGGGTGTTTGACTCCTGGTTCCTCTTTCTGAAATAACGATGGATGATCATCATAGAAACGTCAAGGGGCAACAAAATGAAAAACTTACTTTTGCTTGTCGGCCATGACAAGGGATCACCACGCTCTGGACTCGATTGACTGTAGAATGAGCCAATCCCATTCAAATCCTAATGAGAAAATTTGAATAAAATTCAAATTTGACAACCCCAACCTCTCATACATTTAGTGCAAAATATGCATAAAAACCGAAATTTTGCTCATTTGGGGGTCATTTTTATTCAAGGGTGAGGTTGTGTGGCCGCGGTTTTAGACGCCTACATGGATGCGCTCTCCCATTGCTTAGGCCATAAATAGCAGCGATGAAGGCCAGATCCCCTCCTGAATGTAGGAGAAATTAGTTAGAAAGATCTTGTTGTGTGTGTTGAAGTTATGAAAGCGTATTAGTATTACCTATTTTCCACTTGAGTATGTATTTCCCATATTCCGTTTCGATGGTGTCACGGACAGTCTCTGCAAGAAAGTCGGAGCATGCTGCAGATAGGTGATATCGATCATCTGGGCCTAAGTATGAGCACAATGGGTAAAGCGCTCTGTGTGTGTTTTTGTGACCTTTTCGATCAAGAAGTCTGATGTTAAGTTTTGTCACTTTTTCGTCCTTGTGACCTTCAATGACAATTGTCAGTGTTCCCTCGTCCCCGAAGTGGCAGAAATTGTTTGGCATCTTAATTATGTGTATTTAAGACTTTGTTGCTATTCCATACCCTCAAGTCTTTTATTTGCTGGCTGATTACTTCCCTCAATCCTAATAATTTACTTCTTACAACTTTGAACGGAGTATGATTTTTGTCCGTTTTTGCAACTCTATCAACTAACTATTTCTAGGGGGTACTTGTTGTTAATGAGTTTGCCTGCCGAAATTAAGGCTTCAATAGTACAGAAAAAAGACTTAAGTTGACTTCCCCTCATCACGAATCTCCAATTATTGTATGAGATACTCAGCATTTGTCGGATTGCTAGGCAGTAATCAGCATCCAACTTCTGACCCTTTATATTCAACTTTTTGTTCAATTCCGCTTTAACATCTGCCATTTTTTTGGGTGAGATCCAAGGTTATTCGCCATGGATATAATCTGTGAAATTCTGCAAGTTTCATGTTTGATTTTTGAAGGATTAGATGAGCTTAAGTTAATCGATAAGAAAGTAGTACCGTTGGCGCCGAGTAGATGCGGCTAGATTGACAACATTTCAAAATTTTGTTGAATTTTCCAAAAGATTCTTTTTTCCCAGTCCCGAAGCGAAAAAATTCAAAATTTTTCAATTTTCACAAAAAATCCCTTTTTTCAAGTCCCGAAGCGAAAACATTTCAAAAAAATGTTTTTTCTTTTTTGGTAAAGGGTAACCTATCCAGTTGGGGTAACCTATCCTCCGGGTAGTTTTTTTCGGGGTAACCTATTCTCGGGGTAACCTACCCTCCGCAAATCGCTCTCTACTTTTTGCATGGTCTCTATCGATTTTGTTGAATATTTTCGTTGAAGCAGAATGCTGTACGCTTAAAATTTTTTCTTCAGTGGGCTGTATTCGCAAAATTTGAAGATATAATTTCAGTAATACTGTGAGTCATGGTCTTGTAAGTTTAGGATTTTTTTGTGTAAATTTTGCGAATACAGTAAGTTTAGGATTTTTTTGTGTAATATTCGTCAGATTCCCCTTGATGCACCGGTTTATTTGCAAAGAAGAGGTTTTGTGACCCGCAACTATCATTATACTATTTTTTTCAACAATTCGCATTCCAGCAACCTTCTCCATTCTCACGTCCCCCTTCTTAGTCCAGCACAACATCCAGTTTGGCCCCGAAACGCCGGAACAATGGCCACAAGACACTCTAAATGAGAAGTAATTGCACAATGGGAGTGATCAATTGACCAGAAAAGGTAACGTCCATTCAGGTTGTTTGTGGTGTAAACACGCGACGCTATGCGTGTTGTTGTTTGGGCAGCGCATAAAATGGACCCTGGTATTTATTATGCACTGCCAGTGGGGCCCGGAACTTGGGGTTGGGATGGTCAGGGGTGGACTGTCATCATTTTTAGTTTGACTTTTGCTTATCTGGTTCTATTCTCCATGATGATTTATTCATTTTTGACATTTTTTTATAACAAAGTCGATTTTTTTGGTTATTACGGTTAATACTTGCTTTTGTTATCAACTTTATCCTTTCTGCACTCCATTCCAGCCATGCCCACCCCGATCCGGCTCTTTGCCCTTTTTCTCGGCCTCGCAGCCTGCGCCCGGGCTAATCGCGCAGCAACTCCGCCGAATCGTCTCACTTTCTGCGAATACCTGGAGAAGATCGGCGTCAAGGACGACAGATGCAGTCGGAAGGTCCGGCAGATCGAGGACATCGAGAATCAGAACGGTAGGCCAAACAAGTGGGCGGAGTCGGGGAACGAGGGGCCGATGAAAAGAATCCGACCCCGCTTCTTGATCGCGACCATCTGGAGACGGGTCGAGAAGGACGACGAGGGGATCCAGAGTCGGCTTCAACGAGACCGCGAACGTATGGAAAGTAATCTTCGAACTGGAGAAAACAATGCAAATAATGAGGAGGAGCGGAAACAAAGCCAGAAAAAGGACGTCCCTCTAGGACAGGATGAGGCCAATCAAGAGGAAAATCAAATCAGAGGTGCCGCTCAATCCGAGAATTCCATTTTCAATCCAGTCCAGGCTCAGCCTATCTTTCGACGGACTGATTTCGGCACTAAATCAATGTCATCTCCATCTGATCAGAAACCTCAGCCAGATTCCACTCCAAATCCGACTGTCGAATTGACCAACAATCTGAATCAATACCTGAACCACGAGAATGGAATGTTGAAGATCAAGATCTTCAAGTTGAAGCGCAAACAACGTCGTCTCAGGGCCAAAGTTCGCCTGCTGAAATGGGCGGTGGCGTTGCTTCAGAAGCGGGAGGAGGAACGGAAGCATCGGCCAAAGGTGTTCTTGGCCAAGTCCGAGCGTCTGACCACCGCTCTCTTCTCCGGGAACGCTGAGGCGCCTGTCGTCGCCGCCTCCGCTCACTTGGAGCCCCTTCCCTTTAGGCGTTCTCGGCACGAATCTGATGCCCCAAGGCACCGGCGTCTACAAGCAATGCTACTTAAAGTACAATCCAAGAAACTGTTTGCGTACGCCGTCCTGCGAAAGTAATACGGTAGGTGCTTTCAATAGCTCTATAAAAAATATTGTCATCATTGTGTGTATAGATATAATATGTAATTTTAACATAATCAGGCATTCCGAGCACTTCCCAATTTACAGGGGAAGTACTCCAAGTGCGACGCTCAGATTTTGACGAAATTTGGCACAAATTTAGAACAATTTTATCTAAGATATATGCGAGAATCCGAGCTCGCGCTTTGCAGAAACAACCGAGATTTTTAGATCGAAATTTAGGACTTTTTGCCGAATTTCGGCACGAAAAGTTTCATGCCTATTTCTATCGTAAAGGATAATGTTTCTACAAAAAATGAAATTTTTCCGCACGAAACTGCCAAAGTTATGGCCGAAAGTTTTTCTCTCTGACCGCTCTCCACGTTTGGCATGCTCTCTCGGCGGCAAAAATCGTTCGATATCTCGGCGTCGCCCGCAAAGCGCGAGGTAAAACTTTCAGGAATTGATATTTAGTCCATACCCGACGTGTGTGCAAAATTTAAAGAAAATCTGGGCGTCGCACTTGGAGTACCTCCCCTGTTAGTCGATTACCAAAAAGTCCGGCTTTAATGTGAAGCACAATGTAATTATCCACCACTAACCCCATTTACAGTTGTGTGTTGATGTTGTCGGAAGTCCGTGTTGCGTCCAGCCTCGAGGCGTCTGTCCCACCACCCAACAACTCGACATCAAATGTGTCAAACACCGCTCCACCAACTGGTGCAACTCCAACCGAGATTGTGCCAAGGACTCGTTGTGTTGCGACACGGGTTGTGGCTACAACATGTGTGTCTCCAACGAGTTCCGTCTCACGTAGTAGTAAATGTTCTGATTTCTATTTATTTCTAAATTAAACTTGGTTTTAATAAACAGTAGGTCAAGTGGAAGGATGGTTTTGAAGGGGCCATTACTGCAAAAATGAGCTGATATTTTTGATGACAAGGTCATTGGGCGGAGAAAGAGCACAGACTGAGAATCGTAAAATATGAAGGGAGCACAGTCCGAATCTGCAGGAGAGAAAGTTGTACAGTTTGAAAGAAAATGTAAACGTCAGATTTGAGACTTTTGCCTGATACTTTGGATGAAAGAACCAGGATAAATTTGCAGAGATCTATCCGAAAAAAACCTTCTCTATCCGTCTCTGTCCTATTGATTTAGGTCATCATTGGCTATAATCTTTTGATTTTTGATTACTAGTCCTTCCGGAAAATCGCCGGTCTGATTTTTGGCGTGTGCACTGTGCGAAAAAAGTCAGGGTGCACCCGGGTGCGAGCGACAACCGAAAAAAAAGCCTATTGCACGGTGCAAAAAGCAAAATTCCACAACGCGTTGTGCAACGTGAAGAAAACGTTTGTTTTCGCACAGTGCGTGTCGCCGATTTCAGTCCGGCGACTTCCGGAAGGACAATAAATTTAAAATGGCAAAAATGTGTAGTTCAGCTAGAAAAGCTGCAAAATATGTGTCCATTCAAAATTAAACATTCATTTTTAAAAACAATGCTGACTTAGTGCGATATTTATGTAGTAAGTAGCATCCCCGTATAACCAGATTATACAAGATACGACTATGGTTACATCATAACACATTAAAGAGAGTCTGTTGCATACGAATGGCCTGACCAAACCGACCTGCAGAACGTACGATGCATCGTACGTTCATCACTTCTCTTACATTTTTTCGACTTTCAACGGAACCAAAAATAAGAGAAAAACTCCAATATTATCACGTTTCCCTAAAGTATTATAGTAATGTTTTCCGATTATTACTGCCAAAGCGTGCATAGACATTAGAGTTGACTTCGAAAATTTGAGCGTTCTACTGATTTATCGCAAAAAGGGAAGTGAATTACAATTTCGTAAGGCAAGGAATATTACTGCAAACATAAAAACGGAGTAAAAAAGAAGTAGAGGACTCGGAGGATGATGGATTGGTGTGTTTGAGAGACAGAAAGTACAATACTATTTAAACCTGGAGTTTTAAGAGGAGAAAGCAGTCTGCCAAGATGTTCAAGTCGGTCATTTTACTTCTCGGTAAGTGTTTACAGTAATTACAGTAACCAAGAAAATCGAATTATTATTTTATCAACTTCCATTACCGACTATAATAAACCAATTTCAGTTCTCTTCTCCCTCCTTTCCGTCGTTTACTCCGATGAAGTCTTAGATGGGATCCAAAAGATGTTACAAATCCCAACTGGAGGTCAACAAGGTGGTGCTGGTGGTCCCCCAGATCTTCTCGGTGTCCTCAAGGGCCGTTAAATGCTTCAACCATACTATGTAAATTACATTCAATAAATAATTTTGTCAAAGGCTTCATTTTTATAAACCTTTATCATGGATAACATCAGAAACAACAAACAATGGTCAAAAAATTAAACTCTAGAGAAGTTTCAAAGCACCCGAAATCTTATCGACATCTTCGACGGGTCCGAAGAGACCGAGGATTGTTCTGGAGCCTGGCGGGATCTGCGTGTAACCAGCATCTTGCACTAAATAGGAGTAGACCCCCAAGTCCTTTGCTTGCTTGAACATGTCTATCAATTGTTCCGTGGATTGACCTTTCACTACCACTTTGACTGCTCCGTGGGACTGCCAAGCGTTTAGCGCTGCTTTGCCCTAAAATTAGCCAAAAAATTATATTACCCATGTTATCACAGGTAACAAAAACTCAATCCACTTGCCTCCTCAGTTCGTTGTGCGTATTTGTAAACCCCAAGAGTGGCATGGCCAACTTGCGCGGCCAATTTGCCAGCCCCCATCTTAAGTGACATGTTAGCGACAAAAACCATTTTATGAGTTCGGGCTGGCCTCAAGGCTTTCATCAGGTTTACTAGATCTTGTCTGGCCATCGCCGAAGTCCCTGGAGCATCTGGCTGGCCGGATAGAACTCCTGCAACATTTATTTTCAATCAAAACAACTTTCGACAACATTTTATATCACCATTAAAATTAATATCAAAAATAATCGTATCACCTACCTCCCATTGCCTGTTTTAACTGTTCCTCTGTGATTTTAGCACTTCCTTCGGCCGATTTCTTCTCCACAACACCACTAACGCCTTCGTCGTCTCCGTCAGAATCCTCTCCCGAGTCTCCCGAATCCTCCAAATCTGACTGATTCGAATGATCTACAATCCAGTCAATCGTCGCGTCAAGACACCTTCCCTTCGTTCTCTTCAGGGCCAATTCAGATATGAACTCGTCAAAGCCAAGTTCCAAGAGTTCGGCCAACTTCTGTGAATCGACCTCTAGTTCTTGAAGCGATGGATCGTTTGGATGGGGACCACTGGAATTAGAGGGTTGATTTATCTCAGAAGGCGGAGCTGGGGGTTGAGAGGCAGCGGGAACTGGCTCTTGAGGGTCTGAAACAAACAAATTTTAAATTAAAAAATCAAGAACAATCTCACAGCTTAAATACTACAATATAAACTCTCACCGCTTGCTCCTGGCTCAACCGGGATATCGTTTTGCTCAACTTGCTCGAGATTTGGCAAGGGATTTGGTTGTGGTTCAGGGGGACTCACGTTTCCAGGACTAAATATCAAACGGACTAATCTTTCTTCCATAAACCTTACATTTCTGGAGGCAGATCACTCATTACTTTTCTAAGGCCTTGTCCATTAACTGGCGGATTTCGGCTCGTCTTTTTTCTTTCTTTTCCTTCGCTTCGGCTTGTTGCTTAGCTCTAAAGAATGAATAATCAGAATGAGCAACATAAAACATTTATAAATGTGTCGTTATTTAAACTATTACTATCCAAATTGCACTCACTTCGCCTTCAAGTACTCCTCGTTGCTCTCTTCTGGACGTGGACCTCTGATGTTCTCCCAATGCTCGGTATCGATCTTCGAAACCTCCTAAAAACGACAAAAATCAAGGTAACTCCAGTTGGCTCAAATCTAAAAACAAACAAAAAAAAATGTGAAATAAACATACGTCGTAAACTTCGTCAATTGTAACTGGAGATTGCTTGATCTGAATTCCGTCTTTTGCAAGGCTCTCCTTCTGAAAAACACTCCGAAATAAAATAAACAAATAAAAAAGTGAAATAAACAGGTCATGTGCAATATAGAAGTATACAACACGAAAGGGCACTTACAAACTCCTTGTAGGTGTCCTGTTCCTTTCTCACTTTCCTAAAATCGAATCTCACTTGCTGGAAATGTTTCAAGAGATACGCCGAGCCGAGGACTATAGCAAAGAAGGGTAATCCTATTCTGGTCAATTGCAGGCCGCCCTTCCCACTGTATCGACGATACGACATAAACAGCGAAAATTAAAGGGGAACAAGTCGCGTTACTTACGTTGCATGCATGCAATTGGGTGCGAAAAATTTCTCTGAATTGCTTAGGACGAAATGTCACCATTGATTTTTAGAGTTACCTTACCATTTCGATCCGGAATTTTCACAAAGAGGCTCTAAAAACATCCAACAACCCCACTTCTTTACTGCCCAAACATATTACTTCCGTACTGAGCCATATAAGACAATATATTTATTAACTATATAGAGATCACTGTTTTCCAGAGTAACATCATAAAATAATTTAGTTCGCTTCCACCTCCATGGCTGATTGCTGAGGCTGATCACTGGTTCCTTCGAGGGCGTCATGGTCGGCGATTTTATCTCCATGTTCAGCTTCTTCCATCTTGGACAACTTCTCGAAGAGACCCGAATATTTCTTCTTTTCCTTGGCCAAGAGTTCGGCTATCAGTTTATTGCAGACCAGGATCTGTTGGGCGGCCGCCTTGTTTTCCGGCTCCAATTCCAAGACCTTCTTATACACGGCGATGGCATCTTCCAATTCAGTTCGATGTTCCAAAGCTTGAGCCTTTCGGTAGAGAGCCTTCACATGGTCGGGCTTCCTTTCCAAGACTTTGTCGCAGAATTTGATGCATTCCGCGGTTTCATTCAATTTTATGTTGACCAAGGCGCAGTTGAGCCAAGCAGCGATCAAAACGGAGTCCACTTCTTCCTTTAGACTGTCCTGAGTTGGTTTCATATGTTCCAAAACATTAACGATCGCTTCGTACTTGTTCAGGGCCAATTGGAGCTTATTTTCCTTCAAGAACTTGGTGCCCTTCTCCTTCAGGACCTTTCCATGTTCGATTTTCTCTTCATCGGTCATCTCCCAACTGGCCTTAACCTTCACGAAGTCCGTCAAGAAGATGGTGAACTCAATCTCAGCATTCAATGGGAGGTTTACTCCCTCAGGGGATTTGGAGCCGTAAGTGAACCGCGGTCCTTTGAGGGTGACCCGGCATTTCTCTCCCTTGTTGATCCTTCTGAGGGCTCTGTCCACACCTTCTGGAAGTCCATATTCACACGCTTCTCCGAGTTCAAAGGTCACAGTTTTGTCGTAAAAAACATTTCCATTGTACGAGCCAACAGCATGGACTAAAATTAATCAGATTAGTCTGGATAATTTGAAAGGCATTACATAAAAACATCGAAAAAACTCACTAGTAACTGGTGCAAATTCACTGGGACAGTTGTATTTTTCTCCTTCAACAATCACCGACTTGATAATTGTTCCGTCACGATCAGGTGAGATATCTTCTCCTTCGAACCTGAGTAATTCCACCTCAAATCGTAGAGTTGCATTTCCGGGAATCTTTGGTGGGGACCCACTAGCTCCATACGCATAATCAGCTCGGCAATCAAAAACGGCGACTTCTCCAACCTTCATAGTGGCAATTCCAATATCCCAAGCTTTGATAACTTGAGATTTTCCAAGTGAAAAGCTGAAGGGCTCGTCCCGATCTTTCGAGGAATCGAATTTCTCGCCGTTCTCAGCCAAAGTTCCAGTGTAATGCACATAGACGGTGTCACCATTAGCCGGCTTTTTGTCGCTACTTCCAGGCTTCAAGATGGTCTTGAGAACTCCTCCATCCTATAAAAGATCAGTTAGAAGCAATCTCGAATTAATATTGACGTCATCTTGCCATGTACAATATATGATCCATAAAAAATAAGTGTAAACAAACCGCGGTATACCGTAAAAACTCACCCCGCTCAGATCAAGTGGTTCAGAAGCCATTGTTTACGTAATGAAGATTTAAAAACGTCTGCTGAAACACAAATATATAAGTTACCTGATAAACAAATTAAAAACACGAAACGCGGACAGAGAGAATAAACCCTCCCCTATTTACAAGCTAATTTATAAGAGCACAAGGTGCAACGCGTTTTGCATCCAAAGTTTTCCGTAAATTTCGAGAAATTTCTTTATTTGCGCCCTCCGGGGAATCCCTGATTTGTGACGGAATGCCAAATAATTTTGCAAAATTATTTTTTTTTCGGGAAATTTTTCGAAAGGATTGTCGACATTGATGGGGAAGCACAACGATGATGCTGCTGCAGTTATGGTCAAGACAAGACACTTTAAGACGAAACGAGATCAGGTCAGATTGGGGGATTACGTTTATGCCCACGTAGTGATTGCCGGCCAAGAATTGGAGCTGCCCGCGGAAGTTCTTGATGTTCGGCAACAACGTAAGGATTTTACTTTTCTTTCGTTTGTCGTTTAGGTTTCCGAAGTACTTGGATTGAAGTCGTTGATGACTAAAACGTGTTTTGTTTTAGTTTGTGATGATGGTACAAGACAAACTTCTTTATATGTGCACTATGAGAATCGAGATCGGCGGCTGGATGAGTGGATAATGTTAGATCGAGTCTTGGACAAGAGTCCCGTCACAGCAAAGACAATTACGAGACGACGAGAGATCGAGCAGCCTTTAACAAGAAGTCAGAGGAGAATTCAAGAAGAATTCTCGCATATCCCCAAAAGTATTAATGACCTCGATGCAACAACTGCCAAATTGGAGAAACAGCATGAAGAGGTAGTAGCAGAATTACTTCTTGTTCTATTTTTAGAGTAATTTACTCATTGTTTTCTTTTAGCGAACAAAGATCAAGAATGTTCAACGTGTCGTAATAGGCAGTTGGGAAGCGGATGTTTGGTATTATTCTCCTTATCCAACCGCAGTTGTTGACGGTTTTGTGGAAACCTTGTATATCTGCGAGTTCTGTCTGTTTTATTATACAGATTATCAGAAATACAGCAAACATATAGTAAGTTATCTTTACATATATTGTTTTAGATAGATAATTATCATATTATCCATTGTTTTCAGACAACAGGATGCGTGAGAAGGCAACCTCCAGGTCAGGTGATCTACAGACACAATAACCTTGAAGTCTACGAGGTCTTTGGAAATGTTTACAAGGTAAGATTGTTTTATTTGTAGTATTATTTCGTTTAGTTATATTGTCAATGCCTTTGCCTGTTGTCGAAGCTCTTCCTCGACCATAAAACGCTCTATTACGAAGTGGAGAACTTCCGTTTCTATGTGTTATGTGAGGTGGATGATCAAGGAGCTCATCTTGTTGGCCATTTCTCCAAAGAATACGGGACCAATAACAACCTCGCTTGCATTATGGTGCTCCCATGTCATCAACGAAAAGGCTACGGAAAGCTGTTGATTCAGTTGAGTTATGCTCTCTCGACTCTGGAGAATCGAATTGGGACTCCGGAGAAACCATTGTCAGATCTGGGGAAGGTTAGCTACCGAAGTTATTGGTGGTGGATTTTAATGAATGCCATAGAAGAAAACGGATGGGTGAATGGATGTTTGGTTAGCGAGTTGAGCAGCAAAACTCATGTACATCCCGACGATATCATTAGCACGTTATCAGCACTTCAGATGATCAAACTCTCTCAAGGTGAGCATGGATAATATAACTTGTCCTTCGATTTTAAAGTATTTTTATTATGATTTAAATTTTTATGAAAGAGGAGACAATTTCCTTCCCATTTCAGCCAATTACGGAGATGATATTGTCCTCTGCTCCCCACAAATCCTGAATCATTGCAAAAAACTTCCATTTTGTAAGGCCCCAAAACTCGAGATCCAAAAACAGAACCTCCGATGGTCAACAAATGAAGAGCTAGTGCCTGTTCTCAAAGAAAAGGAAGTCCTGAAACATTTCGAAAAGCATTCACCATCATTAACACCCTCCGGAGATGCGGAAATGACCCCAACTCCGGAACAAAAAGAGCCCGAAAAGATAAAAAAGAAGTTGGTGAAAAAGATTTGATGATGATATGTTGTTGAATATGGTCTTTAAAGACGTCTGTATATAGTGCTATCTGCGTTTTAATCTTTTTGAGATCTCTCACCTCTGAAATTAATGACCTCAGTCAATAAATATTACAATATCAAAAGTAATCGCTGATTTTGATGTTAGATTCCTTGAGTATTATGGACTTCAGGGTACCTAAATTTCTAATAATGCCATTTATTTTTATTTTACCACTAAACTTGTTTGGACTACAACTTTATATTTCTGTAGTAGCTCTCATGTACGACTTGATTATGTTTGGAGTCATGTTTGATTGAATCCGCATCATGATAGCCCGCCATTCTCATCGCACCCATTAATTCTTGTCGGAGAATGTCAAAGACTTGAGTGATTCCAGGCTGACCCTAAAATTATATTACTTATACCAAGTGTAATGTCCTTACTCCCAATGAAAGACCGTAAATATAAGGCCGTCCAATGAACACGAGATCAGCACCAAGGCTGATCGCTTTCACAACATCGCATCCAGATCGTATCCCGCCATCCAAAAAGATGGGGATTCGGTTATTTACGGCCTTGAATATCTCCGGAAGACATTCGATCTAAAAATGGATGAGAATAATATAAAAATGGCCAAGTTACAGTAGCCGGGGCATAATCCAATTGCCTTCCGCCGTGGTTTGATACGTAAACAGCCGAACATCCAACTTGAACAGCTTTTTCGGCCTCATCTCCTCGAAGAATCCCCTTTAGGATAACCTAAACAAAGTTTTATGTATACATCGTAATGGAGTTGATGACCAAAAAATAATGAAATACTGCTGACTGGAATATCCGAGTGTTTGACGATGGTTTCAAGTTGTTTCCAGTCGAATGTGAGGCTAGTGTTAATTCTGATTTTCTCCGATTGGGAATCTTGGAAAGTCTCGTTCGGACTGACACGTCGAAAGTAGCGGAAGTTACCGTATTTCAGATGAGATGGAAGTCCAAACTGATTCCGCTCATCGCTTCGACGACGACCGTCAATTGGACAACCAACGGAGATCACCAATGCCTAGATGAGACATGGTTTTTTGTCTAGTATAATATAATGACTGTCAAAAAAACTTGGGTTTACCTTGTAGCCAACTGTCTGGATGAGTTCAATGCCTTTTAGAGTGTGATCCATGTCTTCTGGTATGTATACCTAAAACGGTTTTGGTGATCTTGCACTTGATGACATGATAATTCGAAAAAATATTATACAGGGTGTCCAGTTTCGTGGCCCGACTTTAATTGGCTATAACTTCTTTAATTTTGGGCCAAATTTTAAAATTCTTTTTTTCCCTATCAAAATGAAACCAAACATAACAGCCGATTACTGTATGTTCAACTTACCTTTGTATATCATATTTGGTATTAAAAAAATGAGGACGTCTGAGGATTCAGCGAAAAAAGAATTTTAAAATTTGGCCCAAAATCAAAGAAGTTATAGCCAATTAAAATCGGGCCACGAAATTGGTACACTCTGTACTTGACATTAGGGATAAGCCTTGCCTGCATCCAACTTTCATTCGGTCTCTCGATTTCGGAAATCTCTTGATACGACAAGTTGGAGAGTAAGCTCGCGATGGCTGGGATTTTTAACGAGCTGGCGACTAAAATCTTATAGAAGAACGTAATTTTACGTGATTTGGATCGCAAAAATGACATTTATTTTTGATGATTATAACCCCAATTACCTTTGACCATGGGCTCTTCGGCTTTGGCATGAACAAGACCATGGAGTGGAATCGGCGCCATTCCAATCGGCATTTCATAGGAGAAGTCGCGGTTTTTCATGGTAAACCTGCATTTTAAGTTTATTTCAAAGGCGTCGTCTGGGATTTTCTGACGTAATAAGTACCTAGAAAATTATTTTACTCCCCCTGGAGTACTCTCACTTTTTGAATTGACTAGAATTCCTCTCCAAAGTCCATTGCCCATCAGCTCCTGCGGAAATAAAATCGCGCACAGCAACCGCTAACCTTTGTTTGGCCAATTTCTCGACATCCGCTAGCGATGCGCAACTTTTCAAGGCGCTGGATCGCTGAAAACACAAATCTTGATATTGTTTTACATGATTCTTGGTAAAAATGATCAAAAAAAGTCTCATTAATGGAAAAGCAAAGCACCTACCGCGATCACAGGCATTTCCCGACCGAACTTTGATCATTCGGAGTGTAAACAATGATAAGAGATTGGGTTGTGGAGCGAGTTTTACCTTGTTGTAGACATCAAACAAACAGTCTCAAAATAGTCGAGATCCATTAAAAAAAATATGTAAATTCCTTGTTTCGTTTTGCATTCCATTCACTTCTCTCCAATCGTCTCGGTAGCATTGTTCCATGCTATTTGTTCTGCTTCCTGTTATCCATCTTGCCATCAGCTTGGGCCTTTTAACCTTAACCTTGAATGGTTGTTGCCGGGGACAAAACACCGCGTTAAATAGTGAGAAAACGAGGGAACGGGAACTGATCGTATTTTAGCTCCGCCGAGCAACGACTCCGTGCCTCAGAGGACGTCGATAATAAACATTCAAACATCTGAACCCACTCCGAAATCGAGTGCGGAGCCGGATAAGTCGGTCGTTAGAAGTGATGAGAAAAAAGGAGAGGAGAAAGAGGTAGGTCTGGGGGATCTGTTGTGGGTAGTAGTGAGAAGCCTAAGTTGTCACAGCCTTTTAATTTTGGAAAAACATTTTTTCCTCATTTTGTAATGGAGAATATAAAAAATTATGCGATTTTCGGCTTTCAAGAGGTGTTGGGATTTGAGACTGCTTCTCGCTGACATCAAATCATTTGTAGAACGGAGCGTTAAAACATTTTTACTAGTAAGAACTTGATTACTTTTAAAAGCGGCCCATGGCATTCTGTACTTTTGGGACACAACCTATCTCCGCGACTTCTTCTATTTTTTCAGAATGCGCTTTCTTTCTCCCCATATCTCGCTAGTCGTTTGAGCTAGAAGGCTAAAATTTGGTACGGCAGTAGAGTAAAAAGCCGGCTTTCAGAAAATATAAATATTGTAAGGAACCCCAATCGCATAAACTTCGCAATGACGATTGAAAAAATTTCATTTTTAACACTTCTGCAATCCAAAAGTTCAAGTTGCATGATCGTATTGACAAATTTTTTGGTCTATGTGTGTTAAATTCGATTTTTAACAAGATAGTCAAATCCCGTCATATTCTATGTGCTACGAGCTGAGTTATGATTAACATCACAGTGCGCGGCCCTTGCTTCAGAATGCCAAAAAACTTGCAAAAATTACATTTTGAATTTTTAGCTTCACTTTGAGGCCTCAAATTGGAGCAAATTTGAGAACTTTATGGGGGTTTTTATTGCAAGAGAGTTTAGGGTTGTTTTCAGCCCAGTAAAAGAGATGTAGATGATGTCCCGATAAGGACTTCCAAGAAGAAGGGCCTCCAGACAGCGATCAAGAAATTTCAGCCAATCGAACCCACTGAGAGAATATCCATGCATGGATCGGATGTGGACACTCAGGAGACCCAGTAAGCACCACTTTGACCAATTTTAAGGCTCATAAAATGTTGATTTTTTGTCAAAAATGGGGGTTTTTAATGTTGTCCATGCTTATTTTACTTAATTTTATTTGCAGAGGCCTCGAATCATCGCAAGTTCCTACAATCAGGACGGCCAGAAGTTCTCGGAGATCTATGAAAGTAATTGTTTTTATTTTTTGAAGTAATCGAACTGTATTTTCAGAGGAGAAATAATGGAAAATTGAAAAGTCTCGAGGCCACCCAATCCCAGAAATAAATTCTAATTTTTCTGAGGGAATAAACAATTACTTTCACATTTTTTGGGAATTTCGCTTTGGTATTTTATTGTCAGGCTTATAAAATGAGATTAATTTGCTTTGAATTTCGTGGTTGAACTTGTATTTGCACTTTTTTTTAGAGATTCCCATTCAAAAATAGACTTTTTTTTGCGACAAATCCTCACTATTTTCCCGACAAACTGATGTTTTTGGCAACTTTTGATCTGAATCGCGTTTTTCCGCCGTTTTGGGTGCAAAAAAAAGAGTGAGCGATGGCCAATCGAATCGCGGGGTACCAGTTCGTGCCTTTCTCGGCTCGCAACGCCACCTTTTGGCCTCGGTTTTCCGCATTTCTCGCGAGAAATCGCTCGCGTCTTGCCCGTTTTTCTCGCTCGCTCTCCATTTCTTTGGCTATTTGATTTTATTTTTTGCTAATTTATATTTTTAATCAGTAAATTTTCAAAATAATCAATTAAAAAAAAAAATTTTTGATTTTAATTTTTTTGATGACTAAAAATTCTTGGTATTTTAGCTTGATTTATGGCCGATACGGTTGAATTAAAGATTGAATTCCCTTGTTTTGCCCTTTCCGAACCTGCAAAGTCTATTTTCAAACCTTTTATTTGTCCTTTTTGATTACTTCTAGAATCAAAATTTTTTTTTATTTTCTCAAGCCCTGAGGGCATTGCGGCTCTGCTGTCCGATTCCTCTTGATTTCGATTGGTTTTTGGAGGGCGGAAATGGCCTGGGAACCGGAAACCCAAAAATTCCACACATTTTTGCGAAATTTGGCCTAAAACCGTCGATTTTCGGGGGAAAATGCGTATTTTAGGGGGAAATTTTGAGTAAAAAAAAATAAATTTATTAGTGAACATCGTATTTTGCATCGTTAAATTTCATTTTCAGTTAATTTTAAATTTTTTTGACTCGTATTTTATCCGAAAATCATCAAAAAAAAACCCGAAAATTTTTTTGGCGAGACATTTAAATTTGGCCGTATTTCTTGGCCCATTTTAATCCGGATATTTGAGTAATCCCTACCTTTCGGCCAATTTTGCAAAGGAGTATGGCCTGTAGACTACTTTTTTACTACTTTTACAACATCGATTTCCCATTATCATTCAATTTTTCCGAATTTTTGCAAGAATTTCCATCAAAATGGCTAAAAATCGCATCATTTCCGGAGAGAATTTCCAGAATTTTGATCAGTTTTCTCTGCGACCTCTCACTTTACCGCACTCTCTTTCGGGTTCGTAATTGGAACGGCGAATTTTAATTGGTTTTGGACTGATAAACGGCCTGATAAGGGGTCCCTCGGCCACTCTTCGCTCTTTTTCGAATGAAAAAGAGACAAAACTCGAGTTTTGTCGCGATTCCGAGAAACCGCGACACTTCAAATTACTTACTGTTTAAGAACTTGAACCCCCAATCGCGAGAGCCCGTTTAGTTTTCCCGTTTTCTCTGCTCTCTCCTCGTTTTTTGCACTCTTTTCTTCTTCCGGTCGATTGCACCGTGCGATCGTCTTCGGAATGCATGATTGCACCGTGCAAATGCACCATTTCCCCAATTCTTTGAGGTCAGTTGGCGTGTCGCCAAAACGTTTCTTTCGTGTGGTTTGAGATCGCAAATCGTCTTTGTCGCAAGCTTTCTGATTCCTGTTTTGTTGCTGCACTGTGCGTTTTTCTCATTTTTGTTTTCATTCGCACCGTGCATTCGTTTTCAACATTTTGCACTGTGCATTTTCTGCTTGCACTGTGCAGGCGTTTTGGAGGACATCGCGGCTTATCGTCACTTTTTTTTGTCGCCGTCCATCGCAACGCCCGGTCCCAAGTTTGGTCGTGGACCTTCGGAGTCGCCGCGGGTGGTTGAAATCGGAGGCATTTTGTCGCTGTGGACCGAAAATCGGAAACCAACGACCGGACGCAACGCGAAAAAAGTTTTTGCGACGAGGGAGAGAAAGAGCGGAGACTGACAGAGAGTCAGAGCAGCGACCAAACTCTGCGATGCGAATGCATTCGGGGTCCGAGGGAAGGGGGAGGGCGAGTGTTCTCGAAGCCGACCGAAGTCTGAAAGGGGAAGGGGACTTGGCGAGTTGGAGGCGGACGACTGCACGGTGCACGCGGAAAAGAAGAAAAGTGCGATCGGGAGAGTGCAGGAGGAATGCACGGTGCGAGCGGAGGGCGCGGACGACCAAGAGCGACGAAAGAGCGCGGGCCAAAATCGCTGTCGAAAAAATTGAGAGAGGGGGCTGGGAGGCGGCTGGCTCCAATTTTGACGTCCCTCCCCAACTTCGAAATGGGGGCTGGAAGCGCTCGCCGCGAGTCCGTCGCCGTGTTTGTCGGTGCTCTCTTCTCTCCGCACACTCTCTGCCGCCACCACCTCCCGACCGCACGGTGCGATTCTCACTCGGACCCGGGGCGAGGGCTGTTTTGGCTGTGTCGCACTCTCGATTCGGGCCTTTTTTTCGTTCAAATTCTCGCCGTTTCCCACTCGCCAACTGTACGAATTTTTTGGGTGAAGAACAAAAAAACGGGCGTTTTTTAGGGCGACAACGCTCCCCGTCCCCCTTGATCTCACACGCTCCAGCCCCCAGGGCATCCCCACAGATTGATCGTGGCCACACTGCGGGCCGAGGCGATCCATTTCCCTGAGGGCGCACCCCAGGAATCGTTTCCGCCCTCGCTTTTTCCTCCCGCCATTCTTCCACGAATTGCACAGTCTCGCTTCCTCCGCACCGTGCATTCCGCCCCACTCGCACTGTGCGCTGCGGAACGGCGGCTTTCCTTTGCACGGTGCCAATCCCATCCATCTTCTTTGTTGATCATCGCGATCGGCGTTTGTTTTTGTGATTGCACCGTGCTTCCTTCCGTTTCATTCCTGCTGCACTTTTTTTGTCGCATTCGCACTTTGACGACAAATCGATCGCTCTCTTCTCGTTCCCAGATTCGATTTCAGGGTGCGTGTTTTGACGCGGGATCGCGCCTCTGGGGTTGTCGCGCGTGTGGGAAGTGATTTGTCGCACATTCCATGAAGAGGAGAGTGCGGTCAGTGCGAGCCCTCGTTTCGCGACAACATTTTTTCGGGTTGAAGATGAAAGGGGGGAAAAAGAGCGTCGCCCTCTTTTCTTGCTCCCATTTTGCGACGACCGGACGGTGCGACGAGCCGGAGGGCTGACTGGCTTTTCTCTCGTTTCTTTCAAGCGATGACGCGTTGTCCATTGTGCAAAGAAGTTTTTGGAGCATGTTTTGGGCGACCAACTTGCACGGTGCGAGTTGTTTTCGTTTCGCACCGTGCACATTCCAGCTGATTCATTGGGCAATAATTTCTTGCACAGTGCATCCAAGTTTTGCCTTCCCTTCGAGTGCACGGTGCGGATTATTATTCATCCCTTGGCGTGAGATTTGGAATGCATCGCTCGATGACATCAGACCCTCTGGCCATTTCTTATGCACTTTCCATTTTCGGCCCTTAGGCCGTCTCGTTTTTTGGCGGGAAAGCGGGGGGTTTGAATCATCGCACCGTGCAGACGTTTTTTCCGTCTCGCACCGGTCATTGCACGGTGCGGTCTCTCGTCCGGCGAGTGCACGGTGCGAGAGTGTGGGAAAGGGCGTGGGAAAACGGCGGAGACGGAGCGAGGAGAGAGTGCGCGGAAGGGAGAGACGCCACACAAAGGGCCGCCGTCTAATTGGTCAGTTCTGGGCCGTTTTGCCGCCAGTTTCGGCCGCTGATTAAGAGATGGCGGGTCGGGCCGAGGCGGGACATTGGCCTTTTTTGTCGCCATACCGTTATATTGGCCAGGATATTGGTTATGTGGGTGTTTTTAGGTCGTAGAACAGATTACTTTTCCCCTCCTTTTACGGCCCTCCATCCCCAGTTCTTGCCCGTGAAACTTTTTTTTGTCATGATGACATATTCCCTTCCGTCATGGCCTTACTTTTGCCATTCTTTTTTTCGTAATTTCCCTCGTATTTTTGGGGTTTCAGAAAAAGGAATTTCCAATTTAAACAATTTTTTGGCCATAAAATCGCGCATTCGGCCGCGCCCGGAATGGGCCCAAATTTATGTTTTCTCGCGGGTTTCGAACCGCGGCTGATGGGTATAAATTTATTTCTGCCTTACCGTAGACCACACGTGTTCATGTTTTATGGGTCGGGGCATGTGAAGGGCCCTGATTTTATGGATTCTCGGATGTCGCGGCCCCGTTTCCCATCCCTTTCGACGGTCTGTTCGCTAGCTTTTCCCGCTTTTCGCGAGTTCTCCCCGTTTTTTGCGATTTGTTCGCAGTTTTTTTAATAATCGCTGATCAATGATCAAGGTCAGGGCGCAGATCGGATGGGGTTATCAGAAGTGCGAGCTCGCGGGGGTTGTTTTGCACTCCCTTCGGTTGTTTTTCACGTATTTCCACACGCCTGATAAGCGTTTCATGAGTCAGAGGAAGGGAAAAGGACATTCGAGAGCCCTGACTCAACCCGATGACGTCACGCAACCCACGTCCCCAACTTCCTTTCTCTTATTACGTGCATGTGGAGCGAGCCACAAGAGCGCGATGATGTTATTTCGCCCCAATTATGACGTCACTTTTTCGAGTTTTACGATCCATTTCGTTTCAGGTCCGACTTGGGTTTTTCGACGTCAAATTCATCGACGTCTCGGCATTCTCATCGACGGAGAATCGCCGAAAACCAGAATGTTGGTATGTCAGAGCATGAAGAAGGCAATCAGCGACAATAGAAGGGCTCTACAACACGAATGAACAGTGAGTTTTTGATCCGTCTTGTGTGATGTCGTCGATGGATAAGATCGTTGTGTTTTGATACGACGAATGCTTCCAATCTTTTTGATTTTTTGCACAGCAACAGTCCAATATGTCAGTTATGATATTCCAAAATTTCAGGTCGCATACTCAACCTACAGTTTGGAGATACTGTAATTTCCTCGGACCTCCCCGAATCCTCCGCTTTTTTGTAAAACCACAATTTCCCGCTCAGGAGAGAAAATCTGGCAACGGAATCGACGAGTCCATCAACACAACGTCCTCCACGACATGCACATCCATCGTTCCTCGACGTTCTGCGCGCCTGCGACGTGGTCCAGGTGCATTTTTTGGGACCTCAAGAAAACTCAACAGAAAAACCTCGTTTTGCGTCTTTCGGAATGGCGAAGATCTCTTGTGTAGCTGCTGAGGCCGGTCGCTACGCTCTCAGGAACATGCCGGACGATAAGCGCCACCGCACATCGAACGGTATGACAATCGGACGGGCCTCGGAACGGGTCGAAACTTTAGTTTTAAGCAAAATGGGACAAAAAGTAGAATGAATAGTACTGTAACTGCTCTCAATCCACATGTTCGGGTTACCCAGCACGTCATGCGCGCAGTCAGAGGTCAGCATTCGATGGATTCGATGGACGCCGATTTGCTTGGGTTTTCACCGATTTTTCTCGTTTTTTTCTCGGCTTTTGATGACATTACACTCTGGATTACTGTAATTTGTGCAATTTGATTGTTTATTTATTGTACCGCATGGTCCTGGACCTCCAGTCCTTCTCAGCTTTTCTTTGAATCCAGGTTTTACCATCCTTTCGCCTTTTCAATACACCAATCCCGAGGTCATTTTGGTGGCTTTTTTTGGTCTAAAATGACGATTACTGCAATTTCCCATCACCGCAGCAGAATTTCCCGATTGTTTTATCAATCTTGAGTCCATTTCTGATCGTTTAAAATCCCCAAAACCCTTGCGGATGGTGTAAAATCCGTTTGAATGCCCGTAAATCAAATCCCAGTTAAGCGAGCGCCCCCGAGGGGTGCCCGCGCAGTCCTTATTATCTTTCATTATCAGCCCAATCTCCCTCTGTTTTTGCAAATTTCTCCGGTTTTTTGGTCGAAACCGTCTTTCAGCCGTGCTTTCTTTCCCCCTCTCTGTCCCCATTTTTCTTTGTCCTTATCACCGAAATCTTATCATTTTCCGGGGAGTCGTGATGTCCCCCATTCTCGGGGACTCTTATGTCTTGTAACTCCGACTCCATGATCGTCCAATCCGCCGTTTTTTTCGGCGTCTAAACGCAGTCATTTCTCTGTCTCGGAGACGATTTTTCCCTTTTTTGGGCCTCTGATGTTTTCAAAAAATATATTTTTTATTTTGCGAAAATTCCCCGGTCCTGAGGGCATCTTCTGCTCCAATCAGTCGAATCCTGGCCGTTCGCTTACCGCTGCACACGGGTTAATGCAATCAACTGGCCGTTGTCCTTAGGGCCTTATCTCGGACAACGGCCAACGGGGAAGCGGCCGACCCTGCGTTTTCTTCAGTTGGACCCAAAATCTTTTCAATTTTCTCGGGATTACTCTTTCGATTACTGTATTGTACTGTAATATTTTTGTCTGGAAGGTAGTAACTTATTGCTAGTAATCCACTACTCATCCAGTTCTAGGCTGAAATGTTTATAGTATGAGTTTTGCAGTTAACGTTACCGTAACCTTCGACTTACAGTAGCCCTAAAAGCTACCGTAATGTTGAAGTTACGGTAACCGAGAACCCACCGTAATCCCCTTCTCCAATCTCACGCATAATCTCACAACAGACTTGTCAATATTCGATGGTAAAGTTCCTACTTTAATCCCCCCAAGTAATGGTAATTTCCCCCAAATCCTCTCAAAATAAATTTAGTCATCCCAAAAGTGTAGAGCTCAAGAGTACCCCGTAGTTTCTCGGCCCCGTTTAGTAAGTTATTTAGACCTTCCGTCAGCATAAAACTGCCCAATGCCTCGAGGGCATTTAAGTTTAGAAAGATCCAGCTTCCATCACTGCCATGCCGACTCCGATACCTGAAGAGTCAGTGGATCCGGGGTGAAAAGGGCGTGGGAATAGGTCTAGGGTGGTCCGTACTTGGCGCTAATCCACTTTGGATTACCCAAAAAGTCTTACTGTAAGCGTGTTCGACACTATCTCTCGTTTGAGTTGATTACTGTAATTATGTGTTATTACAGCATCGTTACTGTTTATAAACGCAAGAAATAAGTCTTCTAACTCATTCGCAACTCCTCAGTATTCTCTTCGTACAAAATCACCCTTGCTGGAGTACTGTAACAATGTCTTTTTCGCTACAGTAACCCTCCAACTCCTCCCCACCAACCTCATGGATCCGTCTCGTCGGCATGAACCAACTAATTAAGAGCCTAATTAAAAAGTTTTGTGCTACTTTCTTCCTTTTCTTCTCTGTTTTTCTCCCGCTTCTCTAGATTTCCATTATAATATTTAAGCCGCGAATTGTAAACCTCTCCGTATGCCTCGTATTTTTGTGTTGTAGTTGATAAATGGAGACATCAAATCGTTTTAATAAACATACGAAACAAAGCGTTATGTACAATATTGTGATCCGAGGGGGCAAATCAATTCCTGAGGGCTTGGGCTTCGACTCGGACAAGACGATTTTTGATTTTGATCAATTTCCGTTCCCTTTTGATGTCCTCGTTCAGTTCCAGCTCTTTTTCCGCCGCGACAACTCCGGCTTTGCAGAGTTTGAGAGTTCTTTCATCAGCATCGGCAGACTCCAACATGATCTGAGAAAGTTTATCCATGACTGTGAGGAGGGATCGATCCGAAGCCGGAAGGTGGAGCTGGGCTTTTTGGAGGAGCCGGGCGTAGATTTGAACGGCCAGACGATACCAGGAAGTTTGTAGGGAACGGTCTCAAAAATTTAAAAAAAAATATGGATAACAAAAACAATGAGTTATAGAAAAAGATTAACGTAAATGGAATTTTTTAGTAAGCTAATGTCAGGGATAGTGTAAAAAAATCAGCTGAATCAAAAATACATAACCCAAAAGACGAATGATGATAGATTAAGTAAAATAGGGTCTGTAAGAGTCGTCTGACCATACCTGCACAGATCCTGGCTCCATACCAATAACTTTCGGCCTGCATTATCATGTAAGCAAGCTGGGTGTACAACTCATCGACCACCAAACATCTCTCCAAAACATCTTGATATAATGTGTAGGAATGCCTCAGCTCTGCTCCAACTTGTCGCCATTTTCTTTCGGAGTCTGCTTTCACCGATAGCTGACGATATAATCTTTCCAGGGGCATTACATGACGACAATGCGAATTCTTGAGGAGAAAGAGCTCCGGCCATTCTGAAAAGCGGAGACATTAATACGAGACGTTATTTCGTTGTGCCTAATCCTAACAACGGGCAACAATAACCAGCAAAATTACTTTTAAAAAATTTAGAAAAGTCAAAGTTTACCCAATGGAATTCCTTTGGCGATTTTTTTGTGAACAACCAGCAAAAGGTCCGAATCTGAATTCGAATTCTTTTCACTGAAGCCATCTGGCGAATCCGAGGATCGGAAGCCTGATGAGGAGTCGGAAGACGACACCTTTCGATGGCTTCTGACTTCAGAATCCCCCATCGACTCCTCCTTTTCAATCGTCAGCCGATTCTCCAGTTTGATGGTGGCCGCCTAAAACACAACAAAAGTCATTTTCAATCACAAACGGCCTAAAAATGAGCGATAACAGGCAGGAATCAAAACGTAATAAGAGCGCGACTTCGAAAATCCCGAAATTTATTCATTTCGGGTCGACGTTTTTTCAGGTTCGCATAACCATAAATCGGCATTGTTGACCTCGGCGAACTCGATTTTGGATATAATTACCTCCCACCTGAATCCCCCGCCTAGCTCTGACCTTACCCGATCCGACAACAATACCGTCTAAACATTTGAGTAAACATTTTCATTGGACGGGTAAATATTCGGGTTCCGGACGGGTTTGTAAGCGGGGAAAAGCTGAGGGAATGGGGTGACAAATAAGTGTAATATACCCTTACCTGTAAGTTAATTTTTTGGGAATTTTAGGGACCCCTCAGCTTAAAGACTACTGTAATTTTCAGCATGAAATAATCAGCAAAAAGGTCATCAAAATCATAGACTTTCGCAAAAATTGGGACTGAATAGTAACATTTTTTTCCAAAAATAGCTCCTTTCTTTAGTACAAGCCCAAATTCATACCTTTTTCCCATCAGAGACGCGGAAGATTCGCTCCCAGGAATGCTTGAGGGGCGTGTCCGAATGGGAGAAATCGGATATATCCAAAGTCTTCTGGGGACTCCCGTCCACGAACTGCGAACGCAAGAATCTCTCCACCATCGGGATCACCACATCTTCGGTCTGCAAAAAAAAACAACTGTAATCGAGTAATTCGATACTTTTTCGAGTAAAAATGTGCGTTTTAGAAACTTTATGACACCAAAATTACAATACCGCTGCTCAAATAAAAAGCATGGAAGATGGCACAAAGCCAGTTAGGGCAGCTGTTTTGGTTAATCGAAGCCGCGGATTCAATCCGACTTTTTAGGGATTTGAATGGAAAGAGAAACGGAGCGGAGAGCGGAACGGATTTACAATATAAATACTGGCTAAGCATATGAATACAAAATTCAATGGGACTTACTTTGAGGAGATTGTGGATCTGCTCAAAGTTTGATGACTTCAGATCCCTCGAAGGAATCAAAGATATCTCTGATTGTGATGACATTTTACGACTTTTGGGAGGTAATGGAGGTGCAACTGATGGCGGTTGGGGGATGATAAGATGATGATTGGAGATATTACGGTCGATCGGATTGTCCGTCGACATCTCTGGAAAAACGGGCATTAATGCAACGTAAAAATAATGATATTAGAAAATCAGCAATATTTTTTCTCTGTTAATGTTGTGAATAATATAAAAACATGAGCTAACCCAAGCAATATATACTCCAAAGAGAGTCAAAAAAAATCCCGACTTGTCCTAAAAAACAGACTTCGACTTATGTCACATTCTATGAAAATCTGTGGCCTCATATCTCAAGCGTACAAACCAATTCTTTCGACAAAAAAGCAAGTCACCGTTCTCTTCAATTCTTCAACTCACAATTATTGAACCCCTCAAAACTTTCTTACTTTTCCCCTTCCCAAGTTAATCCTTATAACCCGTCAATTACTGGAAACAATCTGGAAGAGCAGAGGTTCATAGAAGAAGATCGGAACGGTAATTGAGCTCTCCCCCAACGAACCTTTAGCCCCGCCAATTACAGATGAACAGAGAATACTTTCCCTTTTCCGAAGGGGGTTTGGAAAAAGATTTCGGTTCAGTGATTTTAATCAAAAAAATGGGAGATAAGCAGGAGATTACCTGGATTCCGAGTTAAGCAAAAGACAGGTTAGGAAACCAGTATAGAGAGCGGAGGTTGGAGGATCACAACATTTACAAGGATTTACCATTAAATTTCGACAGAAAAGTTGTCATACCCGATGTTTTCTCCAAATACCTAACTTCAGGATCCCAGGGATACCGTCGAATTTGCTCTGAAGTTGTTCTGAATTCTTTCCTTGGTTTAGATTCACTCAATGAGTACGATTCACGATGACTTTGAGGAGGAAATGACGGTAATCTTACATTCGTCACTTCTAAAATGTACAATCATAAAGTTAAACTCGAAATAAATGCAAACATACCAACATTTCCATCGGTTCTTCCTCGATGAGCCAACTTGAGTTCGTTTCGATTCAAAATCCCATCAAATTCGGACGGATAATCATAGAAATGTCTGATTCTGTTGGATTTGGAGGCAATTTCCTGTTCCGTCGAAATGTCATCAGAAGTATTGGGGGATCCTCCATTATGCAGAATCGGAATAAGCCTTTCATTTGGGCTTGTATGATAGGAAGGCTCGGTATAAGTTGGAGATGTGAATGTAGTTTTGGTTGGAGGATCAGAACTGATGGATCGAGATCTAAAACAAGGCAAATGAACAGAAAGAAACAACCCTTACACTTCCCGGACGTTCAGATGGCCAGGTCTTGTTCTCATTGGAGTTCTCCATTCCGTAATTCGCTCGAATCTCTCGGATTTTATTCGTTCCATCGGTTTTAAGACATCTCTTGGCCATGGAAATGTTTTGGGTGGCAGAGACTTGCTAATACTCTGGAAAAACAGCTTTTTCTAAAAACTACAGTAACCGAAATAAGGTTACAGCACTTCTAGGAGATGCTAGAGACCTATGACAATGTGAACAATGTAATAAATCGCATACCGTATAATAAGGTTGATCGGAAAAAGCGGAACTCATCTCATATCAAATCAATAAAGCCAACACCATTTTTTTCGGAATGTAAAGGAGACAAAAACTCGTAAACTATCACTCTGTAAACATCCGTAGACATGCTGTTGTGTAATAATGGAAATAAAATATGCCCGGGAATTGGGTTTTATTGTAGTTGAGCAAGAAAGGTGCGGGAGAAATAAGCATTTAGCCAGTTTTCCGATAGTCCAGGAGAATCTAGACCATTTTTCCGGAGAATAGAGATGTGCTTTTTTACGAACTTACTGCGAGATTATGTACAAATGTTTATAACAATCAAATATTAACATAAGTTATCGAATATTAATTTAATGTCGACATTATTGGTATCGAAAAGAATTGATAGACGTAAAAACTGCTCGTACTGAAACAACCGACAGAACTTGTAGTGGAGACCGTCTAAAACAATTATCAACTTATATCCGTAAATCGTTGAGATTCATCAATTTTTGTCTAACAAGGGAAGTTCCACAACAATGCCTGGAAATCTTAGCGCGTTTTCAGTGACGGCCGAGACACTTGGGGTACTTCCCCTGTAAACCAAGGAAAACAAAATAAAACTTACATGAAATTATAGCGGAGTTCATGTTGAATTATTGCCCGTTCACAATTTATTTTTCGTTGATTCCATTATATAATGTTGAACAATCTGAGGAAGAGATATATCGGAATGACAATCAAGCAAAACATCTTGTATAATATGGATCAACTAAGGAGACTAACGAATCTGGAAAAGCAATAATTAGAGATGTCATCTATTTACATGACCACAGCTGCAGCTAGCCATAGCTAGCTAGCTAGCTAGCTATGGCCAGACAATCCTCGAAGATGTCCGGAAATTCCAAATTTCTATCTGATTTCCTTCTTGGTAAATTTTTTGACATTTTGTTGTTGCGAAATGTCATCTATTGACATTTTCCCAGAACAAAGAATATTTCGCAAGAAATATTATTTTTACCCAGAAAGGATTGTTTAGAGTAAGTGAGGGTGTCGAAGTAATGCAAACGATTTAGTTTTTAGCAGTGACTAAGTATATCAGCGCGATTTATTTGGTATTTTAACAATTGCTTGTTGTTTTGTACATGAGAATCCATGCCATTGGAAGGTTGTTCCGTAGGAGTATATCTAAATATTGTTGATCATGGGCGTTGAAACCTAGAAAACGATCGTCTTCCTCCTCCGCTACTTCTATAGAAGTTGGAGGGTCCGGGAGAGCTTTCTTCGAATTCGAAATCTGGTTCCATGGGCTTGAATCTCTTCCTTCTTGGCCATTCTCCATCATCTGTCCTGTGAAATTTTTTTGAATATAATATTTTGTTTAGCTGTAAGTTTTGGCTTCTGCCCTTCTTACTCTAAAAGAAATGAACCTCTCATTGCCGCATTCTAGAGCGGCTCTGTAGAGTTCATCATGTTGAATTGAATGGGCCAATTTGAGGACCTCGTAGAAGTTGTCCGCGGATAAGCCGTGCATGATTTGGATTGAGACGAATTCCTAAAATCATGTTTTGACAAGAATTTTACTGCTTGCCGTGAGGGGAGCGATCTGATAATGATTCGCGAGCTTCATCAATTCGGCTCCCTGATTTCCGATTTGAATATTCTCCCCGTAGAGAAATCGGAGCATCAGTTCAACTGCGCGAACATCAAAACCGTTGATTTTGAGCAAACCAATCTTTGATTCGATGAAGTCGTTCTTGAATTTCCCTTGGAGAATCCGAGAATGGCGACTCAAGATCACCCTCGAGACATGGAACACAGTATCTCCACATTTAACCATGGTGTCTGAGAAGGAACGGTCGTTGTAAAAGATTGTATTGTCTTGAATGACTGGTTTCTCGCATGAGAAGTCCTGTGCGATGTTGGCGTACCTGAAATTAAGGCGTCTAGGTTCTGTTTTGTAATAGTCCACCTTGGACAAAGTCGTGTAGAGTTCATTACAATCAGATCTGCGATATGTTTGCATGTTCATGGAGACCTTAGATCGGAAGTCATTTTTCTTTACTATTTGACTTCCCTTTTCTAGAATTCCAGAAGCCTCATCAGTCTCATTTTTGATATCTTTTCGGTTCAAAAGTCCAATTCTCTGCTTGAAAACGACTTGAATTTCAGACACTGCTTCTCACTAATTTGTTTTTGCCTTATAATCTGCTTTGATATCAAATCAAATGTAAGATAGTTATTCCAAATGCTTCACCTTTGTTTTCTAACTTCTAAAAAACGATTCCCGAGATTGTCAGCGATCCCATTGCATAGAAAAGACATTTCTGAGTTGACTTACAGTCTGATCGCCTTATGAAATAACTTCTTTGGGTCTTCTAGACTATCCTTGGAGTATTTGATGAACAATTTCCCATTACTGGCTTCAGTTTGCTCCACTTTGAGGATCACTTCTGCACGCGATCTGATTGTAGTTCCGCCCAGTGAAACGAAATAAGGGCCTTCGACGCGGAATTCGACGTTGTAGGGGTCATTGGAGTCATTGATGATGGTCAGCTTTTGTATGGGGTGGTTCACAAATGACAGCATCTTCCTGTCGATCAGTAGGGGAGGTTTAGGCTCTTCTCTCCGTGGCGCCTCTTCGTCCGGCAATGGCGGTTTTACATCAATATGTGTGTTTGACATCTTTTGGCTGAAGAGAGTGGAGTACTTAGTGGTTGGTTTAAGAATCGCGAGTGGTTGACATGGAAAGAAACAGTAATTTGGATCTGCGAAGTGAGAGTCGAAGGCTCCACCTTGCCCAAATGTTTTTGAAAGTGGTTGTCCTCTTTTGTTTATTCGATTTCTGGCCAGATCAAGGGACAAATGATCGGAAGCCTGGCTCATTTACATAAACGAGCGCTCTTTGTAATCTTGCTTAAAGGAGCGCTAATTCGACGACAAGCCGCGTCTTTTTTATGACAAATAGTGTTCGCAGGATCTTGGTGTTAGCTTAGACAGCAGGACGAATCGTTCGAAAATTATTTTAAACAGATCTGTCCTTTCGAAATCTACACGATAACAAATCAATTGGGTCTCATTGTAACCCCTGTTTTTGCATAATTCAATGCGTATTCGGTCACTGTGACCCTGAAGGCTGAAATGCCTATGAAAGTTGACTTTTTTCCTGTGGTGACAAATATTGTTTTGTCCTCCTTTCGAATCCTGGATCAAGAATTTGTCTAGCTTCGAAAGAATGAAACGAAAAACGCTGTCGACTGAAACTGCATTTTCTAAGTGCAGTATCTCGTCATCCATCAATTAGATTATACCTCCTGCCGCTAACAATCACTAGGCCTTGCCTTGCTAATAATCAAATAGTTTTCCGAATTCTTGCTTGAATCGTGGGACTGTGAATGAATGGGGCATCAAATATTCTAGAATGGTCCATCAGTTCATTTTGTTTTTCAAAATCGAAGACAGTAGTTTTAACCAGAGATTGCCACGGTCAAAATTTCGGCTCCGGCTCTTAGCTCCCAGAGCCGGAGCCGAGGTCAAATTTGCAGCTCTGGCGCCGGCTCTCATGAAAAACTTAAAGAGGTCTGCGGCTCCGAATCCCGGCTCCCGTGCAAAAAATTTTTTTTAAATATTTTTCCAAATATAAACGTTATTAGTGCCATAGATCATACAGCCAACGTTTTTGCAGTCAAGTCAAATCCTCCGCAGTGTTTTTTTCAAGTAATTTGGTTTAACAAGATCACGAAATTTTTACTTTTCTGACCGCTGGGAAGCCTGGCTCCGACTCTACCCAAAATTTCCGGCTCCGGCTCTGGCCCCCGGCTCGGAGCCGGAGCCGCTCAGAGCCCGAGCCAGGCGCCGGCTCCGGAGCCGTGGCAATCTCTGGTTTTAACCATCGTGTGGGATGGGATGGACCCTCATATGATCACATCTGGAGTTCTGTCTCCCTTTTTGGCCAAAAAAAGGAGAAAGAAGGCTGTGTCTGTTTTGGGTTGCGATCGGGCTTCGTTTCCTTTTGAGCCAGCAGTTTTTCGTTCCGAAAATGTTGAATTCACAGAAAAAGACGACGAAAAGCCTGTAAAGACGTGTTTTCATAAACAAAGACAGGATTTGTATCAAAATAATTCATCCGATTTTGAAATCCCCCACATATAAGGATGGTGAAATACAAACCAAATCGGGTTTCGTGGCCAGAAACCGCGATTTCTTGTCTGTTAGGGCTCTAGACAAGAAATGCGTAATTCTTGTCTGAAGTTGCGTAACATTGCGCAAATTTGTGCTCTCTCCCCGTGGAGATTCTTTTCTTTTTTTCTCTGCAGAAATGCGCAATTCTTGTCTAGAAGCCTAACAGACAAGAAATGACGGTTCCTGGCCACGAAACCCGATTTGATTTTTATGTCACCATCCTTATATCATCAGTTTTTTTCCGAGAGGAATCGAACTCTGCCGAGTCTTTATGCAATTGATTTTTCCCGCCAAAATTCGAGGTCAGATGGACGTTGAATTCAGATTATACTGTTTGCCTTTATCACGGAATTTTTTGATTGCATAAATAGACTTTAATTTTAAAAAATCGATTGCTTGTGTTTCGCAACCACTTCCCTTCGACTTTCTAAACGTTTCGCTTCAGTGTTGCTATTCAACTTTTTCTCTGCGAAAACATGGATTTATTACTTTGTTTTCTCTCGGAACCATCCTTCTGACCCTCCGTTTCCCTCATCTAAGCTATTTGCAGAGCCTTGTTGTAGAGTGTAACTCTAGCAGAGATGATTTTCGTAAATTTTTTAACCACAACTTCACAAATCCGACTTGTTTTCTTTTCTAATTCGCGCATTTTATAGTGAAGTTGATCTAAATTTTCGTATTTTATACCCATTTTTTCAGGGTTTCAAGATGATGCCTCATTACCATCAACCTTTGTTTGGGCAACAAGTTGTCTATCACCCTAGCTCCATGTCACCCCCTCAAGGTCAACACGTCGACTGTAACCCAAAGAAATTGGAATTCAAGCATTTCCGGGAGCAGGAATTCACAGTGTTCAACAAGTCCAACATGCGAATGCAGATTCTTTTGACAATTCCAGAAGGTTTTAATTGTTCGCCTATCCGAAGGATCGTCGAACCTCGAATGAACTTCACATTCACCATTGTGGCTGGCGCTGAGGCAGAGAATGGATTGATGACGATGGAAGTGAAGAGAACTAACGATAATGGACTCTTACAGAAAACGGATGTAAAGTTGATTGTCAACGATCCAAATGAACAACCAGCGCCGGTGGTCATCTCAGACAACATGATGTTCTACAATGAGCAGAAATTCAGCGATTTTGTGGTCAAAGTTGGAGAAAAGGAGATCCATGTGTCCAGGGCCATCATCAGCAGACACAGCGAGTACTTCCAAGCACTGTTCAAAAGTGATTTTGATGAGACAACCACTGGCGTCTTGAAGGTTGAAAATTTCTCGGAAGGGACCATCGAGAATATGCTCAAGTTCTTGTATGGGGATCAAGTTGATTTGGCCCAGAATGCCGACGAAATGATCCAAGTGGCCAGTTTTTATCAGATCGCTCCAATGGTCGATAAATGCATTATGACTCTGGTGGATGCAGTGGATGAGAACAATTACCATGAGATGATTCTATTGGGACATCAGCTGCAGAATGATAAGCTGTACAGCAAGGCAATGAAACTGGGTGCTGAGAAGTTTTACTCGTTTGATAAGGTCAGTGGAAAGGGTGATTTCGAAGGGCCCTTTGAGCCTCATGAAACTCTCTGAATACTTCTTCTTTTTTTGTTTTGCCATGTTTAAAACTTTTTTTTTCAGACAAAGAAACGTCCTGCAAATTCCGACAAGAATGATCGCTCAAAACGCTCTCGTTTAAATCGTGGTCAGGAGTTAGAGGTTGTAGCCGAGGTCCGCCGATACCCTTTCCCTGCTTACGATCCGTTTGTGCAAATGCGTGCTGGTTACCTACAACAGCCGCAGATTCAACCGAACAGAGGTCCAAGAGACTTGGTGGAATTTGGTCGAATTGACGAACATGATGATGAATAATATCCGATTTGCAATGGTCTTATTTTTCTCATCACTTCTCTCTCAGTGTGATCGAAAAAGTTGTTTTTTTTTTGTAACCATATCCCCCCAAGCATAAACCCCAAACATCATGTACAGAAAACATTATTGTATTCCTATTTTTATGTTTACCGCGCTGAAAAATAAAAAATTTTAAAAGGGAATCGTGCTGCAGTGGTTTCCGAGGTCTTCAACGATCTCCTGAAGTTTGCCTTGACGGCATTCGGGTTAAGTTCGGACTCTCTAATCATCTTCTGGCGCCAGCACCGTATGCTCATTATACCAGCCCAATCCAGAAAAGAAGGAGGATCCTCGAAGATATAAATTTATATGGAAATGCTTTGGAGATTATTCGAACTGCTAAACTTCATAGAATCGACAGTTTATTGGAAGCTTGTGTAGAGATTTTGACCGAACAAATGAACGAGAAGAATTATTACGAGATCTTGCTTCTCGGCTGCACTCTCGACGAATTGTATTATTATGCCATGGATTTCGCTGATCAAATGTTGGGAATTGTTAGTTTTGCAACATTCTTATACAGGGTGACAAATAAAAAATGCAACTTTTTTTCATCGGTCCTGCCGCGAAAACTTTTAGGTTTAGGAAAATATTGTTCATACCATTAAATTCTCCGTGTCTTTTTGTCCTAGCCTCTCAATTTTCATACCCATATCGGTTGATTAACATGTTTGTTTCGAGTCTCAAACAGAGGGACCCCGATTTTAAACCTGTCACGGAAAGAAAAAGGACAGTAAAAGATTGCTAAATTGGTCGGTGTAGGAAAACCTGCCATACGAAAAGCCATCAAAAGACTCAACGAGCTTGGCCATGGTGGTAAGTGTCCAGGAATTAGAAGGAAGCGCATCTTGAAGACTTCTGCCAACCTTGAGATCATCAGAAAGCGAGTGAAGCAAAATCTGATGGTGTCCATGAAGAAAATTGCCCGGGAGACCGGCATCAAGGGAACAACGGATCGACGAATGGTGATCAATGTACCGTAGAGTGAGTCTTACAAGCTCCAAAAAGCTTAGCGCCTCACGGAACACTACAAGCAAGTACGGCTCAAAAAATGTCGAAAGCTCAACCGTCGCGCCGCAGCTCAGCGATGAGAGAAGGTCCTGTTCGCGGATGAGAAATATTTCAACATCCAGCAGGCCTACAACCACCAGAATTGCAGGAGTTGGACTGTTGAGAGTCAAAAACCATCCGCCATTTTTGAACCCAGTAAAAATCCGACCTCTCATGGCCTGGGACAAAGTCTTGCGCCAGCGGCGTGATATCCTTGGTTTTCCTTGGTTTTCTTGGATAAAGGGGTCAGAACCAAACCGATAAGTCTACCAGCGGCATTTTGTACACCATCGTGATTCCGTGGGCTCAGTAGCACTTTGGCGGTTCAAAACAGACACCGTAGCATGATTCCGCCATCAGCCATAAAGCAAAAAAGACGCAAGGCCAGGAAAGGACCTGTTTTCCCGATTTTATGTGGTCTGCGAAATGGCCGTCTACTCGCTGGATCTGAATCCGGTGGACTATGTTTTTTGTTTAGTTAGAAGCCAGGACCTCTAGTTCACGCCAAAAAAGTTTGGAGCCGCTAATTGATCGCTGCGGTAAGAACGGAACCAATTTCCCCAAAAAAAGCTTCGGCGAATCGGCCAAAATTTAAAGTCACGTTTTGAGCTCTATCTCGGGGCCAAGAACAGCCACCTTAAAACTGGCCGAGCATACTATTAACAATGCTCTATGTTACTGATATTCACCGTTACTTTGGTTAAGTTTGGTGTTTTAGACAAAATATGGCCATAAATATGAGTTGCATTTTTTCTTTGTCACCCTGTAGATTACGACAGTCTCAACGACCTTCAAAGGATGTTTTATCTAATGTAATCATTCCCAGCCGATGTGCTCATATCCATCAGATTCTAATTAACAAATTATTTTCGTAAGAAAATAATGGAACCAAACGCCGCTACCGCCATCAGTTTTCCTGGAGCATTTCAAATCAAATTTTAAGTAATACTATTTTTTGACGTCAATTTCATATAACCATTCATTTTCTAACAGTCAACAAATAACAATTCAACTTTACAGATTAGGGTCCTATTCCAAAATACAGTAATCCTACTGTAACTGGGCCTTCTCTTCTTCATAGATTTGATTGATGAAGTCGATGTTTTCATCCTGTGATTTGACGATTTCATCCTAAAATATATTACAATAGTATCACGTAATATTATACCAAATTATACTCCCCGCCAAAAGTTTTGACCCCCCTTCTAACTCGGTCCAAAATGTACCAATTTGGACCAAATTAGGTACGTAGTCTACTGACAGCCTAGTAATAAAAAATATCATAGTAGGACAAACCATATAGCTGTATTTCAAAATCCAGGGACAATTTTCAAAAATCACCTCAAAAAAACGGGACAAAAGTTTTGACCCCCCTGCAAAAAAATTAAATATCGCCACCGGATGTAGCCCGAACCTTTTACAATCGATGCCCCATACCTGAATACAGATTAATAAATGCTTTTTCGTTGAATGCTTCGTTGCATTTGATGATGCAACGCGTTAAACTGATTTTGATGTAGAGCTGCCCAAAATGGTAAAAATCTTGTACTGGCCCTTTCTAAAAGTTCTAAATTATGTTCACATCATGTGAACTTGACGTGTTATAACCTGCATTAACCTTTTCCTTTCGAAAAAAGTCCATGATGGCCTAGCGGTATCGATTCGGCCGATATTCAGTTGTCATGGTCATCCTTGGTGAGCCGTTTGCTCTTTCACTAAAGGGCTAGATGTGGTCGATATGTCCTCAATCTAATCCTGAGACTCATATCAACTCTTAAACCAAGAATAAACTCCCGCTAACACGATCTCATATGGTTTGAAGATGCAACTTTGCCGATCTGCACCTTAATGAAAAACCCGCTTTTTTCAAATGGATTTTTTGCGACCAAAAATGGCTTTCATTTGATGGGCCAGATAATTTAGGACGCTACAGCACCCGCCATACTCGTTTGAGACGTATGGAATGACAAATGGGCGGTGAGGATGGCATCGTACTCAGGGGCATCTACAGTAACGGCAAACTTAAGATTAAGGTGAATGAAACCCATTCCAAAACGCGTCAAATCGAAACTTTTTACCCTGCTGAGAGTAAATAGGAGTCTCAGGATTAGATTGAGGACATATCGACCACATCTAGCCCTTTAGCGAAAGAGCAAACGGCTCACCAAGGATGACCATGACAACTGAATATCGGCCGAATCGATACCGCTAGGCCATCATGGACTTTTTTCGAAAGGAAAAGGTTAATGCAGGTTATAACACGTCAAGTTCACATGATGTGAACATAATTTAGAACTTTTAGAAAGGGCCAGTACAAGATTTTTACCATTTTGGGCAGCTCTACATCAAAATCAGTTTAACGCGTTGCATCATCAAATGCAACGAAGCATTCAACGAAAAAGCATTTATTAATCTGTATTCAGGTATGGGGCATCGATTGTAAAAGGGTCGGGCTACATCCGGTGGCGATATTTAATTTTTTTGCAGGGGGGTCAAAACTTTTGTCCCGTTTTTTTGAGGTGATTTTTGAAAATTGTCCCTGGATTTTGAAATACAGCTATATGGTTTGTCCTACTATGATATTTTTTATTACTAGGCTGTCAGTAGACTACGTACCTAATTTGGTCCAAATTGGTACATTTTGGACCGAGTTAGAAGGGGGGTCAAAACTTTTGGCGGGGAGTATAAATGATAAAAACATACATGAAATGGGAGAAGATGGCCTTCTTTTACTGTTCGTATCCTATTGAATACATGGCCATCTTTCCGAGAGACCGTGAATCTTTGCAGACCATCAAAGGCAGTGCATGCTTTGCATTGGACGTGTTTTCCGCAATGATTTATCTAAAAATGTCATGGATAATGTAATATATGGAACTCACGCAGAGACAACCAATTTAAATAATCCAAAATACCGTATTCTCCTGCTTACCTTGAGAATTCTGGGCAATGCTTTTTGTCCCACTGTTCTCTCTCCCTTCTTCAATATCAGATAAGTAAACTTGGATCTGAGAGTTCTATCTTCGTGTTTGCTCCTTGTTTTCCCATCAACTCTGATTTCGGGGATCTTGGCTTCAAATGCGCAGGGCTCTCTAAAATAATAAAAAGATGTAAAAACATCCTTTTCCTCAATCACAAACATCTTAAAACGTACGAGTATCCCCTGCCAGTTGAAAGAGGGCATCCAGAATCGTGAGGGCACGGAGCAAAGACATGCCCTGGGGCGATTTCTGTTGATATTTGAATCTAAATTGAGAATAAAGTAATGTAATAAACAGCTCACCTTTTTCTTCAGTAGACAGTACTTCTCATAAGGACTCGCTCTCCGATCTCTGAGGATTTCGTCCGTCTCTGCATCCAATTTGCCTTCTATTTTCAATTTTTTTGCCAAGCCTGGGATATCAAAATTGAATCCGGCAGTTAAAACGAAATCCCGAATGTTCATCAGGGACGTGAAACTGTCCAAAAGATTTGATTCGATCAGTATCAGATACTTGTTCGTCTTCGACCATAACATAGAGATTAAATCGATCCTAGAGTTGGACGACGGCAACTCCGGGAGAACCCTCTGAGCTACCACAATATCATACGTAACTCTGGGGGAAGGGACCATCGTTCGCCGGAAATTTACATAAGGAGCGATCAACTTGGAGTCAGGTCCCTGAAAATACTCAACATATAAGACCAAAATACGACATTAAAATATATTATCCATGGAAAAGACTACATACTCTCATAATATCCATCGCCAGATGATTCATTTCAACGTTCGGGTCTACGCAACAGTAATCTCTGAGCGAGTTGTCCCATTTTTCTCTGGCTGCCCAGAAGACTCCACCAATTCCACTGCCATAATCTAGTATGGATTCCGGAGAAAAATCATCCAAATCCAGCTGATCCAGGACAAACTTGGCCTCGGCATAATTCCCCGGTAGCCTAGAGAGCATAATTGTACTAGTTACACGATAAATATAGTATTGTAACAATATTTATGCCATCAAAATTACCTAAGTTATATTAACCCTACCTTGACAATGCATATCCGGCGCATTCTTCTCGAGTTTGAAAGGCCATAGGCCTCCACTTGTAATGCCTCATGTTATTCGTCTTCCTGGCCAATCGGACTTCTTCTGGATCCGCAGGCATCTTCCGATGGATTATTTTGTTGGTCAACTAACGAAATAACAAGTATAATATAAAGAATACTCTCCTTACTTGATCTGCCTCATGTTGCAATTGCTTTGGAATCCTCTCTGAACCTTGAAGGACATTATAAAAGCCATTCAGGGCTTCGGATGGAAGAGAGTAGATCCTTGGTATCTTTTTTGGTCTGATATCTAAAAATTCAACTCAATTACAACAAGAAAGCGAACCTCTTCTCTCTGTGAGCCTGATTGTTCCTTTGGCACCGGTCATAACATTGAATGTTGACGTTGTGAGCTCATGGTCGTGATCAGAAGCCTTCGAACTGCATAACCGACGACCAAACGGACAGTTTAACACCTTCCTCATCCGCTACAAGAGATGATTACGACATCTTGATGATTTAAACCTCTTGATACCTTTCTTCTCCTTTGTTTCTAATAGATATCAGGTGCTCAACCACGAAGGTACTAATATAAAAGTGAGAGATCGCCTTTATTACAAAAAATAACAATGGTAATGACGTTATCAATGATCCATAACAATTAGTTCTTCAACTCCCCAATCCTCGAAAGATCCATCAGGGAGATATCTTCGGATGATAATAGGGATCTTCTTCTCTTTGAGTTCTTTCCTGGCAACTTCCAACGGATCTGTTTCTCCTTCCAATTCCACCATAACTGGAGCTCCCATCGCAATTTGAAGGGCTCGGGTCCCCAATATTCTCGCTCTCTCGTACTTGGTCATGAATTGTGTGGTTACTCTCATGGAACTCTCGATTGCAACTCGTTGCGTTGGCTGAAATCAGTTGTATTATTCATCAGCTTGATATCAGATTTCTAAAAGACAACGAATAATTATAAAACATACCTCAATTAATTGGACATTAGGATCTTCATCATTTGCTTCCAAATCCACATCTTCCAAGGGCTCGTCGTCCATAAGATCGTCATTATCGCCATATCCTCCTTCGAAATCGTCTTCATCGGCCATTTTTATTCAAGTTCCAGAAAGATGCGAGGTTAGTTTAGCAACCAGAAAATTATTTCCCCAAGCGAAGAGCAGAAATTGCGGAATGCCAACATTTTTGGCATTGCAATTTTCCTTGGTGGGAACAGCCCGAACGGGCGATGAAATCGTAGTTTAAATGGGCTTTCGTATCAATGTGTAATTATCGATGGACTACGTAATATCAGTTGTAGAATTTAAAAAAATGTAATTTTTTTTAGGCCCCATTACTAAAAAAATGTTATTTGTAAAAAATTAAATTGTATCTTGAACCGACGTTGACATACTGCAGAATCGTACTTGCGCTATTCGATTCTAAATGTGTTAAATATTATTTTCTCTTATTCTAAAGTCCTGATGAGAGATCAAATCAGAATGAAGTTAGAAATGACCGTATGACGCAAGAGTCCACTTGATAAGACGGAAAAGCGCGGTGCACGGTTTTCGAACATTCAGATATCGCCGCATTTCCCCCATTCAGCAGTCCTTTAATGGGCTGAAAGGTCTGCTAATTAATAAATATTACTTCTGATTGTTTAGCCAAAGCCCCTGTCTAGAAATACAATAGCGACTTGAATTTTAGCTCTGTGAGTTTTGGCTTCTGACCCGTCTATTGCAACTTTGCCTGATATTACTGTGGTCTGTTTTACATATATTTTTGAATCTTGTTCGAATCTGTATGAGGATTCAAAATTAGAGTAATTTAATTGCAAAATAAAGTCTTGTTTGTCAAATTTCTTTTCCCTTTTTTTACGTCAATGGACCAAGTTGATGACCTGAGGGCATGTTCAATGAATCCAATGTCCAAAATACACGGGTCTTATCAGCAGTTTCCGAAGTCTTAACATCCCAGAAAACAGTTGACTTTGCAATGAAATTTTTGAATCTAAAAGTGTAATGGACCCTACAGATTGCAGATCGTAAACATGTTGAGTGCACATATAGATTTGGGTCCTCCAGACTTCAACCTAACTTGGTAAAAAATAAAATTTTTGAAGGATTATGTAATACTTTTTAGCCCACAAAAAATGGCGGGTCATTTGCAATGTGTGTTACAATATTTCTGCAAAAACATTTTCCCTTTTCTGATCAAACGCCAAAAAGACGTTATGGCTTAAAGGTTACCGTTTATTTCTGCTCTATCAGTCTCCAAAACCTTTTGAATTTCTCAGAGTCCTCTGCAAATCTTTAGCTTTGATTTTCAAGGCCTTAAACATAGCCCAGACAGATCAAGTTGGGTTAATTTGACCCCTTTCTAGAGCCATATTCCTTGAGCATTTCTCCTTCAAATGTTTCAAAAAGTATTTCTGAACTGTGTGATGTTTGTTTTCCAATTTCTCCTGTACTCATGACGTGATTTCTGTCAGAATTCTCAACGACCACTGATTTCCAATTTGTTGTTGCCCCAATACCCCACATGTTAGGTGATGTCACAACTTCTTCGGTCTGATCTCTTGACTCCCATCGCCCAATTTCCTTTTATTTTTTGATCTCTTCAACGCGTTGCAACCACGAAAGATCACTCGATGGCCGGTTCCTCCAGCATTTTCGAGTGCATTTAGTCGAGGAATCCGTCGATGATTCAGCTCCTTCTTCGGTATAAAAAGGAATATGATCTTCTTGATATTATTTTAGCCATTACCATTGCGTTCCCTTTTCGTGCCACTTTTTCAAGTTTTTTTGATGACTTAAAAGTACTGTGATTTTAGGTCGAGCCCTTTTTGTGGGTTTTGACCGATTTGGCCCGAAAAGCGCCCAAAATTCGTTGCAGCAAAAGAGCGACCAAATCCCATTTGTGGGTCGGTGGCCTCGAGATCAGCCCCGCAGGCGCCGTTTTTGACGCCACTCAGCCCTTGGGCAACTCCGACCGACGTCCCAAACCACCTTGGGTACGTTTTTTTATGGGATACTGTAATTTTTATTGAAAACTAAAAAAATTTTTTTGGTCCAAAAATAATTTTTAAAGTAAAAATCGTGTCAATTTAGGCAAAATGAGTACTGTAAACCACGTTGAGATTATCGAAAGACTTGACCGAAAGGTTACCGTAACCCAAAATTACATGGAAACCACAAAATTGGCTCAAGAATTAGCGACGGCAAAGAATCTGAATGTAAGCTGAAATAAAAGTTGTTATTACAACCAATAGTCAGCTAGCAATTATGATTTAACAATTTCTAGGAGAACGACAATCCATTTTTCGTCGTGAATATCTCCGATTTAATCGACCGTTTCAACGAATGGAAGGCCAAATTGCCAAGGGTTCAGGTAAATCAGGTCTCTTGGATATTATAACAACAACTATTTTAAGCCGTTTTATGCGGTAAAATGCAACAACGACCCTGTGATCTTGTGGGTTCTGGCTCATCTTGGCTGCGGATTTGATTGTGCGAGTAGAGCTGAGATGGATATGGTAGGTGTAAAAAATATTATGTTACTGCAATTCTTGGTCTAAAAAGATCGATGAAAACGACCCTTGCAGAGAACGAGCCAACACTTTTCCTAATTCAGAAATGGTCTAGGTAGAATATTTTTGCCAAATTTGCATGTGCCCAAAAAAATTTCTCAAAGACAACATCTTTATTTTTGAAAGTTATGTGATTATCTTCTTTAGGTGTTGAAAAAGAAGATGGTAAAGCCGGAGAACATTGTCTACGCGAATCCCTGCAAAACCCGCTCCTTTGTCCATCATGCCAACCAAGTGGGCGTCAGAGCGATGACCTTCGACAATAAGGAGGAGCTGGCCAAGATCAAGGAGATCCATGGGAACCCACAGTAGGCGTGATACTTAAACTCTAATATCGTTTACAGTTTGCTTCTCCGAATCGGGGTCTCCGACACGACGGCAGTTTGCCAACTGAGCACCAAGTATGGATGTGACCCCGAAAAAGATGGGCCAAAACTTTTGAAACTCGCGAAAGAGATGGGATTGGAGGTGATTGGAATCGCGTAAGTGGCTGATGTTGCCAGCAGAGATGCTGACTTTTATATGTTTGCGAAAACAGATGCTGATTTATACAAATTTCCAAAAACATGACCTTTAATCTCATGAATAACATAATTTTCTTCCAGATTTCATGTTGGCAGTGGTTGTCGAGATCCAGTTTCGTTCAGAAGAGCCCTGAAGGCAGCAAAGACATTGTTTGACACCGGAATTGAATATGGGCATAACATGGGAGTGTTGGATATTGGCGGGGGATTCCCGGGATACGACAGTGAGGAGATCACCTTTGACGAGGTAATTATTATTTTTGATCCAGTAGTATCTTGGACAACATATGACTCCGATTCAACCTATTCATTTCAGATCGTGAATGTGATCAACCCCGCCCTCGACGAGCATTTCCCGGCCTCTTTGAATGTGAAAATCATCGCTGAGCCGGGCAGATTCTTCGCGACCCACCCCGTTTCCCTCGTCACCAATATAACTTCGGCCGTTGAGGTGTCGGCGGAGAGGATCACGGGGAAAGCGGAGGACGCGGAGAAGCCGGGCATGATGTATTATATGAACGACGGGGTGTACGGGTCGTTCAACTGCATCTTCTTCGATCATTACCATCCCAAGGGGGCGCCGTTGTTCGAGAAGAAGGGGGAATTGGTGGACAGCACCATCTGGGGACCCACTTGCGACGGACTGGATCAGGTCGAGGTGAGAAGAGGCTTTGTATTATGGTGTATTCTTCCGTTAAATGTGACCAAAGATCATAATATATTTTCCGTTCAACTTTAAGTCTTATTTTTTCGTATTTCAGGTCCAAACTCGGCTCCCCAGAATGGCTGTCGGTGACTGGCTCTTGTACCATGACATGGGCGCCTATACCAATGTCGCCGCCAGTAAATTCAATGGCTTCGAGCCCCCAAAGACGTATTACTTTGTGGACAAAACCAAATGGTAGGTCATAGCAAATGAGCAGTTAAACAAGACCTTGTTTTATAGGGCTCTACTCAGCGACAATGCCCGCTTTGGCGCGTGATGTAACATACAAAAATGACAAGCAGTTTTTGTTGATGCTGTGATAAGTTTTGTGTTAATAAAGTTATTCGAAAGACATGAATGTGGCTGTTTTATTTTTTGTTGTTATATAGAAGATTCTTAGCTCCGTCACGACTTGGGGGAAGCTCTTGATAGCTCCCTACTTTTCTAAAATCGCCGAATCATTGGGTTGACTTCCGATAAAAAAAATCTCGGCCGTTTTGGAAATACGATTAAACTTTATTTATTGTAAGGTAACTTACCAAAATGACATTATTACAACTTTTAAATTAGATGAGAAAATACAAGAGGATCAAGATTAGTGGGGGTATTAGCCATGAAATAAATAGATAACAACCAATTCTAATGAGTTCCATATTTTGCATGTAGTGTTGTTATGATGTCAACGGCTTGCTGGGCGAGGCGTTGAGTCGGTTTGATCTGTCGGGCGGCCTTGAGGACTTCCGGTAATTCGCGGGAATAATCTGGAAATAATTGAGATTACAATTACAACACCGGAACTAAACTCACAATAAGTCGCCGCGGCTTTGAAATCAATCGGTAGTTGAGGAGATCGGGCTGATTTTCTAACATTATAGATTTCCTTCGGAGCCATTCTGAAACAAAATTTATATTATCCATGACATCAAGTCCAAAGAAAAGTTCCAATTTTCCATCAAAACAACCTCTTACCGTCTTGCAACTCTCGCATGGATATTCGTATTCAAATAGAAGGCCCCTCGTCCCTTGGCTGTCTGGAATACATGTTGGCTGACCTTGGCCGGGATCCCATTGTTCCTGGTCCCACTTCTGGTGAGTCCTTTTCGATCTCCAGACCCATCCAAATCATATGTTTCGTATTCATGAGGTCTTTTCAAGCCTCCATGCTTCTTCCAGGTCTGCCAGCAATCGTTGCAGATCTTCAACTGGGCTGATTGTGGGCCCCAAGAGTACCATTGAGAGGCATTTTCATTCTTGCAGCTCTCACAAGGATTGATGTACTTGGCCACCGACGTTTCGTTCAGAAGATTGGCGTGTGGCTTGAAGTAACTTGGGATGTAAACCTGCTTCAATTTGGACTCCTGCTCGGCGGTTTTGGCTCTCTGATGATCCGCATATCTGGCGGTGGTCTTCCACATGTAGTAATATTCGACAATGTCCTTCAACGACTTCCATGGAAGACAATCGTTTCTGATGTCGTGAAAGTCCTTTCCGCACTTCTCGATGGCTTCTTCGAACAGCGTCGCCTCAGATGCGGACCATTCCTCCAGCTGATCTCTGCACAAGATCGGGCCTCCCAAGGACACTGTATTATGACCTGTCGCTTCGTCCGCCAACAACGGATAATGTTGTTTGCTGGGTGGAGGTACCAAATATCGAACAGCTTGGCCAATATCATACTTGGCTTGGTGAAGAATGGCCATCGCGTGGAATAAAGTGACGTCACGAGAAGCGGCGGCGGCTGTCATGTGAAGAGATGGCAACTTCATGGTGCTGGAGGTGTCCAGGGCTCGAGAGAAGGTTCCGACGGCTCTAAAAAACCACAACGATATTACGCACAACATCTTTTTTCACCTCTTAAACACTGATCAAAATTGATACCTAAATTGCAAAAAAATAAAAAAAATCCTTACCTGGCAATGATCAGAAATTGGTCGATATCTCTTCCGCCCAGATTATGATAAGGATGATATACCACTTGCTCATATCTCGTCTCATAAACACCATTCGACGCCTGACTGTGCCTTCTTTTTCTTCCTTGTTGTCTATCCGGCTTCTCTTCTTCGGCCTCATCGATCGTCAGATCTCCATTCTCCTTGACTTCTTCCTCTTTTTCCTCTGTTTTTAGACCTCTTTCCCGATCTATTACTTCTTGAGGGAGGATGTCCGGGATATCTGCTTGATGCCTTTCTCCCACATCAATCTTCCCCTTATCTGCCAACAATGTTTGATTTGAAGCGTCGTAGACCAACGAGTAGAAGAACGCGTCTTCTCTGTTTAGGTATGAATCGCAAGTTTCAACCTCATTTAACATCACCACAGTGCATTTTCCTCTGATCATCGTGGCTTGGAGAGTGTCATGCTGACGCGAAAGGAAGAGCTCGTGTTGTCTGAGCTGGTGGATTTGCTCGGGCGTGAGCTCATCTGCACCTTGAGGAAGACCGGCAAGTCCCTGGCTCTCTTCCTTATCGTCTTTAGACGCTTCCTTACCTAAATCAATATATTTTAAGTAACAGCGTTGGTTGCTTGCCCGAAACAAATCAAAAATCTTACCTTCTTCCTTTATTTCCGGCTGAGACGAACTGCCATTGCTTTGATTTTCGGTTGGCTCATCTCCATTTGCTTTTGATTTTTTAGATAACAAACTCCGTCGAGGTCGAAATTCTGAAAGAACAAAAAAATGGTTGCTGAAACAAGAAGAAAAATAAATCTTCACTTACGGATTTCATTCTGACGTTCGGCTCGATCGGCTATTTTCAACAACTGAGCTGGGAGATCTCTCCGGCGATAAAAAGCAACAACTTTGGCTTCAACTGTGCCAGTAGCGGTCTGAAAATTCACGCAATTCATAAAACGGAGCCACAAATACACCTAACAAAAGAAATGAACTCTTAAGATTACCTTAAACTTCTCGTTCTAGCCTACTATAATGTGAAAGGCTCACCTTATTTAATTCTTCTATCCTTCTAATCGCGTATGGTTGGTTGGCGTGAAGATCAATGTACACGTAATCTAAAAACAGAATTTCAAAAAGAAAATGATCCACTTACCGCCCACCCTGTACATATTCTGGGCCATGGAGGCCAGCTGAACCGAAGGCCCTGTTTTCACTTCTGCCTGCATTCCCCAAGAGTTCACCTAAAACAAAGAAATGAATAAGGAATGGCATTTGGAACACAAGAAAAACAAAATAAGCGGTTAACGCGAATTTACAGATTATTTTAGGTAATAAAGTAAAATTATATTCGAATTAAAGAAAACATGTCAGAAAAGAAAGCATATAGACTCAAGAATCAATCCCGGACCAATCAGAGATTGGATACAACCAAGATTTCAACTTTGATTTTATTACCTAAAATCTGGAATTAATTGTTCCAAAGAGGCCAAATGCAATATAAATATGTGCCTTCCACACAGCTCACTAAAACGTTCTCACCAATCCCCCATTATCTGTTCGTAATGCCCACAGAGCCTTTATGGACGCCAAAACGACAGCAAAAAAGGTAGAAACGCCTTCTCCCGCCATCGCTTCCCAAGAAATTATTTTCGGAACGGAGCCCGCTGGATGAGCGGAGCATTCCAACCCCGACCAAACGCATCGCGCAAAACTCGCTCCGGAGCAGATGGGCAATGTAATTTGGATGCGGGATTGTTTGACTTGCCCCATTATATTCCCCATGACCCCTCAGCTGAGCTGGATGCAAAATCTCGAGCAGATAGACCCCAAACATTAATTTACTAGAGAGAAGACTCGGTTTACAAATTCTAGATTTATTTTAGAATTTTTATATTAACCACTCTTTTGCTGAGAACCAATTAGTTTTGCAAAATCTTCAAAAATTATATTACCCGTGCAACGAAGTTCAAGAACCGCATAAAACTCGCCACAAAAATTCCAGAGAAGACTATAGTGTCTCTCTCTACGGATACTGTAAGTCTTCAACCGTTTGGAACCCGCTTTCATCTAAAACACTACAATTTTCCTTACTTTAGCCACTACAATAACAAGTGTAATCAATAAATTTATAAAAGGAGGAGCATAACCCTAATGTCACATCCGAAGAAAAGCCGAGTTTTATTGCCCGGCGGCCCAAACCTTCTCCATAAAGATGCAACCAAAATAATTTGGTCCATTTTTATTCGGTGCCATTTTATACGATCAAACATGTCCAAATATTTATTCGAAGCAACAATAAATGGGTCAAAACTAACAGCGTAAGATCAGTAATGTACAACAAGCTTTTTTAGCGGGGTTAAGCGACCATGCTTGACTAGTCTAAGGCCTTCGTTGGGCCAGAAGCCTTCTTCGACGATAGTTTCGGTTGGTGGGAGTGGGGAAATAAGGATCTTCGGTGGTGGTCGTTGGACCAGAAGCTGAGGATCCGCCAGCAACTCCACCGTAAGCAGCATCGGGAGCTGGTGCCGGACGAGCTGGAGTAACGACGGGAGTCGACGAGCTCGAAACTGGAGCGCCATAGCCAGCATCGGGACTGGGCGCGGGGGGAGAGGCAGTGGCCGAGGGAGCGGGACCGTACCCAATGTCCTGCACTGAGGCCTGCGCTGGTCCGGGAAGAGCTGGTCTGGCCACTGAACCTGGTCCTTCATAGCCTCCGTGAGAGCCTCCGCCGACATTCGAGTTGGATTTGGGAGGGCAGGGGCAATAGGCCGAGTCCTCTCCTGGATTTCCCGCCTTTCCTGGAGTTCCTGGATGCCCGTCTTGTCCCGAGTATCCTGGCTCTCCGATTGGTCCCGGAGCTCCGACTGGGCCAGGCTCCGGCCGACTGGGCGCTCCGGGCTGTCCTGGATGACCTGGAGGGCCTCGTTGGCCGATTGATCCTGGTGGGCCGGGTATTCTTTCGGCCGCTCTTCTGCCGTCCATTCCCTTTCGGCCCGGTTGGCCCGGCTGCCCTCTTTCACCATCTTCTCCTCGATCTCCGATTGGGCCTGGAGGTCCGGGATATCCATCGTTGCCGGGATGACCCGTCAATCCGGGGTATCCATCCAAGCCGGGAGCTCCGACGGGGCCCAATGGGCCTGGCGGACCTTGTCTTCCCGGAGGGCATTGAATGCATTTGGCATTGGTGTGGTACAACGCCTTGATTTGTTCGATTCCAGCTGATCCAGGAGTTCCGTTGGGTCCGTCGACTCCGGGTTCCCCATTAGGACCGGGATAGCCGGTAGGGCCGGGCCGACCTCGAGGACAGTTTCTGGCCTGCGATCGACAACGGCATTCAGCTTGACGTTTGTTTCTTCCAATCAATTCGGAAAAGGTCTTTTGTTGGGCAGCTCGGACTTGGTCCAAGGTCATCAGACTGGACCAGGCCCCATTGGCCATGAATTTGAATTCTCCCATATCCTCGAGCACATCTTCTCGGATCTTGTTGATCTCCGAGTAGATGTTGAAGGCAGTAAAAAGCATGGTGAAGATGACAATTGCTGCTCCAAAAGTCGCCGCTTGGGCGATCCGCCTCGTTTGGACGCCCATCTGAAAATCTACGTTGGTCAGACGACATTTTGTACGACAAAGAAAGTTAAAAAGTTCATAAAGATTCTCTTGATGACAACTATAACCTAAAAAAACTCACCGTAACTCGACGCAACTGGAATGAGCCTCGAATTCGCAGGTTTTTGCGACATTGGCCTTATATACCAAGCCGGAGGAAGCCCGCAATGTGGAGGGGAGATAATTTCCATTGTCTAAATCAACACTTTTCGGGCGCAGTAACCCTTACTGATTTCTGACATTCTTTCGCTCTTCTTTTGTCTCGCACAAATCGCTTCTTCGAACCGCATTTTGACCTCTTTATTTGGGGATTCAAGTGTCGCAACGATTGATGATCAACGTGGGGCAGGAGGGGAAGTGAGGGGGTACGGATAAGGTCGGGAATACGTAAACAACATAAATTAATAAACAATTGGGTTAATCAAGCAGGAAAATAAGAGCAATTCGAGGGAATTTGAGCAGATTTGACGCAGTTACATCTGTTTTTTTTTTTTGGAAATTGCGCTTTTTGAAAATAAGGCCATCAAAATTTTTGAAATCCTAATTTTTAACTGTCAAATCAATGTTAAATACATAAAACGTCTTAAGCACTAATATACATTATGATACTGTTTCCCTAAAGAAAGTCGCAAAATTTTTTGCTCCTAATATTACACTTGACATTAATCTTGCAAATTTGATGTAAACCTCTTATTGTTTGTTCACAACAAAACTGTGGTGTCTTATAAACTCGTCATGCGTTATTTATAAACATAATACGGTAATCCTCGCCGCCCTCCGACCTCAACTTCCACCTCGAACTTGGGCTGAGACAAACAGTTTGCGAAGCCGAAACCGGAAACTTTTGATTTCGAATACAATTAAAGTGAGAATTTCGGGCAAACAGACAGACAGAGCGTTCCGAGTGCGGGTTAAGCCCGTTGCATAACTCCTTGAGATCCTTTCAATGGGAATTAACTCCACCTTTATTTCCTGGGAATTCAAATACAAAATAACTCAAAATAAAGGTGAAGGAAAGGGTGCTGGGGATCGGTCGAAAGTTCATAATGGTGCGTGATCTACGTCAATTTGGGGGTTTTGAATGTTGAGTGATTAAATTTTTGTAAATATTATATTATGTGTATACCAATTTTAAAGTTACAAAATGATTACTATTTATATGTTGCATCGCAAGTTAAAATAATGGCTAATATCGAAACCGGCCATAATATACTTCTACGTCATTTAATCATGTCACATTTTCAATTTCCAGAATGAAACTATCAATATTTCCCCCTGATTTATCAAGTGTAACATTTCTGATAATATCCACATTTACCTCGACTCTTTTTGCTCAACAATGTGCCCCAGGAATGGTCCAACTATATAATGGGGTACCCTGTCAAAGCGACCAGTCTTGTCAGCGATTATCGACCGGATTCTTCTGCTATCAAGGACGGTGTTGTTCCAACTCTGTGTGTAAGTTCCAAATATATTAGCTAATACGATTTCACCATTTGTTACCGCCGGTCTTTCTGAATTAACTTTCCAGCCTTACCTTCGGGCTATGGCTCCTCCTGTTCAACCACAAATCAATGTGCATTCGCCTTTGCACAGTGCACGGGGAACGTGTGTTACTGTCAGTTTGGATACAATTTTAACGGGCAGACTTGTCAATTGGCCAATGGATTTCAACGAGACGACAACAGTAAGTGAATCGAAGCAATGAGTACTCAAATTATAAGCGATCAACGGGTTCTGCCAGCCAAACGAAGTCTTGATCAACAACATCTGCTACGAATTGAAGTCCTATTTCGGAAGCTGTGATTTCAACGAACAGTGTTCATTCCCGGGAGGAATCTGTGAACAACGGCAGTGCAGATGTTCGTATGGCCAGATATTCAACGGATTCCAGTGTGTTCAAGACCAAGCCATTCCTGTCCCAAGTAAGTTGCTGCCGTGTAAAAAAAGATGACATTATTTAGCGACTTGTCCGGTCAATCAAGTCTTGATCAACAACCAATGCCTTCCAAGGGCAGGGCTTGGAGAGAAATGCATGTACGATGAGCAATGCAGATCGAACAATCTCATGGACAGTGGGTTCAGATGCACGAACGGAATCTGTGTCAGGAATAATGGATGGACTCCGAGACCGAGAACAGGTGAGCAACAACTGCAGCAACAAATCTAACCTATTTCCCAGCACAATGCCGGAATCCCTCAGCCGTGGTAGAGATGAGTGGGTTGACCGCCAAGAATTGCATCTCCCAGACTTGTTCAAGTGGATACCATTGTGAATACAGCCCCACCATTTTACAATACATCTGCTGTGGACCTGTGAATGGAGAATTCGGGGATATAAAGATGTACCCAGGACACAGCAACCTTCCTTTGCAATGCTCCGGGATTAACAGCTGTACTTTTGTGGACTTCCCTTACTGCGTGTATTCCCAGAGTTACAGACATAATGTTTGCTGTTCAAAGCCTGAGTGCATTTGAGGAAGAGATTAATAAATATACTTCTCATCGTCCAAGCAATTGAGTCATCGAACCTTTCTAAATGTACACTCAAGTTCGTATTCCAACCTTATCCTAACCACGTACAGATCCATGAAGGATCTGGATTCAACCTTACTGAAACGACCAAGAATAATTACACACGGATATTTTTTTGAAATTTATAACATCAAGGAATAAAACAAACAGCCAACAAAAAATCGCTGAAATCCATAGAATTATGGGGTCTTTTTACGGAAAGCACAACCCTCGATAAGTCTGGCCTTTCCACCGGTCGGCTGGCAGAGGACTGTTGAGCAACCCACGCAGACAACAACAGTTTGGGCGTGGGAGAAGACAGTGGTGATCTTGTAGCATCCGGGGCACTTGACATCCATGAAGAACGAGTTGGGGTGCTGGACAAGGCGCTTCAGCTTGTGCTTCTGGCGTTCCTTTTCTGGGTCGGGGTGAAGAAGATCACGAGCCAAAGGCATTTTTAAACTGTGATTAGCCCTGGAAAAAAGAAACTGTAAAGAGAACAGTAAATTATAGCTAAAATGAAGCAAATCGCGACAGTTACGAAATATTTATACCCGATATGCAAATCAAAAAACATCTTGCCGCGCATAAACCCGCCCTCCTCAAATCTATTTCGAAATTTTATGTTGAAACGCGGGGAATCCCTTTGGTACCACAAGGAAACAACGCTCACTATCAAAAAAAGAACGACCTAACCAGCTGCAACAAGATCAACAAATAAGCATCACCTTACTCACCCAACGGCAAAGAGAAACACGATCTGAAACAAGGCGAAACCTGAAGGCACGCTAAAAAATATGATTTCACTGATCTTCAACCAAAACCGTTAGATAAGCAAATCTAAAAAGGCAAAGTAACGACTACACCGCCCAAAAAACGTTTCCTTAATCCTACCTACGTTACAAACGCAATTCGCCAAATGTCGCAAAAGTCGCCGAAAAAAACAAAACTCTCAGGACGATTGCACCGAATTCATCAAGGACACCTAAAATACCAACAAAATAACAAAAGAAACTCACAACAACCAAGAAATCGACCGAAAACGCTGAAACCAACCAAAAAACTGAAAATTCTCCTCTTTTCTTTGAAAAGGCTGTGTTCTCGTTTTTTACCGTAATTCAAAATTCTGGCATTCCGTCACTTTTCGTGGGAGGACGTAGATAAAAGAGCGATGTATTTATTTTCCAACAAAAAAACGTTGTAAAATTTTACAAGCTAGCTTACAAGGTTTTGTTCGCGAGTTCGGGATGAGGTAACTGGTTCGGCCAAGGTAACATCGGCAGCAAACGTCGCCTTGGGGAGGCGTATAAGTAGATTTCTAAGTTTACTCGGGTTTAGATCGTTTATGAAGAATATGAGGTATTTTCTTTCTCTTTTTGTCTCCGTATTTAGGTTAAAAAAACTTGTTGTCGGTCGAATTCACTTTGATAGTCTTTCTCAACAAACCTGCTTAAATAATAAGGCATTTATTCCAGTAATTATTACTTCTTTCCAAACAAGGTGAATGTGACACAGAACACGGAAATGTATATGTGATATATCTGAACTGTTTGAGAGACAATTTATAAAGTTTGAGGGTTACCACAATCTAAGCGTTTGATAAATGCAGAACTTGATGGTATACTCTTATTTCTTAATTTGTGGTAAAATTGAGATAGAGCAAGAAAAGACCAGATTACAAGGTTTGGAAAGTGATTTGGTTAGACTACTAGCTTAGCTTATAAGTGAAATGTTAGTATCGTACCATACTTAATATGATCAATCTGTAGATCAGATTCAATGGATGAGCTCATCAACCACATGCATGGTCATCTTTTCGTGTCGATGGAGATCCTCATTGACCGTTGCTTGCAGCTCGCTCATTTTCTCCACAGTGAATTGTGATCGGAGGAAGTTCTCCAATCCCAATTCGATGGTGTCTCCCGCCTTACAATAGTGTTCTCCATCTTCGGCATATAAAACAAGGTCCCCGGTGTTTAGTGTTCCCCATTTTAGAGCTTCGAACACCAAGGAAATAGGGTCATGGGGAAGGGAAGCAATGGGGATCTTCTTTACGTTCTTGTCGTTTACCGAGTACCATACCTGAAACACGGAGGTCATGTGTAATATAAAGGAGTTTTGATTTTTCGGAAAAAGATTTTAGCTTCCTTCTAAATTAAGTTGGTGTGTAATGTTGGAACGATATTTGGTTTCGTGAAGCTTTTATGAAATCATTTTTATAAAGACGGTCGCTGATAAAACGCGCGGTTGAAAAAAAATGTCTACTTTAAGGAAACGTGACCAAAAAACCTCGTGTGCTGTTGTAAAATTAGTAAGACTTTGTTCTCGAGTATTTTAGAAAGATCTATTTCCGGTTTAGAGATCAGAAATTATATGATAATTGATGTTTACTATAAGATAATTGTTGACATGATCGACTTACCGCACTCTTCTCTATTCCAACAGCATAATCAGTGTTCACAAGGGTGGAGAGAGCGGTTCCATCTGAGAATTCGTGGATTTTGTGGAGCCCTGTTCCTTCAGGATCTTCATATTCTGAGTCTCTAAAATAGGATAGATTACGCTAAGGCCGATAAGAACAATTTTATATATGTGAGTGTCAAAGTGAAACTGACTTAGTTCTGGCCAAGAGCATGGCTCCATATCCATTGATGGCCTTCTTGATCTCATCGTGGCCACTGTTGTGGCCCAGGTCTTTCCCAATTACAATCGCAAAGGCGAGGTCACAGGTCACTCCGAGGTGACCAATTGGGATAGGAATGTGGTTGTCTTTGGCATCAATTAGACTGAAACAATCATATTATTGTATACTTTGTGCTCCAAAATGATTTTTCATCGACAAGTCATCGATGAAAAATGAATTCTCTATGGAGAAACGAGCAGTCTCGTTACAACCGTGAAAAGAAAACGAGAAACATGACATACGGGAGGCTAATTAGGGAAAGTGATTTTTGAATATTCAGACACTTGAGACTCTCGCAAAACTGATTTGATTTTGATGTGAAACAGTCTTATGCGTCATAAACCGTTTGGCAAACAAGTCAAAACACTTTTTGAAGGATCTTGTCTAGCTCTTGATCTCCTGGTTTTTTTAAAAAAAAACTCGAAATTTCCGTAAAACTCCAGATTTCACAAGAATAAGCTGCCAGTTTACTGAGTAGAATTACTTACAACTCAGGGGTCCTGACGAACCAGAAGTTGCGTTCTTTGCCTTTGAAGAGGCCGATTACATGTTTGCATTGCTTGATCACATCTGAGTCTTCTAGCTGGAGATCTGACATTGTTTTGGCTGAAAGAATTTAGTAATTATAAGGCTAAATTAATGACTAAATACGGGCTAAATATAAAATTTGTTCATCAAAAAATATAAATTTTAGAATGGGAAAAACGCGCTGACTTAAAAATAAAACATTTAGTTTATTGCAAAGATCGATTATAAAGTCGTGTTGTGGTATATATCGCAGTCACAATGCATCTTGAAAATGGCAAGCTTTTTTATACCGAAAGTTTTAAAAAATCATCATAAAGATCCCATTTTTTGACTGTTTTTTTCAGTTACCGTATTTCCGGTAATAGCCAAAAACAAATTCAAAAAACAGCTTCAAAACAATAATATTAGCTCAAAGAAAAGTGTTAATTCTCCAGAAACAAATACAGATTCTTCTTTTCTTCCTTCCACTCGTTTGAAAACCAAATAAAAAAGAACTTTGAACAAACAAAACGAGAAGGAGGAGTCGGATACTCTGACTGATATGATAGTAGTAATTTTAATTACGGGCTATATTGTAAAAGTTTAATTAGCTAATAAAAGGAAATGCGTAAGAAGTAATTAACACATCGTTAAGGCTCGTTATCATGGGGTTTGTCACGGAAAAAGGTGAGAAAAATATGGGGAATTTACAGTAGAATAGGCGTAAACAGTATCCTTTCTAATATCAGCCATGGCCAGTTCATCTCAAGCTTCAAATTAAAAGGGGACTAGGAAGTACATGGTTTCCGACCGTTCCTCCACGAACCTCGTGGCGAAACTACTGGGTTCAACTGCACCAAAGAAATGTAAAAGATGCACATTTTCTTCTCTTACCGGGCAATACTTCCTCATAATCTCCCGTTTCGAGAGCAAATCATTTAAAGCTTACCTTCTCCCATTCCAAGCTCATTATGCTACTCTGTTTCTAATCAAACACTCTCAATAAACAGCTGAGAAAAGAGCGCGGAAGTGGATTAAAAACGTTTCAAAAAGGGCGGTAATATCCTCCGATGGGCTGCTCTCATTGTGGCCAAAAAAATGGGGAAAATGGACGAAAAAACACTTAAGCAGGAGAGTACGAGTAATTTTAGTGGGTGCAAAAAAGGAACATTTAAAAATGGGTCCACGGGATTTTTTTGTTGAGTATTTCCGGGGGTATGCATGGGCAGGTATTAGTTAGAAATTAAGGTAGGAAATTTTGACAACACAGAAAGATGTGCAAAAAATATAAAATACGAAACTCTCAGAGGCTCAGAATAACGTGATGGAGACATTTTGGGACAGAGAATGCTTTAGACAGACAAAAAAAATACGAAAATGAAGCCATTTACGCCATAAAACGGTGATGTAACAATCCAATTTCTCTTGCTGATAGCATAAATCTTCTTAATCATCAAAATCCATACGAAATTTATGGAAAAGGGCAGGGATATTAATAAAATTTAGGATTTCACACGCATTAGAATTTTATGCGAATCAAAAAAAATATTAGACAGCGTATATAGACTTGAGCCCAAATTATAAGCAATGGATAGCCGTCAAGAATTATTTATAATCTTCCAAACCGTCTAGTGTTCTCAAGTTCAGACTTTTAAAAGTGTTTTACAAACATTTGTCCACTTAATTTTGGCTCTCGAAGGGATCAAGAATGCCCTGAGGGTCAAATATTCTTTAAAAGTTGACAAACTCCAGTCTAAGCTTCATTTCCAATACGTGAAATGATTACTCGGACTGATAAAAACGTTCGTTTGTCGGCTGCGATAAGAGATCTGATCAAAATGATCAAAAAAATTGCTTGGTGAAAGCCAAAAAAGTGACAAGACCAAAAAGAACTTCGAAAATGCACATTTATTGGCAGTAGAAGCTCTGTAAGTATGAATATGTTTCTGGCAGTACCCGTAGAATCCTGTAGCATCACTATTTCTCCCTGCCTTTACTGTCAATTTGGTCGATTCGGTACAGAAATTTGGCTGGACTGAAGTAACCTTCGAATTGGGCAGTTTCCGGGTCAATATCCGTATAATAATGGCCAACATCGCCATGATCCGAGTAGCAATGAGTGTGTTCGAGGCGCAGATCAATCCCCGGGTTCACGGAATGGAGGACGGAACAACAGATCAGCGGGGAACGGACCTTGAAGTAGCGGAGCCAACTCTTCTCCTGGAAAAAATGTGGTCAAAAATTGGGTTAAATTTATAACGTAAGTGAGAAAAGACTTTGGGGTTTGGGCAAATTATTATTAGCGTTTAAGAAAATTAATTCGAAATTTTTTAATTTCTATTACCTCAAGTGCCATATAAAGCAACTCACTTCTTCCCAACAACTGAAATCTCTCTCCGGAAAGTCGGGCATTATATGAACTTTGGCATCGCCTGTTTTCTGAATAAAAATCCCGGCCATTGAAACAATTTTGGCCCGGTAATGATTGAATAAAGCCTGTTGAATGGCATGGGGAAACGAGTAATCAGTGAGGCGATTTCGGGCAGTGATCTTGAGCACAAGGTCTGTTTCTCCCGAGGAGACCCCGAGATTAGCGAGCAGTCCAAAGCAGGGGTCACAAGTTGTTTCTTGGACAAAACTTTGGCCATCAATTTTCCCGATTTTCGAGTTGACCTAAAATAATAATTAGTCATCAAAATTTGATAGAAATATTATTACTGATAACTCACAGTTCCCTCACCGAAATTTGCATCCGCCACCATCTCGCAATTCACTCCGACCGAGGTCCTTGGCCCCGCGCCGGGCCCAAAAACCGAACCATTCGGGAGTTCGCAGAGGTCACAAATCGACTGAAAAATGGCGAAAATCATTTCAGAAATGCACTAAGAGAAGATGGTCACTAATTACTATACCTTGAGATTATACAATTTGTCCCTTCGTATCTTGGGAAAGAGATTTCCGACTCCGCCCACCTCCGCGATCCTCAGATCCGGGCCAAATCCGCGACTGGTCATGTTGAATGGGGGCTTGGTCAGATCTGAAAAATTGCTCGTCACCTTCAAGCTTACTGTAACATATTTTTGGAATTTATTTTCTGGAAAATTGTTTTCTCACCGGGACAATCCACAATGTCCACATCGATTTCCTGGAAGTAATTCTCCATTTCCACATTCAAAATCGGAGCCAACTCCTCCAATTCCGGACTCAGAAGGTCAAGTTTGACATCCAGCTTCCTGGACGCCTCCATATTTATCATTCTCCTCTTAAATTGGACTCAAATTATGTTATCCATGGCAATCTCATAAATAAGAAGCCAAGAAATCTAATATTATTACTCTTTTTTCCCATTTACAATTAAAAAAGAAACCCCACAAAGGAATTTGAGTTGTAAAAGAGTAATAAAAGAGGAGTAAAGTAGTGAGATTACAAGAAAAAGCGCCCCGAAAAGCCAAAAATCCCCTTAGGCCAGGGTGGGGAAGGGGCGAAAAGTATCGGGCCTCCTTCCTAATCTCTTTAATTAGTATCTACGCCCTGATAAACGTACAATTATGAGGCGGGCCGGGTGTGAAAATAACATTTCGAGGGACGATGCGAAAATAAATAAACAAATGGAGAAAAAACAGATTAGATGAGCTGCGGAAAATAATATTGGATTTTGATCGGTTTCCGAGAAGGACAAACAGAAAGATAAAAGGTTATGCAAAATCAGCTGACAATTTGCAAAAAGCGCTAAAGTTTTTCGGGAGAAGTTAAAATTTGAAAATGTCTTGTGTTTTTGAACTTGAAAAGCCTACAATGTCTTCGAAAACATGAAAAATTATTTTCTCTGACTATTTCTCTTATTTTCCACAGTCTCTATCCAAAAATACTGTTAAATATTCCGGTACTTTTGGCCGAAAAATTTGAAATAATAAAAAAATACAATAATTTATGTAAAATCTGTTTATTCACCCAAGATACATCCAAAAAAATTTTTATTGAGATTAAAGATATGAACCACTCGTCGTTCGAGATCTAAAAATAGTCATCATGTTGCAGTAGCCGCAGCTATGTTGGTTTCGGGATCAGCAGTTCCCTATGCTGAGTTGTCTGAGCCTTGGTTTCTTCTTCCTTGAACTTGGTCACAAAGATGGTTTTCTCTTCGCCGAACTCTCGCTGGTCGATCCCAGGCATGGTGACTATCATAACCAAGCGACGTTCGTGTTTGAAATGATCGTCGATGCTGAAGATCTCGGTGATAATGTAAGCAAACAGCATGAAGATGATTGAATATGCAAACATTCCGATCCACTGAATCAAAAAAATGAAATTGTAATTAAAAATATTAAAAATATTGGGCGTATTAATCATGATGAATAATGTGGGGAAAATACTCACAAAATCATTGAATAATGGGACAGAGATCCATTGGTGCCAATTATCGACAGCCATTTCATCTACCATGGAAACAGTGGGAGAAATTTGAAAATGAAAAAAAACAGAGGAATTGAAAAAGGGTCACAATTCTTTGAACTTTGATCGAAAATGTCAAAACCTTCCATCCTAAGAGTCTGAAACGACCGCAGAATACAGAGCTTCCCTTATTTTTCATAAAATTTTGTTTTATTTTTTAACCCAAATACAATAATGACAATAAAAGTTAAAATTCGTAAATATTGTTATGACTTATATGATGTGTAAGATAAGGATGCCGTAGATGAGTCCATTGACCCGTCTGTTGTGAAGAACCCACTAATCTGCTAAGCCTTCCTAACCCCGTCTTCACCTAATTGTGAACCGCATGTGAATTCCCTGGAAGTCAGTCATCTATTATGTTTTTTTTCTTTTTCGTTTCTCTTCTCGCGCATTTCACGAAAACCCCATTTAATTAATTTACAATTTGTAAAAAATATTCTGTTTCAAGTTTTATTGGCGATGATCCGGCTAATCTTATGAATTAGAGTGTGATGAAATCCAAATTCCTTTTTCTCCTTCTTTTATTCCATCCTCAGATTATTGCAGGTGATTTTGGCAGTGCCTCTGTTGATGGTAAGATGAATTGTAATGTAAAATTTTCATTAGTAATGATTTTTGGGAGGTTCTGAAAAAAGTTTTTTGTACCCTTTCCTTGACTTCAGATACGATTTACGCGACCAAACATGACGATCAAATCGCTTTGGAAGAGTTCTTCGACAACAATCACTTATATTTGGCCCGTCCAGACATCTCAACGCAGCTTTTCATCGAGCTGAATGTCCAAGGAACCCATGAAAAGAACGTGACAAACAAAATCTTCTACAAAACAGCGGCCAAGAATTTGAGAAAGGCCAATCCAATGGTGAATATCATCAAATTGAGTGGTGGGTATAATGTCTGCTTCAAGGATGGGGTAAGTCATCAAATTTTTAATTATTTTGAAGAACAAGATTACTGTAGCTAAAATATCGTCTTAGACTTTGAAGAGGTCCGCCAAGAGTACAAGAAGCTTCGAAAAACCCTGCATTACATAATAAAATCGCTGAACCGAGTCGATGTGAGGGTTGAGAGTATCATGTTCTCCTTGAATCTGATGAATGTGGGTTTTGAACTACTGTATTTGATTAAATTTTTAGACCAAAATTTCTGATGAAGAACTGGATTTGATCCGAGAGCGAGAAATGAATCGAGGACCTCACAAAGATCTCGTCAATATGCAAATTCGAGGAGTCCGGATCATATTTATGTGAGGGATTACTGTAGTTTTAATTAAATTTTTCTTCCGTAGAAACTTACTGATTTTAGAGATGAAATAGTGAAGCAACTGGAATGCGAAGCCACTGCCAGATGGCCTCAGAGAACAAGGGAACCCCCAGAAATCATCGACAATCTCCTCAAATAATAATTATGACGTCATCATAATAATTATCAAGTTTCGAATATCAATACTTTAGAATTCAGATATACTGCCATGTATAGGCTAATATATTATAAACCCTGAGGTAATCCGGCGAGATTTTCTGTCAGTTTTTTGATCATCAAGAGATCAGTTTGAGAAAAAAGAGCTTTAAACAAATCAGGTTTCGGGATTTGAGAATGCGTTTTTTGCATTCGTCGCCCACTCAGTGAAGATTCATAAAATAAAATCAAGGCGAGGCCCTTCCGCAATTCTTCATTCTTAATCAGTCGGACGATGCGGAGCCGGACGACCGTCCTTCTGGCCGCTCTCGGCCTTCTCATTTCCGGAATTGGTAAGTTTTTTGGGAGAAAAAAGCATACTGTAACTTCTGTTTCGAACGCATCGTTCAATACGGTGTTTTACTACACCATTATTAGTAGGATTTCACTCAGTAACAGTATACCTTTGACATATTTTAAATCATCCTTTTTTCAGATGCCGCCCGATACCAAGTAATATCACATCCGGTGGATGATAATGGAGCCGTCTCCGCCCTATCCCAACTAAATTTGGACTGTAATGGCAAAGCCGATGGTCTGTATCCAGCCAGAAGTAACACTTGCCAGACCTTCTTCTTCCACTGTGTTTCCGGCAAAGAACACAAGCAGAAATGCCCGGCGGGTCTCTTCTATCATGAACAAAATCAAGCGTGCGAGTTCAGAGACAATGTGCCAGCTTGCAAAGCAAACCCAGCGTAAGTCAGAGCATTTGAGATCAAGCGTGATATAAGGGGTGGAATAAAAACTTTTGTTTAGACCTCCTCCAAGACCTGCCCCCACTCCAGCTCCATTGCCCGTTCCACAACCGCCTCCTGTTCGCGGTCAGCCAAATGGAGGTGCCCAACCAGGTGGAACAGTCCATTCTCCAGCCCCGGGACAGCCAGGAGGTCCAGTTCGTGGACAAGCTCCAAGCGCTCCAATCCAGGGTCAAAATGCCGCAGGTTCAATTCAGACCCAACAACCCGAAGGACAAAGCCAACCTGGCCGATCCGTTCAATCCAGAGCTCAAAGCCAACCAGTACAACCAGTCCTTGTCCAACAGCCAAAACAAGATACCAGGCCAATCCAAGTCCAACAACCCAAGGTAGAAATCCAATTGGGCCCTGGTCCAGTCCAAATTCCTAAGGGTCCAATTATTATTGGCCCAAACATCCCGGTCCGCCCACCATCCCCGCCAACACCTCCAAACGGCCAAGACCAGCCTTTGCCTATCCAACCTGGAGGCCCAATCATTACTGATCAGCCACCTTCTGCTCCTCCGCAATCTTACCAAGGAATCAATGGCTATGGAAAGTATGGTCCGGTTCAGCAACCGGAAGGACCAGTGCCACCACCAAATAAGCCTGGGCAGACTTATCAAGGAGTCGGCGGATATGGAAATCACAAAGGATCCAGTCAAAATCAATGGGGAGGATCGGTGAATCAACAAGGGGGAAATGGAGCCCAATGGCCTTCAGCCTCGAGCTACCAAAGTCCTTCTCCAAACTACCCCAGCTCCGCTTCAGCTTACCCAAGCCCCGCTCCAGCCTATCAAAACCAAGGCTATCAATCCTCCGGCTATGGGCAGCAAGGGGCTTATCCAAGTCCTTCTTCTCCATCTCCCGCGTATCCAGGATCCCCAGCCTACAAAGCTCCCCTACCAAGTTATCCAGCGCCGTCTTACGGGCATGGTCAGTCTGCTCCAAGCTACTCAGGATATCCATCGCCGTCTTATCCATCAGCTTCTTACCCAAGCCCAGCTTATCAGCCAGCCCGTCCCTCTTATCCCAGCCCAAGTTACCCCGCTCCGAACCCAGCGTATCCCGCTCCTTCCTATGGCCAGCCAGCTCCCACAGGAACTTATCCAGCGCCCCAATACGGATCCAGTTATCCATCCGCTCCAGCTTATCCCAGTCCAAGTTACCCTGCTTCGAATCCAGGATATTCCGCTCCATCTTATGGTCAGCCCGCTCCGACGGCAGCTCCCCAATATGGATCTAGTTATCCATCAGCTCCAGCTTATCCGAGTCCAGGATACCCGGCTCCAAATCCAGGATATCCCGCTCCATCTTATGGCCAGCCAGCTCCCCAATACGGACCTAGCTACCCATCAACTCCAGCTTATCCCAGTCCAAGTTATCCTGCTCCTGGATATGGCTCTCAATCTTACGGTAACCAAGGATATCCTGGTTCGCAATATCCAGCTTCGCCTCAAGGATATGGCCAACAAAGCTATGGCGGATACCCAGACTTTGATGATGATGAGGAAGAAAATTATCCACCGGGTTATGGTCGATACGCCGGATATGGAGAACATCACAATGGATATGGATATAACGAAGAATCCGAATCGGGTGAAACCTTCAACTTCGAAGGTTACTCTCAACCAATTGGGTATGGCAACGCGGGTTACGGTAGCAGCTATGGACAAGTTCCTAGTGTGCCCCGAGGCTATGGAGGAGAGATTCACGGAGTCAACAACGAAGATCTCTATTTAAGTGGGGATAAAAAAAGTAAGAGCTGGTGACACTACAATCTAATACACATCGTATTTAGAGAGTGAAAAAAAAGATCAAGAGGTGAAAACGGATAAAGCGGAAGGAGCGAAAAAGGAAGGAGAGAAAGAGGAAGAAGTGGAGGGTTCTGGCACCGAAGCCGACGAACCCGTTGTAGTCCCCAGAGTCAAAAGACAAGACAGACCAGTCTTGAGGCCGGAAGGTAAGCTACTAAAAGGTTTTATACGCATTGTTATTTCAAGTCAAACTACAATATTAAATGTTATCTTAGACATGCACGATCTAGATACCGTGTTATCATACCACACTCCTCCTCCTCCTCGCCCATGCATACTAGGTTACCCTCCAAGTTATCCATGTGTAGATTATGTAGATGAGTACATTATCGAGAAACGTGATGTTCATTCGAACGGCAGCCCCCGAATCCACGAGCAAGTTGTTCCACCAAGTCCGTATGGAAGAGCTGGACAGGCTGTTTACCCTCAGGGGCAGATCCAATTCCCTCCAACGAGAAATGGAAGACCTGAGAAACCAGCACCTCCACCGTATGTTTAAGACCTTTTTGATCAGTTTTGGAACTGGAATAGCCCGGAAATCTTATAAATGGCTGGTCAAAGAGTTGCAACGGTAGTCAAATAATCGAAACGAATAGGAAACTGGGTTGGATTTGCACAAGTATTCGCCTAGCAGATTAAACAACCAATCCAGGCCTTTAACTATCCGTGTATAAGATTCCGACGCTTTGACTACCCCTTTCGATTATTTTACGACCAATCCAGTTGTTTTTCTAGTAATTTATAAGGCTTTTGGGTGGCCAAATTCGTAATTATCACTTTTCAATGCCTCTGCTATGAAATATTATACTTTAGCCCAAACAGCTGGAGTCAGGTCGGCCGATCCTTGGAGCCACCTCCTCAAAGCCCCGAATACACGGTCCCCGGTCCCTTACCAAACAAAGGTCCCGCCGAGCAAAGGACGTTCCCCCGGGCCTATGAGATAAATGTCCAATAATGCTTACTTTTAACGCTTATAATAAATAAACTAATAATAATTGTCACCTTACATTTTGTAAACAAACCAATATGATGAAAAAACAAGTATATAATTTATCGCTTCGAGAAATGCCAAGTGAAATATAAGACATAAATATGATCGCAAAGTCTATTGTGCTCCAAAACAACAAAATTTTCAATCTTTCTTCAAAAAGAAACGGATAAAGTAACTGTAATTATATTAGACTAGGTCTCAAGGTAAAATAACACAGGTTACAGAGAGAAAAAACATAAAGATGCAAAAAAGTTTAAGAAGGAAACAAAAAACGGACTCTTGACAAGGATAAAAGTTAAAACAATCAGAAATTGCAAAGAAAAGACCCATATCATAGATAGCATACCAAACTTCTGAACTCTATTCTTCTTCAGTTTCGTCATCCAGAAGACCCACAACGTCTTCCTGTTCTCTGCTTGCCCGGAGTCTCTGGTAATGATAATACTGTGCGATTACAATCGCATCGAAGAAGCAACATCCCAGAGATCCTGCGAGCCAAGGGAGATGTCGAAGGAGGTATACCCAACCGGTCGATTCAAGGAGAACCGAGAGTCCGTAGGTCAGATTGGCCAACACGATGATGTAGAACATGGCCAGAGAGAGACCGTCGCAGGATTTTCGATAATAATTCCGGAGAAGTTGTGGGATCCGACCGGAGAAATAACAGACCGCAGCTACAGATCCAATCGCATATCCAAGAGCGTCGGTGTAACTCTCAAAGATGGGAGGGGATCCAACAGAGTCCGTAACCATATATCTCTTCCCAACCTGGCTGATCATCTCCATTGTGTTTGGACCGGTGGTCGATGAGAGTAAAGTCATTCCGCCGAACATTCCAAAAACCATCGCTGGAACAACCACGGAACTTCCGGTCATGCTTTCTGCAAAACAACAATTTGAATTACAAAAACGACGAGAGCAAATTAAGAAAGTTTCAAGTAAAACCTAAAATCAGAAAAAAAGATCATGCTACTTACGACGACTGGATTGGTATATTCTGGTGTAATACATGTACTGAGAAAGAAGAACAATGTCTTGGATAATATAATAAACTCCAATGATCTGTTGAAGAGGCTGTTGGTGGGTTAAAACTGCTCCAATCATATTGCACGTATCGCCGGTAATCCTTAAGCAGAGTTATTACTTCTTCACACACGATGTCAATGATTACCTAAAAATCAAGGAAAAGGCGAAACCTTACCAGAAAAGCAAGAAGAAGATGGATAAACCCTCACATCTCTTGGTTCGGTAGTTCTCATATAACTGAGGGAAAAGAGGGACTAGCCATAGCACAAGTGAGATCAGTCCAATAATAAAGCCACTTAATTTTAGAGGAGTATCAACACAATCGCCAAAGACCTGAAAATAAAAGGATAAATCAGTTGTGTCTAAAATAATTTTAGGAAGCATCTAATGAGCGAAGCATCTAAACTATGTCTAAACGGCTTCGATTATTCAGACAAGCAAACACTCAGATATTGTCGAACCTTGTTCACCAAGAATAATAAAAAAATTTACTTGAAGACGAATTAAACTCTGTCTAAAACTTGAGAAATCTGCTTACTCCTTGTATCCACGTACCTAAACATAAAGCAAAACAAAATAAAAGAAATAACTTACATTGAGTATCCATGGCACTCCACCAGTGCAATTCATAACATCAGCAAAGTCCCAGACCAGATGCTGATCTGAACCCGCTCCCAGAAGTCCCGAATCCAACGTCGCGGGAGCACGCTGAGCGGGTGGCGAGAAAAGGGGGGGATAGCGCGAGAGTAACCACATTTTCTCGGCCGTCTCTTTTTACCCTTCGCGTCTCTCAACTCCGGCTTTTCTCTTGCGGTTGTTTGTTGTTATACCAACAGTTTCTGGATGAGCAAAACTCTAAACAATAACGAAATAGACGAAGCATGCGGAAATTTACATCAACGATGCGCGAATGAGTAAAACAAGAGAAAAAACAATCGGCTTCCTTCTTATAAAAATCACCTCGAAAACATCCAGTAAATCAAGATGAATGACTAACTGTTTACAAAAATGTGGTTAGTGACTTCCGCGTGACTAACCGAATCGTGTGACTAAACTTTTCTTCTATCTCTTCATCCGGGATCGAGAAAGAATATAGGAGAACAGTTGACCCGTCAATTACGGCATGAGTCAACTGTTCGTTTTGCGGTATATTACCGGATACGGTAAGGAAAAATATTTGATGACATCAAAAATGAAAATGACTAACCATTAGATGCTTTCTAACATAAGAATTGAACATGTTTGTACTAAGATATCCAGAAGAAAATCGAATTTCATTATGGTCACTGAAAGAATTTGGAGAAGAAACTCGTGGAAGCCGTGTACTTCCAATGTCTCCCCACCGACAAAATTGATAAGCTTATCATCTTTCTGTGTGTCCAAAAAGACACGCAAATTTGATAAAAACTTTTTAGGGGAATTTGACGCAATTTCTAAGTGATGATCAAGAATAATATAAGCGCGAAGAAGATTTATAAGTCATATTCTTGGCCAAGAAAGATCAAGTTAACGCCAAAATATAAGTAAATTATCAAAACAAATAATAAAAATGCAACGCGAACTGAAATAATCGGATCACAAGGGTTATACTATCCTTATGACCATCTCTTTAGCAACTCTAATTTACAGCCGTTATGCCCAGAAGCAGTTTTAAACGGGACGACTTGTCCCATTCAAGAGTTAAAGAGAGAAGTGTCAAGTCTGCCGGGTCACATTCTCCATCTCTTTTTTGTTTCCGTCTCTGATTTATGCCTTATCAATTAAAACAGTCAATAAAGCCCTCGATATTTTATAGCGCTTTTATTGCGGGTCCCTGTACAGGTGTTATGGCCTCGGGGCACTATCTAATCAGTGAATCACCGGTTGTTTTCACGTTTTCTGAGAGATAATATTGGTATTTGAAATAACTTGAAGCTGAAATCGATGGGGATTTCGTATTTTCCTTTTGGAATAATAGCTGCAAAAAGTATTGTAAAAACTTGTCATAATTCACCATAACTGGAAATTTTATTTATGATACGGAATAATTATGCCGCAAACTTCTTTAAAATCCTAAAAAACAAATCCGGAATCAAGTATGAGATATAATTTTTACCTTTTAAATATTTAGTCATCATCAATCATAAGTTGCTAAAGAAAGCGTTATTTTTAGCCTCCAAAAATTGGATTACTTTTTATGGCAGTCGTAAACCCATTTGAACCGCTTTTTCCCACCTGTTCTCATCGAAAGCAGGAGTTTTGGCTCACTTTGCATCCGTTATTTTATTCTGATGGCCACTATAATATAATGTCATGTTCTTGTCATTCCTGACAACCATATCCATTATCCGTTCATAATCTTCTTCTCCACTTCCTGTTTCGTCTTTTTTAATTAATTTCCCTCTTTTCCGGCTCTTTTTCTCTGGCGTCTTCTCCTTTCGCCGCGCTCTTTCTGCCCACATTGCAGTTGATTTTAATAGATTCCAGGCCGTTTGAATGCATCCAGGAGACGTCTGAAGGGGATATCAACTAGCAGGGGGAGAGAGTACGAGACATTTGGAGGGCGTCCGACCCAAAGCCGGCGGGGTTTTTGGCCGCTTTTTTCGCGGCCTCGGCCGCTTTCCCATTCCCGATATATTTTTTTATTTTACACTTCAAAGGCTTCACATTACATTACTGCTTTCGCGAAGGTAGTCGTAATTGGCGGGGAGATAATTGTTGAATCCCAATTTGAATATTTGCAGGACCCGTCTCCCTTTTCTTGTTGTTTGTGCAGAAGAAACCGGACCAATAAACAACAAAAATGGTAAGTCCTGAAGAGAATATGGGGGAACAGAGCGCGGTAATCGTCATAACACTTGGCCACTCCTTTCTTATTTCCACGGATTTTCAAAAACCCCTCAAAAAGTAGTTGTTATAGGCGGGGGGAGGCCTTTTCTACTTTTTGATTAGATTTGGACCTTAGAAAGTAGCTCAGTCCTCGGAAAATGTCGTAGAATACCTTTAAAAGTGGGGGAAGGGAAGTACAGGTCCTAGGGAGGAAATCACTAATCAATTGCCTCAGGGCATGATAATGAAAATGGGACTCAAGAAATTAATAAAAATCTTGATAAGAGGGAGTATTTTTGGGTGGAAATGACTAGTTATTGTCGCTAAAAGGTGATGCTGATATTAATTATGAGCTCGACTTGTTACATAGTACTTGTTTTACACTCAATCTTTGAATTTTTTACTTAAATTATTACTTTTGACCAAAATAAATTTAATTGTATGTTACTCTACTACTTCACAATACTTTCAACCCATTACCTAGTTTAAATCGCCTAAGGGCATATGAACTTTCGTCAATGGTTTGCAGGTTAGGGAAATGTTTTGTTAAGCGGAAGGAATTCAGGTAGTAAGGGTAAGCGGAGAACGATCTGATGACGTGAAATGGACGTCAGAAGGGGACCGGATAACTTGATTTGATTAGACTACCCTATAAAATCTCGGCGAAGAGACGTGCACAAGACGCGTTGAAAATATTCGGTCGATTTGGCGAATTTTAGGGGGTCAAGTGAGTGGGGAGAGTGATAAAGAAGTTTAATATTGGGAAAATAAGTGGAGGAATTGGGGATACCTTTTATTTGACTTACTGCTTATTCAATACAGCGACCGTTATCAATTGTTTTACCCATTTTTTAAAGAAATTTTTACCTTATACTACCTTTCCGGAAAAAGCTCGAAGTTTCGTCATCAGATTTCTTCCAAATTTTGCTTACATTTTCAATCTAGGCCATCTATTAATTCTCAAAATTTAGCTTATGATTTGGAGCGAGAAATTCTACGAAATTTTTTTTAGGAGACTGAGAATTGAAGAGAGGAGGTCAGAGAATTTTTTTAGTATGTTTCTTACGCATTTTGTGCGGAAAATTAAGTCTTCTTTATTGTTAGGAATGCTGTTGTCGCCCGGCAAATCTAATTTTTGGGCTAGAAAATAACAAAAAATGATGACAAAAGTTCAGGATTTTTGGACCAAAAAACCTCTGCTGTTTCTTCAAAGCGCGTGTTCCAAATCAGGCAAATGTTTTCCAAGGCTGCATCCACCATTTCTGCGACTCTTTCTTAATCTCGAACTATCCGTACCACTCATATTCTCGCTTAATCTTAGACTATCCGCAACAATTATAAGTCCAAAACAATTATTCCCAACAATTCCACACTCCTCTAAAACGATCTATCTCCCCAATTTAGACCTCAATAGCCATTTATAATTACTAATTTTGGGCTGTCATTTGCATGGAAACGGCCAAAAAAAGATTAAAAAAATGCGGAGAGAATGGGTGGTTTGAAAAAAATATTTTGCTTATTTGGCCCTGTTTTTCGCTAATTTTGGCCGACTTTTCCCCCGACCCATTAAGGGTCTGTTAAGTTGGCCCAATAAAGAAGAGGAAAGGCCTCGAGGGCATCAAGTTAAACACCGGATTTCACGAAAAACTCGTGATTCTGGGGGTTTTCTTCACATTACTTGTTTTAGGCGGGATATTTAGATGTACAAAAATAATAAGAATAGATTTTTGAGCAAAACTAGGGTTTCCTCCATTGTTTACCCAGATTTACGATGAAAAGTCGGATCAGAATTCGGGGTGATATTTATGACGGTGATTAAAATTTGTCCGAAACAGATGTTCCCATTGTCCGGAGGGTGTGGAACGACAACACACAGCATTAGTTCGGGGTTCAAACCGTCCTTTGGCCAAGTGTTACATGCACTTGCTGATTTTTTTGACTTCAAGTCCAATCCTCATGTGTAATATCGCGGTTTGTAGGGAAACGAAGCGTCCTTGCCTCTGGAGATGTGCTCCAACTTTGATGCCTATGAACTTCGACGTCTGGCTCGCCGTTTCAAGAAATTGGATCTGGATGGAAGCGGCTCCCTGTCCGTGGAAGAGTTCATGAGTCTCCCCGAACTGCAGCAGAACCCTCTCGTTCAACGGGTAATCGACATCTTCGACGAAGATGGGAATGGAGAAGTCGACTTTAAAGGTGCGTTCTCTTCGATGGTTACTGTAATTTGCAAAAGTTTAGAATTTATCCAAGGAATCTCACAATTCTCGGTCAAAGGGGACAAGAACACAAAATTAAATTGTAAGTGGTCCGAAAAGTAGTTTATTTTTATAAAAAATAGTCACTTTTCATCGTTTTACAAATATTTTTTGTTAAATTTTTTCTTAGAATTCGAATTAGTCATCCTAATTTGGCCTTATTTTAGTTGCCTTCAAGATCTACGACATGGATCGAGATGGTTTCATTTCGAATGGCGAGTTGTTCCAGGTGTTGAAGATGATGGTTGGGTCCAATCTGAAGGACACTCAGCTGCAGCAGATCGTCGACAAGACCATCTTGTTCCATGATAAAGACGGCGATGGGAAGATCTCATTTAAAGAATTCTGTGATGTAAGTCCCTGTGAATGGATAGTTACCGCTTCTTAACAGTAATTGCACTGCAAGATCTGACCGTTAATTTTCTGTTTTTACTAACCTTTGGCTTAAATCTTCTCGGGCTTTTGTTTCTGGAAATCTTTACTTTCCTTTGGGATCTGAGCACTGTATAAAACCCGGAGAAATGCTCAATGTCGAGTAATTGGATTTTCCTCATATTCGGCGCAAATGCCCAGCAATAGCTGCATTTCGATTACTGCAAATTTTAGCTCTTGCTTTTCAAGGAAAACCGAGATATTGAACGGTCTTTTCTGGCAACAGAGTAGACAAAATGAGGAGAGTTCGTCATCAAAAAAAAAACTTTTTCTGATTCTATGCTAACATTGCGCGGAAAACAATATATTTTTTTGAATTTTACTCTTCATTTAGAATAAAATACCAAAATTTTCAAACTGAAAATCAAATTTTTTGGCCAAAAAATCTCGATTTCTTGTGCATCTTGCTGAAAATGTGACAAATTTATAGTTCAACTCTAATCTAAGTTTATGCCAAATAACATTGAAATATGACCATCGCATTTTGAGCATTTATAATTGAAATGAAATCAAATATTATAGTTAAATCTCCGATCTTTGATTAACTTTTCCGCTAGTAACCACTTAATTTTTTCTTTTCCATTCTGCCGGCGCTTTGTTGGTACACCGTCGGCTCCGTTTTAATCCCGTATTTTAGATCGTTGAACATACCGAAGTGCACAAAAAGATGGTCTTGGAGAATATCTGAGATGTCTACTGTAATATCCCTTTGTTCTGGTGTAATTCCTCTTCCTTTTCTTCTCGGTTTCACGCTTAACATTTCTGTTTTCGAACTCTTTTCGATTACTGTAACATGAATTGAAATGGATTTTTGAATTTATGTTACAGTAATCCGATCTTTTGTTTATTTTTTTAAATCATTCCCAAAAAAGTTTTAATTTTGATTTTTAATAACAATAAATGTACAAAGATTACTGTAACAGATTGATTTATTTGGCTCAGGTGAGATTTGGCTACAATTTTGTTTGGAAATACGGTAGGAGATTACTGTAACATCACAATAATCGCGAATTAACGGCAATTTAGCAGTTTACTAACCACAAATTGCTGTAAAATTGATTTCGAGTACCCTGTCTAACATGATTAATATGCTTTATACTGTAATTGTAAATCTTTTTAACCACCTCAACGTAATATTTCTCGCCGCTAAAACTCCCTTCGCATTTTAGGTTGTGGGAAATCTGGATGTGCATGAGAAAATGGTAGTGAAACCATAATCAAACAGTATTTGGTACCCTTCAGACACTCCACATTCTTTTATTTTTTAATTACATATCTGTTTACAGTACTACATATAATATTTTAACAAGTTGGTTAATAAAAATTTTATTTTTTTAAAAAACTTTATAATTTCGTATATTTTTACTCAGAAACTCGCCCACAATACAAGTCTATATTTTTATTTTTTAATTTGTCATCCTTTTCAATGCATAAAATTATTAATTAACCTCACTTTATTACACAAATATGTTTGGCTGACGAAGCGGTACAATAATATTGAGATTGATTCCGGTCCAGAATAATGTTCCGTCTTTAATAATCAGACAAATTGGAAGGGAAAACACATGTCCAGAGCCATCTTCGGCCCTATCCGCAAAGAAGGATCTGTTGATGGATCCGTTGATGAGAATGGAATGGTTTGGAATCTCGAAATGGAGCTCTTTGGAAGTCCTGAAAAGGCATCGTTTTAGTCAAAACTCACTAAAATTGTTGTCAAAAAAGACATCTTCTTACCTTCTGGTAATTCTGCATTCCACTTCGCCGAGATATAACAACTTTGCTGAGTCCATTCTTTTCCCAAATAACCTCCTTGTCGTAAGCCCTGTTGTAAATTGATGTCCTAAAATGTCATCTCCATTGTCGATTCTATCCACATAAGGAGCATTTTCAATCTTCTCCTGTTTCGGAACAAATGCGTAATCGGTTGAATCAACCGTGTAGATTTGGAATTCAAAGTAATCGTCGTCGTTTTGAGCTCCATCCGTGAAACTAAAAGGGAAACTCCGAAGGTCATCTGTTTGAATTGAAGATGAGAGAACCTGGCCCGGAAGATGCCCAGGAATGGGCTGGGCCAATTCGAAAGCGATCTTGTCCATCTGCATTACCATCCCATTACTGCGCTTGTTGAAGGAGCGGACCTTCTAAAATAAATTTTGGATTATCATTAACAGGGCTTTACAATTCCATTCAATTTGTAATAGCAACTCACCAGTAGAGGACTGACATAATCTTTGCATCGAATCCGAACCAACTCATCATTCATCAGGCAGTTATTTTGATCACCATCTTAAAATATCTCACCATCTCTACTACAATATAAAAAAGGGCCAATGTAAAACTTAACTTACTCTGCCTTTCCAATGTGACTGCAGACCATTCTGTTGGAGATGCGACGGGAATATTACGGTCATTCACTGAGAAATACCAAGCGAAAGCTCGATAGTCAGCCTTTTTTAGTGTCTTTGGCCTCAAAATCAATCCAAATCTTCGATTTAAGTCAGTTCCAATCCATTGAGACAACTTGTTGGTTGGCACTGCCTTAGGGGGCTTGGAGACAGTGTAAATTGGAATAGTACTAAATTCTCCGAGTGTCCTGGAGCCGATTCCTACTGTAACAATCACTTCGAATGTCTCCTTGTTCGCCGAATGGTTGTAGATTCCAGTAATATGGATAATTTTCTATAAAACAAAGCGTTATTAGAATGAAAATACATCCAGAAGTAGTAATCCAAGATAAAATTAGGAGTAGCTGCAAGTTTAATAAAAGTTTTATACCTACATTTCCAGCTTGAAGTTCGGCCCAAATAGGTTCAAAATTCATGTTTTCAGTTCTGATTTGAACCCAAATTTTTTTCTCGTTCCCTTCTATGATGGATTCAGCAAGTCTCAGCAACTCCCAGCCAGGCCCGTCAAAGGAAATCGCAAGTGGGAGAGAAAAGAACCTAAAATCATAGATAATATACTCGAAACGCCCAAAACTATATAAAAATCTATTATTGTTTTACCTTTTCTCATTGTTATAAGACCTTTGAATAATAACTTGATGTTCAATGGACAGAGTCAGCATCTTGTTATCCACATCTTCCATGATCGATGCGAAATCGTTAGGGGAGAATGGAACTTGGAATAAATTTAACGAATCCATCACAAATAAAGGTTAAAAGTTACAAGCTGACAGCCAGAAACTGTTGGGAATGATTGTGGATGCTGTCCGGTTATTGTGAATCGCGATGGCAGAGATTTCCGCCATCAAATCTCCTGGAATCAAGAGCTTTCGAAATTTTTCTTCTTATATAATAATTCTAGGCAAAATTTTTCGTTATCTTATGTAATAATACGAGTGTAGTTTTTTCAGTGACACAGTAATTAATCGTTTATCCCTTCAATTGCGCGTTTCAAGTTAAAATTTTTTTGAATATCGTATTTTCCGCATTTTTTGCTGTTTCTGGCATTCCGTCTCAAGACCAAAATTATTTTCTCGTGCAAATTGGGAAATAACAACATTGCGGCAAATCCGGTCATATGGGACCAATTCCAAACGAACGTCCTCAAGTACAACATCCAGATGACGGTATTTTTTTTATTTATTTATAGTTTTAAGTTTCAAGTGTTATTCATGTTTATTTATTGATTTTTAGACGTAACTCAGTTTGAGCAAGATGGCTGGGAAGTCGGGTATGATGTCCAATTCAATGGTATTGGAATGGTAAATATAGAAGGCTCAGACGACGACTCAGACAGCGGTAAGTGGGTATTATTCATGAATTTTTTTGACCTTAGGATAAAGGAAAGGGCAATAAAATAGGACTGGAAGACATTTGAATAAAAAAGATAATGTTTCCCGAGTTTTTTCCAGATGGATACGTTGGTCCCGGAGATTCCGACGATGAGGCCAGAAGAGGCGGTTATGTGACAGTACCTTCCACTTGTGAGTCTGATGAGGAGAAAGAAGAGAACACAAAGAAAGGAAATGTGAATGAAACTGGAGAAGGATCCTCGGAGATGGTCGAAGAAGCCATGGCCAAACTCGGCTTTGTTGGAGCTCCAGTTCAAAAGGAATTTCAAAAAGTAGGTAATTTGCAAATATTCTTTATGTGTTTAGGCAATAGAACAAGCCGAAGAGGTTCATCTAAAAGATTCTGACTTCAAAATTGAAAAGAAATCACAGGACATCGATCTGACCGCGGAGAAAGTCGACCAAATAAAGAATGCTATGAGTAATTTCACCTTGCCACCTCCTCCAAATTGGAACAACCTTGACATTGATTCTAAGCTGCTAAACTTACTCAAGAAGAACTGATTCACTTATGTATAATATCTATTAATAAAGTTTCTAGTCGTGTTTCAATGTTTTGGATCTACACAGGGGTTGAGTGATACCTTATTGATATCTTGTCGTCACTAATTGTATTCTTACTGATCTTTTTGCAGATGAGTAAACCACAGAAGCGAGCTGCTCCGTCCGAGGTGGTCAATTGTGAAAGGGCAGCGCGAGGGGTATGGCTGGTCAAGGTTCCCCGGTATTTATCAGAGATCTGGCAGAAGAATCAAGGGAAAGCAGTGGGATCCTTGATCACCAGTCAGCCAGTTGTATTCAGATCTAATCCAGAGCTCGAGACGGAGCAGAAGAAGACCCCGATTGTCACAAATATAGTCCAATCGAGTAGTCGCGCGTTGCCTGACACTCTGCAACCTTTGGGAAAGAAGAAGGAGAATGTGGAAATGCCCAAGGAGCATCGGTTTCTGATGAAAAACCTGGATAATCAGACGATGGCTGTGCTTGTGGAGGACAAAACAGGCCTCGAAGAGGATGCTGACCAAGTCAGTGGACGATTAACTATTGATGGAAGGGTGAGTGTATAACTTTAGACATCAACTTTGAACATTTTATGTATACGAAGTGTAATTTCAGACCTAAAGAAATTAAATTTTCGTTATAGGTTGTAAAACGCGCTGAATGTCAACCTCCGGCCACCTTGGATTACATGAAGATGAAGATCCGGCAAATCGAGAAGATTAGTCAGCCCAAACACACAGTCAAGCAGATGGATAAGGCTGAGGTCAAATTCAAACCCACCTCTTATCATGCTGAACACATGGCCAAAGATAGGGCCAAGAAGGACAATGTCAGATCAGTTAGAGTGGATCGGGATATTGTACTCAAGGAGTTGTTCCAGGCATTCGAAAAGCATCAGTATTATAGGCAAGTTGAGGCCTGAAACGAGGCAAAAGTGGTCGATAATAAGTGCTTTACTACAAATTAATGTGTTCTACGACAAAGAATGATGTTTTATATATAATTTGAACAACTTTTAATATTGTTACCTAAAATCTTTCTTTCTGGAATTAAAAATCTCATTTTCAGACTAGTTGATCTCCAAAGAATTACGCAACAGCCTGCCAATTATATCAAGGAAATCCTCACGACCATCGCCAATTACAACACAACCCAGCCGCACAAAAATATGTGGGAATTGAAGTCCGAATACAGGGATTACGGTAACAAAAAAGAGGAAGAAGAAGATGAAGACATGGATGCTGATGGAGATGATGATTAATAATATTTATGTTTGTGATAATAAAAGGAGAAATGGGTTTTGGAACTGGCCTTTCCTTGCTGTTTAAAACATTTGAATATCGGACCTTAATTTGGATATTGATCTCGGTAATAACTACCTAGTCTAACATGTCGACACTGCTTTATTTGCAGGCCTTTGATGGTGAAGTTCGTTGTTGTTCGACATTGCGGATTAGCCAGATCCGGGCGTCTCACCGAATGGGGCATTCCTCCGCATACTGACCCCGACGATAAGATGCAATGCATTTTAGATCATCAGACACCGACCTTCATGGTCTACACTAGAGGCGGACACATCCCCCATCTCACTTGGGACACCTTCAACAGCAAGGTGAATATCCAACAAAGGCCTATCTTTCATGTCTCCTACGGAAATATGTGAGTTTTGGATTTTTTTGTATGCGGTAATATAATATTATACATGAACATTTCACCCCAAAATGACAATGTTATTGTTTTCCTTGCAGATCCGAACTCTTGGAACACTGCCGGAAGACAAACAAACCCCTCTCGGAGTATATGGGAATGTCGGTGGGTATCTTCACGTGATGTGTAATATGAAATATGGTTTCAGGATGATGCCCTTATCCATTTCAGTCTCTTCGATCCTCTGGGCAAAAGAGTAACTGGCCTGAATCGGACCAAGGATATTGCGATTTGGACAAAAGGAGGTAAAAGAATGGTAAGCAAAGGAAATCAAGTTTTATTAGGTTATAACATACGATCAGAGGTGTAGAGAATGGAAATTTTAGAGAATGTGAACGTAAGATGTCTTTTGGCTAATGTTTAGGGTCTAGTTATACCGATTATTTCAACGTTTGAGATGACTTTCAGGTGGATTCAGCCATTTATCGCTCTCTCGTTCACACGGTCCAAGCAAATACAGTAGGATCGATGTTGGACTACGACACTCCCCCTCCCAGTCAAAATAAACGGCTCTCCAAAGCTGTCCAACGGACGACCACCTTCTGGGAACAGTGCTATGATCAACACCCTCTATATGTATGTTGTTCAATATAAATTAAGATGACTTAGATCCTAAACATTATACGTTTGGTTTGTTTATTACAAAATTTCTTCTTTTCAGTGCTCCCTATTTTTAGTCCTCGGCGGTGGCCAAAGTTCCTACCATCGAGCCGCCTTGTCTCGCGCAGCCAGCCTCAATACCCATGCTGTTGGGTATACTGTAGATTTGATGGAATACTCACAAAATCCAAATACAGATGTTAGAAAGGATTTTGATATAGAAGAACTGTCTGATCTACTTCAACATTCATTAGTAAGTATAGTCTGTATGTATTTGTCTCGGTTGAGGGGCCCACTAAGTACAATGTAATATAATTTCAGGATGGTCTCCCGTTGAACAAACCTCGTCTAGTCGAAGGGGTTTTCGACCCATCGCAAATATTCGAATTGGTCCGCCTAGGTGTCGATATCTTCGACTCATCCTATGCTGTCCTCATGGCCGAAAAAGGCCAAATTTTCCGTGTCGCAAATGATTTCCCCAAACAAAATACCTTTGAATTATTCGATTTTACCTCAGAAAAGTAAGTAGAATTTCGCTTGTTAGTTGATAGAACATTTAAATTACCATTTCGCGTATTGAACACTGCTCACCAGAAAATTGAATAAGATTAACGAAATTTAAGATATCAAGAAGATCTCACACCAATCGTCGATGACTGCTCCTGTTACTCGTGCTCCAATTACACCAAAGCCTACCTCGCCCACCTCATGAACACAAGAGAACTCTTGGGCCCCATGTTAACAGTAATGTAAGCCTATTACACTTGACCATCGGGGAAATTTTATAATAATTTAAGCTTTGGAATTAATCATAGATTTTGAGGGGGATCTTGGGCCGGGGCTGCAGCGGGACCGTCGTACTTGAAGAGTTTGGCCAGTTCGGGTTTGGATTGGGCCTGGGTGAAAAGAGCCGTCTTCGCACTGGTTCCGATCCCATTTCTCATCGCCGCGAGGCATAAGGCAACAGTTCTGAAAGGCTTAGAATAACAAGTTATACGATGTAAAAAACAAAAATTATACAATTGATCGGAAAGGATGATTGGCGAAAGTAATAAAAAGGATACTGTATTTTTGGATAAAAAACAAAACTAGTGTGTTAGTAAGAACTTACATTTCCTTGAACTCCTTTCCCAACTTGGGTATCTTGATCAGAAAGTAGAGGGCCAAAAGCAAAACCAGAATGGTACAGAAATTCAGAAGGCCCGAACTCATCATAAACAACCAGGTGTAGGCGGAAAGGGTCTGCTCGGCTTCATAACATGTCGCTTCACTCATTATGTTTTGCAGACACAACCTCTCCGAGTTTGATCGATTCTTCGAAATGATCCGCCGATTCCTCCGCGCCGACAAATCATGGTAAAAACAATGCTTTTTGCATAAATATTGATCTTTTATAGCCTCTAAAAAAACTTGTTGTTGTTGTTGAATTTTAATAAACCTCCGAAAATGAGGAGTTGCATTTGAGGATTACGGTAACTTACCTGATACTTGTGGTCTGATGGATAATATAGATGAAGCCTCAGGTTCATGGCGAATAATGTAAAGTTAGATCGCCGATTTGACTGGGTTGGTCCACCGGATCCGTTGTCCAAGATAAGATCGATAAGGTAGGAGATAATTCGATTAAGTTTAGCTTTATTCATCATGGATAATATAAATATCTGTTATAGACAATCTGATTTAATAATCTGAATGAAAATGATTACAGACTGCGTCGAGTGGATAATGAGACCAATTTGGAGCGGGACTACCGGCTAGCGAGAGAGAGTCTGAATGAATGGAACTCGGACTTTTGGAGACGGCATAATCAAGAGTTCGAAAGATGTAAATCCGAGTTTGTTGCCAAGGTATGTAACGAATAATAGTCCCAAATGCTCTGTTTAGAAAAAAGAAACCCTTGGAAAGCTGACTCAGGTCTCCGCCGAAGAAATGTCTGTCTTTTATCGGGATTTCTTGAACCAAAGAAGATCGGAACTCGCAAATTACAACAGGTAAGGAGTGAGTGAAGTAGAAATATAATTGTTATTAGTATGCCTCTATTGTCTACTTTCAGTGAATGGTATCGCCGCAACTTCAGCTTGATCTGGCCCGCCCTCAAGGTGAATTTAATCCGGGTTCGACGTCTGATCCTTCGACGATAAAAAAATAAAGTTGTAAAAGGTAGTTGTAGATTAAATACGTTGTTGAATAAACCTGAAAATCGAACGAAACGTTCGTGGAAAGAAGATCCTCGGAAAAGTTCATCCCATCAAAGTCAGAAGTTGGTACGGAAATTATTTCCAAGCCATCTGTGACACTTCGTTTACGTAACTAAAAATATTTTTTCTTCGGTTGCGTTGCAACTTTGTTGTGCTGTAACAGTTATAACAGCTGATAGAAGATCTAATCGATATTGAATCGAATTCAGGTGAGCAAAAAAGAGTTTCCCAGAAATAAGATAAAAATTATGTTGTACATGACATTTAAGCGATTTTTTTATCAATCAGGCTTCAGAATGCCTAAAAAAGATAATTAGCTCTGTCGAGATAGTCTCTTATGAAATTTTTACCGTCAGTTTGACCAATAGCCGTTTTGTGACAAAGATAATATCTGATTTTATTCTATTTGACATAAATTTATTCAGAAGTCGCTCTTTTCCTTCCTTTTTGTGCGCGCAATTTGTTGTTAATTCTTTCGGTTTGGCCACAACAACACGTTTGGTCATTCATTTTGACACTTGTTATGTTTTAGATACCAGCACATTCTTCGGATGTGATCAATTATCTTCATCATGTCTTCAAACGCACAAGATTATCTTTATTCCCTTCGAAAGGGCAAAATTCCCGATCCTCGGCTGGCGTGCTTGGTGACTAATTTTAGGTATGTCCAGTCTTGACTGCGTTGATTACTTTTTTTAGAGGAATTGATCTGTTACCTCAATTGTACGCCTATGGTAACAGTTTCTGTCGTGTTCCCCATCCAGAAGAGAGGTATATCGCTTTATATAATCTAGGCTTTATCTGTAATCAACTGAGAGACAGATGCGATGTAATTCAATATCCTGCAGTGAGTTTTACCAAAAATTTAATTTGACTTTAATTTTTATGCTTTTGATTATTTAGTTTTGGTATAATATTTTTAGGTATACCATGCCATTGGACGTCTTCTTACTCAAGTTTCGTCGTACGTCCGACAATATGAGCGTTTTTTGATTGAGGAATATCTTCCAAAACATCCAGATATCAACATTCGAATTCTCTATAATCAAAGATCTTTTTTTATAACGCCTTTTGAATTGTTCAGGTGTATCGTCAACAATCAACGTCCAGTGATCTTGTTGGACTGTCGTCGGAGTCGCTCGCCGCAAATTGTACACTACAATTTGATTCAAACGTGTCATGCTGAACCGGGATTGTTGCGAGAATATGGGTAATATAATTTTTAAAATTTTTGATCGTAATCTTTGACTCTTGATGCTGTGCCTTTTTAGAAAGACTCCTGAGGATGTTTTGCGTCTCTTTGGCCTTTGTCCTGGCAATATTTTTGATGGAACTCACCAAGCTCATCGTCATGTTATTGTTAATGATGAGCTGATCCGCCGTGATTTTAGTCTCGAAAATCCTAACTCCGACTGTCGTTGGCTTTTGGAAATGTTGTCAGGACCTCCGTTCCATCTGAATTTGTTGATTTTGGAAGGTGGAGTTCGAGAAATGGAGCAGTGGTTTCCAATGAATGTAAAATATTTGGAAGAGGAAGACAATGAAATTGGTAGACGACTGAGAATCCTAGAAGCGAGTAGAAGCCAGGATCAAGGTGAAGGTAGGCGAGATAGTGTTACAATCGTTTGCGTATCATGTTTTACGGCTTTATGATACAATATTATGTTATTCATGGCCTATTATGATAATTTTTTGCAGCTTGGGATGGATGCGCGCAGACTTCGCATGAGTTCTCGCAATTGAGGATCAATGAGAAAAGACCAGCAAAATTTCCATTTGAGATTTTGATGGAGAAAAGGGCACGGACCTCAATGCGGGAAAAACCTAAGAATAAATTGGACAAGGAGATGGGAAAAGATAAGGAAAATGAGGAAGGACACAGCCATATGAGATGTAGAACCACTAGCATTTCATCAGAAGGTACGAGGTTTCTGTTTATTTAATAACTACAACTGTAGTTTTAAATATTTTAATCAAATTTTAGAAGAGATTTCAATTCCAACTTCCACCTTGGTGCGACCCATTGCAGAATGCCTTGGGTTGAGCTCAAAGCCCCCTGAGAAGAAGGCCAGTGATGGTTTCTCTGAGATAAATAATGTTGAGAAAATCCCCAGGAATGACGAAGAAAATACAAAGAAAGTTACGGTGGCAGAAAATGAGAATGAATCAGAAGATGGACCCAAAAATGATGATGTAAATGAAAAGGAGGTCACTGAAGTTGTGAAAGACGAAATCACGCATCCAGAAGATCCATTTTCCGAGAAAGAACGAGGAGATAACTCAGTGGATAATAATAATAATACTAACTGTTTCCGAGCAGAAGAGGAAACGAAGGTAATGAAACCAGAAGGGCCGTCTTTTATTGAGCAAATCAGGTAATTGAAGGCCCTATTGACTATATAGCGATTGGAGGAGCATGTTGATCCTATGGCTTTTCAGTTCTGATAACATTTCCCTTTTGGATGTCTACCGTTTGATTTTGGAGGAGTTCAAAAGTTTATCGGTGATCGGTCCAGAGGAACCTGGCTTTACTGGATTTTTCAACATTGGGAATACTTGTTTTATGAATGCCACTTTACACGCGCTGTTGAGTTGCTCTCATTTGGCTTACTTCTTTTCCGACACAAGCTTTATTCACTGCGTGAATTCGTAAGATTTTTTATCATATGAGATGCAAATGTCATGCTAGGATTTATTATTGCATTTTAGAGACAACCCCAATGGCACGAAAGGCCGTTTGAGCGCTTGTTTCAAGGCTCTGGAGGATGTTTATTGGGGCGGGGAATTCAAAACCATCAGTATCTGGCCTTTCTATGTAAGTTTATGTAGTTTGATTGCCCTGAGGTTTGCGCCCAACGTTTAGTTGTTTCTCTTTTGCAGATTATCTTCCGACAGTACTGCCCTCAATTGTGCAATCGCCGTCAACATGATGCAGCCGAGTTCCTGACCTTTCTTCTCGATCTTCTCCATGAGGATTTGTTGAAAGAAAGCGAGAAAAAGGAGGTCGAACAAAATTATGACACCAAGGAGATATGGGAAAATTGGAATCATTATAAGGAGAATAACGCCAGACGGCGGGAGTCTCCAATAAACTCCATATTCAAGGTAAGATTATCGAGCGACATTGTATTGTTTCAGTTCGTGACTTCCATTTATTTCCAATGTGAGGAGTGTGGAAATGTGAAATTAACTTTTGAAGAAGATAATCAGATCCGATTGGACTTGCCATCCAAAAGCCTTTGTCGATTATCCGACTGTTTGAAGAAGTATTTCGAGAGTTCTGTGAGTTCTATATTGTATTTGACATTATTCTTAATTTTGTTAGGAATCAGATAGTTCCATCAAAAGAGAGTGCTCTTGCTGTGGAAAACCTCAAAGATGCCAACGGTTGGAGAAGTTGTGGATTCTACCACCAGTCCTAATCATTATTTTAAAGAGATTTGAAGTGAAAAATTACGAGTCTTTGAAGAAGAACACGGCCACTGTTGAATTCGACATGGATCATCTGGATATGGCCAACTATATTCATGAACAAGCGGACTATGAGACATCAATGTATCAATTACAGGCGATCACCGAGCACAATGGAACTCTGACTTCGGGACATTATGTCACTTATGTCCGATATACCAGAGAACAGTGGATAAAATATGATGATGAGAAATGTTTCCGGGTCAAAGAGTGGATTCCGAGGGTAAGGCATTGTTCTGGAAATGTTCTTATATTGATCATTATTTGTTTCAGAGATGCAACGCGTATGTTTTATATTATGTTAGTCAGCCCGAGGAGAAAAGAATGGATAACAATGGTTCAGTTAGCTAATTCCAGCCATTATGCGATGTTATTTGTTGTTTTGCAGTTATTGTTGTTATTTGTTTTTATGCACCTTGTTTTATTGTCATTTTTCACTAACTGTTTACCGAATTTTTGCGGGTTATAATACCTCAATTGTAATGTATATCCCTAATTTCTTAATGAATTGTTTTGCTAATCGGATAATTGAACGACGAATGGGTCTTATTGTTCCTTGAAAGAAATTGCGTTGTTTCGTTTTATTGGGAAAGATACGAAATATTACACTGGGAAGCAGGCCCTTTCGGGGTGGGCTTTTCGGGGTCGGGCCTTCCGGGGTGGGCCCTTTCGGGGTCAAGGCAAATACTGGGGTTTCCGGGTCCCGGAGCATAAATAATTTTATTTTTTTGAAACTACTGATTTATGACGCAATCTTGTAAAATTTTTGAAAAAATGATAGAACAAACACCGAGATTGAAAATGTTAAAAATGACATTTGATAAAAGTTGGAAACAACCGACTCGTGGGGTGTGTCAACGGCGCTGAATTCGAAAATCACGTTCATTTTTTGAGATTTTTTCAAAATTAAAGAGACAATGTTTTTATTGCAGAAATTCTTGATTGCATTGCGCCGAATCTGGCGTTCAAAGAATTTAACTTTTTAATATGCATACAAGGAAACTTTTATCAAATGTCATTTTTAACATTTTCAATCTCGGCGTTTGTTTTATCATTTTTTTCAAAAATTTTACATGATTACGTCATAAAATTAATCAGTAGTTTAAAAAAATAAAATTATTTATGCTCCGGGACCCGGAAACCCCAGTATTTGCCTTGACCCCGAAAGGGCCCACCCCGGAAGGCCCCACCCCGAAAGGGCTCACCCCGGAAGGGCGACCCCGAAAAGCCCACCCCGAAAGGGCCCACCCCGAAAGGGCAGTAACCCATTACACTGTGTGGTGTTATGTAATTTTATTCATTTTAATAATAACTGATTACATTTCCACTACACTCATTGTCGACTATATTCTGCTCGCTTCTCCTCTGCCTTAGATGATGCCTCGTTTCCTCTGTTCGTCGACGGAATAGCAATATAATTCACATTCTTGCTTGGTTCGGGGTGAGCGCCAGAGGTTGAAGTCGAGTTCGGAGCAGTAGGGGAAGATGTAGGGCTCGCACTGGTCAGTGTTCGTGAACCGGTTCACCTAAACCATTTGTGATAAGAGAGGAGTAGAGGTTCACTTTGCAACAGACATCGCCCGATCTTCCCTAATTCGACTGGTTTTCCAACGAATTGGACGCCAATCGGACGTTGCGCAATCCAATGAGGATCACGCAATCGTGACTAAACATTCTGAGAATATCTGCGATGTCACATCCGACGATTGTGTTCACTCGGAACCTTTGTTCTACGCCTTTTTCGACGAGAAATTGGGAAGAGATCAAATCTCTAGTGCAGTATAATCTTACCCTTCTGAACCACCGATGCACCTTCTGAGCGGGGTCTCGGCTGTTGACTGTGACGTTAGGACATCCATTCACAATGAGATCGTGCCATAAAACAAATGGCATTGGATCACAGCCCCGAGCGGGAGATCCAATTGGACAAGCGCACAACTGAAGCGATAGAATTCGTATAAAATTGATAATAACTCAAGTTATTTTGACGGGGAAGATTCCGCTTACCTGACATCCATTTCTCTCTGTTACGACGGCACAATCAAGACCAGTGCACAACATGGGAGGGCAGTTCTCCACAATCAATTTCCCCAGATCAGCAATAATCTGCCCTTGTCCTGGAAACGATCTGTTTATCTCTATTTTTTAGTGGTTGAGATTATCGAATGGTTCAGTTTGAAGACTTCATGAGCTGTTTTATTTAGACTTTGAATAGTTCCGGTTATCAGAAAACTCGTTTCTATTATTTGCCATAGAATATTGTAGTAGGTCTAGTATAATATTTTTGCTGACATTTTGGGCCTTTTCCGTATTCAGAGCCTGTTTCTTCTCGGAAAGCCTCCTTTTGAGTTTGATTAGGCGCCAGAAAAGGTAATAAACGCATAATGGTGTTGTGAATCCTCCATTTTTCTATTATTTATGATGTTCCGTGAGCGAAAACAGAGCCGTTCAGCGACGATCCATCCACTTTTCGGGTCAGCCGAAACCGGAAAGCGAAAGGGAAAACCAAACGTTTGGGAAGGAGATGGATCACCCCATGTTTGGAAAGGGCAAACGCCTCAGGGAAAATTTGTGGAAAGGACCGGTCCGAGAGAAAGAAGGGCGAGAAAACGTGAAAGGAGAAGGTCAGCAAGGTGCAACACTTTAAAACAGTTGCCGGAACATTTTTATCGCGATAGAAACAGTCATAAACAATAGAAAAGAGGTTTTGGAGTGTGGCATCCAAATTTGTCATGACCAAAATATTCAGTTTTAAGACCGATTTCACTTACTGTGCGCTCCCAATTGTGCCGAAACGAAGAGCCCGAAAAACAAGGCCAATCCCACCGATAGCAGGGGAAGTTGACAGCCCCGCATCCTAAAATACGAATTGGAAAAGGATGATTAATAAAAACGAACAGATGGAAATAGGTTTTGATGGTGGAAAACAAGGAAACGAAGAGTAGAATACCCAAGCAATCCGTCGAAGGGAACGAGCTTTACTTCCTAATTATTCTAATTACCGACAAAGCTTACAAAAATATACGAAGATATTGGATTGAAGTACGCTAGACATAATAACAAGATTGAAAAATTAAAATATTGGGTTTAAAAAGGGTTGGGAGTGGCTTTAGGCAATGGCCCGTGCTGAGGCTACTGTAATGTTGGGAGTACTGTAAAAAAGAATGAAATCTTGGGGAATAATTTTGCTAATTTTTGTGCATACTAATGGTGAATTGATTACAGTTAAAATGGACTAAAGAAAGTTACAAAAACGCCCTCGGGCAGTTTAGAATGGCGAGAAAAAACAAAAGGGAAAGGGACCTCCATCATCTCGGCGACGGAAGGCGACTTCTGACGCCGACTCTCAGACTCGCGCACTCCCCTTTTTAGCTTGCTTACAACGCCCCAAAACTCTTCCATAATGACCACGGGAGGGGAGAGAAACCACTTCCAATTCGGTTATTTTATCCAGCAGCCATTGATACGGCGGTCATTGGTCGAGTGATAGGTGCGGATGAGGGAACGGGGAGAGGTTTCTGCGAATAATGGGAGGCAACAACAACAATATATAACACGTCGAAAAATGGGGGCGAAATGAGGAAGTCTTATGTTGCAGTAGGTTAAAACATTCCAAATTTATTTACTTTTATTTTATTTCCACTGGATCAGAAATACGGTAAGTGCCCTAGATAACCGATTATTTCAATTTTCCTTTTCTCGAATCCACCATGGGAACACATCCGGGTCCACATTTCCATCAGTAGTGTTGTGAAACTGGACATAACGGGAGTAATACTTCATCAGAGAAGAAAGTGTGTAGAACTTTGGAGATCCTTTGTCGCCACAATCCACGTAGTAAACCTCAGTTGCATTCATGATACTGCGAACGACCGAGAAATGACTGAAAATTATGTCATTTGAGTCATCTTTGATGACAAAAATTAAAGAAAATCTTTCCAAAACTAAAAGGATTGAGCAGAAACTTACTAATGACGTCCATTGCTGGCCTGATACACAATGTACAAAGGCAATTTCGGCTGCAGATCACCAAGTTTTTTGACCTCTTCGAGGCGATGATAGAGATAAAAAGAAGTCCTGGCTTTGCAACGACGAGCAGCCTTGGCTTTGGAGACAACTCCGAGGTAGAAATCGGTGAAATCGAACACATCACAGAGTTGGCTCGGAGCGGATTCAACCGTTTTCGGCAAATTCAAATTCTCATATTGCGGGCTTTTGGGTGGAGAAATGAGATCATGGGGCTGCATGGAGACGTTCTCGTAGCCATAATTCTCGACAGGTTCCTTCACTGGGGTCCGAAGAGTTTGCTTCTCTTCTCTGCAGCAAATCCTTATACTTTTTGCTAACAATTTTACGAAACTTATACACGTTATCCATGACGAGGAATTAATTAAAAAAAAAAAAAAAAAAAAAAAAAATTATAAATCCCTGTTCTGACCCCGAACTCACGCCGTGTGAAGGTCGCCAACGTCTTCTTTGGCTCCGCGTCTTTGCTCTGCCTCGATTCGGCCAATCAGACAATTCCGGCCATGGCGACAACACACCAACTCAAGGGGATCGGTGGCGGCTGAGGAACTCATAGGGATCAACCAGACTCTGGGGAACTGGGCACTGCTAATGAGGTCTTTTCTCAACACTCAAGGGAAGAATGCAGCTAAAATTTGCATAAATTTGAACAAAAACCATTTTACCAAAGATACAGTACGTGTATGTACTAAAATCATTCCAAAAAAAAAAACGATTTAGTTGGGACAAGTAAATATGCGACTGCGATCCAACAAAACGGCGTAATGTTATGCTGTTCTCGACCGTTCTGCGCATCCATATTTTAAAGTCATATTTTTTGCACCGTCCGATTATGGACGGAAAATAAACAACGAGCCAAAAGTTCAGCTTGACAGCAAGTTTACTGATGATAATCCTACAAAGAAATCAAGCCACGGCCTTGTTGTATTCATCCAGGAATTTGAGATAGCGGGGATCATTGGGATCATACTTCTTGTATCTCTCCACAAAGTAGAACAAGACGACACGATGGACAAACAGGTACTGCTGAAAGCACAAAAATCGTCATCAAAACATTTCAAGACAATCTTAATCTAAAATATGGACTTACAACATCATTCTGGATAGAGTAGGGGGCGATGGTCACGGAGCTCCTTGAAAATAACAGGCATGTCCTCACACGGCTGACCATTCTGGAATCTCTCCATGATGAAGGAGATGGCCACGATGGATCCAGTTCGGCCAATTCCGGCGGAACAGTGGACAATGATCGGTTTCTTGGTGCCACGGACCGAAGAGAGCAGGTCGAAGATGGTGTGTCCCACCGTGGGGACTCCACGATCCGGCCAATCCATCCATTGGTAATGGCGAACCTGAAGGATAACATAAATCAAATCTTCGCCTACTTCTCTCTGGGACTTCTTTCCTTCCAAGGTATATGTTAACTTGAGGATTGTTCTCATAACGGTCTTGTCACTTCCTCCCAAAGGAGTGACCCCGAGATTCGTAACCACAATTCCCTCAAAAGTCGCACTCTCGCCTTCCTTCAGTGGCCAATACTGGGCGCACTTGTCCATTCCCTTTTCCTTCACATTGCACAGCATGATGATGCTCTCCGATTGCTCCAGAATGGTCATTCGCCAGAAGTCGGCGATTGTGTTGTCAAGGGGACCCTGCAGAGCAAACGATAACACCAGACGCAATGTTACTGCCCATAGATGACTCAGGCAAAGATGGGTATATAGATCTAAGCCTCCCACCAAACGTTTTATCTTATAGTACCCACCTGAGTGCAGATGTATCTTTTGTCAGAGACGGGAGTGGGCATGTAGTTGGCATGGATGTAGTCATGGCTGACTCCAGGCCATTTCACAATCACACGCGCCTTCTCTTGGCAAGGAACATCTTTGTAGCGATTCCGGCCAGCTTCCCAATGAATTTGAAACGCCGTCACATTCATGTCCGGGGGACAATAACGCTTCATCTCCATAAATTCTTCACGCAGACCGTTCACGCCTTTTTCCAAGGTCCGATTGAACCAGCGATCAACCTGAAACAATATATTGAGTTATGACAACCTATCATATCTAGCATGAACAACATACATAAAGACTTCCATCGGAAGCGCAAGGAGCTACAGCTTGACGAGCACCTTGCTTTTCTATGTTGACTGACCGGGTTTTTGACTCCTGGTTCCTCCTTCTGAAATAACGATGGATGATCATCATAGACAACGTCAAGGGGCAACAAAATGAAAAACTTACTTCGGCTTGTTGGCCATGATAAAGGATCACCACGCTCTGGACTCGATTGAATGTAGAATGAGCCAATCCCATTCAAATCCTATGGCGAAAATTTGAATAAAATTCCACATGAAGCACAATGCACATACATTGCACATTTTTTCTTTCTCAACATCTTCAACTTTCCCAACCAATTATCCAATAAGTGCCAAGCATCCAACAAGTCAAGGTTATCAAATTTTATTTGAAAAGTTGCTTTGAATTTTTTTACAATTATAATATAACTATTTACAATGCAGAAATCTCAGACGCTCTTTTCTATACAAGTGTAATGCCCGCTTTGGAAAGATGATAAAAAACAATGTGAGAAAATTAAGTTTGCTATCTAAGAATTATGTGCTGATATTTGATTACTCGGTTACCGTCGACCATGACTAATCCGTATTTCAAATGGCTAAATTGAGGGTAATTGGCGGGAGTCGTTTGTGTAGTATAAGATGAAGGCCTTTTCCGTCTGAAAAAACCAATTTCATAACCAATCCGTCGATATTTAAACGTTTTATCTTTATGCCTACCTTAATGTTGTACTCGCTGACTTCTGAGCAATAATCATCGTCGAACGAAACCCAATTGTTAATACTTTGATTTTTGACGAAGGCGGTGTAATGACCCGAATTGAGAGTACCGCTGTGATTAGTGATAGCATACAATCTATATTTGCTGTTCTGTTTGGAGGCCTTTTCGTGTAAATATGGGGACAAATCGAGGTTTTGGATGTCGAAGTCGACTGCGATTGTGTTCTTCTCGAAAGATCCGTCCGGGTTCTGTCTGAATCTCTTAAGGAGGATGACTAGAGCCGGAGGGAGGGTCCAGATTTTTTGTTGAAGACGGGCCCTTTGTTTTCTTGAGCATTTCGGGCAATTCCATGCACTCGAGCCGTCCAAAATCTGTAAAAAACATCATCAATACCTTAATCAGCCCTAACATGCACCACAAATTCAATCCCAACTCTATGAAATCTCTTACCGAATCCCTGAAATGACTCCGAAGACATTCCGAAAGGTTACAAGAAGATCCCATCGGCAACTCCAACATGACCTGTGTGGACTCCGCAAAGGTCAAACTTCCTGTTCCGCATTGTCCACAGTTTAGTTGACTAGCGATGGTTAGCTGAAATACTTTCATTAACCACCTTATTCATCAAATTTTTATACATCAGACTTGGTCTTACATTAAAAATATCCATGATCGGGGAATCCCTGAAGCGTCTTCCATTCTTCAGATAATGTTCCCAATCTCTCCGACAGTCCAGCCCATCATAGTTCTGTTCGATCATCTTATCCAAAAGGACTCTTACTGTATCTTCGTGTAATGCGTCCAACAGAAAGATAAGGAATTCTTGTGCATCATGCTGCCGGCCATCGCATAGATCACGACAAATGTTCCCAAAAACCTCCTAAAAGGGTAACATAAACACCTTTCCACAGCGTTCTGTACTTTTTTGGAATGATTCCGACACCGATTTTTTCGAATTTTTCTAAAATAGCCCGCATTTACGCAGGTGTCGCGAGGGAATACTGTAAGATTGACAACTTACGTAAATTAATATGGAAAAAGAAATTTGTAATCAACGCTGAAAAATGACCGACTTTGGATTTTCGGCGCTAAAGATTGCCCTTAGGCAGATCTTTTAGAAGAAGTGGATGGTACCACCTTATGCAGAATTTAATTCTCTACAACATATCCAAAAATTACGAAATTTTACTGCTTTTCCGTCGAATTATGCCTCAAAAATGCAATTTTTGCACTAGTTTTACCAATATTTTAAAAATATTTGCACTTTAAGGGCATTATTACAAAAACAGAGTCGTACATATTGAAGCTTGCATGCTAACTGACCGTACTGTTTAATTTTACCCTGTCATGTTTCTCCATCTTCAAGAACACCGGAGCTAAAGTTTGGTGTTTGGACCCAGCATAAAAATGCCCTAAGGGCGAATTTCAAAAATGCGATAGTGCCACTGAACATAGAATTTTTTGTACTACAGGTATGCCGAATTTGACGAAAAAATCAACGTTGGGAGTTTCCGGAATAGTTTGAAACATCGGTGGCCTCATGAACACATTTACGCGTTCATGATGTTGCATGGATTTCTTGGAGCAGTGACAGAAGAAGGAAATGAATCGTTGCCTTTTGAGCATGGCTGTTTGAACGCTTATTTTACGTCCAGTGGCACTATGGCATCTTTGAAATTCGCCCTTAGGGCATTTTTATGCTGGGTCCAAGCACCAAACTTTAGCTCCGTTGTTCTTGAAGATGGAGAAACATGACAGGGTAAAATTAAACAGTACGGTCAGTTAGCATGCAAGCTTCAATATGTACGACTCTGTTTTTGTAATTATGCCCTTAAAGTGCAAATATTTTAAAAACATTGGTAAAACTAGTGCAAAAATTGCATTTTTGAGGCATAATTCGACGGAAAAGCAGTAAAATTTCGTAATTTTTGGATATGTTGTAGAGAATTAAATTCTGCATAAGGTGTTACCATCCACTTCTTCTAAAAGATCTGCCTAAGGGCAATCTTTAGCGCCGAAAATCCAAGGTCGGTCATTTTTCAGCGTTGATTACAAATTTCTTTTTCCATATTAATTTACGTAAGTTGTATCGTTGGAAAGATCTTTATTTACTCTACAAGCACTGCAAATTTTGCACGTCAATCTTACAGTATTCCCTCGCGACACCTGCGTAAATGCGGGCTATTTTAGAAAAATTCGAAAAAATCGGTGTCGGAATCATTCCAAAAAAGTACAGAACGCTGTGCTTTCCTCTAAACGACCCTAATCCAACTATAATTAAAAAAATAAAACTTACAATGAATCTCATTGTTCTAAATGCCTTGAATTTGCCGGACCAGACAACCTCCATCAACGCCGAGAAGCAAGCAGCCATAACTCCACTAGTTCCTCTTGTATTGGCTCTAAAATTTTATAATAAGGCAATTAAACCTATCAACTTACACATTAACATGATTCAAAAACCGATCTCTCGAAAAGTAATATCTCATGTTGGGAGTGTTGAATAATGCCTGGAGGGTTGCATTCATAAAGCAAGTGTTTCCAAGATTGAACAGACCAGTGCATCCCGGGGGGACATTACCCATCACATTCCTGGGATCATTTCTGATATCATCGATCGTGATTTCAAATACTCTCCGAAGAGTTTGTTTCTGTTGTCTAAATAATAAATAAATGAAAAAAAAGAAGATACTTACTCAACTTCAGGTGATAGTTTTTTTGTAGATCGATCTGGAGTGGGCGGTCGCGTTCTCTGGGATGGACGGGGATGGACACTAAAAAACGGTCATCGAACTAAAATAACTTACATTGTTCTTGGCTGTGGCTGAGGAGGATCTATTCTCGTACCTCCGAGAGTCGGAATCTGAGGGACATTGGCGTTATACTTGATGTCCACTCCATTTTCCAGCTTCTCCTCCGTAAAACTCTTGGGTTGTTCGAATGGTTCAACTGGGAATTCGGTTATATCTTTCTTGTTCTCAATCAGCGGTTTCTTCGTTCTGTCCACCAATGGCCGAGGTCGTTGATTCAATGGGCGATCAAGCTCTCCAATCGATGGGGCACTCGGCTTCTCATTCAAACTGATATTACTATTACTCGCCCTTATCGATGTTTCGTTTCTACCAAAATCAGATATCTTTTCATTGGAATACGACGGTTTTGGCCCTTCCACTTTGACAGGGACATCTCGAGTAATCGCATTTCTGCTGGGCGACCTTCTTGTCGGACTTGGACGCCGTTCTCTGACACTAAGTTCATTGAATCGATCAATCGTCGGCTTCTTCAATTCCTCTTCGCTTATGGGGAATGGAGCTGGCTTCGGTCTGTCGAAGATGTCGGGATAAACAATCTCCCGAACAGATATCCCGGCTCTGGCTTTGGCCACCAACGCCGAGAAATCGTCCATATCTGAGAGTTCGCTGAGTAGACGTTGTTGTCGTGCTGCTGTCTTCTCCACATAAATTGGATAGGCTCTTTGGAATGCTGGGAATCCTCCTTGCAGAAGCAAGGGTTTTCTTTTCAGCTTCCCTTTCATCAACGCATCTCTTAGGGCTTTGCATTTACTTCGCTCACTGAATGGAGAAGCCGCACGATCTGCCAGTTCGTCTCCCATTAATACAACGAGCCCAAAGTTCGAAATAATACCAAATTTATACCTGCTGGTGATATCAAGATACATGGAGATGTGATCGTATGTTATCCTAAAAGAACACAGTTTCATCTAGTCCGAGTTGCATCATAACGTATCTAAGAACGGAATAACAAATTAAATTAAAATTACCCGGGAGCGATCAAACCCTCTTCGATATTCATGGTCTGGATCATGTTCGTGTCCACATATTCGATTGAAGGTGAATGGTTTTGACGAAAATCAATAATTAACACTTGTTTTTGAGAAGATTCAACATATTTCACGAGTTGAAATGGAGTAATAAAGTCGCCAAACTCTTCTGAATTAACTTCTTCTTCAAAAGTTCTTGTTTTATTCGCAATCAAGGGGAGTGGTGATGGTCTTCGATGTCTAACTTGTTGATAAGCCTGAGCAAGGACATCTTGTAGATTCTCAAGTTCAGTTAGTGCCTTTTCGTAAAGTTTAAATACTCGTTCCCTCAACTAAATTCAAAATGGGTATAGTGTAATAGAAAAAAGATAACATAGGTAAAAACACTTAAAAAATCGACTTACCGGCTTATCCGCGTCGATGTCAGGTCGCTGTCGGATCATATCGCACAATAATACTGCCCTATATAACAATATATACCTCTTTTCTTGATCTTCCTTCTCCAACAAGGCGGTCTCGACTATCATTTCAAGTTTTTTGCATACATGCATTGTCCTAAAAATTAAATAGACAATTTGATTGGACCTACTTTAGCTTTTTGAAAAGGACTTTAAGTCTTTCATCGGGAGTTCCATGTTTTCTGAGATCGTCCAACCCGCCGAATTTAGTTTGTACATCCAATGTGACCATTGTTAAGCAAAGGATCAACGAACCATATGTTAATAGAAATTACTCGAGTTTCAAAACTAAAAGCAGTCATAAAAACACCAATGTATTGTATTTTTATAACTAAAAGTACACGAAAGAATACAAAATCAATACATAAAGTCAAATATTACAAAAAAACTTCTGTAGATTCCTGAAGATTTGCGGAATGACTAAGCTAACGTTGAGTGAAACAATAAACTTGACAATGAAAACAAACCCCTCGAGGCTGCTGCTTCAATAACAAGAAATCGAGAGAAAAGACGGAGGAAAACTTGACCCGTCTCCTCTTTCGGGTTAAGTCTTTCTCTCTATTCCGAATGCCATTTCGGAATTCGGCGAATGGTCGGAAAGTTTGGAAGATCTCGCGCGTTGTTCCTGGTTAGATCACGTTTAGATCGTGGATCCGCAGAAGTTTAATTTTTATAAGCAATTGACGATGATGACTGTATTTCCAGCGTTCGTTTGTATAAATACACGAGGAGAAAATGGGAAATTTTGAAATGGGGAGGTCGAGAGATCGGAAGGGGGAAGTTCGAAGGATGAGCAAGAGTTTGAAAAGCTTATAAAAATATTTAGACAAACATTGTCGATTCGCTGTTCTTTTCTTTATATGACAAGAAAATGAGGTCACATCCTGTTTTTTCTTCTTTGTGAGGAAAAGACCAATTGACTTCAGACCTTCAGAAGAGCTCGCTAAAACAAAAACTTATTCCAGAAGCTGTGTCTGTGAAAGTTTATTCATTTTATGACTTTACATTATTCTACTTCTATATGTCCACTAATAATATTAGATCTATTCTCCAAATATCTGCATATGTACAGCACCGGCCATGAGCATGTGGGGGCTAGCAGTTGGTGTAGTATAATATGTATGCTTTGTTTGTCTGAAAAACGTATAGATTACTTCCGTCGAAGAAGAAATAACATCTTCAGGACCAATATTGTCCATAATAATTCAATTTTTTACCTGTATTTCGCTTATTTCGGCCTCTTTACAATGTTCGTCATCAAATTTGAGCCATGTATTTAGCGGTCGATTATGGATAAATGCAGTGTAATGTCCCGAGTCCAGGGTCCCGTCATGATTCGTAACAGCGTATAATCGATATTCCGCGTTCTGTTTTTGAGCGTCTGGATGGAGGAACTGGGAGAGATCAAGGGTGTTCAGGTCGAAGTTCACATCGATGGCCTTCTTCTCGAATCTTCCTTCCTGATTCATCGCAAATCTCTTCAGATTTATGATTATGACCGGAGGCAATGACCACAGTTTCGAAGATCTTTTCGCTCGGCGAGGTTGATTGCAGGTCGGGCAATTCCAGGGGTTATTTCCTTCCAAGAACTGGAACAAAAATGATCACGACCTTCATCATCTGCACAAAAATTGCTTACCGTATCCTTAAAATGTTCTTCCAAACATCCATTGATATGACATTCAGAGCCTGATGGTAGTTCGAGCATGATTTGATTGAGCTCTTCGAACTTTAGACTGGATGTGAAACATTGGGTACATTGTAATTGGGACGCTGTCACCATCTAAAAAAGTAGGGTTTAAACAGGATCGAAACTTATTGATAAAACCAATCAGACCCCACTTACATAAAATATATCCCGTATCGGAGAGTTTGAGTTCTGTTTGGCTTTCTTTTCGTAGTCCCTCCAACTTTTGGGTATATCAACTCCATTATAATTCTGATCAATTTGTTTTTCATGCGGCACCATATTCGTATCCTCATGAATTGCTCCCAACAATAAGGTCAGAAACTCTTGAGCGTCGTGTTGTTGTCTATCCGTCAGTGTTGGACACACCCGGGCGAAGCATTGCTATAAATGGAAAGAACATCATCAAGTGTAATTAAAACCTACAAAGAAACACTCTGGTCGGATAAAGGCAAATCGCCCACTCCAAATGTGATCCATCAACGCTGAGAATACGGCCGTCATAATTCCTTTGTTTTCACTGCCCGTACTAAAACCAAAAATAGGTAATAAAATTAATCACAACTCACCCATTTATATGGTCTAAGAATTTACTCCTCGAAAAGAATTTTTGGAGTTTGGGGGTATTGAAGAGTGCTTGTAAGGTTGCATTCATAAAGCAGGTGTTCCCCATATTCTGAAGGCCTGTGCATCCTGGAGGGACATTGCTTTCCGGGGTATTGGTATCGATTGTTTCGTAAGCCCAATCAGCGATCTTTTTCAGATTTTCAAGGAGTCTAAAATCGATCAAGTAAAATTACCTTGGGCTTAAAATTAGTCACATATCTAAAGCTAACTTACACTGGGTCTTGAATTTTTTGTTTGGTTGATCGGTCTGGAGTCGGTGGTCGAAATTGGCCCGGTCTTTGGGCTGATATTCTAAAGCATCAAATGTACTCTCAAAAGCATATAAAAACGAACAACACGTCTGTAAAAACTTCACATAACACCTCCACTTACGACTGATGTGGTTGAATGCATGAGGTATCGACCCTAGCCCCGCCTAGAATATGAATGTTGTGGGTTGGACGAGGCATACCCTGTTCTGGTATTTTTTTGTCGAATCCGTAGTTTGAAGATCGTTGGTCCGCCTGGTATCCCTTTGGTCGACTAACTGGAGAGAGATCTGAATGATTTCCATGGATGTTATTATAGGCCGGAGGTTGAAGGGGAGCTCGAGGACCTTCGATCCGGATAGGGACATTGCGAACAACTGGTGATCGATTTTGCATGTCCGGAGTCATCGGATAATCCACAAGTCTGGGATATTCCACTTTTCGGATGAGTTCTAAACATACAATCCAATAATAAAAAATAAAAACATACGCTTCCTTGCACTCTCCACTTGAGCCATGAAATCGTCCATACTTCCAAAGTCGTGGTAATGATCCCTTCGGCCTGATCTTTCAACATAAACAGGATAACACCTCTCCCATGCTTGGAATCCACCTTGAAGCAAAAGCGGACGCATTCTCAACTTGGCTACGGTGTTATAAACAGTTAATGCATCAAGCAGTAGTTTGCATTTACTGTTCGGACTAAATGGAGTGCATTCGGGATCTGATAATTCATCTCCCATGAGCACAACCAGTCCATAATTGGAGATACTATTCAATGTGTGTCGATGTTGAAGCCTTAGATGATGGAAAAGATGAGAGAAGATCAATCTGAAATTATAGGTAATATCAATTGAAAGATCCTTCAAGAAAAGTTAAGTAATATAAAATAAGCCAAAACCTACCCTTGGACAATCAATTCACTATCCAACGGCAATACTTTTATGAGATTATGATCTTCATATTCAATATTTGGGAAATGATCACGTCTAAAGTCTATAACCAACACAACTTTCCGGCATTCCTCTACGAATCGGACCAATTGAAATGGGGTTATGTAATTCCCAAACTCCTCTTGCGCAATTTCGTCTTCAAAAGTAGGCTTCCTTTCGACAATCACTGGCTGTACTTCCCGGACATGAACTTGTGGTCTCTGTTTCAACTCTCTCGTTAGTCTTTCGAGGGCTTCGATTGAATCTCTCAAGATTTCAGTGGTTCGAATATTTGCCTAAACGCGGTTTAATAAGAAAGGAGAGACCAAAACTTGCCACTCCGTCAAATTGGATGTCTTCTCTTCTCTTCACTACCTCACATAAATTTATAGCTTTGTAAAATAATATATATTGCTCCTCCAAGACTGTCGTCTGAAGCAAAGCCGTCTGATAAACCATCTCCAGTCGTTTAACGGCCGCAGCCAGACTAAAACCTGCATAAAAATCGATAGAAACTTACTCCATCTTCCTAAATCGAGATTTGGTTTCATCCGAAGGGGTCCCACGATCCCGAAGTTCCGTCAAACTTTGATATTGCCGAGAAAAATCCATCATGACCATCCTCGGTCACTCACCGAATTGCGAGTGGACTTTCGACGGAGTCAATCAACCCCTTTTATTTTCTGATTCTATAAAAAAACAGATCGATTTCTACTTCGAAGGCACGGAAATCACGGAAATAATCGATAGGAACAAGAACGTGTTGAATCAGATGTTCCGCGGACAATAAATAAGGTCAGTTCAAGAAGAACAACACAAAACCGGGACGTTTTCGGATCAAAAGTCGAGAGTGGAATAAAAGAGAAAAGAGATGACGCACCTTTTCGTAAAGTGTCATGTGTTTCCCACTTTGCGAAACTAATCTGGATTTTCTTCGGAAGGAGAATTCTCAACCGACAGTCATAATTTACGGAGACAGCCAAAGAGAGAGATAATAAAGTCCTGTAGTAATATCGATATTGCTAAGGAGATAATTGGGGAACGAAAAGAGAAAACAAAACAGTTTGTTTGTTGGTATTTGCAAAGAGTCGATGTGCCCTGAATTCGTCTTGCTTAGGTTTCGTACCTTTGGATCAATTTTTGTAAATGTAATTTCCTAAAGAGGTCGGTCGAATTGTTTTTGTAATTGTCTACTGGAATGTCTTCATTATCCGTACATGATCTGCGGTTCAAAAAGCTCGAGGACTTGGAAAAAGCGGCGAAGGTGACCAAGCTGTCAACAATACGCTTTTTGAATCAAAAAAGGTAACTCTTGATATCAGATATTGCTTTATTCTTGATTTCTAGTCATGTAAATGCTTTGTTTCTCCGAATTCTACGAGTCTTCAACTATGGGATACAATCTGAGGACCCTGAGAGTTGTTTCATACTGTTGTCACGTGTGCAAGAGCTGATTAGGATATTTTTGAAAGATAGGAAATGGGCGGATCTAAAGTCAAGAGTAAGTTTAATATAGGCTTGTGTAATAATTGCCTCTTTCTTACATTCCTATCATAGGTTTCCTTTCCAGAACCAGTATGGTTTGAAATTGGAGGCGTATGCAAATGAATCCGAGGAAGTTGTGAGATCGCTCAAGTATAAATTGAGGAATGTTTACTCCCCCAGATCAATGCACCGTTTTCTCCGTTGGATAAAATGGTCAGATCTGTTGGAAATGAGAACCGGGAAGAACCTCCTGATTGATTTTAGTTACGATAATCGATCGTCTTGCGCAAGATTTACGAGGGTTTACATTAAGCCGTCTTTTATTACTAGAAAGTAAAGTAATTTCATTTTTTGATCTTTTATTTTAATATCTTGATGGTTCTATCGCTATAATATGTTGCAGTGTGCAGTTCTACGCCTTACTAATGCATCTTCCGCCCGAGGCGCGCAACATCCTACTGAATATTACTGATTTTGATCGCGTTATACTAACTTCGGACAAGAATTCTCCGAACTTTGAATATATCTATGATGCAATCGAGATGGAGAACTGCAGATTCAGACCTCGGCAACCTCCAGTCTTGGTTATAAAGGGTTCGGACACCCATGCGATGATCTGTTGTCGTCAGGTCTGTCTTTTGTCATCTACTCTTTAGCCTTACATCAATATCCAAGCAATTTATTATTCCACTTCCTATGAATTGTGTTCTTCTTGGTCGGGAAGTTGTATCTTTGCGCGTGAGATTTATGAATTGCTTCGAAAGGACTTTACTTTGGGATTAATTTTAGATGAGAATCGGGATTTTGACAGTGAGCGACACTTGCTCAGAAAATCCAGAGAAGGACAAAAGCGGGCCAATCTTATTAGAGAATCTACAGACATCCATAATTTTGAAGAATCCGGTGTTTTCCACCGCGATTGTAGCGGATGACAAGGATAAGATAAAGAAGCAGTTGATGTAAGATATATCTGACTACTTTATATTTTGTATTACAGTTTGTGGGCCAAGGATCATCATGTGATTATAACGACGGGTGGAACCGGCTTCGCACCACGTGATGTGACTCCGGAAGCGACCAGAGAAGTGATTCAGAAGCCGTGTCCCGGGATTGTGGTGGCTCTTATCCAAGAAGGTCTAAAATTTACTCCCATGGCGGCGTTGAGTCGACCCGAGGCCGGTAAGAATTTAGCCCCGAGGGTTTGGGTTTCAAGTTCCGGGAGAGGCGGACATTAAATGTCCGTATGATCTCTCTTTATGGGATCCACAGCATCCGGTTTCCGGCATTTTATGCAAATATTTTAGAAACCCTGTGAACCATATTGACTTGGGGAAGATTAAACAAAGGAAACGAATTAGAGAAAGACTTTTGACTTTTGGGTCCGGTATTTTCAAGATTTCATATGACTTTATCATTGGGTTTTTAAATTTGTTTTCGTGTTCCGGATTTCACTTATTTTTATGCAAAACCCCTTAGGCGGTTACCGTACCCCTCCTATTATAATGATCGAAACCTTTTTTTGCCTAGCCAACGTGACTTCCGACCCTTCTCGAATATCTTATTTTCAGGAATTTGTGGCCAATGCCTGATAGTCAACCTCCCTGGAAGTCCCAAGGCCTGCCAACAAAGTTTGCCCGTCCTGGAGCCCCTCCTCAACCACGCCGTCCAACTCCTTCGACCTGAAATCTCGGCCGATTCCTCGCATCCCAACTGAAGTCAGGTTTCGGTTTTTTGTTTGAGATGCCCTCGGGCGGTCTCCAGAATCGCGTCGAAAAGTTTGAAAGTGAATAAAAGACTTCTCGAGGACACTTCGAGTATGGCCCCACTTACGGATGTGCTATTTAAACATCTCTAGTGCGTTGCGTGACCCAAAAACAAGGCCGTTTCGTCTCTGATCTCCACTTTTTTTGATGCCGTCGCGTCTAGATTTTGTCGTCTTTTTTGGGACATTTTTTGAGTCATTTTTGGGCTTTCGGGTCAAACAGAATGTAATGTGACAGCTGATCCATAACCCTAATCATTAGTCTCTCGGATGAATGAATTATTTTAATGTTATGCTTTAAAAAATGTGATGGTATTGACAATTGAAGGTGTAATGTTTGCTGAGCACACATTCTGAGGTGATATAATCCCTGGAATGTCCTATTATGGCCATAAATATTATACTTGTGTTGTTTTTCTTGTTTTAATTAGCCTTTTGACCTTTGATGAACTAAAATAATATTATTATGAAAACGAAAAGTTGAGTCAGGCCCGCGGAACGTGATGGTATCTGCAGGATCTTCTCTCCCCGCACTCCAAAAACAAAAAACCTACACACATCTGAGGATTCGTGTACACCGCGCCGATCCCGCAGGGATTTTCCTGGCCCCAAACTCGACGGCGAAAAGTTTCTGACGCGCCGCGTTACATACCAATATGTATCTTTCCATATCCGATTGTACAATGCACTTTCGGAGGCACGGTGATGCCATAATGGTGAGGTTTTAATTGGGTTAGGGCAGATGAATGCGGCGTTTACTAGGAAGTATTCAGCCCATTTGTTCCTCAATTAGTCTCCAAGTAACGTATTTTTGAATGATGGAGATTATTTTATGTAGAATTTTCATTCTGGCACTCCAGCACGAATATTGGGGAGTTATGGCAAATTTAAAACATCTTGACTAAGTAAGGGTTTAATATTTGATTAGCGTTAGAGTAAGCATCAATATTTCGATTCTAATGTTGTCTAAAATAATGTCATTACACTTCACTTTATCCAAAATTTCCCTCCTTACCCTAGAGTTTTTGCGCAATACCTTTATTGAATCACATCATCGAACTTATTCGTCAGCAATTTGTATTCCGAATTATCTCTCGAGAACGGGGTTTGGGCCCCAGTATTTATCCCAAATCAGAGGTTAGCCCGGCAAAGATAGATGATGGCCATAAAGAGGGTGTAATAAAAGTGATTTATGAATAGGTAAGGGCTTCCGAGAGACCTCGTAAAGACGGGTTTACTGGCCAGTAATATTGTAGGAAAGGGCATACGATTATTCGGGGTTGAAGGTGAATGGTTTTGAAGGATTTGAGGGGCCGAATACTCTCCGAATGTAGGATCTCACGTGGTGATTCCAGTGCCCTTTTTATGTCGCAGTTATTTTCCCAGGAGTAAAATTAGCTACGGAATTTCCACAAATATTACGCAATCTAGGAAAAACTAACTGCGAAATGTTGTTATGGGGCTGTAATGAGGGCGTCTGATGATTATTTTAGACGGAAGACATTGCCATTTTTAGTGCACTATGCTAATAATAAAGTTTCGTAAAGATTGACGACTAAACAGATAAAGGTATCGTGGGGAAGCTAGCAACTTCGCAGATACCTTTCCAGATCCTTTTTTTCAATCCCCGCATGCCTGAGGCGTTCCGTGGATTGGTCGGGGGACCAGGCGTCATTGGCCCCGAAAGACCGCCTCTCCTTTGCTTCGGGCTTCGGGGGTCCGTCTGACCATCGGAATCCTCCAATTTTGGGCCGAATCCAAGGCCCGCAGCTCTGCGGCCGCTCCTGCCCCCGAAGGCTCAGCAGGGCGTCGCCGAACTCCCCACCACCGAGATCGATTCCAATTTCGGCGCCGTTGGCCTTTTGTCATCCGGGCCCACACCCGGAATTTCATTTGGGGGAAATCAGAGTTGCGGCCGAATGAAAATATATTATTTTTATTGTCATCATCCGGCCGCCCCGCACGTTAATTGGCCGTTTTTTTTGTGGGTTGTTGATGCTGGTGAAGGACTATTTTGTTTATAAAATCGAATCATAAATTTTTTTTTGAGTATTTATAAGATCTGGACAATCGACGTATAAGAAGAGACGATGATTTTTATTATACCTTTGATTTTACCGAGATTTACTTGACAAGCTAATTATCATCCCATGGCTTAATTTCTTCCTATTCTAGGTCCATGGGTCGATGAACTCGTTCATCCGGGGCCGTCGGACCGTCCTCATTTTTACAAGACGCCTCTTTTTATTCCAATTTTTACTTTTTCTCTGCGCTCTCCTTCTGACCGCCTTGGCCGAGGATATCTCTCCCAGCACAATCCCAGCCCTGCCAACCACTACTCCAAATTCATCGAGTCAACCAATCGCTCATACACATCGACCAAAACGACGACGAAAAGTGGTTTGGTTGGTGGATGAGGATGAAGAAGAAGATGAGATTGAAGAAGAAGTATTGTCTAGAAGAAGAAGATATCCGTCTGATGGGAAGAGTGAGGGCTACCGAGCTAGCAGACGGAAGGAAGTCCCGGTTAATTACCGACTTCACGATGATTTGTTGCGCAATTACAATAAGGGGGCAAGGCCGGTCAAACATCCCAGCGAGATCGTCAACGTTTCCATGTCCGCGTTTCTGTATCAGATCTTCAAATTGGTAGGTTTTAAGCTTCATTTTCTACCCTTGGTTATTTTTCTGCTTTATGTATATGTAAAGCATCAGTTTCTTTCATATTTTTGAACCTTGCCGGCGATGAGAATGCCGTCTTAGGGGTGAGAAACCCAAATTCCCAGGTAATTTGAAGGGAAAGCAGATCGAATCTTATTTTTATGCCCTCCGGGTTACCATAGTAAACCCATTCGCTTTACTTTTTGCAATTCTTTGGCAATTTTTATTAGTAAAAAAACTAAAAATAAATAAGGGCAAGTAAAAATTAGTACTAATAACAACAAACCCGTGGTAAAAAGCATTAGCCAACATTTACATTGACTCTCAGATTTTTTGAGGAATTTTAGATGCTTTGGGCACGTAGTAACAGTCTCAACATCTCATTAATACTCATCTCTCCCCATCTTTGATCCCTCATAAGACGAAGGTTGCGTAATAATGATGAAAGATACTTTCAGGACGCTGTAAAGAACACAATCAGCTTGTCGGGCAGTTTTGAACTGGTGAGTATACTCCTTCAAGAATCATAGCTTTTCTTCTTTTCATAAATTTCCATGTTTCTTTTTACTTTTTTTGCAAATTCACTCAACTTTTTCAAACGTATTTTATATTTTTTCACCCTTTCGTTTCCCTCCAGAATCCTGCAGATTTATTCGAAACCCTTGGGGGATTCAAAGTCCAAATTTTGGAACAAGAAGAGTCGAGGAATTTTTTGTCTTTTTTATGAATTGCGACTTCTTATTATACTTTAGGGCCCAATTCATTTGCATTTAGTCTCGAAGGCCGAGATCGTTGTCCACGACGCGTCGGAAGTCGCGGAGATAGTCGAAAGTCTTTCTGAATCTCTTAACGAAGGTCCGGAGCTGACCTCGCGAGTCCTGCATTACAACCATTTCATCGAGGGTATCCGGTTGGCGTTGAATGAAACGACGGCGCGCCTGCAAAGGAATGGATTAAATTGTAATGGATAGTATAAAATACGGGATCCTTGGGAAGGATTCACAGCCAGGGAAGAGTGCATAACTTTAAGTGAAGTCGTTCTTTACAATTCGCTCTCCAAATCCCCGGAATTGACGTTTGTTTTCCCACAACTCCCTCATGTTTACATCCCTTCCTTCCGAGATCTCAGAGATCCCTCGGCCTTCCCCCTAGACCTTTCTAATTGGCCCTCTATGCATAATTTCTTCCTCCTACAGCAGACATTGCTTTTCGCTCTCTTCAAAAGTGGGCATTTATCTTCCTTTCTAATATTTTACAGCCTGTAACTTCTCGATTAGCTCAATCAGACACTCACAGTGACAAATCCTGGATCGCTGAGGTCCAAGGTGACCTTGTGAGTGACATGCAGCACAAGTTGGAAGGGGACCAAGATTCCCTCTTCAATTGTGGCCACTCCCGTGTTCGAAGTCATCTCTATGGCCACTTGATCCCGTTGTTGTTGCCGTTCCTGTCGTGTTTTCTGAAAGCCCGTGTCTTCCTTGGCCGGCTTCATGGTCACGAATCCCAATTCATTGTGCTCTTCGATTCCGGAACGGGCCCGGACGCTGCAAAAGTTTTTATTTTTCGCAGTATTATAGACTGACAAAGAGGTTGGATTCGGGTTCTATCGCAGACGACGTTAGTTGTATCATGACCTTAGGGAATTTACGGAAATTTTAAGTTAAATCGGAGAAATTTTTGTTTATTTTGTTTTATATCTTTTGATGACAAAGTTGTGCAAACAATGTCTGGAAGGTAATCTTGGTTCACGTAATATAAAACATCCTCTCGATCAAGTGCACAGTTTGGTCGAGTGTTTTTCGCGGCAACTTTTTTTGCAGTTTCAAATGCCATTTTAGGCCGCTGAAGTGGCCGGACATGTCCTTGAAAAGTGATGATTTATGCTCGGCCCATTAGAATCCCGGGCCTCCGAGTTTTATGACATCCGCCGCGGAATTAGGCAAAAACACGAGGGGAAACAAGGTAGACATTAGGGAGTCAAAGGCCATTAACTGCTCGTTAAAATAATGGTTTCGAGGTTAAGGGAGCACGCTCGGAAGGAGCTGGACTAAAGTTATGGTGAGCTTTTAAACACAAAAGCCAAATTAGGCCCCGTTATTAGTCAACAAGGAGCTACAGACCAGATAAGTGATCTTTCCCACCTGATATTCAAAGTCGGGCGATCGAACATGTTGACTTCATTCAGCTGAACCTCCAAGATCTCATGGTAGCCTTGAGAAGCGACCATGGGAGTGGGGAATCTAAGATTATTGCTGACTTTGGTCTCCCACCGACCAACCAGCCACGCCAGAGGTTCTAGACCGACTGGAAGGGCTTTGGCCAACACTAAATCAAGTAGGACTTGCATTAGATCTCATCAAAATAAAAAATGAAACAAAATAATTATTTACCGGTCCCATCATTCCCGCAGACACTGCAAGATTTGGCGCAGTTATCCTCAAAAAAAGGGAGAATAAAGCGTCCCCATTCACACCGACCTTCTTCTTTCCATCTACCACATGATCGATAAACATCTTGACAAGGTCCTGAAACAACGGCAGGATAACAATTCGATGTACTCTTGCAATTATAAGATCAGAAGGCTCACTTTGACATCGGATTCCCATCCGACCATGACCACATCTACATCTATTTCCAGTAATTAGGGTCAGACACCTTCCAGGTGGGGGGCCACAAGTGTTTGGGACATTCGGATCACAATTATGCAGAACTAAATAGCAGTCTGTAGTAGAGTCGCTACGAAAGGAGATTCTGAACATTAGATCTGTTATTCTTATGATATCTTATATTATTTCGGTTCAGTTCATCTCCAATTATTATATTATCTAGATTCTTATTTTTTTCCTTAGCTTTCGCTCTTCTCTGTGTTTTGTACAGTCATGACGCAGTTGATGAACATGAATGTCATGAACAATGGGGATCTCTGCCATGATGTCAGAGAGACAAACTTTTCCCCCGAGAGCGTGGAAAACGTTGGAGATGCAAAAGTCTTGGGGGGCGAGGAAAGTCTGGGGAAATATTATACGTATTATATATGGCCCGGACTTTCGATTGGGGACAAGGGTGATTTAATTACCACACAAAAAATCGAGCATTCCAGTGAGATCAAAGAAAAAGAATCGTTACGATTTTTGGAGTAAAGTGATAGTAAACAACAATATTTCAGAAAGTAATCAAGCTCTTTTTCTCAAATAAATTGACTTTAAAACCACATAGCTAACATCTAGTCCACCTACCCACTCGATCTTGTCCAAGACAAGTCTCAACTACCAACCAAATCACCAGCAAATTTCTCATGTCACAACAATAATTTTAGTGTCGTCTTCTCCAAAAAACAGTTGACTGAACACGAGTAATTTCACCTTCGCCTTCCATTATTTTCCTTTTTAGCGACGAATATAAAACTCCCATTTTTGGTTGGGAGAAATTTCTGTCCCGTTTCAGACTTTTTTCCGGTAAGGCCCACGCATTTAAACGATCCCGGTGATTTTACGACCCTTTGTTGCGCAACAAGTTCACGTAACATTTTGTGGATGTAAAGAGGAAGCAGAATTTGGGCGAGAAATTATTAATTGAGGGCGTTTAAGGCCTTCGCAATACACATTTTCTTGATCCTTAATATAAAATAAGATAGTCACTGTATTCTAACGTCTTTCCTTGGAAATTCAACATCAATCTATCCTGTTAAACAACTATTTAAAGTATTATTTTGTAATGATCGCAAAAATCAAAACTAAATGGATAAGAAGTAGCCGAAAATTGCTTGCAGTACTGGCACGACAGCTGGCTCCAATGGAATCCGGCCAATTACGAAGGCGCGATGGAAGTGTTCCTGCCCTCTTCGGACATTTGGCTGCCCGAACTCAGTCTTTATTACAGTCTCAATTTCAACAGTGCCGTCAAATTACTCAGTAACAACGATGCCAGGGTCAATTATACGGGTCATGTTCGCTGGTACCTGCCCTTTTCCACGGAATCCTTATGCTCTTCGGTTGATGTCAAGTTCTTTCCCTTCGATATGTAAGTCATCCAAAACAATTTTTGTGCTTTTATGTTGGTATTACGACTGGATTATTTTAGACAACAATGCACCTTAATGTTTGGTTCGTGGGCTCATTCGAATGACTCCATCAAGTTTTCTCTCTATTCTCAGAATCTTTCACTAATCGACTTCTATGACAATCAGGAATGGCAATTGGATATGGTGAGGCATCTCACTTATTACCTCTACTTCGTGACTGAAAGCCCTCATAATTTCAGAAGAATTATAAGGGTTTTTGTCCCAAGTAGTACCTATTGCTATATACAATAATGAATCCCCTCTTTGCAGAGTCGAAGTCATATCACCGCTCAAGCTTTTCTCTATGATTATCTCGACCCTCCATTATTTTGGGAGATGATCATTGTCGAATTGGTAGTAGGACGACAGAGTTTCTACTACGGTAAGAACATTATTCATTCTAATCGGTACCACTTTAGTTTTCAACCTCGTAATTCCCAGTGGAATCATTGCAGTGGTAGCCGTCGTTGGTTTCCACACTCCCTCAACCTCAGCTCGAGTCAGAGATGCCAAGTTTAGACTAGGTATCATGACTCTTATGTCTATGTCCACCATTGTTGTTGCCATCGTAGAAGACATGCCCAAGTTCAGCATGTCTGGAAGTCGAAAGGCTCGCGGATCTTTCAGCGGTGTGCCCCTGATTGGTATGTTCCATTATTGGCATCATTGACCACTATCTTAGGGCTCTATTACTTCATGTTACTCGTGATCGTCGGGTTATCCACCATGACTACCTCAATGTTTGTATTTCTTGAACGCGACTTCAGGACTAAAAGGAGAGTTCCGTGGTATCTTAGGTGGCTTTCTTATGACATTCGGCGACGAACCTTCAGGTAAGAAAAATAAATGTTTATTGCGTAACATGACTAACGCTAAAACTTATAGTAGAGCTTACAACTACGGAGATACTACTGTTGAACCATCAACTACGGTAAGTGACTTAACAGTCAATCCAAGAATGACGATGCACGACACATAGACTATGTATTCAAATTTCAGGAAGCCCTGTTGTCCTCTCAATCAAGCACAGGACCTCATCGACATTTAAACGGGTTTGTAGGTGAAGGTACAGGGCCAAGAACAAGAGGAAGCCAGAATGCTCAGGGAATGGCCATGTCTCTGTTGCGATTAGTTCCAGCAGAGAATGATCATGAACAAGGTCGGCAAGTTCAAGCTGTGATCGACGAGACCACGGAGGGTTACCAACACACAATCTCCAATCCTGGAGCGGTAAGTTACCCGGTTTTGCTGAGGATCCATCATTTGTAGCAAGAAGAACCAAGTCCGCCCCTGCGAAGACAACTGCGAAAAAGATTAAGTCTAGCTCACTATGATAACATGCTCTTATATCAATACTTTGGCCAACAAATAGAAGACCTAAGTGCGCTGATTCAGCGAATTGAACGATCGGTTAAAGATATCAAGTAAGTTGTAAATGGAGAGCCTCCTTTCCTATTTCTGTATGCCTAACACTACAAATCTTTTCCAGGGGTGATATGGTTGCCCTTTTGCCTCAAGACGATATCAATTCGAAATGGCAAACAGTTATCAGGCGGCTAGAACTGCTCTCACTCAGTTTCTACATGAGTCTTCTTTTCACAACAGCCTTTTTATTCTTCTATCATGATTGGTATTGCGCAATTGGTAATTCCCCATGTGGAACACCCAATCACAAGTGCCCTTGGATGAAAGTCGAACCTTGTGGATAGACCAAAAATCACCTCCAGATAAACGCGAAACACCAAACAAAACCCGATTAGGACACTCGATTTGTATACTTGCGTCTTAGATAAATTTCTAGTCATCAAACTTGAGAGAACGTATTAAAAATCGCCGAATGTTGTATAAAACAAATTTTAATAAAGGGTTCGAATAACACAACAAACAAAAAAAGTCAACTTCTTATTTGAGCTCTTTGACTTGGAGTCCTGGTGGGAGAGATTGCTTCAGCTTTTCGGCTTTGGTCACGTCCTAAAATAATTCGACAATTATAAACGTGCAAGGAAATAAAAAAAAGCAATCAGAGCCGTCGTAAAGTGGATGAGGAAAAGTGACAAAAGAAAGCTTCGAAATTTTATAAGGGATAATTCAAAACAGCACGTAGTCCAAAACCAGCAATTTAGCAGGACAACACAATGAAAAAAGATATCGGCAGTTTTGAGGCCACAATAATGCTCTTTTCAAAGCAAAAAGCGTGAAATCGTCATCACCAGGCGATTTTCTGCACTAACCATTAACCCAGAATTAACACAAAAAATCTTCACATTTTTTCTGAGCAAACAAGCCTTGTTACATCAAAACCATGCAAAAAGGCATCTGAATATCAACAAAAAAGAGAAAAACTTACTCCAACAACAAGGGTGTACAAGTATTTGCTGCATCTGATCTTGAACTTGACATTCTCGGCGTTCTTCTTGATCTTGACGGACTTGGCATCCTTTCTGCGGGCGGTCAGGAGGAACTCCTTGATGTCAGTGATTTGACGTGGCATGTCTAACCTGGAAAACCAAACAATCGTTAAAAAATACGACTCATACAAATATAATATCGATCGGTACTGCCAAAAAGTTACAGAATTGTAAAAATTGTACTAAAAATTTGAAAACTCTTTCAAGCTCAACGAAAAAAGAGAAATAGAATGGGAGTTTCATTACCGTATTTCATTCGCAGTCATTGTTCTCGTTTCGGAACGCGAAAATTTTTATTGGCATTCTGCAACACAAAGCAAAACTGGAGAAAATGAAGGAGAAAAATAGAAAACTTGACATTTCTTTCAACTTTCACGATTCAATATTTCTAACAAGGGAATGGTTTGAACTGTCCGTGAGCTTTCAACATGAGACCCACAAATTCTGAAAGAGCGTAAAAAATTTAGTAGGAATCCGTTTTCCGTTTTTGCCGAATGGTCTTGGGACGGTCGATTTTTATCGACCGGTTTTAATATTTTTATGTTACAGTAATCTGAGAAACTTGGTTTTCAAAAAACTGAATGCTCAATCACCAAAAACGTATATATCCAGAATTTCGGGTCATTACCTCTTTTTATGACGCCGCGAGACATAAAATTCCAAAAAGGACAAATTTATGCAAATTTATACCTTCCGGGCAGAATTTGGGAAAAATATTTTGGGCGTTTGTTAAACACATGTCAACAGTCATTTTGGACCAAAAGATTCAAAATCGACTTTTTTGTAAATATTCACGCGGTCCATTATACGCTGACGCAGGGATCCAAAAATAATCTTTTCAACTTTTCTTGCAAAATTTTGAGAAAAGGCGAAAATTTGGCAACATTCTTTTCTGGAAGCCCGAAAAATATTGCAATATCGTGGAAAACCTGCTGGAATGGTCCAAAAAAATCTTTAACATACCAGAAGATTGACAAATGGCATCATCGAAAACACAAAAATGTTGCCAAATTGTCAACTTTTCTTGAAATCTTGCAAAAAAATCTGTAAAACACTTGAATAAATAAAGAAATTTTTTTACGTAGCTATTGAATACAGTAACTGATATGTACGACCAAGCCGAGGATATCCGTTTCGGCTGGACTCGAACCTCCAAGACCTCCCTCTGCCAAAAGATTTGTGCGTGAAACTTTTTCCACGAGACTATTTGGTGACACTTTCTTGGGCCTTTCGGTTTATCTTTTCTCTCTTTCAGTTCTTTTAGACGGATCTTTCTGTCGATATTTCTCGTCTCTCAAGACCATTCGGCAAAAATAGAAAACGGATTCCTACTAAACTTTGTACGCTCTTTCAGAATTTGGGGGTCTCATGTTGAAAGCTCACGGACAGTTCAAACCATTCCCTTGTAAGGAAACAGAAATTATTGACGTTAGTAAATGGCAATCTAAGTTTCTTAGAATTTATTTCAAAAGCCACGAAATATGGACACTAATAGTAACAAACTTAAATAGTAATAGGCGTTTTACCGGTCGGAAGAGTTATTTCTTATCTTCTGAGCAATGAAGTGTTTGTACGCAGGATTTGACTATCATTTGGGATACAGTACATCGTAATGACCAGGGCGGTAGAGGAAGAACAACACTGGGGTGCTGTCTTCAGGAAGATCATGGTGCCAACCTCCATTAGGGGCAAGGGTCTGATCCATGTATTCTATTCGTATGGGGACATCTAAAACAAGAATAAAAAAGGCTTGCTAACAGCATACCGATGGCATTCACAAGAGCAATAACTGCAATATGATCTGCATCCTTCCACATTGGTTCAATTTCGTCTTTACAATACTGATCCAAGGTCCGAAGTCCCTCAATGAACCCAGAATATAAGATCTCGTTCTCTCGTAAATATCCAGATGCAATTAGTCTAAAATAAAATGAGAAACGATAAAAAGGAACTCATACCTCATAAAGGCAACGTAATAATTCGCCATGGCATCGTTGTTTAGATCGTCATACAGAAATTCCACTGTTTTTGTTCCATTTTGCATCGATTCGAGCAGGGTCTCCATCTACAATAAAAAGAAGGTGACAGACACATAAACCAAGTATAAAAGCCACAAAATCAAACTTACAGCATCACAAAAATCTCCAGTAGTTAGCTCAGGAAATCCAAACCCAATCAATTTCGTCCTCCATTCTTTGCAGGCCGCGGCAAATCTGAAAATGGAATACAACAAAAAAGTAAACACAACCCACTTGTCTAGAAGTGGCCGATCTTCAAAGCACTTCTCCAGTAATGCGGTTAGAACAGCGCGGTAAAAGCAGTTGCCATCTCCCCTGATCCGTCTGATGCTGTTGTACTTTTCTCCCAATTCCTAAATTCAAATACTTGGGTCTACATTACCAATACTTACAACTGCCTTTTGGAAATACTGCGGAGAAGTTACAGGATCATAACCTTCAATCATTTTTACAATTCCTTCTTTAGGGGCACATAACTGTTGTGTTTGTCGAACCTAAAAATAAAAATTGAACAACTTGCTCAAAGTCTAAAATCAGAAAATATATGGTGAAATTTCTCACTTCATCCTCGATCTCCTGGTACTGTTGGCAACTTCTCTGATACATCTGATATTCATTTTCGGCGACTTGCTCAGCAAGAGTGCGATCCTTTTCGCTCGTCTCTGCATTCTCTTCGGGACGTTCAGCTTGAACTGATTTATCAGCTTCAGCTGGCTCCAATTCAGGTTTGGCAACCTGTTCAGACATCTTGACAATAAACTTTGCTAGAGGAAGTGGAACAAAACCTTCAACCGGATCTCGTAACAAAAATGTGAAAAAGAAATTATTTTAGACGAAATGACACAAAATTATTGATTTTGACGGAATGCCCCTAAGGTCCCCATTACAGCGCCGGTGGAGAGAAATGATCGATGACAAGACGATGACCGTGGTGTTTACGTGCTTTGCCACTTGTTTCATTGATTCTCGACAATGGTGGAAAAGAGGAGCGTTGATGGAAATCTCGTTGTTGTGGATACGAATGAATGGGTAGCCAAGAACAAGCAGGACTTTGTTCCTCCCGTCTGCAACAAGTGCATGTAAGAAACCGAATGTCTTGACGAATATTGTTGCAGGTTTTCCGACTTCCTGAAGGTATTCTTTGTAGGCGGACCGAATTCTCGGAATGATTATCATATTGAAGAAGGTGAAGAGGTACTGTAGCGTGTTCTCAGTATGAAAAATAGTCAGCATTTTAGTTATTCTATCAGATCAAGGGAGACATGATCTTAAAAGTGGTTGAGGATGGTGTTCCGAGAGATTTGAGGATTAAAGAAGGGCACTTGTTTCTGTTACCATCAAGAGTTCAACATTCTCCGCAGCGATTTGAGGAGACGTTAGGATGTGTAGTTGAACGAGAAAGGAAGCAAGATGAACTTGATTGTGTCAGGTAATCTGTCAATTTTTCCCCTTAATTTTTTCTTGAATTTTCTTATCGACGTTACATAGTAAGCAAGATGTTTTTAGATACTTCATAAACGATAAATCCCCTCCAACTCCATTATGGGAACGTTGGTTCCATTTAAACGACGTCGTTAAAGATCTTCCTCCAGTAATTCAAGAGTTCAACGGCAGTTCCGAAAAGGCCAACAACTGTCCTGGAGATGGGAGTTTTAAAAGGGAACCTGGATTTGAACCCAGTAATGTCAAACTAACTGAACCAATCAATCTCTCTCAATTTATTGATCAAAACATAGACAAGATCAAGTACGTTTTAAATGTTTTCTTGCTTTTAAAACATACCGTATGCCAATATCCTGCGGTTAATCCAGTGCTAGACTTAGGAGGCCGTCAACTTAAGACGTTTCGTTATTTGATGAGTTGACGTCAACGTTCTTGCTTCCACACCCCCGCTTTCAAAATAGACAGCTAGGACCCATTGAACGTATTTGAAACAGAAAAAAATATTTTTTTTACAAATGGCTAACCACTACATAATTCTTCATAATTTCAGCGGTTCCAAGGTGCAATTGTTTAAAGACCAGAAGACCAAAACCGAGACCTTCTTACTCGGCCGAGGAGAACATACTTTGGAGAGTGGAGAAACGGAGCTGTTGCTGCTCTTTGAACGAGGAGAGGGCGTTTTAGATTACAATGGAGAGACGTTTACCGTACCGGCCTTCCATACAGTCAGACTTCAGAAGAATTCCAAGGCCACGTTGAAGATTGAAAACGGAATTGGTCTGACTTTTAAGTTTATTTGAAACTACAGACCCACAATGAATCTGTTTTACGTTTCTACAGTAATCTATATCTAATTCTTTATCTCTGTTAGTCACCAATAGTGCACATAAAAACTTGAGTTTGACAGAAAGTTCAGTCCAATTCCAGCTAAGACATCGTTTGCTGGGCGCCCAGAGCTGGGTGATGTTTTCCTAATTCCTCGAGGGTTGAGGCCATTGCCGGAAACGGTTTCCTCACGCTTCAATCGGTTTTAATTTTGCACCCGGATGTTGCGAAAAAACGTCACATTAAATGACAGAATCATCGCCTTAAAAAAGGAGGATTTAAAGTTGGATTCTCGCTTTTTCTGGATCCTTTTTAATCTTTATGGTCCAAAAAACAGGACAATTTGAAAGCTGTAGGATCTCTGCGCAGATACCAAAAAAATTTTTTGTTTCTTTGTGTTACTGTAACAGATATAATTAAATCCGAATGGGCATATGTCATCACCCTCCCAGACATTGTTCTGTTGTGCCGATTTTGATGGCCATAACATCGGCACTATGTTGACAACTTGACTCTGACACCCACTACATCTTGTACAAATATTAAAGCCCGGAGGGCACGGCGGGATCACGCAAACCGTTCCGTGCTTCACCGTTCCTTTTTCCCATAATTAAAGCTTTCCGCTCATATTATTTTTGTTTTTTTGTGGTTTTTGAGCGGCCAGATTTGTTGGTCATGATTGTGTAATCATTGTAAAAAGGTGACAAAAAAATGACAATATCGTTTGCAGGTTTTTATTTAATCAAAATATAAAAGGCTTTAGATGTGAACAGTAACTGTGGATGTTACTCAACTCCCCCGCAGACTCGAGTACTTCTTTGTTTTTACTTGTTAGTATATTCAAAGCATTTCCTTCCTTCTGATCTACCCTCCAATTATCCCCATTTCTGGGACTCGTCCTCTTTTCCCATTGCGTTGTGGATAAATAACTCTTTGGGTATTTATTTCGGAATTCCTTTTTCAAGTTGTAGACTTACTTTGTGCATGCCAGAGTAGGCGATTTGCTTCTTAAAGACGGGGAGATCTAAAGTATTCTAAAATATCACGTTTTCAATGCATCTGTAATGAATGAACTGTTAGTTTTTGTGGACTTTTCTCGGTTTAATGGTTTGTTTAGAACCCTAACTTTCGGTTTAATTCTTGACAACTGCCTAAGGTCCAATTCTTAAATGCTTCAAATCTGGCATCTTACCTCTGTAGGATTTTAGCTGTCTCTTTGCAAGGATGTCGAGATATTCACAAATCGTTGCCGTCAAAAATCAGTGGATAATTGCTAGAAGAAGCCATTGATTCGTAACATTTGGGTGGTTTATGTAGAAGATGAGCTGCGAATATAGGGTCTCAAATTGGAAACCCATTTTCCACTTTCAAAGTCATCAAAAGAGTGTTTCTTGATTCTCAAACTCTTTTAAGTTCATAACTCTTTGTGAACTTAAGCTATCTTAAGAACCACGACAAGCTATCCAGACATTCCTGATGACCGGTTGATGAGTTGCTGTTAGTTTTTGCCATAATAAGTTGTTAGAAAAGTTGGATTTCCAGTCATCCAATTTGAGTAATTAGAATTTCCAGCAACATCCGGGTTTTTATTATTGGTGCGTGAATTATTTTCTTAAAATAGTAGCGCTGCTTATTCTGCAGGAAGTTTCTGCAAGACGCTTTCTCTGTAAAATTACTGTATTAAAGATTAGTACTTACGATTTTTCTCCTTGTTTTACAAATTTCTGATGATTTCACTTCAAAAAAAAGCTTATACTACAGTAACCATTCCAAAATTCAAATATTTATTTATATCTCTGTAAATTTTTACTTCCATTCCCACCAAAAGTGACGTCATAATCTCACCTGTAACATTTTGCCACGGTGTGTTCAGTGGCGGTGTTTATTTTAGGAGTGGGTGTTTCAGACGGTAAGCACATTATTCTTGGCCGACTTTTCCAATTTCCGGTTTCTTTTTCGCCGAAAAACATTCCGTGCAAACCACCTTCCTCCCTTTCAAAAATTGCATCAGTGGGTGTTGTATTTTACAGTTTAATCTGCCGGATTTCCAGATGAGTTCAGCGGTTTTCTCTTGTCCTACCCTCGGGTTCATCGGGTATTTAATGACGAAGTGGGAGTGCTTGTTGACAAAGGATTTGGATTTGGAAGGCTCGGGAGCTCTAAGAGAGCCAAAATCAAATATTTTGCAAAGAATCTTAATAATTTCATTATTAATATCTTAATTTCCCTCTTCATCCCTCCCATTTACCGGATTGCCTTCTTTTTTCAACCACCCCAATTTTACCATTTTTTTGGGGGAATTATCGAAGTTACGGTGGAAAAACATATTTCTCTAGACGTTACAGTCCCCCATCGTATTTCTCTTAAATCCGTTTATTTGTCATCAAGATTAGGTGTATGGTTACACTTACTTCCTCTGACGTTTAAACAAATGTTTTTTGATCCTGTTGGGAAATATTTGTGTGGGAAGTTATGAGTTCGGATGGACTCTGTCAAAGTTATGCTCTCTATTCATCGGTTTGTGTTCGAATTAAGATCTATTTTCTATGAGATTTATGCATCATTTGAATATTCAAATACAGGATTTGGTCAGAGAAAGTCATTATTTCTTTGACATGGTTAAGTCCACTATAATATTCTTTGGCCATCTTCTCTTTCTTTGTTATGAGGGGAAGTGACTATCCTATATTTCCATTTTGATTTGTTTTCCCGGTATTTTTTACTTTTAGAGTAAAGTCTGCCCTTTTTTCCTCATAAAGTTAACTGCCCAATTGCCCTACTGTCTTAGCTGCGTATTTAGAAGCCATTTCGACGTGAATCTTCCCATTTGATTTCCTCGAAAGCAATCCTCCGAAGCCCCCCACGAAAGGTCTAGCCATCACAAAGGCGATCTGAAGATGTAATCCCTCTAATCTCTACCGTGATATGATACCCGAGGTTGTTACTGTTTCGGGGATTATATGGGAGCTCATTTGTTTCATGGCTTTACTGCTTAGCGTGTCTTCGGTTCATTATCTACGGCCCGGGGTAGAGGAAAGTCAAACAATTTCTGTTTATGTGCGGGATGTGTTATTATAGTGATACGTCTGAATAAATTAGGCAATCTTCTTTTAGGGTGATTACTAAATTTTGTCTGTAGCTCCTTGGGTTCAGAATAAATTTTGAGGTAGACATAAAAAATAAGGTCACTGGGAGAAGATTAGTTTTCTCCGTTGAAATGTCATCTTGTTACAAAGCGGACATAGTTCTTCCGTTTTTATGTATTGCACAAACAAAAATATTTGGCCCTACTTCAGTACGGGTCAGAGAAAGTTCGGGTCGTCGATCAATATGCTTAGGATTTTGGAGAGGTTCTGCGGAGGCCTGTGATTGCGAAGACTTGGGAGAGGTTCGGCCTAAAAGAAACTCCTTGGATCGAGCTGTCGAAACCCGAACTATCCCTGATTAGAAAGAACACAAAATATTACATTTTACTGTGGTAAAGTGTTTTTAACTAGATGTCTCGAAAATTGTTATTTTATAAATTTTTATATTATAATACATTACTTTTTCATTCATTAACACTGTTATCACACCTCTCTGATTTAAAATTCGGGGCTCCTGGCTACTTTCTGGATCTTCTGATAAGCAAAAAATTTCTGAACACTCCTTAAGACGCGCTATCATTATCCAAATGCCTTTATTTTACCCCGTCCCTTCCTTCAGGGAACATGCGCGACGGAATCGTAATAGCGGGCGGAGAGATGCGACTTTGGATGTTGTCGCTTTCGATCACACTCTCTATGTTCTGCTGGCTGAATGTGGGCGTAGCGGCGGCCGAGGATCAAGCCCTCCCCAACTTGGACACACTTTACCGGATGTCGCAGCAGTCCAGGGGGGTTGGGTTGTTGAAGATGTGTCCGCCGGGCGGAGAGGCCTTTACAAATGCTTGGCAAATGACTTGTGGAATGCGACGACGGAAGCGAAGTACGTTGCCAAATGAGGACGATAAATCGAGAGGTAATTGTGGCTTAAATTATTTATAACTCCTGGAAATGTATCAGACATAACCAAAGAATTATGTCGGAGAGAATTTTTATTGTAATTGCGCTTACTCGAAGTCGAATTTCCAGTAGATTTACTATAACTAAACTACGTATTAACTTTAAATCTTTATTAATTATGATGACTTACAACCGAAACAAAGACGTCAGTGCATAAAAATGCTTTTTATTACTTATCTTTGGAATTACCTGCCTTTTTGATTAATGTCATCACGTATCTTGTACCTAATCCTCTTCCAGGATTTACTAAATTATATAATATTGTGTAACGACTCTTTTACAAAGCTATCCCTGGATCTAATTAAGTCTACTTTTGACGGTAATGGACTGTACTTTGGTATGAATTTCGATTTTGAAAGAGACCAACCAAACAGAAAAAAGGAAACGATTTTTTTGAGTGATACAAAAGGGTTGTATAACCCATTGTAAATGAGAAAAGAGTAAACTCAACGAGTTCAAACAACCATTCAAAATATGAAATTTAAAGTCAGACAAATTGAACATGCATACAACCCCTAATTATACTGTACTTGCAGCCAAACGCGACTACCGGCCACTCAGTCTGACGGAGATGATGCAATTTTGCTGCCAGTTCAGCTGCTCCTTCCGCGATCTGATGCCTTATTGTGATCCATTTGGTCAATGGGACTCGTAAAGACCGATGCAACGGATATTTCAACTCTCTCAGCGCCGTTTTGCCCCGCGTTTCGAAAACAAATTATTTTTATTTTATGTGAAGTTACCCTAAATAAACTTATTTAGCTTTGAGTATTTGGACTAACTGTGAACGCTGAATTCAGGAATCAGATGATCCGTAATCTCTGACCCGACAAAAAAAAAATAAAAAACATGATAAAGATTTCCTATCATCACGTTGAAGTTCGCTTGAACCCTTGCGTGACGAAATTTTCACCGCAACGCCAAAGTTTCAGAAGACAAACCATGGATGTAAACAAACCTCAGAAGCGCCCTGAGGGCATGCGCTGTTTGAGTTTTCGCCATTTCGGCCCGTTTCCACACACTTTCTTCCTTCCCGAATATTCATAGAGCTTTGTTTTCCCCTCCCTTCTGACAAGTATATAACATAACGGCAGTCAAAGAGTGATTTACATTCACTCGCTTCGAGAATACTACTTCGGATTAGTGATCAGCCATTTCAGGGCTCTCGCTCTCTTTCCCAGTTTTTGTTACATATACTCTGCGTTTGTTTACCATGGTATTTACTCGCGAAGAAGTCAAGCAAAAGTGTCGGACGATTGTCGGCATTTTGAATAATTTCCCAGATTTTGATAACTTTAACCAAGTGGATGAGAAGTTGAATAAGCCCGTTTTGTTCAAGAGGAACCCGGAAAAGTGAGTTGGGGATGATGGCATTGTCTAGTCCAAATGATGTGAAAGGAGTTGTGAGGCTCCTAGTTTTGACGGCATTTTGCCCAAATTGGGGCTCGGGAAAGTCGCGCCTCCCAATTATTGTCTTGCACCGAGTAATTCTATTAACAAGTCGATTCCTCTCCATTTCTATACGCATAACTTACATTCCCTTTGTAGTCTCCATGCCGAAGTCGAGCCCATCAAAGTTCCTGTTGGTCACCTCGGTCTCTTAGTCGAGATTCAATTTGGAGTAATCATTGGAGAAAAGATTGACAAATACGATAAGGATGAATTCCCCAACAAAGTCGATGGTTATGTGCTTGTTCTGAGCTTTACAACAAGGTAAATTACAGCCAAGAGTCCAATACTTTGCAGAGAATCAAAGTACGAGAGCCAAGATAAAGCATTTGCCTTGGTCTCGGAATTCGATAGTAACATCGCCATCTCCGACATCATCCCGGCAGATGCGATACCTAAGCCTGATGCTCTTGTAGTAAGTTCAGGGATGCCATTGATTTTCCTCTGACTTACAGTGTTGTTGATTTAATTTTATTTTTATTAGATCTGGAACCGCTTGGATGGAGTTGAAATCCAGCGTGCCACCCTAAAAGATATGCGTCATACTGTAGCTGAGACCATTGAATTCATCTCTAAATATACGCTGTTAGAACCAGGCGATATTGTTCTTTGTGGTCCAGCCAAAGAACCTCATTATGCAAAGGTCGGACAGAAATTGGAAGCAGGGATCGAGGATGAGATCAGGTTTGAAGTGATGGTCGGGAAAGCTCTCGAATTCTCGACCGAACTTCATGATGTGACCGCTGACAGACGATTTTCCGTGGAAGGGGAGCTCGTCCCAGAGCCCGAACATATACCAGTCTAATCATAGAAAAGGCAAGATAAATTTCACTCATCCCATAAATACATTTGCTCGATTGTAATGGTAATTTGACCATGTCTTCTAACCTACTTCACTTATAACTTCAGTAATAAACTAACCAACTCATCACTCGCTCAAAACAAATATTTCTCTTTTATACCACTTTCCCATGCACCTGCAATTCAAGGTATTTGAAAAAACAGTTGAACCAATAAATCAGGGCCGACGCGTGCCTCCAGATTCAATATTACACAAGAGACGGAGAGACGATTAAATCTTTGCAGGTTTCTTCTTTGATTACAAGAACGGGCATTCCATCGTTTTGCACTTCGATTCTAAACGAAGCCCAATGGTTTTATTGGTTGATGTCTGGCCAATTTTATGGCCACTTTTTCGGACACACTCTCTATTTTTTTGGCCAGTCGAATCTTTTGTAACGCACAATCGGAGGCTTCTTTTGTACAGTGGCGAAAAGCGGCAAAAACGATGACTATTGTAATCCGGGAGATTGGCTGTAGATCGGCATCTTTTTGGTGGGGAAAATGGAAATTCGAGTTGTCGCCTGCCATTTAGACAGTAGTCCTCGGGTTTTCATTATAGAACTTGTTCTTTATTTCCCATCTAGCTAACATGTATTAAGATTTCTTTATGTGCAGTTTCCCTTCAAAAAAAATATTTTTGTATATTTTAATCGGATTGCAGGTCCTAAAGGCCTTTAGACCCGTGATTACTATTTTCGTACAATCAGAGTGCTTGCTTTTTTAATGCACATTCCATAGGGCAAGCATAAAACCAATGCACAAAATCTTCTGCTACTTTTGCATAAATGCAAATAATTTTAAAACTCTTTTCTTGCATTTTTTGAAACGTATCTTATACTACCTTTGAAAAAACTCCCTGACAGGAAAGTAATGAGACCCTCTTATAAAAATGTAGCTATTTCGTAAAAGGATAGGACTCGTTGTTTTGGCTTCGTGGAAATTGGACAGAGTGAAATTGGACAGAGTGAAACTCGACAGACTTTTTTCACTGCAAAAAATAATTATTTGATGATTCAATAGTGACATTTCGTACGATTGCAGCGAAAAAAATCTGTCCAATTTCACTCTGTCCAATTTCCACGCTCTGTCCAAATTATTTCTGTCCAACTTCCACGAAGCCGTTGTTTTACCCGCCATTGAATAACGACGTCATTTCCATTATGGCCGTTCCGTGCCAGAGGACAGATGCGTGAGGAAAGGCGCTTTTATTTTCTAAAAACCCCTTTTTCCGGTCATTTTAATCCCTAGTTTTATATAAGGACAGGGCCAAGTCCTTTTGCCAACCCCGCTCGCTCAAAACGCCGGCCAAGAACGTGTTTTTTTCTTTTCATTTTCTCGCTTTTTTCGCCAATCGCCGCCAAAAATTTTTTTTTACCTTTTTCCCTCCAAAAATAAACGGTTTTAGTGGCAGGAACAAAGTCCTAATGGATTTGGGCTAAAATCAGGGGGTTTCTGGGGGTAAACACGAGGATAATCTTTAGCCCGTCTTCAGTTTTATTAATTTAGGTAAGAGAACGGCTGCGTCCGTTTTTCGTTGTCTTCACCTTGTTTTTGCCTCGTCAGCAGGTTAAAACAATGGTTTGAATGGACCTCCCAGCAGCCGAAAGGTCCGAAATTGACCGAGGCTGATAAGAATTTAGTATGGTCGTCTACGATTGGCGGCGGAATCTTTTCGTTTATGAGTATGATGCAATTCTCCGGCCAACTTTCGCAATATCGTGAGCTATCTTTGGCCCAAGTTGTTTTCTTCTTGGTTTCTTACATCATTTTCTCTTTCATTATGCAAGTAATGACATTTATTTTCTCGAGTACAGCCTCGCAGATACTTGTTTTAACCCCATACTACATTGTTTTAGGTGCCTCTAGAAATTACTGGCGGTTACTCCCTTTGAAATGTCCTTTGTTCGGGGAAACATTGCAACAGATGTGCGTTGGGTTTGCAATGTTTGGTCCGTGTGTTCACACACAATTTTAGGGTTTATCCGCGGGATTTCGGGGCTTATAAATATTTTGGATGTGTTTCGGTCTGACCTCGTGCAAGGCACATTCGCTCTCATTCATCCTGATCTTTTCTTAGGGACGCTGTCTAGGGCACTTTTTCTAAACTCTTACCCAATTTATATTTCCGAGGGCCTTTAGCAGTCCGGTTTGGTCCGATTGAACCTGCCAAGACCTGTTCAATCCCGAGCTCAACCTCGTATTTAACCCTCTCTTTATAATTTTTGACCTGTTGGCCATTGCGTTCGTTTTGGTGTCGGCTCTTCCAGATTTAAAAGCATAAGAAAAAAGAAGTTTGAGAGTGTCCTGGCCTGGCCGTAGTTTGTAGTGGAAAGCATTGAAATGTGGCGTAAAATTGCATCATTTCCGTTTTTGTTTGGTTTATTAGGCTGGGCGGATTTGAAGAGTATTTGAATTGGGATTTAAGTTTTGGGTGGGTCCGATGGATAATATAATATTGTCCGGTTGTTACAATCTGCTAGCAATGGGCGGGTAGCTAGGTCTCTTCAAGTTTGTATGTACGCCCGTAAAGCTGTTAGTGAGCGGAAAAAGTTGACTTTCTGCTTCAATTGAGATTATATTGTACTTGACATTTTTGGGTGGGAGTCCTGCAAAAATGACCGCGATTTCTCTTATACTTAGGCTTCTATTGTAAAAAAAGTGTTTTACAATGGGCAAGTAAGGAATGAGTCAATCAGGACTACGCCGACTAAACTTAGGCATGTCCTCTGCAAATATTATTAATAATACCTTCCTTCTTTTGTTTATTCTGAAGAGATTTTTTCGACGAAATTCAATACCCCAAGAATATAAAAAGACGGGGCAATGTCCCTTTAAATAGTTGGGGGGATTTCATTGTTAGAGGTCAGTGGGAAATCAGGAAGGACCTTTAAGAAGATCCTTTTGTATTCGATTTCGATGACATAAGATGGAGTAGTTTCACGGGTATTGTGTTTTTTCTGATCCGTCAAACAGAATATCGCGGGGCTAAATCAGATATCCTTTCGTTCTCTGATCATTCGGCACGTTCTTCGTGGGCTTGTTAAACAAGAGAAGAGTACGGTAATAAGAAGTGTTTTCGAATTTGATTGATAATTCCAAAGCACTCGCGTTGATTTATCGTACCTTTTCGTTGAAAATTGATTTCTGGACGGTCATTTCAATTTTGGAAATGATGATTTGTTGCTGATAAAAGCAATTGGAATCGTAATACAATCGTGTATTATGCTCCCGTTATCCTCCTAATCCTATATTTCAGGCGAACATGACCGCCGGCGCTAACTTGGAGACAAATCTCAAAATTCAAGAGCAGAAAGACGCCTTGCTTACAGAAGATGGAGGAAAAAAGAAAGTCGAACAATTCGAAGAGGAGCCCGAAGGAGGATTGAGGAAGACTCTGGGCCTATGGAATGGTGTCAGTATTATCATCGGATCTATTATCGGCTCCGGGATCTTTGTTGCGCCGACTGGAGTTCAATTAGGTAAGCTGATATAATATGTTTGAACATTAATCGTTTTAGAAGCCGGTTCGGTTGGTATTTCGCTGATAATTTGGGTTGCCAGTGGAGTCTTCGCCATGGCTGGAGCCTGGTCTTATGCCGAGTTGGGAACCTTGATTCACAAGTCAGGAGGAGATTATGCCTACATCATGGAGGCCTTTGGACCCTTTGCTGCTTTTATGAGATTCTGGATTGAAGCTATTGTGGTGAGACCGTGCTGTGTGACCATTGTAGCTATTACTTTCGCCACCTATATGCTGATTCCTTTCTTCGGACAAGACGATCTTCCCACGGGCAGTGTGGAAGGACTTTCGGTCTGTTTGATTGGTAAGTGAAGTTAGGTATTGTAATGTTTTATTTAGTATTCTTGACGGGGATTAATTGCGCATCAGTGAGGTTGTCCACGATTATCATGGACACTTTCACCATTGCCAAGGTCTTTGCTTTGGCCTTGATCATTGCTACTGGAGGATATTTGTTGATCTTCGGAGAGGAAGTGAACAGGGCCGCCTTCCATGATATCTGGAAAGACTCGAACTGGGATGCCGGCAAGATCTCTTTGGCTTTTTATTCAGGTCTCTTTGCTTATCAAGGGTGGAATTACTTGAACTTTATTGTTGAGGAACTTCAGAATCCAAGAAGGTAAGGATTTTATACATTTTGTGCTTTGAATTTTAAGGATCAGCTCTAAACCTTGAATTATTTGTTTCAGAAATCTCCCTCTTGCCATTGTGATCTCTTGTGTGACAGTTACCGTTGTCTATGCTCTCACAAATGTTGCCCTTTATACCGTAATCTCTCCCAAGGAAATGCTGTCCTCCAAAGCGATCGCCCTCGACTTTGCCAATCGGGTTTATGGACCAATGGCTTTCATCATGCCCATTTTTGTGGCCTGTTCTACATTGGGATCAGCAAATGGAGTTATCTTTACTACTTCAAGGTGGGCATCGTGATTGGTTTGATGATGTTATGTCGATTAATGTTATGTTTTATATTTTTATTATCTAAATTTTGCAGATTGTTCTACGTTGGAGCCCGCGAAGGCCAGATGCCTGTCCTGTTGACCTTGGTCCACCACAAAACGAGGACCCCTATCCCCGCTGTGGTTATCTGCGGAATCCTATCCATCCTCTACTTGTTCCTCTCGAGCAATGTGTTTGCTCTGATCAATTACATCCAGATCAGTTATTGGCTGGCGATTGCTGCGGCTACCGCCTCTCTCTTCTACTTCAGATGGAAGATTCCGAATGAGCCCAGGCCGATCAGAGTCAATCTTCTGATCCCAATTGTCTTCTTCTTGGGCTGTCTCGGTTTGGTCGTGGTCCCCATTATTGGAAGTCCCAAGGATACCGCCATTGGCATTGCTATCATGCTTACTGCTCTGCCAGTCTACTTCTTATTCATTGCGTTCAGACCCAAGGTCTTTAACACTATGAGTGGTTAGTTATATTTTATTTTTATTATACTTGGGGTTTGATGTTCAAATTAAAAATAATGCTTGATGGTTTAGACAAAGTCACCAAATTCTTCGAGAACGTACTTGGAGTGAAGCCAGAAGCCGAAGTTGAAGCTATCGAAGGTCACGATGAAGAGGCAGAAAGAGCCCTGACTGAAACCAATGAAGTGGTTCATGCTGCTGATAAGGTCCTTCATGAAGGCGAGCATCATCACACCGAGAAACCGGTCGAAGACTCCAAGGCATAACAGTTTCTGTATCCGATACAGCCGAGTATTGTTCTTATAATTATCTTACGATCTTAATCTTTCACTTTTATTGTTATTTCTCAACTCTCAGGACTTACAGACCTTTTCTTTGACGTTATTTGGATAATACTTGTTGATAAATATTTGAGTGGGAGCTTTTTTTGGTCAAATATTGTAGTGTTTCAGCTGCGTGGTTACAAATTTGATCGAGCAAAGGTCAAATCAATCAGAAATCAGCATTTTTTCTCCGACTAATGCTTCAAAGTTTTGTAACAAGAAATGTGTCAGAACTACAGTGATTTAATAGGTCATTGAATCAGAAATCAGATTTAAATACCCTCGGGGATTTTCATGGACCTTTAATTTGGGGTTCGATCAAAAATGAGAAGTGAAATTGTGCTTCTAATTCTAGTTGGATTGGTTTGCGCGGATCAGCGCAAACTGAACAATGCTGAACGGAACGCCATTTTGGATAAACACAATGAATTCAGAAGGACTGTGGCAAAAGGAGAGGCCGTCGCCAAAGGAGGAACCAAATTGCCGATAGCTGGAGACATGCACGAATTGGTGAGTTACAGACATCTTTATGATAAAATGCTACTTGCACGGTAGCATTATTTATTTATAGTATGTGTCTGTTAATGCAAGTTACAGTAGTTGTTTGACACTGTTCTGTTAGCGTAATCTTGTAGGAATACGACACTACTCTCGAAGATCTTGCCTTTTCCTGGGCCAGTAATTGTCGATGGAATCATTCCGGGAATGGAGGAGAGAATATGTTTGCTTCTCAAGAACAGGCGACTGATTTTTCTTCGTTTTTGATTGAAGGCACAACATCCTGGTTTAATGAGATCAAAAATTTTGATGCAAGCGGAGTTCAGAGCTTCCAAGTTCAGAATGACGCAGTGATTGGACATTTCACCCAGGTCGGGCAATAAAAAATTGAACATGTCATAAGTTTTTAGGTGATTTGGGGAGCAACAAGTAAACTGGGCTGTGCCGTAGCCGCTTGTCCAACCCTAATCAACGAAAAAGGATCTAATTGGCTCTTTTTGGTCTGCAATTATCAAGCTCAAGGTAATGTGATTGGTGAACCAATCTACACGACTGCCAAGGCCGCTGCCTCTGCATGCCCTTCGGGTACCTCATCTGACGATAGCCTTTGTGCAAATCCCTCGGCCACACCATTACCAACAGATTCTACTGTCAGCGTTGGCTCCGGTGGCACAACAGTTACTGGAACAAGTGAAACAACGGTCGCTGCATCAAGCGAGGCCTCCGAATCCACAGGTTCTTCTGACAGTGCGGCCGGTGCTGTAACTGGATCCTCTACAGTCCAAGAAAGCAGCTCAGCAGACCCTGGAAGCACTGCTGACCCGTCTGTGAGATCTACGACCAGAGGTTGTAGATCCAGGGGATATCCAGTCAACTGAGGACAAGAATAACCAGAACTTTTTTCATGATCTTTCATATCCCACCTTCCCAATGATACCAATAAATGCTGGAGTTAGTTTCTAAGATGTTCGCAGTTCATATAATTAAATGTTTTACAAGCAAGATGACTTAAATTTTTTAGCAAATTGATTCTGATGGATTGGTTTGTTATCGTCTCTCTCATGTTACAAACACACAAGTGTTTCACCACCATTGTCGACGCCCAAAATACACGTAAGGCAATGCTTTGAAACAACTTTTTTTTATCAATTTCTCCCCGAAATTATTCAAAAATGGCCGTTACAAATTTCGCACGAATCCTTCGAGTATGTTTACCTTCGCTGTTCCGCATCTTTTGAAGTGGGTTTTCATGTTCTCTGTTTATTTGGACTCTCATTCCACGTATCTTACCTTCAATGCTCTACAGGTTCAACTGATTATGTGACCAAGAGATCCAGTGATTATTTTATGGTAAGAAGTTATTTTTTGCCTCTTTTTTCGGAAGTCTGAACAGCCAAGAACGATGGTTGATCCACTGTTGCCCGCTGAGCGTTGAGGGAATTGGTTATTTTTTGATGTTGTGCTCCTGACCTCCGAACCAAGCGATCAGAAATGTCATCAAAGTAGGAATCAGGGCAAAGTGTCCAACTGTGTGGTGCTATGTAGTTTTTAGTGATTGAATCAACGATTAATTGAGCAGAAAAGTCGTACATGGAGATCACAGAGGGTAAACAAGCTCTTTATTCAACTAATTGTAAGCAATTGCAATATGTTCTTAAGTCATTATACTTTGTCATTTACTCTCAGTACAGTTCCCCTTTATTCATAGTAGTAAACAACATATTTCCACGTATGTAATACCACGCGATGTCTGAATGTTCGCTTTTTCCGTGTGTAAGAAACTTCTTACCGAAGCCACCGGAAGCCTGTAAAGCGAACGTAGAAAGATCAGTGTGTTCTAAAAATAGAGGAGAAGAAGAAGAAGAGTTGACGCTGAAATGGGCTGGGTCAGTTCTCTTGCGATCCCATCAAACTATTTCGAATGATTAAGATTACTCATGGCAATGATAGATCGTCATTACTTGGGCTACAACAACGTGATTGCGATATAAATCAACATCAAGTCTGATGGAATGCAAATCGTTTCTGTTGATCTCGCTGCAAGTCGATGCTTTCTTAGACGCTGTTTCGAAATACTCTTGTTTCAGACTTGTCCAATTTCAACAGATCCTTGTTCTAGTTCTAATTATATCATGATGACAACCCAATTCGCTATATCTGATCTGGATATTCTCCACATCAGCTGATCTCTCGCAAATACCCTTCCTTCAGGCGACATTACACTAATGAGAAAGCGGCTAACTACTCTTAAGTTTAAAGGAATTCCCCTTTTCTTTTCAAAATATCAAACTCGATTGATGGATCGACTTTACAACAATGGTCTACATACATTCTAGAATGGTCGTTGTTTACAAACAAGTACCATACAGAAACACTACTAATCTGAGTCGTAAAGCCGTATTTGCATAGCCGGGTATAGCCCGGGACATGTGTGTATTTTGAGAGGAAGGAAAACTCATACCCTTGCAGAGCGTTCCCATCACAAACTCCGCGTTCCTCGCGCATCGTCCGCCCCGAGGAGCAAACTCCGCCTTCTGATCACGAACGAACGGAGGCGGGCTTGACCCAGCCGGTGCAGGAATCGGCTATAAAAGCCGCTGAACGGCAGATCCCCTCTCATCACAAAGTGATTTAACCATTAAAAGAAATGAACTCCCTTACTATATTCTCGATGACCATCTTGGTGGCTACGACGTTGGCTGCGCCCTTCGCCGTGCCCCCTCCTTTGTTGCCTCCAGGCTTTGATGAACTTCTACCCTCCGAATCCAAACAGAAGTTGATGGAACTTCATTTGAACCGTGATCTGACCTTCGAGCAGCGCCGTGAAGCCATCGAACAAGTCTTTGACGAGTTGCCTCAGGAAATTTTGGCCAAGCTCCCTCTTCCTCCAGGACTTGAGAGACTCCCAGAAGAACATAAACAGAAGTTCCGCAACCTTCAAATGGACCGTTCTATGACTGCTGTTGACCGTCATAACAAAGTCAAAGAGATGGTCAGCCAACTCCCAGAAGAGCTCCAGCAGGTCGTAAACCCTCCGGCTGGAATTCCACCGATGGTGCGTGGCTTTCCATCTCGCCCACCACCCGGATTCGAAGCCATTGTTGGGCCTTCGGTCTTCAAACAATTGGTCAAGGTCCACGAAAGCACCGATCTTACGGTCCCTGAGAAGAAGAATATGATTGACCTGATCATGAGACAAGTGCCTCGTGCCCAACTGGAGAAACTCCCTTTGCCTCCAGGATTCGACCTTCTTCCATTTGAAGCCATCCAAAGAGTCCGAGCAATCTTCACCAACTTTGAAATCAACTGGGATGAGAGACATCGTCTTGTTATGAACTTTATTCAACAACTTCCTCGCGAACAACGTCGTCTTCTCCGTCCCTCACCTCCTCCATTCATCATGGAACTTCCAGTTGAGGTCAGAGAACAGATCGAAGATATCTTTGATGACGTTGCTTTGAGTCCACCAGAAAGATTCCACAAGATGAGACTGGTCTTCCAGAGTTTGCCTGAGGAAATGAAGGCTCGTCTTCCTCCTTTGCCAGACAAAATGCCTCCTCCACCACCAATGATGACCAGCTTGTAGATTGGCTAGTTAGCCTGATAACTAATTTATCTTGCTGCGATTTTTTATACATATTTCGTCCAAGTACAAACTCGCATTTTCTGCGAGTTATCTTTCGGTTATTGTAAGTACTGTAAGCTGTTAATTAAGATCTACAAACTCCGAAAGTTCTTCAATCTCATTCCTAATACGGTCTATCTTTCAAGTCCATGTTATCGTATCCTTCCTATTGACTCAGCTCTTCCAGAGGGCAATGTTGTTGTAAATTTGTAATTGTTAATTCGCATTTACTTTGTATAAAATAGAAGAATATATGAATTTACTTTATAATGATGACAAATAAAAACAATTCAAGCAATTATCGGTTTTTTTGTTGCCTAGCATAAACAGGGTACTGTAATTGTATAGATGCGAGAAAGTCCAACGAACAATTTATTTAAAGCCATCGCTCACAATAGAAATGACAATAATACGGCCGTAATAAATTAGGAAACTTTGAAAGTCACCTTGACGTGTACCTTGTGACCCTGAAGGCATTTGAAAACCAAGATTCACTTAATCGTTCGAGAGCCGGTTGACTGTAGGAATACACTAAGTGATATACAGATGGGCAAAAATATTTGTCAATTTCTTTTAAGCAGTACCAAAAATAGTAGCGGTAATAAAATTAAACTTACCTTGCACTGATCTTCAGCGATCTAAATAGATTCGATAAAAGGCTTAGGAAACAAAGTTGTAAACAACTTTGAAAAGACTCACGTAGCTATTTTCAAGCAGTTCTGGAGACTAATTTATTGCTTGAGACCTCGGATGGCCTCGAAGTTTTGTAACAAACACTCAACATAACTCAACGCAATTCCAAACTGTCTATTTCTCTTACTGTAAATCAGGCTGTCAGACATTTTACAACGTCAAAAAGAAACTTTTGCAGTGAATTCCAGTAATCTGCAGACAAAAAGAAGATTCGTTGAAAGATCTTTAAAAATTTTGAAGAGCCTTTAAAGAGTTAAACTGAAGGTACTTTTAATCGATCATGTTAAGAAGATGACCGGAGACGTCAGTTTTTAAAGTAACGACAATTCAAAGGGCAGAATTGGTGCAGGTTGCAAAAGTTCAAGCAAAAATTGTTAGTGCACTTTGGTTTTAACAATCCATTTTTTGCGTTTTTATAAGTAATTTGGATCGTAAATATAAGGAAGTCCACAGGCAGACTTGCCAACATAAGAAGAAGGAGCTCAGAACTCCTGTGGCCAATCAGTCAAAACATTTGGAAACTGCAAGAGATTTAACAGCCCATGAGATACCTTTTGGATCATAAACCCTTCCTTGCATTCTGCATAATACATTTGAAGCCAAATTTAGTGTCATTGTGACCTTCTTTCTTAGACTTTAACATGTCCGACGTTGCAGCTTTGACTTTTACCAAGTTCAGGGGTCCATGAAAAGGCTGATCAAAGACCTGTCGCCGTAAGACAGGCTTTGGCCAAAACATCCTGGAATTGCAGTGAGAGCCTTCCCAGTATATAACCAACTCGCTTGTAATTCTGTCCATTTTCCGTTTATGGAATTTTACTGATCTCCAAACATCAAGCACTTCCCTTGTCTATTCATAAAGATCATCCGTTTTCTAAGACCAGTCAATATCCCGCAGTTAGGACTTATAACTCATAATACAGAAACCGTAGGAAGTATTTATTTTTAGCTCTTCAGCATAAACTAGATCAAAAGACTGTTCTGATTCTCTGATCACAAACTCCACATGAAAACTGATCTGCGATGTTGAAGTAGAGAACGCTAGAAGGGACGTAGACGTCTTACCAGTGATCGGACATGATTGATCGCTCCCCTTGATGGTAGGTCTTTCACAATCGGGGAAAGGAGAATCGCCAAATTTGGAGAACAAAACACTTTCAGGATTTGAGAATGTGGTCTGGTTTGTAGTATGTCCACAGTTTATAGTTCGTATTTCATTAATTATTTTTAATATGTCATCACAAAATACTGTAAAGACCAAGGTATTTGTATAAATTGACCTTTAAATTTCTGTGATTGCATCAAAAGTCCGTGCCAAAACTTGAGCATCAAAAGAGCAAGAAGTACAGTAACCAGTGATCAGAATACACTCCATTTGAAAGATATTGTCTGACCTTTGAGTTCAGAATCTCCAAAGTGTAATATAAGTATAACAGAGATCAGCCACAGACCTTTCTTTTGATGGAATTCAGCTGAATAACGGCTGGAAATCGTGTACTATGATCGATATGGGAGTCATCTTCGTTTATTCTTTAAGGAAAGTATTCCTCGTACTTTTAATGAGATCCAAAATCTTTGCAAAACGTTTTTTAATTAACTTATATTAACTTTATTGCAGTAAGGCTAAGTGGGTCACATAAACATACGCAATATAAACATGGTCTTTGTAAACATCTTAATAGTACAAAGAGTGCCATGGAGTTGTTATTATTTACACATTCTTGTACATTTGAACAGAACCAGATGTTCGGTCGATACACGGGTCGCCGAGGAAAGGGCCATCCATCACTCCGTTCTTTTATTTCTCCTTTATTTCGATGAAAAAAGATCTTAAACTTTCATCAGAATTCTGTTTTTCAAAGATTGGCTTCTGTAGAGATGGCGGAAGTCTCTTGATTGGTATGAAACTTGAAACAGAGAAAAGACCTCCGTCTTTATTACGGTAATATGGATACAGTATCATCATTTCGTCATCAGACAAATCTATGAGCTGCGATGTAATTCTTTTAAAAATTTTCTAGGCTTATCAGGACTGTAAAACGATGCGGAAGTTATTTCTTCCACACCGCTTTACAGTTTCCACTTCTCAACTGACAACTTTCAATTTGGAACAGGATAGCGAAGACCTTTACAGGGTGTACCAAAAAAATGGAAACTTTTTTTTCATTTGTCCTGACGCGAAAGTGGTTAGGTGTAGCCAAAGAAGTTTATTACTACAAAATTCTCTGTGTTTTTCTGTCCTAGTGGTTTGATTTTTACGCCCATATCGATTAATCGACCTGTTTTTTTGAACCTCAAACAAAGGGACCTCGATTTTGGACTTGTTTTTGGAGCTGTTCGAACAGTTAATTTGCTCGGTATAGAAAGAACGTTGTGTCGAAAGTAATCACGAGGCCCAAGGAGCTTGATACGGATAGTAAGCGCCCAGGAAGTGAAAGAAAACGCACCGCCAGTGCTTCTTTCAACCGAAAAATCCCCCATAGCAAAATCCGCGATTTTCAAGAAAAAATGGCCCTTGAGACTGACATCAGCGACCGATCGCTCGGCCGAATAGTCAAAGGCGAGCTCAACCTCTTGTCATACAAGCTCTAAAAAATTCAGATCTTTAAAGTCGAGAGAAAGTGCGTACAGCGCAAAAATGTCGGAAAGTCAAAGCGGTGCGCCGCAGCTCCGAGACGTGAGCGCATTCAGTTCGCGGTTCAATACTTAGCGGATACACAACCACCAGAACGGTAAAATCTGCTTCAATGAGGCTCCTAGCCCTTGGCCATCGTCGAATACCACCAAAATCCGGGTCGTCATTGCTTAAGGCGGAATTTGTGCCAGAGGCAAGAATTCCATGTTTTCCGTGAATAAATAGGACAAAATACTAGCGCCGCGTTAATTTCTATTTTGTCGTGCTTCCGTGAGCACAGCAGAACCTTGGCAATGCAAAATTGGCGTTTCAACAGGACTCAGCGCCGGCTCACAAGGCAAAATCAACTCAGGACCCGAAATGGGACCGATTTTCCCGATTTTATCCCGCCTGCGAAATGGCCGCCTGCTCGTCAGGTCTGAATCCAATGGACTATATATTTTTTTAAATAGAAGGCCAGCACCTGTACTATGCTCCACAAAAGTTTGGAGTCGCAAAGTAAATGATGCGCCAAGAACGGGACCGATTTCCCCCCTAAAAAGCTGCGGCCCGGACCCCAAAATTTTACGTCACGTTTGGAGCTCTACAGGGTGTTTCAAGAAATTTGGAAGAAACTAGTTGCGAATATTTTTGAGCTCTTGCTAGTTATCGCAGAAATTCTTTTTGTTTCTAAAACTTGACAGCGGGCGGTTTTGTACTGAACAAAAAAAAAAATTTTTTTCGTCGGCGGAGAGGCCAGTTCTCGGCGGAGGCATTTGGGGCCTTTTTTAAAAATCACACCTTATTACATCGTGGAAACTCTGTTACAGTGGCCAAAATCATGTTTACGTTAAACCCCCGTGGATTTTACGGTATGCTTTTTTTGCGTTTTCGATTTTACGCAACATCCGCGGAGGCGCGGCGGAGACCTCAGATTTCGGCGGACTTTGTTTTGGGCCCTCGGTTTTTGCAAATCCATGTTGGAAAAAAGGTTGGGGCGATTTTTTGTTGTCATCCGATGCACAGATGGCAAAAATTTTGTACTTTTTTCCCCCGGCGGAGGATTCGGCGGAGGCTTTATCAAAGGGTCAAAACAAAAGTTTGACTCTTTTGATAAAGCCTCCGCCGAATCCTCCGCCGATGTGTCCGCCGAACCAAAAAATAAGAAAAATGATGTTGCTGTGATGGATTCTTGTAGCTGAGTTTTTTCCCGGACTCCTAAGACTGTTCTGACCCTTTGATAAAGCCTCCGCCGAATCCTCCGCCGGGGAAAAAAAGTGCGAAATTTTTGCATCTGTGCATCGGATGACAACAAAAAATCACCCCACACTTTTTTCCAACCTGAATTGAATGATCCAAAGAGTCAAAACGACGTCCGCCGAAACCTGAGGTCTCCGCCGTGCCTCCGCGGATGAGCGAAAATCGAAAACAAAAAAAAGCATACCGCAAAATCCACGGAGGTTTAACGTAAACATGATTTTGGCCACTGTAACAGAGTTTCCACGATGTAATAAGGTGTGATTTTTAAAAAAGGCCCCAAATGCCTCCGCCGAGAACTGGCCTCTCCGCCGACGAAAAAAATTTTTTTTTTGTTCAGTACAAAACCGCCCGCTGTCAAGTTTTAGAAACAAAAAGAATTTCTGCGATAACTAGCAAGAGCTCAAAAATATTCGCAACTAGTTTCTTCCAAATTTCTTGAAACACCCTGTATATCGCCACCAAAGGCAGCCACGGTGAAATAGGTTGAATATGTTATAAACAATGCTCTATGTTACCAATCATGACCGTTACTTTTGCTGAATTTTGATTCTCCGAAAAAATATAGCTATAAAAACAAGTTTCCATTTTTTTGGTACACCTTGTAGAAGCTCAGAAAACATTGGTAACGAAAGCCAATTTGCGAAGGGGTTCCCTGCCAAAAAGATTTGCAGGAAGTGAAGCAATTGAGGACCATTGATTTTTTGTGATATCCGCGACATTTCCGGAAATCGGACAATTCTGTAATAGTGGAATAGTGACATTTTCACTATTCCGCTATTACAAAAACAAAAGATAAGGCCTGTAACTATCATCTGAATGGATTTACTACTATTATAATCAAGAAAATGAACAAAATTTTTAAGATTAAGAACAATAAATCCATTAAGACTGTTCAGACGGCCGTCTGAATCATCTTCTGTAGACGGTAGTTCAGAGCCTCATTTTTTGTTTTTCCCTGTTCGGAAGCGTCACAATTCCGCCATTCCGAAAGTGTCCACGTTCCGGAAATGTCTTGACGCGGTGATATCTCGGCGCAAAAAGACCTGAGAATTTACACAGTGCAATTTTGGCGTGTTTCGGCGCGCGATTCCCATTTTTCGCAGCGAAAAATCCTTTTCGAATGCGACAAATTTTCAGAACTTTTTTGCGCCGAGAGTAAATATTGCATCTGTACATCATAAGGACTGTGAAAAATTGAAAAATAGGGCTTGAATTCTTGACAAACATTTGGAAAATAACCGGAATATTTTACGGCCTAGTGTGCATCAAAATCTCCGCTTTTCATCGCATATGATATTTTTGGAAACTTAAAATTATGTGTGTTTTGTGTTCTGTAAAGCCGAAAAAGAAAGTTTCAAGCTATAAGAACTACTTGTATTTTGTCATTTAACCAACTTTCTGGACCAAAACAGAAACAAAAAGTAACATGCCATACTTTTAGGCCGATAACAAGGTTAACTTAATTATCATCAATATTACCACATCTTTTCTTTTGTTCTAGAACAAAAAAAGTTGTATTCTTGTTCCGAAGGGTGATGTAATCGTGTTTGTTTCATTGAATCTATCATTGTCTACGCTCCTCGGCGAGTCGAAGAAATCAAAATAACTCTAAATGACAGTTCCGTTCATATTTCGGACGAAAACTTCTTTTAATACTTTTACTACAACTATTTTAGGCAGTTGTACAATATATAATCTATGCCTAAAAGAAACGTCAAAATCATGCCAGATTTTTGCAGAAAGCCGCAGGCAACGCCTCGCTTCTAAGACTATAAATTCCGCCACAAAATTCGGCCCATAAATTACACCGAAAGTTACGGAATTTTCGTCCGCCGGTGATATATGTGATGAGATCGGCGGTGAAAAAGAACTTCCTATCAAAGATAAGGAAATACTCCCTGATTCCGACTGCATTCTACTTTATTGGTTGACGCCAATTGGATGGATCATATGACAAAAAAGGGTTACAAAATGTGTATTTACAACTTTTAAAGAAGTCTTAAATTGTTATTGATATCATGAAGAAAGTCTTTCTGGGAAAATAAAAGGCGAATGTCTGAGTAATAAAAATGGGAGAATGCAAAAAAGATGTTTGCAAAATGGCACAAAGCCTATGCCCGATATGGTAAAAACCGGACCTAGATTACCACGTCTTATCGTTAGAATCATGGAGTAAATCACATCGTCTGAGACTACTTTAACATTGCTTGGAACGCGGAAGAAATATGGCGGGGGAATTACGAACGATTCCAATGCCTAAAAGGTATAACACAAGTTTGGCTTCCTGTAAGCATTTTGTGCGAACTCGCCTTCTCTTACTCATAAATCCCCTGAGAAGCCTCTACCACACCTCTTCCGGGACGTCAAGGCTACGTCGAGCATCTAAAAGTCCTCCAGTCTCCACCGCGGTTGAAGTGTTTGATGCAGATTAGCTGCAACGACCGAATGCGTGGGTGGCGGCAATACAAACTCGGATTTCTTTGGACTTCCTAATCGCTCGATAAAAAATCAAATTTTTGTGTCTTCAACGTTTCCGAAACACGTAATTTTAAAATTGAATAATTCGCAGGAATATCTGCGTCTCACAACGAAAACAAGGAAAGAAATTCTCAAAAAATCTCCACTATGTGAGACGTGGCCTTTTTAAAGTAATTCTAACATGAAGCGACATGATCATGCTTTAGAAGATACACACAGAGGATACCTAATTGTCAGCAAAATAAAAGAGGTCTATATTGGTCATAAAAGTTGGCTAATCTTTTCCAAAAAATCGAGCTATTCTTGTCGTTTTATAGAAATCCTCGGTGAAAAAGCTTTGCTAGAGAGCGAAATGTTTGTCATGTGTTCTGGAAATTTGTTCATGTAGTTTTGATATTACATATATTCAACTAAAAATCGACATATTTAAAAAAATTAGGGATTTTTAATTACCGTATCTCCGGACTTGATTTTTGTCTAGTCGAATTTAAAAGGCACTTTGAAATTTAAAAAATAATTTCAAAATTCGCAGACGGTCTCAGAGACCATTTGATGGCTAGAGCAAAGTGTAATCATCAACAAAAACAATCTTTAAAGATCTTTGCTAATCCGGAGACGGAAATCAAATTAAAATACCGCAAGTGATTGACAGGATGTCCAAATTTGAAAGGTCATATAAATTACACTATTAATCGTGTTGTAAAAAGCACAGTGAACTCAGCAAAGGATTATGTAATCGCAGAGAAGATAGTCAAGCAAATGTATCAGTAACTGCAAAAGACACAAAGTCTGGGGCCGAGAACCGAACCGTGATCAACGACGTTACCCCCTGCCCTTTAAAAGTCAAACTGTTTTATTTTTGGTTGTCTGCTTTTTAAATAGACCCCTTAAATGTTTAAAAATAGGCTGCTGAACCTTTAAAGATCTGACTCTGGAGGTATTTTTAGATTTCCGCCTTCATTTCGTTGACAGATTCCCGATCCATTCATTTCGGTCATCAATCAAGAAAGAAGCTCGAGGCGAAGAGGAATGAAAAAGGAACAATTTTTAAAGAATATCGAGAGTACATAGTCCGTTTTTGATGAAATGAATTGTGATTTAAGGTAAGAATAAGGTGACACGGTACGTCGATGACCTAAGCCCGATTACGACAAAGAAAACCAAAAATTCAACGTTTTTGCAACGCAAGAAAAGCGATGTTTTGCCGCAAAGTTGACAAAGACATGACATTCCATGTAAGATGTTTTGGTCCCCACTTTTTGCAACTTTTCTATCATGGATTGCTTTCGTCCTGAAAGAACTTGTCGCTTTTTGGTAGGTCGCTTCGGCGGGAGCTACTCAAGGGCAACATGAGCGTTCGGCAACTCCTTTAAGGTGCTCTACTCTTAAAGGAGTTGCCGAACACAGCTCCACTGAATTGATGCATGGCTATCGTTTGGCTGACTTGAGTTGGAGGCTTTGCCGAAACTATTCCGACTCACGGTCCGAAAAACCTAAAGCCAAGGTAGCCAATTCTTTCAGTGGCTGCAGAAAAATTTAAAACTGGAGGAGAACATGATAAAAACACGGGCCTAGTGAAGGCATGTCTGTCTTCTACAAGCCTTGTTGAAAGCAGCCTTGAATACGTGGACTGCACTTGCAAAACGGAAGCAAGGACTTTTAGGAATCGAACTGTGAGCATTTAGGCTTCTGTGTTCCCGTTCTTTTGCCCTTCTGCAATTACTTCGTCAAAAAATTTTAATTTTGAGAAAATCGCCGAGGTTTGTCTATGTCTCATTTCCAAATTCATTTTTCCATTTTTCTTCTCCAAATCGGTCTCTTATAGCGATGCGTGACAAAGATATTTCTGGTTATGATGGTCAACACGAGGCAGCGCTGACAGAAAGCCAAGTAATCGAACTGTGGGAATCTCAGTACTGTTTGAGCAGAGAACAAGCCGTCATGGTGGAGCCGGATGATGTAGGTTTATTTTAATATCACGACATTTATAATCAAAAATTACTTTTGTTTCATTTCAGAGGTTCCAATACCTGCTCTATGCAACCATGATGATAGTTTTGATACTCGGATTTTTTGCTGTATCAGCGAATGGAATGGAGCAAGTGTTGAAGTCGAAGAAACGTGCAGGGAAGTGTGCCGCGGCCAACATGAGACTATCCTTCAACTATATGGAAACACGGAGGAAAAAGAAAATCGAACTCGAGGAACAGGCAAACAAAGGTGAGCAAGACTTAAAATAGGGCCGTTAATTTCACAGAATTTTTCAAAATGACGCAATTTGTCAAATTGTCTTAATTTTGGACAAATTACATATATAACATTGCACAATATTGCGCAAAGTTCTCTTATCTGAGCGATAGGGGCATCATTGTATGTAAATCTCTCAAACGCAAGCCAGGAACAGATTATGGTGAACATTGTTCATATTAGTCTGTCATTAAAATAGTGGTGGTTCGTCGCAACGGCTAGCCGCAGCTGGAACTTTGGCGCGCGACTGCGGCCTTTTTTCGACGACGCGAAACATTTTGCTGCGACGACTCCCACTATTTTTCCGACAGATTGATACTGTCTATATATTAGTCGCAATATATAGATATTACATTTTTTCTTTCCTTCTGCCAGACATTGTCTATTTATTGGATATTTAGTTTCATTTTTTCTAAATGTCATCAAAATCTGACATATTTTTTGTTATTCATCCAACTGTTTCTAATGGAAATTTTTGATTTTCAGGGAAGAAATTCATCGATGACAATGAGGAAAGGGATCCCACAAAATACGAGACGTGACCCTCACCCAATTCTCTCTTCAATTATTCTGATTTTCCTGTTTTTCTGGCTTCTGGAAATAAACCCTGTTTTTCCTTGGAAAACGAGTAGTTGTGGTTCAATTTCGATTACAATCAAGTCGACGTAGTCTAAAACTCAGAAATATTGTGATATTTTTTAAATTAGTAATCTACCGCGTGTTGCGCAGCTTTTTTGCGCTCCTTCTGGAATTTTTTGTTTGGAAGTAGGCATTGGACGTATGACCTTGCTCGGTTTTATCTTGATTTATTTTTTGTTTAACTTTTTGATACTTTGTATTTTCTCTTATATTTCGATAAAATTGATTGTTAAAGATGATTGAATCCGTACATACAACAGCCAAATTGAATGCAAATGCGGATTTTAATTTGAATTCGGACGAAAGGAAGGTGGTTAATGAACTGAAGAAGTATCTGGGACAAAAAGTGATCGATGAATCCCCCTTATTCAATGATGATATGTCCTTGCTGCGATGGTGTTTGGCATTCGACAATAAATATGGTATGGAAAAAGACTGCACCGAATGGGGAAAGGAAATGAAGAAGGAGTGTGGCCTTGTGGCGTAATGGATAACGCGTCGGACTTCGGATCCGAAGATTGCAGGTTCGAGTCCTGTCAGGGTCGAATCAACTTTTGCTTTTTTTTGGAAAAAAAGTTCTAAAATACAAAAATTATTAAATTTTTTTGATTACTAAATTATTTGCTTTTCAGATCTAATTGTCGAAAAGTATCAAGACACGAGCAAAACCTTGGCTTCCATGAAATTATATGACGTTGAATTCAATGACGTCGATGACATCAACGAGTTCTTTAAGAGTTACCATGCGACTGCTGAGTATTATGCAGGTAACGTTCAACGTCCTAGAATCTCAAATTTAGGCGGTCTGGTTGGTCAGGATAAAGATGGAGATTGGATTTTGTGTCAAGTCATTGGCCGCGTAAAACCAAAACAATTTGCTTACTGTGGAAGAGTCAGCGATCTCTTCAAAGGAACATTAATGAGTAACATCATCTTGTATAACTTAGTGAGACAAACTGAGCGAAAGCAAAGCCGACGGTGCGGGATGAAATTGATATATGACCTTAATGGACTTGGCAAAGAACATTTCTATCCACCGACTGTCAAAGTTTATCTGAATGTACTCAAGCTGGCACAAGTGAGTAACAAAAAAGAGGTATATATTGTTTTAGGACCATTTCCCCGAATTGATGCACCGGGTTTTTATTATAAACGCCCCTGGGATGTTTGCTTCAGCTTACAATGTCTTCAAGTCAGTCTTGACGACCAGGCTCAGAAAACTTGTCGAGATTATGAATGGCGATTACAAAGCGAGAGTATTCGACCAATTGGGCCAAGAAAACGTATATCCAAATTGGGGAGGGACCAAGATTCCAAAGAGAGGCCTTCCGGGATGTGGAACATTACTGATGGCTGGGCCGATTCCAGAACATTTCAGGTAATCTTCATTCAGCTTTTCAGTACTTTATATAGACCGTAATGTAGTCTCATAATTTTAGATACTCCCCAGAGAAGAACCCTCTTCATGTCAATGACAAACAACTCAAAAAGATCTCTGTTCCGCCTCGGCAAGAAAAAGAAGTTCGGATTCTTGGCCAGAAAGGCCATAAACTCGTTTGGTTTCTCAAATCATCCTCAGAAATCGACTTCTCCGTATGGTTGGGAGAGAAGATTCTGCGACCAAAATTCAGAATCCAAACAGATTTTGTTCCTGAATTCGATGAAGTGGAGATCGACGAAGATGGAGAGATTGTGCTCGTATTTGATAACAAATTCAGTACATTCAGCAAGAAAAGCATTTATTACTATGTTGATGTGAAACCGAAAGATTGATAATTTCTTAATCTTTAGTTTGCTTACTGATCAGTATATTATAATAAAAAAATATAAAATGAATTCGACCCTGACAGGACTCGAACCTGCAATCTTCGGATCCGAAGTCCGACGCGTTATCCATTACGCCACAAGGCCACGGTTCGTTTCCACGCGTTTCCTTTACCTTTTCAAAGGAATTATCTCCTTTACCGTAATTGTAGTCGACTGTCAAACGTGGACGTCGTGCCGAAATGCCTTTTAATAGTGGAGACTTATTGAGAATTGTCCTAGAATCCGCGTGGCTATGACTTTAATCCAGTTTTTCGTAGCCAGTTGGAGCTTGGCAGCCAATGCAACCTTCCGGCTATCAGTGGAACTCTTTATTATTTACATAGATCTATGGAAGACTTAAACTTTTTGGTACGGAAATTATTATATTCGTTGTCACCATGTTCTTCTGATGGACACAAAATGGTCCACCGTTGGACTGCAATGGCTGAACGAATTTTTACGCTAATTATAAGCCATAGATCGTAGCGGAAAACCCTACATCGGCGGAGTCCGCAAATGTATCCCCAGCTGAATGTCCGGTACTTGTCCTTGTAAAAATTTTCAAATTGTCTTTTTGCTGCCGTTGTGTAGAACGTCGACCGTACCCTTTCCTCAACGCCCATTCAAAGTCTATGCTTTCTTTTGGCCCTTATGTCAGTCAGTAAATGAAATGGATGTATTTTAGGTTCAAGTTGGTGACAGGATACGAATTGGAAAATAAAAGTAAATCTTAAAACAAAGTGGCATATTGCTCGTCGGGGAAGGTTTCAGGTTCAACCTTTGCAGCTCCAGCTGGAGCTCTGACAACTTTCTGCAGCTCTTCAGGGAGTTGGCTGACCATCTCCTTGACTCTCCTCACACGCTCAGAGGCAGTTATGGAGCGGTCCATGCGAAGTTCTCGGAACTTCTTCTTGTATTCTTCCGGGAGTCTCTCAAGTCCTGGAGGAAGCGGCAGTTTGGCCAGAACGTCCTGAGGCAACTTATCAAAGACTTGCTGAATAGCTACACCACGCTGTTCCATGGTCAGATGTCGGTCCCAATGAAGTTCCAACAGTTTCCGTTTGGATTCAGCAGGCAATAGCTCAGCAAAGCCGGGAGGCAACAAATCTTGGGCCGCGGCAAAGGCCAAGGCGGCCAACAATATTAGAGTAACGGACTTCATTTCTTTGAGTTTACTCTGAAATACGAACGGATCTGTTGTTCAGCCGTTTTTATACAGATTACTGCACCGGCTGGGTACAAGTCCGCCTTCGTTCGTTTAGTTCGGAAGGCGGGGTTTGCCCTTTGGGCGGTTGACGGAGCGCGGAGTTTGTAGTGGCGATTCTCTGCAAGAGCAGGAACCTCTTTCCCCACAAAATATATGTACAATACACTGGACAGTGAGGCTATGTGAGCAACTAAAATTAGTAATCTTTATGAACTCTACTGGCAGATAAAGACTCAACAACAGTCATCTGTTGATCCTTCAGTGCAAACTTTGGAAAAGAAATTAACTCTTATTTTGGGAGTAAAAATTGTTTCCTCATCGACGTAATAATAATCAGTCCACTGGGATGAGGATGTATTTATGGGTATCACGAAACTGACTTGTCATTATGATTTAGTTTCCATTAAGACAAAGGGTAGTAAAATAGGACAAGTTTGCAACATGGCCATTGAAAAATTTCTTCTAAGAAGTCATCGACTGGCAGACAGATCAACAACAAAGATCTCTATATTTCATCATAAACCGAGTTTGATTTATGTCTCAATCACGTTGTCGGATCCATCATTGTCACAATGAGTAATCCTGATTATCGGAAATAGTTTGATGAAATCGAAGAAGAATCGACCCAGCGTCAACTCTTCTTGAACGACTTTTATTGCTACGAAATGGTCCGGTGCCTTTGGTAAGTCGAAGTTTGTTTGAAAATGCTTTGGCCAAACTCCAAGACGGTAATTCCCGAATATTTTTTGTAACAATTAACAAAAAGTAATATCCTGAATGTATATTGGGTGTTATTAAACCCGATGGTGAAACATTTGTGGTGTTTGTAACATTTGGGGGCGACAACAAAGTAATCCATCATGATTACTAAAACTTTGGTAAACGACCGAGAACCAAGGTAAACAGTGGAAGGAAGTTTCAGCAAGACATAATAGAGTTTGAATTGCACAGCATTCCTTAAATCTGCAAGTTTCCCAATGAAATTATTTCGAATTTTGATTGCTTACAGTCACTTGGCCATTGCAAGAAACAGATTGTGTACGTCGGACATTTCCATTGCATTTTCATTTGCCGGAGTTTAATTTATAACGCCGCAGACTGATGTCCAATTAATCATCCCAGGCTTTCCAAAATTTAACAAACCAAGTGGTCAAAATATTAAATCTTTGCGATTTGACGAATTGCCAGTGCGGATCGTATTTTCATACACTCGGCTGAGGTGCATATAATGGCATTTGACCCTTTAATTAAGAGTCATTAGAGTAGAATAACTTTTCCATATTTGGCGGCCTCCATTTACCGCCTTTCATTCCGACCTCCCGACGCGTTTTATGGCGTTTAATGACCGTATTTAGCGGATGGCGGGATAATGAGTCGGCCCTCGGGAGGGACATTCCTTGAGGTCGGAGTTTATGGGCAGGGTTTTGTATTCAAATTGGTGAACAGCGAAGGGAATGGGGGCTTGATTTCCAAAGTTTTTCATCTTATTTTAGCGGGAAGTTTGAAAAATTTGCAAAAGGTACTACTTCGCGCTGAATTAAGATTACGGTGGACCCGGGCGTAAATACGAGATTATTTTTGAATTTTACATTACGATTTTGCTTACAAAGTCAGAAAAATATAGCGAAAGTCTCATTTTTTTGCTTGCCAAACTTTATTTGCCGTACTACCCAACGGTTGTTGATTATTTTAGTTCAACTTAAAACCCAAAAATCTCAAAGGTTGAAATTTTGTGTCTCCTTTTTGAATAACTTTTCATAATCATGGCGACAAATTTGGAAATGATTTTATTGCAGCTCGGTCTTGCTTTGGACACCAAGCTCAGGCCATTTATCCTCTCTCCCATTTACTTAGCCCTCAAGATCTGAATCCTTCCTCCTCTTCTTTTCCTCCACATTTTTATTGTTTAAATTTCCGCGCGACTGAATTCCTTGCAAAGAAATCGGTGGATTTGTTTTGGAGAGCACTCAGGGCCACAAATAATTTTATGGCCATGACAATGACATCGGCAAGTGGACACAGCGGATTTCACGACTGGCTGATTTCGGAGTAAAACTTCTAACGAGCTTGGTGAGGGCTCGAGGAGTTTGGGTTACCGAGATTGTGTGGTTTCATGATGCGTTAGTTGTCTTAATAGTTTGAAAATTTCATGACATAAGGCTTCAAGAACCCCAGTCCGACCCTTTTTGCGGGTGGATTTACAATTAGTTACAGTCGAATTGTCATAAACAGAGCCTTTCCCTTTCCTGTTCCGCCGTTCGCTGCCTTCCCTCTCATTTATTAATTTTTGTTAATCCCCGACTTCTTTTGCGGTTGAATCCGGCGTTGATTTTGGGGCGCCAAACCGGAAGCCAAGTGTCAGAATAACAATTTGGCCGCTAATGCGCAATCCTTGGCCACTCCGCCGTTGGAACATCAGATTTGGCTTATTTGGGATGCCCAAGTTCAAGTCGGGTCTTTCCCAACATCGCACTTATTCAGAGCATTTAAATTATAAATTAATTCATCGTTCTGCCATCATAATCTTCGCCTTCTCCTTTCTAGATGTCACTTCCAGAATGGGGCCGTTTAATTCTAAATTAATTGCCGTTCTCTTCTCATCCACACTTGTAACCTCATTTCCCTTCCATATTTAGATTACAGTAATTATTGTAATTAAAATGTTTCCCTCTAATTTGAATAAAACTGGGCGGAGTTGCGGGGCAAGGAGTTGGAATTAACGCGATTTGTGTTTCGAGCCTTTCCCGGCCATATGGCCCGAATTTGGTGGACAATGCGGGCCTCTAATTAGCGCCTATTTTTTTGGAACATCTTCGAGACCCGGGCTTTCTTGGCATGGTTTAATTAGAAAGTGTTTGGGTTCAGGGTTTTGCATAATAACAATACAAAATTCATAGCTTTGGGGGTGCAGGTTGACTGATTTTTCGGATCTGGAAGGTTCGCCAATTAAGTGATAAGGTCTCTAGCAAATAACTAATTCATATTTAATTGTGTTATTTCGTTGTAACCAAAGTAATGCAACTGAAAATCAAGTTATGCCCCAGAAATCTCCGAATCCCTGGCCGAAGCCCTCGAAATATCTCCGGCCATCTCCAAATCCTCTTTTCCGGATTATCCCGAATCGACCGGTCGAGCGGAAAAAGGGACAAATCATTTAATGGATCCGTAAATAATAATCGAACGGATTTACGACAGTAACGGGGACAGGTGTGTTCGCAGCGAGTTCTGACTATGCTCCGGAAACACGACGGTTCTCTGGGTTCCGAGCGTTCTGTTTTCGCGATTTCCGGGCCCCCCATTGTTGCGTATTTTACGTGTTTTTGGCCATTCTGTTGAATCTTTCCTTTCTCCCAGAGAAACTTTGAATTTATCCCTTTTCCTTTAAAATTTAGATTAAATTGTCTTTGCGCTGCCCGTCCCTAAAACGACTGCCTTCGAAATGGAACGACCGTGCCCGTTCCCTCAGGGCTCATTCGAATTCCATTTTTTTTCTTTGGCGCATTGGAAAGTGGCCAGTAAATTAAGCTGATATATTTGGGGCTCAAGTTGATGATGGGAGATCAGAAAGAGAATACAAATAAGGAGAGGGGGTGGGTGTTACGTAGAAAATTTAAATGTAAGTGTTTCGATGATGGCTGAATTCATATTTAAACAGTCGCAACTCGCAGCATGTCGTCCCGTCGCCTTGTAATTTCCCCTTTCCGGGATTTGTTCTCGCGCACCGAGTCGAAAGCAGAATTTCATAAATGGCACTGCCGACATTGCCCGGTCCCCGCTCGGATTACCTTTTCCATACACTTTTAATGCACGGGAATAAAGTTGCATTCGACCTTTCACGGGCGTTTACGACGTTCGGAGGGATCCCATTTTTATTTTCCATATTATTTTTGACATCTGGATGTAAAAAAGGAGCTCCTACATTTGTCCAATCCAAGGTCAACGGTTATTTTCCGAGGTAGAATGGCGGTCAATTTCCGGTTCCCACGCCTTATGACATTGCCCGTTATCGGGCCCTCCTCCCCGTACATCGAATGAGATGGCTCGAATTTGGACCACTTTTTGTTTCCACTTGTTTTTTATTACAATATTTTGGGATTGCTCACCAAAACCCAAAAAAAATTGTTTCTAACTTTTGGCAGTGATTTTTCGGCCGCGATTTCAAAACCCAAGGCCAAGGAGTCAGGGTTTTTGCACGCGTGTTTGCCAAGTACTTGGGAAGACAATAGATCGTATCTTCGTATGTGTCGCTCTATTTTCGCCTCTCAATACAGCTGACGATTAAATTTTCGAGTTTTTTTGGAACGCGTGACCTCTTCCGGTGATATAATGTTACATATATCATCGATATTCTCATCGGTCGTTGAGCTGCTCATTTCCGGGCTAGATATTTATTTTTAATTTAATTTTTTCGGAATTTTTCCGTAAGGATTGGGCCGAATTTTATGGGCCGACGCGGAAAATTAAACCCAGAATTGGCCAAATTAAAATATGCAAATAAGAAAGGGTGGAGGGGCCGTGGGTGGGAGCACTGGTACGGCAGTGTGAGGAATTCTGTAAGGAGAACTTGTGACTCCGGAGATGAGGGGATTGCGGGTTCTGCTGATAAAATTGTCCTATTTCTTACTGCTCATGTTGCCCTTATTTGGTTTCCTGAACGTCATCCCCAATTTTTTCCAACTCTTGTTGTCGCTGCCTTCGGAAACCGTGTTAACGGATCGAGTCGGGGATTGTTCGTGGGTTTCCTTGGGCCAATTTCAACGGCCTTTAAAGCCCGGCCCTAATCTCATTTCTTTGCGCTGCCGCCGTCTTTGTTTGCCGGATGTCCAAATTTGTTTACCGCGCTTATTTCACAGTGCGCAACAGTGCGCTTTCTTGTCCTTGTTTGGTCGATCGGAAACGGGAAAAGGGTTTACGGATCGAGGAGACCCGATCTCACCGTAGGACGCCACAGGAGCGGCTGAATGGGAAGAGGGATCTTTGCCGTAGGCAAAGCACTTTTAAAGTTCATCCTTTGCTTATAAAAGTTATAAAAGTGTCGCGTGCAAAGGTTTTGTTGTATTTATCATCATTCTTGATATCCAAACATTCCAAAAAACCGCAATATCTTAGCGACTTCAAAGTTTATTTTTTTGAATTTTTTTATTATGCTATAACTCTTTGCCTTCGCATCACCCAACCTCCAGCATGGACTGGGATCACTGTCCGCAAATCCGCGTGAAAGGAGCCCCATAAATCCGAGTGCGGGAAAGTTTGAGAAAAGGTTTAAGGCGCCGAAGTTGCCCCTTTTCAGAAGCCGCTGAATGAGTGCCAACTCCCAGGGTTTCGGTCAGTTCTTTCTTCTCTAATCCACTCCGACAATTGGGTAAGCCGTCTCGGGTGGGGGTGATGGGCTCCAGCACTTTTTTAATCGTCCCCTAATCCAATGTTTCCATCAACATTGGCATATTCTTATGCCGCTCTTATTAGGGGTTCGATGGGGGGTTTCCGTCCCTCAAGTGCCGCTCCCCTTTCTGCAGCTCACTCAACTTGAAAACATGCCGGAGGCGGTTAACGGCTCTTTACACGGAATTGCGCAATAACCCGCACTAACGATGGCTAAACACACTAGAATTCATTTGGGGCAAGGCGGCGACTAAGCACTAACAATCTACTATGATATTAGGGCTGCATCCTCGATGATGTTCTCGGTTCAACCCCGACTTTGATGGTGTGAGAATCCGGAGTTTGAGGGCTTGACCGGATGAGGCAGGGACTTAATGAATTCAAGGCCGGACGCCTTGATTCCTGGCCATTGTTATGATGTAATCCAATCTTGGCCCTTCGTCCTTTCATCGCCCTTTCTTCCTCCCATTCTTGGGCAATAAGGCTTGGCAATTCTTCGGGGAATCGGATTTGGAATGAGCTCGGTTTGCGCGAAGGTTTTATGACCTCTGGCCTTTAGAATTTGAATAATTGGAAATCTATTTATTTTGTTTTAATAAAAAACAATTTTTTTAACAGTTTTAAAAACTGAAATTCATTTATGTGGAAGTCCGTTAACGCTTATTCGACCCTCGTGCTAGATTTTATTAACTTATTTCGCGTGCTAAATAACAGTTTTTTATTCCAGAAAATGCCTTCTCGACTTCTGTACGTCTTCATATTCTCCCTCGTGATTTCGTACGGGAATTGCCAAGTGGCTGAAGAAGATTACGACGAGAATGCAGATGATGACAAACCCCCTCGATTGGCGTATGATCCCGCTATTTATTCGTCGACGGCCAGAGACTTCACTGGAAGATGTATGAAATTGGCGCAGTATTCGGGAGAAAAGGCGTGTGATGTCTTCGAATTATGTTGTTCGACAGACAATGTGCTCAGCAAACTGAACGGTGACAAGTGCCAGTTTGCGGATCCCACGAATGGATGCAGTTTGGATATCTCGGTTCGTTTGGCAACTTGTATATTTTAATTATACATCTAAACTCGCTCATTTTTTTGTTATTTTTAGGGTAACAAGATCCAATGGTCGCAATGTCGTGCCTACAATTGTACGGAGGAGATTACAACCACCACCACGACCACTCAGTCGCCTCGTTATTCGAATTCGAGTCCAGTCAGAGTCGGTGAGTAACTAATATTTCGTTGATTTGAGCATCTAGAGATGCGGCAAAAGTAACCCCAGAATTAGACTAATTCGTTTCAAAGGCCGCCCTAACCAAAAGCTCCCTCTAAGATCTCTCTAAATTAACATTTTGGGTGACATAACTCTCTCGAAACATTCGTTTAGGAACTTTTATTTTAGTGTTAATTCCTGTCTGGAACGGAGGGACATTTAAATTCCCATCAGTTCACATGTTATATGGTAAGGGCTGGATTTTTTGGAATCTAAATACGGGAATAATCGAAGATATATAATTGAATCTCCGATAACGTCAATTGTTCTTTCAGGAATGAGTATCCTCCTACTATTTGCTCCATTAGTCACCAATTTATTGCAACTCTAAAGAAGCAATCTCTGATCGACCCAAAGTGCCCAAAGCTCAATCAAATCTCTTCAGCCAAAGAAATCTCCACTCCTTTTTCATAACTAATTAAATCCCGGCGCTTAATCAAAAAGTCGTATTTTAGACTCAGTAGTTTACCTCCTTTTCTTTCATTTGCAATATCATTAATGTTTGTTTTGAATAAATTATTTTTCTTCGTAATTGGATTATCCAAAGTTTTTGTTTGAGATCGCGATTATCCGCACTTTGCGATGAAACTTGAGATCATTGGGTTAATGTTAGCAATAGAAATATACAGGACAGCTAAGGGACTTCATATGGCATTGTCTATTAGACATCATTTAATGAAAAAGTAAGGATGGGAGGAAGCATCGCATCAAAATATTTTGATCGGTATTTAGGTTTACGACTATTATGGTAGTTAAGGAATTAGATGGCACACAGTGTGTTGTATTGTCCCACTTTCAGGGTTCACGACATGTTCATGTTCAGCTGCTTGTGGCCACACAATTTCAGAAAAGTTTCCATGCAAACTAATTCGTAAAAAAGTCGTACTGGACGTCCAAACTTCGACCAGGGCCAGTTGCGCAAACATGACCGAGACTTTAAATATCCAACTGGAGATGGAAATGGACACAGAACTTTCACTTCTGTTCAAACCATGGTCAGTAAGTCAGCTTTGCTGATCGTTTTCTCTGTTTTTACTGCGGCAAACGGATTCTCATTCAGCGATAGGAAATGGGTAGGATTACTGTAAGGTCTGTAGTAAATATTTTGTAGAAATTCCTTTTGCCGGAAGATACGATGAAGAAATTGGTCGATCTTGATCTCCAAGCTCCCTTAAGTCCGATTGCCATTGATAAAGCGGTGGATGCCGTGCTCTCCAATCAGTCCTCGCATCATCTGGATCAATTGCAACTCCCTCCTTTTTACTCTCAACTCCCTTTTATGGCTAGATGGCAAATCAAGGAGATCCTTTATGACAAAGTCCTTCCTTATACGGATAAACACAAGATGATTCGAGAGATCATCTTCAGTCTTCCGGAGAAGGATCGCAGATTCCCTGTGTTGACGCCAACTGATAAAATGGCCAGACACTCCAGATACTTCGAAGCGTTCAATGCTTTGCAATACAAAGTCACTTTCAACTTTAAGTTAAGTGAAATGAAAGAATCGTTGAGTGAAGTGGATTACAACAGTGTTATTGATGTTCTGGCTAATCACAGCTTGAGTCTGGAGGTAAGGATTAGCTGAAAAAGCGGTTTTATTTTATTGCTCTTTCAGGATAAACTTGCTCAAGTCGAGGAGATCATCTCCCGCCAACCATTCGAAGTTCTGGATCAACTCTTCTTCACGGGAGTCCCAATCGTTGACGCCGAAGTCCGCGAGAGATTCCGCCGTTTGTTATTGGAGAAGTCGTTGTGGAAAGGGCGATCACGTAAAGGAAGAGCCCGAAGTGATTGTCTCATGTGGCCCTGGTGTAATGTGGTCTACAAGGAGAGCAAGAACACGATCAAGGAGAAACCCTATTATCTAAAGCAGTTCCTGCCGCCACCAATGATGAAGAAACCGTTCAGCGTCACCATCGTCAAGCCTTACTTTGTTCAACAAGACAGCAATCTGAAGGGGGAGAATGATAAGAAAGAGGAAAGTCGCATAAAAACATTGCCGATCATTGAGAATCCGAAGCCAGTCGAAGTCAAAAAGAAGATCTTGCCCGTCCCAAGCAAAGAAAATTATTTCAAGCAGTCACTTCCTATTGGAGAAGGTGCCAAAATTGTCATTAAAAGTGATGACAAGGCGAAGAAGATCAATATAATTAATGCCGCCAGGAATGAGAAAGCCAAGACTGAAGGGTTCCTGGATCAACTCTACTTCAAAGAGCACGAAAATGCATTGAAATGGAGCCGGGATGAGAACGCCAAACCAGTCAAACTCAACCTTCCTGAAATTACAGTATCCGCCAAGTATATTCAGCAAACAAACCAAGCCGATACGTTTTCAAATGGGGATAACAAGGCTCCCAAACGTCACGATATCGCTAAGGAATCTCGGAAATGGACTGAAAGAGATGAGGACAAGTTCTTGGAAGAATGGTACAAACATCATGGAATTGCCCGAGATCAGGCGATCCCGTTGAGAGAGAGAGATGACCCACTGAAACCAAAGGAGAACGACGATCATCATGTTGACTCGAGGAAGGACGCAACGCTCTCTCCTTTGCCCAATCCCAGTGAACGAGTCATCAACGGGATCCATTGGAAGAATGTGAAGCCAACGGCGACTGAGAGTCCAGTTTATGTGGAGGATATGGTAAGGAATCTAGTCAGACTTGAACATGCCTTTTCAGGACGAGCGAAAGGCCTTCCCCTCCCCGGCACAGCCCACTTTGGGGACAATCAAGCCTCCAACAGTCGTCATCGACAAGGTGGCATCTCAGAAGTTGGTCGTTCATCATCTCTCCAACGGCTCTTCGGTCCTTTCTTTGGAGAAATTGAAATCCTCCGAACTCTTGGAACAGAATCAAACTGGCCTTGGAAAAGAAGATCCCACTACGAAACCGCTGAATGACGCCACAACTGACAATGTTTTGGGGAAACAAAACGATCAGGTAACCCCGTTTTCGCATTCTTAATCCAATTTCAACCCTCAGCCCGTTGAGTGTTCCAATTGGAAGGTGTGGAGATTGAATCTGGAACTGTGTTCTCATTCCTGGCTCCCACATTTCAGGATTCTCTCGATATGATTGAACGCGATCACCTGGACAAGTTGCGGGAGGTTTTGGAGCAACTTCATGGGCAGATCAAGAAGGCCCGTGCCTACAAACCATAACTCCTCTTCTCGATTACTGTTTCTGTATATTTTTGGAACAATAAACATTTCTTTTGAATATTATCCAGGATCATTCGGTGAGTTCGTCTGCCCGGTAAGATTACTTTCCTTCCTCCTCCATGTACCTGCTCCTCTTTCGTTATCTCATCAACGTTTTCGCTCGGTCAGCTGCATTTTTCTTAACGAATTCCACTACCGAAATGACGACTTCCAAACAAAATTTGCATCCAAAACGATGCAGTCGCCGCTTTTTGTGTTTTGAAGAAGATTCGCTCTCTCCTTTCCCTTCTTTGGATGAGATATTTTACCTGAAATTACCTCGATCAGACTGGTTTCTACCCAGCAAAAATAAGCTGAAAAACTTTTGCAGATTGCGCAATCCCCTGTCTTCTTCCATTACTTTTTTATTTGCAACTTTCCGGGGATTAATCCTATGTTAATGGGGGAGTTCTGGGGTTGCGAGGGCAGCAGGTTGGATAAATGTAATAAAACGAAGATAGTCGTCGTAAAGACGTTACAATCCAAGCCGACTGCAGTTGAAATCCGTGGATACCGAGCCGTATTTCCCTCTTGTTTTAGCTGAATTGTAACGATAATCAAGTGATTCTCAGTTTCGAAATGCATTTCGTAACCCCTTAGGCAAAGAATTCCATTTGATTTGTATAAAATTATTCGAAATGCGATCGACTCCTTTCAAAAAATTCTTATGGATTTTAAACTTTACTAATCCTCGTAACGTGTTTAAGTAAACATTGGACGCACAAAGGAAGAATTAGCAAGTAATTCTCTTGTTCCAGTGATAAGATGCGGCGGCTGGGACAAACGTATGCCCAAACGTAAGTGTACCAATTATGATGACATTTGATGTAATTAATGTCTGTTATCGCTCTGTAAGCGTACACTTTTTGCTCATTCTCAGGCAAATGCTTTTTGATTTATTTTTCCTCTGATGACAGTTCCCGCATTCCCCTCGGATTCCCCGAATATTTTATTTTTGATAAGCCATCAGACATTTCGAAAGATGACTCATCCATTAAAACCACTTTACTCCTTCCGATTTCGTGATTTTTCGAGAGAAAACGGAACGGCTCAACGTTTTACAGCCTTGCCTGTTGTGACAGACGTTTTTAATTACCGCTGCGTATACGAAGAGTATTCGTAATTCGTAATGCTGTTCTTTGAGGTAAAAAATCGCCCCGAGAGCAACAGTTTTAGTTCTTTGTCATTCCATTATTAAAGCATGTTTGTATAGCGAATAGGAAATGCGAGTATACAATTATTAATAGCACGGAGACTATCATTCTTCACGTGAGTTGAGGAAGAATAAATTTGAGTCTCAGGTTTCAAAAAAATTTTTTGAAATTCGACGATTTTAAAGATGATTATAAAAAGAAAGAAATAGAGATTGCGCAATCACTAAGCAGCCTTGACAAATCCCCTGAAGCCCTTACCTGATCTCGGGAAGACTTTGTTCGGGGATTCGAGAACCGCCGAGAGAATTCGCTTATCCATTAAAAGCGACGGCCTTGAAGTCGGGTGGGGCTTTTCCAACAAAAAAGTAGTCGGATTCTTTTGATTTGGGGTTAGCGCTGCGTTCTCTGCCGTTCCAACCAGCTCAATATTCCTTATCAACAAAAAGAATGTAAGGTTTATCTGATATTAAAATTGGGGGCGGGACGAGGGAAGTCATTCTTCGAACTCAAAAAAAACAAAAAAAAAAGAGTCGAGAGCGAAAAGAATCAGAGGGTTTTGTTGTAATTTGGGTGGTTTGAATGCTGTTCTGATTCCAATTCCATCGACTTTCAAATGAATTCCGATTTGTTTTGGTAAGAAGAAAAGGGAATTTCGGTTCTTTTATCACTAGTGAACACTTGTCAATTACTTTGTCTATACCTTTATTCGCTTGCCAAATGTCTCAAAACGAGGAATGGTTAGTGAAATTTGTTTAATTCGTATTAATTATCACCATTATTTAAAATCAAATTTTTTTTAGGGTTCTGATAAATTACGAACCAAGGAATTAATTTTTTTCGTATTTTAGGGAGAATGGTCGCGGACTTCCCCGTTCTTTTGCCGACGATCCCTTCTTCCAGCATCATCATCGACAGCCAAGTGCCGAATTCTTCCGTGATTTCCCCCCAAATCCCGGCCCCACTCGGAGATTCGGCTCGAATCCTCGACTTTTCCCTGAGGGCAATGACCGATTCTTTGACGATTTCGACAATTCCTACAACTCCCTTCCACGAAGGCCTCCCTCAGTGGCGTCGGAGAGGACGATCCCCGTGAATCGGCCGGGAAATCTTCCCCCTGGGCCTGCTCAAAGAGGGCCTTCGCCTTCACCCCGGAGAGACGAGGTATGTTTCGAAAGTTCGATGATAATGATTACGCAACATTATGACTAAACGAGAAGGGACCGGTGCAATTATTCCACGTTTTGTTTCAGGCGATTCCGGCGCCAGCCCCTCCTCCAAAGCCTCAGCAATCAGCCCCACCTGCACCATCGCCTGCCCCACAGGTGCACGTCATCAACGTGCATCCAAACAAGCATGAAGGAATCGTGGAGATCAATTCGGCCACTTCAAATTACACAAACGGTAAATTAAACCCCGATCGAGCGCAACAAGAAGAGACGAAGGAAAAAATTGAAACGAAAGTGAAGCCAAAAGAAGAGAAAGTTGAAGAAGAAACGAAGGCCAAGGATATTGGAGCACCTGGGCCAGAGATGGCACCTAAAGAAGAGGTCAAAGAGAAGCCCAAATTCAGTCGAAAAACGTCGGTAGATGGATGCTGTGACAAGTTGTATAGTCTGCTTGACGATACTGAATTGAGGGTCGAGAAGTTGAGGTGAGTGATCACACAAACGCCTGCTTTAATGTCGTCTGTAATTGTTTTACGATTCATTTATTCAGGGAGACTGCGGCTCAGTTGGAAGCGGAGAAGGAATCGCTTCTGGAGATCATCAACAACCTCAAAATGAATACAGAAATCCTCAAATTGGCAGAAAGTAAGTCCTCTTTTACACAAATCATCGATTTTAGATGACCAAGAGGACATTAATGCAACAACGGAAAGGATCCTGAAACGATGTCGAGCAGTTGACGTTGTGGTAAACACTCCACGGAACGAAGAGCAGACTCGGGCTCTGGAGGAAGTGAACTTCCTAATTCAAGGGGTATGCGAGAAAATGAACGAAAACCTCGCCTTCAGCAAGGACGTAAGTGAAATTGTAATCATTTTAAGCCTCTGTTTTGACAACGATTATCTTTGAATCTTCAGGCAATCGAGCGTTTCCTGAATGCGTGTTCCCCGGATGAGCCAAACGGCCCGATTGATCAGAAGTTCCAAGCCAAAGTTGTGGAATGCACAGCAGACGATCAGAAGAAGATTCGCCGGCGTTTAGCCCAACTGATCAGCAAGATCGACCGTGCCGAAAGGACAGTAGCTGTCGAGAATTGAGCCCATCCATCTTCGACTGAAGCCATTTCTTTCTTGCCCATCTAAAGGAACATGTAAATAAAATTAATTAATTAATTTTCTGAACTTTTATTGTAAAGTGGATTGTAGAAAGGTTTCGATTTGAGAATACTTTTGGTTACATTGCATTATGACTGCACAAACGCTTGGACCCATTCGGAAACAGTTGAGGTGGTGTTGGAAAGGACTCCAAGTATGCTGAAATGATCCTCGTCGAACTCTTCTTTAATCACATCCACTTTCCCAATCTTTAGCAGTTCGTTATGGATCTCGGCAGCCTGTTCCAGAAGTCCGGGGGCATCGTGTTTGGCGTTGATTATAGCCAGAGTTCCTTCGAATTTGGCCAATTCTTTCAATTTCACTGAACATTTCTCTGCCGTCTCTTCTGTTAGCCTGATCCCTCGTCCAATGTAGGTCTCTACCAGGGGTCGGATATCAAATATGGGAGCGATTAGGAGTCCGGCATTCATGTTTATTCTCAACTCTTCGACTTCCAAGACCTTCGCAGCCAAATGTCCTCCGGCACTGTGTCCGGAAATGGAGAACTCGGCTGTTGGATGATTGTGAATTATATCCTGTAGAGATTTCAGTTAAACAGGCCTTACGATAAAACGATATTACCTTCACACCACGCCGAACAAGATCAACAACTTCCTCTAATGGGATCTCGGACGCTAAAGTGTATCCAAGAGTAATTACGGTATACCCGTGGACAAGAAAGGTTGGCGGGACTGATGCCGACGACTTCCGACTCCCTTCCTAAACAACTAATTGTACCTTCGAATACTAAAAGTAACCCCATCTTCTGTTCTTCATACTTACTTGCCAGTATCCCCCATGAATAAAGATGTGGATCTTTCTGAACTTCTCCCCATTTTTTGGAAACCAAACATCAAATTGCTGTCGATCATTGGCCGTGGATTGATCACCATATGGAACATCCAATTCGTGTTCGTATGTCGCCAACAGTTCACTCATACATTGCAATTGATGCGAGATGAAATTTTGGATGACATTGTCAGGACTTTGATGGAGTTTGGGATACAACGAACAGGAGAACTTTCGATCCTCTTCCGAATATTCACTAAGAAGAGACATTTCCCTAAAAAGGAAGTTTATTTCGAACCAATAAACTTTGTTATAAAACGGGGGAACCCACTTCGCGTAGGCAAGATAGAAACCATCTGATAAACAAATAAAATTAATTGAGCTTCTTTCTATTCCCCATAATAATACACAATACACAAACCGTTAAATCTACCCCCAAAAACAAAGTCCTTCTTCAATTCTCTTATCAATCCGGAGGAAATTCTTCCTCCTCTTGCTTTCAAATGGCCTCTATTATGCGCAAAGACTATTTTTATTCAAATTCCAACTACTTAAGATGTCTGGAATGTGTCTTGGAGGACTTTATCAGCCTCTTTTTGATGGTGCTGTCCGATGCTTGTCGCCATCCATGCCAATTCTGGACGTCCAACATATTTTAACTATAAGAAATTACATAAAGTAATCCCTGATTTCTTACCTGAAGTCCAAGAGCGTTTTCGAATCTAGGACGAATGAAAGACCAGGCGCCAGCATTTTTGGGTTCCTCTTGGGACCAGATGAAATCTAAAGTATTCACAGATGAACAATGGATCGTACATAAAAGGGAGACCCAAGAAAACGGTGGACTTACTGGAGGCATTTGAATACTTCTTGAGGACTTCTCTAACCTCGCTTACTGGGAATGGACAGAGTCTCTCCAGTCTTACAATCGCTGTATCTTCTAAACCCCTCTTTGTTCTCTCGGTCATCAACAATACGGCGTGTTTACCGGTAACAAATACAACCTGAAATTATATCAGATAAATCCTACTCCTATGTTAATCAAAGTAATATATCTAAAACAAATTCCCTTTACCTTCTTCACCTTCTCCGGTTTCGAATCCACATCATCCAGAACAGGTTTGAAGAAGGTTCCCTCCTCGAAATCAGACAAAGGTGAAGCGGCCATTGGATGACGAAGAAGGACCTTTGGGGATATTATAATAAGAGGCTTCCGGAATGGAGTGAGGCACTAAAATCATGACAATATAAACGAAAAATGTTAGATTACTGTACCTGTCTTCTCAATAAATGGAAGTATTGAGCGCTGGTGGTTGGATTGACAACGTGCATATTCACGTTGTCTCCATCAACGGGTCTCTGGTCCTCTCTGCTATCCGTCAACTGCAAGAATCTCTCCATATGGGATGAACTATGATCGGGACCGGCGCCATCAATTCCATGGGGGAGAACCAAAACTAGACCGGACTGGATCAACCACTTGCCTGGAAGTAGAAATTATTATAAAAACATCTTGACAGTTGTGACTACATTATGATAACAAACTATTCCAGTACATTACAGTGTCACAAGTACTCACTTTCACCCGAAGCGATGAGAGTGTCGATTTGGACTTGAGCAGTATTGTAAAAATCCCCAAACTGAGCTTCCCATATGACTAATCTCCTCGGATTTTCAATTGAGAACCCGTATTCGAACCCAAGGATGGCTTCTTCACTTAATGGCGAGTTCGCGGCTTCGAAGAAACTCTTTTGTCCGTCAGTGATATTGTTCAACGGAATGTATATTTCATCCGTCTCTTGATCAACCAGAACTCCATGGCGATGCGAGAAAGTTGCTCTTCCGACATCCTGCCCGCTGATACGAACATCATAACCCTAAATCGATGACATAATAGTAACACACCCCCACCTGTAACAGCAAGGATCCAAAAGCAAACGCTTCCGCAGTGGCCCAATCAATGTGTTCGCTTTTCTCCAATCGTTGCAATCTCGCATTAATATGAGTCTTTAAGATGTGAGGATGTACCTTCTAAAAGATCAAAAGAACTCTTCAATTTATTTATTGCACTTACAAATCCATCGGGAACATTGACCGACCTTGCTCCGACATACCTCAGGAGATCTGTATTCAGCCCTGTCGAGTATACGGTAACTGCTTTTGGGGCTTGTTGGTATCCAGCCCAATACCCTTGGAGATGATCAGCTCTGTAAAACTCTTTTTATTACTTACTTCAAAGGTATGAATTCAAAAAAACGAAACGCTTACTTTGGTTCTGACCTTCCCGAATCCACCCGAGTCAACGAGTCATTTAGATAGCTCTGGTAATCCCTTTTGACTTTCTCCCCAAATCCAGCGTCAACCACGCCATCCTCAACCAGTTTGCTCGCATAAACATCGGGAATATCTTCCATTGCATCCACTTTTTTATACAACAATGGGTTTGTAAACCTTGGATTGTCAATTTCATTGTGACCGTGTCGTCGGAAACAGTGGAGATTCACAAAAACGTCCTTCCTGAATTCCTAAAGAAGCAATAAAAAATAAAAATGAACGTACCTGTCTATATTTCAGTGCGAGTTCAGCTGCTCTCGAAGCATCCTCAGAAGAACAGGCATTGACATGAATAACTGGACAATCGAGAGCCTTAGCATAGTCAGTGCAGTGCAAACTAGACCTTCCGATGTCCTTTTCGGCAGTGAATGCGACTTGATTATTCGCTACCAAATGAATAGAACCGCCAATTCGGAAATGAGGTACCTGCGCCATTGATAAGGTCTCCCACACAACGCCTTGTCCGCTGAATGCTCCATCTCCATGATAATGAACGCAAAGAATCTCGTCCCCGACTGTTGTCTCTCCATAATCACCAACATGAAGTGTCAACGCTCGTCCGCGACTCTTTCCGACGGCCACTGGACCCGCAACTTCCAAATGAGAAGGGTTCGGGGCAGTACTAACATGGATCTTACCATCCGCCGTTTCCACATCATAATGGCAATCTAAAACATAACAAATGCAAATGCTTCAAAACGCTTACTCAAATGCGACAAAACATCGCCGCTTCCGTCAACGTTATCCGGGAATTCAGGTAATCCGCGAATCTAAAATACAATTTGTAAAGCACATTTGCAATACCTTTCTTAAAACTGTATCTGGCTCCAAGCCAAATAAGACTGTATGCAACGCCATCCGTCCTCTGTGCGCTCCTCCCCAGATCAGCTCTTTGATATTGTATTTGGGGCCATCCTTTAACAGTCGTTCATGAAAGACGACCGCTGCTTCCGCTCCTTCTCCGGAATATCGCTTCAGAGTTGGTATTTTAGCTTCCAAGAATTTTTCGAATGCCTGAAAGCCAACTGATCATAGAATTAGGTACCTAAACTTCAATAACAACAGAAATAACACATACCAACGCTTTCAGCATGGACTCGGCAATCTTTTTCTTCTCATCCCGACTGAATTCAGTTCGTTTTATCTTTTCAAACTCATCCGCAATCCATTTTTGTTCTTTTACACTCTAAAACTACCTTACTAATCTTGGGTGAACGTACATTCAAATGCTTGAACTCTATCGCCAGGTCGTTGCAATAAGTCGTCTCCAGATAACTAATGAATTCATCAAGTCGACCGGAGAAGTCTCCATGAGAAATATTTTGCGCATCCAAAGTCGCAGCAAATTCTCTCAACAACTTCTTGTTTCTGAAAAAATATCGCAAAAAGAAGATTGTTTGACATGACAAAAAACAACTACCGAATTTGATTTTCTTACCCTGAGTTGTCCCACAGCCCAAGTGGATCGAGATTTGCTGCCCTGTAACCGTACTTCTGATAGAGGTCACACAAATCTTTCGGACTTTGAATTGTTTGATCAATCTCTAGAAAAAAGTCAATTAAAAGTGTCATAATGACACATTTTTTAGAACCTACCGATCAAATTATTTTTTCCAGCCGGAGATTTGTCAGAGAAGCCAAATATGGACTGTCGAAAGTGGTAGCTTCTTCGGGATCCGCCGAGCCTGATTGGAGAAAGGCGATGGAAACGATTCATTGGTTGATGGAAGAACAATTTAGGAATGAAGTGTAAGGAGTTTGCTTTTGAATTGTAGAAAATTTACATACAAAAATGTGAGATGTTTTCTGAAGGGTTTGAGTCGCACCTTCTCTCGCGGGAAACAAAAAAAGTTCCATTTTTATCAAAGGAAGGAGAAGTTGATAAGATCTACTATAAGGTCAGAGACCAAACCACTTGAATGTTTCTGCTGATTGATCACGTGGTGGGATGTAATCCTGTTTTTGATACGTGTGCGAGTCTGCAACTTTATTGCATCTGTGAATTCAGAGTTTTCGGATTGGATTCGATTCTCCCAAAGTAACCGAAGTAATCTGATTTGTCTAGTAACTTATTTCCAATTCCCGTCCAATTTTCTTATCACTGTCCTTCACTTGTCCTTTTTTCTGTCATAAAAACAGAGACCGTCTGCATGTTCTTTTGCACTGAGCTCTGCCATTATATACAAGATCTATGTATACAGGATGATTGCGTGATAAGGATGGGTTCCTCTGTTTTTCCGATGACATCAAAATTTTGTTTTGTCCTCGGAATAGCCCTTCCGTTCTCTTCCTTACAGGTTAAAAGGCTATTAGAACGTAATTTCAAGCATGTTCCACGCATTTTTATTATGTTTTAGAAAAAGCATTCCGCATCTTGTTTTATCGACTGAATGTCATCCGAATTTTCATGCATATCTATTGTCTGATTATATCATCATTCGTCATCAATTATTCTTGTCCACCTGACTTTGAAACAATCGAATTAGTCTGAGCTCGCTCCACCCTCTGCCAATGACTTCATCCTGGAATTGAATTTGTTTTGACCTCTAATGGGTGTAAGATCATCAGTTACAGAGCGTTTTGCCATTAATCCCATTAGTCCGAAGAAGGATGTTCTTGTCCTTGCTATTCTTCTCCATGGCCCATTTGACATTTGAATATTCGGAACGAATACAATGTGTGGCTACGTACAATCGGGATAAATAATATAAGTGAATGGAAGTGAGGAGCGTGAAATTCGATTGTCGTAGTGTAATGGTTCGAATGGGAGAGATGAAAAAGGGTAATCCACGCAGTTGTTTCAACGATTTGCGCTTGATTAATTTGTGAATCAACGAAAGACTTGGACTATAGTTTACTAGTTTTACGTTATACCGTTTAATACCTTTACAAACATTGAACGGTCGCACAACCCAATTTGAAGCAAACTTTAAGACCACAAAAATTTTGTTCAGAGAAAAAGAAATGACGCTGCCTTTTTAACACAATATCGCATAATAATAAATAGCAAGACGGAGAATTACAAACACAGCTTGTTACAGTAACCCCAAATGGCCGTCCGTCTTAGCCGGCGCACTGTGCATGCTATTTATGATAAATCGGGGCTGCTGAAACGGCATCCTAGTTTTTCCAGGAATCTGGATTGGCACAAAAAGATGGGACTGAGGATAATAAGTTAGAGGAGATATTTTTATTTTAAATTAGGCTTTGAAGAGCGGGAGATTCCGGGTGGAGAGATCACGTTCGGGACAGGGATGGCTGGCTAGTGGAAGGCTCAACCAAATCGGAGAGGGCGCGGTCCCATTCCTCGTTTGTTCGACCTGAAATGATCTTTTTAGAGAGCCTCTCGTAAAAGGTATGGATGTACAAGGTTTTCACTCACCTCATGTCATCAAGCACAACATAGCCAACGTCTCCATCGGGCTCTCCATATCTTTCCATGTAGTTTCGTACTAAAAAAAGATTATTAAAATGCTGTCAGTATTACTTTCTGAGGAGTGCCATCACTTTAGAGTTTAGGAAGAATTTATTTATTCAGTGGTCTAGCGTAATCCATCTCGTATTACGATTGCTGACTTTGTGTGAAAGAGGATGAATTTGAATGGCGACGGTTACAGACTGATGACTTTCGGAGAATACGGACGAGCCGTCATGCTTGGTTTGAAGGCCATAGAAACTTTACTAATTATTTACAAGGCTTCTATTTTCGAAAGGGCATGAGGGGGGAGGGTAATAAAAACCCGATTACTGTAAGGCCGTTTTGCGTTTGGATCTAAAAACAACACTCTTTCATGATGTTGTGTTTTCTTAATTTAGGGTTTATGTCATGTCTACCATATTGTTATGTTATATCTCTCGCTGGGCCCATAAATATCGCCGCCAAATGGGACCGGAAACTCGGAAATAGTTTTTTGCTCTGATATGGAGAGAAAAGACAATGAGTTTGGAATGTTGCATCGTGGGAATCAACTTTTGGAGCAAGGATTTACCTCATTGCAGCGATTCTACAGTAGACGGAAACTGCCTCGGGTTTGGAAAACGAACGGGGAATAATGTAATATGGAAATGTAGAGATGGGAAAAAAATGACGTTTGGGACCAGTAGGAGTGGAGTATTGACTTACACATCTTGAGAGCGGTCAAATCATTTGTTGATTCCAAAATTGGACCCGCTTGGCCAAGCTGGGCGAGAATGGCCAAAAAGAGGAAGATAGCAACCTTAAGTAGCGCGTCGGTTCTCATGTCTGTCTCTGATGATGGCGCCAAGTACCCTACAACATGTGTCGTATTACAATAAGGGATTAGACAGAATTCGCGATAAAATAAGGAAGTCGGTAAAACACATGGCAATATTTAATTACAGTATGCATGAAGGTTAAAAAGATATAATGGAAGTTAGCAAAGCACGGAGATGCTTTCTTCAGAAGACCTCCTCCTATGTCAAATAAGAATTCTAATACCTACAAATTCATATATGCGAATGCCTTGCGGTAAAATGACGAAAAAAATGTTTTCCGAACACAAGAAAAGGGGCGGAGTCTGCCGGGCAGAGGGATACGAAGTTGAAGCGAACCAAAAACAAACAAAATTTGTCCGAAATTGGAATTAATCTCTATTTTTTGAGGCTATATATTTACTAAACTGATATAAATTGTACTGCTTCCAAGGCGGAGGCCTCGTTTTATAGTGAAATCCGATAATTTGAATAAGTCCCGCCCACAATGAACAAACAAATCGCGTAAAAAGGTCGACTTTGTGCATGGTACTGTAGTCTATGTATCAGCGCAAAAATCTTAAACACGATGTAAGTGTTGAATTAGAGGTGAGAAGTCTGTTTGATGATTTGCAAGGAAAAGGAAGGGATCTGAAGGGTCGAATAATACTCGGAGGTCTTCAGAAATTACAAGGGCAAAAGACAGTACACAACAAAGTTCGCACTTGTACCCAAAGCGTAAATGAACCTACAAAAATCAAGTAACATATTGGAGAATACTTTGTGTCACGTGCTCTTACTTTACATTAACATTTCTCATGCTGAAAAGGCCGCCATTATAAACGAACGCTTAGACGTCACGTTCTACAAAATGTTCTGCTGTAACAACCTCAGTTTTATATTGCGATTGCAGTAGAATAAAGATGGCGATGCCTTATAAAAATAAGCTCTGCCCGGGACCAATGTATGCAGGCATTCGGTCTCAAAATATCCAAGTAGATGATCGATATCGCCCCAAGGTAAACACGAAGCTGATATGAGAAGACGAGGGTGGACGGAATCCCAAATTGGTTCGAAGATATAAAATTTAAAAGTGAAGCCATTCCGTTCCTTTGCGCCCTTTGTTTGCCCAAAACCATCACTGTAAATTCTGAATATCTGAAACGTCGAAAAAACCGACGTTATCGAAAAAGATGACAAGAAGAGGTATCTTTCAATAACGTCGTATTTGCTTACCATTCCGGGCCGAATATCATTCTCGTACCTGGTCTTGACTTAAGGTCATAGGCGTAACCTAAACCCACAGGCTAATTCAGGAAATGCGTCAAAGAAATGCAGATACCGCTGGATTACGCAATTCAATGTTATTGTTTGTTTGGCCAGGTTTGAATATTATGCTTGAGAATTAATGATTACGGTATTATACCATTCATACGGGTTTATTCTGACCAAGATACAACTTTACAGCTGGGTTTTAATTAGTCATTATCTACATGCGCCCTGAAACCAGACTGACATTTGCAGGACAGCTGGAGTGTATGGATTGCATCTTTTGGGATTTCCATTTGAATGGCCTTCTCAGACAGTTATAAAAGTTAAAACTTAAAACGTTGACAAAAGACCAGTTATTGTGATGATGGAAGTAGTGTGGGCCCTTGGAAATGTGTCAGCAAACAACCTACAATTAAACACAAACGGCCATTACAGCGTTGTCTACGAAGACATACAGAAGGGAACAAAGAAATGGACATTCTACTCGGTATTCGAACCGTTACTCCGCGGAACGAACGTTAAGGGCAAAGCGGTCGTCTTCTTACGGATTAAGGGCCACACTTTGCTCTTGATGAGTTTTTTAATAGCTAAGTGTTGAGCTGAAACTGACGGGGGGAATACTTAATGTAAGGGTTACAATTCGCACTTGGTATTGGTGAATAAACAACTTCGCAAAAATAAGAATTTCACGTACACCAAAAATAAATGGCGAAAGTCGAGGAACGGCTGAGAAGCAATTCCCTGAGGCATAAATGTCAGGTATGTTGCCTTTTCTTGATGTGGAATATGTCAACGTAACACGTGGTACAGCTAAAGACGTAGTTTTACGTTTTGTACGATAGCATTTTGATTATGTTCAATTAATATCGTGCGTACATTCGTATAGTTTAGGCGCATCAAGGAGCAAATGTAATGTTATAATCGAATTACCGATTGTATCAAGATGTCTTAGGGTTATACCGATAAATGGTGTAGGATTTTGGTGGAGGACTTTTAATTCAACAATTTTTTTGTTTAATTATGGCCAAGGTTTTGTTTTGATACAATGTAAAATGCACTCTAGAATTACTGTAGAAGCCCGTCATAGCTTACGCATGCGTTCAAGAATACGAAGAACACTCCACTCAGACTCTGATTGTCTAAATGTTTACAAGAGTAACGCAGTAATGATGTAAGCCATGCTACTTTCCCTCCCTTTCATTTTCTGCATATTGATAGAAGGAATTGCGGAAAAAGTGTAGGAGATTCCGGCTAGCCCGCCATAAACGCCGGATGATTAAATTCGCCGAAATATATTTTTATTAAAAGTCTGATTAAGGATGTTTAAAAGGAAGGGACTTGATGCTCATCAATTATGCAGAGTGAGGCTGCTAGTATTCAGAAATCGCTCCAAATTAAATTACACCGATTATGGACGTCTCAGCTGTCGTCATGTGATTATGATTTGGAGTATGAATAGCAACAATGTCATCTTATTTGTGGAATGACCGTAGTAGTTATTCGCAACTGGCAAAAGTTACTTCCTGAAATCATAATGAGCTCATTAGTAATTAGTCTGCCTTAATGTTGCGTAATTGCCGAAATTTCTATTGATTGGCTGCCTTAATTATTAATAATCTTGGCCAATTATGAATTTTAAAATTCGCTTTGGAAGTTATGTTGAGATAAAGTGCTTAATTGTCTAAACTGTAATTTTATTGTTGCAAATGCATAAAAAAAGAAAGTTTTCTGATGTAAAGCCAAGGTTAGGGATGTGGTCTTCTTGTAAATCAGAGAGAGAGACGTAGAATTTTGGCTCCTAGAAAGCAATGTATGTTGTCGTGAACTTTTACAGTAACCATAACAAAAAATCAGTTGGACCGAAGACGTCAATAAAATGATGACATATAATATAACAGACGCTTTGGTCTCGTTTCTGATTGTTGCATGTTACTTCCTGAGTTGTCATTGTCACATTTGTGTTTATATTTTTCTGACGTTCTCTTCCTGAAGCCCTGAGGCAAGAGGGGAGCATTACGCGTAATGTTATCCGCCAAAATCTTTTTTTCGATTTAAGAATTCCAAAAATTTTTGCACTTCCAATTCAACTATTCTAAAAATCCGATGAAATTCGACCTCCCATTAGAGTTTTAACGTCGTCCAATTAAAAAATAAGGTTTATTGACCACAAATCTCGCAAGGAAAGACATCCGACTCTGCATACTACAAGGTGCGGGCTCAAATGTTCCGACATTTCACGACAAAATGTGTAATCGGACGTCCGGAAGACGCGGTGATGTCGAGTGAAGAAGAACAAACACTGCATAGAAATGATGCCATCATTTCACGTGTTTACGTAAAGCACAAGCGCGCAGTTGCAAATTACCGGTAATCATTACGGATTCCCAAAATCTTTTCTGATTCTGGGCACGTGCAAAGAAAAGGGCTTTAAAATGTTGTCATAACAAAGAACGTACCGCGAAAAGGGCAGAAAATAATTTATTCATTTACATTATCGAAATGTCTAGTTACAAGCCAATGATAGAGGCCAAACACGGGGATACCAACAGCGCAGATGAAGAATAAGATCATAAACACGATTAGGAATACTCTTTCCATTACTTCGGCCATCCAATCGTACTCGATTTCGGCCAGAGTCCGATGATTTGGTTGGCTAAGGAAGTCTGCAAGTGGTTCAAATTAAGATAGATTTTGATGATTGCAATGACTGATTTCAAGTAATTTGGGTTTCCCTAAACCGTCCCGTTTTTGGGCTACGTTTTACGACTGCTTGGGCAACGGTCGTACAAGGTCTTCCTTGCGTTCGGTAAGGGAGACCCAGCCTAGTCAGCCTGAGACTAAACTGAGGCTCAGCCTAATTGTAAGCTTTAGGGTAGACTGAAATCCTACAGAACGGCCTACCGAAGTGCAGCCTTAGTTTGTCGTCTTTTACCACTCACTTTCCTCTTCCTTTGAAGCCATCTTTTCGATCCGGCTTTTTCGTTTAGGTTTAATGCCGGAGGGCAAAAACTGATGGGATTCATTGATCTTATTGAACTCTGGATTATTCGTACTCCCATAAGGTGAATTGAAGTCATCTTCGGGGTCTTCTGAAATTTCTGTTTCATTGTCGGTACGTTATTCCTCATCTCCCATTGCTTTATGATTGAAATTACCTTGCAATATCATCGCATCGACTCCCATTTGATCCTGAGAACTCAACTTCTTGTAAACAGCTACCCTATTTAGCCCGGACATGGCTGACGCGCTTTCGGTGAGTGGCGGAATCAACGCTGTACTCGCGGCTGATGTTGTTGCTGTGCTTCCAATACTATTCGAAATTTTTTGCCACGATCTCATCCAAATATTCCCTCGGAATTTGTATTTGTCTTGCTTAAACTTATCTATCATTGTTTTCTTTTCTAATTTACCGTCTCTTTGATGGCATATGCTTGTCGCATCATGAGTGGGACTTCAATTAGAAGTAATGTCCCTATTTTCTTGGCCCATTTCATTGTGTCGGGATCCGGTCTCTTGCCCAAAGTCCCCTTTTTCTGGATCGAAATGACGACGGCAGATGCCCATGTTCCAAGCGAGATTAAAAACATCATCGAGGTGTAAAACCAGCCTATAAAGTGATGGCTTAAACTTTTAGTCAGTCAAACCGTCAGAACTATAGATAGATTTGTAAGTTCCCTTACCTATCAAAGGGACGAATGATGAAGTAGAAGGCATTTGATCGGACACCATGAAGATCAAAATGGACATTGAGAGGAGCTAAATAAATTATGGGAAAATTTAGTAAACTAAATAAATATTTCCAACCCATGCAAATATCGGCTATCACTGCATCTGACAGAATAATTTGCACCGGATGTTTTCAAAAACATAAGTGGAAAAGAACCGCAAAACCTACCGTAGTTATCCCCAAAGTAATCTTCTCTTCTCTGATTTGATTCACAGTAGCTGAGCTGAAGAAGCCAATGATGGCGATGAAAGTGATGATGGCTGTGGGGATCATCAAATTGGTTATGTAATACAACGGCTTCCTTTGAATGACCATCTCGAATTCGAGAAGAGTATAGTTGTTGGCACAGCATTTGTACTTCTTTACAATTCGATGGACCGAGGTCTGAATGATGTTCCATCCCTCATTTTCGATACAGTTATCGACGGCAATTGCTCCATCAGTGCTGTTGTTGGGATAGTAATCGATTCCTTGATTGTCATGCGTCCAACTTCCAAATGTCATAATGCATGTCTAAATGGAGTGATCTACATTAAATGCCAAAGTTTCACAAGGGATTTAATTGCCCAAGAACAATGAGCATATTTTGATTGACCTCAGAATGGAATACAGTTATTTATAAGATCAAATGTGACGTACTTGAGCGTCGAATGGGAATAGTTTCAGATCCAGAGTGCAACTGAACTTGTAGAGAGCTGGGTATAAGAATTCAATTTGAGCAGTCCTCCTCTCTGGCCGTGTAGATACCTTGATGTTGGTGAGTCTTCTGCTCTCGCTGTCGCTCATTGTTAGCCTTGAATTGATAATTGGAATAATCATTAATCTTTGCTGTGTATGACTCACGAATTATAAAGAGTAGTATCTGGAATCCACAAGGAACTGACTGGTAATACAATGTTTGTTATGTTTTCGAATCTTGATGGGTCCCAGTAAAGAAAATCATCTTCCCAGCTCTGAACCCACGTTATATTTCAAACAAATAGTTTGGCGACTTACCTCGATGATCCATGAATTTAGAATTATATACTGTTGGGGTTCATTCTAAAACAATATAAAAGTATTTTACAGTATTCCTTCTACCTTACCACTTCCACAATTTGGTACAAAGCAATTTGAAAGAGGACTTCAACTGTATCCGTGGATGTTTTCCTCGGCAATATTCGATCATTGTAATGCTTCATTAAATGCCTTTCCAGCCGGTAATGAGCAGGAGGATTGAAATCGTCATCGTTGTCTGTAGGGACTAAAATTTTTATTTTTTTACCTTCTACTGATCCCAATACAAGTAAAATAACTTTCAAATTCACTTGCCATCTTGTCGTGCAGTTGTTGAGGAGGCCAAAAATACGATGAGAAAGAGCATTGGGATCAGACCAAGTGCACTTTCATTTCTAAAATAAAGTTTCGGAACTATTATAAAATGAACCATGTCCGCATATAAGGCTTTTTTGCTTTTTAAATCCCAACAGACACTGTATACATATAATATCGCGCTTTATCATATTAGGAGCGAAACAAGGCTTGTAAAATATATTTTGGCTTGGATATGTCAGTACTAAGATCTTGACGTAATCTTGCAAGACCAGGTCAAGTTGTAAAACGGAAAAAATGCTTAAAAGCCCCTGCGAAAGAAGCTTGAAACATTGAGAGAATAAGTGGTAATCTGGAAGAGATCTTTAAGGCTAAGATGGGAAGTGTCCTCAGTTAAAGTAAACTAGCTTTCTTACTGTAATCCAGACTGATCAAAAGGCATTAGAGCCATCTATCACCCATCTTAACACACTCATATGGCATGTCCCGAACGCCTTTGGCACAATTACGTAAAAGTCGTCAAATAAAACTTGTAAACTTCCATTCATCAAACCCGCAAGCCCTCACATCAACTCAACGCATAAAAAAAGCCTGCGAACCCTGGCTAGTGCTCCAAATTCCGGGCTTGAGGAATGTCCTCGGACGTTCCGGGAACTCGCTGAAACATTCTCCAATGAATTTTAAAGGGTCCGGCTCATTTGCCCGTATTAGGGAGAGCCGGAAAACGCCTTCGGAACGATATGAAAAACAAGTATACATAATAACCCGAGCCGGTCCATTACCAATATTATCCTTCCTGTTTACGCATTCTCCGGAAATGTGGGTTAATTCGGCCAAACCTGATCATGGAGTGGTCGGTTCAGCACCTGGCTATGAGATTATTTCTTCAATTGGTATGACATTTACTGTGGTTTCCAGCTGTTTATTTGCAATTGGGAAAGTCTTACATCCTGTGACGAACAAAATTTGAAATTGATGAAATCTTTGCAAAATAGTGATTTCTACACTAAAACACAGCATTTCTGGTATAATTTATAGATTTTCTTTCCTCTTTCAGCACGAATAAAGCCGTTATGGCCATAATTAACATTTATTTCCAAAAACGAAAAACTTTTTGTAAAAGAATATCAGACTCAATGATCTGAATAAAAGTAAAGTTAATTTTAGTAAAAGGTGTAGATGACGATCGCAGCAATCACCATTTTACGGCTGTTACTGTAGAAAGTCACCCGAATTTCATCTTGCCGAATTTCGATCAATTAATTAATCAGATTAATTAAGAGCTGTAAACATCGGCGTCGAACTCGCGTGTGTTTGATTGGAAGGAAAACGCGTTACCAGCTGCACTATTTGTCTCTTCGTGATATTCCGAAAAATTCAGAGTTCTGCTTACTTTCGAATCTATTGTTTCCGATGAAATTGAAATATTTTATTCTTGATTCGATCGTGTGGAAATGTAAATGTAACCGCAATAAAGAGCTACATCCCTCGGTTGGCCTTATCACCACCAACATCGAGGGGAAAAGATACGATGGTCACAGTCGAATTGACTGAAACTTGTCCCGTTTTATCGTATGTTCGCCTCCGTATATTAATTGGATGAAAATGCGACTGGTCTAAAGGAATCGGGAGATTGGGCTTCCGAATTCGAACTGGACTGATCCATATGAGTTGGCGAGGCCAGTCGTTGACTAAAAAAAACTTTTTTTGATTGCTGAAATCTTCTTTATAAAGGCATGATTAAATCTGCTTACCGTAGGGCCTCTGTGAATACGGTATCCCTAGCGGGACTCTGGCTTCCAGATTTCTCGTTTTGTTGGAGCTCCAGACATTTTTGAATGGCTCCAAACGCCTCACTTAGGCGATTCAGTCGATCAACAGCGCTTATTCCATCAACCGATCCCTGTTCTTCCACCATTTCGTCAAGCAAATGTTCAACCGAAGGAGTCAGAGCCTTGGGATTGCATAATTTCAACAATTGCATACTTCGTTGGCATTTCTGAGTCAATTCATCAACGGTTCTGACCAAGTTGGACTGAAACAAGACGAATTATGAGCAGAGCAGGTGACTTACATTAGATCCGGAGAGACTGAAATCATCAGGCTCCTCTCCAACATGACTCAAATCATCATGAGATTTATTTGAGCGTTCATCGCCGAACGGCCGAACCAATCGACGAAATCCACCGGCAGTTGGCTGATTACAGGACAAGGAACGGTTGGAAAAGAAGTTGTCGCTACTGAAAACAACATTACAATAGGCATTTCACCCTCAAATAAACAACTACAGCAAGTTCACCGCAGCCAAAGAAACCGACAAAGGCCCAAATCAACTCACAAAACTACAGTCCTCGCGATGACATGCATCGTCCTTACAACTTATTTTTACAACTAACAAGAGTAGAAACTAAGACCACGATACAATAGCCATTTTACTACATCTATCTTACTCTTCCCGTCTTAACTGATCCCTTCTTGAGGCATGACCGCCAGTGGATAAGTGTAACAAACTGTTAAGATGTTAGTAATGGATCTCTTTTCTTACCGCTGTCTTAATTGTTGCATCTTCTTGGCTTCAGCGGCTGATTTTCGGGGATCATATTCTTTGCGACGAAGCCAGGCGACCATTTCAGGGGAATCCTTGGAAGTCTAAAGTAATATTAGAGATATTAACTGTTAAAAATAGGAGTAAAAAATTGTAGACAGGAGTAAAATGACTGAAAGGGGTCTCACTTTCTTCACAGGAGCCACGCCAGCCTTAAATGGAGGTTTCTGATGCATGGTTTGGGAAGTAGCGGGTCTCATTCCACCCAGAGTTGGCTGCTGAACTCCTGATCTCATGGAGAAACGGCCACCATCATTGCGGCTAAAACACATTGAATTACAATATGCACTCATAACGGACAACTCAATACATTTACAACCAAAGTTACGCCACAAAACAACCAGATGATCATGTCTAATATAAAAAAATACAACGGAAGAGTGCCCGGTGTATATGTGGTGAAGTGTTATATATCAAACATAAACATTGTTATCACAACTAAGATACGACTACGACTACAATCACAACTGTCAAACCCAGTAAAAGAAGTAAGTCGCTCACGTTTCGCTGTGACATCTCGCAGATCTGTGAAAAAGAAAATCAGTGATTAGAAAAAAGTAGTACAAGTTTACAAGAAATGTCGTAAAAGGCACTCTGAAGCCAGGATTAATGGCCTAACCTAATTAGTCGATTAGATCAAAGTAAGCAAAACTTTTCCTGCCCTACTTCTAATATTGATTACTGCTCCATAATCTCTCTTCAACGTACCGAAAACCAGCACTGCTATTGGAGATCCCAGCGCGCGATGTTGTCTGTTGTTGTTGGCAAACCTTGACTGGAGATGGGGGATTCAATCGCGAATTCTTGGACTGATCCACCATTGAGCGGACTTTCGGTGCTGGCAGGGAAGTCCTCGGGGAGGGGGGCTGCTGGCTTTGCTGATTTTGAGTCCTCAGATCCCTCAAATCTTTCATCAAATGCCGTTTCATGGGGAACGGTTGCGATGGTTTCTGATGATCGGAAGATCTTCCCGAAGACACTGTCGATGATGTGGCTGTCTCTGTTCTCGGGGTATACATTCGAGTAGAGGAGGGCTGAGAATACGTGGGCCTACTGGACGAACCGTCGGTTTCCGTGGAATCGGCGGAGCTGGAGGAGGAGCTGGAGTACTTTCTTTGACGACGATTAGCCTTGGTGTCTTTGTTTTCTAAGAATTCATGTTATATACTTGGTATTACTCTTACCAATGACATAAGTCCCAGCCTCACTGAGGGTATCGGTCTCACTCTTGATGCTCAATGCCATCATCGCGGTTGTCGCCGATTCCTCGCCCTTAGGAAATCCTTGGATCATCTTTGAGAACAGATAATGTTTTGTGTCATTGCCTGCGGCTGCTGGCAGTGATGGCTTGGATGGCGGTATAGAGCGGCGGAATTGCCTTTTCTGTTGTTCTTGCGACGATAAAACTGGAGGTTTGGGACGTTTTGGTTTCTCGTTTGAGTCATCAAAATTGACGGTAAAGGCCGTCGATTGGACTGCGGCAGCTGCTGGAAATAGCACGAATTGGGATAGAATTAGGATTGTCATATGCCAAATTTTGTACAGTCATATCATATATTATTAAAGGCAAGGTCTCCAACTTACCCTTAACATTGATCTTCTCCTTCTCTTCGGGAGAAAACGGACGACTCAGGTCAATGTCCATCCTGATCGACTTCATCACGGGTTTGGGGTCCGCCTCTTGGGAGCACGGTGCGGCCACTGACTCCGTCTTCTGTGAGGCCTTGACTTCTGAATGCGTGGAAGTTGTGGGACTCTGCAGTTTCTCATCGGACCGAGAGTTTTGTCTCGAATTGGATCTAAATCCACATCAATATATTCTGATTGTACCTACGCTCTGGTTGGAGTCCGTTCATCTTGTTTATTGCCCTCAGGGCTCGACTCCTCACCCCACCAAGATGGTGATCCATAAAGTTGAGGTTTCTGGAAGGCCGTTCTCAGATTATTTGGCCTCGCATGTTCACTCGGTCCTTCTCCAGCTTGAGAGACAAACCCAGATGTGGTTGATGAAGAAGTGGTGCTATACCGAGCAGAATTATCCATGGCATGATTGGATGAAGCGGTGGGTGGGGTGATGTTATGGTGCTGAGATTTCTGAGGTACTGGAGACATAGAATCATCTGTTTTGGCTCCATCGACATAGTTCTGAACATAATGTCGACTGTTGCTGCTGTTTGTGGACTCTGTGGAGAGTCGAGATTCATGATGTCTTTGGAAATATTGCGTGGGACTTTCCTAAACAACAGATAAGAATATGAAATGTTTACTTACTCTTTCTCCACAAATGCTGACAGACGAACTTGGAGGAACTTCAACTCGATACCCTTGACTGGAACTCGGAGGATGGCCAAAACTCTGCGAGAAGTTACCCATGGAGCCTTGTTGATTGTACGTTGGCGGGAAATAATAAGGCTGGTTTTGGACTGTAGGCGAGGGCATTGGTGGAGCACTCATCATGTAGCCAGCTGGAGGATGATGAGGGTAGTAAACAGGCTGGGAACTCTGAGGAGGGGCGTTGTAAAAGACGGGATAGTAAGCAACATGAGGCTGAGGAGCAGTGGGGACAAAGTAATGTTGTCCGGTTTGAGGGTCTACCAACATCTTGCCGGGTTGAGGTGCTTGGCTAGGCATGGCATAAGCTGGCTGGGGAGGACCAAAATCTCTTCGACTGACTGCCGGAGACGCGAGGACTGACCCATAGACTCGCTGGTCGGACTGAAATAAGTTTGATAAGGAAGTTAATTATCAAAGGGGTATTTAGCTTCAAAACAAGCACTCACAGTATCATGACTGTGCTGATTATGTTCCATGTTGAGCGAATCGTTTGAACTCATGACACGTGAACCAAAGGCATCTGAAAAAACGACCTCAGTCAGTTCCAAGTTCCCATCCCCTGCTAGGATTTTAATTAATTTGAAAGGACGGCCGATATACGGTAACGAACGCCGAGGTCAAATGAAATATCCCCGCTAATTGATCGTTCCATTAAGCGAAGTCTTCAAGCCTGATTTACGCTTTTTTGGCGGTCCAGAGCCGGCGACTCCTATTTTACGATGGGAGCGCCGTCAACGTCGTCGCAGCGTAGATTCAGATTTATTTAATAATAGGTCAGCAGGGAGAGAGAGAGAAGGAAAAAACAAGGTCGTTTTACTATGTTCGCTGGAAATGGAGCCGTTCTTTTTTGTAATTACACGCACTGTGCTCGAGCCTTGTAATGAGTAGTCGTAAATTGAAGGAATCTTACGCGATGCTGGGAACTTTTAAAGCCTAAAGCTATACTCTCAAAAACATATGCCATAGGTCATACGGTGGATCGCACTGGCAGTAAAACTTGTTTAAAAACCGATAAAACGCTACGAAAACCCGGTTGCGACTCGCGATCCGAACACACGTGACATCTGTCATCTTGATTTATCGTCATCTTGTTTGACACATTTACCCACCGCCTACTGTAACACATCCATATTCAAATTGCTTACATTTTGAGGTGACCAGCGACAACGGCGACTTCCAATTGTTTGACAAGTCCTCGGTGGGATTAAGGGCGAATTGAGAGCGCGAGATCTGCAAAACAGATGAAGAGATTTAGGCGATGGAAACAGCGATTAAACAATTCTTATGGAAAAACGTTGGAGCGGCAACAACACAAAGAGAAAGACCTCAGGGCATTAAAGAGATCCGGCGAGCCGAACCGGTTCGGTCGGCGACAAACAAACAGGACAACATGGACAGCATGTTTGTCTTATTACTGACCAATGTTTACATTCGATTCGCCGGATCTTTTATCGGTTCATCACATGGTTCAAGGGGTTTTCAAGGCGATGATCGATTTGTCCGGAGGCGAGAAGCAACGCAAACAGTCCGTCACGTAATTTTACTCTCTCCAGCAGATCGTCGCATTAGACGGAGAGCAGAGGGAAAGGCTATGACCGAAAACACTTTTTATTGCGCTCTTCTGTACGCGAAATGAAGGAGATATCGATTTTCGGTTCCTTAAGATTACAATACTGTTTAGGAGGCCGTAAAAGTAATACTAAGGAAGGAAATCTAATAAGAAGGACGAAGATGCCTATGGGAAAGGAAGATAAAAAAGAAATCATCCAGAAATTCGTCACTGTTTACGCAACGATGAATGTAGACGATGCAGATTCAGATGATATTTGAGGGAAAAACTTTGGAATCATAGTTATTTTGAAATAACAAATACTGTGGAAGACCAGGATTGCTCAACAAACGTAGATTCAACGGTTTGAAGTTTCGAAATCTTCAAAAAGCTTGTCTGAAACACCTATACCAACATATAAATAATAGGGCGATTATTCGCCTCCCCCGACCTCATCAAATCTCCAGCTTGGCCAGACACATGGCCAAGTCAAAAGTTTGGGAAGGACTTATCAGAGTGACGTATCTTCTTTGTTTTGAGCTTTTCATAAATAGGAAAAAAGAGCGGAAGAAACAAAAAATGTGGACGCAATAATTGTCGATTTTCTATAAATTCCCAGGGCCTGAGGGCTTTTACGGAGAATAAAAGTCGAAATTAAAAAGTTTCTGCAAAGCAGGTGGGAACAAAAAGGAACGGAGAGATTCTAATTGGCAGAGATTCTGGAAGACAAGTACTACTATTTACTTTGGGTTACGTGTTAACGATTATATCGTTAAGCTGGCCTACCTCAAACTGAAACATTGTTAAAAACCCTTTTTTTCGTTTGCAAACCAAACAATTTAGAAAGTCAAGAAACCTGTATTCTAGATGTATGAAAGGAAAACAATTTATAAAAACAATCAAAAGTGTCTGAAGATCAGGAGGAGACCAAATTCGAGGAATATTATTCATTGCAAACCAAGTTCTCAGACCTCTCTGAAAACTTTGATCTTATTCATATGGGAATAAAAACAGAACCAGAGTTTTGCTGGTTAGTAAGTATATAGTATAAGACAAGTCGTCGTCATAAAAGAAAAGGCATTATATCTGACATTTATGGCCCGATATTTTTTCCAAACCCCCCGAAAACGGAAGAGGAACAGGTGGAAGAAGAAATGACCCGGTCTAGCCGGACACTCCCAAGAATCCAATCAAATATGGATCTGAAGAAGAATCCGTGGGAATAATGAGTCATTAATTGTGATAAGAAAGGCCCTCAAATTGAAGAACACGAGTAAGTACTGAGGAAAAGAGACCCGAAGGGAGCCGGCCGTGTCTTCGCCCCACAATCGCCTTCAGCTTCGGGAAAAAGACCCGAGGGAAGAGAGTGCGCCGGAAGCGAGACGACAGAGGGGAAAGGGAAAAAGTCGCGCTTTGAACCCTTTTTTCATGGATTTTGCGGCGAGATACCCCAGATCTCCGAACGGAGGGGTCATTGAAGGGCGAGGGAGACCATGACTTGTGCGCTCTGAACCCTTCTTTGATGTGGAAGAGCGGGCGGCGAGTCTTTGGACATTTAAACCGCAATGTCCGAGAGTTTGTGGACATTACTCATTAAGAGGCTCCCTTTTTGTCGTCTTTTTTGCAGGTTTTAGCGTCTTCTGATCAGCGTCTGTAAATGATCGTCGAAGATACCATAATTTATGGGTTTACTACCAAAACGACCTTCATATAAATCATCCTGTGGCGTAACCATGGCGATTTAGGTTGCGGATGATAAAACAAAAGAGTTTGGGAAAGCCGACGATCAGCAGACAGCGAAAGACGGCGGAAAGACGTGGCATCAGAAGGATACCCTGTTTACATTTAGCGATGCCAACGCCAATTAATACATTTCTAATGTGAAATGGGAAAAGTGATCGATTTGTCCCGAAATTGATTGGAAAAGCAAAGATTTGGTTTTATAACGGTTGAATGCACCCTTAAAGCAAATTCAATCGGACAATAAAAAAGTCTTTGTGTCCAGCGATCGCTTTAAAACTTTGCACGGTGCAAAAAAAAGAAATCAAAATGGAATATATTGGGTCGAAAGTCGGGTTGAAATGTGGCTGGTTTTCGCTGGGATTGAGGTTGTAACTGCTATCGATGAATGGAAATAAGAAGAGGAAGAGTTGTTTGCTTTTAAGGAGTAGCAAGGATAGGTCAATGTTTACAGAACAAAATTAGCTAAAAGAGGTATGAATAAGATAAGATCTAAAATATATTCAAAAAAATTATTTTATATCGACTATGAAACTTTCTCACTTGCCAACTCTCATGACATACGAACCACGTCTCTACTTACCGTATACCCGTTCATGCCGCTTGGTACATATCACATCTAACAAGTCACCGCTAATGCAACAATCAGATGCCCTTTCTCTCAAAATTTATTAGTCTCTCGAACCTAAACTAATTGCCTGTAATAATCATAAAATAGATGGGTGAAATCAATACTTGACTCGGGTGCGCAGTAAAGTGCGATCAGGTAAAGCAAACACACCTGAGGGGACTCGCGGAAAACCCCCCAAGATTTATGAGTTTTAAAAAAGTTGAAGACAAAAAACATCTCAATCAAACAATGTGGTGGATGATAAGAGAAATGCTTCTAACGGCTTCTAAGGTACTGTAAACAACGTGTGATCCAACGGGGAATGTATGAATAGCCTCGGGAAATCAAGGCTAGGGACGGTGAGAATGAATTGGACCGGGGACGGAATATAATAGGATTAGGAAGGGCTTAGCGACCTTCTGGATGCTCTGTTAGATTGGCGGGGTTGACTTTTATTGTCAACGATTGTGAAGTTTATATTATCATGAAATTGAAAGAAACTGGCAAAAACACGAGGAGAGAGAAGGTTATGATATACTAAACGTATTAAAGTTTAAAAGACTCAAGAGTGTGACGTAGCAGATTATTTTTATGTAATATCTTTATAATGACGTCTTTTGAGCTCAAAGTTCAAGTTTCTTTTGATTCAACGATCCAATGAATCACTGGTTATGAGATATAGACCGAGCGCACGCCAACGCAAGCACAATCATGTAGAAAATAAACTTCGGAAAGTAAATAGGAAGTCAATGCGAGGTGTAATACAAAGACTATCACTCAAATTTAAAGTTGGTTTAATATTTTTGTGTAAGAAATAAAAAATATGACAGAATAGACAAATAAATCGTCATGTTACGTCATGAAGACCTGCTTACCATTTGGTCCATAAATGGCATTCTTTGCTGGAATTGCGTGGAAATCATGACATAAATTAATTTTGTAGCAAATCAAGAGACCGTTGGGCGAAAACAGCGCCCTCGATCATATCAGTAGCGAGAATGAGAAGGGAATTACCGATTGACAGCCAGAGGGACGCCGATTGTGCGAAAAAGTCAAGTGATTCGGTTAATTTATTATGGAGATCTGGGGGTGACCGTTTTCCAATTCCCTTCTGCTCGCATAAAAACTGATTACAAACATAGTTGGGGAGCAGTTTTACGGCTTTGAAATTGTGATAAGGATTGAGGTTGTAAATAAGGTTGAGCCAAGAGAGGATTGTAAAATTTCTGCTAATTTTAGAACAATTGCATTTCCATATATGATGGTTTTATAAGTCATAAAACTTAAGAGACCATATAACACCTTTCACTTCTATAGAAATCTATAGATTGAAATTATACATTTTGTGTAATTAATTAGACAGTAACTTGTAACTGTCACATGAAGTTTTGTTCGAATCAAATTAAGTGTAAATCACACCTACTTCAAACATTGACTAATCTGATTAGACAGAATATTAGCTCTTATAATTAAAGTTTTCAATGAGGAAATAAGTGGAATAAATGAGTAGAAAGGGTTTCTTCAAGTTGAATATATAACACTTGACAGCACATTGACTGAAAAACACTCACCCTTCGACTCTCGGGTCGTATAGGCAACGGGAGTCGAGGCACAACACGACGGGATGCCAGAGGAGAGCCGTGAATCGGAGGCCGAGGAGGCACTTCCGTCCATCGCCCGCGGCACTCCGGAGAATCCAAGTTGTCGAATTGGGGAGAAATCGAACGCCCAGACATCTCTTATATACGGTTACAGTAACCGTTCGAATGTCCGAATACAACGGAAGCAACAGTAGATGACTTTGGTGGTGACCAGCCGGTTCCGACGCGCTACTAGTACTCACTTACTCCGACCACAAACTCGCGGCCGTCGGCAAAGTTTTTGGCCGCGGTTTTGTCGGCATTCAAACAAATATTTTAAAAGAATTTTTTGTGCTCAGGTGCACTCGGTCCGCGTCCCTTCCTGATGATCCCCTCAGGCTGTTTTTCTCTAGTCTAGAATTTCACTCAAACTCGGACAAGATGATTATGGGGAATTCGAATAAAATTTATTCAATTTCAATCAGGAATAAGATGCTTCGTCTTGATGAGTTCTTGCTCCTTGGGGAAGGTCCAGTTCTGAAATGACATATGGGATTAGATCCGACAACCGTTTGGATATAAAATTTCGACCAATAAATTTCAGGAAATTTACCTCGCAGTAATGCCGGCCATATTCGGTATGAAATTTGAAGGGCTGAGTCAATGTAATGGGCCTATCCCTTCTCACTTCATCCAATTTCAATTCAAAATCTCTGTGCAGTCTTCTGAAATCAGGGACAGACTTTGATCTGACCCTATCGATGAACTCTTTTCGTATGAAACATTTCGGAATATGTCTTAATCTGTGTTGGACCTTCCATTTCATCGAATGTTCGGCCATTTTCCCGGGTTCATGAGCTCTGGCCAAGTTGAGAATGGCCCTTTGGATGGTCTTTTCTTTATTCGGTTCTCTCGATTTGGGTGGAATAAAGGTGGAAAGGGGCGGGGGACGAGGCTTAATGCGGACGGAGACATCCGAGGATCGGCGAATATGTTGATGGGCTGATTTGGATCGCTGGAGTTTCTAAAAACAACATTGCTTCCAGTTATTGACTTACTCCCACATAAAACTTGTTGTTCGATGCATAAGTAGTTGGGGGGACTGGTCGGGCTTTGAATCTAAATCAACTTTTCATATTTGGAATCGAATCCTTACAACTTCTGATGTTCCTTCAACTCGGCCAGCTGTTTTTCTCGCTGTTCCCGAAGCATTTGCTGCAAGAATCTCATTGAGTATGTTGATCTTGATCTATTTTGATCCCTAAAGAATCTTTCCATTTATTTATTTAAAAGAATTTACCGTAATGTCATTCTGAAAGGTTTGGGTACAGTAATCCGGGGTCTCCATCGATAAGGAGTCACTCTGGAAGGCGCCGAATAAATCCGGTTACGGTAGGCAGTAGTCGGTCTTCTTAATGTGGATCCCGGTCTAAATTGACACGCTGGAATCCATCCTGGCAGTGATTGACGTTTCTGAGGTATACTCGGTCGATGACAGGCACTACGATCCCGCTGATCTTCTTCCAAGACTTCATTCTGATGACAACTTCTATTCGGTCCCAAATTACAGTAAGCTGCTTGGCCAGTGTATCTTTTGCAAATCCCTCCAGTCAGTAACATCTGTTCGATCATCTGATTCAACACATTGCATTCATCTTGGAGCTTGTTGAAGTCTTGGATCAGCTCCAGATTGAATTCCTTCTTGCCCTAAAGGCATGCAAATTGTGCGCGTCTAATTGGACTTACCGTCTCGCTAATCCGTTCATTGAAGGCCGAATACATTCGTGTTTTGGTCGTAAAGACACGAAAACAAAGGCCTTTCAGGTGAACCGCGCAAAAAGCCCTCAGGCATTTTCCGGTTATTTAGGGATCGTCACTATGGAGACGGGAGGCCCGAGATGAAAGGGGACGGCTAAACTGTTGCGGCGGGAAAGGGGAAGATAAAAGGGGATTAAAGATACGAATGTACAAAACAAAACATTATACTAAGCAAGGTAAAACGTACAACATTTGGGTATGGCATCAAAAAAAAGGTGACATCACAAAATCGTCAAATAAAAATAAACAAAGTAAAGTCGGAAATGATTTTTTATTTTCATTTTCAAAATGAAATCATAAAAACACGTCTTTTCACTCGCCCATCATTTCGTTGCCAACCGCTCAAGATGTTGGATATCATCTTGCGTGTAGTATGTCTGATTTTTATTTACCTCGCTCTGATCATCGTGGGAATGGCCAATTGTTTCCGGAAATCGAAAAAACGCAAGATGTCGGAGTCCGTGTATCAACGAGACATTGTGATCCCTGCGGAAAACAACTTCCAATTGTGAGTTGATAAAGATTATTCAAGCAGGTTGAAGCTATTAAGCTATTCTCTGACCAAGATTTAATCAATGTGGCATTTCATCACAAATAGAATTTTGGAGAAGCCTTTGGCTGGGTTCTTCTTGGCTAGCCAAGACAAAGGCTTGCTTTCTGAGCAGAAAATGACGTTAATAATTTTTATTGATTTTTTAAGACCAACTTTATCCTCCAAAAACTCTCCCGAAAGAATTTGATATCTAAAATCTTGTGGTCAATCGATAGTGTGTGGACGAAACGTCTAAGCGGTTCCGGAGATGCGATGGATTGACGTGTGATCTTCTTTCAGCAAAGACGAAAATCTGGTAACCCCTCCAAGCGTAAACGACGACAAATCGGACAAAACCCAATCAGCGAAGGACAAGGAGAAGAAGGACAGCGAGAAAGACTCGAAACGAGAATTGGACAAGACCCAGGAGGTGGAACAGAAGAATACTGGCAGTACAAGTTCTCAGAAGTCCCTATTGTTGGTGGACAAGACTCAACACACAATGTCCGGAAAGTCGACGATCAAGAGCAATGTGGACGTCAAGGAGACTCAGAACGATGCGATTAATGTCAGCTTCGATCGGGAGGGAGCGGAGACTGTCAAATCGGTAAGATATTGAAAACATTCCATGAATATTGCTTCGCGGGTTGCAATTGTATTTTACCGTTTTGTATTTAGATGTCTCGGATTACCGATGGAGTTGGCGAAGCGCGTGTTCGCGACAAGGAAAACGGCAACGAACATTAAATCAGTTTGTGGAGTCTGCAAAAGGAAAACCTGATCTGTTTTGTCAAATAAAGTTTCATCATAATTCTTCGGTCCTCTGACAAGTACCGGAAGTCTAGCCGTCTCCCTTTATTTGGCGTTACTGTATTCCTAACGAAACAAAGAGCAATTTACATTTTTTTCTCTTCCCTGAAAAGTTTTTTTTGCTTTGGGGCGAACATTTTTTAATTTGTTGTTTATGGCTCACATGGTCAGTTTACATCAAAATTGTTTACAATAAAATTCACATGGACATCTGTTTGACGAACAAAGTGATTGCGAAAAATGGATTCTTGGATAAGGCTTTGCAAGGTGATCAATGGTTACTGTAAAATAGGTCTTACTACGTCGCGCGTCGGAAAGGTCATTCCAATCAAAGAACTAATTGATAGAAGCCGGAAGGAATTGTTTATTTATAATCATTAAGAATACTCTTTGCACGCAACTTTTCAGATCTGCCTCATATGATGGTAACGACTCGGGCTGTGTCGTAATCCGTTGTGGGTTGAAAATGGAAATCCTCTTTCAGATAACCTCCCATTTGTTCGCCTCAGGTCATTGGAACCTAACGTCTTTGAATCATGGGAAACAATGAACTCGGGATGTCGAGAGAATCCATTGTGAAGGACAGTATGAACATTGCCAAATTCCAGGTCATCTTGAGATAAGAATCGACCGTTGGCAGATGAGAAAAGCAGCAATGGGACGATAATGTAAAGCATGGAGAAAGCGGTTGATTTAGAATTTTGAACAAGGTAGAGGAGAATACGTCTATATGTAGACAAGAGTTTGATGACATTGGAGAAAATGGAAAGGACATTACATTGGGCTGCTGTTGTTTATCAGTCTGAAAATTAAAACTGAAATCGGTTCATTGGTTTCATGGGTGAATACGTTGGAACAATGCTGTCATGGAGGTAGAGTACGGCGAGAAGTTTCAAGTATGACTAAGACAAGTAAGTATTAATGGAGATTCGGCCTATTCCATGCATTTTCGCGGTTAGAAGATAAACTCGACATCAATTTGTATGACAAACTTCTATTACCTGCTCCCGAAACGTCATTTTCGTTGATGATGTGAGCAGACAAACTCTTTTCCAGCATACATTCTATGTCTAGCGAATAAATTTGATGAATTCTGATCTCGTGTTTCTCCTCGACCGTCTCCGTTAGACTGTACTTTATGTTCTGCTGCAACTTTTTGTAAAGTTTGTGCCCATGTTCGAATAATCTTTTAAGCAGCATTGATGAAATTCGGGCAGAGAATAGGAACTCGCAGTAATCTCGTTGTAGAAATCATGTAACCATCGCAGTTGTTTATTTTACTTTTAACTTACTTGTTCCACTTGAAATCTGATCAAGCATGGGTGTAACAAACCTTGGGCTGATGTGGAAATTAGGAAATGTTTTGACGGAAAAGCAGAAATTTGAAATATGTATTGTTGTGAGATCTTTTGTAGTCCTTAATTAGTGAGCAGATGTCGGAAAAATGGTTCCAATAACTCGGTTTTCTCATTTATCTTTGACTTTGGAACTCTGAGTGGATAAGTCAGCACTTTTAATTACAACTGTTTACATATTCCGATTTCTTGTGGCATACATACTTGCAATATCAGAAAAGTTTATGGTTTCGAGTTTTTATTAGAACAATTACTAATTGTTATTACAATTAAAAAATTATTTTCCTGAGTAGTAACTCGTAGAGTACTGCTGATTACATTGCGGATACAAATAGGCGTATGACGATTGGCAGTAATAATAATTGTAGTAGTTGCCGTAACCATTCCCTTGTCCATAGTAGTTACTTCCGTAGGTGTTGCCATATCCGTAAGAACTTGGGTAGTAACTTCCATAGCTACCGTAGTTTCCATAGCCATTTCCATATCCTCCGTAGCCGCCGTTTCCACCGTACCCTCCGTAGCCCCCGTATCCACCGTAGCCCCCGTATCCGCCATATCCGCCATATCCTCCATATCCTCCGTATCCGCCGTATCCTCCATAACCGCCTAATCCAAGTAATCCAAGAAGCCCAACACCTCCGAGACCATATCCACCATACCCACCATACCCGCCGTATCCTCGGTAGTAGTTGTTATAGAGTCCGCCTCCATAGCCTCCACCGTATCCTCCGTATCCTCCGTGATGTCCCCATCCTAGTCCTCCATAATGGCCACCCCATCCTCCATGATGCCCTCCCCATCCACCGCCTCCATGATGACCTCCGCCTCCATGACCTCCCCCTCCTCCATGGCCACCACCACCACCATGACCACCTCCGCGGCCTGCGGTAGGATGGAGAAGCAGCAACACAAAGAAGGCGACAGACAGTGCCGACATCGAAAAACAGCAAATGTTTATCTGATTTCAGATAATGCAACCTTTTATATCACATAATCAGGCGCTCCCAACAATGTTCGGCAAATGGAATTGTCAAGGAATGACAGGAAGAAGATGTTACAAATGACCATGAACTCCGCTGCGTGCTCTTAAATAAACAAGCAGTAGAGAGGAGGACGGAGTTGGTCTTTGAAAATTTGACATCATGAATTTAAACCCCAGGTTTGGGTGCTTACCGAAACTAATGTTTGAATAGGCAGATGTTGGTTTGTGCCGAGAATAGAAGTGATGCCGAATAATTATGATTAATATTGGATCCGCTATTGAGACTATAATTTAGTACGATCCAGACAAAGTTGAAGGTTTTCAAGCAAGTTTATGGGATAACTTTAGATATCGGTCTGTCGGGAAAATAACGGCGGATCGTCGCGCCTCGGAGTCGCTCATCATCGCTTTGCGACTGCAAGCCGTGACTTGGGATTTGGTGCGCGATAGCGGCGGGGCGAGACATTTTGCTGCGACGATCCGCCGTTATTTTTCCGACAGGCTGATATAAATATTTCTCGGAATTATTACTATACTTCCTGTTTCTGTTTGCCGACTTACAAACTGGTCAACAAGGTTGCTACCGCGTAAAACACTAAGTCAGTGATTGTTGAAAGGGCTCTCCTCCACACTAAAAGCACAAACTAGAACCGTGTTTTTTGGACAGTAAAAATAACTGGAAGTCATGATATCGTCGAGCTTTGTTTTCTGCGATGTTTTGATTACTAACTGTTGGAGTTGCAAGTTTATTAAGTTTATATACAATTACAATATCAAATTAAGACTCCATCTTCACTTCTTTCCAGAGTAATAATTACTGTAGTAGTTTGTACTTTGCTGATTACATTGAGGATACAAGTAAGCATATTGGGTTTGGCAGTAGTAGTAACTGTAGGTGTTTCCGTAAGTTCCAGTGTTTCCATAATTATAGTATCCGTTGTTCCCATAATAATTTCCATACCCTGAGTAGTAGTTGGGATAGTAGCTGCCATAACTTGAATAAGAACTTGGATAGTAACTTCCGTAATTGTATCCATTGTATCCGCTACTGGAACTTCCTCCAAGTCCCAACAACCCAAGAAGTCCGCCTAGACCACCGAGTCCTCCTCCTCCTCCGTAGTAGTTGTTAGAATACCCTCCGTAATATCCTCCTCCTCCGCCTCCTCCTCCTTCTCCGCCTCCATAATGATGATGATGTCCTCCGTCATGATGATGACCTCCATATCCTCCACCTCCATGATGATGGCCACCGTCTCCTCCTCCTCCGCCACTGTGGTGTCCTCCGCCGCCACCTCCGCCGCCGCCGCCACCACCGCCGCCGCTGTGTCCATGGCCAATTGATGGCTGAAGGAGAAGCAGAACGAATATAGCGACAGTAAGGAAAGCCATGACTATTTGGTAGGTACACCGAGACGATGCTAAGTATACGAGAGTGACTTCTGTAGAAGGATTTACTAGTTTATATACTGTTCTCGTACGTCGCCTCCTATCGTATTCGGCAAATTCCAAATGGCGGAAAAGAAGTTAAAAGATATGTTGAAACACGTGTTAAGGAAGCCTGAACTGCTTGAAACGTCACTTTTATTGAAGGTTGTAACAGTCTATCTTTAATGTAGTTTAACGAAAGACGGAGAAATTTGCAATCAATTATATTGTACGCCTGGGAGCACTCAATTTATTAGAATATGTAATAAGTATTACAACGTAAGGTTTATGCATTAATTTTACTTTTTTCCTGAGTAGTAATAACTGTAGTAATTGTTGTTACTTTGCTGTTGATTACATTGTGGGTACAGGTAGGCATATTGAGTTTGGCAATAGTAGTAACTGTAGTAGTTGGAAGTGCTCTGCTGTTGATTGCATTGGGGATACAAGTAAGCGTACTGAGTTCCACAATAATAATAGTAGTTGGTTCCATAACTGCTTCCTGTGTTCCCGTAGTTGTAATACCCATTGTTTCCGTAATAATTTCCAGAGTAATAATTGGGGTAATAACTACTGTAGCTACTGTATGAAGATCCCCCAAGGCCAAGAAGTCCGAGTAAACCTCCTAGACCGCCAAGTCCTCCACCATATCCTCCATAGTAACCGTCGTAACGTCCACCTCCACCTCCACCGCCTCCTCCATAATAGTGATGGTGATGGCCTCCCCATCCACCGTGATGATGTCCATGATGATGTCCTCCGCCGCCACTATGATGATGGCCACCCCCTCCTCCACCATGATGACCACCACTATGTCCACTGTGTCCATGACCAGTTGACGAATGAAGAAGAAGCAGAACGGAGAGAGCGACAGTAATGTACGACATTTCTGTGCAGGTACACCGATGTGATGTTAAGAATGGTAATACGACTAAGAGAGCGTTTATTTATACTGTTATAATCAGCCGCTTCCCAAAGAATTCGGCAAATTCGCCAGGAAGTAGAAAGATTTGTTGAAAAAAATGACCATGAACTTACTAGTGTACTCTGCATACGTGACAATTTCGGGGAGCAGTAATTGTAAAGGTCACAAGCTATTTTCAGCAAATTCTAACCAGTGTAATATCCATATCCCTTATTATAATAGCCTCGGTAACCGGGATTATGGTTGTAATTATTCCAATTGTAATAAGTTCCACTCAAAACAGCAACTCCTCCAATCCCAGCTTCTGAGGCAGATCCATCGTCGACGAGTTGAAAGCCTTGGGCGGAGATTAAATAGTATTTCAGACAGGCTAGCAATATTAGAATAGTCAGGGATGACTTTAATTTCATTTTTAGCGGTATTTATCTTCAAATACTGCGAATAAACTTTCTGCCGCTAAAAGTATTTACAAAACCTTTCAAATCTTTATTTTGCAGTAATTTTTAACGGCGATCGGCAATGTTTTCTTCTTTCTGACCCACATAACCTTGACTTACCATTTTTTTGCGTCATCAGAAGTTTTTTCTTCTAATTTGTCGACAAATTCTTCTATTTCTTGGAAAAATAGAGCTCAGAATGTTGAAAAATTTTGCGAATCAAGTAAAAAACAATGAATGGCTATTTCTTATCTACAACATTACACTGAAGACATCAGGAAGTTTTCTTAGTTTTTTTATTTGCTGAAGGAATGTGATCTAATTAAAGCAACAACAAACAACTAGTTTGCAACTTGAAGGATCATGTACAGTTGATTAGAATGATTATGCACTTACCATACCACGATTTTTTTCTGTGGTTTTTTTAGCGTTAAAATAGGTAACCAATTTACTCAAAGATATCATTTATTTATTTTTTTCTCCCATAATATCCATTACTATTAGCGTAGTAATAATTATTGTTACCATTCTGATATCCTGTTCCGTAGGAATTGTAGTTGTAACCTCTGTTGTAGTAGTTATACAAATTGTTGTTGTAATAATTGGCATAAGCATTGTTATTACTGTAGGTATTTGTGTTATAATCGTAGCCATTGTAATTAGGATTTGAATTGGTGTTGTAATTGTAAGGCCATTGACGATTGTTGTTGTTGTAGTAATTGTAATAAGGGTAATAGTTAGTACCCGTGGTCCCATAGCCATAGTAATTGCTGTTATAGGTCTGTTCGACCGGTCGACCCATCACCCAAACTTTTCGACCCCTGAAATTATTTAAAACAGCCAAAAAAGTTACTGTATTTTTGATGAAAATATGAATAAAACTTACCGTGGGGTAACCCTGACCCTCACAAAGGAGATCCCAGAATCCGAATTGTCCGGGTCGTAGAAATATTGTCCATTAGCCAAAGAAATAATTACAAAAAATGCAAAAAGAACCTTCATCTTTCTACATCGGCAAGTGATAATGGAATGCTATGATCTTACACTTGGTCCCTTCATAGATCAATCTGCCGCACCTAATCAACTGGGAGGAAGTCCAAGTTGTCAACAAACGCCTATTTGGCGAACTTAACTGGCAGATTCGGTCCGTGGCACCAAGAAACCGATCATTGTCCACTGTTTCGCCGGAATTGGCCGAACTGGATCCATCGTGGCCATTTCCTTCATCATGGAGGGATTCCAGAATGGTCAGCCGTGTGAGGACATGCCTGTTATTTTCAAGGAGCTCCGTAACCATCGCCCCTACTCCATCCAGAATGAAGTTGTAAGTCCATATTTTACAAGGAAAGTACTTTTATGGGGGCTCCTACTTTTTGACGGGGCATACCTCAAAAAATCAGAAAAAATGTGCTGATCAAGGATATATAAATCTTAGCTGCCCATTTTGGGCTTTTAGGGGTGAAAATGCCCAAAAACTGGCTCAATTTCCCTACAAAAGGCGCATGCATTCGAAACGATAAAAAGCGCAGTCGGTCTCTTCCTTCGGAAGAGAGCGGTGTGGCCGAGTGGTTAGTGCCGTAGTCTGGGAATCAAGAGGGGGGACGCCGCACGGGTTCGATTTCCCTTTTGGGCTGAATCAACTTTTTTGAAGTTGAAGGTCGGAAAAATAAATTTTTGGGCCAAGACTGATTTATTACGTCTTAGAAACTCAATAAACATCATTTTAAGCCAAAATAAAAATTGTAAACCCGTGAAAAATTAGGCGAAAAGGGGTTCATATAGGACTTTAAGTCAACTTCCGATTGAGTTTTCACCCCTAAAAACCTAAAATGGGCAGCTAAGATTTATATATCCTTGATCAGCAAATTTTTTCTGATTTTTTGAGATATGTCCCGTCAAAAAGTAGGAGCCCCCATAAAAGTACTTTCCTTGTTAGATTAAGATTGACTTGATATGTTTTGATGACGTTTTTTGTGCTTTCAGCAGTACCTGTTTGTCCATCGTGTCGTCTTGTTCTACTTTGTGGAGAGATACAAGAAGTATGATCCCAATGATCCCCGCTATCTCAAATTCCCTGATGAATACAACAAGGCCGTGGCTTGATCTCTTTGTAGGATTATCATCAGTAAACTTGCTGTCAAGCTGAACTCGTTGTTTAATTCCCGTCTCTAATCGCATTGTGCAAAAAATATGACTGAAAAATACAGATGAAACTACGGTCGAAAACAACGTAACATTACGACATTTTGTTGGATTATGCGCCATTCATGACACATTCTTCCCATTTTTTCAAAATGTTTGCAATTGAAAAAACATTGAAATTTCAAATTTCCAGAGATCGATTGGGGTTGTCAAATTGACTGTGGAATTTTATTCAAATTTTCTCCATAATTTTTTTAAACGAAACTTTGAAATGAGACTAATTCTGACTTTATTTGCATTCTCATTTCCTTCTTCCGTCAAAATTGAAGATGGTTACCTATCAAGTAAGTCTCCAGCTTCTCCATATTTGTTGCTTTCAGACCGATTCTCGAGGCAAACGTTCGACAAGAAAATTTTTCCGTTATGCGCTTCGGAGACGTCCCTGCATGGGGATGATTGTGATCTCTTCCATCATCATCCCCATCCTCCTCTTCTTGTGCATTTTCTTCTTCTTTTGGATCCGAAGTTCGTATCTGCATAATGAAATCTTTAGAAGGGATAAAGCCAGATTGAAGGCCCAAAGAGATGGTATTTCTTTTCATCATTGTTCCTATGTTGAAACTGGGACATTCAATCAAGTAAGGAGGTTTTTCTACAAACTCTCCGATTACATTTATTTTACAATAATCGTAATTTCAGAGCTTTTGTCATTTGTATTGTGGATCTGCCGCTGAAGCCTGGAGGATCCATAGCCTACAGCAGGATAAATATGTGGACTCTTCTTGTCTGGACAAGTACGAACATGTGAGTTACTTACAGGCTTTTTGAGGTGTGGAAAAAATTTGATTTGTTTTTGAAGTCGCATTATCAGTCTGTCGTGAAAAGAACGGAACATTTGTCTCCGCAGCAAAAATAAGTCAAATGTTGAATTAATTTTGATGCGACACTGTGGTTGTCACATATTTTCCCGACAGGCTGATAAAGAAGGTAACTGTGCAAAGTAAAGTTTTGTTCCTTTTAGTACATGTCGCGAAAATCGCCGCAGTTTTTTCCTGTCGGACTAGTATTACATAATATATGTACATCTGCTTTGCAGGTTTCTTGTCACGCCGGAAATCATTGTCTCCCAACTCCGGAATCCCTCGTTGGCTGTCGCGGAACGAATTGGGCTATAAGCGAGAACGAAGACGATGGTTTGGATTCTATCAGTCCCTTTGTTCAAGCCGTAACGGACGACGTTATCAGAAGTGCCACAAATTCAGTGGTCCTGGCCAATCAACTAATTGCCAAATGTCCCCAATGCACCGCGCGAAGTGATTATTTCAAATTCAAAGAAGGAGGAGCATGCTTTCGGAAGATAGCGACCATCGAAGAAGGATGGCCGGCTCTGTGGCAATATTGTACGAACTTGCAGCGCGGCAAGCGTGACGTTAATTGTGAACTTGTTATTAATGCAGGAAATAACCATTGATTGTAAATTCTCGGTGTTTATTTTTGCCCAGAATAAAAACTATATCCAGAAAAGACAATTCTTTGTATAAATATCATGATTTGTGTATGGCCATAATGTAAACTTTTTGAAACGGTAGTTTTTTGACTTGAAAAAATATAGTACTACTTTTAGAGGTCACAGGTGGGGTGATGCCGGTGGAATGGAGATGTTCTCGAGTTGCAGTCTTCGGCAATTTTATTTTTCTACTCGTTTCTTTTTCACTACTGTAACGTTACAACTGTAATTGAGTAATTTTAAATTGCTTTTTTCACAAATAATCGATGGTGCTGATTTCAAATCATACCCAAAACTCAATTTTGGGGATGATTTGAAAGCACGGTCGAACTCAGGGAGAGACCTGGTCGATGTGATTCCGATTCTTTGATGATTCGATGAACTGATTAGAACTACAGATAATAGCTGAGGCGAGGCTTTATGAGGGGTATTGTCTATTTTAATTTAAAAAGATTTGGACGAGCTGAGAATCTTAATTTATGCCTTCTTGTCGCTTGCCATCTAAATTAACAACTGGAGGGTTCTGTTGTTAATTTAGAGGGGAGTATCAACCTTGCCAAAAAATCTTAATCTTTTTTTTGTTGTAGACGACTTTCAGTGTTAGAAATATCGAAATCAAGATTGCTATGTCTTTTTCGAAGAGACTTCTGATGTCGGGAATCCTTTTTACTTCCCTTACACTTTACCAGTTTCGTTCACGCCTATTAGCCCTACAAAATCCCCAGGACGCTCCTTGTCATCCCGACAACGCAATTCCAATCTTCTTCACGTCGTTCGAAGAGCGGAACCTTCTTCTTGTCCGTTTATCTCCGTCGATCTTATAATATTTGGGAGGCGAAACACACACGGCGCTTCGTACGTGATTGGGTTCCTCGATCGGTTTCCGTTACAACCCCCATTGTTCATTGTTTTGCAGCCGCTTTTCCACAAAAATTCCTGACCCTGACCTTATTATTGCATTCTTGACGCGCGTTTAATTAGCCTTAATTCAGCTAGATCGAAATCAAAATTTGGATCGATTTTTTTTTGAAAGTGTTCACCAATTATGCGATCTTAATTTACGCAAACCGTTTTCGTTGCGAAAAACAGATGAAAAGCTTCAGATAAAGGTAAAGCCAAAATAAAAGTGGACGACGAAACAAAATTGGTAAACTTTCAATTTTTGGCGCTGTGGAATAGTCCTAAAATGACGTTTGTCGTATGTTATAGCCCAAATTCTCTCCATTCAAGGGGTTTCTCAAACCAATTCGTATCCGGAACCTTTGATTCCCCCGCTTTATCACGATCTTTCTTATTCCCGGATATCTCCCAAACGAAAGTAAAAGTTTGTAGTTAATGTAAACGACTCCAAAAATAAGACCCACAAACCTTTCGCCAAACTGGCGATCAAAATAATTACTTTCCAATGTCTCTCCACTACCTGCCAAGTCTATTTTTCATTGTTTTGACGTCACTGTGCATTGTTTTAAACCTTTTTGGTAGTATTTCTGAGCCATTAAGAAGCGATCCGTCAAAGTTTTTACTCAGAGAGCAGTTCAAAAGCCGCAGCGATCTTAGATCGTGGTATAAAACATTACAATTTAAAGATTTCCAAAGGTCATGTTTTTGCCATCATTTTGTCTGTTATTTTGCATTATTTTTTGTACTATTTCAGATGTTTTTCCATCCTAATCACATGCCTCTGAAGGTTTAAATTGAAATCTACTACTCCATTACCATTCCAGATATGGGCATGAAACTGGAATCAAGATGGGAACGTCGGCTGCAGACCGGGACCGTCATGAAGTACATGTTTATCTTCCTGATCATGCCCTTCTTGTCTCTTGCCATCGTCGCTTATATCCTCTTGTATACCAGATTTTGGTGGACCATGGGCTTCTATTTTGTCTGGCTATATTACGATTGGAATGTGGGTGAGACTGGAGGAAGACCAAGTAGTTGGTATAGGAGGTTGTTCATATGGAAAGCGATGGCCGATTACTTCCCAAACGAAGTTATTCTCACTTCGAGAATACCAAAGGATCGTAACTACATTTTTGGGTGAGATTTTTTTTTTTTCGCATAGCAAACCCTCTAAATATCCTGTTACACAGTCAATATTACAGTTGGCATCCGCATGGGATAATAACTGTCAGTGTTTTCAACAATTTCTGTACAAACGGGACTGGCCTGGATGAGAAAATGCCCGGGATTCAACGATTTGTCGCCTCCCTCTCTTCCCAGTTTTATTATCCATTCCGGAGAGAACTCGTTACCGCTTTAGGTGTGATTGCTTCTTCCAAAGAAGCTCTAAGCGCGGTTCTTAGTCGCAAAGGAGGTGGAAATGCCGTTGGATTGGTGATTGGGGGAGCTGAAGAAGCCATGGAATCCCATCCGGATGTCTTTGCTTTAAACCTGAAGAACCGGAAAGGATTTGTGAAACTGGCTTTGCGTAATGGCGCATCCCTTGTTCCCACTTATACCTTCGGAGAGACGGCGGTATTCCATCAGGTAAGGGAACGGCAACACCTAAAATCAAGCACCTTGTAGTTGAATAACAAAAAAGGAACTCCTCTCCGAGATTATCAATCAATCTTTAAAAAGAAGGTAGGAGTCAGCCCCGTCCTCTTTTATGGCGCTGGAATGTTCAAAAATACCCTTGGAATGCTCCCGTTCAGAAGGAAAATGATCAGTATCAGTAAGCCCATCCTCATCCACGCATCAATTTTTAGTTGGCTCTCCCATTCTGGTGAACAAAGTGGAAGATCCAAGCCAAGAACAGATCGATGCTCTTCATTCTGAATATATAGCTAAACTCACTCGACTTTTTGATGACCACAAACATCTTTATAACGTCCCCAAAGACAAGAAACTTCACATCTATTGACTCAAACGGGTCCATCTCACTATACGGGTAATAAACTTTATAATCCTAATCTAACAATCAACTGGAAAAACGATCGGAACTGAAAAAGTTTTCAAGCATCTGACTAATTTTGCCTTTCCTTTCCCCTAGCTTTACAGTCTCATTGATTAGATCTGCATCGACTTCGAAGGAGTTGTAGATCCTGAAAGAAGAGAAATGAAATCATTTTAATAATCGTTTGACTCTTTAATGAATTATTAACTTACTTCTCATTAGCCCAGGCATGCGCATAGATGGCGCCAGAAGCGAGCAATGTCTGGAGAATAATTAAAAGAGGAACTTTCGTCCGAACATGTTTTGAATATTCAGTGATGACACAAAACGCTTCCAGGACATTCTTAACCAGGTACTTCTCTTCATTCTTCAACGTGTACAGCAGCTAAAACAAAAAGAAATGTAGCCACAATCCGGGCGATCCTATCTTTACGTGCTGCATATTTCGGTGGCTCACGTATGGATGATGATTTTTTTGGGTAGCTATGACGTAATATTGTTAAAAGTTTAAAACCTTTATAAAAATTGGAGGTTTCGACCATGAGGAATCCAAAAATAAAGCCCAATTAAAACGACTGAGTTCTTGGGTGATACGAACAATGTTATAAAGAAAATATGACGCGACGCGGTTAACGTTTAAAAAATAAAAGTAAAGTGAGATTCAATCAAGAAAAGACAATAGTACTTCTTTAAAAAACAGTAAAAAACTTAAAAGGTGCAATTCAAAAACCGGATGTATCACTCAACATTCCTCATGGTTATAACCCCCAAATTTATTTTTTTTATTTTAACAATATTACGTCATAGCTAGCATAATTACAATACTTCGTCACCGACCAATCTGCCCACCCGAAAAGTCCATAACCCAAACGCGGGCCACCCAAATATGCAACACCCAGCCGTGCACCACCCATAATCTCTCTACACTATTTTTTCTCTCAAGGCCACAAACCCCGAAGGAAAGGGAAAGCGAACCGAAAGAAAAAGACGCGTGATCTCGTGGTGTAGTGGTTATCACATCTGTCTAACACACAGAAGGCCGGCGGTTCGAGCCCGCCCGAGATCAAAAAATTTTTCTTTTGTAAAAATTCGAACAATCGACCAATGGAAGGTATAAGGCCAAAAGCAGAGCAAGCATATTGACTAAAGAATCCCCTTTGTCATTTTTAAATACAAATACTAAAAAAATAATGCAATAACTTACAATACTGTGACACAAGAAGGGTGTTGTAACTAGCGGCAAAAGTGTCCCAATTCCAACTGCAGTCATGACACCAGTGGGAAGAAGACAGCTGGTACAAGGCTTATCTGATTCAATATACTTCGTGCGGATCAAAATTTCCCAAAATCCAAAAGTCATCATTGAACAGGCATAACAGAAAAATACCGATGGAACTTTGGGAGTTGTTTTTATTGTCTCTAGGAAGCCAGCTCTGGGATTGTTGAGGAACACACTGGCATTTATCCGATTCGCTGAAGAATATAAAGATTAGTAACAAAACTAAAAAGAAGGTAAAAGTAAGCCATGAACATACCAATATAAAATCCCGTTATTCCGTTAAGAATGCACAGTGGATGTTGTGCGTACTGAATGGCATACCTTTCTGTCCTAAACGGCCAATTCTTGCACAGAGATCTGAGATAAGTCTTCTGATCTAATGCCGACATCTCCTGAATCGTCTTCCATAATGATGTGTTCTTCGGGGAAAGGTCTGGCCTCCTAAAGAGAATAAGACAAAGAACATATCAACCTTACCCTTTATCGAAAACATTTATTTCAGGAACATTTGGGATCACTGAAGATGTTTTCCACAGGGCCACTGGATCTGTTTCCTTCCATGACATCAGTACGATACGTTGGGAACGATAATAGAACCAGATAGAATTCAAGGGAAGTTGCTACTCCTTCCACAAATCTTTTTTTCTCTTCAAATTCGAGAAATTTTTTGTTTGAAACACAATGCCAAGAAATTGGAACGAAGCCAAAAACCCGCAAAAAAAAAAGAATTTAAATAATAATGGTGATCCAAAGCAATAAAAAGGGTCTATATTTTTCTCCCAGAATTAAAAATATTTTTCCCCAGAAAAGAGCATTATAGAAAAACTCCTATTTTCTCCCAGAAAAAATATATTTTCTCCCAGAAAGAAAATATTTTTCCCCAGAAAAGAGAATTATGAAAAAAATGCTATTTTCTCCCAGAAAAGAAAATATTTTCTACCAGAAAACATGATTTTGTAAAAATAAAGCACGGAATTAGTAAAAATTGATGAATAAGTAACTTTACTAGTAAAATAAATTAAGCAGTAGTGTAAAATATTATTTGTAGTAAGTTTTTGAGGAAATACTGGAAAGAGATGTAATCTTCGGTGCTGATTTCAAAAATGATGCTCATTTTTTGTGATTTTTACTTTTTTGTGGTCAAAGGGTGCATTGACAGCCTGTCTGTGTCGTCTTCTGCGTCAGGAAGAACATTCAGATTTACAATAAGAGAAACCCATCCATATTTTCATTGGGAACAAAAGACATCCAAGAATAAACCATTAAAGAATTCATTCATGCATGCCTTTGTATAAATCATTATAATTCTTACTTGTTTTTAAACTCAATTAAGAAGTCGTCTAAAGTAATATCATCTGGAAGTTGAAAATCTAAAAAAAAATTAGAAAAACGTGGGATTTCCAGCTTTATTGCAAGTAGTAATGTAAAATACGATCCATGGGTCCCAAAGAAGTGCATAATATCGGATTCGAACTGACTGACATATTGACTTGTCGTGCTGAATTATACCTTTAGGATATCAACGTCTTCGACATCACTATCTTTTAGAAGGTAGTAATCTCTCATGTTTTATTCTTGAATATCTTTTTTTCCCGATGAAGATAAGGATGAATTTCTCTTATTGTAAATCTGAATGTTATTCCCGGCGCAGAAGGCGAAAAAGAAAGGCTGTCGATGTACACTTCAATGCACTCTTTGAGCACAAAAAAGTAAAAATCACGAAAAATTAGAATCATTTACGAAATCAGCACCGTCGATTACATCTCTTTCCAGTATTTCCTCAAAAACTTACTACAAATAATATTTTACACTACTGCTTAATTTATTTTACTAGTAAAGTTACTTATTCATCAATTTTTACTAATTCCGTGCTTTATTTTTACAAAATCATGTTTTCTGGTTTCTGGGAGAAAATAGCATTTTTTTCATAATTCTCTTTTCTGGGGAAAAATATTTTCTTTCTGGGAGAAAATATATTTTTTCTGGGAGAAAATAGGAGTTTTTCTATAATGCTCTTTTCTGGGGAAAAATATTTTTAATTCTGGGCGAAAATATTTTTCCCCAATAAAAATACATTTATTCCCTAAAGGCGGTGTTTATAATTGTTCTACAGTCTTATCGGGATCCCGCTGAATGGATTTGACGTGTTTCAACGTGTCTTCTTGTGATTTATTTGCGGCTTTCGGAGCCAGGAAGATTCTGAAAATAACTACATAAAGTGACTGTTCCCATGACGAATAAAAAATATATCCCGCCAATACTTACAGTTTGGACTCTGGTTCTGTTGCATTTTTAGGTTTGAGCTCTTCTTTTTCTACTGGCAGCTCATCTTTCTTGACCTGGCTTACTAATCGGATCTTTTCTTTGCGGAATGAGCATTGCAAAAGACACCCCACACCGAGCTGAAATCAATAATGGATCCTTTGTCCACTGGTTATGTCGCTTACCATTATCAGAATGTTGTATGTGATGAGAAGAGAGATTATATCCATTATCTTCAAAGAGGACAACCGATGACGGGACGATAAAAGAAAATGAGTTTGGAAAGCCGACATGAAAGTTTAATTTTAATTTTGAAGATCAAACCGAGTTTACTAGACAGTATAACACACTCCCGTCAATTCACAGATATCTTCGAGATAATTGGAGATCCGCGTAAATCTGGCCAACTCATTTGGAGGGCATCCAACTGATCCGAAAGAAGTCACGCCCACCAGAGTGTACAGACCATGAGAATCTACTTGCTGAAGACCAGATCCCGAATCTCCATGGCAAGTTCTTTTCGAATTCCAATTCCCCGGGTCCAGAGATTTGGCGCACAAATAATCCATGACTTTTGTGGGCATCTGATCCGACCATGGAGCGGAACAAGAGGGGTCGGATTGCATGGGGATCTCGCGGATCAAAGGGTCACTCTCGTAGTATACTGTAATTTTTTAATCAAATATGTCTCTTGAGTCGTATCATTACAATGTTTAACTCACTGCTAGTCCTTCCCCAACTGATTGCAGTCACCACTGGCTGGACGGGCTGTCCTGGGAATGGAAGGCATATGGGTGAGGTGTAATTGTCGAATTCGATGGGCTCTTCCAATTCAATTATCGCCCAATCGTGACCTTCTTGACACAGCCCCATTGCAAATCCATGATCAATAGCGACCATTCGAATCTAAAAGCTTGATGGCTAGTGTAATATATGAAATGCTTATTTTAATACGAAATTTTCTTACTTTTGCTGTTTGAATTTTGCTAATACCACAAAGATTCTTGCTGCTCAATCTAGTTACTGCAGATCGAATACAATCATCGCCAAAGGCAACTTTCTTGATCAGAACTTCACTTTCGTTTTTGTAACTGGTCACTCTGGAATGAAGTCAAAACAATTGATAATCCCATACCAACTTACAAACAAGGTCCAGGATGATCAACGTCAAATCGAAGGAATCCGTGGGCGGCAGTTATGATGTGATAAGGCGAGATTATAGCACCTCCCAGAGTATTTTTGTTCTGAAAGGGGTATAAATACCTTATTTTCTATTGCTTGCCCTTAGAGTTATCGAAACAGCCCAAGGATACAATCGTCCTTGATTGTCCTTGACTTTATTTCCAGTCGATCTTCCACATTTGATGGCCAATTCTCTGCTCAACGACTCGTTTATTCTTCGTGTTTTGGCCTCTAAATTAATATCTCCTACCGTTTATGCAGATGTCTGTAATAACATTGTCGAAATCTCCCTTACCTTCAGGGATTCTGGCAAAATAATTTTTAGCATTAATTCCCAAAAGAAGTAATAATAGTGATAAAATTACTTTCACCATTCCCTTTCACCAAATCTTTTCAATTTTGATTACTTTTATCGCGCTTGCGCAATGTTTTTCGTTCATCGAGAGTTATCCGTTGAGGGAAACGAAGTCAGCCATGTTTGTTTCGACGGGAGAAAGGGAGACGGGATCTTAAAATGCTTATTTTTTGTTTCAAATTTCAAAGGATTGAATTTATTTCCATTTTTAAACTTCTTTTTGAAGAAACGAAGATGCCGTTGGGCATGGAAAGAAAGTGTGTTTTTCTGCGCTGCAAAGAAGGGCTGCAAGTTGCCTGGGCCTTTGATTGATACAGTAGGATTCTGTAAATATTTGTACAGAATATATTTTCTGAAATATTGGATATAATTTGATAAATTTTAATATTATCCATGGCTTGTATTACGACCATGTTCTTTATTTATGTCATCATAACAACTTACGACCATTACCCGGCGGAATCAAGGTGCTAAACATCATCTGGCTAATCTGATGCTCATATGGACATGTGAAACAAATAAAAAAAGCCTTTCCGAATACCCTTCCGACCTCCTTTTCTCGGCTTTGATTGAGTTTTGAGGACCCTCCGAGCATCGTTGCGTTGAGTTTCCCGAAAAACAGTACAAGTAATGTGGGTAATAGACAAATGGAGACGTATGTTGTTATTCGTGTCATTCATTGGCGAAAATCTTGACAGTTTTAATCAAAAATTTCTTCATTCATGACAACAAAAAAATTATTTTTGAGCTTTTTGTTACAGTAGTGTTGAGCTTGCAGTTTTTTATGTTAACACTTTTTTGTGGCGATCTGACCAGAATTGTAATATTTTTATAATTTATTAATTGAGTTTTTCTTAGAAATCATCAAAAAATTCCGAAATTTACCTTTCCCATATGTGTAAACCTATTGTTCTGAGAATCGACTACTTTTTGATGAGAACACAATTCTGAGCAGCCTGCTCCACAAGCTATAGCCTTACATTGATGACGATGGATATAATTTTCCTTTTCAAAAAGTTTAAGTTTTTAGTAGTAGCACATCAGTTTTGGTTTTACTTTGTGGGTTGTAAGGAAGGGCAACTCGGGAAAGAGGGCATTTGTGGTTTATTATTTTTCCTTGTTAAAACACATTTTTCCGTCTTGCAAATGCCTCTTCTGATTTTTGCCGTCTCAAAAAGAGTTTCAAGTTTCGGCCAACGATTGAAAATGATAGAGAACACAACACTTCCTCCACTTTCTCCATGAGAGCTCAGGTTCGAAACTGAAGAAACTTAATCAAATTCCGTATTTTATCCAACTTTCCGTCCATTATTCTGATGCTAATATACGACTCCAATTTGCAGAAAGTGCTCGTTACATTTGCATGATCCCCTAGTTAATCCCATTTATCTTCATCTACCTTGCATCCAGCATAACTTCCCTGTCGTTTTATTATTTACAGACCATCAAATCTGGAATCATCCTCAAAATTTATCGGGTATTATAATCTAACGGCTTTTTTTCCAAAAATGCCTGCGGTCATTCCGGCCTTTTTTATCTAAAAGTTTTTATTATACATCAATTTTTTATGCATTTCGGTACAGCAGACGAACAGAGCATGTCAAAATTCACATACAGTAATAAGTATGTGCATCTTGGCTGGAGTCATGGCATCGAAGGGGAATCGGTTGTTTTGAAATTTGGGGGTGGCCTATTTGGACAAGATTTTGCGAATGCTTCATTTTGGAAAAGTTTTTTGAAATATGACTCGGTGCAGTTGAAGATGATCTTGTTGATAGAAATCTTCAACTTTCATCTAATGGTATGAAGATTTTACAAATTTTTAAGCATTCTTTAAAAGTCCGTTTATCCTTTTAAAGACCTTAAAAGTCTCTAGACTTTTATCATCTACATTGTACTCCAATCACTGAAACACATTGGTTCTTTGAATTATTGTTCGGTACAGTCTCTGCACTCTGTCATATACTTCCGGCCCCGACTTTTTCTTCCAATCATTCACCCCTCCAGATCCCCCCAAACTCCGTCCAAATCACAAATCCAAATTGCAACTTGAGAACGTCGGGCTTGATCCATAATTTCTTCTCAAAACAATTGTTCGGCCTCTGGTGTGATTATGATGAATCGGCAATTCTAAACTAAACTGACGCAAATCTCTGTCCCCTCATCTCCGCTTTTTCCCGACACACAAAAACGCCTCCGAATGCCTGAGGGTTTTTAACTGAATTTGCCCGCAGGAATTGCAGCGTATGAAAGGTCTTTGTTGCGCGAAAATCAGTAATTTGAAATAAAATTTTTAATTGACTGTAAGATAAATAAAAACCATTATCAGATGCTTACAGTGAGCTCTAATCATCCTTTAACTGCCAGTTTCAAAGCTTTTTAGTCCCGATGATAATGAATAATTTAGGTGCAACTTTTTTATTCGTTTCAATTGCTCCAATTCTTGTCAGGCGGCCGTTATTAATATCCGGAAGCTTTTAATTTCTCGTTGGTCCTTTTTAAGTACAGATGGTTAAATTAGGCCTTAAATCATCATAATATTTATTTTTCACTTTTTCATGACCATTTTTTAATTTTGGATGTTTTTCCGATCTCGATGAGTTTACCCAAGTCTTCTTCATTTTTTTGTTCTGGGAGAGATTCTCTTGCCGAGACGTTGTCTGAAGTCAAGTGAACGATGATTGGGGTTTGTGGCCGTTGAGAGGGAGAATGGCCTGAGGGCGGCGATATTTTGATGAGAATTATTTTTTTAACAAAAGGAATATAGGTTTTTAAACCATGGTGCAAGTTAATTTTAGGGATTATTTTTACTTATCTAGAGTACGATTACAATTGGAGGTTGTATATTATCTCAATATTCAAGCTTCTTGTGGAGCTTCCGAAACCATTCAAGCAGTAGTGCTAAAATCAATTTACTCTGCGGTATCACTTACAGTCTTCTTGTGTGGCATTAACTGATGACCTCAGCCGTCCTCTCACGTATTTTCGTTTCGAGTTTTATTCAATATCCGGTGAGATTAAGCCAGATACGTTCTATGTTTAGAAAAGAGAGGGACGCTCTTCAAGAAGTCAAAAGTTTTTTGTCTTAATAAGCATAATTTGTTGTTTTCCGCTTTTTCGGACTCAATTTGACACATCATATTCAATGAGGGGGTGGAAAGCACTTTGTTTTATTAGTGTTAAACGTAGATTACGTAGGTATTGTACACAAAATTAAGCTACGTTATATTTTTATATTGTAGGTTATGCCATTCCGTCAATCTGAATAGTCATGAGCTACAAAAAAATACCGGGTCATAAATTATCTGGCCGCCATTTGAGGAATTGCCCGCACATTGTTTTCCCTGGATTAGGACTCCTTAAGGGCCAAAAGATCGATGAATGAATTTTTGTGCCTGGGGCAGAAGATGCCGCCTTATGCCTTGCTTTGATTTCCCATCTTTTCCAATTGTATTTTGCATCTTTATTTTATTTTTAAGCGCCTTTATCTAGTATTTCGACCTTATTCATGTTCTCCCTGAGCAATTATTGCGACAAACGGCAAATTCTCTAAAACCCCCGGCCCGATCCTCATCATAAATGCGAATTCTTATCGTGTAATTAATTCCATGACGTTGTGGCCAAGTCATCCATGAAGTTTCCATGCCCATGTACCCCTTCGTATCTTCTTCTTACCCATGTTCTTGTTCCTTTTTCAGTGGAAGACAAAGAGAACGTCCCAATCCCAGTGACCTTGCAACGTGCTCCCTAACCCTGAGAGCATGTCCTGACTACAATGGCCTCATGAATCCCTCACCTTTTGGCCGACTTTTCGAAACGGGTCGACTCTTGTTCATGTTGTTGTTGATGAGTTTCTTCTTTCTGCTGTTCGCGGATGTGGAAGCGGGTGTTCGCGGCAATGAATCGCCTTCTTTGTTAACTACGGTGCCTTCCAATGAGGCCTATAATAAGCCTCGGCGGAATCCGATTCGGGTAAGTATTAAATGTCCAAGTTTTTGTTCCGTTCGACAGCTTGTCATTGTCAATATTTGTGGTCGTAATATTTTACCATCACCGTAACCCTTTTGCCGGACTCCATGTGCTTTGCTCCTTCCCTTTCCTGTTGTCCAAAATTGACCTCAATTCCAGTTTAAGATCTCCAAAGAATCATCGCGCAATCAACGGCATATGCGACGATTATACGACGATTTGTTTGCGGATTACGAACGAGAGATTCGGCCCGTTGCCAACGACTCCATGCCATTGACAGTGGTCATTCAATTCTGGCTGAAGCAGATTCTAAAGATTGACGAGCGAGATCAGACCATCAAATGTTATCTCTGGCTGGAGTTATATTGGACGGACGAGTTATTGAAATGGAATCCATCTGATTATGGGGGTCTGGACCGGATGCATGTGCCATCCACGAAGATTTGGAGACCCGATATTCTCGTTTACAATAACGCGAATATGAATATTGAGGACAACGAAGTTGAGACGAATGCAATCATCAAAGCGAATGGGGATGTGACCTTATTCCGGGCCATGATCACTGACATCACTTGCACATTATCACTGAGTTTGTTTCCATTCGACCAGGTGAGTTTGTGTGGATTTTCAAATGAATGAGTTATCAGATTCAAGTCATCATCAGGATATAGTTTATAAGTGCAATCTTGTTGTGTCGTTTATATTTCCGTTCTTTGAGCCATTCCCCGTCACACTTTGACCTCAGGGGATTAGACGACAACTGTTCCTTTCACTTAGTCGTTTAAAGCGTATGTAAGATGACACTTTTTCCTGTAAGTATAGTGTTGGGAGTTCGAAACGAAAAGAAAAGTGCTAAAAATCAAAGAATGCAAATGTGAAAGTAATATTCTCAAACAAAACAGTAAAACAATTACTTTCAGCAAGTTTGTTATCTGACATTTGCTTCGTGGAGCATGGATGGGAGTAAGATGCTTCTTTTCCCATCCAATTCATCCGACAACCTCGAATTATACATCAGAAATACGGAATGGGAACTAACCGATTTCTCGGTCAAGATGTACGAAAAGAGATACGAATGTTGTCCATATGCTTTCCCCGACATTACGTACTTCATGGTCCTGAAGAGATCACCGTCTTATTACATCTTCACGTAAGCGGTCATTAGCTGCACATAGCTGAGTCCACGTAATCAAAAACTTTATTTTTCTAGGTTGATCATCCCCTCAACTTTTATCACGGTCGTCACCATTGTCGGGTTCTTCACTCCCCATTCAACTACTGGCGAGAACACTGAGAAAGTCAGTCTGGGAGTGAATGCGTTGTTATCAATGAGCATAATTAGTAAGTTAGATTCTTTTATATATCATCTATGAAATCTAATCTAAAAAATCGTTTGTGTTTCAGTGATGATGGTGTCCGGAGAAGTTCCTGCAACTTCCGAAGTGATCCCCTTAATTGGAAAGTATTATATTGGTCTCATCTTCCTCATTTTCGGGGCCGCGTTTACCACAACCATAACCCTTGCTTATCAGATGAGAGGCAATTCGGGGACTCCAATGTCTGCTCGGATGAAACATCTGCTCTTCGAAAAACTGGCCAAAAGTCCTCTTGGCTACTGGTTCTTCGCTGTTCAAATCGACAGAAAAAACAAGTACAGTAATCGACCAAAAGGGGGACCCCGGAGCAAAGAAGTGAGTTACCGTAACCCTTGATATGATTACTTTTTTAGAATCACACCTACATCTTCGATAATGTGTGCATTCCATCGGAGAACAATGTAAATTCTGATGGATTGAATTCTGTTCATGTAAACTCTACAAATACGCCAAATATAAATGCAAATGGGCTCAAATTAAAGCATCGGGTAATCAAGAAAGACTCAAAAAAGACCAAATTAATACAAATGGATGAGATTGGGAAGGAACAGAACGAAGTGGACAAGAATCCATTGACGGAAGCCACAGAAACTTTGATAAATGGACATAGTTTCTGGACAAATCGACTGTACGAATGCATGAGTAAGATCGACGAGTCGATCAGCAGAAGTGAGTAGTTGATATTAAGAAGTTACCGTATATTATTTCAAAATTAAACTCAAACTTGCAGCGCATCAACAACGAGTTATCGAGTTTGAATGGGAACAGGGAACGCGGATAATCGAACGGATCATTATGATCTTCTACGTGACCCTGACCCTCGGCTTTGCCTTCTTCATGTTGGGTGGATCGGGTGAGGACATTCGATTAACAGAAGAAGTAATGGATCGTGTCAAGCGGTGATCCCACAAACAGTGCCTCCATGACAGCTCACAATTCACACAAAATAATGAAAATCAGGTCATTGGGTCACGGCGGATGGCCGCGACTTCTGTTGCACATACTTATATATCGGTTTTTATTGTCTCTTATCATGAAACGTGTTCAAAACTTTGTCCCAGACTCGTACTGCGGACCTACTTCTACCCTCCTTGGTCAAAATTATTCTCAGCCTTCTCGCAGTATGTATGTCTAAACGTGCGTTCTGTTGAATTTCCCGGTGTAAATACGCTTTTGGACATATTACAGTAACGCTTATCTCCTTTCTAGATAATAAATCATCTAAAAGAACACCCGGTTACACAAACAGTTATCCAGTCAATGCTTTTATTTTTCGGCCTTTCTCTTCAACGATTCGGGCATTGATGGCAATGGGGGACGTTCTAGATGAAGAGCCAGCTTCACAGAATCGACTACAAAGAGTTGACAAGCAGCGATGGAGCCAATCATCAGGATCCTGGTCGCCAATCCCGTCCAGATTCCGCGCCATCCTAACTGTTTGCAGACGTCACGAAATTCAGATTCCGGATTCTTGTAGAGTTGAGAGACGATGACGTCGGGAGGATGGGAACAAATGGCACTCACGACACCTGGACTCATTACGTAACATTACAAAAGAAATGGATATGTAATCGGAAGTAAAAATAAATTACCTGCAGAAATTCCAGCCAACAAGCTAATCTGGAGTTGCTCTACCTTCGAACACTGTGCTTTGGGCTTCTTGAAAAGATTGTGCAAGAAGTCCACGGCGTATTCGTAACATACAAATTTCGAAACGGTATACGGTATCTGTAATGAAAAATAATTTCAAGAAGTTTTGATAGCTTTAATCTCAAGCTAAAGTTTATAATCTACCTGTCTCATCCAAAGTGCCGGTAATCCTTTGAAAAGTCCGTGGGTCCCTTCAATCCTGGCTATGGCCGGAAGGCATTTCAGCATTTGAGCTGGGGTTCCGGGACGAGTCTGAGTTCGGATCTTGGCGGCTTCAAACGGAGCCAACGCAACATCTCCAACAGCTTCAGCTAGTCCAGCTGAAGCGGCGAAGATTATCATCTTGTAATTGTAGGCATGTTCGGGTCCAACGGTTTCAGAAATAAACTTTTTGAAACTCTGAAGAAATAATATCATATCAAAAAGATCTCCGTACTTCATAAAATCCGAACTTGGCGAAACCTTGTGCGCCATAACCAATCAAAGTCGGGGCCCATCCCCTGGCCAGACCACGGATTCCCTCTTCCTTCAGGGTCACTCGATAAGCCGTCTGGAGATCCGGGAACTTCTTGTGATCAACCTGAAACCACCTTCTGTCTATTTTAGCCACTCAAACAAAAAGATGACAAATGAGTACTTGCCTGAATTCTGCACTTGAGAACATCCAACGGAGTGCTCAGAAGATGACTTCCCCCACAAACCAAAGTTCCAGCCAGTCCAGATACCACCAAATACTCCCCCGTCCCCACTTTGACCATCCTCGGCTTCTTTTCGCCATCGGTGGCTAATCCAACTGCACGGCTAGCCTTCCTTTTCAGCTCATCCTCTTTTTCAATAATATCTCTCAATTCCCGTGTAATTGTAATATCACAATTGCTGTCATATCCCTTTCTCTTGGCATAATCGAGTATCTGCTCTACATCGATCTTCCTCTTCTTCGGCTCTTCAGGACATTGCATTCCCATCTCGCCTGGATTGTCGGAGAAGGAGAGCCAGGTCAAAAACTTAGCCCAGTTCAGTTTGGTAAGTAATTAGTAGTCAGTGGATGAGAAATCAGTAGGACCACACCAATAAGTGATCCCGAAATAATTTAAAATGAGCATTAGCGATGTAATACTCCATTTGAATTTTTTTCTCATGTAGAGGATTTTTGATTGACGATTTTCCTCGTGTTTTAACGATAGCAACGTCGACTGTGGAAATCTTCAGTGGGTTTGCTGCACATGTTTTTTTATATCAATTTTAGATACGGTAAAAAAAAGCAAATTCTTCTAACCCGTTCACACTCATCCCCGACCACCGTTTTTTGAGGTTTGAGGGACTCAAAGGATTATTCGAATACAACTTCCGTTTAATACCAAAAAGCGACATCACTTCGACTCTGCTCTCAGTTGCTTTACGTTTTGATATTTGTAATTGAGCTGTCAGTCCTCTGCAACCATTGTTATATAGCATTATTACGACGGCTATGTGGTCCATCTTGCCGACTTGGATTAGGGCAAGAAACCAGAAAGCGCGGGCCAAAAAGTGCAGAAGATGTCGCCGAAGGTTTGTAAATATTCGAATAGAGGCGCTTTGGCTTCTTTGTTTGATCAGCTTGGATTCGAGGCCATTTCGTGAGTGGGACGAGCTTTGATTGCGTAATCGAGCCATTTATCAGACATAAAGTTGAGTTTTGTTTAATCAACCAGAAATTCTTTCAAATTCCGGTGGATCTCCCAGGATTTGTGTGATTACTTGCACCAAATCAAGTTCCTCATCTCTTTCTCCGGAATATTCCTCTCCCTGATCACTTTGGTGACAAATCAGCCGCTTTCCGTATTGCGTAAAGTTTAATTGACCCGCCTGACATAACCATGAGCAAAGTTTCCAGACATTCCCTTTTCCAACTCCATGATTCTCCGTTCCGATCTCTTCATGACCAAATTGTCATCCCGAAAATCTCCCGCAAACACCTGTCGGTTGGATTATTTATCAATTAATTGACATTTCCGTTAATCAGTCGCATCGAAGACCATTTTCTGCCCCGATCTTTCATATTTTCTCTTTCTCTGCTCCCTATTTAGTTCGCCACATGTCTCAGAAAAAGTTCTTATAGCTAGTCTAATGTCTTTTGCCCGTTAACCTGATGGGAAACCGCGCAAAAGGTCGTTCGAGACCCGCAGAAAAACCTCAGACACTTTCCAGTGGCTGTTCTGAACTTTGAATCTGTTAAATCAGCCGCTTTTTCTCTTCCCGTCTCCTTCAGATTCGCGGTCTCTGCGGGAAGGGCGCTTTTCTCTTTTTGAGGCTTTTGTTTTTTGTACAAAAGATATTTGTATTTGAATTCCTTTCCGCTCTTATCAGTCCCTGTTAAGGCCCCACTCGAACAAAATTTGAATTCCTTTTTTTATTATACGCAGCGATCGTCGCGGCTGAAGAAAGATGCCGTTCCGCCGTAAAAAGTGAGTTTGCCAACTACCTTTTGCAGTGCTTCTACTAGTCCAGCAAAAAAGTCCGCGGAATGGATTTCGCACCCCGCACAGTGCAGTTTCGAATCAGAACAGTGCAGACCCCGCGATTGACTTTTCGCACCGTGCATTTGGATTTTGCACAGTGCAAATGCCAAAATCGGCACTGTGCGGCCATTTCTGGGCTTTTCGCACAGTGCAAGTTGGATTTCTGTTTCGCCTTGGAAATCGCAGCGATTTTTGAAGGAAAATTGAAATTTCTTGCGACATGTCGCCGAAATTGGGGCTGCCGCTTGGGAAATCGTTCGTTTTTTGACTTGATTGCACAGTGCGGGATGATTTTGAGGGGAAAAAAGCACATGTGCGCACAGTGCAGCCCAAAGTTTCCTTCGGTTTGCACTGTGCGGGGCTCCGGAGATTCAGCTTTTTACTGTGTAATCTTGAATTAATGATAGTAAATTTACACTTGAAAGACTCAGAATATATTATTGAGTCAATAAAGTTGTCAACACCTTTGTAGAGTCAAAATATGATCTTTTTTCGCAAAAAATGCACTCAAAAAGTGCAAAAATTACTGTATGACAACATTTTTGGTCTAAAACAACCCTAGAAAACGCCACTGAACACGCAATCCTTTCTACAGTCATCATTTTATAATTATCATGCATTTTAGTCGAGCAATGTCCTAATTTACTGCAGTTTTTTAACCTCCTAAGCGTAATTTGAAGTCCGCACTGTGCATCCAACCGGGGAGCCAACCGCACCGTGCGCCGTCGCCGAAATCCGGCCGAAACCGAGCGCACCGTGCAAACCTAAAAAAAGGGGACTTTTTGCACTGTGCAATGACTTTGAAACGGCTTTTCGCACTGTGCGCCCAATTCCGTCGCGCGCACCCTATAATTTGCACTGTGCGCGCCGAAAAATGCACAGTGCATGCGCGAACAGCACAGTGCAGCCATTCCGCGGACTTTTTTGCTGGACTAGTACTATTACGCTTTTTCAAAAGTGCAGACACATTTTCCGGCCTTTTTTGCAACCGCACCGTGCATGTTGCGCGACGCGATGCTTTTCGAAACATTTTGCACTGTGCAATTTCTTTTCGCACGCCCAAAATTCGCGGAGACTCAGCTGAGAAAAGCTTGCGTCGCAGCGATATGTCAGCGATATCCGGTTGCACAGTGCAAAAGGTCAAATGCACCCCGCAAAAAGGGGTTTTGTGCACGGTGCGGCCCACGACAAAATGTGTCTGCACTTTTGAAAAAGCGTAATAGTCCTTCCGGAAAGTCGCCGGACTGATTTTTGACGTTTGCACTGTGCGAAAAAAGTCAGGGTGCGAGCGACAGCCCCAAAAAGCCTATTGCACAGTGCAAAAAGCCAAAAATTGCACAGTGCAAAGTGAACTTTCGATTTCGCAGAGTGCATGTCGCCGATTTCCGTCCGGCGACTTTCCGGAAGGACTAGTACTTTTGTAGTGCTATTGTTCTGTAATCAAAAAATATTTTGCCTTAATACCATTACAAAATGGGTTTATACATTAATGACCCAACAACAACCGTTTAGTTATAGACTATTTATATTCCAGAATATTCAAATCGCTGATGGTTTCGCATATAAATCGTGCTCTTCACCTCGAGTGACGGATCCTTTTATCGTAAATAGAGCTATGCGTTAGGTAACCACACTAAAGTGGCCAAATTCTAGGCTTGTTTCTGAAAGAGCATAATTCCGTGTAAGTTCCCTAGGGCGCTAAATTTTTACGACAAATTAATCTTCTAAAAAAGTTGAAAACATTATGATGGCAGGGTGAGCAGACGCCTAAACTTGATAGATCCCACCAATTTTATGGCCAACAGACATTTGGCCCGGACTTTTTGGATCATGTTTTATTCGAGACAAAGGTGTTTTCGTTTAGAGAAGGGGCTTTTCTCCACAAAAAAGAGAGCTAACCCGAATGTTTGTTGGGCCGTTTCTATTACACCTCCGGCTCTTTTATACATCGGATTACATTTTTCTGTTCCTCCAGGGCTCTTTTTCCTTTCCGTTTTCCAATCTGGGGGAGATTTTCCGACAAGTTATGCGACTATAGAACAAATTACTTTAGGAAAGTGAATCTGAAAAGGTGTTTTGGGAGTCGACATCGTATTTTCGTGTTTTTTTTTGTCTTGTGAATATCTCCGGGATGTTCGGCGAAATCCAATTTGTTTTCTCCGGATTCTCCGTTCGTTCTTTTCGTAAAACATGTTTAAACTTGGCCATCCCCGTCCTCTTATTTCAAGCTCGATTTGTTTGACCTCAAATGGCCATCATGACATGGTTTAAAAGTGACGTAGATCTTTTGCAACATTCACTTTCGGCTTTTCTATATTTTCATGATAGGAATTTCCAGCCTGTTTTCGTTCTCCAACAGCCTATTATAATGTCATAACAAATGTTTTCAGGAGCTCTTCAAAACCAGCAAACACGGCCCAGAAGATGGTTAACGCCGCTTCCACGGCCGGCGCCAATGCCGTGGAGAACACGGTAATCGGGGCCAATGTGATGGTCACTGAAGGCGGGAATGTCCTCAAACGAGGGTGGGCCCGGTTATCAAGACGAAAGTCGAAGAAAAAAGACATAGCCAGGATAGTAGACGAGAAAGAGGAAGATCATGAAATGGAGCATGATCATATAGAAGAGCAGCCATCCAGCAGTGGGATCAATGGGATTAATGGCCAAGGATTGGAGAAAAAGTAAGCGAAGCAAAGAAAATTATTAGGAGATCAATACATTTACGTCCCATTACCTCCCTCGGAACCTTCCTTATCCTTACCTTGGACAGCAAGGTCAAGAAGAGGGAATTCTTCGTCATCTTTGGCCCTCTTTTTATTTATGACACGATAGGTTCTCCTCGTAATCGTCTCCACGAAAGCAGTGCCGAATTTCGTAAATTTTTCCATTTCCGAGCTGAATGTGTTCAACTCAGACCTGTCTAACAAACTGAATAAGCTCTCCGTTCCTTTCTCCTATTCCTCATAATCCAGGTCGGAGGAATCATAAAGACTGCAGTTGTCTTCCCATAGCATCGGTATCATCTTTGCTAAGTACCATCTAAAAGTACGGCGCTCTGTGAACAGTCCAATAAAACATTTTATAACCTACTCTAAAGGTCTGCAATAAGTAAATACCAACACTGTATGCATGCATGCAGCTGCGCAGCTGCAGTTGTTCCAAGTTTTTTCTCGTTTTTTATTCGGAAAGAGAAACCTGACACATTTTTGTCGAGCTGACACATTTTCTGAATTTCCAAAAAAAAAACTTTTCTTCTTTTCGTTGATCGTAAAACGAAAAGCTTTGTTGTCTTCAAAGGGGCGTTGAAAGAATATTCGACTATTTCTTTTTATGCTCCCGATATCCAATTGCTCGATCAACCGCGTTCTTATCGTCCGAACGCATTTTCCGGGCCTTTTGGGCTCGAGAGTTTCCCTTTTTACGCATTCGCTCACAGTTCTCGAGGTATTTTTTCATTATAGAGGGGACCTTCAAAGCATGGCAAAAAGAACTCATTTTCCCACGACTTTTTTGTTTTTGGAATATTCGCGTGTTTCAAGATTTTAGTTAACCTTTCCTTTTAATGCCTGTTCTTAATGCAATGGGGAAAGGGGACACCATTTTTTCATAACTATACTTAATATGACCTTCCGAATGTCTTTGAATAACTTTTTTTGACTGTTCTGCCAGTTTTGCAGGCATTTTTTACACATGAGTTTTCTCCAAAAGAGAACCTTTCTTTGCCCAGGCGTTTTATTCCTAATTTTTTATAAACTCCCAGTCTTTTTGTTTCTTGCGTTGATGTCACTGGTTAAATAGACTCATGATGTTGCCGAATACTATAATAGCTTGTGGTTCGTGGTTATTTTTGGAATGCTATCTTTTGAAAGGTTTTCCATTTTGCCAAAATTTCGATTTGTAGCACTTCCGTTATGGCCTTTCCATATAAAAGGAACTCACTGGCAAAATTTATGTTTTATATGTAAACATTTACATATTTTTTTGCTCCCAGAAAGCTTTAAGCGTGAAAGGCTACATATATTACATCGAAGTTCAATATTAAATTCGAAATTTGGTGCTAATGTTATTCCTCAATTCTATTCCACGCTATAATGATCCGTCCTGTAACCATCGTTATTCCAGGAACTTTGTGAACCGGGGCATGGACCGCCTGAGACGTTCGTTCAGAAAGTCTCTCCATCTTGGCAACAACAAGAACAGGCTCACGGCGCAGGATTCCAGTGAGATTCCTTCTGCTTCGGTTGGAGCCGGCTCAAAACCAAATGCCTTTCAGCCTGATGAAGCTTCAGTGAGAAATGGAACTTGTCATTTCCAAGTGAAGGTAATATATTTTGTTCTTGGAACACCTTAATGGTTTGTTTTTAGTATCTTGGTTCATGCGAAGTTTTTGAATCCAGAGGAATGGAGGTCTGTGAGCATGCGTTGAAACATCTCAGAGTAAGTTTTTTATTGGTTTCTATTCCGTATTTAGAGCAAAAACCGTGCGGTGAAAGCTGTCCTTTACGTTTCTGGCGATTCTCTTCGAGTCGTTGATCAGGAAGCAAGTCGAGGCCTCTTAGTAGACCAAACTGTTGAGAAAGTTTCTTTTTGTGCTCCAGATAGGTCGAATGAAAAAGGATTTGCCTATATCTGTCGAGATGGCGCGACAAAACGGTGGATGTGCCATGGATTCACTGCGACGAAAGAGTCGGTAAGTTATTGGAGTTCCGTTCTACTTTTGGAATCATTTTCTTAAATAGAGGTTGTTATACTGGATAAATGGAGGTTAATTGGGATCAATTTCAGGGTGAACGTCTGAGCCATGCGGTTGGATGTTCTTTTGCCATCTGCCTGGAAAAGAAACGGAAGAGAGAAGCCGAGATGGCCGTCTTTTTAACAGCCAAGAATCTCGCGGAAGAAGTAAACGGAGAATTCAATGGGTCAGTTTATAGAAGAGACAAGAACAGTACATAAAACAATTATATTACATTACACTTCGATGTTTTAGTTCCCGTCAAAATCAAGCATATTCTTCGTTCCGTCGCCAATTATCAATCGCCGAACGGCGTCAAGATCCCCAGAAAGCCATCCTTGCTCAACCCATTCCAATTCAAAGGTCGCAGTCCTCTTCCAATTCATTGATTGATGTTCAATTGCCTACGACGGATGGTAGTCCAGCTTCCGAAGAAAACTCGACTGGTAAAGTTCGACCTCTAGTCAATCTGGCTTTGTTCGAGAAACAAAACAGTGTAAGAAGTCCTCCAAATGTTTCAAATTCAACATACAGTCAGTTCAAGAGGTTCAATTCTTTGAGAACAGATATGAATGGAAAACCGGTGAGTTCTGTTAGTTATGGCGGCTTTACTGTCCTGTTCCACTGGTCTTTTAAATTTATATTTCAGTTATTTGGAACTCTGAAATCACTCCATAATGAGCCGATTTACGAAGGAGATGAGGAATGGCCTGGAATATCCACATCCCAAGCCAATGTTGACACTAAGATGCAGACTTCTAATTCAGTGAATGAATTCGCTAGCATCAATGAATCGAACAAAGAGAATGGTCTTACTAATGGATGGGATCGCTCAAAAAGTACAGTGTAAGCTGAAAAGTTTTTATTTTGATGTTCGGTCTTTAGGCCTTGTGCGTCAACAGTTTCTCAGACAGCGGATGAATGGCTGGAGGACATGTTAAAACGGACCACTGCTTCGACCGCTATGACTAATTCAAATTACACTGAATCGGTTGTAATTAAGCCTCAGCCAATGTCGAGTCTACCTCCAAGCCAGCCTCCTCCGCCTTTACCCCCTCAGGCTGTGCTGGAAACACCCCAAAAATCGCTCTTTACATCTGTTTTTGCAACGCCGGGCATGTCTTCTCAAGTGCAACAAAGGACAAATGGCTTTATGGGAAACGGAACGATTCCAAACGGATTTGTCCATAATTTTGCTACTGCTCCGACGACTTCTTCGACAACGCCGTTGGATCAAAAGGTCGACATTGATTTCTTCATGAGTCCTCCGTCTTGTTCCACTACCACAACGGCGTCAAATTCGGTGGTTGTCAATGGTGTTCCAAGCTCTCAAATTACGAATGGCAATCCAGCTTTCCTGAATCCGGTTAGAAGGACATCGACGGATAAAAGGAAATCAATTGAATATCAGATCCTGGAAGAAACAGACGCGCCTCCTCAAAGCCCACCAAGAGTAACATCACCGTTAACACAAATAGCGGAAGTTGATATATTTGGCCAACCAGTATTCAATCCAGTAAAAGTGGAGAAGTTGACGTCAAACCAAGAAAGTGCCTCTGGGACACTGGATCAACTTCCGGCCAATCCCTCTGCGATTCCAACGTTAAACTTGAGCCAGGATTCTCCAGATCAAAAGGCTCCAGATGCTGTCAACGAGCCTGATCCGTTCGATGTCCAATGGACGGATCAGGTCTTGGAATCGGCCAGATCTTCCAGAATTGCGACCTTAAACAGGAATCCATTCAGTCAGGAAAGTGCCCCGGTTAATGTCTAACATTAGATTACGTAATTAGACCTATCTAGGCTACGTATTCATCTGTCCTTGAAGGGCCTAACTCTTTTTATAGACACAGTTTATTTGGACCAACTATCTGGTTTTAGCATCCAATGCTAGTTCGGTCTTGTCTTTGACGTCTCAATGTATAAATATATTGTGAAAGAGATATATCTAACCTTCCATTCTTTGGCCCCTTCATAGTGGATCCCTCATTCTAATATCATCATGGTTTGCGACACCTTTCAAGTGACCTTCGTAGGCAGTTCACATATTATAATTTGCAAGTATGCCCCATTACTAACGGTTATATTTAGTCTATATGAATATTTTCGCAAATAAATGTTCACAATATCGTTGTATTTACATTTCATCTGAAGCATGGGGAGCGGAAGATTGCTGTTGGGTTTCATCTGAATTGTGTTTTTTACCAGCAGCAGGAGCAGTATCTAAAAATATGTTATAAAAAAGTATTTCTGGCCGTCTTCAAATACCTTTCTTGCTTCCAGACCTCTCTTGTTTCTCCCTTTTTCGATTAACCAATTTGTTTCGTCCATACTGGTCCAATTCGCTTTCAGACCATTTTTTGGAGATGGTTGTAGATGTCATATTATGGGAATAGGATGGAGTTTCACTCTCCATCTTTGCCTTCGCATCGACTGCTTCTCTGACAAGCTTCTTCTTTCTTTGTAGCTTTAATTTTGATCTGAGTTCCTTGGCCTTTTTCTCCATTTCGTCAGTTTCCTTCGCAAATTTGACGTCTTTGTTTTGATGGGTCACAATCTGATATCTTCTTAATGCTATGGAATTCTGTAACCAATACTTCTTCTACAATATCGAAACTCACCGCCAGACTGATGACCATCAAATACCGGGGTTTATTTTTCTTCCATTTGATGCATAATATAATCATTCCCATCACTACAGTAAGACCAATTCCAACGCTTAATCCTGCAAAGAATAGACCGATTCTTAGAGTAATGGGAGGATGATATTTTGATGTAACATTGGTTGTTTCAGCTGTTGTAGAGCCCGATAAAAGCATGGTACGAGGAACAATTTCTTCATCGCTGATGCCGTCTTCGGTTACATTCTTCTGAAATTCTGAATAATATTATTTAATTCAAATTCTACTTACAATCAAAGCCGTGTTATTGTACCAATTATTTGAAAAGACGATGACATCCGCATGTATTTCCTTTTCAGTTGAATTTGAATCCATGAAAGGCCGGCATGAAGAACGGGATTGTATGCCCGGGAGATAGAAAACTTCTATTCCTCCCACCGCCGAGATGTTTAAGCGGATTTCAGCAGACCGCGACAAATTGAGTGTCAACGGATCGATTTTACTATTATTATAGTTAGTTGTTCCATTGAAATAAACGTGCTCTTTATCTTTCATAACAAACTCAAGACTTATCACACATTGATCAAAGCGCCAGTACACTCTAAAGAAAGTACACATTTAATAAAAAAGTTTGGAGCTTACTTCTGCCAAATCCTGGTCTTGATGTCGTTGTAGTCATCCGGCCAAACGTTTCCCAAGTTCCAGTGAAGCTGCAGTATTCTCTCCCTGTTTTGTATAAACTTCACTCGATTTACTGTGCAATCTCCATCAATGTTAATATCACTGCCATTTCTAAATTGCAAATCACTGATTTAACGGGCCTAAACTCACAGACAAGAGATGGCTTCGGGAGGCTTACAGTCTCTGTTAATTACATCCCAAAATTCCGAATGTACGGACATCAGCATAGCCAAGAAAAGCATTACATAATTAAACATGTTTTATGGAACGACCGTTTACAAATAACAGGAGGTGGAAGAAATAAAAATCAGTAAAACTCCCCTCCAAATTGATGAAATTTGCATATTTCCCACAACGTATAAGTGCAACGTCTTCGAAAGAAGCGCACGGAATTCGCGGCAGTGTGACTGACTAGCTTCCTCAGGAGTGGTTGCTTTCTCTCTTCTCTCTGAACATGGCTGGACCTATCGTCGAACTGGGTGGCAAGTACAGGCAGGAGTTGGAGGAATCCTTCAACGGGTTGCGGCAAAGAGTCAACGTCGCCGAAGTTCAGCAACGTCTTCAACAGCAAGCCGCTGAACTGCAGCCGACTCTGAATGCCAAGAAAGATGAAACCGTGGCGGCGCTGAGTGAGATGGTAAGCGGGTTACGGTAGTTGGAATGGTTTTGTGGGTTTTGTGTAACGGTAGTCGGAATCATCTCTTTGGATTTGTTGAATGGGGTGGTTGAATGTTTTTTACGGTGCCTTTTCTTTCTGATCGATTGTTTTGTAGGGGCCTGTTTCCACTCCTGGATCCAAAGTTCTGGAGGTGTTTGCGTGGTCGACCGTGCTCCAATTTGTCTTCGGCCTCACATCAATCATTTCGACCATTGTTCTCTCGCCCATCCTTGGCCTGTTCCTTGAGTCTGGATCGGCTCTCCTCATCTCCTTAGTGCTCCTCCCCGTCCTCATCTATCAACATGTCTCAGCGTCTAGCTCTGAAGCCTCCAACCGTGCCAAACTTCTCGCCTTTTCCGCCGTTGAAGGTCTTCTGGTGGGCTTCCTCCTGTCCCAGAAGTATCTTCCCACTGCTGGCCCAGTTATGTTCCTGACCCCGCTGACCATCGCTCTGGTTGCTCAATTCGGTGAAGGTTCCCTGGGAACCCGTCAAGTCTACTTGGGAGCCACTCTTGGCGCTGGATTGGGTCTCCATCTCGTTCTTGGTCTGATCACCGGCTTAAGCTTCGGATACCTGCTTCTGTCCATTTTGTACAGTGCAGCTGGTTTCGTCGCTCTCCAGTTCGCGTTGAAAGATGTGAGTTAGATGAGCATGTCGATGTCGCCATCCATTTTTCCGATTATAATGTTTTATTTCAGGTGTCGGCCTCCAACGTTCAACTCATCTTGTTCATGGGAATCTTGGTCTCTCACATCCTCATCTTTGGCCTGTTCGGTGGAGAAAAGGGGGATGTTCAGCAGAATTGAGTGTTTTTACCAATAAACTACTGATTTATACTTGGCATTTATTTCTTGTAATTCGGGTCTACGAGCAATCCTCCAATTCTGGCAAACACGATACACGTTCTTGTTCTTGTAATTTTTGGGCTCTCTTCGTATATTTTGCCTTTCCTCTCTTGTACGCAGCTTGCGCCCAAACATGTTGCCGCGAAATTTTTTTTGGAAAAGATCGAAATTCGCCCGAGGTATAAGTCGTTCTGTCGCCATGCACGCCCGTGATTTCACGACTTTCCGGATTCGGAGGGAAGATAACGTTTTACCGTCGTGTTCTACGTTAGGTTGTTGTTGTTGTTTTTGATGTTTTTTTGTGATTCTTCGTGTTTCAGATGGCGATCTCTTTCGATCAGTTCGAGATCGTCTCGAGCTCGGTTGATGGAACGACCTGCGCTGCAAATCTGGACAATACGGATCTCTTTGAGGTGACTACCGCGGCTACGATTAGTACGTTTTTTACCAGCTAGTTGTTCATTTTAATGTTTAGAAACAGAAGAAGAACTTCCACGAGACTGCGAACCGCCAAAAGTTATCTCCTTCCCATTTGCCGGCCGCGTTTATTTTGTTGTGGATACCTATTTATATGGGATTCTGATTGAAGATACGGTTGTAAACGAAGTGCAGCAGGTTCTGCCAGGTAATTTAAAGCGTTCTGGTGTTCACACAGTTCAGGTGCTGTATGCGATTATAATGTTCAACCGGAATTTGCTCTTCTCGCCTTGGATAATGGGGTAATTGTTGTGTTGGGGGAAGATGGAGTTTCTCCGAAGACCTTCCAACTTTCCCACCGTGAAGGTACCTCCTACTCCATCGGTATTTGCGACGTAACTATCGATGACAGTTTCTTGGTTGTTCTGGTTGAATATCCTGATACTGCCGAATTGATTATATATTCGATTGACAAATTTGGAAATAGGGACTTCATTGATGGGCTGGAAAGAATCGCCAGCTTTCCCGGGCTTCCCTTGGGCTTTCTCGCTGTTACAACATCTGGAATTTCAATTGTAAGTATTCAATTATAATTGCGTTTCACATTGTTTCTTTTGCTTTAGATTCCCAAGAATTGTTTGAAAAGCAGACTGTACATTGATCCATGCGATTTGCTTTCCACCGTTCCACAACTTCAGCACTTGCTAATGGATGATGCTGCTCAAGATGTAGACGAGGTGCATACTTTTGACGAGATGATGATGATACGACGAGATGGCTTCATGTCTGTCTATTCTAATCTTGGGAGCATCCGTCCATGCGGCGAACTTGATTTCTACTCGTTGAGATCTGAGATTGTTCAATTCCAAATTCTAAACCATGAAGGCAGCTTCGTCAAGTCGTCGGATAAGGTGGTCTTGCAATTGAGAGATGGGGATTCGTACAAATTGCATTGCACCACCATGAGCAAGGACTTTAGTTATTCGGTGGAAGTGCCCAAGACGGTGGGCATATGTTCCAAGATGACCATCGCTACCACTTATGCTGATAATGTTGTCTATGCGGAGGGGTTCGGTTTGAAAAGGTAGGCCAATTTCCTATGTTTCTTCGCTTTGGTGTAGTTGGAGTCATTGTTTTATTTCAGTCCTCAAGGGGTCAGAATCCGTTTTATATACGAAAGTCGGCCAGACGCCCGTCTGAGCAACCTTCTGGACAAGCAAAGATTCGACGCCGCTATGAAATGGGCTCTTGAATACGGGCTGGACACTGGTGTAAGTTGTGTTTAAATTTATTTTTAATGTGTTTAGATCGTCATTGCCCGTGAAGTGCAGTATATTGTTAGTATGATGATTCGATTTGGTACTGAAGAGCAAGACATGGATGAATTTATTTCTCTTCTGAGCCAGTTGCCGGACGATCAGAGCTTCGACTACGCGTACGAGGTCATGATGTTGGCGAGGAACCGCGAAAGCATTCAGAAGATGCTCGATTTTTGTCGTGGGCGACAGATTAAAGGTCCGTTTTTCTTCTTTGAGAGGTATCTTAGTTTCGATTTTCCTTTAAGTTTTGTGTTGATTTCAGACGAAAGCCTGATAAGCAGCGTTCAATGTTTTAAATATGCTGTAACGTCTTACTGTTTGGTCTATGGGCCCGACGCCGACTTTTCGGACCCCATTTGGGAGTTATTTTGGAATAAAGAAGGGCATTGGGATCTATTCAAGCAACTGGTGGAGGATGGAAAAATCGATCGAGCTCGATGTCTGTGGCAAAGATATGTGGACAACATGGAGACGAATCTCCAAACCAAATTGGAGGACTTCCCAGGATTGCTGAAATCTTTTGATCGAGTCATCCGATCGGATCTCGCTCTTGTGAATGACGTCATCCAGCTGTTAGAACATGAAATTTTACATTCGTTTGTGTCCTTAGACAATCTTCCCGCTCTCTCTCAATACTCGGAATGTTTAGTTGAATTCTTGCAAACGGTCGTCTCCCTGTTGGAAAGATCTTCCCAGGAATATCCATTCAACGCCTATTTTGTGGCGGATACGGTGCGCCGATTCCGAAACAAGATCCTCAAGGATGTTGATGATTTCGACCGGCAGGTAGGCAGCTATTTTCGAGTGCTGATTTCCTGTCGTTTTAGCATCAAAAAATACTCCAATTATCCCAAATCTCTGCCGGACTTCAAACTCCCAATTGTTTTACTGATTTGGACATCCTCCGCGGTCGCCTGAAGATGATATGCCATATCAAAAAGACTTATGATGTTAATTGTTCCATGGCTGATGTGACCGCGGAATCATTCGAAGCACTGGCGCTGAAGATGTTGATCAATTTCACTTACCGTGTTGTTGACCACCTCCAAGTGTATGCCCAAACAAAGGTCATACCTTTCTGCAAGGAATTCAAGTTGGATAAAGATGAAATCTTTCTGAAATTTGTGAAGTGCGGTCCCAGGAATCTGCCAGTATGTCTGGTGCTGGCTGACATGATGGACGACAGCGATTTGTGTGCCCGAACAACAATGGCCATGATGAAAAGTTGCCCGCTGACAAAGTCGGGATGGCCTCCGGTACTTCAAGCGCAAATCGTGAAGGTCCTGAGCAGGGATATTTCGTCCTCAATGTGGGTTTAGAATAGTAAATATTTATACCTTTTATGGCTTATGAAATATGTTCGTTTTTCCAGCCGGAACCAATTGAACAGTCTTCTTCTTCGTCGTGACATCGCTATGATCCTCTTGTCTTACCCGAAGATACTTCGTAAGAACTTGATTACGGATATCCCCACAAACCAGGACCTTTCTTCCATATGTTTTGAGGTCATCAATGCCCCAGATTCTACAATGGTCAACAAGTTTGATGATGTCCAAAAATTGCACAGCATGTGTATGTCTGATCGTGCACTTTGTTTTGATTTTGAATTGTTCTGCCAGCAAGTGCTGGGAGATTTGACTGACGTCGCTGCGGACTGCGGCTTTCTGGATGACTTTATCAGATGTTTGAGTGATTACGAAATGAAAAAGAGGGTCCTGATGCCTTCGATTGTGGTTTCTCTCGAGTTGATGGGACAGTTGCCAACAGAATGCATGCCGAAGTATGTGAAGCGAGTGTCCGCTTTCCTCGGCTATCTTAATTCCGATGATCCGGAGAGACTGAACGCGGAGGAACAGATGCTTGTCATCTACTCGACCTTTACTTCATTCAGCCTGCAAATCACACCCAATGAGATTGGAAACTTTGAAAAGGCAGAGGGACGCTTGATCGATGCCTTGTTGAATACGGACAACGATTTGACTTTTAGTGGATACCAACATTTTGGCGAGATGTTATTATTGGATATGGATAAGGTCGTGGGCCTTTTATATAAACCAGAAGTGGTTCAGAAAATGCTGGTGTCAGAGGAACTCAAGCTCAGATTACAATCCATGCTCTCGTAAATCTTGCAGATGTTTTTATGTTATTTAATGATTTAGTGCTCTGTTCAACGGCAAGCTGGAGGTTACTTACGAACACCAGTCACTTATTGACGCCATTTATCTGCATCTCTCACTGTTTGGCCAATATCCGATTAGCATGTCGGACGTCGCCTATCTTGCCGAGAGAATTGCAAGTGTTGTGGAGTTCATTGAATTGAATCAGGTCAAGCCAGGTACTCCCGAAATAGACAGTTCATGGTCTACGGTAATGTTAATGTATGGGATTTATAGCTTTATTTCAGCTGCTGATGTATGCCCACTTTGTTCAAGAGATTATCAGAGCTCTGACCCCGCGAGAGCCGTTGGATGATATCGACGATCAATGGAAGAATGCAGAGAATATGTGAGTTTTCTTGGGAGAATACTGTATTTCTAATATAGGGAACGCGAAAAGATTTGTAATCGAGCCTACGAGGGAGAATCCTTGTGCGAAATCAAAGTTCTTCACACCGCCTTTAATCTGGCAATGTCGGCAAACAAGTAAGTGATGAAAGAATTACGTCATATTGTAGTTTTAGTGAGTCTTCCGAGAAGAATCGGCAGGAATTGTGGAACGATCTCCTTATGCATTTAATCTCCACTTACAATTTCGAACTTTGTTTGAAGGCCTTCCAATTGATCAACAATCCAGGTAATATTATCATCATTTGATATTACGCGTGCCCCTTTCTTACAGCCTTTATTTCTGATCCAACCCCACTCTACTCACTCTATCAGAACTTCCTCGGGTTGTATCTGGAGAAGTTAATCGCCCATTATGGCAAAGAGTTCTATGGTCTGGACGCAGCTGTGGCCGCTTGCAGAAGCGCCCCGGATGAGAAACAAGTGGAGGCAGTTGTGGATCAGCTATTCAAGTCGTTTTACCAGAAACAAGATAGAATCCCCGCCTACAGATGTGTGGAACTCCAGATGAAACTCGGGTTCCTGAGTCCCATCGAGGCCGTAAAGCGCATGAATGCCATCCTCTGCATCAACGAATTGGTCGCGGTTGGAGTGAATCTTTCTTCTCGCTTCATGGTCGGCGGTCCGCTTTGCGCAATGGAAACGTTGGTTATTTCCTTGGTACCCCCGGGCATCCTCATCAATTGGTGTCAGCGATTTGGACATGACGTGGAACAAACATTGCGGACCTATGTTTTGAAGTTGGTTGAGGTACAAATTGGAGAGGGCAAGAAGGCGTTGAGAACCAAAACGGTGGCAGATACTCTCGAATCTTTGGCCCCCCTCGGAGATCAGACCAAACTCCTCTCTGAACTTTTGCAATGTATGCTGGCTCATGTTAATCCTTACGATTATGACCTGATCCACACGGTCCTTACTAAATGCGTCGAGATGTGCCAAGATCAATGTACAAAGAACATGTTCAAGAAGTATTTGCATCTCATCAAGTTTTTGAAGTAGGTGGAGACACTTGCTTGGAAGTATGAAAATTGTTTAGGTCGAACCGTCGAGTCCAATTGATCGGCTCTGCTGAGGTGAAATGGCTCAAAGCGAAAGGACTAGACCAACTCCAGGACTCGGTTTGGGCCAAGGCTCGCCTACCATTCCACATCTTCTTCGATGAGACGGTGACATCGACTTTAAAAGAATTCCTTTTGTATGAATTGGGAACCGAGCAGCTTCCTGTAGGTCTCATTTCCAATGGTCGAAATAAGTGTTGTAATTGTAGAGATGGAAGGATATGGTCTACAAATGCAAAGGGTTAGTTCCCTTGACCACTGTCACCCTTGAGACCTCTGCCATCCTCAGCGACCTGGAAAGATGCTGTCAATTGGACGAGATGAATTTGGCTGTGCTAGGGTCTATTAAGCAATTACTGGCCATAACTCTTAGTCCGACAATCTACTTGAAGAAGATTGCGTGTAAAATGAATGAATTGCCCAACTGTAAGATATGATAGGGGTAGAACGGTAACAATTTTTGTTTTAGCCATTGTTCGAACAGAATTTCTTCGATTAATTTACACCGCAAGTTGTGAGCTCTTTTCCAATATGAAAGCCGGGCATGGTGCTGGAATCCAGAAGGATGAGAAATTTAAAGAATACGAAGAAGCCCTGCTGTGGATGAAGGGCATCAGATTATCGGGAGAGATGCACACTTTCCTCAAGAACTTCGACTTCATCTCCCCGCAGACCTCGGCTCTAATTGGGGATGCAAAGGCCACCTGCACTGTGATTATTGATGAATTCACGGATTGGGATAACTGGGATCAGATTGGTAGGTGTGGAAATGACTATTAGAACATAAGATGTTGTGTTGTTACATACGTCTGTTTTCAGCCAAGGCGTTGGCCTTCTTGGGGAAAGTCAGCTCCCAAAACCTTATCAATCTCCGCTCCTTCCTACGAAATTATTTGGCCGACCGACTCTCGGGCCACGCGGAAATGGTCTCTGTTGAAGAGGACGAAGTCACGAACGGCGACCTTAACTTGAGTATGGTACCCATGGAGGCGTCGGCCGAGGTATCAGAACAGTATGGAGTTCCGTACATGGATAAAGATGTGACGAAACTGGCCATGATCGTGAGTATGGCTTACGATGACGAGGAAGTGGTTCAATTTTTGGATAAGGTAAGCATGACAACTGGAAACGAACAAAGTATTATTTTATAGATAATCCGCCGGCCAAACGAAGAAGTGAAATGGTTATGCGTGGTACTCAGAGCTTCTATTATTTTGGGAATCGATATCCAGGATAAGATTAGGTGAGTTTAAATCAAAAGGGACGCAATATGTTCTCTTTAGCCCGCGTTTGGAAACAGCCTTGAAGGAAGAGCTTTTGAAGAACAGTCGGGAAAGAACGAACCTAAAACTATTCGAGGAAAATGGAAAGGAACTCCTGATACGAAGCCAGATCTGCACCACCAATGTCCATACCACCTTCAAAAATATGGATACCCAGGGGCAACTTCGTCTTTGTTCGTCCATCGCTTTGTCCCTGATCAAACAAGACAAGATTGAGTTCATTCATGTGTCCCAACTCATCGATCGTCTACTGGCTCAGAAGATGAGTGACGTCGCGTTTACCCTTCTGAAGTCCTACAACACGATTCATGAACCGATCAGAAATCAGGAAGTTGCCACCTTATATGCAGCAATCTTCTCCGGCACCCTTGAGAAGATCCGCCTCAACACCCCAACCGGTCATATCATTGAACCAAGAACAATGCCGTGGGTGGATATCAAAGAGAAGGTTGGAGCTATGATAAGATGTCCAGAAGATTGCCACCATCTTTATCAGAACACGATTGCCGTACTTCGGAAGATGGGTATGGAGAAGGAGGCTAGACAACTCGAAATTGCATCTGATCAGTTGAGTTCAAATGCTTAACCATGTATCTATTTAGCTATCATGTTTTTATTTATTTTGTTCCTTGTAAACTCGAATGCTAATATTAAAAGTACCAGGTGTCTAATTTTATCGTATATGGTCTTGATAAAAAAGAAATAGTATAAAAAGAGGTTTAAAATAACGCAATAATCAGAAAGTAGGGCGCGGCTCGCCTTGCACGGATGAATGACATCATTTCTATAACATGTCATTGGGTAATTTGCTAAATGCCACGTTCGTACCATACGTGCTTCTGTGGCCTGCTTGTTGACGTTTGAGGCGTATGGTGTCTATTTTGTTGTCTTGCTTACATTGACTTGTCTTGGCAGCCAATGATGAAAATATTTTACCTTGGAAACTGTAGTACATGAACTCTTGTATTTTTTTGCTTTACCCTTCTGTTTTATTTTATTCTGCAAAATTATAAGTATATTGCTTGGTCACAGATTTTGCGAAATTCCCATAATTTGCATAACCGAACATCTAATTCCGCGACGAGTATAAAAGCGCGTGTGGTTGCTCCGGTCTTCTCTTGCGACCAGAGTTGGAACCGTGTGCAGAGGTCTCTCGCGCGCTCAGTCAAGAACACCACCTTCAGCTTCACAACTCATCAGCTATGGCCATGGAACCCATCGTCCAGCTCGGCGGCAAGTACAAGGAGGAGCTAAGTGCCACCTTCGAAGGCCTTCGGCAACGCTCGTCTGTTTCCGTTGCTGCTGCGCAAGAACAGCTTCAGCTCCTTCAACAGCAGGCCGAACAGCTCAAGCAGTCCAGTCCCGAGGCTCTGGTCGGAACTCTTCAGGATTTAGTATGTTTCCGTATTGTTATTCTTTTGTTATGCTAGCTAGGGTACCGAATGTTGAGTAACATTGCATCTTTCAGTCTCCAGTAGAAGTCCCCACTCCAAAGCTCCTAGACACCTTTGGATGGCTGACAGTGATGGAAGTGACCAAGACCGTCGTGTCCGTTCTCACCTCTTATCTTCTGGCTCCATTCATTGGTCTCTTCTTCGAGAGTCTGACTGCTATCGTCCTGGCTTACGGTGTTGTCCCTGCCCTTTTGTACCGTCAACTTACGGCCACCGAGAGCGACACCGAGCACCGTTTCTATCTGCTCTCGGCTGCCGCCGCTGAAGGTCTTCTGGTCGGATTCATTATCAACAACCGATACCTTGCCGCCAGCCAGCCCATTGCTGCTGTGACTCCGCTGTTCATAGCCTTGGTCGCCCAGCTTGGTGAGGGCAAATTCCCCAGCCGTCAAGCGTTCCTTGGAGCCACCCTTGGATCGGGAGTTCTGGCACACCTGGCGCTGAGCATTCTTTTTGGAAGCCTGTCTTTCCCCGGCTTCCTCCTCTCTGCGCTCTATGCCGGAGTCGGATTTGCCAGCATTCAGTTGCTCCTCAAGGATTCTCAAGTAAGTCCAAGTCAAGTTCAGTTGCATTTTTGTTGTGGCTGAGGGAAAGTTGGAAGGGGGCGGGAAACTGAACGGATTTTTAGTAATCTTTTTGCTCTGACAATGTACGGCCTTTTCATGTTATTATTTTTGCTTTTTCTAGGCACCCTCCTACAAATACCAGTTCATCTACTTCATCGGTGCCATCCTGTCTCAAGGAATTGTCTTTGGCATTTTCGGTGGCGCTCCTCCCGCGCAGAATTAGCCCGCATTCCACCATCTACTGACTCGGGCGGAAATATTCTATGTTTGCACTAAATAAATGATTTATTATCGTTTTCTTGTTGTTTTTTTTATCTTTTTGTTGCTTTGTATGTGCGTTCATTGATCTAATAAATCTATAAAACGAGGGAACTCCGATCATTTTGTTTTTGTTTCGCACTAGAATGGGGGAAATTGTTGATCTATCAGCTAAATTGGACAAGGTACTTGATTTGGCACCTCCAAGTTTGGATGAATTGAAAGCAGTGATCGAGAATGGATTGCATGATTATTTCGTGGAGAGCTCAGTCACTATTACGGATTGCCCAGGTACAATATGTGCTTGACAACGCGTTGTCGTTTTTTCATTTGCCTTCTTTCAACCAAAGACGGTTTAGAAACATAGGAGTATAGGACACGGCAATACGTCTATCTTTAAGGAGGCACTTTAAAGATAATGTTGCACGTGACCTTTTAGTATTCGTTATAAAAAATAAAATACCGTTTATGAACAATCGCAGGGTGAGTCCGAAAATTTTGCGATCGCACCCCCACGACGTCGGCGAAAAAAATTCTACGAGCTTTATCGACTGTTATCGTATGTCCGTTTCGTTGAAACGGGTGTCCATTGTGACAAACATGTTTACTGGCTGTAAATGTGGTCTTATCTACAAATACCAATTTCCTGGTGATAGTACTCACTTATCTTACTTGTTTAGACTTCAAAACCGAGCCGTACAACTTGGAGGGGAGTGGTCTTAGCCCGGATCTGAGAATTGTCGATTGCGGAGGGCATGGAAACTTCTTCCCCAAATTCCAACGGCACAAACAGTTTGATCTAAAGGTAAAGAACCAAACAAAACTTCCAAGACCTTTAAGAAAATTTCAAAAACTTCCGAGTTGCCTCAGGGCTGGATCTTTGGCCCAGGCGCTGCACCCAGGGAGACAGTTGGAGTAAACGCCGAGCTTGTGGCCAATGCTAATTTCAATACGAACAAGGTAAGATGACAGTAAAACAAGCAATTCTGCTCAGGTCAATTGTTATAATGGTCGGCTGACTCCAGATGGGAAAGGATATTTGGAAGGGACTCATTCTGATACATGCTTCAAGATGATTGCAAATCTAGCGTTGTGTTCGGACGAGGCGGGTCATCGTGTTTGTAAGTGACGTCATAAGAAATACGGTTTTTGAAGTGAGGATCTCGGCCAAGAAACGAACGGGAGATGGGAGTTTCACGGAGATTATTCAAAAGATTTTGGCCTCACATTACCGCAATAAACTGGTTTGCTTAGCCGGGATTTGGCGCTTCGAGAAAGGCCGTGGTTATTTCCACATCGTTCCAGATTATCCGGAGAAAGATTTTGAAAAACTGGATGACGTGAGTTGTTTCCTTTCTAAGTCATGTTTAGATTTGGAAAAACTGGCTCCACTTCTTCGAACTCCCGGCTCCTATGACCATGACTACCGTAATCCATAGTAATGATATTGGGTTGGATGTCCCAGTTGAGCATACGCACGGATTCAGTGGGCGGGGTCATTGCGGACATTATCATGGGGATGTTACCCCAAGTGAGGCCGTTTATGATGGCTATTTCTTGCCTGCCACCAAGTTGTATAGAATCGACAACACCAAACATCTTTCATGAGGTACTATCAACCCAGCAAAACAAGTCCATCTTTTCTTTTGAACTATCTTTTATTACGCCAAAAACTAGCTCAAACTAACAAATAAAAAATATACACATTTTGAGACCAATCGAACAGTATAAATTATAGTAAGTAGGGTACACCGTTTAACTTGCGGGGTTTAGTTGTAAATATTGAGAAATTTAATAAATGATATCTTCATCCGGATGTAAACATCTTCAATGCCAATCAATCACACCTCGGTCGTATTCTTTGATGAAATGCCAGATAATCTTCAGCCTCCTTTGATGCACAAACGGATATCGTCTTTCCAAATCTTCGTATGCATTTATTGTAATCTCATGAGGTTGCAATGGCTGGGTGGCTTCTCTTCTGACGACCAATTGATCTTTTCTTGGAGCTCTTCTAATCGCATTGCTATTCGCTGTTCTCTGTTCCGTGTTTCTGAAGGTCCGAAGGGTTCTTTCTCCCTCTTCATCATTCCTTTCCGAGGTTGAAGCCTTCGTATCTTGACTAGAATCATCTTCCATCTGACTGTCGTCTGTTGCTTTACTATGTTCTTCCGATCCATACCGATCATCTCCATCCCTCTGGATGCCACTTCCATCTTCTCCATTTCTATCTGTTCCAAATGGGCTTATCCTCGCTACCGGAACATTCTTATTGGTGCTATCCGAAAGAGCCGACTTATCTGAATCACGGTCCAGAGTCCTCTGCGAATGCGGCAATAAGTCGAGTCTAGGTTGTGTGTGGACAGAAGGGCCTCCATTATCATTAGCGTTAACTCCATTCCTCCCATCACAACTTCCATTAACCTTCGAAGCTATTTGTCCACAATTAATTCCGTCCGTTTTAATCTTGGCTTTAAGGAGTATTTCTTCTGGGGTTTCGATTGACTTCCTCTTGAGATTGTTCAATGCAACCACTGGGGGGCTCTTTGGAGGTTCTGATTGTGTTTTACTTTCTGTTTTGAGACGATCCAGGGCTAGTCGGGGCGGTTCGGTGCTCTCTCTTAGCAAATCATTGCTGATATCACAAGATCTTCTTGGTGGCGATTCTAGTCTCCTCTTTCTCGGGATTCCATCAGGATGCGATCGTTGTTCTTCCAGATGGGTCAGCATCGAATAAACACAATGCTTTTTGTCCTTTCTCGGGTCATAATCCACTCCTTCCTTCAATCTGGCAGCCAAATCATACCATTCCGCTTCGTGGATTCTGCCAAACTTCTTCAGATTGCAGAGATGGATAATGAACTGGAAGTAGTAACGGGCTTCGAGTAATTTCTCGCGGAGTTCTCGGACCATTACTCTCTACAATTGGGATCACATAAATAAAACATTATTAAACCTTACATGTATTCCATATGTCATTCTCGGTGAATGGAGACATCTAAATGAGCTGAAGAAGTCATTTAACAGGATCAGAAGTTCTTTTTCATTGTCATTTAGGTCAACAAACTCTCGGACTCTCTGAAAAAACATTAATTCACAATCTAGAAGTTCCAATATTAACTTTCAAACATTATAGTATAAAATTACACACCCTGTGCTGATTCTGTATTGTGTATGGCTGATGTGCCTGGGCATACCGAGCTGTTTGGAAGTGGAGATCGATGATCTTTTGGTTCTCTCCAAAATTCCCACTAGAATTAAAGTAATGCTTTCCTTCTCCGCTTACTCATTGAACTTGCTGCTGAACATAACACTCTCAATCGATGTTCCGGGTGGTGTTCTTCTCAACATTCTAGCCAGACTTTTGGTAATAATGAAGCATGGTGGCTGTTTCCAGGCATTCGTGATCTTTCTCAATCTGCCGGCACTCGTGTTTCTGTTGTACTTTCGATAATGACGGGTGATGTCGAATTCATGGGAGCCATCAAACTTGTGATTCAAAGAGACGATCAGACCGTGACACCAGTCTTCATCCCCATCCGGCTTTCGTTTCTTTTTCGGCGATAAATTTACCGGAGTTTGGACTAGATTCTCTTTGAATTTGAAGGTCAACCGGCTATGGCAAGTGGAAAGGTGATACAGAAACGATGTTAGATATCTAAACTTTCGCTTGTATTGGCAGAGAAAACACTCCGAATTTGTGAACCGGAAGACATCTGCAGGTGGCGCAGATTCAGCCGCCGCTATTGCTTCTTCCACGGAATTGGAAAACAATTTTGTCTAAAAAAGTCTTTTTTACTGATATCAAAATCCCTCAAGTTATATCTAAACCACTCACATCTTGTCCATAAGGGCCATCTGTCATCCGGAAACACCATGCAATAACATCCGGCATTGGGGCGTTCAGCCATTTGGGTCTGAGATTATCTTCTACCATATCCAAGAGTCCAAAGGGAGTGCCTACCATGGTCCCGGGAGCCTTTTCATGTACCCAAATGGTTGATGGATCTGTATTCTTCGATGTGAACACCCCTTCTTCCTTCTGCTCTATTACTTTATTTGACTTTCTGGAGGTCGTGGGAATAACCGAATCGTCTGCAACCATGGAACCCATCTCAACTTCACACCTACCTTCGCTACATTCCTCATTCTCCTCATCCGTATCAGACTCAGAAAGAGCATCTCCTTTTGGGTCGACATGAATATTGATGGTAACAATAGGATGTTGGGTTGGTTTCTTTGCTTCTGCCAACACTTTTGGAACGATGGTTCTGTCGCTCTGCCAATCCACACTGTCTCCATCAATTCCCAACTTTTCTTGAGGTCTAAAACAATAAAAAAATAAGATGAAAATAACTTACATTAACGCCAGAACCATCTTTCCTTGTCGGACTTTATGTCCATCCCATTCTCTAAGCATGGTTGACACTTTCTTGACGGCGAACATTATCCTACTCTCTCCTTCGTTCCCTTTATCCTCCAGGTGAGCATGTAGCCTGGCGGGGACTGATCGAAGACGTCTTCCGCCACTCACATTCATTGTATCCACCGTGAACTTTACCTTAATGACCAGGTACTCATTCCTAAAGTACTGTAATAACAATTTATATAACCTACTTTACACTGCTTTCCTCCATTTTTAGCGGTTTCATACCAAGTAGGTCAATGTTTACCCTCAATTCCGTGTTTAATGACGCTTCGAACCCGGAGCCAGGAATATTTTGCTGAAATCAAACGTCACCCAACACAATTGACCGACTTACTGTACTCGAATATTCTCCATCAACTTCTCTGACTTGGAAACAATGGACAAATGCCTTCTTACAATCAACCATCTGATCATTTTTGATCCTTAAAAAGACGACCGAAGGGGTAAATTGAGTCAATGGAAGTCCGTTGAACGGGGAAATACTATGCGATTTGTCCTTCACTTCTCTCTAAACACAAGAACTGTAATAATAATATGTAAAAAGCTTACCTCTTTTCTTCCCTTCGGAACACAATCTCTGATATAGGATAAATTATTCATCCGAAAAGGCTGATACTTCGGCCGCCTGTTCAACCCATTTATGTCGGGGAATGTCATATAAAAATACAAATCCACAATATTCTTCATCCGTTGTCTGAACTGATCCAATTCGTCGCCATTTCGATTCCTATAAGGATTATCGTATCCTTTGGAGGGTGACTTTACTTTGGTCGGTGATGGCCGACGCTTCCCAGACATGTCTCACAATCTAAACACGTGAAAAAATTAACTGACAAGAAAACCTACATTAGTAACATACAAAATAGACAAGATACTTGCAACAATTTTTCGCGAGCCTTTCCCAAATACCTAAAACAAAATAAAAGATAAAGAAAATGATAAAGATATTCATGGCTCAGAACCAGTGTTAAAAGGACGTGGCAAATATAATAAATTTATTATGATACATTAATATACACCGGTCAATGGTTGTTAGATACCCATAATCTATTTTTTGAAGTCCGTTGGGTCCTCGATATCTGAATCTAAAGCTTCGTTTTCGTATGCGAAAAGATCGGGCTCTTTCTTCCGTAGAGATTTCTCGGCCATCGCTATTAATTCCTTGGCGTCGTCTGTTAATTCGGTCTCCGATTCCGAGAGATCGATATCATTGAAGACAATCTAAAATCCATGGATAACATAAATCAAAATTCTCTCACCGTTCTTGGTTTTCTAATTTCTTCCACGGGCACGTTTCTTAGATTGGCCAGTCTCTCCTCGAGTTTAGTTACTTCGTATTCGTGTTGTTGTTCTAAAAACAAAACCAAATAATACTTGTTATATTGTACTTACTATCAAATTCTTTATTCTTCACCGACGGATCGTCTAAAGCCTTTTGAAGTAAGTCTTCAGGCGTTTCTTTCTTCGTCTTTTCCCGTCCAATTAAGGGGTTATTATCCTTCTCTTCGGGGTCTATAACCATCTTCATCGGATTTTGAATTTCATCTACACTTTTATTCTTTAATTTTGCCAGCCTTTCTATTAGATCTTGATCTTCAACCTTCGAATTTGTAGCCTTTTCAACACTTTTTTTCTGTCCTTTTTGATCGTATACATCTTTGAAGGATGCTGGTGGTCGTTCTTTGAAATCAACAACTTCTTCTTTTGTCTCTAGCTAAATACTGAATAACATGATCAAAGCCGCCTACATTTCCTTTAATCTTCTCGAAGCATTTATCACAGACAGCCAGGGGTTTATCACTAATTCTTTTGACCACAGCTTTCTTATTGATGCACCTGGCACAAAAGCCGAACCCACAATTGGGACAGCCATGCTGAAATTGAGATTAGAGATCAGACTGGTGTGCTTGCCTCTCTCTTAATCAGCGAATACTTGACCATACAATTTGTGCAAGGCATCTGAAAGATAATACAAGACATGAACTAAAACATGTCATGATATTAGATGGTATCAACCATGCACTTCACGAGAGCGATGAAAGTAATAACAAGTTTAATGTTCCTAAAGAAAATCAAAACAAAAAAGAAAATCAAAATCCTTTCTCAAAAACAAACGCCTCAACATCTGTCATATCAGCGCCACAAACAACAATCCGACTTTGTAATTCGTTGGCAAATATCGCAACCGGATGCCCGAGTCTGTTCTCCAAGAACTCTTTAAGATCTCGTTCACATGCCTAAAACAAATTAAACATTAATTTCAAAATTAGTCATAAACAAAACTCACAAAAACATCTCCGTAAACACCTCTCAACGTGACTAATTCTCTGTATTCGTGTTGCATGGTTTTTACATTCAACTGATCTCTTTTTCTGCTCAAGTGTAAACATGGTAGATGAAAGCGATCTCGTTTGATGTAATATGGAAGATCTGGCACTGGATCTAAACAGAGAATTAAAAAAAACCTTCCGCCATACCCCTTGGGGGTCTCCATCCACTAGGCGTGATCTCCTGCACATTTGGAGGTTCGGGAATTACTTCTGGAGGTAACAATTGTTCCACTAACCTCCAATCAACTGGTACCTCCTCAAAAGTCGTGTATGTCTCTTCTAAAAAGCAAAATATTAGAAAACGTCAAGACAACAATTCTACCCGCAGATAATCCCACCTTTCTTCGGAACGGCATGTTTCCAGGGATCTTCCCAAGGTTTCTCTTCCGATGTTGTTGAAGATGCAGAATAACAAGATTGAAGAATAGCTGGGCGAAATCGTGCTAGTAACAACCGAGGTAGTGCTGTATGGAGTATCCTAGACATCTTTGACTACAAAAATACAAAAAATAACAAATATAATTCCTTTTTGACAGAACGCCAAAGCTTTTTGCATTGCTCGTTTTCGTGGTAGGACGAATTCAGTGATGTTGAATAGTTGAGATTCAAATTTTCGGCCCGACTGTAGTTGCAATTTGAACACAATCACATTTTTAAAGAGCATTGAAATTGATTTTTGATATTTTTTCTTCTTAAAAAAAGGAAATTAAGAAATCATCACGTTCAGTATAAGTAAACAAACACCTCTAAAATTAGATGAGTTTTAATTTTATTGTACTGTAGTACGATCGGCTTTGCTAAGCGCTTCGAAATCCCCTGTTACGAGTGCGGATCAAATTTTTGTACAATATTAGTTATGTATTTTCTCTTCGCATTTTTTCACGCAAATCCGAAAAAAGTAGACCAATAACAGTGAGAAGCCGGAGGCGATTTTGGATATCTCCTTTTTCGCGCTTTATGAAAACCGGAATTTTGGAAAGGATCGGAAGCGGCGGAGTCGATCACACCCGGGAAAACAAACGAAAACCCCGATGCCAAAAAACTGAAGCGGAAACACGTGAGATTACCTAAAAGGGCAATGTCAAGGCCGAAGCTCGTGGATTGGGGAGCTGAATTGTTTCGGCTGGGTCAGATCGGTGGTCACAATCCCTATGTCGGTTTTGTTTGTTCCTATGTTTCATGTCAAACTTTTTGTATTTTCCTTGCTTATAAAGGCATTCCTGTTTTGCATCTTCTTATTTATTTTGCCGTAATTAAATTACGCTTGTTTTTTGAAGATCTCTAATCCGCAAGACTTTCGACTGGATTGGATCTGCTGCTCTAAACAGAATCCTCTTCAACTTTCCAAAACTTTCTCCAAGACTTTTTTCCGTTCGGTCGCGGCGTTTTGTGATTTTTTAAATGGCATCCTAGGGAGAATCCAGTAAAATAAGAGAAAACTTTCGGTTATAAAGTATCTTCTTGCTATCGGTATTGGAATACAGGAATCTTTTTGTCATCTGTTTTGTTTCTTTCAATTCTTTGGATATCTTTATGTCATCATGAACAATATAATGTCTCTCTGTTCCCTCGAATCCCCGTTTAATAACCTAAAATCCCGCTTCCTCATAACTTGACCGAGTTTCGTCAACGGCTCGTTGTAACGTTACGAAATGCGTGTTGCTGAACGTCAGATCACCCATCAATTATTTCAATTAAACGGGATTTTTTGTCTCCATTCGAGGCTTTAAATGCCGAGTTTTTGGATCGCTCGAATCCTCCTCGAATTCACTCAATTTTCTGGTTTTCTTTCGGGATTTTCGCGAACTCCTTGAGTTTGAGATCAACGTTTCAGCGCCATGTTTATTCGAATTGGTGCTCCTGTATGGCCCCCGCCAAGTGTGCTGTTGTTGTTGATCAATTCCATGGTGGTTTTGGGACAAAGAGTAAGCCGATGTTTAAAGTCTTTATGGTTTTTTTTTTCAATACTATGCTTAGCACACTTAATATTGCAACTTTACTTTAGGATGGTTTGGGAGGTCTGGGCAGTCTAATTTCAAGCAGAGATATTGCTGAAATCACGCAAATTGCAACGAATCTTGCGGCACAGACAATGAATACAAATTCAGAGTTATTGTGAGTGTTTTCGATATCAGTGACCACCTTTTTTTTTGTGAATGATATCGCTTACATTTAGAACAAAGCCCGGTCGCCCTGAAACTCGGGCAGTCCCTATGAACGCTCGGCCCTCGGAAATGTTGGGTCAAACAATCACAAATATGATGCAGCCAGCTACAGAGCAACTGGCAAGGGCGTTAAATCAGAATTCGGGAGTTAAGAGTCTGAACCCAAGGGCAAGGGCAGTAAAGACCGAACTGCCAGTGTCCGAACTTCCTCTTGAGGACCTAGCTCCTCAACCAAAACCCTTAGGAGGTCAGAATCAAGCAATGAGTGGGCTATTGGACATGGCCAATCAGTTCTTGGGAGGGGGAAGATCAGCTGGGGTGGAGAGTCGGGGAGCGGCTAGTGCAAGGAGTGGAGGAATGCCAACATTGAAACAATTGATACCTGGGGCTATGAGGAATTTTGGAATCTCACAAGGAGATGGTAAGGGATTTGAACACATTATTTCTTCGTTATCATCAAGATCATTGTCCATTTTTAGGATGTTTGCCGTTTATGGGCGAAGTAATGCAAGCCATGTTCGGTAATTGTGCGAAACAAGCGGATGAAAGAACTTGGGATGTGTGGGGAAAAGAGATCACGAATGCATTGATGGGCGGAAAAATCGATCTTTTGAGAGCTAGGTAGGACATACGACACTATTGAATTATCCAAAACATTGCTCATTTGTCTTTCAGCAAAGAAACTTGCAAAAAGGGAGCTGAAAGAGAGCAATGTGGTATGATTAAGCGAGCCGTGAGCGATTGTGATATCCTGGGGTCAATTCAATTGGCCAGCAACTTCAAAAGGGCCATAGAAAGATGTGATGAGATCTCGGGACTTATTGATCAGGTACAACTTTTATTTTGCTTCTGATTTCTTAGTTTGACAATTTCTAACTTTCTTTCCTTGCAGAACCCAGTCACTTTAATGGAACAAATGGGCGGTTTCATCAACGGCGAAGTCGCCCAGGGCTTCCTCAACAACTTTTTGGGCAAAAAGCGCTGAGAAACGGGTCCATCTGCACCATGTTGTTGTACATATTGTTTAAAATTAAATTAATTTATTCGTTCTTCGCCTCCAAAACAGGTCAAGTTTGGTTTTGAGAGAGGGGATTATCGAGTTCGGAGATGTTCGCTTCCAAAGAAACCAACAGAATTCCATGCTTCGAACCTGTTAAAAAGACTCCAATGGATTCTGAAGCGAAATAAAAGAGAATTGAAAATAGCCAGAGGGGAGAAAGGGATAGGATCACCTGGAGCGGGTAATCTGCAGCTTCTTCTTCTTGTTTACACATTCAAAATCGAATTTTCAATTTCAAAGGTTTCTTGAAACTGCTTTGAAGGGACAAAAAGATGATGATTTTTATTTTTTTATGGCAAGAATTAACTCTTATAAAAATTCTAAAGAAACCCCTTCTCTAGAATGCCCTGCGCATTGTTTGTGCTGTGATTTGTCAAATTACAAATCATTTGTTCGCGAAATTAAGTGACCTTTATTACAGAGTTTCAGCCGTCAATTGACGAAATAAGTGATTGAAATTTTTAAATTGGTTGATGTCAGGGGCTTATAAACCCACTCTGTACTTGTTTAAAGTCATTAAAAATAACTTTTTTGGGACTTATATGTATTTTATGTTCGATTTAAAAAAGAATTACGCAACTTTATGTCATCAAACGTTGATTGGATGACTAAAATAACTTCAAAGATTTTAAAAAGGTCATGAAAATCAGCGAGGATCTCCTGGGGAATCTTTTAAAAGTTTTGTTTTTCTCTATTTGTTGTTTTCCACGATGGAATCGCCAGAGGGTCGTGATTTTTTGCTTTTGGAACTTCTTCCCCTCAGGGTCTAAATGCTTTCCATTTCGTATTTTGTTAAAACAAGGTGTTGTAATAGCGGGGAAATATTTTTATTGTTTAAAATGATACCGCACTCAAAACGTCCTCAATGATAATGTAAAATTAAATTTTTCAGAATGAAGTGGCTTCTTTTATTGTGTCTTGTGCAATTTATACTTGCCGAAGACTCCGTCAAAGAGATCAATGCCAAATGCAGAGGGTTGCTAAGCTGCTCGATAAAGAAAAATTGTGTCCAAATGAATTATCTGATCAAACAATTTGATCAGAGAGAAGTGAACGCCGAGATGTACGATGCGTTGGACAAAGTAGGCCTCTTCGCAGCTTCGACTTATTAGTTTGTGGTGGCTGATAAGTATTAAAACCACTTTTTTAGGCGATAGATTACGGCTGTATATTCACATCCGGCTGTCTGGAAGAGTGCAATCGCTGTCCCCTTTGCCAGAATTCCAAACAGCAACTTGTTGACGTCCTCAGCGGGTCGAGGAGGGAAGAAGGAGGTTTGTTCCTACTCTCTTATTCTCGTTACGACTTAACCAATAAAACAATACTCGACCCTCGTTTCTAGGAGAATGTTCCACCTTGGTCAATTGCGCCTCCGATTGTGTGGCGGACTCAGGCACTGACATCAGCAAGATCAATTATTGTCTGAAAAAGAAGTGCGCCTTCCATTGTTTCGATGGGAGTTGCCAGAAATGCTCGGCGTTTGTCACAAGAATATTCAATCAAGTCTGCGTTTCTGGAGAGTTGAGGTCCAAAGTCAAAGAATTTGAGGTAAGGTCAGCAGATGATGATAGGGATGTTGATATCGGTTGCGAGGCTTTGTTTTGGTGGGGCTCGGCACAATTTAGCACAACTTTAGACCTTCATAATCGCAAAACTCTTTCCAGGGGCACTGTTACGAGATGTTCCGTGAGATTGTCTACCAAAAATTCACCAAAGAATTCGAAGAAGCCGGCCTCGAACCCTCGATAGGAAACCGTGGAAATCAAACCCGTGAGAATTAGAATACTGGAATATTATGTTTATAATGTGATCTCAGAAATAAATCAAAAAATTGTACTCATGTCGTACTGTAGATCGAACCATAACAACATAAATGAGAAGATAAAGATGAAAATAAAAACTTGAGCAAAGTAGTTAATTGGAGAGATTGCAAAACTTCCTGAACAGAAGGTCCAAAAACCGGCACAAAGGATCAAAACCGAGTAGAAGGCGATCCATTTGAGGGAGATGTAACGGAAGTATTCGTCCTAAAAAATAAAAATAATTTCTGTAAAAAATGAAAATAACAGTAGTTAGAGTAGCATTATGTAGCTCACCAAAGCGCCTCTTCTCTTATGTCTCCTTGTTTTGCATTGTCTGTTTTTCAACGGTTTTTTAACTCTCAAAGGTGCGGTCCAAATAGCCTCTCTTGCCTCAGGCCATGAATTGGGACCGACCAGTCGATAAATGTAGGGGAGATTACCGCCCAAAAATAATCGCAAAAAGAAGCGGAAATCCGTTAAAAATATCTGAAAAATGAAAAAAAGTTTTAATAAAAAAGTAGAAAATTGGGGTTTAAAAGAAGACGGCTTACCTTTTGAAGATCTGGCTTACAACCAACAAGTTCTGCGATCTCATCCATATAAGGGACAAAGTCCACTTGAAGAGTGTGTTTGTTACTTTTGAAGTATCTCCTCTGCATTAGCCTCTTCTTATGTTCAATATCAGCTTTTCGGGTGAACGTTGATGGCAAAGAACATTTCCCAGCATACACTCGAGCTACCCATCGGGCCTGCAACCACATTTATAGTAATATTTTTGTACTATGTAACTGTTATGGGTGTCATACGAACGCATATCGAAAACTTACTTGAATTTCAGAGATCGGCGCCAGACTTCCGATTGGCTGGATTAGCCCGATAACAGCTAGATCAGCAGCATTTGGAGGGAAAACAAACTTGTAAAGATCGACTTCATGATCCTGGAAACTTTATAAAAAATCTACAGTAACTCACATTGACTGGAATCATGTTTTTGGGGGTCAGATAAGGAAACCCGAATGTGTAACCCGTGCAAAGAATAATAATATCCGCATCAAATCTCTTCCCGTTCTTCACGATCACCCCATTGGCTTCAAACGACTCTACATCCTCCTAAATCATCATAAAAATAGATATTCGAATCAGTGCTTACAGTTACAGTAATCATCCCACTGCATAACATATTGGCCAAGGAATCGTTGACAGTTGGATGTTGCTGGAAGAAGCGATGAGCCGGCCTGAGGCCATACAAATCATGATCCATCCGTTGTTGTAGTCGATGCTCCATAAAATCATTGGCCACACTCCATGGGAGAATGTTCATCAGCCAGTAATACAGCCGACTTTGGAAGACCACGTCATAGGGCATACCGGCTTGGCCAACTCGATTGAAAATCCAGGATCCCCGACGAGTTGAGATCGTAACTTTCTTGGCGACTTTGGCCAATTCAACAGCTATATCCAAGGCTGAGTTTCCGATTCCCACCAAGAAAACATTTTTATCTTCGAATCCTTTGAAGTCGCGGTACTCTTTGGCATGAATAATTCGGCCTTTGAACTTGTTTAGATCTAGAAATTAAATCGAATATCTCTATTAAGTGTGAGCAGATTAAATTTACCTTTAAATTGAGGATATTGGGGGATCGAATGATGTCCGGTGCACAGCATCAACCTATCAAACAATTCCTTGCCTCCGTTCGCCAGTTCCACTGTCCAATTCTTTCCACTTGTATTCCGATAGACCTGTTTCACATCCGTATTGAATTTAATATATTTTAGAAGATCAAACTTTGCTGCGTAATCTCTATAATAATCCATGACTAAACTGTGATGCATGAAGTTGGGATAATCTTCCGGAGGTGGGAAATCGGAGTAGGACATCATCTCCTTGGACGTGTTGACCACTGTAGACTTCATTACCGTACCTCCATCCTAAAAATTTAGGCTAAAGTCATACTATACTAATTTTCATTGATTGACGTTAAAAGGACTTACACTGGGTAGATCTGGCCGATAATTCCAGAGGCCCCCAATATCTGAAGTCCGTTCGTAACAAACTACATCTAGGCCCTCTTCGACACAAGCCTTGATCGAGGGCAGCCCGCTCACCCCCGCTCCAATTACACAGACCCTTATCACCATTTCTGTAAGGTTTTTTAAAGCATTCAGAGATTTATATATAACAAATTTCTCGAAACAAATCGGAGGAAAATCCAGTTTTATTTCCCAAGATCTTCCAGTTTTGACGTGTTTTTGAGGAGTTCACATTGAATTTGAAAAATTCCAACTTCTGCTGGGATTAAAAATAAATTAAAGACTCAAAGTTACAATATAAAATGGATGAAGAAAAAATATAAATAAATAAATTTTGAACTAAAAGCCTTCTTATACGTGCCTTTGAGAGAGAACCGAGCGAAGGCGGAAGGTGATGGTCAGAATCCACTTTTTTTTCATCTCTCGCGGATCGCCATTCTCATAGTAACCTCGATTAGAAAACCTTCTTCGGAATAGAGTTTTCATGCAAGTTTCCGAGAGTCATGAAAAAGGGAACTGCTCGCAACTTAGGGCATTTAAATATGTTCCGTTATACTGACCTTGTTTCAGTTAAAAAAATTGCAAAGAAAATTTGTTTCATGATTTATTCTGAGGACAAATTAAAAGCACCAAAAGGATCGTATAACAACGATCGAGTAAAAAATCCCGTTTTAGAATGGCTCCAAAGGAGTGAGAGTAACTTGGAGAAGATGGCCAGGGATGTAAAGAATGTGTGGTGACGTAACAAAAAAGTTACGACCTGAGCGTATTTTACATAAGAAAATTGGACTTCACACGAATTTACACTCCTGGCTCGACTCAAATTTGGACACAGAGAGATATGAGGACAGCACAAATGGTACTGTAACAAAGAGAGAGACAGATACTGTAACAAGTACTAAGGCAACAGACACACAACTACTGTAACAGCATAAAAGAGAAGAACATTTAGAAAAGTATTGCAACAAAAATGTCAAGACTTTAACAACCAGGATTACACTAGACCGCAAAATTTATACAAAGAAACTAACATGACTAGAGGAAAAGTTAAAACTAGATATCATAGAATCAAATTATCTTTGAGGGGAATTAATTTGAATGCATCGAACCATCCACCAGTCAGGATATTAAACATCCCATAATAGTCCCGTATCGTCATCAACAAGGTCGTCTGATCATCGTCCACCTTTCGTTGATCCAAAAGACTTAGAAAGGTCTTAAAGAAGAACATATTCAATCGTCGAATCGAGTTTTTATCTCCAGCAATTACACCTCCGCTGACTACAGTCCACTGTTTTCGATAGACAAGGTCGAGCGTGTATCTGGAAGTGTAAATAGCAAAAGCAATACGAACAATAAAATCCAAAAGGCTTAAAAACCGACCTTGTTGTCTTATCGATCTCGGGGGTAATTTTGACTAGCGTAATCTTGCCCTTAGGCAGTTTGGGATTCCATAAACCTTGTGGAATAATATCCTTTGACCCGTGACCTAAATTAACTCTCAGATGTTATAATCAGACGCTTACTGTATCCAGCATCGATCCAAACAAAGTTATCGGCTTCAAAATAAGAGATCTTTGTGGCATTGAATAAAAAGTAGGGCTTCGAGTTGACCAGGATATTGTAATCAGCATAGAGCGCCTCAGGGTGGGACTTTACTTTAAGGTCCCACGATTTATTCCAATGACGTTGTTCATCCTCCAAGATTTCTGAGATTTCATCGTGGAACTTGTAAAACGGCAGATCGGACATTTGAATCTCGGTTATCTGAAAGATTAGTTGATAATTACAATATTTAAATTCAAAAAACTTACCTGAATAGTATTCCAATTCAAATCTTGTTGATGAAGAAATTGTTTAGCTGCTTTATCACAGTATATCATCACTCTGTTTTTGATTTTCAGCAGGTCCATCATATAATTTAGATATATATCATAAGGGCGAGTAAATCGTTCCCAGCTTCCTCTTCCGATATCCAGCAAAGCTGTCACGATTACTGGGGTCTAAACTGGACTATGATTGGGCTTTTTGATATAAAAGATCAAACGTTTTTGGATTACAGTATAAAAATGTGTTAAATTTAAGTCATCTTACATTTTTTAGCGGATCCTCTCCTTGCGTAACGACGACGGTTTTCGGTTTCTGTGGATGGCGTTGGGTTTCTGAAGACCGAAAGCCGATAGAATGGTAATGACAACAACCGAAAACACAGGGCGAAGGGACAAGTGGCGATACAAGAAGAACCAAGGATAATATAAAGAAATGATGATGGACAAAGCAAACGAAAAGGAAGGGCAAAATTTAAGTATAAGTTGTAATCCTGACGTCGAACCGGATCGTCTTAAATCTTCTCTCAAGGCCGTCGTTCTGTTAATGAATAGACAGCACAGTCTTTCACTTACCGTAGGTCTTCATGGTTGCCTGGATGTTGAGCACGGGCTTGGGAGGCGGTGGAGGATCGGGCAGGTCTGCCGGCTTTATCCGCCACACCGGCTCGGGGGTATCGAACTGGTCCGGCTGCCGAGATTTCAACTTGAAATGCTTATTCACCGTCAGCTGATGTTCTTCATGATGATCGATGGGGTCCATGGACCAATCATCGTCTCCAAAGCTCATTTCCACCGGCCGAACGTCTTCCTCGTTGTCCACAACAACAAAGGGTTTTGGTGTAGCGGTTGTCTAAGATATAGTTTCATCAATTTCAAGTCTGCTTACCGTAGTAATCTTTTTCTTTTCTTCCGCTTCATCTAAATCATCAATAATTTCATTCAATTCGTCAAAAACACTACCAGACCATCGCGTTGTAGTTTGTGGAGTTGTTGTGCTGGTAGATGTGGTAGTTGTATAAGTTCCGAATCCTCCAAATCTACCGATTTCTTTGGGATGATATCTTTGAAATCCCGGGAAATGTTCAACATGAATTTTCTGGTGAACTTGATGATTGGGAGGCTGATCGGGAGGGAGATCGGCCTGTATTTGGAAGAATTCCGTGCCCAGCACTTCATTATCTTCGGTGGGAGTTGGGCGATGGAGAAGCTCGCTCTCGTTCCAGGTCATCTCCGGAGGTCGGTTTATATCTGGTCGGGGGGTCTAAAACAACACCATGTTTGCTCGTATCCCACTTTTCTAATTAAAAAATCGGTTCAGAAAGTGACGTAACGCTTACGGTGGTTCTTTTTGAATCCGCCAACTCTTGATTTGTCATGGTATACGGTAACAAATAGGACCTCAGAAGGAATCTCCAGCCCAAAAACAACAACAACAATATAAATAGAATCAGGACTAGACCTGTTTTGGTTCGACAAAGCTTCTCGGCCGACGGTTTTCTTTGCCGATGCAGCGGAACGGTGGTGGGGCGAGGGGGGACTGACACAGCACCACTTAGCTGCATCATCAGAGTGTCCCTGGAGGAATAATATGAATAAGTGATGACAAAGCGATGCCATCATGGAATGAATTACTTACAACTCCACGCCCTTGTGCCCGGGCTCACATGTCTGCACCAGACTGTAGCCGTTCGGAGATACCGTAGACTTCGAAATGTTGGCAGATTTGGGAAGAGATCGGGCCACCGGAACTCGGCCTTCGGAATGATTTGGCCACTGAAAACAGTACGGAAATTAGAGGAAAAACATCTGGAATGGAGTCTTCGATCATCCCCCACACCTGCGAAGGATACGAACACGTTCGTTGCCCGAGGGCAGAATAAAAGAAAAGCGAAAAGAATTTAATCGAATTTTGAGGGAGATATCCAATATGAGGGATCCAAAAAATGGGTTGATTAATCGGGGAAATCGACAAACATAACCTCAATGGATATTAAAATGACATGAGTCAGGGTAAACAAGCATGTTTTGAGATTAAAATATTCCAGAGAGGAGAAAGTAAAATTCAAAATTTGCAAGTGTGGTGTTAAAGAATATCAGAAATGAGGAGAGAAAGAGGATTCGAAACGCATTCCTGAATGTCCATTTAAAGATTTTATGATACAAAGAAATTGAGGGTGACTCAATCTTCAAATAAACTTGGAGGTGATCCGTGGAGAATGTGGTCGAAAAGATTTGAAATAACCACCAAGATGTTTTACAAAGTATTCAGAACGAGCCACATATTAATTAAATTTTAGCTGGCCCCTTGCCAGTGGCATCCCAAGTATTGAACGATCTTTGGCGACAAGATAGATTGCAAAATGCGGAGAGCGGAAAGAAAGATAATGTTATAATCAGTCTGTCGGGAAAATACTGTGGATTGTCGCAGCAAAATTACTCGCCTCGTCGCAGTCGCGCACCAAATCTCGAGTCGCGGTTACGCGTCGCAAAGCGATAACGGGCGATTCCATGCGCGTGGAATCCGCATTATTTTTCCGACAGACTTCTATTACCAACTTTCACAAAAACAAAAAATTCGTATAAAAAGTCATCATTACCATCAAATCCGCGAAATCTCGGAGTTTTCGCATTTTTTTTAAAATATTTTTTATGCAAACATCAATCAAAACAAAAACGGCCCTTGGAACACACCCTCTTTCGGCTGTTTATGAGCAAATGATAAGGCCACAGAATGTAAAAAAATCATCTAAAACAGGTGAATATACATTGTAACGCCCTCAAGGCCGTTACGATTTTCAAAAAAAACAACAAAAGATTCAAAAAAGGCAGATTCGATATTAGAATTCAAAGTTTTTATGGACAAACGAGAAGTTCTGAATATTTCTTTGTGTAATTAAAATGTTCTAGATTAAACTTGGAGCTGGAGGCGCTGAAAAAGGCTTTCAAAGGGGCATAAAATTGGCAAAGATAATAATTTTAATGTTCGGAAATGACTCAATCGATGTGGGCGGCGAGAAAAATACAAAAGAAAGGAATTCCAAATATCATATTATTACGACACAAATATAACAGAAGAACAATACTCTCCATCATAATCCAAAAATAATAATTGTAACTTTTAGAAACCCGTTAATTTGAAAACCCTATGTACAACAAAATGACGACGGGAAGTAAACATTTTTTATTAAGCTGACAATCTCGTAGTCCAGAGAGTAATTCTGATTGATTTTTGTAATAATTTTTGTGAAGAAAAAGATTTCTGAACGGTTTTTTGCGGTGAGATGACTAAAAGAAGGTGTAGATGAATCAAAAGAACGAAGACGGAACAAAGGAACCAACGGAATGTTATGTTATGGACTGGATTCTGGATCCGGACTCCTTTTTCTGTACTTTTTGAATGATCGGATTTGAAAAAATTGGAGATTGTTGGTTTTTTAGATTAAACTAAAGAACTTTTGATAAGAACCTGTCGAAAAAAGATGAAGAATATATGAACAGACAATAAAAAACATGCTTGGAAAGTCCAAAAATGATTAAAAAAGGTTTCAAATTAATTGTAAGTAGTACTTTTTACAATAAAATGCGATTTCCCAGGTCTCTAAAACAATACCTACGAGTAATTACAGTAATCCCACGACCTTTCCCTTCCGAGATGACATTACTTTCATAACTCATCCTTTCCCTTGATTCATATTCCAAACCCTTTCTCTTACAAATTTTGAGGACCGGACGTTCGAAAAGGCCTCGGTTTTTGTAGAAATTATGACGGAAGCAAGTACTTGGCCCCCGCGAAAGATCAACATACAAAAGGCCAAGGATTAGAATTACAAGAGGATGGGAGAAAAGGGCATGGGAAGGGGGATTTAAAAGGTGTGGCAGGGGAATGGGGAAATTAAGGGGTAGAATAGAATGGGAAAATATATTTAGATCAAACTTGGGATAAATTAAGTAATTTTTAGCTTGTGCTTTGCAGAAAGGACTGAGGAATTTGAATTGGAAGTCAAAGTAAATATCTAAAGTAAGATATTTTTAATTTAGAACGATGATTTAGGGTTTTTTAGTATATTTTTAAATATTAAGTCATTTAAGCGCAAAACAATCACGATGACTCTACAGAATCGGCCATTCCAAATCTTATACCGCGCTCCAAGCCGTCTCCTCGCCAAAATTACGAAATCAAAACGCAGAAACCCCCGAGAAAAAAATTTGATCATAAAATTTCGCGTCTCCTTGCATAAATTAAGGCCTCAGATAAACCATAAATAATTAACCAGCAATCTAAAACATTGATTGCTAGAAAAAAGCGTATATTTAAAGAAAATTGTGCGCGGTGCTTAACGATTATTGAGACAAAAGCCCTGAGGAAAAAAGCGAGAGATTGTGGACTGTCCGGGTTCTGTCCTTTAATTCTTGGACAAACAATGACTGCCTGAGGGCGAGCAGCTCTTTTTTTCGGGATTTGAAAATTTGATGGATGAAACGTGCGGTGATTACATTATTCATGACAGAAGATTATAAAATAAATCAGAAAAGAGGATAAAACTTGGTTCGTATTACGAAATAAGCCTATCACAAGCAGTTCAAAGTCCTTGTGACATCCTTGAAAAGTAATTTACAGTCAATTTGAAACCCAATATCGCTATCCGACCTCTTTCTTCGCGCTCCTCAACCGCACATCTGTCCCTATTTCATCAAAACTCTTACCTGAACACCCTCCCAACCGTTCCAGCCGTCCCTCTCTGGCACGGGGAAACCGGAATCAGAATCTGATTCAAAAGAAAACGTCAAAAAAGCGAAAGACAATAACGGAGGAGCCAAGTATAAGACCGGGGCCAAAATTCATACAAAAAAATAAATTTCTTTTGTCCCAAAAACTTCCGAACCAATAACCACATACAAATGCTGTTTTTTAGCCCCGAAGTTAGTAATATTTTTACTGTAAATTGAATGTTACGACACTTGTCTGCCCTCCGGCCATTAAAAGTATCCAATTGCTTCCAAAATCGGCATTTTTCGAAATTCGGTCGCTCTTTTTTGCCCGAGGGCTTGTATGAAAGAGAATCTGGAAAGAGTGGCCGTTTCCTTCCTTTTCGCATCCCGAGAGCGCAACGGATCGAATTACAACAATCGTTGTAAGTCTGGACGCCTAAGCAAACAAAGGGAATCCATCTTTTAAAATACATCATAAATTTTATTGGAAAAACAAAAAAGTTTTAAAAAATGTACAGAAAATGACGTCATCATGACATATTTATAAAAATTTTCATCGTTATCTACAAACAATACCCATATTTCAAAAATTTGGTTAGAATTCCGAGGTTGAGCGTTGAGTTTTTCGAATCACATTAGAGTAAGATCTCGTTGGAGCAGGTGCTCTGATCATCGTTCTCTTCCTCCTCTTCGTTGTCGAACTCGCTGCACGCGGCAGTCTCCTCTTCAGTGACTTCTCGAGTCTCGATCAAAGCAGTTGTTGTAAATACGGTACTCTGAGTGGCGGGTTCTTCCGATGCGAACGAAGAGATGTTATTATGAGTAATCATGATGGAAGAGGGGGTTTGGACGAGGTTGTTGTTGTAGGAAATGGGTGTAGTTGGGGAGCAGAGGACGTCCGTCTCCTTGAATTGCTTGATTTCATTGTTGTTCGAAGTCAGCGGCGCAACAACGGCCGTTCCCAACTTCTTCTCCAGCACTTTTCGACATTCATTTATCTTGTTTTCCCGCTGAAAAAGCCGTTTAAAGCGAATAGAACAAGTAAATAATTTGTTTAGGAAATCTTTAAAGAAGCTTTGACCTACATAAGTCACTTACAGTTTCGATTTGTCTCTTTAATTCTCGATTCTCCTTCACCAATTGTTCGTATCTTAGATGTTCCGATTTACTCATCGAATTCTTGGACTCATTTCCATTCCTCGCCATATCTTTTGAGGCCGGAGTCTTGTAAATGTACAGTACTTTGGGTACAAAAACTAACCCGAGACTAATAAAAGTCGACCATAGAACTAAAATCGGGCAAAAATATATACAATCCATGCTATCAATTGTTCCAAAAATCTCAAAGATCCTTACCGGCGCCAGATACAAAAAGAAAATTTGAATTGGGTTGATCCTTGAGCAGTAATGTCGAGACTGGGCCAGTTACGAGGCAAAACACGGCCACATTATAAAGGGCGAAACACACAAATCTGATGTCATTCACGAATCGGATCTTCAAATTCTTCGATTCATAGGCCAAAAAGAGCCCAAACAACAGCAAAAGTCCTTTATACCCCAGGAAGATTACTGCAACATAAATAAACCGTTTATTTTTAACACTTACCCGTCCAGACATCTTGATGTTCACTTTCACAATACTCCAATACCGGTAATAATCGGATATCCTCCGTGGGACCATTTTGAGGCTCTTGGAGCGAAAACTTCTTGACTTTCCGTTGTAGAGGATCGATGATCAGCCACAAGAAAGTAAGGATAAGATCGACGGCCAAGAGACAACCTACTACAACATAAAATCTGGTGGCTGGGATGGGCTGAAAAGGATAAATTAATGTTTTATTAATCGATTATTACAAGTAGGTTGCAATAGGGTGAAGAAAGGAACAAAAAACTGTGGGAAAATGTAAAAATTGGAAAAAATTACTGTCCAGTTAATGAAAAAACGCAAGCAAATAGCGAAACAAAAGTGAAAAACCAAGAAGAAATTACTTGATTCAACAAGCAGGGACGACGAGCGATCAGCGAGATGTAGGCCTGGGTGGAAAGCTTCCGAAGGGCCGCGGCCACCAGCACTTGTCGGCCGACGAGTGCCGACATCAGCATCCGAATACTCTCCCAAGGACTGTGATCCTCCTAAACAAACAGTCATCACTCACTGACGTCAGTGCTAAGGACCATCTACACTAATGGTGAATCAAATGTTTTTGTTTTGGATGGTTAGATTAAAATACACCAGCAAAGACTTTCAAAAACCACTCAAAGAATGCCACAGTGCGCGAAAGCAGAAAAAATAAAAGTTACAGGTTTTGGACTACGAAAAGGAAGGGCCCTGAAGGGGGTCTTACCTCCTCCTTGGCTGCAGCGACCTCTTGATTCTCTCGGGTACCCATTCGATGGACGATCCACACTTTCGCAAACATCGAGCCGTAGGCCAAGGTAAAGCCGACATTTAGAAGAGTTAGCTTTGACTGAAATTCGATCATTTTACGTCAAGTTTATTGTTTTTATGTCATAATTTTATCAAAGGGACTTCAAATACGGGCCCTCATGAAATCATGCCTTCTCCCTAGTCTCTAAAACTTTACCCAATTTCCCCGCGAAACACGTAACTTCGCGGTATCGATTTCCGATCCGAGGACTCCATTCCCGATCATAAATAACACAATTTATCACTCTCTTCCACCCGATGTTACCGTAACCCCGAGAATCGACTTACATAACAAAATAGAGTGAAGACCCCCTTGGGGATTGTCATGTTATCCACGGGAAGGCCCATTAAAAGGAGATTCAGAAGACAGAACACGCATCCCACGATGAGCATCATGTTACATTGAGGTTGGGACTGGATGATCACACCTCGGTACCCAAAGTTGATATTGAAAATGAGGGTACCCACGGAGAGGATAACTCCAATCACTGCCATTAGAGCGACGATAATGAAAAGCTGAAGAATGACATTATTTCATTCACATATTTTACGCCCAATCTCACCTCCAATCTGACGGTCATGTAATTTTCTTTGATTACTAACGAATCTGGAGGTGGTTTCCCATCTCCAGCAAACTTTTCTTTATCAAACCAGTCAAGTTTCTGGATTGTAGCATCATAATATCCAAGCATGACGTATTTTCCATCTAAAATTTACTTTTTGCGACATAAAACGGCCATGGAGAATATTAATTTTCACTTAATTTACCTTGCATCTGCTCAATTTGACTTCTTGCGATACGATCTCCGGAATCCGAGAACATTACTTGACCAGAAACTCCCTTAAATTGTGTATTCTTCACACAATCGAACAGCTGGTCAGCTATGACTTTGTTGTTGTAGGTGAAATCTTCCAATCTCACACCCTCTGGCAGACTGTTTTGCGTGCAATTTAATGCCAACGCCAAGGCCCTAAAATCGGCAGATCAGTTGATAGATAAGTTTTGGGAAGTGAACAGTGAAAGGGAGGGAAATAAACGACATACCAAACCGCATCGTACGCCAGAGGGGCTTCCGGATATCCTCCAGTGTTGGCTGGTTCAGTCTCGATCTTCTTGTTCAATCTCTCCTGGAATTGTTTGCCGGTCATTCCCGAGATGGCGGGTTGATTGTCTCGGCTTAGCATTATACTTTCGGTTGTGAAATGGTATTGAGCCGCTTCTTTCATCTAAAAATTTTGTTTAGTCATCATAAATAAAATCCAGTTTTTCCCAATTATCAGAAACTTCTCTAAACTTATTTTTCTCTTACCTGTTCGGCAGTGCAATTAATATTCTCATCTTTCGGCGGTATATACCATTCATCAGCGTACCATCCAATAAAAAACCACACGTATTTTTTCCCGTATAACCCGTGTTTATATGCCTGACACAAAACCCGGCGCGCTTCGGTGACGTAGAAGAGCCCGACGATGATCCGGGCATCCTGCCGGACCAAAGTTTTGATAGCATCCCGTGGATCGCCATAGAAACTTTGTCTCTCTACTCTGATGTTGTGTTGTCGACATTGTTCTTCGAGATCTTTGGCTGTCGATGTGAACACCTCCTCAACTGATTGGAGAATCGTGATTTTGGACCAACGGAACTTTTCGAATATTCGAATCCTGAAAGATTGATGTTTTCGAGTAACTAGTGATGATTCAGCAATATTGATGGAGTCTCACCTTGTAGGATTCTGCATGTTTGCTGACGGATGGGTCCTGAATAATGTCGGGAATCGATCTCTGTTGGACAAAGCTGGACTTGAGGCGCCATACGAAAGCACAATCAGATTCCAAACGGGGACTGCCTCGGCCACAACTGTGGTTACCGGGGAGCAACCAGTGATCAACATTAACTTTACTGGAGGCTTATACAGTAATTCGTACAATTGTTTGGCCGCAAGACCGGGTTGGCACTACAATTTGCTTTATCTTCTTTGGTACAAATCATTAATGTAAATTTTTTAGAGCACTCACCTTTGTATTGTGATTATGACTTTTGAGATGGAACCCTGGCAGGATGTCAGGACTGTTATTGATGTCATGCAGCGCCATCTCAACCGCCGGAAGACAAGCCTGGCCCCCAGGCCAACCTCCAGCACCGGCTTCCATGGGGAACATGGAACCGATGTGAAGTTCGCTGAGTTCTTTGGCCTTGATCAACTGCAGCAACAAGGCCAACAGCAGAGAGAAGAGGGCAGGCCGGTCTCTTCTCCATGACGCATAAAGCATCTGAGGAAGCAGGGTTAAAGAGGATGTAATCGACTCGTTTTTACGCAAAAGTAAGTAATCAAAAGGGAATTCGGTGTGAAACAATAAGTTCTTAATTCCAATGAAACAGCCAAAGTTTGAAAAGACTTCATTATTCAAAATTTAAAAAATAACAACTGCTATATAAGGACACGAGAATTTGTCAAATGTCAAAAATCTGACATCAAACCAAAGACTAAACCCCGGCGATTACTGTAACACCACTCATCTCCGTTTTTTCTTCATGTATGTTCGAGCACATAAAAAACTTGTCAAATATGTCGAAAAATTCAAATTTCGTCCCCTCAGGCCGAGAAACTTTTTTGGGCCGCGCAAAACTTTTCGTCATTTAAACCCTTGAGATGAGAAGATGCTTGGAGAATGCGGCAAGATGGAAAAACGGCTTATCCGCGCCACGCCCAGCCGCCCCCAGGGGATCGGGATAAGCAGGCCCAAATCGAGATCGGTTGCAAAATGACATGCCCTGCGGCCACACTTGACAAATTGGCGGGGAAATTGCCCAGAAGAAAGCGCCGACGCCCACCCAGATTTATGGCCCAAAAAGCAAAGTTACGGGAATGGGAGAGGAATGTAAATGTAAGGAGGATAAGGCGCTGGAGGTCAGATACGCGAAGACCTCAATGGCCAGACACATTTTGAAAGATTACGGAGCCGATTCCGTATAGTATACTAGATACATGAAAAGAATAAAGAATGATAAAATAATGTGAATGCCTTCTCGGAAAATTTGAATTCTGGAAAATAAAAGTTAACAAAACACCTGCCAATTAAATGGTCAATACTAACCTTCACATTCGATTAAAGACTTCTCAACATGTACGTCCTATACAGGAAGTTTTGCATAAATTTAAGTCTGTAGTCTTTGGTTTTTCAAAATTAAAAAGGATTTTACTCCAGCTTGAAAAAGTCGAACCGAAAAAACCAAAAGAATATTCTTTGAGGCAGAATGAAGCAGCTTAAAAGTACAATGACATCTAAATTACCTTTAAAATTAAAGAAAACTGCATTAAACTTTCAATTTTTTAGAACACAACCCTTCCAGTGCACTACTTTTACCAGATAAAAATTATAGAATTATCGGGTTTCTGAAGGAAATGGTCCTGACGAAATTCGTTCGAAATTCAGAACTTTTTTTAAGCGGCCTCAAAAAACCTCCATGGCCAAAGAACGACGCTCTCCTGTCCCATAATTATCGTACTTGTCTCAATGCCTGCGGGCATGAAAATAGTGCCAAACCCCGTACTTTTATCAATTGTCATCCACACAGCTTCCCTTCCCTCGGCTTTGTTTATTCAAATAAATAAACCAACTCTGGAGATGAAGAGGGATTCAGATGACCGTAAGAAAACATGAGAGGCATATACCTGGACCACACCTAATCTAATTCCCGACGGAATGCCTCCGGGGACTCGAAAAGTCGTAAAATTTGAGATTTGGAGGGCCTGTGTCTGAGCTCGGTTATAAAGAATCATCATAAAAGTGGGGTGCAAAAAATTAATATGAAATGCAAATGATGGAGGACAATATTAAGGATGACGGGTGGAAAGGAAAACGACTTCTTTGAATTTAAAATTTGGCAAAAAAGATATCATCAAACTTTAACAAATGAGATGATGAATATTCAAGATCCACAAAATGTAAACAAAAGGCGTTTGCTGACCACTCTCAACTTCTGATCCATCGTTGCCCACCTCAGACCGTCTGTTCCCGACCTTCTTCCCCTTCCCTTAACACTCGGCCCCAATTTCCGGCGTTGACCCCTGCGGCGTTAAAGCGGCTTCACTTCTTGTTCGGCTTCGCCCTCCCGTGTGTCAGCCCTGAGGGGAGAAAGAAAGGTGGGGCCGACCTCTCCCAGCATTCTTCAGCACCGTGCACTTCTTCTTCGTTCTTTCTTCTTCGTTCGGACTTGGCCATGCGTGCTTTCAAAAGTCTTAAAGGGAATCTCTTGGCAGGCCATCTTTCGGGGCAAAAAACGCCTTAACCCATCCGCTTTAAACCAGGCCGCTAAGGAGCAGGAAGATGGCCGAGAGCAAAGTAGAAGAACACGAATTGCCTGAGGGCCGGACGAAACTGTTGCCAGGCCAAACCATTTCCGCGTCCCCGATCAATGCCCTTAGGGGAATGTGACGCAATAATCCAATTTGGATATCATAAATATTTGGATATCATAAATAAACACGGTATTCAAGATTTTTTCCTCCGATATCCATTCAATATCTCAAATGAATCAGTTACAAAAAACTATGACAGTAAAAACTTAACAAAAAAACCTGATTTTTACAGAAAGAAACTTTCGTACAAATCAGTCAGATCCTAGTTTTTATTCCTCTATTTGGGATTCTTCGCACTCTTTTCAGTTTCGCTGCTGCCCATCGACGGATTGTTGGAACTGGTACCTCGAGTCGGCTCGGATAATTCATCGTTCTTTTTGTTGTCCTTCAGATCGTTTGTCGCCTCCACTTGTTCATATTCCAGGGCCTTGTAGTCCCTCTTAAAGATCTTTTCTCCCGCCGTTTTTGATTCAACTGGCGCCACAAACACAAAACTTATTTTGTTTTTGGAATTCAGGACCAGTACCACGGCCTTACTGTTCTAAAAATTAATGAAATTAAAAGAAAGTAATTAATTTACCTTCTCAAGGCAATATTTTGGGGCCGAAAAGATGGTGATCAACTTTCGGTTGGCGAACAGTGCGTATCCATTGAACATGATCTAAAGGACACCGAATGTGGATTTTTATAATATCAGCTACCTGATGAGCTCTGACAATGTAGTCCAAACCCAATCTCTGACAAGTCTCATTGACTGCCTGTTCCCCAAAAACAACACTGACTCCACGAACGGCGTTATTTTGGTATCCCTTGATGCCAGAGAGTGGATCAGACCATAGAAGATCGCCAGCCAACTGATGGGTCATCACATCAACAATCGGTCTCTTGATCTAAACCATGATGACATTAGTGACCAGTAAAAATATATAATACAAAAACAGTTTAATCTCTAACTCTTCTGATGTCATCCAGACTCTTCAAATCCTCTGAGATCCCTCCATGCATACATAGAACACGTTTACGGACCAATGCAGCCAATGGGAGATAAGCGAACATATCATTGTAGGCCCTCCACAGATTGATCCCTTCGTTTCTTTGTGGAAAATTGGTCTTCAACTCTTGCAAAAATCCATAACAACCATTGATGTTCTCGGTCTCGTGATTACCTCGAAGCATGCCGATCTGGAATAAATTTGATAAAGAGTATCCAAAATCACCTGTTTTGGATGACGGCATTTCAACTGAAGCAACAAGTTGATGCAATTGTACGAGTTCGGACCTCGGTCCACGTAATCTCCTAAGAAAAGGAACCTGTTGATCCCGAAAGCGGCGCTATCCTTGTCTCGGCTGAGGGTCAGGATCCTCTCCAGATCATCGTATTGTCCGTGGATGTCCCCCACAATAATCACAGGGGATTTGATCTCCAACAAACTGTTTTCAGCCTCAAAGATCGCCTTGCATTGCTGAATCAACTCCATTGCGCTTTCATAGGACATAATCGGCAGCTAAAGAAAATATCAAAAATTTTGAAAGGTACGGAAGTTCACCATCTTTAAGTTTAAGATTACCTCAGGTTTACGATACGGAAATTTAACCAACTTCTTGGGAGCCTTCTGTTCCTCGGGCTTTGAGCCGGACTTTGATTTAGATTTGGACTTGGAAGATGCTCCATGCGCCTCCTTCTCTTTCGACTTCTTCCTTCCGGACGATGACATCCTCGAGAGTCAGTGGAATTTATCAACCGCAAAGGTGCGGCTGAACAGAAAATGAATTCGAAAAAATAAAATCCCAAAAATTTCTGATTTTTGTGAATGATACTTTTCCTTCCTTTTACAAGGGGTCGGCAAATACACTGCTCCACGAAATGATAGACGCACCCTGTTTTTAGCGATTATTTTCCTTGTACTAAATGATATCGAATAATGTTCAACAGATGAAATGTGGCAAATTAAACGAGAAATCATGTCCCGTAGCAATTTTGGAACAACATTTTGTCTTGACTGAGATATGACAATTTTTGACTTTTTTGGGGTCCACAAAATGATAGACGCAATTAGGTAATTTTTTGTTTATTTAAAAGAATTTTGAGTCAACCTGCTCTTATTACACTTCCTCGTGTTCTCTGTAGTATTAGAAAGGTAATTACATTTATATCCGCCGTACTTCATCGACGCAGTGGCCTTATGAGCCATTTCCGACCTTGTCCATGAGGTAAATATTCGGTTTGAAAAAAACTGCAGGTTATGCTGTTTTCTTGGGCGAAAAACTAGCTAATACTATCACATTATACGTGTAGATCTCACTGATAAAAAAAAGCGGCTTGCTCAAGGATCCCGAGCATTTTCTTGGCATATCATCTTCAACATGTAGCTACATTAATACTTTTAGACCCCCGAAATACCAAGGCGAATAAAGAGAATGACAAAATTTCATTTGCAAATTCGAACTGAGCATGCCTGAAAACGTAATGTTTTAATCATCAGCCGGTACAGAATAAATTTGGTCGGTAACGTCGTTCGACAAAAAAAAGTTCACAAAAATAGGCTTGTTTTTACAGGTTTATCTTTAATCAATCATGTGTCAATCATCATGACATTTAAGCAGGCAATAAGTTGCGCGTTTAGGTTTGTTAACATGCTGAGTTTGATTTTCTGGGCAAAAAATTGGCATCGATAGTAATCTTCTGTACTTTTAGAGCCTATGAAGGTTACTGTAGAAGGTATACGGTAACTTAATGGTCGATTAAATGACTTCAAGCGAATCGGTATTGGTTTATTTTATGGCTTATATTTGCTACTAGTAACCTATGATGGTTTAAGATGGTTTTTGGCGAAAGCCAAATCGTTAATCATTTTTTTTCTCAAACCGAATATTTACCTCATGTACAAGGTCGGAAATGGCTCATAAGGCCACTGCGTCGATGAAGTACGGCGGATATAAATGTAATTACCTTTCTAATACTACAGAGAACACGAGGAAGTGTAATAAGAGCAGGTTGACTCAAAATTCTTTTAAATAAACAAAAAATTACCTAATTGCGTCTATCATTTTGTGGACCCCAAAAAAGTCGAAAATTGTCATATCTCAGTCAAGACAAAATGTTGTTCCAAAATTGCTACGGGACATGATTTCTCGTTTAATTTGCCACATTTCATCTGTTGAACATTATTCGATATCATTTAGTACAAGGAAAATAATCGCTAAAAACAGGGTGCGTCTATCATTTCGTGGAGCAGTGTAGTTGCACCCTGCTTTCTTAACGAAACCTATATCATTTAAAAGAGCATTAAAAATAGTGCACAGCGCAAAAAAAATTAGCTGCCCAATACATGTTTGGGCAAAGTTATGGCCTAAATACAGATTTTAGCCTAATTTCCGCGTCACTTTATAAGCTCTTCGAACGGCAACAAAGTTGTGTCCAGTTGGCCGAGTGGTAGTGACCTCACTTCCGGCGAAACAGGTCCTGGTTTCGAAGCCGGGCGCTGCAAACTTTTTTGCATTTCGTCTCTTATATGCCACAAAACCATGGTATGTTGATATTTTTAAATAATTTTTGTTCCTTCGCAGTCAAAATACATTTTTACGGGATTTTTTCGAGTTTTTGGTTTTTTTTGCTACCACCACAAATTTGATGGTGATGAGAGTGGGGATTCCTATCGTATAATTACAAGGGTGTCATGCCTTTACCCTGACCGATTATGATTACTGGACGATAATTCAATTTACAAGGGCCTATAAACATAATTTTTTCGAAAAAAATACGAAGAGAAAATTACAAAAGCGGCCAAAACACTATTGCTGACACAGTGGCCTAACCATCGGTAAGGCTAGGACATAAGAAATTTTTGATTTTGAGATTTTTGTTTGTAAATGGCCACGACGATCATACAAATGTATTCTCAAAGTTTTTTTGCTCCAGTTTTCCCATTTACCTAGTTTTATTTACAATTTTTTGTAAATGGCAGTAATGCGACATTATAATGTCTAATAACTCATAACCAAGGATTGATAAAGCGATGAAACGACCGTGATAGACGTTTCGGGATACTAGTAAGAAAATGGAGACAATTTCAAGCCGCCAGGATTACTGTAATAGAAGAAACCGGCGTTTTGGCCGCATATAACCCTTATCATAAAACGGCCATAACTTTGCCCAAACATATATTGGGCAGCTAATTTTTCCTGTGTTGTACACTATTTTTAATGCTCTTTCAAACGGTATATGTTTCGTTAAGAAAGCAGGGTGCAACTATTTGCCGATCCCTTGTTACGCCCTTTCAAATTGGCCAATTTTTTCGAAAAGTAAGCTTGCATCTCGACTACCCTATCCCGCAGCACTTATTTCAGCACCATTTATTTGAATGTCATATACCCGTTGAACAATAGAAATCCCTGAATATTTTAAAATCAAGATATTCAAACTAACAATCAACAAAATCAAAACTATACAACAATTAACAGGTGGTTAATGCTCCCTGAGCAACAAATCCACTTCATCCAGACTCGTGAACCACAAAAATTGATCTGGCGAATAATTTCTGAACTCTTGCAAAGGCTTAAATTCAAGGCCGCATAGCTTTAGGATCTTCGAGTATTGCTGACTTCGGAAGTGATTTTGGAAGAATTTACAAGCTTCCTAAAACAAATGATTACAAATGGAGGTATTAAAACTCTCGTTATCGCGACTTTGCAATAACTCACAGTAAAATCCGGAGCAGTTTTGTTGGTTCGTTTGGCAATTTTCATCTCATAAAGCAGAGCCAGCCTGGTGGCAAAGGTTTCTGGGAATGGTAACGACGTCTGGAGTAGAACCAAATCCTCGGACAGACTTCTCAGATACCCCTTCATACAAGTGGAAGACGATGCCGAACATAAGAAAGTCCTTTCAGCATCAACGAACGATCGAAGAACTTTGATCGCTTGATGGAACACGCGAACGGAAGGAGCTAGGGAAATGAAATATCAACAACTACACTCACATTTCATTCTATTTCTTGTCTCCGGAAGAAGACGTTCCAGTTTCGGACTGACGGAATCTAATTTAATCCCATGTCTCCACACCTTCGGATCGAAAGGATAAACGTTCAGACAATGTGCTGCCCATTCATAATACCTGTCCCTTCTTTGTAGCAGATCACATTGAGCAAGCTGTTCAACTCTTTCCAATCTGAATAACTTCGAGATCCTCGATGCTTCCACAAAATTAGTTCCCTCTAATTTCTCCTTTTCCTCTTCTAAATTTAAAAATTATTTGCCTTACATTCGTTACGTGTTACCTACCACTATTTTTCTGCGCGCCTCTATTTTTGTGCAGATCTTCGTAAATGGATTGTCCCGTCTTTTCCCATTCCATCATATCATACAGTTTCAGCGTCAAGTCCTTCACCGTTCCCAGAATTCCAAAATTGTCGCTTTCGTCCACCGGAGTGGATTCATACATCTCTTTGTAAGCTTGCGCAGATTGTTCCATATCCAACGAAAAGATTTTAACTTTCTACACGAAGCTCCGTTAACTTAAACCGTGCAACTTACCTCATCAAAGAATTGATTCAATTTGTGTCCCTGTGATCTGTACATCCACAGTAATCTAGCTTTACTCAGAAACGGGATATTATCCTTGACCTTTCCGCTCTCAGCCCGGATACTTTCGAGATAATCAGCGATCATGGTGGTCATCCATAGGGAGATGACTCTGTTCGGAAGATGCCCCCTGATTGGATCTCCAGCTTCAATCAAGATTTTAACCATCCTTTCCAAGAGATCCTTGTCATTTGCCAAAAGATTTCTTCCATTAACAAAATGAGCAGCTTTGGAATATCTCTTCACATTGGCTTCCACTTCCAGCAATTTGGCTCTGAGAAAAATATTCAAAGCTTGTTTGCCCTCCTCGACGAAGAATTGATTAAAAGTCCATTTCTGAAAGGCTGGCCATTGACTGCTGAATCGACTCCCATCCAGATTTGAAAAGTATTCCTCGACTGCATTGGTCACAGTTGCAATGATCTCTTCAGCAAATTCAGAGTCCTCCAATTTGAAAAGTGTGGCCGAGAACCGGATTAAGAATTTGAGAAATCCGAATTTCTGGTAGGACTTCATGGGAAGGGCCTTGAGATGCGATTTGAACAACCTCTCCATATTAAATACCGCCTGGAAGATTGATTATCCAGTACGAACATTAAACTTACTTTTCCTTCAACAGGTACTTTCAACGCACTCAAAAGCAACATGAGCATTTCCTTTCTTCGTTTTTTGAACACATTCAATCTTCTCGCCGTTTCCTTCTGGTCCAATGTTTCTAATGGGTGTCTTAGGATGCTTAGAACACATTCGATTTGATCAAATTTTACTATCCTCTTCAAGAACCCATCAGACGTCACACAACGAATATTTTCACAATCATCATCATCGTCCGCTACATTCTCATCAGCATCAAATCCGGCAGTGTATTTAGGCGATTGAATCTAATTAATGACAATGCTACAGTAAGATTCTTACCATGACTTCACCCAGATTATGTTCAAACTTCAAGGGTTGCCAGTAACTTGCTTGTCGAATGTTTTCCAGTTCCACATACCTCTCCATTTCCTGACTCCCACTAATATTAATCTCCTCAAGATGGGTAATAATCATCTGTTTCCTCAAGAACTGAGCTTCATTTCTCCTCTGCTGATTTTGGAACACCTCATTTAACGAATCTTTAACTTCCCGCCACGCTAAAATCGAAAAACGGTAAAATAAAAAATATTATAAACTAATCTTACACTTGGCTTCTCTTTCTCCGATTCTTTCCAGATTCGAATTCCAAAACTTTTCAAACGATCCGTGCTTCCAAACAAACGACTTCTTGACCATTTCGGGAGGATAAAAGAAGTTAAATTCAGTGAATGCTTGAAGCATTGACACTACAATGTGAGTTTCACTTCTTTCCATGTGTAACTTGGCTTTATAAAATACCAGTTCGAACAAAAAACTATCAATTTTCTCAGCGGAGAAGTCTTGTTTATGATCTCGACTGAACCGAAAATTTACCAAGACTTGAATAGACTGGTCAATGTAATACATCTGCAAATCAAGATAGGATATGATGGTCACCTACTGTCTTCGCTCCATTAATACAGAAATACTTGAGAATGCAGCCCCATAACTTCAATGAGAATACCATTTTTCCTGATTTGATCTAAAAAATGGACAAGACGTCGCACAAGAGTGAATAATAATCTTACAAATTTCTCAAAGATCTCTTCTGCCACCTCCAAATATCCTTCTGGTTTCAATCGAAGAGAGTATTCCAATTTAAATGTGAGTACTCCCTCCAGATCTTTCCCAGGCAACGAATCCAGAAGGTGGTCGATGATTACCAACTGCTCAGTCAAGAACTCGTTCTTCTCCATTTCAGATACTGACAGTCGATCTGCGGACTTTAGAATATAAATCTCATCCTTTGCGCTTAGTAATTGCAACCAGATCGCAACATTATTCGCTTGAGTATTCAATTTAGCATTTAGTTCGGGGATTAGGACAACATTCAAGTAGTTCAGTCGCTCTGATTTCTAGAAAAATCAACAACTTTGGAAACAAGAAAATACAAACCCTTACCGTAGGAATGAGAGCATCTTTATTCTCCGGGTGTGCGTTGTATAACGACCTTGGCGGACATTTTTGGATGGTATGATCCCAGTTTTGATTCATCAAATGATTAGTAACTTGCTCGTCAAATGCAACTCCATTCTCTTTGATATAAGGAACGATTGTTTTTTCATCGTCTTCCGTCTTGAAACAGTCAATTATAAAGTCTTTTCTATTGAATAGATACGGATTCTGTTTGAATTGCAATTCATACATCTGAAACATCATTACAGTAAGATCTCCAGTTTTTACTCTTACTTCTTTGACCAGGTCGGTAACAGGATTTTCGGGGACATCTTTGATTTCCCCCTCGGATTCAGAATCAGACACCTGACCGGGATTTTCTTCACCGGACGATATTGACTCCGCTTTGAATCGCTAAAAACATAAACCTTATTCTTTCCAGACCCACCTTATCCGGAGACAGAGACGATCGCTGCGTCCGTTTGCGTGTATCTGGTTCTAAATCCATTGGTACCTAAAAACGTCATTGATTCGATAGCAAATCAAAATTCAAAATAAAACTTACACCTCCAGATTCGTCACTATCATATATATCCTCATTGCCCAGGCATACTGTAGACAATGCACTTCGATTTTCTCGACGAATCTTGTCTTCCTCTTCTCTCTGTTTTTTCTCTTTCTCTTTTTCCTCCTCTTGTAAAATTTTTTGTGTCGCCAATTTATCTTCAAATTCTCGATGTCTTCCGCTCTAAAATTTAATTCAAAAATTGGAAAGCTGGACTTACTCGCTGGCTTCTTTCTTCTCTTTGTCGGGAATGACCCGACCGTCGGTCCCTGGATCTATCTGTATCATAACCACGACTCCTGTGGCTATCGTTCCTTCGGTAATCCCTATGAGAATCGGCGCGTGGCCGAGATCTTCCCTCCTGATGGTCATGTTGTCGGACTGCACCACCACCGTAATTCTCATTGTAATATCTGTCTCTTCCACTGTATTGTGGATTCGATTGTGCAGATCCAAAAATGTTTGTAGGATGGAAACCCGTGCTCGGCACCTGATTTGCCGACCAAAATAATTGAGATTGGTTCAAATTTGGAGTGGGAACTTCCGGCAGCTGGAGACCGCTGTATATACTCCTTGAATCGCAGGCTGCACGAGCCCGAGGATCCAATGGTGCACGTGAAGTTGGAGGATGAAGAGGTGGAGGCGCGGGAGGTTCGAGATCGGCCAGAGTTGGGCGAGCAGATGCCGGTCGACTGGGACCAGCTGACGATGAAGGTTGTTCAGCATGACTTTCTCCTAAGTTGTAGAAAAGCGTAGTTAGAAAACGCCTACCTGAATTGATACCCTGCGCCTTTTCTCTTTCCGCTTTTCGTTCAGCCGCTAATTGCCGTTTCAATTTACTTTTCTTGGCCATTGATAACTAGATCACATGCAACCCAATTTGTTTTTGAAAAAAATATATTTTTGACAAAAGCTGGAGCTGCGCCCGAGTCTTTGGAAAATCTTTGCACTATTTTATACGAATTACGTAATCGATAGGGCGATTACGTAATCTTGGGCGGTCGACCATTTTTAGAGTTCGTAGGTAGCTATAAAAAAGAAAGGAGAATTTCTGATGTTTCCGGCACTTCTGGATTTCAATTTTGAGAACGCTTCACAGTTTGCCGAACTTCCAGGAAATGATACATGCCCAATGCCCGAAATGTATGCAAAATTTAAAGCAAGTTTGAGCACTTGGGGTTCAATTGGGGGGAAAAATAATATGAAGTGATTAACAACCCTAACTGTGACACAATCAGAATCTTAAGACGTCAAATAAGCATCCAAGAAAGTAGCGTTATGTTTATTGATCACGGAGATGTTGAGATAATCGTTATAAAAAGGTTAATAAGTTAGAAAAGGGTGTATCACAAGAAATAAACAGATAAGTTGAGGTTAGATCTCTCTATTGAAATTATTGTCGGAAGAAATTGTGGTTCTAGATCTTTTTACAGGGGAGCATTCACTTTCGTCTTCCTCTTCGATAGCATCCTTGCAGCGACGAAGTTTGACAACATTGCAGTTGATAGAATCGATTTTGAATTCTGATTCGTTGATGGCTTTTTTGGCCTTTTCCAATTGTTCTGATGAGAGACTTGAAAGAAAAGCGATCTTGATAACTTGAAGATGAGGAAGTTCTTCGAGTACGTACAAGAACAGATCATGTTCGTATTTGTTGACTTGAGCTGTGAGTTCGGGGAAACGAGCAAGTTTGAAGACCTTGAGTAGATAAAATGTGAGGTAATGGAGTTGCTTCTGAAACACAAAGATGTAAGTAACAATGGACATGATTATTATGCATACCTGGATGTTAAACTTTTCCAACATCTTCGTAAAATCAGAAAACTGAAATTTAGCTTCAGCATGATTGTAAAACCTCTGCTGGGGAACACTCAGAGTTGCGGTTATTCCCCTCATTTCATGTTCCAATTGATTGAATCGAATCCGGTCAATGGTTAGCGGGGACTTGAATTTGAAGATCCGATCAACACGACGGGCCATTTCTCGATTGGTCAGACGCATCGACAAGAGGTCCGTTGTGGACAAGTAGGACCTGGACCAAACATATTAAGAAATAAATAAACATACAAAATATGCTCCTTTGGGACATCTGGAAGCTGGAGGAATTGGGTGAAGGACTCATTGAGATCTGGTCCCCTGATTATGTCTGTGATGTTGAACACGATAGAATGAGCGATGTGGGAGAAACATGAATCATTCGGGAAGCCAAAACTAAAATAACATTAATTTTGCAGCTACACGACCATTACCTACTTATCAGCCAGAAAGCTTTGATAATAATAAACCCCAGTCTCAAGTCGAACCGCGCAGAAAATGTCTTGGTATCCCTGACCGGACATACTGTATCGGAACCTCTCCTCATCCAGATCCAATTCCCCGTTCAACCATTTCAGATAAAATTCAATAATAAAGAAGGCTCGGGTCAAGAAGATTACTCTGGCCAAGCGCCTGCTTGAAACACACCAACGACTGGTCAAGATGTGCTCTACTTCTTTCATCATTATCAAACGCCACTTCTAAAATTATAGGTATCGTAAAACGGGATTGTTAACCCGAAAGAAACTTCAGATAAAGCAATATTATCTATATTCTCCATGGCAAAATTGGACATACAAAGTCAAAGAAGTAACATAAATGCTGACTTTATGACAGAATAGAAAATGAAACCTTACGCTTTCCTTCAACATCTCCGGAAGATAGTGGAACAGCTGCCGATACAACAACGAACTAAGCTGTTTCTCCTCTTCACAAAGTGCTGTAGTCTTCACAAGATCCTCCGATTTGATGGACACATACTTCCCGCGACGGATCACATTCGCCGTTCTCCAATCCATGCACACTGCGCGACAAAAACGATCAGTAAGTACATGGAAGACGGATTTGGGGACGAAGATCCGCTTGGAGACATCTGGCTTCCTGGTGATTGACAATGGGGAATTCCGAGGATCAAGCAGGTTGCCCCTTACGTTCATCTCCATCATCTGCTGCGGATAAGGACAAGCTCTCATCGATGATTTTCTAAAGAAGGGTTGCGCTCGGCATTGGAGAAAAAGACAGTTTATACGATGGAAAATGTCCCTACAAAAAATTGTAATTTTCAAAAAAATGTAATGTATGAAAAATGCATTTTTTAATGCACCTATGCAAATTTTTTTACCCTATGCAAAATTTTTTGTTTTTATGAAAATATGGGTTTCATCTTTCCTCGTTCTTCACTTTGAGCTCACCTTCATCTGTGCGAATGGTTGTCAACCAGGTAATCTTATCTACTTGATCGTTACTTGCTCTGATTTCAGTCAATGGAGTCCTCGACGGGAGCTAACGTGGGAGAACCATCTGTATATAACCTAAGCACGGCAGTCGAGCGTTCACCCGATCTTATTGTGGAAGACACGCAAGATGATATCACGAGCAGCACCTGTGATCCGGAGAAATTCCATGAGGTGTTTGGGGTATATCCGGCTAACTTGGAAAAAGAAATTAATGCTATTGAAACCAAAAAAGAAGCAAGTCGATATTGCAGTTTTTTTGATGTCATGTGAATCCTGTAGCTTCGATTCTTCGTGGAATGACGAAGCGATTATTCATTTACACTTTGCAGGAGAAGACGCAACCAACTTGGTTGAAGCACGCTGATCCCAAGCAGGCCGCCTTCTATCAACTCATCGATGTTCCGGCCGAATCTCGGCATGAGGAACTGAACCCAAACACTTGGCGTCATAAATTAATTACCATGGCCAGAGGGTTTTCTGTAAGACGGTGTCAATTTTAAGTTGACGGTATTATATTTATGTTTTAGATCTGTTTCCATTTATGTTACACGCTTTGTCCCCCCATTCCATCTTTGATTACCAAGAAGATTGCTTTCTTTCCTCCAACCTCACCTTTTTACTTTTTCCGCATAAAGAATGATGATGGCATTTATGTCAAAGGGAATGCCCGAGATGCCTTTGGCAAGCAAGACGTTACTTTGGAGTTATCCCCCCTTGAGGGAGAACACACCAGTGTTATTGAAGGAGTCAGGGCTTTTTCTGCAGTTACCTCGAAGAACAATTATATTGCCTGTGTTCGGATCAAATGCACCTTGAAACATCGGCCACTATCATTGAAGAAAAAGGTATGTTTTCTATTACCGCATGTTACATAATCTTTTTGTTATGTAAAATTCCGTTTCAGGTGATCATCTTCTGTCAACCTAACAGTTCTGACCTTGGTATGTTCATATGGAAGAGAAATACAGCTGGTCTTACCCTTGCCAAACTTGCTGATCGCCTTGGCATAGATGTCGTCAGTTTTGATTATAGTGGATTTGGAATGTCGACGGGATCTGCTAGCGAGGCCAATGTTTATGAGGATGTAAAGGCCGTTTATGAACATGTCCGGAAGACAGATCCTGATAAGAAGGTGTGTTGTCATTAACAATATCATGATAAGGAATAATTACAGATTTTCTTGATGGGACTCAGTTTGGGGACTGCTGCATGTGTCCATCAGGGAATGCTGAATCCCACAGCCCTTGCTGGGATCATCTTATTGGCCCCGTTTACTTCCGGCGTAAGAGTTCTAATGGCAACTCCAAATAGGGCCAAACCTTATAAGTTGGATTCATTCCGAAGGTAGGTTTTTATTGTTACAACCTTTTATTTCTTGATTGGGCCCGTATTTGTCTCAAAAGTTATGTGATGTAAAAAAGCCTGAGGTCGTATACGTGTTGGGGACAAAAAAAGTCCTATGCTTATTTTTTATGTTTTAGCTATGAGAAGATTAAGAGGATTACAGTACCCGTTTTCATTGCGCATGGACTTTTGGATGACGTCATAGCCTACGATCACGGTGTTGCGCTGCTCAGACAATGCCAAAAGCCAGTACCCATTCAACTCCCTCGCGAAGCGGATCACACTACTGTTTTCACAGTCTCCGTATCGAAGAAAATCCTCAATTTTGTGGCTAGAGAAGCTGACAATTATTCCTTGTATTATGATAAAGAAGGAGTAATTAAGGAACTGGAACAGGAATTGAAGAAGATTGCTGATGGAATCGAACATACGAAGGCCTTCTCTGTCAATCCAAGTAACTCTCAATCCGCTGCTAGTCTCGACGATTCCGAAGACATTTCCCTTTTGGAAGAGGAAATAGAAAAGTGAGTCGGGAGTGTGCTCGCTCTCTTGTTTTCTCTCACTGCGAGCGCTTTTATGTAAAGAGAAACGAAGAGGAAGGAGAGTGTGGCCCTGTGGCGTAATGGATAACGCGTCGGACTTCGGATCCGAAGATTGCAGGTTCGAGTCCTGTCAGGGTCGAATTTTTTTGTGCTCTTGAATTTACATATACAATGTGACATATACAAAGTTAATAGTTCTCAATTATTTTTTTTGCAGGATCGAAAGTAATGAAGCGTTGTCGTTTCCGGAAGGAAGTAATTCAACGTCTTTGAGAGTTTATAATCACGCCGATCATGTAAAATCCCAAGCCCGAATGCCCAAGGACCTGGTCGTGACTGCCATTAAGTCGAGATTCTCCCTGGCAGAGTGAATACGTTGTAATTTTTATAGAATAAACATTATTATCCTTGCTTTTTCGCTCTTGGCATCCAATTTTTGGCCGTTCCAACCGGCGAATCCTCCGATCTTTCCTCGAAACCTCAAGAGACCCTTCCGTTTTTCGCATTTCAATGATAAATCTCCCGCATCCGGTCCCGACGGGGATTCCGCGAGGCCAGCGCACTCTCCACTTCATGCTTTGATTGTTCGACTTTGAACTTCATAACAGCATGGGTGACTCTTACATTATCCTTGCCTAGATAATGGAATTTAGCTTCAAACAATGGCTCTCTCAGCGATTGACTGCTGAGAAGTGAGTACTAATCCAATTTGAAAGATTTTACTTTTTTAGCCTCCAAAAGTTTGGAAAAGGTCTTTTTAAAAAGTTGATATCACCTCACGTTATCTTGGTAGTCTGCTGTATACTGTATTTAATCGTCGGAGCTTTGGTTTTTCAACGATTGGAGGGAGAACATTTGGTAGAAATAAAAGAAGACCACCTCAAACAGATCGACAATGATGGGAAGGCCTACGAAGAGGCGGTTATCCAGATTGTAAATGAAAATCCAGAATTGGCAACTCACCCAGACAGGAAATGGGTGATTGGGGAGATCATCAGGAAAACCAAGGACAGGTTTGACAAGTACGTGGACACTACTTTTGTGGCCCATAGAAAGGTTGGTTTATAAACCCGAAAACTGTATAAGTATGTAATTTATCTGTTTTGGACGCCTACTTATACTTTGATTCAAGGTTCGGCACGGTTTTGAAGACAATGCCCCCACATGGGACTTCAAGAACTCTTTGTTCTTTACAACAACGATGTTGACGTCCATCGGATTCGGTTATGTCTGCCCCACCACAAGAGACGGCCGTTTGTTTGCAGTCATCTATTGTCTGATCGGTAAGTCGCATATCGTAATCCAAAAATTATTTCTGAATTTTAGGAATCCCTCTGACGCTGGTTACTGTAGCCAACGTGGCCAAGTTTATTTCCGAGTCGGTGTTTTTTCTCCATTACGAAGTCTGGAAATTCTGGATGAACTTTAAGAATCGAGGGCGGATTGAGCAGAAATCCCCTCAAAAACGATTGTTCAGTGACAATGAGGATGAACAGGAGGTCCTGGACCGGGTACGGCTGATCAGATTCCCTCCAATTTTGGTGTTCTTGGTCGCGATTATTTATGGATTCATCGCTGCATACGTTATCCAGAGAAATGAAAAATGGTCTTATCTCGAGGCCTTGTACTTTACTTTTATTTCCATTTTGACTGTCGGTATGTACAAAATGATAATTGTTTAAACATTTTCTAGGCTTTGGGGACTATCGACCATCTCCTGATAACTTGTTGACAGTTCTGGTAGTCATCTTGGGCGGGATTATTTTGTCGACCATGTGTATGGACGTGGTGGGCCGAATGTATTTGAAGGAGATCCACTATTTGGGGAGGAAATTACGGTCCAACAATCCATTTTATTTTCTGCGCGAGGCTAAAGCGAAGCGACGACGTGCCGCAATGGCCACTTTGCTGGCCCAATTGGCCAAGGGAATGATTTTTGCGCATAAGCGATTTGAAGAACCTCAAAGAAAAAAGTCCAGAAAAGAGAAACGAAGGGGATCCAAGATGCGTAAGTGCCGTTGTTGAGTAGTGTAACACAGAACGCGCTTACTTTTAGTGCCAAACGATCAGTTTTTATTTGCTCGACAAGCTCCCGATCCACCTCGCGATTGTCAGGTCATCTCGACTTCCGCTTATTCCGTTAGATTGGCTTGGGCTCCCGCCTTCTCGGCCGATGCTGATGTGGTTTACAATCTGAGATATAGATTGAAGTAAGTAAATAGATTTATTACATTACTTTTAATTTTTAGATACTCGGATGAAGAAGGAAGTGATCGGAGAACTCTGGAATTGAGGGGAATTATAGACACTTCGGCTGAGATCATGAGTCTTTCCTCTTGTTCGTTGTATGAATTCCGAATAACGGCAGTTTCGAAGTACGGGGAGAGCAAACCAATCGTCCTTGTACAGTATACAGGTACGAAGCGAAAACAGGACAATTTTACGTATTTAGAACCCCAACTGAGTCCACAGCACATTATGCAGAAGAAACTAAACGCCAATACGATCGAATTGACCTGGGAACCGCCCTTTCAACGCACCAATGACGTCAAAGTAAAACTTTTTGCATTAAATATAAAAATTATAATATATGGCAGACTTTTGTCATCAACTCTTACTCTTTAATTCTAGCACTACATGGTGTATTGGACTGATAATCCTTCGACCAGACTGTCGGATTGGGATAAGATTACGGTATATGGGAGACATGTAACCTTCCCGGACCTAAAGTTTGACTGGTTTTACATGTTTTGTGCCAACGCTTGCTTCAACGACGGCCAACGATCTCCACTGTCTCGCGCCTTGTTTGTTAAGACTGACAAGTTGGAATTCCAGCACTGTTGTAAGTAACCAACCCCATTGAAAACACATTATTTCCCTGTAAATTCCAAAATCGGCAATTATTGCGCGGGCGAAACCAAGGGGTGCGATCATCTCTGCCAAGAGAGGTGTGGCCGTGTAGCGTAATGGATAACGCGTCGGACTTCGGATCCGAAGATTGCAGGTTCGAGTCCTGTCACGGTCAAAACTTTTTACGTTTTTAACAAAAATTTTACAGTAATCTTTTCAATACATTTTTAGACGTCGGGCACTCTCAGACGGTGGAAATCATGGAGGCTATCCTCGAACAGAACGAGAAGCACACAGAAACATCTCCATTACTAAAAAGAGAATACGTATCTTTTGCATTTTAATTGTAACTACCCTGCAAATGGAAAGAGACCATCTTTTAATTGACGTCACTTATCATATCAGATAGTATTTAAATCGATAGTTGAAAGATGATCTCTGGTGACCAATTGTAAGGCAATGAAAAGTATTATTTTTTATTTATGTGAGATCAAAGTTCTTATTACTTTCGGGTAATCATAATGCATCAGACCGGGACTAGGAAGCGGGCACAGAATGAAAACAAAGTAAGCCATGGATCGGGATTGCCCGAAATAATAAAGTAAAATGCCTAAAATAAGAGCCAAAGTCTCGGAAAAATCGGGAAAGGAGTGGAAGAAGACGGTAAAACAACCAGAATCCTCTTTCAAACACATCAAAACTGTAAGATATATGAGGAAAAGACACAAAAAGGCAATCGTGACATTCCAATTCGCATAAAACGGTAAAATGAGTTGAAGAAAAATGCCTAGAACAATAAAAAGTTTCGGAAAACAGATCTCAGAACTCATCTTTTCCGCTCGCTTTTCCTGATGCTCTTCGTGCTTTAGTCTAGCAATCACGCTAAACACCGTATTGTAATCCTCCTGTCGTCCAATCTTTCTAACTGTTTTGCTACAGTAGTCCTTGTCATCTTTTGTTCTGTCCGTTTTCTCCTCAATGAATCGAATTTTCTCTGCTCGATGATTCCTCTTGCTCCCAGACTTCCTCCAATAAATCAAAAAGATGTTCGGAATACTGTAAAGTAATATCCGTCCAGCTGAACAAAGGGCCAAAGCGAACAGAGTACGCTGTAATTTCACTTGAGCTACAGCTGATTCGGACGGTTTGTCCTCGAATAAAGCGAGAAGATGCACCCAGAGATACCAAAGGAAGTAGAATTCGAATATGGAGAGGAATCTGAGTGTGGAGTAGATCAGTTTCCTTCGAAATGAAAGGAAAAAGGGACTTCTGGGAGCCTAAAATTTTGTAATCGTTGTAAGCTAACCCCTACCTTTCTCTTCTTTATTGTGCAGAGGTTATACACATCGCTGGCCATCGCCTCGACTTTGCTATTCACCCAAAACATACTTGTCAGAATCAAAAATACTTCCGAAGGAGTACTGTAGCCTCCTTTCCATTGTTTTGTGCTTATAAAAATTGCTAATCCATTGAAAAAATTTTGAGAAATTATTATTAAGATAGCCACAACAATCGACGTTCTCTCATATTTCTTCTCAATTACCATCTTCAAGACACGTAATATTACGGTAATCGGATATGAGGGAAATGACGTCATCGCGATCTTCCAATTGTAATAACAAGAAATAAGGAAAACAGCGCTTACATAAGCTCCAAGGTTTTGTAAGATACGGAGCTAAAATTGAAACAAGTCCTAAAAGTAATGAATTACCATCAACGTATCTTTCCTGCTTCCATGAGATCTGATCCTAACAAAAAGAATTATATAAATCATCGAAATGAAACTGAGAGCCAGCAGAATTGCACATAATCTCATCCCTTCACCCAAAAATTGTATGTTTCTTCTTGGCTGAAACAATATTTAACACTGAAATTAGTGAAAACTTCACACACATTTGCCGTGTCGATCATCAGGTTGACTAGATGAACCGTGTATTTGAAGAACTGAGATTGAATAATTCCGTAAATAAAGGAAAGGGCAAGCAACATTTTAAATCGACAATTCATTTTACAAAAAAGGAGAGTAAAATAAGGTAATCCAAGCGATTGCAGAGTGTTTTTTTTTCTTTTTTTCCAAAAAAGGAGTTACAATCCTGCGGGGGAACTCGGGACTCCCTCTTATCAGGGGCAGGAAACAATTGAAGAAAAAGCTTTACAGTAAAAAAAGTATGCTTTAGTTGAGTATTGTGAGATGTAAACATGGTGGAGTACACACTTGCGGCTCTACTGACAATTGAGAGATCTTTTTGTGAGACATCGAAACAGAGTTAGTGGGCTCTGAAGATCTAACGATTATCCTCAAAATATTTTTCTGGACGAGCCTTTTCCTCAAATTTGCAGTCCCATTTTCCTCATTTCAACCGCTCTGAACATTATTATAATTGATTTGTTGTACTAACGACAATAAATAACATAGCAAGACAAATCTAAAGCAATTTAAAAAAATCATCTCAAACATAAAAAATTTTTGCCCCCAGTTAAAAAAGGTTTTGATGATTTTACTATGACAACACTCCAGTTTTAACTTTTCTTGGATGGTTTTCGATGTGAATCTATGGCCGGATCGAACTTCTTTTCGATAAAAACGTCTCAATTGACGAATAGTGGCTGGAGTAAGTTTCTTGGGAGTTCTTTCTTCTCGAAATGCTTTTTTTATATTGCTGATGCCCTACAAATTTTATTTTCGCTAAATTTCACGCTAAAAACGTGTAACCCTTTGCTACTTTAGGTGCTCGACCATGGCAAACATTATTGTAATAAATTTGCCTTTAACACAATCAATATTGACATTGCGTTCGATGACAAAAATAAATTCGAGAATTCTCTTCTCTTTTTCCCCATCTTTATTTTGTGTTTTCCCTTCCGTCTGTTTTGGTGTTGTGGCGCGCGTTGAACGGAACGGTTTCTTCACACGATAAAGCTGCATCTTCAGGTTAACACGTCCATTATATTGCACATGTCTTCTGCGCTTGAAGACGCTCAGAACGTTCCGCCCTTCAAGAAAGCCAAACTCGTTGAGACTGTTGGCAACGGAAAGGTAAGCATTTTTATCTTGCAAATGTTATGAAATATCCGCCAGTCGAAAGGAATTTATGATTCTCTACTTTTCGGAGGACAGAGATAAAGGATCTTCGTTCACTCTGATTCCGGAGAAAAGCGAAAATAGCCTTGGATATTCTTTTGGTGATGCCTTTTAAAAAACTAAGGTTCTGTTTCTTAGTCGTTGTGTAATGTAGGCAGGCAAATTATATATTCAGCGAACTGGCTTGAATGTTTCTGCTGGGTGTCTAAAACTCTTGCCATTTCGAAAAGCATGTCTCACCTGTTGCAGGAACTCTCATCTGGTGCCGATATGTATCGAGCGCAGAAAGCGGCCGAATCACATCCCAATAATGGTGGATCCAAGGAAAATGCCGAATCTAGTGATAAACTTGATTCCAATCTGTATTCCAGACAAATGTAAGTATATTACTTTTGGTATTATTTTGTTTTTAGTTATGCTCTTGGTGAATCAGCTATGTACAAGTTGAGACAGTCTCGAGTGTTGATCTCCGGTCTAGGATCGGTTGGAGTCGAGGTCTCCAAAAATTTGATTCTGGGTGGAATAAGACATATTACTCTTCACGACACTAAGGTTGTTGAATGGAGAGACTTGTCCGCCCAATATTATTTAAATGAAAAACACGTTGGAAAGAACCGTGCTGAAAGTTGTTTTGCTGCCTTGGAAGAACTGAATGACAGCGTGCAATGTAATCTCAGTACTGAAGAACTTACCGAAGATGTGGTTGCTCAGTTTGACGTGAGTTTTTTTTTGCCTAACTTGTCAATCGGTGTACGAAATGATGACTTGACCTTCTTGCTAATGTTTAAATTGCAGCTGGTGATTTTGACTGACGCTGCATTCGATTATCAGAAGATCGTCAACAACTGGTGCCGAAATCACGGTCGATATTTTATTTCGGCGGATGCCCGTGGTCTTTTCTCTTACTCTTTCGTTGATCTTGGAAACAAATTCAGAATCGATGATGCTTCCGGAGATCCAGTCAAAGAAGTGATTATCGAATTTGTCGACAGGACTACTGGTAACGTGATGACCTTTGAAGAGACTTTCCATGGCTTCGAGGATGGTGATTACATTACGTTTTCTGAGATCAAGGGAATGACCGAACTAAATGGATGTGAGCCGAGGAAAATCACTGTTGTTAGTAAGTTTTATTCCATTTAACGATTTTTTTCATCGATAGTGGGCCTAATGAAGCATTTTAGAACCAAACGTCTTCAATATCGGGCCTATTCCGGAGAGTTTTGCCGAATACATTGAGGGAGGAAGAGCGAGACAAGTAAAGGTGCCCACTTATGTTGACTTCAAGTCCTTGGAAGATCAACTGGCCGAACCAGAAGTTCTCATCTTCGATTACGCCCATTTCGACGCTCCTTCTCAACTTCACGCTCTCTGGCAAGCTCTTTATGCATTTGAAGACAAACATGGAAGATCTCCAGAGCCTAGAAATGATTCGGATGTTTCTGAATTGAAGAGTTTGTTGCCTGAAGGAAGCGGAGATGTTTCTGACGATTGGACTAAGCCCTTCTCGTATCAGGTAATTTATTCAGGTTTTTTAATGTTCAGAGCGTAGAGTGGTAGCATCGTTTTGATTACAGGCCAGAGGTAATCTACAACCTGTGGCTTCGGTAATTGGTGGAATCACTGCCCAGGAAGCTATGAAAGCCGTTACTCATCACACTACCCCTCAGAAGCAATTCCTGTACACCCATCATCTGGAAGCCCTTCCGGGAGATTGGTCTCCTTTCGACAACTCCAAATTGACCGCAAAGGATTGTGCAGCTAAGGACAATCGGTATGATGGACAAGCCGCTGTTTTCGGATGGGCCTTCCAAGAGGCCCTCCAGAAACAGAAATGGTTCATTGTGGGATCTGGAGCGATTGGATGCGAGTTGCTAAAAAACTTTGCCATGATGGGACTTGGGTGCTCGAAAGAAGGAAAGATCAAGATCACGGATATGGACCAAATTGAACTCTCAAATTTGAATCGTCAATTCTTGTTCAGAAGGAAGGATATGGGCGGAAAGAAGTCTGAAGTTGCGGCCAAAGCCGTTAAATCATTCAATCCTAACATCAACATTGAAGCGTTGGCTGACCGAGTGGCCCCGGATACAGAGGAAATCTTCAATGATGACTTCTTTGAGGAGCTTAGTGGAGTTGCGAATGCGTTGGATAATATCCAGGCCAGAAGGTACATGGACAGCAGATGTGTGTATTATCAGAAACCCCTCCTTGAGTCAGGAACAATGGGTGCCAAAGGAAATACCCAAGTCGTGTACCCTCACATCACCGAATCCTACAGCTCTACCAACGACCCTCCGGAGAAGGACATTCCCATTTGCACCCTGAAGAATTTCCCTTACGAGATCCAACACACCATTCAATGGGCTCGAGGCCAGTTCGAAGATCTCTTTACAAACCCCGCAGAGAAAGTGAACCAATATCTGACAGACACCCGAGGATTCCTTGAAAGATTGGAGACAATGAACTCTGGACAAGCTATTGCCGTAAGTGGGATATAATGTTGTTGATGTTCTGTCTTTAGGATCTGAGAATCTTGAAACAAAGCTTGATTGACGAGAAGCCGAAGACGTCGGAAGATTGCATCATCTGGGCCCTGAAGACTTTCCAGACGCATTATCACAATGAAATTGCTCAACTGCTTCACAACTTCCCAGCTGAACAGCTAACCAGCTCTGGAGTCAAGTTCTGGTCCGGAACGAAGAGATGTCCCCATGTCCTCAACTTTGATCCAGAAAACAGATATCACTTTGACTTTGTATACGCGGCGTCTATTCTGAGAGCTCAACAATACAGATTGGAGCCGATTGTGGACAAGAATCGTGTTCTTGAAGTGGCATCCACCTTTACTCCTCCGCCGTTTGTTCCAAGATCTGGGGTGAAGATTGCTGTTAATGATGCGGAAGCCAGAGAACAGCAGGCTGAAGGTGGGAGTTGATTTTTTTATCTTTATATTCTTTTAGAGGGAGAAGAGACCGATACCGTCTTGGATGGGTTGAAACTGGCGTTAGCTCGTCTGCAACTCACGGACAGTGATCAGATGGAGATGATCGATTTCGAGAAGGACGATGATACCAACCATCACGTCGAATTTGTGACCGCATCTTCTAATTTGAGAGCCGAGAATTATGATATTCCATTAGCTGATGCCATGAAGACGAAGCAGATTGCTGGCCGAATCATTCCCGCCTTGGCCACGACCACTTCGGTTGTAGCGGGTCTTGTAGCCATTGAGCTCTACAAGTGTGTGGATGCCGATGGAAAGACGGCCAAGACACCAGCAGAGAGGTTCAAAAATGGATTCTTGAATCTGGCCACGCCCTTCTACACATTCAGTGAACCTGGAGCTGCTCCCAAAAAGAAATATGGAGACACAGAATTTACTCTTTGGGATAGAATTGAAGTTAGAGGACCAAAAACGCTGGCCGAGTTCATTGATGAAGTGGAACAGAAGACCGGACTTACAGTATCCATGTTGTCTTGTGGTGTCTCCCTTCTGTACGCTTTCTTCCATCCACCAGCCAAAGTGAATGAGCGAAAAGCAAAGAAGTAAGTGGTTTATATTGCAGTTGGGTTAGTTTCGTAGTTCATCCATTTACTACTCCCTTGTTTCAGCTTGGTTGACGCTGTCCAAGAAGTTTCCCGTGATGCGATCCCACCTTACCGCCGTGCTCTTGTTTTGGATGCCACAACTTCCAATGATGAAGATGAGGATGTAGAGATACCGTTCATTAAATATATCCTCTAAGACTAACCCGATGTCCTAACTTGCTCGTTGTTCTAATCTAACGTGTTAATTTAAGTATGCTTGTATTCAAGCTTAAATAAGCAAGATATGTTGTCTTAAATGCCATCGGTTGAATTGTAATTATTGAGAAACGAAAGCTTTTAACCAAACGGGCGTGAAAGTGAGAAGAGGCGTCGAATTGGGCATGATCGCAGAAGACGACGTCTTTTCCGCTTCTTCTACTGGTCTTCGGAAGCACCATCGATTCTATTGTCCAACGTACCTGAACAAGAAAAATACACGTTTGAAAAGTAAAAGCTTTATCCAAATGGGTGGGTTTACATCATACGGTACCCTGGGTTACTGTACCGTGACCTTGTTTTTCATAACTGGGTAACTCACCCAATGTCGTGGCGGCATGGGGTATTGACCACAATTTACCCGTGCTTTTATTGCCGATGTGTGTGACCGAAGAAAGTTTCATCACGTTACAGTAATCTAGCCGCCAAAGTTTGACCTCCTTTGTAATGACAATACGATTCAAAGTCTATCAGTCTGTCGGAAAATAGTGGGGAAAATGTTCGCCTCGTATAAAGAAAGGTGCAGTCGCACACCAAATTTCCAGCTGCGGCAAGCCGTTGCAGGACGATGATGGGCGATTCCAAAGAGCGACGATCCGTCACTATTTTCCCGACAGACAAATAGCGTTCAATTCGGTCCATATCCGCCAAAGGTGACATTCAAAAAAAAGTTAACAATAAATATATGATTTATTATAGGCCTGTTATAACAATGAAATCAGGCGTTATACCAATCAAGAAAAAGTAAGGTCAATGTGAGTACGATCAAACAAAATAAAGCAATCACCCGTCGACTAGCAGAGTTCTTGATGGCTTCCCGTATAAATTCGTTAGCTTGGTCAAGGTTTTCCAAGGTATAGATTGTTTTATCGTGGATAATTTCGATGTCCCGTTCTTGCTCAACAACCTAAGAGACGAATTATTAAAATTCGATGAATTAATACAGGATGCACCATTTTCGGCCCGACTTGCTTGAAGTTCTTTATCTGTGGGCCAAATGTTAAGATTTTTTTCTCCCTTAATCCTCAGAACCACCTGTCTTATACCCATTTACTCGACTATAGTTAAAATTAACAATAAACAAAAAAGTTTCCGGCCGGAAAAGAGTTATCGCCAATTTAAATCGGGCCGAAAAATAGGCTTGCCATGTAAATAAGTAAGTGATGACTTAATAGTTACCTTTTCTGCAAAAGTCCGCTGTAATTTCTGAACTTCAGCAAACTGACTTTCAATCAGTTCGATCTCGTTTGTTCGCTGAGTGAATTTCTCATAGATTCTGTCATTCTCCACGATCAATTGGGCCATAACTACAGGATCCACTTGATGATGTATGTCCTGATTCTCCTTATCTTCTTCTTCGTAGTTAATTCCTGTAGTGAAACTCTCATTTTGTTTTTTCTCTTCTTTCCGTTGACGCAATCCAAAGTTTTCTTCGACTGGCTCACTTATAAAGATGTTGTCATCCACCTGGCCACTCTCCAAGTTCTGTTTATTCTTCATAGCCAGTCGCTCAGTTAGTCGATCTTTTTTCTGTTGCAATTCAATTTTCTTTTTTTCATTTTCATTCCTTAACCTTTCGATTTGAGGATTGAACTTTTCCACCAAATTCCCGAGTCGACATATCTTCCCCAAATGCTGTGTTTTCTTCAGTTGCAAGGCCCGCAATTCGGCGACAATCCGACAAACATTCTCCAGGTAGACGCTCAGAAGAAAGGTGATCGCTTTCAAATGGGGATACTCATCTGTCCTCCTCAAAGTCTCGTCCGATTCAACTTGAACTTCAAGGTTTCTGATTAGTTTGGAGCATTGTCTCATTGCCGTTTCTGAAAAATCATCTCCTTACAATATCACCTAAATTCTTGAGAATGCAAACAATCCCTTACCAGTATCTTCATCACACTGTCTCCGATCCGAGTCTGACATGAAGTTGTCGTGGCCATAGACATTAACCGTACTCAATAAGTATGTTTTGCGCTTCTCTAGGACAAGGTCTCTCAGTTCTCTGATATGTTGTCCGATCTGTCGTGAATGCGCCGCATACAACTCGAAATGCTCTGAATTGGCAACTTTGACCTCTTGATCCTCGCTCAACGTTCTCTGTGAACTCCCTTTCATTTTCAACATTTTGATCCGGGCCTTGAAAAGAGCCGTGTTATCCGTCACAGGTATGTCAATATCCATTACCGGCCTACAAATTCATTTATAAAATATGGTTTATCGTGGTTTCAAATACGTGCGGCGACAGAAACATCTGGGGAATCGAATGAAAAGACGTTGGAATAAAGTTTTATGGACGACTCAAGTGAATATGGACAATAATATTACAGCAATGTAAAACTCTGGAGGATAAATAAGAGTATGATTCGTTTCAAATGGAGTCGCAGACGCCATTTAGAGCGTCCATCGCTTCTAAAACACTAGAGAGGGAGTACTAGAAGGGCTACAATATTATTCTTTCGTACGTCCAACATTCTGGAAGACTACAATATAAAAAGAAACAAAAAAATTAAGTTAGAGAATGAAATTGAAATGGGGAAAAAAGAATGGATGGGATTTATTTGTTGCCACCTGCCCAGATCACAATGATGATGACGAGAAGAACGACGATGGTGCACATGATGATGATCATCTTGATGTTCTTCCACCAGTACTTGCGTTTCAACGTGGCGGCCGACTTCTCAAACTGAGAGGCGCCTTCTTGAAGGGCATCGGCACGATCGTCAAGCTGGGACAACTTCTGATCACGCTCGAGAACCTTCTCCACATTTACCTGAATATTTAATCGTTAATTAACGTATTTTAAAAAAATTTATAGCTTGATCCTAAACTGTATTAAACTTTTCGTTGTATTCAAAGATGAGTCACGATTGCAAGGAATCAGTTTTAATGTTTCATAACAAAGGCGTGAAACAGCCATAAACACCTCAAAACCAGGAAAACGGAGAATTAACAAGAATTCACATCTCCCACGTGGAAGTTACGCAATCAGTTCAATTATTGATAATTTTTCAAACTTTGCCGACTGTTACCTAAACCAACAACAAAACGAATAACCCTTTACCTTCATGATGCCAACGACCTCATCGACTTGCGCTTGAGTCTGTTGAAGACGCTTGTTGGAAGGTCGAGGCCCTCCTTGACCTTCCTGTCCAGGCTGAGCAGCTGGGGGATCCATTCAGTCGATGCTCTTGCGGAATAAACCAGCCGACCTTAGCCCTAAAAAAAGTGGAAAATCAATAAAAAAGCGGCCTTTTTGAGTCCCTTCCGAAGCCTCGCGGCGCCGAAAAAAAAACAAAAAATATTCATTCATTCCACTTCTTTTTGTTTTACGTCAATTTAAGAGAAGGAACGGGGAACGGCGACATAATGAAAACAACATTGTGTTGGTAATTAAGAAGTAAAGGACTCAAATCCAATGGAAATGTGGTAGAACGAGGTGAACAAGAGCTAGCCTCCAGAAAACTATGAATAATTAAGGACCTTATTCCACATGAAAACCCGAAGATATGGGTATAAATAAATACAAATACCCCCTCCACCTCTGCGCTCTCGAAATAACTGCGGATTTCCATAAATCAAGCAAAAATTACAAGTTTATGAAACCTGTAATGGTAAACAGAAGATAATAAAACCAATTGAAAAAAGCTCTTTCTATAATCTTTAAGAGTAAAACAGGATCTCTTGAAAATAAAAACAACAAGTCATAAAAGACAACTTGAAGTAGAGTGTAGATGGCGGAATTATCAATCAATTTAGTTTACACCCAAAAAATATCGATGCCTAACAACAAAAGAATTCAAGAAAATTGAGTCATCTAGCCACACAGCGCTTCTCTCGATGGTTCTTTTTACAGTTATATCTATGAAAAAGCTCATCACTCTTCTTATCACCCATCGTCACTTCAAAAATCTTCCATTATCTGCAAAAAAAACAGAATATTTGGAGACAACGAAACTCTAACACCGGAACAAAAAAACCGAATGGAATTGACGTGCGGAACGAGGACAGAACGGTCCTTTGCCCCGTCGGGTGGCCTCAGGCACACTCGGCACGAGTCGATATCGACTCAGGCGCGGCCATAAAATCTGGAGAATTGAAAGTGTTTGAGAGATATTTTGGGAACATGTAATATTTATAATAAAAGACCGAGGATAATCTCAGCTTGGAAGAAGGAGTGCCATGCATGGCTATGAGCAAACATAGAAATATTACGCGCACGACTAACCAATCCATGGTGAAGATCCCGAAATTATTCAAAAAATTAGAAAACGACTGAGAGTCTCATGGAAATCGGGTGTTATGCTTGTATCCGGTATGAACGCCGCTTGTAACAATTGCAAGAGAGACTTAAAGAGCGACTGGTTCTTCCTCTTCTAGCATTTTAGCAGCTTCGGAAAACCTTTTAAGGCCCCGAAAGGCCCGGGCCCCCTTCGGGACACTCCCGGAGGCTTTTCAAACTTCCTTTAAAGACACCAATTAGTCGGCTGGCCAAGAATAATCAAACAAAATCAATAAATCAACTGGTCACATCGTGACCTATGACGTCAATGAATAAAGTAGCACGCCCTGAGGGGGAGCACACTGATAACTGGCACACGAACATTGGATGACAAACGGATAAACAATGGTTATTGTCTAAAAAGTTGATTATAGACCTATTCCACCATTGTTTTATAACCTTCATCCAAACGATATGAAAAGAAAGCATGCCAAAACAGATGCACAACAAGAACAGGACGATGGTGAAATAAGATCCCGTTTCATCATAAGACAAAGACCGAGCTAATTTACGAACAAAACCTCTAACTTATAAATTAAACCGTTCCATACGTGATAAAGTATCTCCACGATTTCCGTGAAATTCAAAAACTCACTGCACTCGACTTATTCCACCTTACGGAAGATTTCTCCGCATGAATCACAAAAAAATTGATTTGGTGTTATTTGTTTTCGTGGCGGGACGCAGCGTTTCCATTCATGCGGCCAGTTTTTTTTTGCAAAAAATGCAATTTGACATTTTAACCAGTTGCAAAGCGTTTTGTATGGACTTATCGGGTGGAAATTACCCGTCATAATCAATTCAGGTTAGTTGAAATTGCGGGTGTTGTCTTTGATAAGACGTTGATAATGCAATTTCTCGGTAGTTTAGCTTAATTTGCTCTTTCTTTAACGCAAGAGACGGAGCTAGTTAATTTCTTGTTTTTCAGATGAGTTTGGTTTGGCGTCGGATATCCCGGGTGAACAAAAGGGCAGCGAAGTTCAAGTTCGTTGTCACGGCCAAGGAATTGATCTTAGATTGTGCTCCGAAATGGAGACCCGAAACTGTCGTGGTTTCTCTAATGCATCGGTAAGTGTATTATCAACCTTTTTATTATTTTAGACGCCGAAAATACTGTTCAAAACAAAGGAAGATAGAATGGAGTTTTGACAACCCAAATCGAGCGATTGTAATCTGGCCGGAAAGTGGATTTGATCCGATTCATATGGTTACCACCTTATTTAGAGACCAAGACAAGGATCAGTTTGACAATAAGGTATGGCTGATGCTGTGTGTATTTTATTGAAGATTTAGGAATGGACATTAGTGGTGGAAGAAGTTGATGTGAAGGGGAAGAAAAGGCCGTTGGCCGCGATCCCAATTAATGTCCGCCTGTTTATTACGGATTTACCCGGTACGAAGATGGAGGCCAAATTCAAGTTAAGGCCGTTGAGGAAAGAAATCAGACAATGTACTTTCCAACTCGATTTACAAAGCGCCTTGCTGAGAGAAGGATCAATTAGGTATGTTAATATCAGTTTGAATTTTAAGAAACATACTCCTTAAATTTTAACATCATAGATTTTCAGAGAAGATGACTTGCAAAGTCTGGCATCAAATGCTTCTTTGGCGGATCAGCAACTAATAAATTCTCGAGAACAAAGTTTGGACAGAGCGTTTGCTGATAACAGATTGATTGAAAAGAATATATCCCCGATTAAGGAGAGGTTGGAACCACAAGAAGACGTAACGGAAATTATTACCAAGATCTCCGACGATATTCAGAAATGGACGGATTATGCAAATGCAGAAGCAGACAAATCCGCTAAACCTGGTAAGTTATTCAGTGAAACTTAGGTACCTAAAATTGACTGAAGGGTCTGAAAACACAATGATTGATTTTTCAGATATAGTTCAAACTCGAGATACAGCCCCATCGCCTACAAGAGCATCTTTAAAGGAGAAACCATCAGACATACAACAAGAAATACCCGTGGAAAAGCATTCCCCACCTCCAAAAATTGCTGGAGAACCACTTTTGGATTGGTGTCAGAGGATAACAAAGGGATACAAGAACGTCTTGGTTAAGGATTTCACGTATGTTTTACATGCTTTATTAGTTCATTGTTCTTTAGAAAAAGTTTTAAGACTGGGCTCGCCTTTTGTGCACTGATCCATCAATATCGACCAGATCTCATCGGAAGATACGAAAGTGTCGAATTCTCTGAAACAAATCAAAGTTACAAGAGAAACTGCCGTAGGGCATTTGATGCAGCCAAAGAACTTGGGGTGACTAGGTAAGGATTTGTATAGTAGGTACCTATTTTTGTTCTAGAGTGTTGGATGAATCCGAGGTTGTAACATTGCCAGATCGACATCAAATCCAAGGTTTTCTGATTCAACTGAGAAGTTTCTTAGAGGATGGCATTGAAGCAGTCAACGCCGATCAGATCTACAGAACTCCGGTGCAGGATTCGTCAGATCACAGAATTTCGTATATGTTGACATTATCTAAAGACGAAAGTGATGCTGCAGAAGGGCTGGAAAAGCTGAAAAGCCTTCGAAAAGTGAGCAAGGTAATTATTTGGCTTTTCACTATTTTGAATTGTTTTAGGGGGAAGATGACACATATGCATCCAAAACCAACAGTGGAATGAACACCCCATTGCTCAGTCGAAAACAGTATAACGAGGCTAGTGATACGGAGTTTGATAACATGGAGGAGGTTAAGAATTTGGCTGAGTTAGTGATTTATTTTCTACTTTGTTTTAGTTTGAAATTTGATTACCTTTTCATATTTTTAGTGATGTCCACAACACGCCGTTCCCCAAATCTTCCACAGTGGATAGAAGAGATCAACTCCGACAGAAAGCGCGTGAATTACTCGACAATCCACTGGTGATGACATCAACCCCAGAGAAAGATCAAGATCGGCAACAGAGATTACAAGCAGAGGCACGTCGGTTACTGTCAAGTGTGGGGGTGGATAATGGAAATGGTAAGTTAATAAGATTTTTGATGAATGTTTTGTTGTTTTTTATTTTTTTGTGATCTTCGGTTAGATTGGTTATGTTGAAGTGAACCTTTTTTATTTGTTTGTAATGTTATTCATGTCCTGATTGTTGTATTGGTTTAGCCTTGTCCCCGATTGGTGGTCCCTTGAAAAGAAGTGCTTCGATTCGTTCGAATTCGTCCATGGGATCGAATTCTGATCTCAGAACTTTGGGTATGTTGTGATGACTCTATTGTGTTTAGTTATTACTTTTATTTGTTGATTGGAAATCGTTGTGATGGAAGTATTGTGACGTTTGTTTTTTAGGTCTAATCCAAACCCAGACCAACTTCAGATCATTTAAAAAGGTCGGCCCATCTCCTGTCTTGAATCGGAAACAATGTAAGTTGTGATGTAAATCTGTTGTTGTTATGGGTAAGGTGTTTTTAAATCATATTCTGTATATTCTAAAATATCCTTTTTTCCAGATGACAGCCCAATTCTGCCAGCGTTTGGACGTGGAAACGATGTAAGTGCTAGTTTTTCAAAAAGTTTGACCCATTTTTATGTTGTAAATAACTTGTTATCGTACTAATGTTGTGGTTGTGCAGACTTCTAAGGACGAGCTCCTGAACTCGGCCTTTGATCGGATGAAGAGATTCGGCAGTATGAGGACGCAGGAACTAACCGAGAGCATTAATATGTTGATCAACAAAGTAATATTTTAACATTGTAGTTGGTTACGGTAGTGTCGGTGTGAAAATTATTGCTCGTTATTGCTTTATTACAAGACATTTGTTTAGGAGTTTGACCGGCGTCTGAACCGAACTCTTGACTCCACGGATCATACGCCAACTCGGAAAGTGATGTCTCGCGCCGAGAAGGATCTGCAAAACACATTGGATGCGTCAACGGAACTGGCTGAAATATCCGATAGAATGTCTCAGATAGAGAAATTACAAGCTGAACTTATTCAACAGCGCATGGCAGTCGAAACGGGCAGTGATGAGGAAACGCGACTGGTCGAACTTCAGATTCAGTTGACGAATGAAAAGGACGATCTTGTGAGGAGACAAGACTATCTCAATGTCCTGGCTGATCTCAATGAAACCAAGGAGAAGCTGGACAAAGTTACAAAGGAATTTGATTCTCTCGGAGCGGGTGTGTTGATCAAGAAATTACGCATGATGTTATTGTGTATTCCACTATGAGTCATATTGTATTTACATGATATTTTTTAGATGGCATTGCCCGAACAGAAGAAGAAAAACAACGAGTTGATGATCTGATGACTGAACTCAAAGAATTAATGGACAAAAAGAGTGAATTGACACAGGAATTGCATCGAATGGAGGATGAGTAAGGCACTATCTATCTTAATATTGGGTCATACTAGTCGCAGATAATATTGTTGTTGTTTTAGAGAAGAAGAACACAAAGAAAGGGGTCGAGCCACACTCGAGAGATCCAAGAACTTCAACCGTGGTACCCCCCAGCAGCCTTTGTCGGCCTCCAAAAGACTGATGAGCATGTTCACCAAGAACTAAGTGTCTCTTACTACTGGTATATGTCGTCTGAGTAACAAACGTATAGTCTCTAATCTTGTGTATATCAACTTGTGCTCTCCGGATCTTGCCTGCTATTTGGTTTTTTGTATATGAATATTACTGTAGTTTAATATGGTGCGCTTTAAATTGTGGTGATCTTCCGTCTATTCCTATTCGCGAATCTACTTACTAGTCTCTTCGGTTCAATTATTTTTGCATTTTACAGCCTTTGTACAATACATTAAATGTAATTATTTCTTTTGTTTCGGATTATTGCGATTGAAAGTGGGCAAATGCGGGAACAGCACCGTAATCTAGGGTAATATTAATGTTGCTGCAAGCATGAAAAATGTAGATGACATAAGTACAGAATAGGGCCCATATTGTAGGGGAGGGTATGGTTTTCCGGCTGAAATTCTGCTTTATTCTTGCACCAACTCCCGTTTAATTACTGTACAATTAAAAGGTGATTAATTTTGCATCCGGGGTACTCCCCTTCCCTCTCTTTTCATCGTTTTTTTCCCATGTTTTCCCGGAGTTATTTTGGTTCGAAATAAAACTGAAAAATGTTGGCATCATAATTTCTAAAAATGTTTTCATTATTCCCACTTTGAAGGCGCGTAGGTGTTTTATTCGGAACAAACTTTTCCCGCGGCTGATTTTATGGACTTGTGGAGGAGCCCGGCGGGTGGTCGGCAGATGATAACACGCAGTTTGTTTATTGTTGTCGCGATCATGGGAGTGGTTGGAAATCAGGACTTGTCACATACCGTCCTTTGACATGTGCGAAGACAATAACTTATGTGATATCGTTTAAAAAAATATTGTACTTGTTACAGTATGAAGATGAGATTATGAAAGTACAGTGACTTGTCTTGTTTTGATCAAAAAGATTTATGTGCTGCTGAGTTAGTTTTTGTGATGCATTAGATTTTTATCATCTTACTGTTAGTTCAAGTCGTCATTTTCTTTCATCCTCATCTCAATTTCTATGCCGGCCAATCGAAGCCGTCGAATTAGTGGTTTTTGGATAATTTTCCGACCGAAAAAACATTTCTTTCCCTCCCCCAGCCCTTTTTCCTTCCCTTGCTGGTCTCTTGGCCTTTTTTTGGGCCTCGAAGCCGGCCTCTTTTCGCCCGAGGAAACGCCATATTTGGCCTCGAGACTCTCGAAAAAAGACGAATTCCAGGGAAAAAAGAAGGGGCAGTCTGGGGACCCTACAACCGGAGGGCTGAAACGGTTTCCCTCCATTTTCAGGACGCCCCGTGATTTTTCCTCCAATTCAACGTTCTTTTTCACGCCGATTTCCCACCTTCCTTTAGGGTTTACAATCGCAAAAAAGTATTGTAAACAACGGACTTATGGAGTGCCTCTGTTTACATTAATGCCAAATCCGGTTAGTTTGGATGGCATCATCAGTTTAATTTAGTCATTCCTTTGTATCTTTAACCAGAGTGCGTCATTAAACTTGCGGATTATCCTGCTATTTCTGATTTCGGATAAATTTGAGGGACTAATTTTATCTTAACTTTCCATTTGCCTACACTTGTTTGTTCCCGGCTCTTCGTAGGCTTGTTTTCTTCTTTAATTGTAAGGCGGATTACATTTTATTTCCTTATTCGGACTCTGCTTATCTTTGGACTGGTAAAAGTCTGAAAAAGAAAATTGTAATGCAAAATGTTCTCAACTTACATGTTTGTTTTTTGCTTCTTGTAATTACCTACTGCAGCCTTTAATTGCTAATAAGACGACCTTTTTAGGACATATTAATTTGTTTCTGACTTAATGACACCTTCAATAAAATAATGAGAGAACTCTGTCCAAAGTTGTAAGAACACTTTCCCTTCAGTCTTTATCAATGCTCTAGTATAATAATATATTTGCAAACCCTTAATAATTTTTTATCACAACTTCCGGAACACAGATTCTGAGTGGGAAGGGCTAATATAATGTCTGATTGCAGGTGCGTGCATTGTATTTTGGAGTGGAATTGAATATCCATAAAAGAAAAGGGGGACATTCCCATTTTCCCGCTTTTTTCGGTCGAGATTCGGAGGAAACGAAAGCCCAAAAAAGGACTTCCATTTGGCCCATGTTCACGAGGCCCGGGCCAAACTTGAGAACCGCCAACAACTACAAAAGGTCTGTATTTGTGGGCAATTACATTGATCCTTTCCTACGTTTATTATTCATCCGGTTTTTAGGGTATGAATTTGAGTGGGGCGTTGCGTTTTTCATGGACATCCCGAGCTGTAGCCATCAGTCCGACGACGATCTGAGTCCCTTCGAATTGGCCAGACATTGTTGCGAATCATTCGGTTAGTTGACTATAAAAGGGAAACTTTGCTCTTTATATTCTTCAAAGAGGTCCGAAATCTCATTCCGTCCTATATCTCCACGCTTTTGTTTATCCTTTTTTGTGGACTCGAGATCTGCGTCATCAGCCGAGAAACTGTTGAAATCTGGGGATAATATCGTACATCTTCTAGAGAATCTGAAGATGAAAAAATTTTTTTCAATTGGATTAGGCTGCTCAAAAATTGTTTTTATGTATAAAAATATTTATTTTCACAGTAATGATGACTAAATTTTACAATTTTCAGATAAGGATGGTGAACCGCAGAATGAATTTCCGTATTATCTTTTTATGGTCGGAGAATGGCTGATGGACAACAAGGAGCTCATGTCTCAATTTGTCTCACTATATCAGGTAATGATTGTCCTATTATGCTTGACACCAAACCAAAAGTAGATTTATTGACAATATTAATGATAGTATAAGTTACAAGTAAGGTTACGTAAGCAGTATTGCTAGGTTATTTATTTCTTTCCCCTTCCACAGTTGCTAGAAGAACATAATAGCCACACTCCATTGAAATCATTCCCCACTCGGACACCTTGATCTGGGATAATATCAGGCTTAACTCCAGTATGTTGTTGATAAGTGTTGGCCACGTAATTATAACGAGGTAGGGGGTCGTATTTGGGAGTAAAGAAGCTATTCGCTTCGTAGCCAAGATATCTTTGAGCTGTTGCAACAGCCACTAAAAGTGAGATCAACAAAATTCGGCAGAAGAACATGACGGAGGAAGCGGGTGGAGGGCTGCAAATAATCTATGATTACATACAGCAAAATGTGAGGCCAAGTGTGAAAAGCTGAGGGAAATCAAAACAGACAGGGAAACCATCAAGAACTGGATCTCGTCGTTGAAAAGCGCCTTTTATAGGGTTGAAAACGGGATCTGGTCATTAGTGGTTATTTCGAGAAGCGAACGAATAATATTACTCAAGACTCCCTTTGAGAGATCAGAAACGAGGATGACATAGTCGGATAACATTTATATTACATGGAAAAATTTGTTAGAAAATCAAAATAATACATTACTTACAGTAATGTAATCTTCGAATTCTTTCAGGAGCATTTTGATGACTTTGGAGAACGGGTATGTTACGCAATCGGCTTTTGGATCCGCTCCTTTCCCATGCATTTCGACGCCGACAGTCAGCTCTGCCGATTCGTGGAGCGGCTCAAACAATTGGCCATATCTGATAACATATCGGAAACTGTTACCTCAGAGCTCGATGTTTCCTCCGTGTAGGTTGTTTGGCGATGATTATTTGGGTTTAGACCGTCCTACGAATGGCTTCGCAACGTATCCGTCCGCAATCCGGTTTCCCGTGTTGTGAGTCTTTCCTTCGAACAATGGAGTCCCGAAGATCTATCCACTTCCCTCAGTTACATCGATTATAAAGTAATGAGTCGAGTCAACATCACCGAGGTCAAGAAGTACGTCAAGAACTGCAAGATCTCGTCCAGTCTTCTTCTGGAGAGATCTATTGCCATTTTCAATGTAAGTCGTCACAATATTACGTAATCATCACAGAATGTGATGACCTTTGTTCATAAAATATTACGTAAGAAATATTTAAAATTTTTAATGTTTCAGAGTATCTCCGGATGGGTTCAATGCATGATTCTCAGCAAGAACACCCCCAAAGAACGAGCTGAGGTGATCACCAAGTTCTTAAATGTGGGAAAACATCTGAAAAAGTTGAATAATTTCAACACACTGATGGCTGTGATTGGTGGAGTTACCCACAGCAACATTGCTCGACTCTCCAAGACCTTGAATTGTCTCTCAATTGAAGCCAAAAAGGATCTTACTATGTTCACCAATTTATTGTCGAATACCCACAACTTTGAGAATTACCGAAAACTTTTGCAAGAGACCAGATCCAAGTTCAGAGTGCCTATAATGTAAGTTAATGGGTAATTTGCGCATTGCTCTGTGACTTTAGGGGAGTTCATCTCAAAGATATGATAGTATGGTACAATACAACCCCCCAATTCGACAACACTAGAAAGATCTCTGAACGGAGACTCTTCCAACTCCGCAATTTGCTCAACAATTTCCTCGGGGCAAACCGAATGGCCCACAACTTCCCCGAGCCAAATATGGACCTCATTAACACGCTCAAAGTCTCATTCGATATTCGGTACAACGATAGTGACATCTACGATCTGTCGTTGCAAAAGGAACCCAAGACTCTTCTCAATGTAAGTGTAATAACATCTTAACAGTGGGCATATCAATGACAATGGTTGTGGTTTTTCAGTTCCAAAATACCAGGTCAGTGGTGTTTGCTGACTGGGCAAGTGGGGTTTGTCCAGCACCAGATCCAGAGACTGTAAACAAACATATCAGCGCCATGGTGGAAGCCGTTTTCAAACACTATGACAACGACAAAGATGCTTACATCTCTGAAGCCGAGTTCGCTCAGATCTCCGGGAACTTCCCTTTCATCGATAACTTTGCCAAAATTGACGAAGACAAGTGAGATCGCCTATTACATTACTATAATTACATTACATCTTACATCGTTTTTATTGACGATTTCTTTTTTAGAGATGGTCGAATAAGCAAAGCCGAGCTGAAAAGTTACTTCCTATACCTCAACAAGCAATCCCTCAACAAGCAGAGTCTCGAGTTTCGTCGAGGATTCCAACACAACTTCCACGAGACCACTTTCCTTACGCCCACTTTCTGTGTTCATTGTAACAAGGTTCTCTGGGGTCTGATGCGGCAAGGATATAAATGTAAGGACTGCGGGATTACTGCCCATCATTCCTGCAAAGATGTGCTTGTCAGTGAATGCAGACGTAAACGACATACATCTTGGTTAACACCGAGAACAAGCAGTCAAAGCAATGGCACTCAGGGAAGTCCGAGCAGTTCGAGTCAAGATCGGGGATACCGGTGAGTAATTTGGATGGAAACTGTGATGGTATTCAGCTTCGGGAAAGGACTTGTTTTGTTGTTAGCTGCTATGGGATCTTTTTTTATTTTTTATTTTTTTTGACTGTCATTGGTAAAAGTAACGTCAGAAGTTTAAAATAATTTTCTGGTTCCACCGTAGAGGATAGTTGAATCTTGTAATCCCACGTATAATCATGAGCGTTGTAACGGTCTTTCTATCCTTGAGTTGGCTTCGCTCTCTTCATTTCACGCGCACAATTCTTTTCCGAAACGCACTGTCGCCTCGCCTTATTCCAATCAAAGCAATTTACAGAAAGTTCAGGACGGTGAGTACGGTGTCTGAAGAAGAGCCCGAGGCCCTTCCACAATCGGCCAGGCCTTTCATGTCAGGTGGGCTAAGGGCATCGTTCCATCGATTAATTCGACTGCAAAGGAAGTCACGCACAGCCTCGGAAACCACCGACTGCTACAGGTATAGGAACTATTGGAGATTATGGTATCATTAGCAGGGTCGCCACCACTTCCTCCACTCTAATATCTAATGCAATTAAGTCATCTTTGACTGCTCTGACAATCCCCTTTTCTTCTATCAGTCTTATAGACAAGTCTACCCTAATACCAGCACAAAATAGCTGATTACACGCCCATAACGCAGCTTTACAACATCCTCTCGTCTATTACCTAGTGTAATATAAACTTTTAGAGGGAATGGTATGGCTGACAACTTCAACGACAATGATCTCAGTCTGGCGACATTGGCAAGTGAAGAAGTCTTCGACGATGAACCGGAGACCGAACCTAAAGCTCCGGCAACCGTACGATGAGTATACGAAGAGTCAACTATGAAGAAAGACATCCGGTTCAGTTGAGTTCAAATAAAAATTTAATTATATACAATATGGCTATGTACAATGTTGAGAAAGTGGGAATACCGGTAAACCGGACAGAGATCGGGAAATTGAGGGATGACCAGGTTCTAGATCAGATGGGATTGGTGAGAGGGAGACTTGACACAGGTGCTGGTCAGTTGGACTGCACTCGCGGGCCAAGCAATCTTAGCGTCATGGCGCTTGTAGGCGAACAGATGAGGCTTGCCGGTGTCGTTGAGTTGTTGTCGGATGGCATCCGGGACCTCGTTCAAGTTGAGACAAGTCTCATATCCATCATAGAGCACACATCTTAAATAAGCAAAATTATTATACCGTGGATGTAATAATAAACTAAATTATACAGCATAAAAATAACGCATACAATCCATAATCCTCGGGATTAGTGATGGCAAGTTGATGGGCGATGACTCTGCACAATCTGGCCACATTCATTTGGGCCACCGCCGGGAATGTATGATATTCAATGGAACCTTTTTGCTCATCTGGAATGGCTATTCGAATATAGGCATCCGACGCTTCTTCGATACAACATCGTAGACTCTGAAGAAGATTATATAAAACTGAAACTTCATACCCTCAAAAATGAATGACTAGTTTCTAAAAGAGGACCTACCGACTGCGGAGTGCTAAAGTTTGGTTCATTGCTCATGAACCTGAGTCGCTGAATGCTGTCAAGGTTTTTGAGAACATGAACAGCCGAGAGAAGAGTCGACAAGTAATAGGCGGCATCTCCAGTGGTCAGAAGCTGCTGCGGAAGGAGCTCCCACATATACCAAGCTTCCACTTCACACGACACCGAGGATGTCCGCGCCAGCAGGAATACTAACCAACGGATCAGTTCTAAAAGATACTTTCATTACAACAATATTACGTAAAACTATTACTACAAGTATAAAAAGCGTCGTAACTCACCGTCAGCCGGAGGCAACTTCTTACTTGACCTCGCAAATGGCCTTGAAGGAACGACAACAACATTCAGGGCCTTCAGAAGATTCTCCAGCTTCTTCAAGGGGGAGTAATGACTCTGCATCTTCCTAAGATATCCTCGGACTTGCTCCATTTTCTTGGAGTCAGGTGCAATCGTGCCCTTAGGAAATCCAAGTTGTTCTGGTCTCATGGTGCGGACTTTAGAAAGGTTGGCAGTCAACGTCTCAAAAGACCCATTTCGAATGTTCTCTCGGCACATCAAATGATACAAGTGGGGCTTTATAGGAACTAAAACAAGGATTAATTCAGTCAAAAGATTAACATACCTAACAAAATCTTATGCAAAACAGCTTCCAAGATGGCGTCAATGTTGAGGAATTCATTGGGATTAAGCTTGGCACTTTCTTCTTCAATAACCTGCAGTAGATCGGCTTCTCCATTCTTCACCAAATAATTCTTGATTCCATTCAGAAATTGACGAACATTCCTGATAACGATGTGAGGATCACTTTCCCCGGCATCTATAGTGCACTCAATGAATTGCTGAAGGGTTGCGCCGAAAGTTGTGGACGAATCGGTAGCCAGTTGCTCCACGTATCTTTGGATTCTAAATCCAGGATCAGGCATACGATCTGTCGAACGGAGACGAGCAGGGCTAATGGCAGGGAGGACGGAGGGTAAGGTCATCGACAATTCATCCATAGAATCACAAATGTGCGACTGAAAACAAAACTTAAAAATAGATACCTAAAACTTTATATTACACAAAAGAACATAATAACCAATTATTATTTTCATTACCTGTCCGTACATTCCAGGGGTCATTGCTCTGTGTTTCATGCTCCGTGTGTCCAGCAAAGGACTCATAAATCTATGATCTTCATTTACATTCATCAACGAACTGCTCTTTCCCCGCCGAGAATCAAAAGTTCCGGGCTCTGAAGGAATCCTTTTCGAGACTTCACTCCAATTCCTATTATCATTTATGGTCAAAGGCTCAGCTCTAAAGTTGTCAAACTGTTCGAAATGATCGTCCGAGAGATCTGGGCCCTCATCCACACTCAGAGGGACTTCTTGAACTTCCACATCAGAGTTGGATTGGAGGGTTTGATTAGGGAATGAGGTCTTCGAACAAGTAGAAGCAGCAGAACCTGCTGAACATGAGGCGTTGTCGTCTTCTTCAGCTATCGTCTCATTTGCACAACATTCTAAAAAAACACTGCCGTGAATAATAAAGTAGACAAGTAAACAAGCAGAGAAAATCAAACGAAATGTTATCTTACCCATATAAACCGCTTTCGTCTTGGCTTTGGTTGGTTTTTCGTCATAGAAATGGACAATATCGAGAAGATTCTCCCAGGCATTTGAGTCCCATGGCTCATTGAACACTGTCCCAGCTACACTCACACAATCATCTTCTTCCAGATCCTTTTTCACATCAAAATTTTCGCTAATCTGAGCGTATTCAGAAGGCCGCGATTCTGAATCCATATGTTTTGGACGGAGATTTCGTTGAATAGGTTGCGGTTTAACCTAAAAAACAACGAAATCATGCATCCAAAATAATTTTAGGATTATTGACAGCCCAAAAAACATGAAAACGGCTGGTGCTAGATCAGCCATAACAAAAGCGGGCCTAATCAAGCATAATTGATCATTTGCGCAATAAAAAACGGGGATAGGATAACATAGGGGATGGGGAAGATATCCGGAAAACCGTTTCTTTCCGATTATTTCGCTGCGTATTTGTTCTGCACTTGACGGAAAGCGGGTTTCTGGGAGCGAAGGTCGGGAGGTCGGGCTCCCCTGTTATGTATCCATATCGCTTTGAGATTATTCACAAAATTGGACTATCCAATCAAAAAAATAAAAACGAAAAACTTTAAAAATGACCTCGACAATGTGAATACATGAGTCTTGAATTTACCAAAAAGAAAATAGAGGAATACAGTGGATCCCCTCTCCAAATTACATTATCCATGCCCATTTCCTTTCAGAATTTCCTCTGTGATGAGGCTGAAAGCCCAATTCCGCTGGAATTAGCCCCAATCCCAGTTTCCAATCAGATTCCCCAATTCCTTTACTTACTTTAGCTACGTTCTGTCTGTTCTTGAGTTCTTCGTTGACTGCTGACCACTTGCTTGAGATGGGTAAACTAGATGGGACTGTCTGGCTAGCCGCGTCTTCGTGGCTTCTTCTCCACTGGCTGAATCGATCTTCCTGTGTTTGACTGCCGGCTGATTTGGTGGATGTTTCGGATCGCGGTGATATATCCAAGATTGTGGAGGATGTATCAGATGTTCTAGAATTATTCAGACTTCTCTGAGGTTGGCTTTGAATTCGTTGAGCTGAACTGAGATGTCGAGGTGAGGGGGTCTGGAATGATGTCTGAAGTCGGGAATAATCTCCTGAATTGGTAATCTGCTCTCGAGTAGAATAATGACTAGGTTCTTTGGAGAAAGAGGATGATGTTGAGGATGATGAAGCTGACGATGGAAGATCGCTGAAAATGGAAAAAATTAATCCGAATAAAAACAAACTAATGAGGCAAGAAGGAATCTTCTGAGTATTCACACCTCTTCGTGAGCACTCCTTTAAGAAGTATACAAACCCCGTTTTCCGCGTCCCCTCTTTCCCCTCTCTCCATTACTTTCAAACCCGATTCCTTACAAAAGCGAAACAGTTAATTCCAAACTTTTTTGTCGCGCTCGAATTTCGCCTCGCTTTAGAACTATTAACCTCGTGAGAAGTGGTGGAGAAGAGCTGCCCAAGGTCAGAAACTGTTTAGCGTCCGGCTTTACGCGTCCATTCCCACGCAAACACCGGAGGGGAAATCGAATCAATTGGGCCGGAAAAGAGGCCCAAACTCGATTGCAGACTTGGCTCTCGGCTCTCCCTGGTCACTCGAGGATCTCTTGGAGGCGATGATCGATGGGATCGATCGGGTCGGAGGAGATTAAGGACGACGGAACGGCGGTGTCCAGGAAAAGAAAAAAACGGTGGAGCACTCGGAAAAGACATCCGTTTTCCGAAAAAACTAGACTTTGATTCAACTAATTGGGACTGCTTTATACAAATTTTGTGTATTGACTCATAAAAGCTCGATAAAATACAACATTCTCCATCAAACAAAAGCAGTCGGTCGACTAAATTACGTAATAAAAACTCATAAAACACCAGAAAATCTCGCCTAATTATGTAATTAATGCGACGAAAAAACATGACGTCACCGTAGATTCTCGCTAAATAACTCCTGCTTTCAGCAGGTCACTGAATCGCATCCTCATATGAAAAAAGAGCCCTCGCATTAATCAAGGAAGACTTTGATCCCCGGTCACATAAAACATGAACTTGTAATCGAATTTAAGAGTTAATTGTTAGTTGGCCTACTTTTAACTGAGTAATTTGATCTTTCGCATGGCCTAGAGAACCGTATGTTCGCCGAAATACGATCGCCGTATGTTCGATTCTACCAGTCGTGTAAAAACAATACTTTTTTGACCTCAATAACAAATAAACTTGTAATGGACCCGACAAATTACCACCTTGGCCATCCCCATCCCTTCCCAAATACTTGAGAGCGTTTCGTTCGCGTGTGAAAAGTTCTTGAAAAGTTTTCAAACCCCTTTGAATTCATTTGTTGGCCCGGCATATGGCCAAACCTTTTCGGGGGCCTAATAAGACTGACGATTTGGGCCTGATTCACCTACCGTGGAATGGTCGAAGGCTCCGAATTATTGGGAGGGATGCGGACGTACTGACGGGAGAGTTGTTTGCGGCGAACTACCGGGGTGATCAGACCTTCGTTTATTGTCTAAAAGGACATTATTTTGGCTTCATAAAAAGATCCCATTCCAAAAAAAATAATAAAACTCCTATCCTACCTGCAAATCGCCATTTGTAGATCGTCCTAATTTTGCAGTTGGCACTTTTACACTCTCTTTGTCAATACTACTCTCGTTCTCCGCCAAATTCGGAACTGAGAGGCGGTTCTTGGTATTCATCGATGACTTGGAATCGGCCGATACATCAGACTGCTGATGAGACGATGAACCACTCGATGAGAAAGAACTGTTATTGTCGATCCTACAAAAAATAATGACTCAACAAATCGCTGTAAAAGGAAAAAAATCGAATTGCAAAATGAAAGTAAACCGACTTTCTCTTTCTCAGTTCATCAATGCATTTCTGCATGGCATCTGCATTCAGTCGACCATGAGGTGGGACCATTGGAGGTTGGGAAGCCTTATTTACAAAGGTTGCTGGTCGTTCACGCGTCAGCGTTGATGGTTGATAAACGGCCAGGCGATGGGCACTTAGATCCGTGTTTCCTCGACGTAGCGGCATCTTCCGTGACCGGATTACATTCACTAAAAACGGCAAGCATTACAAAATGATGATTAAACACTCCACCCTCTAAATCCCAAATCCCTTAAATTACCCTCAGGCTCTAACCCTCAAATCGAAGGAAATCGCGCTTTCCGACAGGAGAGAGGCCAAATGCAAATAAAATCAGATTGAAACACTTACTTTGTTCACACATGTCGTCCTTCGACTTCCTCGGGATTACGCCGCCTTGGTCGGGTCTGGGCGCAGGCTGCCCTCGGAAGGAAAGCAATCGATTCGTGATGCCTTTCTTCAGCGATGCAGCCCTTGACGAACTAATGGAGGAGATGGAGGTGGACGAGGGGAAGGTCTTTTCGATAGGATGTGGGTCTTGAGGTCTTTGACACTGCTCGCAGTTGGGGGTCCAGTCAGAACTCGACCACAACGAGGCCTCTGATTGAGAGCTGAAAAATTCATGATTAAATAAATGATGACCGACTACTAAATTGAACCAAGTCTCCAAAAAATGACCTTTTTCAATCACAATCTCTTACGCAGTAACCCTTTTAGAAAGTAAGGGAAGTGCGGGTTACCCACCAGCCGCAAAACAAACCGCGAGAGAGGGTGATCCGGCGTAATTTTGGAAAGGTGGAAATATAATATTAGACGGGAGGGAGCGAACGGACGGGCCGAGCGGTACAAACAGGCCTCGTATGTTGATTATATGGTCTCGCATATAAAATCCCGTAATTCCACGGGCCTCTTTTGAGTAAATACACGGAATTCCCCAACATTTAACCGCAATTCGAGCCCATCTTGAACATATTTTATATAATCACAATAACGAAAACGTAAAAGAAGAGCGAGAATCTCCAAACAAATTAACGATTCCAATGAAAAAACATTAAGAATCAAAAGCAAAAATCATTTAGAGGTGAAAGAAACTAATTTTAATTGAAACCCGACCCGATCCCTACGACTTTAACACCTCCTACTAACAGAAACTGGCTTGGATTCGAATAAAACGTAGGTCTTTGAAATCAAAACAAAAGGGGCATCCGATTCCCAGGGTCACAATTACGCCCTTCTCAGATCAAACAAACAATCAGTTGACTTACCTAGACACCGTTCTTTTGACTCCAGGCACAAAATAATCGCTCTGAACTGAGTAGACATCCTTCGGATCATAAGTTGTGTTGTTGTTGTTGAGGTTGTTGTTAGACGCAAACAGATTCTTGAAGAATTTGCTGGGTTTCCTCGACTTTGTCTTCGCCAATCTCTTTTGTGCCTCGGGCGATGCGTCGTTCATACTGATCCCACTGAACGCCGAATAACTCTTCCTGAGCCCTGAATCATAAAAAATCCAAATATACTTAGATGACCTACCATTTAAAGAGCACGCTGTTCCCATCTGAATCCGGCTCTTCTCTGGCTTCAGATCTGTAGAATAATCTTTAACAGTAGCCGTTCCTAATCGGAGAGTTGATCTTCTTCTTGTTGGCGGACTGTCCAATTGGCGAGGCTCGAATCCATGAGGAGATCCGCACATACTCTTTGACATTTGCAGGGAATGGACTGATAACTGATCGGCATTGTTGGGGGCATAATAGGAAGGAGGGCGATTGGGGCGGGACATCTGCCGGGCCCAGAAATCTGCAAAATTAAAGTTGAGAAAATAAATTTGGAAAACACAAATCAAATCGAGCAAACACAGACAGATAATCTCAGAGTACGACAAGACTTATTTCAGAATTTGCAAGAGCAAGATTTCCAAACATCAGTCATCAAATCCCCAACAAAAAGGAACTGTCGTTCACCGATCCTGATCCCAATTACAATACCGCCGCCGATCCCCCGCTCCCAAAACATTCACGCAATTTCCGGCTTATCCCCGCCATCTTCCCAAAACATATCGACAAAAGTTCTGTGGGATAAAAGGGCGGAAAAATCAATCTCTTCGGCCGCCTTTCGGCCATTTTACAACTGAGCCCAGGTCAGAGCCAAAAGGCCGAAGAAAGGAAAGGGAAGATGACACGCCTGTTGGAATGTCACTGATGATAAGTGACCTAATCTATTATCGGCTCATAAACAAAACCGAAATTACACTCCGCAATGCCCGCAAGTCGTCTCGAAATCAATTGGATTACTGTAGAAAAAACGCATAATATCCACAATCACACTTTTGCATATTATACTTCCACCGCTATTTAATTCCCACCGCTATCTCGCACCTCAAATCTCTTAATTGATCAAACACCCCACCTTTCTTGTTGTCCCCCACTCTGCCTAGAATAATATTGACCTGAATGAAGATGTTTAGATATTTTGACGTCTCGAAAAGAAAAAGAAACCAAGTTGAAGCATGATGAAGGTCAGGAAAACATTGGCGGCGAAATTTTACGACTTTTGCATGAGACTGCATAAATTTGGCGCATTCGAATAAAGAAAAAACGAAAAGTGGAGAGATGAGGGCCAATGAAAGGAGTCATAATCATAAAGTCAGGTCATCATTTACGACCGCAGTCCACGACAAATAACTTTAGATAAAAAGTTTGACGAAAGAAGATAAAAATACAAAATTTCTTCGTAAAGTTGAACCGCTAGCATTGGAATTCCGCCATCAAAAAGAGCTTTTACTTCAATACGAACGCCCGTAGAAGACCGTGAACAAATCAAAATCAAAACATCCGGAACTCAAGAAAAAACATTAATTAAACCCTTTGGGAAACCAGAAAGCAAACGAAATCTCATCTCATGAACTCATGGATCCAAGGTGGGCAAGATACGCTTATCAAAGTCGGCGATCATAAAGAAGCGGAGCTGGTTTAAACCGAAAATATTCAGAGTTTTATGGGATTGGTCAAACAGAGGGGTGAAATCAGATAGGCCGAGAAAAAAACCGATGGTAAAACAAGTTGTTCATGAATATTGCTGACAATATATTGCGAGTTAAAGTCAGAACTCAATAACGCCTCCAATGACCTCAAATTGGTGTCGCCGGAAGTCACTAAAACCACCAAGCATCAGCCTTGAAGGCCGTAAAACCGAGACTCAAGTTGTGAGGAAAAGACTTCCGAAACTCCAAACCAAAACAAGTCGATGACCGCGAGAATGTAAGCGGTAATTGGACCGATCGTCGGTGTTCAAGGTCGGGAGGAGAAAATCGCCCTGATCCGTCTTAACGAGAGCCGAGCAAAGAGTGTTCGGACGAAGGAGGGTCCAGAAATGAGAGAGAAAAGGATAGAGCGAGAGTCCAGACACAAAAGATCATGGTCATCAGAGAGGAAAGAGAGCATCCTGAACAAGGAGAGACCGGATTCTGGATTCCCAGAAAGTGGGAACTCCGAGGGAGACCTGTCCTGTTCCCATACAATAGTGTTCGGATCGTTTTCACGCTAGGAAAACAGGGCTTTTGTGATCGGATTAGCGAAAACAAAAACTCCGAATGCCTTGATCCGGTTGTAATTGGGTCGCTAGCGGGACGCAATTGGAACGGATTCGGGTCAAAAGATCAGTGAAGAGCTTAGACAGTATAGTAATGTCTCATTCTAAAAGTTCGCCCCTTTTTAAAACACTTTATCTTCTTGCAAGTGCAAGATAATGAATAAAAAACTGAGGGCACACCGCCATGATGGCCTCGAATCCTTTTCAAAGTTGTCATAAAAAGAGAGGGATGATTTCCATGTCATGTCCTCGTGTTTTCAAAGGATGAGGAACAGATCAAAGAGCCCTCCTAACAAATGCTTCCTTTCATCTATCATTGTTAACTTAAAGTACTTACCCGGTCCAAGCAAAGCCAACTTCTGAAGACACATCAACGAGTCGCACTTCTCGATTTCCTCGGGTAATTTGAGGGTAATAGCAATGCCGTCACTGTAATGGGTAACACAATATGTGATGGATGTAAGGTCGGAAGAGGGAAGCACCCTTCGACCGAACGGATTAAAATAAATTCAATTTTACTTTTGTTCTTTGTTAGATCTCACCGACAGATTTTTGTATTTCGGAATTTTGTCTGGCGCTACCCTTTTCACGCTTATTTTAGTGACAATCGGCTGGAAAAACAAAAATTTGCAAAACCAAAGAAGTCATGGGAATTTTTAGTGAGGTTGCAACACCGGAAAGGAATTGAAAGGAGGATTGTCGTTATTCAATGTTTTTTAATTAAAAACCCGACTTTTAATTATGTAAAATGTATAACTCATTGTAAAAGACCTTACTTTCAAATTGATTTTGATATCCAACAGCAGAAAATCCAGTTTACAACCTTTATTTCACATAATTTTGGCTAGAATTCGGTATTACCGATACGCGTAAAACTGACAAAAAATTACGATTTTTTGTGTCGAGAGGAAAAACGTCAAATTTTATGCAATCGCTTTTGATTATGGAATCAAACGTACTTCAATTTTTTGATTCTCAAAATTTTTTCGATCGTAAATTGAACTGCTTCGGTAAATTTTTAGTAATTTTTACGTGCTAGCATGCTCTTTCGCTTGTTTTTTACCTGTTCTGACAGTAGTACTGGATTAGAAAAGGGAGACTTTTGAACACTTTCACCGATTTCTCCAGACGAACTCCGCTTTTGTACTTCTCGATTAGGTAATGTCTCACTTGGTCGACTCTAGTCTTCACACTCAAAGCCATGGAATCGGCGCGAGTTGATGATCGGACAATGAAGTTCTAAAAGTTTGGTTATCTCTTACTATAATATAATTGTTGTCTTACTCCGGGTTCCATTATTTGAAGTAGATGGCTAACAGTATGCCTTGATTGACCTTGCAGATACCAGATTGGATGGGAATAGATAATCTTCTGCCATAGTTTTTGATTCTGATCGGTTTGTAAGGGAATTGTCATTTGAAGACCTTGGAGAGTCTCCTTATCACCTTCTGTTGAGTCTAGTAAAACTGGTAAGGCAAGAGATTCTAGGTTGAACTTTGGTCGTTCCTAAAGAAGTCACAGTGCAAAAAAATATTTTACCTCATTAGAAGAAGCGATAACGTCCTCTAGCTTTAAGCTTTTGGACATCCTGTCCTTGTTGTTATTGATGTTCATCGACTGGTCATTTTCTGAAAATAGACTTGGTAATTGAATTCTTAGCCGCCGAAAAGGAGGATTCAAGAATTTAATCTCGGCCTTAGGACATTTTGTTAGCGCCTGAGGAAATGAAATTATTGCGCCTTCATTTTTTCATATCCGGTGGGTAAACGGGATTTCGAGTAAAGGATTAGAGATTTGAAGAGCCAAGAAATCATTTCAATGATAAGTTTTACATTGCAACGGGAATTGCTTACGGGAATCTCCGTCAAAATTCTGCAGAGATTTTACATGTTGAACAGCTCGAACTGGTTGAACGTCAACTGGTCTGGTGGGAATTCTGATTGGCTTATGATCTTTAGAGAAGTCAAAATAATGTAAATGTGAACTTTGGGAATGTTCATGACAATTTGCACAATCAGCAGTCAGAAGATGAGGCGTGGACGTAGATTCTAGCTCCGGTTCGGATTCTGCTTCTGGAACATCTGGCCGGGATATTGTCCTAAGTTCTGGTTCGGACTCGATCTCTGGACCCGACTCAATGCCTGGTTGATTGTTGTAGGAAGGGACTCTCCTTGATCGAATAACCATGTTATCATCAAGTCCTGAGTCATCCAGACTAACTTCTTGTGTCAATCCAACAAAGCCCTTCTTTTTATCCAATTCAAGCTCATTTGGACTAGATTTGGCCACGTCTCGGTCCTGTAGATTGTCTACCAGTTTCCGCGCGGACATAAAGACCGTTCTTGGCTTTGGCTGTGGCTTCGGATTCTCCATCTCATTCCCCAGGCATTGACCACTAGATTTTAGAGAATCGGGGGTTAACCTGGAAACAATGGGGTCACTAGATCTTATTGTTAGCCTGAGGCCATTAATCCCACCGAGATCAATTATTCAATCGGTCTTGAATAAACTCAAGCGGAAAGAAAGGAACGATTCAAAAGAAGGACGGAGGCATTACCAATCAACGTTAAACTCAAATTTAATCCAAAAATAAGTCCGGTAAAGGCGGACGGGCAAGGCGACCTTATCCATAACCATTTAGGCCCATTAATTACCCCGGGACGAGTCAATTCCAACCGCACAGATTGTTCTCAAGGTGGATCGGGTTAGGCAGAACGTCCGAGGCGCCTTGCTTTAAGAGATGAGTCAGAAGGGCTGACCAAAATCAAAAAACCCCATAAAAAACAAGAACGAGGGGGGGGGGGCGAAAGGAACCGATCAACCTGAACACTGATCCAACATTTTCGGACCCCATTTTTAGGCCATTGCCAAATTTGCATTTGGACTGAGGACAAAGAAATGCGCAGAAATGTGGTTTTCATTCAGAAAAGAAGTTTTCGAAACGCCTTTGGAACACATTTGTTGCATGGGAAACTTTGATTCACTTTCACCTTCTAAGTGAACCCAAATGTTTGCAAAATTATGACGATTAACCTGGGAGACATGGTCAACAAATTATATAAAAGGGTCATCCGAGATCTCAAAATAGTACCTTTTTTATCCGCCAGGTTCAAAACATGTAATCCGACTCTTTTGATGACTAATTATTTGAAATAAAGTAGATGAGCATGCACTCAAATAAACATTCAATAAATCTGCTGGGAAGGAATACGAAACGGTTGAGTGTTAGTCATCGTACAGTTAGGAAAAGCTCCTGAGAATGGAGGTAAAACTGAAAAAGATGAGTAAGGATTACGCAATTCATACGAGGAGTTCCTGATTTTGTATAATTCTTGATCGAAATTTGAAATTGCTCGACTAAAGGTGGAATAAAAGCAATCTTAAGAGTGGAAATAAGTCAATACCATGTCATCAGCCACCTTCAAAGCTCAAAATGAAGATGGAAAAGTTTTGGAAAAGAAATTTTGACAAATTGAGAGAGTAATAACAGTTCGTCTTATCTATCGATTATAGCCAAAACATGCAGGGAATACAAACACTTCTCTAAAAGTAAATACATCCGAAGAAAGAGTTCCGGTCTTACTCATTGCGCGATTACTAATAGCGCGCTGTGTGTCAAATCAATTAATTAAAAAGAGGAATCGGGGTGTTCCAGCGATAATCAACTACTTAACAGCTCGTTACGAGCTGTGAAAACAACACATGTCAAGAAGAATAACAATTCCTCAGCTGTTATCAATCATAAATTCCTCGAAATTCGACTGGAAGCTGATCTTTTCAAAGCAATTTATTTTTAAAAAGCCGGACTTTGCCACAAACAAATGGTCGGAGAGATTAATTTCCCAAAAATAAGTTTTTATCAACTGTTTCGACCACTTGGTTTATCAATCACCAAAACATGTTCCGACAGTTAATAAGGAAGAGGGACAACAACATTCTTCGAGAAGACCACAAAGTCGCTTTTTCTCAACGGAATAATTATAAATACAGTAGAACAAATAGTGAAGATTGTGTCCTTGGTATTGATCTGATAACCGCATTAGTTGATAATCGTTATTTTTTATACTTTTAAAGAGTAAGAGTACTGATGATAACTGAATTTACAGATTATAAAAGAATCTGAGAGTATCTTTTTAAGCATTCATTCTAAACTACAAGTCCATGTCGGTGAACACCATCCGACGTTCGAATATAAATTTGGTCCGTGTTACTGTAAGGCGGAACTGTACTTATCGCCTCTCTTTTTTGCCTATGAAACCGTTTTTGGGAGTACTTAAAAACCGTTGTTGATTTCGTTCTCTAATGATTTGATCTTTTCAATGGTCTCCATTGCACTGTTTTAACCTAGTTACGATTCGTTCTAGAGTTTGTGCTTGTTCGGTCAAGACTTGCTCTGTTTTCACACAGAATGTAGAATAAACAGAGGCCGAGTTTAAAGTGAAGGCATAGTTATGTCAGTTGATTTATTCTTGTTTCAGTGAAATATTGAGATCATGTTTTGCTCTTCATGACGTAATGGAGAGATTATTGATGTCGGAAATTGAACTATTGGCCGTAAAATGTAGAATGCATTAGATAACAATGTACTTGATAAGAATCTTCGGTATTATGTAAGTATTCAAAAACAGATTGATACTTACATTTTGAATTACGGATTTCTTACCGTACTTTCTGCGAAGAATGAATAATATTTTTTCGCTTTTGAAATTGCCTCCCATTTATCCTGGAGTTCGCGGATTCCAGAATATTTCGAAACCCGGCTTTCGAAAGAGCTGGGCAAGTTTTTCTCCAAGATATTCCCGAAACAGCAGAGAAAAGTTTTGGGTTACCGTATCTCCCCGCTACTCCTCGGGTTCCTTGGGAGGATACGTCAAATGAAGTGGATTGGTTTTGCCAACTTGTGTATGCTGTAAAGTAAGCGTTCGCTGGCGTAACAACTGTACTAAAAAGAAGAGGCAGGGTAACTGTTGAGAAGTGCAAGAATTGTTTTCTCGATCATATCCGGTAATTGTAACTTTTTCGAATTGGAAGTTTAGTGAGTTGTCTCTCATTATAAAAATTGTTTGCTTATAATTTGACGTCCTAAACAGACTCTGAAAGGTACCTTAAAACCAGCTTCTTTAAGTACTCGGCCTAATTTAAAAGATAATTTTGAGAAATCACAAGTCATGGAAACATGACTTCCGGTGATAGAGATGATGATAGTAGTAAAACCTGCTGACGTACTACATGAAGAAAAACCCAAAATTACATGGAATTATCTTTGTTTTGGACTGAATGGAATGTTGCAATCGTTTTTTTTGGGTCGGTAAATACTCGTATATAAAGTCTCTTCCCCAAATGTATTAGTCATGGTTACCGTAATCACATGACTCTGTTCAAACAGAGGGCGGGAGCGCTTTTATCTCATGCGGGCTTTACACATTCCCGATAAAGTTTCTTACAGTAAACAACGGGCCGGTCGATGTTCGGATACCAGTTGTTATTGTGTTGCTTCCTGTTGTTGATGAAGACGTCTGATGGGCGGTATTGCGGCGAGAAATTGATGGGGAAATTGAGCTCGTTGTGTACCAACAATTTAGACTGTACTTATGTGGAGGTGGATCTCAGACAGCCGACCAGTAAGTCATATCAATTATTTTCGTCTTTACAACACAATTATAATACAAGACTACCTTTGAGTTATTTAAAAACCTTCTAGATCAGTCTTTCTTATCAAAGCTTTAAGCAATCCGTCTTCTTCTGCAGAAAGTCCTGTTGATTAAATTCCACATGGACTTGACTATCCAAACGACTTTGACTTTCCACAGTATTAAAAATCACGTCCTTCCAAACATCGTGACCTTGTTTCGAAAAGCGTTTTTCTTTTTTTAAATCTCTAAATACTTGTCTAAATATTGCTGTTGCCAGGTTTTTTGTCGCCTACGCCTCACCATCAATTTCACTGAAGCAGTAAATAAGATTACTCAAGGATAATACTCATAAAACTAAGAACTTACTGTTTTTTACAGATAAGAGATGCCTGTTAGGACGCATTATATAACATTTTAATTTTTTAATTTTGAGGTACTTCTGGCAGAAATGAATAAAAATGTAAATATTGTGTATCCCTTACTCCTCTGCGTCTAAGATGTTTCTGGTTTCATCAAATTCCATTTAATTTGCAAGGAGTTACATAAAAAAAATTGACAACCCCTCGTCAAGTTCTGTAACTTGATGATTTCAGCTTTTCTTCGGTGGTGTTGTAGCCAGACCAAGTGTTCAGACGAAGATCTCAAGAAATATTGCTGTGGATTGGTCTTGAGGGCTAAGTTGAGTGGAAATAATGCCTAAGGGTCTTCTCAGTTCTTATTTGTTAATTAAAGTAGGTTTTGTTGAAATCCCGGTGTTTTTTAAATGAATTCGCTGATTTCATTAATGTTCGTAATTTCCGGTCATTTTTTCAGCGTAACCGGTTTCCAATATCCAGTAGTATTCTCAACAAAAAGCCGATTTTATTGTTAATGGCATGGTAATCCCAATATAAGCATCATATCCATCGCTTTCACTATCCGACCTGTTCTCAAGTCAATTAATGAGAATGAAATCGACGAGGAACGAAGAACCAAAGAAAAGTCAACGAGTCAAGTCCGTTGCAGTTAGTTACTTACTTATGAACTGTTTTCTCAATTCGCCAAAGTTTATTTTTTTGTTCATAATTGCGTATTACTCACGTTAATTTCTTCTACAGTATCCTCTGATCAAATATTTTTTTTTGCGTTTTTATTTCTAACTTTATTATAAACCTACTGTAAATGACGCAGCAGTAAGGTTTCAGTAATGTGATTGTTGTAAAATGCAGACTTTTTGTCGCTAAATTCATTTCCGATCCGATGACGAGAGATCGACCATTCCAAAAAACTTAAAGTGAAGTTTCAGCGCCTTTCTCAACGCTCCAAAGGGCCGTGGAAAGCGGCGCTTCTCAAATAACGAAACCGATATCCAGGGTAATCCCTTAAAGGTAAAATGAACAAATTGGAGTAAAAAGGGCGAGAGTAACCCAAATCGACCGAATCTATGTCAATCATTCTCTCCTTGCCGATCCAGCTGATTATTTTTATTTTCTTTCCGAAAAAGTTTTGAAAGGTGATAAGTCGGATAAGGGAAGGGATGACCAATTGTGCAAAACATTGGGAAGACGGCTTTGATGAAAGCGAAAGTAGGGTAAGAATGGGAGGGTTTCATAACTGGAAAGTTGGGAAATTTCCGGAAAGGGCTTACATTTCTAAGGATAAGTTGTTGCGTCGCGTTTCGTTTTATCACGCAAATGACGCTCCGGACTTCTAGAAGGCAGATTTAAGTTTGTATCCGTCACTATTCTTTTGTTACCGAAGGATCTTCTTCAAAAATATTATTATCCCTTTTGACGATTTAATTACTGTTCGGGTATAAATTATTTTCTTTAAATTTCCACTATTTGGCGCAAATTCCTTCGCGAAAATTATGAAAGTTGCGTCACAGAGATTTCAATCTCCATTCGCGCGTTCCAATTTGGGATTCTCCGAGATTTGCGTAATCATTTGCGCATCCTGCGAATTCAAATTCTTGAATCTTCGGCTCCGGTTCCTTGGATATAAAATGCCATTAAACGCGTACAATTCGACGTCACTTTCTCTTTCTCCCATTGTAACGCGTCATTGATTGTTGGTGGATTTGTAACCAAGATCTCTTTAAAAGGTTCGGATCGAAACCAGTGGACCGCCACATAACTGTGTGAATTGCACTCACAAAAGGGGTGTATTTAGCCGGTCTTATAAGTTTATTTGTCGATCAAGAAGGCGGCTTCGAACGTCTCAAATCAAGATTAGAAAGGCGAAAAGACGATACGGGTCAAGGACGCTGAAATTCATAGGAACTGTGTCATTTACAGCAGGCTTCAGCAGGTCTTGCTTGTCCTTGGGCGGAGCGAGAGGGAAAGTTTCTTGTTCACCGTTCATTGCACTCCTTTCTTCAGGCTTAATCCGCCGATCTAACGAGTTTTTGAGTTCACTGTTTTCTGTCCATTCCTGCAGGATCTGTTCGAAATAGAACGGCTGTTTTGAGGAGGGAACTGTTCTGGATACGGGATGGAATTCGGTAAATTCACTGCCGAGATATTAGGGGGAAGAATTGGGATCAAAAATATTATTGTAAGCAGGTGGACGGGGGAGGGAAGGATGCCGCAGAGAGGTAGATGGATCTCGAGATAGACGCCTAGAGATGCGGCGACAGATATCTGCCTTCCATAATCGTCTCTAATATAGTGAAAAGGATAAGGTGCGACGACGAACGGCATGAGATTCATCTCCATCTTCTCGATTGTAGGTCAGTGGAGAGGCGAGCGGATTGTTTGACAGGTATGCGCCCGTTTTGGCTGCACCCGGCTTCTTCGCCGCGCCGATCTTCGGGAAGGAGAATTCACCGTTTTTTTTTTGAATTCCGATAGCGCTGATTTAGAGCGCTGCGCCGACTTTCTTCGGATCTTTCCTGGATCTCATGGATAAAGCCGAGAAAATTTCAGTGGGGCGGGTCAGGTCGGTTCCCTTCCAAATGCTCTTACTTTTTTATCCTGGAATCCGGTACACTCCCTTTCTTCTTCTCTCACCTGTCATTAAACGAATATCGTTTTCTTATATGGGGTTATGGTTGTTTTAAGGCGATTTGCTTTCATTTACTCTTGAATTCCATCCTTCCGGTTCATCCTCGGGCGTGTTGCTGCTTGTAATCTTGTTATACGGTTATCAATTACAGCTTTTTGGCTTTCAACTTTGATTGTAACAGGCCATAAGAGACAATCACTCGAAGTCTCAACTCGTCCAGAATGCGGCGCATTGATGCGCTCTCTGTGGCGCTTTGTGCCTTGCTTTTAGTACAGACGGTGATTTCACGTAAGTAGTCAAGAATAGTCTCAAGTGTAAATTATAGAAGAAGCCGATCCATGTAAACGACAGCCCTTCAGAGGACGATGTCCAGGAACAGGACCCAATGGCCAACCCCAAAGATCTCAGTTTGTGTTGAGGTATTACTTGAGGAGTGGAGAATGTGTTTCGTATCCATACGGTAAGCGCTTATTCGACATTTTTTTCACAAACTCCGCTAATTTCTAATCAAAAAATTGTCTTACAGGACATTGCTCGAATGACGAAAACGAACCCAAATTGTTCCGTTACAAAGAGGAATGTGAAGATGCTTGTATCGGAGACAAGGAGGTGGTTGAGCATACTCAGTCTCCCAACTCTGTCCAAACTTATGCCACGATGTCCCCAGGCAAATCCGAATGTCAGAAACAACGTGAACTGAAAGGATCTGGAAACCTGGTCAAGGGAGCTTATGTCCCCGAATGTGAAGCCGATGGATCTTTCAAAGCTCTTCAATGCGAACAAGATGGCTTGACTTGTTTCTGTGTTGACCGGTCGGGTATTGAGCTTACCAACTCTCGTTGCCAACCAGGCCAGCCAAAGCCTGACTGTGAGAAGATCGCAGCTGCCCCACCAATGCGTTCAAATGAATGCACAGGCGGAGTCAACGCCGGGCCTTGCCAAGGACACATTCCAAGATGGTTCTATGATGAGAGAACTCTTCAATGTAAACAATTTGACTATTCTGGTTGTGGTGGAAACGGCAACAACTATGCAACTGAGGTTGCTTGTAAGCTCCGTTGTGCGCCCCAGCCAGAAGCCAAGGATCAATTCTGTCACAGTGGATTGCCGTTGAAGAACCCCGAAGGATCGTTGGCCGACTGTTCAAAGAGCAGCTGTCCAAGTGGGTTCAAGTGTAACAACTTGCCCACTCAATCCGTCTGTTGTCCCGATGTCGAGAAGAATGCTGAAGCTGGAGTCTTGGATTCCGGAAGAAAGGCCAATCCCTGTTCATTGCCCAAGGAGAGAGGTCCTTGCGACAAATATGAGCTTCGTTTCTACTACAGCGCCGAGCTTAAGGAATGTAAATATTTCTTCTATGGAGGTTGCGACGGGAATGCCAACAACTTCGGACGCAAGGAAGAGTGCGACCAGGTTTGCAATGCAGGCAAGAATTCAAATACTTTTATTCTTATCAGATGTCAACGTTACGTAACAAATTAGTGCTTTAGGTCAAGCAGTAAATGCCGGTGAAACTCCAACTGCCGCCCCAGCCACCGAAGTTCAAGAACAAACCACTGCTCAAGAGACTGTTGTCCCTGCTGTCACCACTGAGGTCATCCCAGAGAATGAACCTGAACCTATTCAGACAACTGTTGATACCTTTGAGCCATCGTAAGTACTCAACCTCTGTATGAAAACTTCCTTTGCAGTACCACCACAGTTGTTGAACGAACCACCGTCGATCAGACTTTGGTCAAACTGAACAGCAAGGAAGAAGAGGCTACTGAAGAAAGGCCAGAAGACCGTCAGACTACTGTTGCCGAGATTGAGGCTCCTTCAGAACAGAAGGCCACAACTGAAGAGCAAAAGACAGAAACTGAGGCCCCAGCCAATGAAGCCACTACACAGCAAGCTGTTCAAGTTGACTCTGAAGCACAAGCCGAAGAAAAGTCAGAACAAAAGGAAACGTCAAAGCCGATTGATAATGGAACCGAGGACTCTGAGCTGACCCAACGACCAGTCCAAGAGACCGAAGTCCCAACTCAACCGCAGACTCAGCCTCCTGAGACTGTCGCCCCAGTCCAGACTCGCCCGCCTCGGCCACAAACTAAACGTCCACCCCCACCAACCACCACTGCCGTCCCTCTTCCGACCAACAGGTGTCAACATCCAGTTGACAGCGGGAACTGTGGTGGTCGATTCGATAGATGGATCTGGAATGCCGAAAAAAGAATCTGCGAGAGTTTCATCTACACTGGATGTGGAGGAAATGGAAACAACTTTGGCAGTCGCGAAGAATGTCTCAGCATCTGTCACATTGAGGGTGAGAATTAAAAAATGTTATTGTACTTTTTTTTAACCATCACAAAAAATTTGCTGTTATTTTAGTAGTTCCAAAAGTCAGCCCCAAGGAAGTCGACCTCGAGAATGTCTGCGATGCTGAAATTGATGCTGGAAACTGTGGAGGATCTTTCCTCAGATTCGCGTTCGATAAGGAGACCAAGGATTGTAAACAGTTCAACTATGGAGGTTGTGGAGGAAACGGAAACAACTTCGCCAACATGAAAGACTGCCGCAAGAAGTGCGCCGATAATGTTCAAGGTACCCACAAAGGCCAACGCACTGACTGTAAATTAATTTCATTGTTTCTTTCTTCGAGTAGTATCATTGGTGAAGAGAGAAAGAAACAATCTCTAGTAGAGCACCGTTAACCCTGTTTTTGTTCAGCTAACGCCACTTTTTTTGTTTTCCCATTATAGGTTTGTGTTCACAATTTTGTTGTTGTTTTAGCCACCACCTTACCCGAAGATCTCTGCGAACATCCAGTTGATGTGGGAGAGTGTTCGGGAGTGTTCGCTCGTTTCGCCTACAACCAGCTCACCAATGACTGCCAGCAGTTCACATACGGTGGATGCGGCGGAAACGGAAATAACTTCCCGAACAAGGCTGAATGTTTGTCGGCGTGTGCAAAAGGTATTAGTCAGCAGAGAATTAGGGATGAGAAAGTTTGTTGTGGATTCTGTTTATGCACTTTACAGTAACTTTTTATCTTGTTCCACTACCAAAATTAGTTTTTGTCCGTTAGTAGTCACTTAGAGCACAATAATTACATCCTCCTTTCTTATTCACACACAACTTCAGTTAAATGCCCACCCGAACCAGCCTGTGACATCGGCCGTTGCCAGTTGGTGAAAGATGCCCACGGCTGCTCCTTCTGCAGTTGTCCACCACCTCCCTCAATCTCGCACCCACCACTCCAACCTCGTACGCACCTTCACTTGTTTCCTTAATAAATTAATTTTAGCCCCAGTAATCAACCAACGTCCTCATTGTCCAGTTCTGGATCTACAATCCTGCACTGATCCTTGCATTATCTTCACCAACCGTGAAGGATGTCAAGAATGTGTGTGCCCGGTGACTCCACCCACCTTCGTTCCTCGTCCTCCTGGCTCATTCGAAGGCCGTCCACCAGCCCCACCAGCTCCTCCAGCGCCAGTTGATATCCCTCACAAACGTAAGCAATGTTTTCAATGTTAAAAATTATCGCTATAAATAGTTTTAGCGTTATTAATATATGAAAATTATCATTGAGGATGACATCCGAGTTTTAAATTCTTTTCCTTCAGAACCCAAACCACCAACGGTTGAGGGCAGACCATTGAAGCAGAACACTGAGAACGAGATTCGTGACGAAGTTCGCCCTGAGGTCTTCCCAGAGCGTGAATTCCCAATTCAGCCAGCTCCTCCTCCACGGCAACATGCTATTGCTCCTCCAGATTTCTCTGAGCCATTCCCTGAATTGGGAGAACAATGTACCCAGAGAATGGACCCCGGACCATGCTCCAACTTTGTGCAAAGATGGTTCTTCAACCCTGCTCAAGGCGCTTGCGAACCCTTCCAATATGGTGGATGTGCCGGAAACAGAAACCACTTCTTCACTGAGCGTGAATGCCAGATTCATTGCCAGAGATTTGCAGCTCGTAAGTTTTATCACACTCACAATCGCACACTAAGCACTAAATTAGGCGTTGAAACCACCACTGAGTTTGTTGCACCCTCACACCAATTCCCAAATGCACCAGTTGCTGAACGCGGCAACGGCCAACAGAGAGGCGCTGAGCAACAAGGAGAACGTCAACGATTCCAAGGTCTAATTGAAAAAGGATTCCGTGGGCAACAACAAGTCGTCCAACAACAACGATTCCAAGGGCAAAGCCAGGGTTTCCGTAATGAACAAGTTCCTCAACAAGGCCATTTGGAAGAAGGATTCCGAGCACAACAACCATCTATCCCTCAACAAGGTTTCCAAAAACAAGGCCAAGGATTCCGAAGTGAACAAGTTCCTCAACAAGGCCAATTTGAACAAGCACCCCGAGGACAACAACAAGTCGTTCAACAACAACAATTCCAAGGACGAAGCCAAGGTTTCCAAAATGAGCAATCTCCTCAACAAGGCCAATTTGAGCAAAGATTCCAAGGACAACAACAACCTATTCTTCATCAAGGCTTCCAACAACAAGGCCAAGGTTTCCAAGGAGAACGACAAGTTCAAGGCCAAAGGCCAATTGCTGAGCCAAATCATCGCCCTCAACCTTCCGCTCAGTCAGAGCAAGGAGTTGTTGTCTCTCGCCCGATCCAATCCGGTCCACATGTGCCAGAAAGAAGAATCCAAAACCAACAATTTGAATTCATTGAGCAGAACTTGAACAACCACGAAGCCGTCAATGTAGACATGCCCAAATCTGCACCACGACCATCGGTGCCGTCCGGAGCTGACCTGAAGAACTTTGGTTCAAGCTTGGAAGGCCACATGGAAAGAGGAAATGTTGAGCAATCAAACTTCCCTCCACAAAGCACTTTTGAACGTAAGGACACGCTTACTGCACAAAGCACTTCTGCACCCTTGCCTTCTCCCGCTTTCCAGCCTTCTGAAAACGCTCAGTCTGGCCTGGTCACCCGGGCCTGGCATTTTGTTTCCAAAGCTCCGCTTCAGCCAGAAAACGGTCAGCCCTTATCTCCTCAGCTGGTCGTACCTTTGCCATTTGAGCCAGTCCAAAAGGAGAATCCCTCCCCTCAAGAGCCACCAGTCAGTTTTGGCCAAGACACCAAGTCGCGGCCCGTTGTTCATGCCCAGCCATCACTCCAAGAGATATCCCAAGGTGAAGGATATAATCCTGAGCAGGCTCTGAGTCGCGAGAACAACCCTTACGCGGTTAAAAACTCTCAGACTCCACCACCCAACTTCAACATCCCTCCTTTCAAGCCAAGTGGAAACATTAATGACCAATATATTCCACCACAAGCTCAGCCTTCGTATCCTAATCAATTCAATGGGCCATCAGTGAACAACCAGCAGTACATCCCACCTCAACCTGCTACCATTGGGCCAAATGTGAGGCCCACAATTAACGAAGTTGCCCATGGAAACCCGTGGACTTCTCCAACTGTCGCACCTTCAGCTCAGCCACCTCAGACTTCTCATGCTGTTGTTCCTCCAGCTGAGTCTTCCCAATCTGAATATAGGAAGGTTAAAGACTTGGCCCCAGCGCCACTTGCTCCAACTGAGAGCGATAAAACTGTAAAGAAAGTTGAAGAAGTTAAAGTCGAAGAACAGACTGAGCCATCTACCATCAAGACAACTGAATTGACCACTGAAGCCTTGGTTGAGGCTAAAGTAACCGAGGAAATCAAAGAGACCACCCCCGAAGTCACTACAGAAGCTACTACTCATCGTCTTAACATCAAGCCTATTTCTGAAGTTAATGCTAAAGCCAAGGCTTCCAAGATTGAGCCTCTCCTCGAGAAAGCGATTGAAGTGAAAACTGAGGAAAAGGAGGTTCACTCCGGAGAATTCCAACCAGCAATTTCCCAAAAAGGAAAGATGCCAGTAGCTTCTACCAGCTTCGATGGAAATGACGTTGTCGAGAAACCGCAAGTGAAACAAAGCCTGGTTGAACTGAAACCAGTTGAAGTGCCAAAGAAATCGATTGAAGAAAGCACTTTGGCCTCTGAACATCTTATCCCAAGTTTCGTTGACATGGATCAAGATAAAGATTTGTTGGAACCAGCTAGTGGCGAAGAACCAATCGACATTTCGAAGAGTGTTGATATTACTGCTTCAGAAGCGCCAGTTCAGTCATCATCATCACAAACTACTCAAGAAACAACGAAATCTGAATCTACGATCACACAGAGCACAACACCAAAAGGTTTTTATTTCTTTCACTTTTGCACGGTGCCGGCTAACAGTTTGTGGAGACTAACAAAAGCTTTGCTTTTTCATTTTAATAATCATACTGTTTAGACGTTCCAACCACTTCCCGAGCCACATCTCCCGTCCCTCCCCCAACAACTTCTCGACCAGCTCAACAAGGTCTCCCCAACTTCAGAGAGAATCCTTTGCCCGCCGACAAGGTTATCCAGCCACCAACCACCGAGGCTCCAGAAGTGCCAGAAGAGAAGACCACTTATCCAGCCGAGCCCATGACCACTCCTAATCCAGCTCTCGCTAGCCAATCTACTATTGGAAGAATTGTTACTGGTGGATTGAACTATCAGACCGGTAAACAACACGGTGTCAAGAACAACCCATCTGCCAACATTGATGAATCTCAACTTGATTTAGTCAGTGGAAAGCCAATCGAAACCTTGGAGGAGGCTGCTCAACACTTCGACAATGTTGCTGCTTGTCCTAACCACAAAGAGCCACTAAGATATGCTGATGGGAACACTGTTCTGTGCTTGCCAGGAAGAAATCAATGTCCAGACAACTCGGTCTGCTACTTCAACGGTCTTGATTTCTTCTGTTGTCCCAATGTTGATGATCCTTACGACAACCATATCTTTGGGGGATACGACGGCGAAGAGGAGAAGCACGGATACAAGAACACCTTGAACATCAAAGCAATTCCTTCTCGTGCCAGACGTCATGCCGCCCAACGTCCCTTGCCCGCATCTTCCTTCTCCATTGATCACATTACTTCTCCCCTTCGATTTGATGGACAAGCTCCAAAACAGATCTCCAGAGCAGGATTGGCCGGCCTCCGTGTGAACCCTTGTACTCAGGAAGTCCAGAAGGGAAGTTGTGAAGGCCAACATCTCAGATATTTCTACGATATCCACTCCGATGATTGCCGTCTTTTCTACTTCTCTGGATGTGATGGAAATGACAATAACTTTGCCACTCAAGTTGAATGTGAACGCAGATGCAAACTAGGTAAGTAAAAACATGCAATCGTTATATCTGGGATTGCAGGTCCTATTATTGAAAAGCCCGCTCCTATCGCTAATGACAAGACACCAGCTGGACAATGCCCCAACGGTCAAGCTCCTCTCGGAGAGAATGCCCCAGTTCTTTGTGGAAATCAGACTGATTCCATTGGGTGCCCCTCAGGCTACTACTGCCGTGAAGGACCTCCAGATGTCTGTTGCCCAACCGAAGGAAACGAGATCTTGACTCCTCAACGTCAATGGGGAGATGTGCGAAGAAAGGAACGCGTCCAATTCAGTGCTTCCGTATCCGAGAAAGCTCCTCTTCCAGTTCATCAAGCTGCTTTTGGAGTTGCGACTAAGACTCAAGACAAGGACCTCGATCAGAAGATTCCATTGATTGAGGCCAAGAACGAACCCGAAGATATTTCCCAAGCCAAACAGCCAGAACTTTTCCCTTCAAACATGTGTCCAGATGGATCTGATGCCTTGAATGGAAGCGAAGGCAAGCCTTTGGTCTGTGGAGCTGGGTTGTCACTGGATGGTTTCAAGATGTGCCCTCGAGGCTTCTATTGTTCGATGGATTTGGAGAGGAACTCTCGACTTTGCTGTCCTTTGGAGATCCAGTCGAGTAATGTTCCCCCACCACCAGTAGTTGCCCCTTACCTCGGCCATCGCCATGCCAATCCAGGTGAGGCCATCGGCCGTGGCTCTCTTCCCTCGGATCTTCGCCGGAGGGCCTAATTTGGATAATATTAATTAATCATTGTTTTCTGCACAGGCCCCCACTCTCAAATCAAATCTCGTTCTACATTCCAACAAGTATCGTATGTCTCTTAGTGATTGTTGTTACCGTTTCTTTTCAATTTGTACAAATATCCACCTCAAGATTTTTACTTTTTCTTCTCTCACTTTTCAAGATATCAGTTGTGGAATAAAAAAATTAAAATATTGGTTGAATATGCTAATTTCGATACTAAAATCAAAACTTGAAAATGGAATTTCATTTCCATCAGACCTTCCAGGAAGAATGGCTGGGGCTGAGGAGGCAGAAAAGGCATGCACTGCCTCGGCATCACCCGAGACCAGTGCCGAGCTTGCGGCCGCCTTCAAATGTATGGAGCAATGGCTTGGCGGGTACAGTATTAATACCGAACATATTGCTCAAAGCCCCTCCTCCACCGTCTACCGTCTCTATTCCAGCAGGTATGACAAAATGGGAAGAGTTTCATGATTTACTAGCCTAAAATCAACTTACTTTGATATCCCAGGTACAAGAGTGATGTGGCTGTCAAGATTGTGGACACCACTGCCCTCCCGGCTCATTACGAATCGACGTTTTTGAAGAGGGAAATTGAAATCTGTCGAACTCTCAGCCATCCATTCATCTGCCATACTTACGGAGTCTTCTTCCCTCTGGATTCACAGGTCGCATTCGTGTTCCAATATTACCATGGTGGTACAATGTTAGACATGATCCTCAAGAACAACAAAGTGTCGGGTACGTCTAGCCTCGGTTAGACGGATCTTTTACAATTATTTTACAATTGATTTTGTTTTTTTTTACATTTGACATTTAGTTCATATTTGCAACTAAATGCCACAAATTTTATTGGATTTTTTGCGAGATTTTTTGCAATGTGGGACCCTTCAAGACGCATGTTTTATAATTTCAGAAGACCAGTCAGCAGTTATATTTCGCCAGTTGATCGAAGCCATCCGCTATCTTCATGACAAAGACATTGTCCATAGAGATGTCAAGTTAGAAAATGTATTATTCGACAATTTTGGGAACGTCAAGCTTGCAGATTTTGGATTTGCTCGAAGAATGGGATCGAAACTAGACAGGTCCAAGTCTTTTTGTGGAACAAAGTAAGTGTTTCTTCATTGCAATTAAAAGCGAACATGTTTCAGACCTTACTCTTGTCCGGACGTCGTAAAACACAAAGAATATGATCCTTTCTCTAATGACTGGTACTCATTAGGTGTTGTGCTGTATACGTTGATCAGTGGGAGATGGCCTTATGTAAGTTTTTCTGCCTTTAACTGCGTTTCCCTTATAATTTATGTGTAACACACCCAAAATAAAGCGTTTTCCGTTATTCATGGAAAGGTGGCCCTGTTCTTGTCTTGGAATGCTGATTTCAGAACCTGCAAGAGCTAGAAGATGCATCCAAGTCTCCAACGAATTGGCCTAAGATCTGGTATCCCCAAGATATGTTCAGTTCGGAAGCGGTCGAACTTCTTCAACATCTCTTGCAGGAGATTGCATACATGAGGGCGGATTATCATATCTGTCTCAACAGCAAGTTCATGGTGAAGTATGGGCAAGGACCGACTCAGCACCCAATTGTTCGAGGACCTTATAATGCTTTAACCTTCAAGTAGATAAGAAATAAACAGAAAGAACGACTGGAGGGTTTAATTTGCAACGTTTGAAAATAAACTCGGTGAAGAAACGCCGACATGTCTATGACATGTATCTGTGTTCGTGTATGAATACTACCAATCCGTATGTTATGGTCGATGATACTGTATTTTGATTTATTTATTGTGTATTATTAAAAGGGCAAGGATTGTGGAAAATCATCGATCCAAAAAATAGTCTTTTTAAGACTATTGTAACCAGTTTGTCTACATCCGGGGGTTCTAATAAAGTTTGAACTTTGTTCTCCGAAGTGATTCCGATAAGTAACACCAATTAGACGCAGTTGCAGGCCGCCGGTTGCGTGCTGAATGTCTATTCTTCGTGTTCCGAAGGTAATTTCCCGTTTAACAGATCAATCTGTCTCCTTTTACAACACCATCTATATTGTTTTCCGTCCATAAACTTTTAAAGCATTACTTTTTAAAAGTTTTTTTACACCCTGTCAGCAAATTACTTCTAAAATCAGTTGTTTTAACGGTAATTAAAGTACAGCAGGGTCTATCGCTTTATTGTGTTGTACTTTTGGTATATTTACGACTTCCTGTAATCGAGAAAGCATTAGAAAGATATTGTAATTAAAACCGGAAGGATAACCATTGTAAATCTTGGCGTTGCGCAACCGGAAATTAGTGGAAAATTTGGGAATATTGCGTGATCAAAGAGTTATTGCTGCGGGGGGTTTTTTTTTTTGATTTGTATAATTACTTTTGATGAGTAATTGTTCTTTTGATGTCATGGATAATATAAATTTTGATGCTTCCTCTCCGCATTAACCTATTTCTCTCCCAATCCTCTGAACTCCGTATTCCATTGTCAATCCTCCGCCAACTCCTGCAGAAAGTCATTACTCTCCATCCCATTGTAATTTACAACTTTTAAAGATTCGTTCTCTGACCCATCGCCGGCTTGTCTTTCCCCATCGATTAATTTTCTCGTCTTATCTTCCCATCGATAAGAACGCACGTGTATTTCCGTTCGTTCCCCACCAACATTACAACACCGTTCTCCCGTCCCCAGCCTACGTAATAGTTACAATTTCTGCTTTTCAAATTAATGGAGGGATCTGCAACGAGGGGAGAAAAAGGGGAGTTTCAATTTTTCTTGAGAGTTACAATTTGGATTGAAGGTCATTCTGAGGGGTTTGTGGAGGCTAAATGGACTGTTTGTTAACCGGGAGTACGTTGCAACGAAGGCGGTAGACAGGGTTAATGGGATAAGAGGTCCGGAGGGGGCGCTGTGGGTTTCAAGGACAAAATTAATGACAGTTTGATGAATGATCGTTCAAGACATTAAAAGTGGTCCTCAAATGTTGGCTAAAGACGGGCTGTATGTAGGGTGATGAATCAGATAGTCTTCAGATTCGATTGGCTCTTCAAGAACAATGAGAAGACATTAATCAGATTAGGAAGCGTGGGCGTAATGGGTACTTTGCCAATAAATGCCAAAAGTGGGTAATGTCGGTACTTTAACTACTAGTTCCGTTGTAAAACTGCTGATATTGTCATAATATGACAGTATTCAAGGTTCCTCTTTCCCTTTAGATTATTAAAGTTCGTTATACAGCCAATCTTCTCGATGTACCCACTGGCCGTTCTTACGTTGTAAACCGGTTCCCTTTCTCCTTCCCAGCTCTTCTTCTATATACCTTAGAAACTCCGAAACTAAAAATTTTGCAGCAATTACTTTTATATTCGCTGCTTGTAAAATTGAGTGGAGAAAAAGTAAGATAATTGGGAAGAGAACATAAAACTGATTACAACTTCCGATTGTCCATTGCTGTAACATTGGTCGCTCAGTGTAAAAGTCGGTTCTTGTTCAGTAAGAATGATGGGAAAGATAAAGGGAACGCAAGAAGACTACTGTTGAGAAACCGGAAACTCGCAACAGTTCGTGGATTATAAGGGTCCCGAGATTCGGTTGGGTTAACAAGGTTAAGTAACCACCTGATCGGGAAGTAAAAAACGCTGAAGACAGCAGTAGGGAAAACATGAGGGGTATAAAAGTTTAAGGAAATAAGTAGCATGTCCGTTAGTGTTTTTTTGTTATGCGATTTTAGTCTACAATCTCAGATGAACACTTTAAAATCGTTTGCAAATACAATTGTTGTCGTCTGGAAGTACGGTGTATGAGCGTGGAAAGAAAAATAAAAATCGGAATAAGATTGATGAAAACCCATGCAATTAGAACAAGGCTGATGCAAAGGATACGAATCTAAAACCTTACTGTCAAACATTGAGCCATGAGATTGGCAGAAACAAAGAAACAGAAAAATCATGCCATTTCCAAACTTTTGCAGCAATGCAAGCGCTGATTTATTATACTTGAGAAACTTTGCCCATCTTCGAAAGCACACCGCAATTGATAACAATGAAAACGGTGGGGAGCGGAAACGTTGTAAGGCCCCGGTTTACAACATCGGTTACAACATTGGGAAGATGGACAGCAAAACAAAAACAGCGATTGCATAGTCACGGAGCGCAGAGTGGCCATAAGTCGGTGTGATGTTACAACCATCATCAGCTGAGCCCGCCCATCCTTCCGCTTCGTCGCCCTCTTGTACAGTTTTGTACCGTGATGGATGTTGATGTACGGGGGATGGAAGTAAAGGAACGCCCATTTCCGTTCCGTTCAGCCCTTTAAAACCTGGACGGCGTTCACCTGAATCCATCCAAATTATCAGTTCGGCTTGGAATAGGAAGATGAACACTTCTCTCGTTCTTTGCGTACTCGCTCTCGTCCTGGGATACTGTAAGTTCCGCATCATACCTTACAATTAATTTTTATGCCTAATCAATGCAAAGTGGATCTATTGTAATCTTTTTTTTCAGGCTCAGCGAATACTTCCCCATGCCCTGACGGCTGGCGATACTCTCCGTTCACCAGCAAATGCTATAAACTCTTCGAAGATAAGACGAGCTGGACCACTGCTGAATACAAATGTGCCTTCCAAGGAGCTCATCACATCTCCGTCCATGATGCCGCTGATAACCAATTCGTATCTGGTAAGTATTCGTCTATTTCATTAGATGTGTAGGTGCAATTCCAATGATGCATAGTACCATAGAAAAGTGCAATTAATAAAAGCGTTTCTTTCCAGAGCTTGCCCGTCAAGCGAACATTGTCTGGCTGGGTGCTGTCCAGTACGGAACTGACCGTGACTACACCTGGGCCGACCACACTGCCTATGGCGCCTTCGAGAACTGGGAGAATGGCCGTCGTCCCAGCTACCACAAGGGAAAGAAGTGCTCCAAATTTGATGGCCTCAGCGGGAAATGGATCCAATCTTGCTGCAAGGTCCCAGCTGCCTTCATCTGCTCCAAACCCGCAGCTGTTCTCCCCGCCGCCATCATTGAGGACGACACCGGAATCAACGAGGACTTCCGCCGTACCCGTTTGGCCTTCAGAAGACGCGTCTGAAGCCGGCTCTTTCTTCGCGTAATTAACTCAGGATTATTTAATTGCCGAGAGAGTGCTTGTACAAAATCGAAGTTGTCATTGTTGCGGACTTTATCAATCTCTTCCCGGTCCGGATTTTGCATGCTTTAATAAGACCTCACCAATAAACCAAATAAAGTTTAAAACCTATTGGAATTTGAGTACTGAATCCAAGTATCACACCGAAATCTGCAAATAGTACGTAGAAGGTTTTCATAACCAATTTTTATTATTAGAAATCAATACACTTTGTACAAAAAGGCAAAATTAGCCAAAAAACATGAATAATAACAGGCAAAGATAACATAAAAAGCTCCTATTGGGTGAGTTAAAGCTCAATCTGAGTGGGATCTTCAAGGGCTTTGTCCACAAATTCATGTTCTAACAATTGGGAAGCTTGCCACCGATCCGTGGGCTGAATATGCAACATCTGAGCGAGGAAATCAGCAAGCTCATCCGATATCTGAAATCAGTTCGACGTCATTAATACTGCCCTTATTTCTTTTGTGTGATCTTCTGAAAGTAATAAGACTTTCCTTAGGGCAATTAAACAGATTCTGATACTAAAAAGTAAGAAGCCCGAAGAGACAGTGTGCTGAGAAGAGCGTCCAGACTTTTTCCCGCAGACTTTGCCGGAAATGAACCCTGACAAAGATTTCCAGTGACAATTTAAACTATTACAGCGTACACTCTTTACTTTTCTATACCACAAAAGCTGAGCGGACAAAAAAAAGAGTAAACAAATCTAAACTGTTTTTTACAATGCTCCAAAAACGACGTTTTTATACTTTTTAGCACTTTGTATAAGTGTTAAAGCAATTAATTGCTGATTACAAGGTCCCCAACTCCTTCTAAAGGTCACTAAACAATCAAACCTAGTCCATCACGTAATCCCGTCCCTGTCCAACTGCATTAAAGGATGTTAATCAAAAGCTTATACAGAAATATTACCTTGAAATCGGGCGGAATCTTCGGTGATGGTGATGTTTTAATCCTTTGGATGGCAACTACAGGTTCATCATCGTAAAAAGGCGGCTCTCCACATACCATTTCGATTACAGTAATCCCATACGACCAGATATCAATAGCAGAGTCGTATTCCTCTCTTCCTGCTACCTAAAACAATACATATACCAAATTTGGGTCAAGGATACTATAAAATCTGGAATCAGATTCTGTAACATAGCCTTTCTCAAATTGGTCTTGATTTGTATTTCCGGGTGTAAGTATTCCATATTCAAATTAATTGATTTTTCTGCTGTTGCAAATTACTTTAAAGGTCGAGCGGGTTTCAATGAAAGAACGGGAGAAAAAACAATTATTACAACGTGAACCAGATCGAATGGACGTCCAGAGAAGAAGGGAACGTTTAATGAAGGCCGCGCGACTTTCTGGCTCCGACCTTCCAAACCCCCATACTCGGTAAGTGCATCATGCTTTACTACGTCCGGAAAAGGCAAGAAACCAAGTCATGTAAGCCACAACTGATACCAAACTCACTAACCTTAATAGTATACTTACTTCAGGAGACAGCCAATATGGAGTTCCGAGCAGAGATCTTCTTTTGGGCACTTGATTTGTGAGAAGGCAGGAGAATCCGAAATCACTAAGTTTGACAATCCGATTGTGAGTTAAGAGGATTGAATCGGATTTGAGATCGCGGTGGATGACACCAATCGAATGGAGATACGATAAGGCCTCAAGGGTTTGCTTCGATATGGTGGCTATTGAGATTTCGGTTAGTCTGAAAAGCGAAGAGATAAAGTTTGTCATTAACAAGTGGAGTTACTATGACAACAAGGCCTAATTGTAAAAACTCTCTGTTTTTAGTTACAACTTTCATTATTTTAAACCTAAAATCTTCAACTCACCTTTTCTGAGAGAGAAAGTTTGTAAGAGATCCGGCAGTGGCCACTTCCATCAGAATCCAGAGCTCTTCTTCGACTACATGAGCACTGATCATCTGGACGATATTGGGATGGGAGCATCGTTTCATGACATTTACTTCATTTATGAGGAGTTCGGGACGCTGTTGAGTTTTAATAACCATTCGTTTAACAGCAACATTCCTGCGTTTACTGGTCATGTAAGCATGAGATACTGTTCCAGTAGATCCCCGTCCCAGCATTTTTATATTACACAGATCATTTCGAGGGTCAGTTGGATTGACAATGGATAACAGGGTGTGCCGAACCTAAACCAAGATAAATTTCAGAGCATAACAATCGTCTTACGTCTTCAGGATTAACGGGATGTCGATGTCGGGCAGAATGTCCATTGGCTGAGGGATCAGAGGTATTAACAGATTTTATACTAGTGGAAGGTGAGATAACGCAGTCATTTTGAGATCGATGTTGGGGACCGGGATGAGATCGACTTGGTGTAGCGAAGCCATTTGATGCATTGACCAAATTAGCTTAACAAAATTGATTTAAGTAACAAAACCTACTTAAAGAAGCCAGATTTCGATCAAGAACAGCATCGGTTACAATCATTGGACCACGTTTGAAGAGTCGATCCTTCGACGTTGCAAAGACGGATTTCCATTGCTAAATTCGTAGACAACTGAGCGAAGAAACACTTACTCTTGGCAACCCGTATATTTCACCCGTGTCCGAATCGACGGAAGCATGGACTCGATGCTGGAAATTGAAAGGCGCAGATATATCAACTTTCCTGCTTTTGTGGCCGTTCCATAACAGTCTCATCGAAAGACCGAATGGAAAAACGGCGGCTTCCAAATTGGCCTGAAAAGAAGAGTATTATCTGGAAGTAGCGGTATTCGAGACGCAATCTCCCATGCCGATCTTCGTCTGAGGAAAAAGCCAATTTCCATATTGGAACTAGTAATTTGAGCTTTACATCGCTCCAGTGCCCACCACACGCCCCGTTTCACTATTTATAACTTATGTTTCCCATCTTATATCCCAGGCCTCGCTGTATCACGCCAATCAAAAACTAAACCTTGCAAAAAAATTGAAGAAAAGTCGTCTTAACAAAGTCCGAAGGAAGTTCTCACAAAGACTCAGTCCGATAATTGCAAGTCAAATACGCGAAAGAGTTAGCCCCTGACCAAAAGTCAAAAAGAAGGAAAGAAATGGACAAGGGCAGAGCAAGCTCGGTTTCCTAAAAAAAAGTATTAGTTAAAATGCACATAATAAAATCAAATAGTCGACCGATATTCTACTCTGCAAATTTTTATTTTGTATGGCTTTGATCGTATAAAAATGTAACCGCAAAGTATGAATAATAAAAATCAACTGCTGGTTCTACAGTAAACCCCTTCGATGTAAAAGAAGATAGACATGGTTATTCTGGCAGTAGAAAGAACTGTAAGATCAAGTTCAAAGCAAATTTTGGCTTGCTCATGGAGATAAAGTTTAAAATAAGCTTACTTATCCATCAAGAATAGCATTGTGCCAGCTGCGCCCGAGGTTTCTTACGATTTGAATTTCGCGGGCTTTTGACATGATAATCAGGGGGTTTGCTTCCTCCAAAATATACGTGCTTTTCAGACGGAATTGTTATATCAGATGTATTTATGGCCATTTCTCGCCAAGTTTCCGCTGTATTTTATTGTCAAAATCTTACGCAGTAATTTTAGAAGAATTATATGTACTTTTCGTTTGTCTGACGTGTTTTCTGAGCTTTAAGGCACTATGTTTCGGCAGTTTTTTTGATACTATTTTCTTTCCAAAAGAACAACTATTAGATATTTTGCAGGGATGAGTTTCTTTAAATTAAACCAAGTTGCCAACAATGTAGTTTCCACCGCTTCTACGATTCCAGCTGTAAGATGTGAAGAATAAGATTGAGTTTGTTTTAGTTTACCGCTGCCTATCAACCTCGTCCTATCGTTTACAGTGACGACACCAGCATGCAGCGCGTTCCTCTTCGTGCCGCTACTCAGACGGCTCGATATGTCTCTACCATCCCTAAGCCCACCACTCCCAAGCCAACTCTGGAGGAGTTCGATCCTTTGAACCCAGGAGGTTGGCAATTGGGAGCTGGAGGTAAGATTCTTCCCCGTCTGCCCGAGGGAACTCGCTGTGGCAAGTTGGTCATGGGCAAGTACGGTTTGTATGATCCCAAACTCCGAAGACAAGTCGAGGAATTCGCTGTAAGCAATTTTATTTTTGTTTTTCTTGTAGTTCAGGCAAATAAAATGCGCTACAGTTTTAAAAAGCAAATTTCTCTTGTTTCAGGCCGGTTTGGAAGCCGGAAATAAATCCGAGGAGGCCACCCCAGTCCACGCCAAGCACGCCAAGATTTCCAAATTCATGTCTCATGTTGTCTTCTTGCTGGGTATCTACAACTTGATTACTTTGGTCTACGGTAAGCCAATTTGGCCTTACCACAACCACAAGATTCCCGGCTCTGCTTAAGTCATTGAATAGGGGAAACAAGATATTGTTCCGATAAATGTTCTGATCAATAAAGGTAGTGAGTACAGTTTGAATTGTGGTCATGGGTAGTATATTATTTGGCGTTGTTTCCACCTTTTTCGTTTTTGATTCCCGTTGGAGGTTTGAGTGAAAAAGGTCGCAGTGCTGTACGTTAGTTAAAGACTCAAGGTATCGTGTTGAAAAATGTCTACGGACCGGGAAATTTTTCACAGTGAATTGAAGTTTTACGTTATTTGCTGTTTTGGAAATTTGCATGTATGCTTGCAAGAGACAGTGATAGCCACTTGTTTGGTTGTCACCGTTTGATCTTTTTTATCGTTTACGCACAAACGAACGTCTTTGCCTGGTGAAAGCATACGGTATTATTATGAAAGTGCTTCCTGAGAAGATTTTGAGTATCCAGCTCGTAATATCAGTCCCCACTAGACATTCTCCCGGGCCGAGCCAAAAATCACGTCCCGGTCATGTCTATTCAGGGGTAATATCATTTGGGGCGGTTTTCCTTCCACTTTCTCCGATCCAACATTTTTCTTGCAAAGGATTCCCTAGCAAATAGTGCGCGAAGGTCGGCGCCTACAGTAATTATGCAAACAACGTATGCCTTCGTGATTCCCTTCCTTATTTTTCCATCATTCATGCATTTCCTCCTCACCTTTGGCGTCGAGAAAATAAGTTTGTGCATTGAGAATTCATCTGAATTCGAATGAGAACAGAATGCCGGAGGCTCTCTTCCTTTTTTAATCAGGCCGAAAGAGCCCAGATTAGCCGAATGCCCATACAGCTAATGGTGTAACTGTTATATAAGCGGCCGGTGAAATAATCTCCGAAGATGGGACATTTCTTTCTTTGCATGGCCACTCATTGCCTTTAATTCGCTCAAATGAGAATCGAGGCGCAGTTTTTTTCTTTTCTCAAGGCTTGAGGCGGCTTCCGGAGCCGACTCCGTGTTCATGATGAGGCGTTAATATCCGGACTGTGATTCCTTCCTTTGTTGAGCATCATCTCTGAACCCGGTGCACTTCGACCAAACCAATTGTCATGCAATGTCATCGTATCCATTGCTGAATCTGACATCTCGTTCGTTTGTCAGGTTATGTATGGGCCGAAAGCCCGGGTTATGGCCATCGAAATCCCAATTCCCTCCAGCGCGTTAACGACCTCATGAAGGGTGCGTCTCAATTCCTGACCTTCCATTCTCCTCTTGGCCGCTGTTGTCTGGTATAATCCAGGTAGATTAATTTGCATATTTATAAAGTGCGCATGAAATGATCGGTCACTGGTCGCCTTTCGTGGCAAGCGGGCGCGTCATCAATCTGAGGGATTAGGAGTTCCATGCTAGGGCTTCTTCGTGCCCTGAGGACGCATTCTTAACAGGCGCCAAACCGAATTTCCCGCAAAAGTTGATTCCGGGTTCCGTTTTTAATTTCCCCGCCCCAAATGCTGACTTATGGGGTTTTAAACTTTTTTACGCAGAGGCCCCAAAGCGCGCCCATGCCGTTGATTTGCAAATCCGTTGAGGAACTTTATTTTTGTCTGCTACTAATTTCCATTGTAAATGGACTTTCCGTGCGCGGCCGAAGCGCTCAAATCATGCCAATGAGCCCACCGAAGCCTTAAGCAAGCTAATTCTCCGCGCGGCTAATGACTTTCAAGTCGATTCGCTGTTTTTTATAGCGCGTGCCGCGACTGTTAAATAATCTCATGAGTTATGTAAGAAGCCGGGCCAGCATTCGCGAGATTTATGGTCTTACATTTACATTTAGGGGTTTCCGTAGCCCAAATTTTATGACAGGAATCGGCGGTTATTATGTCCTCGGAAAGTAGTCGAGCTTATGGCCTTATTATTCTCGTTTTAAAACTCGATTTGTCATTTAAATTAGAACCAAATTCTGCTGGAATTCTTGACATTGCTTTAATTTTTTTCCAAAATTGGTTCGGAATTCCAGCGGTAACGAGGCGTTGTCAAGGATTTCCATTCAGATTCCGATTTTATGCGATTCCGAATGTCCTTCCGCTAGTCCAGTAATTTTTTTGGCCGTACAATACTCTTTTTTCTCTCTCTTCTTCCTTTTTTTTAAAATTTATTAAAATACGAATGATTACAGAGTAATTAGTAGGTAATTGGAGAATGTCAAGGTAGTTTGATGTCCTGAAGGAAGAGTGCCAATGCCTCTTCTTTTCCTCATCCTTTTTGCACAGTTTGATCTGATTTGGTCTCTGAAATGTTTCTCCGGTGATCCCATCTTCAAGAACGAGTGCACTTCGTTGTCTTATTGCTTGATGATCGTCTCCAGGTGAGTAGAATAACAAATAGTTTTTTTGTGACACCATTTTTGTAGAATTTATTGCTCTACAATTGGACTAAATTATATATATTATTTCGGAGTTGGACGATTGGGGAAAAAGACGATTGGGGAAAGGGACGATTGGGGAAAAAGACGATTGGGGAAAAGTACGATTGGGGAAACCGAAAAGTATTATTTTTCTTCCATGCAAATGTCGAAGTTAGGATAATCGAGGGTGCTCATTTCGAAAATGACATTCATTTTTTTGATTCTTACTTTTTTCCTTAAGTAGTACTGTAAAGTAGTAATTTTTGATTTTTTTCATAAATACTCGATTTAGGGGGTTTCGAGGGTGCTGATTTCGAAAATCATGTAAATTTTTCCTCTAGTACTACATAGTACTATTCTGATACTATATAGTACGAAGTGAAAATATGGCTTTTGACGTTAATGGTGTTGTTTTGATGCTTAGTACTCTTCAAAAACACGTTTTAAAGACTTGGTGCTATATAGTACTGTCTGATACTATGTAGTACGAAGTAAAAATAGGCGTATTAAGCACCAGAACAACACCACGAACGCCTAAAGGCCAACTTTACACCTCGTACTACATAGTATCAGGTAGTACTATATAGCACCAAGTCTTTAAAACGTGTTTTTGAAGAGTACTAAGCACCAAAACAACACGATTAGCGTCAAAAACCATATTTTGACCTCGTACTATATAGTATCAGAATAGTACTATATAGTACTAGAGGAAAAATGAACGTGATTTTCGAAACCAGCACCTTCGAAATCCCCTAAATCCAGTATTTTTCGAAAATTTAAAAAAAATTTTTTTTAGTACTTAACAGTACTACTTAAGGAAAAAAGTAGGAATCAAAAAAATGAATGTCATTTTCGAAATGAGCACCCTCTATTATCCTGACTTCGACATTTGCATGGAAGAAAAATAATACTTTTCGGTTTCCCCAATCGTACTTTTCCCCAATCGTCTTTTTCCCCAATCGTCCCAGTTCCATATTATTTTAGGTCGGGTCGATCTCAATGGTCTTGTGATGGAAATGCCTTCAGCCAAGTCTCCCTTTGCTCAACTCTGGGGCTGCAACAAGACGTCGAAGAAGAGACGAACCTCAATGTCCTCAGCCCACGAAAACGTTATCCTCTCATCTCGGACGCCCCTGTCAGCAGATCAGAGATCCCTCTTGTGAGGTCGCCTTTCGAATCGACTGGTCGATATTCGACTGGCTATCGACGTTCTAACTCGCCGTACTCTCAAGGATTGGGCAAAGGCCGTTGTTTCGATGGAGGAGAGCTCGGGAGGATTTGTTGTTGCTCTACGGACTTCTGCAATCGAGGGGTCTCGGTCTTGCCAGATACGATTACTTTTGTATTTTTGAGCTTTATAGTTGTATTTATCAATGTTTGAAGACGAATTTTAATAAATTTGATGTCACTTACAATCCATTGAGAGAGCATCAATTGTTTGTGTACATAACTTGCACCTTGCTCGCAGTACTGTAAATAATTTTGGGATTATTCCACCCACCTTCCGGCCTCTAAAAGGCAGGCTCTACAACTTTAAATCTGGCTGTAATGAGTAACAAATATGTAAATAAAAAAACGCCATTTTTCGAAGGATTAAAATGGAGGAAGGCTAAATCGCGAACGGATTTGTAAGCTTTGATGACATTCTGTGAAAAGAAATTCCAATTACTTTAGTAAAAACTTATAATTTATGTAATTTACAGGAATAATGAACACACAGGAACTTTTCATTTCGTAATTTTCACTGTATTGCGCAACGTTTTTTTGACGGTGACAACTGCTCTGGCATTTCATCTGAAGAACAAGGGTTCGAAAGTTTTTTTTCAATTCCATAAATATTGTAATCCTTTGTCTCCAATTTCAAAGGCAAGTCAAATACGAGCGGATCGAGTTTCTGATTACAAAGCGAAGCGTTCACAAAAGTGGTAACATCATTTGTACTGATCCCATAGGCTTCATGAATATGGCCAAACACATGTAATGATGGCTTCGCCACTTCTTCGACCACTTGAAGAAGTTCTGCACATCCCGTGTGTTCTTCGTTCCAACAAACATCTCGATGCCCTAAGGGCGGGGTATGGGTCATCAGAATATCAATGTCGGCGGGGATTTTGAGCCATTCCTTTAGGATCTCCTCTCCGCGAGATCTGGAGAAAGCGAAATGGGGAAGAGGGTGCCACGAAGAGCCGTAGATTTTGAGACCACAAACCTGCAAAAAAGTCATTCATTTTTACTTTCAAGGATGACAACAATATGTATGTATATGTAATTGCTTACCTCAACCATTTGGTCATGCAATACTGTTACATTTTTCAGCAGCTCATATCCTCGTTTTGTCCCCTTTCCTACATCGTACACGTATCTGAGACTTTCATCTTCCGTATTGTCAAATCCAAGATCATGATTTCCAGCTACAACTAGCTTCACTGGATGAGGTAATGTCCCCATAAGACGATCGAACTCTTCGATTGCATCCTTTGACCCGTTGTTTGTAAAGTCACCGCAATGTAATAAGATGTCTCCATTGGGTATTCGATCCACAATCTCACCCAGTTTCTCATGAGTATCGGAAATGCAGACGATTCTGACCTTGTCATCGGAAATTGGAGTTTTCAGTCTGAAAGTTTTTGTTCTCATTGTCAGTATTAAGAATCAAATGTAAACTAAATTTGCGTCATTGCTTTTCCAACTATGACTCACGGAATTCGATCTTCCACATCTTTCTGGATCCTCTCTTTATTCCAGAAGTTTTCCCAAAGTTTATTCGGGTTCTGTTCTCGATGATCCACTCGGATCATATCTGTTTGATGGCAGGATCTCTAAAACATTGAGTTTGGAAAGTTTTGGGCTTGCAAACAATCACTTGAAAAACATAAAAATTGTAAATAAAAACCCGCGCGACTTTTGTTAGGATGGGAAAACGGTTATATACATCTTGATGAATCACAATTTTAAACTTAATTTTGGGAAAACATGAATCAAGTAACTTTGTTTTCTCCAACGTGAACCGTTTAAATTTTTTTTTGGCCCGGCCTGGTTAAAGCCCTTGGCATAAAAATGATTGGTAACAGCTAGGCTGGTCTTTTCAGCGGGCCCAGCCGTCCGAGAGCCATGTCTAGCCTTGCCCGAGTTATAAAAGACACCTTTCGTGATACAGTGAGTCATTTTTCAGTTTTTTTTAGTCTTTCGCAATGCTTGAACCCGAATTTGTGACTTGATTATGGATATCTCACATGCCCCCTCGTTAAAATTTAATTTTGTAATATTACAATTTTATTCAATGGCTAATCAACTTTATTTTTTATTATGAAATAAATAATGTAATGCACAATGCATTACGATAAGACTTTAATATTGTAATCCTTTCTCTTTATTCTCAAAGGCAGGTCGACTAATAGTGGATCGTAGTTGGTCTCGAGTTTATGACTACAGATGGCGGCGTTTACAAAGGAAGTAACATTGTTTGTACTTATTCCATTTTGTTCATGGACATGGCCAAACACATGTAATGATGGTTTGGCTACAAGTTCGACTACCTGAAGGAGCTCAGCACATCCCCAATGTCCCTCTATGTCATTGAAATGATCTCGATGCCCTAAGGGCGGGGTGTGGGTCATCAGAATATCAATGTTGGCAGGGATTTTGAGCCATTCCTTTAGGATCTCCTCTCCGCGAGATCTGGAGAAAGCGAAATGGGGAAGAGGGTGCCACGAAGAGCCGTAGATTTTGAGACCGCAAACCTGAAGAACAAAAGTGAAGTGGTAAATTAGTAGATTACTTGGCGTCATATTTGAATCTAGTTCCCACCTCAACTAGTTTATCGTGCAGAATGGTGACATTCTTCAACAATTCGTATCCTCTTTGTGTCCCCTTTCCCTTGTCATGTTCATATCTAAGCGATTCATCTTCCGTATCATCAAAGCCGAGTTCATGATTTCCAGCTGCAACTAGCTTCACTGGATGAGGTAATGTCCCCATAAGTCGATCAAACTCTTCAATTGCTTCCTTTGACCCGTTGTTTGTAAAGTCACCGCAATGTAATAAGATGTCTCCATTGGGTATTCGATCCACAATCTCGCTCAGTTTCTCATGAGTATCGGAAATGCAGACGATTCTGACCTTATCATCGGAAATTGGAGTTTTCAATCTGAAAGTCCTCCGTTTTCATTTTCTAAGCCCCGGTAAAAAAATACAAGTTACTTGTATACATAGTAATACAAATTTCGTATTTTTATTCTTAAACTATGACTCACGGAATTCGATCTTCCACATCTTTCTGGATCCTCTCTTTACTCCAGAAGTTTTCCCAAAGTTTATCCGGGTTCCGTTCTCGATTATCCACGCCTATCATTTGTGGTTGACGTCAGGACCTCTGAAAGACGGGATTAGAGACTTTTGGGCTTAAAAACATCCTTCTCCACAGTACACCCCTGAATATCTCTGGTTTCTAATCAGTATGAAAGGAAATTAACACTTTGAATCCTCTTTCTTCAGAGGCTCGAGGACAGTTTGACGGTCGGGTCTGCGCCGCGAACGGAAGAAGTACCAAGGGAAATTTACATTTGATTGTGCCTTTGGGCCATTTTGGGGCTTATAAAGGTTGTATCAAAAGGCTCAAAGTTCTAAAACATTGTTGGCATTAGACGCGGTTTTGTTGTGCAAAGATTTATTTTTATAAATATACTGTGGAAAGGTCTGTCTCCACAACAATAAATAAATTTCAAGGATCTACGAAAAGATCGATATGGTTTATTATTGCCCACTTTTTGAAGGCCTTCTGTATTTGCTACTATATAATCATTTCTTTATCTGAAGTCTACTCCTATAAACTTTTGTAAAGTGCACTTCAATCTTTATATTATGCTTGTTAACTGTTTCCCTGAACAACTTTTCTCAACCTATCATCCATTTCACCCAATCTCTAAAATTTCCAAAATGTTTATTTGGCTAGTCCAATGGCATACCCGGATAAAAGTACGCAGCTTACTGTACTCGCCTGCCCCATCTCTTGTAAATATTTCGCGTTAAAGCTCAATTCGATTCAGTTGAACCCTACTTGAAGGTCATGTGTTGTTTAACCTGGCTTTCTTGAACGTTGGCCCAAGAAAAAAAATTTTGGCGTTTTTAACTTTCTTACAACGCCTTGGGCAAACATCTCAAGGGTTCATCTGTTCCATCCCCTTTTCTTCCGCGTTATTTATCCCCGTGAGTTCGAGTTCTCTTTCACTGACCAAAAAACATTTTAATCCATTGTTCGGAAACATTTTTACACCCCACTCGCTGCCTATTTTTTCTTCTTTAGCCGCTGTGTATGTACTTTTATTTCTGTCGTCATATGCTTTTCATTATCTTATACTAAACACTCTTGCCCTACACTCTTCGAACCCATTATTTTGAAAGTTCTCTTTGATTGCGGAACAAGAGTATCACTTCCACCTCCTACATTCAACTAAACTGACAACAAGGTTGTCTTACTGTAGATGGAAAGACTTGACACATCAGATTGATTGTGTCAAGTTTTTCTCTTGATTCACCTTTCTAATTATCTTCGCTTGATTATTCCAACCTCTCAGAGAGCTAATTATCAGACTACACCCACCTTTTTTGTGTCCTTTCGTGCGTGACGCCTTTGGGTATTGCCAAGCCTTCGGCAGATTGTTTAGTCCTAAAAGTGCAAGATTGAAGTGGGGAAAGTCCAATTAGATTATTCGCACTGTTCCCAACGTGAAACAGGGTGGAAGCGTGTTGTCGATATAGTGTGGAGAACTCTGAAGACGGCAGAAATTATAGGAGGACATAATTTAATCAGATAATACGGGAAATGCGGAGGGTGCGAGAGAATAGATAACACTCTGGAAGGAGAGACAACCAGAGAAAAAAGGGTAGACGGGCAGCCAGACGGGGCTTTCCGCAGAAGTTTCTAGGTGGTGGTGCGTCCATACTCGGTGTCTGTCAATACGTCTATTCTCTGGCGGAACTCAACTGCTTCAAATCTTTTTTCATGTTAAGGGTTCTCTTAACACTGGCCTGGACGAACGGTGAACTCACTGTACTGTTCTGGCCCAGGGGTGGTAGATCTTCCTTTTTCATTTGCTTTTTTCTTTATTTCCTTTTAATTGTTTTGTCGGAATACCTGTATCAACGTCTTGTAGTGATTAAAATAAGTTTGCGGTAAAAACATCGCGTGTTTATGTTCTTATAAGAAAATTTGTTTATATGACGACATGATATAGATTTTAGATTTTCCTGGATTGTTATTGATTTCTTGGGCGATTGATGTGTGACCAGGTTCCTTGTCTTTATTACAATAACTTAATACGCTCCGTGAGCCTTCTCTGTTTTTGTCTGAGTTCGTAAACTCGTGCCTTCTCTAGTTCTTCTGCACTTCACTTCCGTGTCGCTAATATAAGAAAACAAATTAGAATGCGGCCATTTGCCATATTACCAATAACACCTGCAAGTCCTCGGGATGTTGAAGGGCTCGTATTCCTTCTGGAAACTTCCTTTTGGGGTAACTTCCTCCGTCCTGGCTAATTAATTTAATTTTGACGCCTGGGGGAAGCGCTGTGCCTACCTTGAGTGGACTTTTGTTTTCCCTTTCCATTTTTGGCTTCTCAATCAAGTATCGATATTAAAACAAGAAGGACTTTAATGATAACAAGGGAGAAGGGTTCGAGGAGTCGTCGCCCGACTTCTGATAACTCTTTTCTCTCGCGACTGCGTTGATATTTATCGATTGGTTTTCTTTTCAACGACCCGCCAAACTTTTGCGGATTCAGAAATTTCTGGTCGGTCGATTATTACTTTTTGTATTTACAATTTGTAGGATATGTAAGTCTGTGGGCCGGCACTACAGTAATACCTTTCAAATTTGTCGTTATAAACGCATTTTTTGGAGTTTTCTCGATGTTTTACTTGATGCACTTGATGTTCTTTGCTTCAATTTTAGTTTTTTCTCGTTCCCATAGCATTTCAGTTCTTTGAAAATAATATTTTAACACTAAGTCAGTCTTCTGGCTTCCTCGAGGAGTATTTATTGCGCCTTTTCGTTCTTATCAATCACGTGTTACGCCTGAATTTTTAATTGAGGGTCCTCCTTACTCTGCTATTTTCAGAAATTATGGCCAGATTCAGTGATGACGAGTCTTCGAGGGACTCCTCCTTGGTTTACGGCGAATACGACGGTATAGATACAAATCGAAAAAGGCAAGTTCCCCTTTGATTTCAGCGTAATATCAATTTGTTTTTAGAAATTTGGATCGCCGCAGAGAAACTTCCAGATACGCAGCCAGAGATCGCCGAGGGAAGGAGGCTGACATCTTTTCTGACCTCAAGGATGTGGTGCCGATCGTCGAGGAGAGCACGGTCACTCACGTTGACAGAATCGCTCTTCTCCGCGTTGCATCCACCATGTGCAGAATGAGGAGAAATGCAGGCAAATGTAAGGAATCAGCTTGTTTTCTCCCATAGCTTCTGAGAAGGAAGTAAATTTTATTTCTAAACTGTGAATCCATTTACAATCGGCCTTACGTAAAGGATCTTTGTGTAATGCCCTGAGGGTTACTGTACTCATACAGGATGTATATTCGTCGCTCTGATGTCGGGTATTAAGGGAATGCAATAAGCGCCTGAAAACTGAGTTCCCATAGTTACAATTGGATTAAAGAAGAGAGCAGAGTACATTCGTTTAGATAGCTGGACCCGAGGAAAGGGGCATTGAGTGCTGCGAAGGGGAATAATTTGACGCTAGAGGAAAAGGAAAAGTGTTTTGAAGGGAGAGTAACGAGGTTACGAAACGTCCCCAATGAACGTTTATAACACACACAAAGCCTCAGATGTACTTTTATCCCTCATTTTTCAGTCTTGGAGACCGAACTCCCTCAGGAAGATCCCCAGATCCATTGTTTCACCGAACAGAACATGACTGAATGTCTTGATGGCTTCGTTCTTTTGGCCGATTCTGACGGCACCATTCTTTACGTCAGCGAAAGTGTTTCCATCTTTTTGGGACTGACTCAGGTATGGATCACATTAAAATCACAGCATACCCACGCAGCGGGTGATAATCTACAAAATAAAAGTAACTTAAGGACAGCAGAAACACTTAAAACAAGACTGCCTCATGTGTAATCCGTGCTTTGCGAACGTCGATTATATCCAGATACAGTATACTGCAGTGGGAATCACACGAGATGCTTGAAATTACTTGTAAACAATTGAGACGCGAACCCGGAACTGGTAAAATCTAGCGGTTAAGGGGACGACGGTGTAATAGGGGCATGAGCTGATATCGTAAACAAAACTGAACTCTCATTGTCATCAAACAGAAAAAACGGAAATGCCCTTTTAATCCTGCGCTCTGAAACATTTCGAAACGTTTATGGCTAAGACCATGTTAGTTGAGTCCTATTAGTACTAAAAACGGATTTTGATATCTAAAAAATAGAAATTGGAAGGATATTAAACAGTTTTAAAAGCGGACAAAAATGTCGAAGCTACAGTAACGATGAGCTTACAATCAATATCACAATATCACTGATAAGTTGCAAAAGGTTACAATTTTGCAAATTTTACAATTTTTATCGAAATGAATTTGAGAAACCGCACTCTCCAAAACCCCAAAATGAAAAGACTGAGAATTGCGTTTGAAAGCAAGGAAAGGGAGACGACGAACAGAAACAGTTTATACATGATTTCGATAAAGCGAACGTGTAATTTCGTATATTAGAGTCGCCATCGTTGTTTCGACAACTCCGTCCTCCTAACCAACACTTTCTGTGCATAGTTTGAGAATGGGACCCGTAAAAATGGGTTCTCAGCCAGCTTCCCCAACCTTTATATCGCCAGCCCGCCGAAGTCCGCTCCCCCTGCGGAAAACGTGCAAAAAAGAGGAACACGCGTCGAATCCGAGGCGAGTTGACCGTCAAGATTTCAACCCCTCGGCCAAAACAACATGTATGCGGCATGAGCGCATGTAAAGTGGGAGTTAAATGCAAGTGTGAAAAACACGTTAGATTGTGAGGTTATTTTTGGAGGTTTTGATTATAGAAAGTTGCGTGTTCGGAAACAAATCGAGTAACCTTGATCGCGCTCGGAATTTCAAAGATCAGATTGTGATATGATATAACTGATTGATTGTAGACTGTATTGTAGAAGATAATAACTGGGTTCCAAGGATAATATTGTCACTTTCAGACAGATCTTGTTGGCCGTTTCCTCAAGGAATTTGTCCACTCAAATGATTACGATGAACTCATCAGAGCTTCCACAACTTCTACAGAAGTCCAGGATACGGCTTCGTCCTTGGATGAATTCGGTCGTTATATTGTGGTCAGAATGAAGACCGTAATCTCGCCCAGAGGGAGAAATCTGAATCTGAAATCAGCCCTCTTCAAGGCCATCTTATGCAGATTTAGAGCAGTCAACACCGAGTATGGGAGACTCTCTCTTCTCTACGGAAGCTCCACTCCAGCAGGCCAAGGAAACTCGATCATGCTGGCCAATGCCTCGGTTAAGGGATCCGAGGCCACCAATGGCGTCTACATGACCAGACACACCTGTGACATGAGATTCAGTTATGTCAGCGACAGTCTCAACTATCTCCTTAGACATGATGCCAGAAGTTTAATGGGAACTTCCTTCTATGACATTGTTCATCCAAGTGATATGATTCCAGTGGCTGAATCCATGAAGGAACTCTTCCAAAAAGGACATTGCAGAACTCCCTTCTACAGACTCCTCGGATCCAACAGTTCGGTTGCTTGGGTTCAAACTGAAGCTACCACTGTCAATCACACAGCCAGGGGACAGAAGGGACAATATGTTCTCTGCGTCCACTCTGTTGTTGGGTATGCTGAATTCATTTTAAATCTAAAGCTTATATTTGATGAATAATATATATTTTTTTGCAGAATGCAAAGCGAACTTGATGCTTGGTCCGAACCGGTGGTCGACGGGCAAATGGCTGCTCATCCAGCGATTTGCGTCAGCAAGATTAAGCACGAGATCCCAGATATGGCCGAGTACATGGGCAAGCAACCCGAGTTTGTCGATTGCGTTGACTTCACTCCACTCATTGAGCCAATCATTGATATCAACTACGACGATTACAGCAATATGAATGGAATGAGAGGACACGGTAATGATATTGAGATTGATGAAGATTCGATCTACTCGGATCTTGAAGGAAAAGAGCAAGGCGGGGAGGTTGTTATAGGTGAGAATGGAGATCAGGAAAAAGAAAAGACAATGGACAAGGAAGATCAGAGCGAGATTCAAGTTATTCAAGAAGAAGTTGCAAATAGAAACGGTCATGGTCAGGATGAAGGCGATTGCCTAACTGATCTGGAGGACTGCTGGAAGAATCCGAAAATTTGCAATACTGAAAGACGTCAATGGAGTTACAGTAGTTCATCGGACGACCTCGACACACGTGTTCTCTCTTCAAGCGAGGATGATGTTGTCATAATTATCCCGAAGAAGAAGTTTAAGAAGTCCAAAGGACAGCGGTCGACTCGGGAATGGGTGAAACAACTCCGCAACTCGATCTCCGGTACGGTCAAATGCGGCGGCGACGTCGAACCATCCAGTTCGGGGAGTCGCTGCGTTTGTTGTGGAGCTCGGAACGAGAAGGAAGTTGCCGAAATGTGCCTTCAGAAGAAAAATAAGGCCGTTCCGACCGTGCCCCTGTCTTTTTATCGCGATCTCATCCAAAAGGTGTTTATCTGTCCATGGAGATGCTCGTTCTTCCACTCTGTGCTTACTCGTGCTTGTGTTGTTTGAATGTGGAGAGATATAATGTAAATCGAATCCCTCAGGTCCTTGCTCTTTTCCTCGAGAACCCCGAATTGATTCAGAGACATCCCTTTTGTGTTACTTATCCAATTTCTAATCCTTTGTATTGTAGAGAAGAGAAAGAAGAGCTTCGACGAGGTGCTCGACTGGCTTGTCCGCGACGAAGCGGACTCTCCGCCGCCCTACGCCAGTTTCTTCGACCACAACGACGAATGCCGCGCGGATCCCACCAGCTCCAGCGAATACAACTCAAGCACCTTTCGTCCCCAACAGTTCGGAAGATATCAGCAGGCCCAATTCGACCGGATGCCCTACAGCAACGGACTTGGTCAGAATTCGACCGCTCCCATGGCTGCAAGAGATCGGTTTGAATGTGGAGCCTCTAATCCCACTGGCCCCATCAGTGGAGCTGGACGACCATCTGCGGGCTGTTATGCAGCGGATGGACAAAACTATAGTGCCATGCAGCGCGGCTCAGCCCGCGGTCAACAGCCTCAGCAAGGATTTAAGGCCGAGGCCCGCAACTCCAGATTCACGGCCCATATGCGTCGGGAAGTTGGAATCGGTCAGCCAAACGGGCTGCTGCGCCAAGGACAACCAGCCAGCGCCGGTGCTCGTGGAGCCGCTCCTCTTCGTGCGCGGTCAGCCAGTTCTCGAGCAGTACCCACCGCTCCGGCTTCAGACGTCTACCTTATGTCCGGTGCTCAGCTCGGATCTGCTGCTCGACGATTCCCTGCCGGGTCCCCTCTGCACACCGCTATGCGTGCTGCCTGTGATCCGAAATCGCCGTCATATACTCGGGCGTCCAGCACCAGTTCGAATCGCTCCACATTTGACAGTGCCGCCGTCCGACGCTACGCGCAAGCGTCGCCTTCCCCTCGAAATCAGAGCCAATCCGGGCGGTCTCGCTGCTCCTCCACCTGCTCTGGTCTCGGCGGTACTCCAAAGCCTCGAGAGCAGCGGCCTGTGAATGTGAACCAACTCTCAGCCGTCTCAACTGCTGTTGTCCATCCACTAGATTCTCCTCCGCAAGGATACCAAGAGCAATATAATAAATTTAACGAAGGCCCTGTTTGTAAGAAGGCCGCCTTCGGAACTGAGAAACCGGTCTACAAGGACGAGTACGGCCGTGACTTCGCTGGGTTGGCTCCATTTGTTCCGGAAGAAGATTTCTTGCAGCTAGAAGATTTGGATCTTAAGGTGAGCGAGCCGTCCTTTTGTTGTTCTTGAAATAAGTTGCAATGCCTTACTGTTTGATGTTTCAGGGCGTATTCCCTGATGTTGACTTTTCTGAATTCTTTCCCGACCAATCCTCTTCCAATCCAGGCAGTGCTGGTTCTCTGCCGATGATGGAGCAGCAGAAGCGGACCCCTCCTTGTTTCGATGACATGTTCCAACAGAATGTGAACATCCAACAACAGCAGGAGAGTATTGTACCGGATAATTGGAGAATGAGTAAGTTTTGAGCACTTTCTGATATTAATCATGCTATTGCTGCCTCTAAAGAAATCTTGTTTTAGCCGAAAGCGAATTGTGGTAATTCTCCGATGGTGCCCCCAAAAGCACAACCGTAGCTTCCACTCCTACACAGACCTACTCCTTTCCCTAGATGTGCTCTTTCCGTTTATTATGTACAAGATTATATTCTCGTTTCTTATGGGATCATTCCTATCTTTTGTCGATGTTATCCGGTTGATAATGGTTTATATAAAAGGGTTTCTCGTCTCTGTATCTAGTTGTTGTCACAGTATCCCATGGCTACTGTACTGTTAGATAAATTGGTCGCTTGTCTCGGATATTTTTTACTCTGATTAGGGAAGCTATTACGATAACCTTGTGTTGTTTTGTGGCCCACTTGTCTACAGAGGTCTTACATTTTTGTTAGGCTAAAAGCAATCGACTCCTCTTGGTTTAATGTAATTCTTTTGTTTTTTTATCTTGACTTGCATCTCCTAATTCTGCTATTTTACTATTCCTTCTTCCTGATTGTAATTTTTTTCTAAATAATTCAACTTCTATCTCCTAGACACAAGATTTATTGGAATTAGATAAAAAAATTATTTTAACTCGTGGGAAGCAATCAGGCAGAAACTTTATTCGTATCAGGCAAAATGTATCTTACAATTATGTATTGCGCGGGCTAGACTGGAATGGGATGGGTTACTGTAACAGGTCGTTGCAGAACATTCGTTGTTTTGTGATCTAGTAGAGTTGTTGGGGTCACGGAACGAGAGAATCTTGCATTTTGCGAGTCTTGATGAGGCGTGGTGGGGTTATGGGGAGGGGCAAGAGGGGAACTTGATGAAATTGTGACGAATGTAAAGATGAAAAGAAATCTGAAATATAGCATAAGCATGGATTTACTATTTAAAACAGGATTATATATTGTGAATTGACTGAAAAGAAGTTGCTATTGTGTCATCTGTGATCCGGGATTACTCTAGGTTTTTTTGTATTTTCCTGCAAAACCCTGGAGAACAGATGATTCCCGCTCTTTTCACGCCCATTTCCGCAAACCCACGAAACGATTGCGCAACTTATGGTTGTTTTGTAATTGTTTTTCTCGTAGTAAACAACGCATCCGTGCAAGAAATCAGGAAGTTTTTGAGGAAAGCTTGGGAATTGATAAATTCAAGTCTTAAGAAACGTGAGATATTCATAAAAGTGCAAGATTTTCCTGTTTTTTGAAAAAATTGTCGTTAAATTGCGAGCTTTTCAACATTTTTTACATCTGTTTCGGAACCTGGACGTTGGTTTTTAGGCAAATTTAATAACCGGTAATTGCTGTCCGGCTTTTTTCGTAATGATGAAAAGATAAAGTAAAATTAACTTACATTAGATGGAGTCTCCCGTTTCTTGTCATGGAGCCGAAGATTTGGGGAGATCGTGGGCGCAGAAGAAGTGAAGTTCTGAAGAAGTAAACGGTTCGCCGCGAGAGTTAAAAAAAACAGTAAATGGAAATGAAAACTGTAATAATGACGATCGAGAACTCGCGCGAACAACAAATTACTCGGTATAATGGTAATTACTACCTCCTCTTGTCCAGCACCACGTTTCGGCGTTACGCAACCCCGCAGGCAATGGGGTTACGAGGTTGCGGGAAGTCGAGGAAAAAGAAAGTGAATCCTATCATATTATAGTAAAGTTCAAGACGGGATGACAATATAAACAGGGGCGTGTATACGAAGTAATTTTAGTCAAAAAAAAATAACTCAGGAATTAATTATTTTAGAATTCGACCTATACGAATAGTCGGAAAGGACGTTTTCTTTTAACAATTTCTATAAATTACTTGGGGTAAAAGTAAACGATTCCAAATTTTGGAGGTTTGACGTAAAGACCGCTTAAAAGCCGACAAAATACGGAAAAAACAACGACCGTCAACACTTGAAGACTGCAAATAAGTAGTAGAGACATACTTATTTTGAACGGAATTCGCATTACCATGAGAATTGGGATGAAATCCCCATCGAAAAAGACAACTGCCTTCGGGGGAAGACGAGCAATATGGGCGGTTTGAGTGAAGTTATCATATTTTTATACGAGAGACCAAAAGGTTTTCAATAAGTTGACTCTCAAGAAACCCCCCAAACTTCAGGAACTCCTCAAGTTCGCCTATGGAGAGAATCGACTTCTGGAAACCCGAAACCGGCTCCAGAATCGAGTCCAAGAAGCCGTGGCCTTGAGGGGAAAAGGGTCTCCAATTTCAAGTGTTTACGGGAGCAATGCCTTCCATCTTGCGGGGATCTGTTCATGGATATATGGAGAATATGATTCGGGTCAATCCGAGTGAAAATACCCTCAGGGTTCAGCGGTTTTTGCGGCGAGTAATTGCGGGGTTTACATTGGGTACAAAACATGTGCGCGATCCGGCGCCGCATCCATCTGTATGAACAACATGATCGAGGGTTTTGAACATGCACTTTTACTCTCTTCGAGATCGCCGAGACTTGGGCAGGAGGATTTGCACGCGTCAGAAGACATGGGCAGGGTTTGAGGGACGGATAAACCTATGGATTGGGGTCAAATGTGATTTTTTAGAAATGAAAAACTGGGATTTTGGCAGGTATACAGGAAAATATACTCACCTATATGCTCAGAATTGCATAGAAGTGAGCCATGCAATTTTGACAAGGCCGAATTGTGAAAATAAAAATTGAATATGTTAATTTGATGACATCAGACTCCCCAATAATCATCAAATCTTAACGAAATAATCAAAAAAAGTCATTTTTGTAAAGCCTTTACTCTCACCAACCAAATATACAACCATTTTATACAAAAATTCAAGGTCGAGGTAATTAACGACGGCCCAAAGGAGGGGTGAAAGCGGCCGGGGGGTTCAATCCAACTGGAATCGCCGGGGCTTGAGCGCCTGGCCCAGATGGAAGGGACTGGACTGGGGCACTGGCATGGGCGAACAGATTTTGGAAGTAGGGAGAGTAACTGGTGGCAGGCCACTAAAATATGATTTGAAATTTAGTAAATTAAGTATAAGGGCATAAAATAAGAAGGGTAGCCAAGGATTATAAGGAAATGACTTACAGCAGCTGGCTGGGCTTGGACTCCACCAAAAACGGCGAAAACAAAACAGAAGAAGTACCTGAAACAATGTCAGAAAGTTAAGTCATCAATTGCTTAAAGTATTCATGATGAACTTACAATACACACTTGAACATGTCGCGCTTGTTGATCATCTCCCACCCGCCACCCACCCTTTTATACGGCCCGTTCTTCCCCTCCAAACCTATTGTATCGAATGTTTGCGCGTGGCCGGCCGGTTTTTTGCCCCATTTTGGGGTCCCAATCAAACAGGAGATCAATTTATTTTTGGCTGAACAACAGTTTTAGACAAGGTTCAAATAAACAACAACACGATTGGAGGAGTTGAGAAATGGGCCTATTTATTATTAGCGGTGACAATAAATATTTAGTTACACACCTGTCTTGGAGTTCAATAAATTGTAACATGGAATGTGAATTTTACTGACTTAATTAAATATTGATTATATACAGAACTTGTACTCGTTTTTGGTACTGATTTGCAATATTTTTAAAATAAATAAAAAAACGAAGTTCAGATTTCAAGACCAGCCTGAATGAGTTGTCTAGGTAATAATAAAACTACTAATCAGCAGTCTTAATTGCAAGTAGATAAACTAAATCATCATGTCGAGTACTGTTGCATATATTTTTCCTTCAGATTCTCCGCTCCGATCCATTGTTTGAACGCCCTCAGGTGTTGATGAGGCCTTTTGGCCCCGAATCTTGTGCAAATCGTCTTTTCGCCGGGCATCTTTGTCCCCGTCGGCTCCAATAATGTGCATCTAACCAGTTGAATACACTCGTTTGAGAAGATGGCCTCCTTCTGCACGCCGTAATCTGATAAACGGCTTAAATGCGCCAGGTCTGAAGGCATTGCCCTGAGGGTAAACTGGAAAAAATGAATAAATTTAATGGAGATACGAGTAGAAAACGAAATTTAAACAGCTCAGACAGGGAAATCTATAAGGTCAAATTTTAGGGAAGTAAAAAAATGTGTAAATTAATTGTAAGCAAAGCAAAAGGATTAAAAGTACGTAAAAGCTTACTTCCGTCATCTGAGGGAACAAAACTCGCTTGTGGTTGGTCTGTTTGTTACACTTCATATGCAGTTCTTCCACTCCATGCTGTCCAACTGTATCCACATAACATTGGAAAGCGTACCATCGACTTAATTTAACTGAACTTAAGGCCGCTACTATTAACTCGGCTAAGGCAACATCTATCTGAAATCAAGAAAGAATAAGGGGGTATTCGTAAAGAAAGATTGCAAAATACCATTAATCACAATGCCCACACTTACTGTTAAGCATCTAACAAAAGGAGCGAAAAATTGAATGGCCTCCCATAATGTATACACATCTTTGGAGGTCCATCTATCATCCACCATAACCACGGCACTCCGTTCATCCAGATGCATGTAAATGTTCGTCTTTTTGAGCTGATGGAAGTCTTCTGGAAAACCGTAAATATTTATGTTGCAATCTTCCCCGCATTTTACTTTTTTTATTCAAATTGCACACGTGTATATTTTTGTAAAGACACAAGTTTTTCGCTTTGAAAACCTCAAAACAATTCCTCTAAAACCGTACCCAAAAATCGTTGGGTACGAAAAGGTCCGCTGAGGAAAAAAGGACCGCTCAAATGATTTCGAAAATTAATTTTTCCGGACCGTTACTTGTTTCTCTTAGGTAGTAGTGTTGTGTTCTTGTAGATATAGGGGTTTTTGAGGGCGCTCATTTCAAAAATTCATTTTTTCTAAATCTTACATTTTTTAAGTTTCTCTATCTTTTTGTTGAGTATCTCTGATATTTAAGATTTGACACTCTCTAATATCTGTGACTTGACATGTGAAATGAGATATAATTTTGACATAAGCATAATGGATTGCCTGCAGAATATTAGTCGAAACAATTAAAAAAAAATCCTGTAAAATAAAATTGTAAAAATAAAAAGAAAATACTATGATTCTTAAAATCTGAGCCATCCGACTACCCCTTTATCCGATATTTAATGAGAATTGTTTGAATATTACTACTTTACACTACTGCTTCAGCAACATTGCAAGTTCCAGAAAAAATAATCACGATTTTTGAAATCAGCACACCGAGAACCTCTAAATCCATTATTCAACGAAAAAATTCAAAAAATTACTACTTAAAACTACTACTTAAGCAAAATTGTAAAATTCAGCAAAAATGGATACGATTTTTGAAATCAGCGACATCGATTACCCTCCCCCCGCCTCTTCCCCGCGGTCCTCTCTCCCTTTTTTTAGCGGACCTTTCGGACCCTTTCGTCCTCGATCGAAAGAAACATCCAAAGATCTTCAAATCTTCTCCAAAATTCTATTTGTGGCGAAATGCCACATTGTTTGGCCAGGAAGTAGTCAATCCAACTACGCTGGATTGACGTGCGTTTTATCATCATATCCGCCCAACTCGGATTAATTTTTGAGGTTTTAAAAGTCATAATAAAGCGTCTCAATCATTCTTGGGGGTCCAACAAGCTGGACGATAAAGGATAAAAGATCGGGCAGAATATATTCTTCCTTTAACTATTCAATTTATGCTGATTGTTCTCTAAATTTCTACCAGGTGACCTCCAAACAGTTTGTAAATGGTTTTCTCCAAGAGATCTCCAGATATTACAGCGAAACATGGCTTGATAAAAGTCATCAAAAAAGAATGCCCTTTGGTCAGACTGCACTCAACAGACGTTACAAAGCCATTTTTGTTCACAAAAAATAATTTGAAAAGTACAGTAAACATACCGTCTTCGTATTCGTCATTACTCAGCTGTTCCGTATCACATCGGAGGAGATCCAGATAGAATAAAGCCTTCAATTTATCGGTGACCAACTCATTTAACTGCCGATTTACTCTCCTCAGGTTGAGCAGATCGAATGGACTTAATTCTGTGCAAATCAGAGACCTGAAAAAGGGAAGAGTAACAAGTCAAATTTACAAAAATATTTACAAGAAATTTGAGAGCTCAATTTTTTGATTAACCGATCGAAAAAACAAGAGGAATTGGAGGGAAATTCTAGTGGTTCTAGTGGGAAGTTTAGTGATTTAGAGTGATTGTAAGACTTCTTCGATGGTTCAACATTTGTGTTAAAGTAATTGTGAGATATTTTTTTAAATTTTTCGGTTTTTCAACCCTGCAAATAAATTTTTTTGTATTCCGATTCCGAAATAATCCTCCAAATTGGGTTGTCCACGACTTAATTAAAAAGACTTACCAAATTTCGTTGGGCAAAGTAATTTGACCGTTCTGTTTCTTATTAAAACGCCTCGGGTTATTTCTCATTTCCTTGAATTTGGATCTCTTCCCCGCATTTAGAAAGATAACTAGTGACTTTAGTGTCCATATTGACGGCATTCTGAAAAATAATAATTAATTTATAAAACATTACTCTTAAAGATACTTCTCTATTGACAAAAGCTCCAAAGATCACAACGATGTCTGCGCGAAAAATGCGAAAAAAATGGTTAATTGCAACATTGAACAGGCAAAAAGAATAAAGTAAAGAGGCAACCTCCATGAGAACATGTTCTCCGACATCAGATCTCACAATGTAATTTGTATTTCCCGACGATTTGAGATAGAATTAATAGTCAAAATTTAAATAATTAATAATTTAGTCATCAAATTACTCATATAAAATAATACAGAGCTATTATTGCCATCTGCACTACATTTTCGATTCAAAAAAAATTAATTTGGTAAGCCACTGGCACTAATTGAAAAAAAAATTTTGAAAAAACGGATGGTCTAGTATAATGTCATAAAAATAGCTTATAAAAGTATCCATAACAAATTAGGAAAGTAGTCAAAATGGGATTGGATTCTGGGCCTAATGGATTTGCAAATAACCATGGAGAAAAAGGACCTTGTTTTAAATGATTAGAAGAAAGGTAGAGGGAAAAAAAGGACGGGGAGGGACCGCCTTTTTGAGAACATTATTATTACACCCTCACAAGGGAATTTTAGATCAGCTCAAAGCGGATAAAATACAATGCATGGAATGCACATGCAAAAAGAGATTATTGTTTTCTGCAGAAAAATGTAATACTTTGAAAGATTACGGTAACTTTTTATTTTTTTAGAACAAATTAACCAAAAACGTTTGAAAGATGAGCTGCAAAAGACTACTTCCTTGACATATACGAGAATCCTAGCTCGCGCTTTGCAGAAACAACCGAGATTTTTGGATCGAAAGTTGGCGAAAATTTGACAATTTTTGCCGAACTTCGGCACGAAAAGTTTCGTGCCTATTTCTACCACAGAGGGTAATGTTTCCACACAAAAATCAATCTTTTCCGCGCGAAATTGGCAAAGTTATGGCCAAAAAGTGTTTTTCCCTCTGACCGCTCTCCACGTTTAGTGTGCTCTCTCGGCGGCAAAAATCGTTGAATATTTCGGCGGCGCCTGCAAAGCGCGAGCTAAAACTTTCAGGAATTGATACTTAGTTCATGACCTGAGTGTCGCACTTGGGGTACTTCCCCTGTTATTAGATATAATTAGAGTTCATTTACCATTTAGTATATACGTATCTAACAAGATTAACTCAAAATAAATGTAAGGATCTGAGGATGATGTGGTTTCACAACCAAAAACATAAATCTTGTGCCATACATGAAGAAATCCTTGCTTAATGTCTTGGAAGGATTACTTTTTAATATCAAAGAAAGAGGAGGTTTCAAGAAAAATGTGGAGTCATTTAAAATGAGGTCAAATACCAAGCTTGACATTACAGTTTTCGAACACAAACCCGTTAAAAAGGTACTGTAAACATCAGAATAATTCGTAAACCCGATCATACTCTAGACTCTTAATTTGCAAAACAGTCATCATTTTTATCCTCTTTTCACTCCCAGAAACAGTAAAACCACTTGTCCCATTAATTCCCCTCACATCTGATACCTTCTCACAAACAAAAAGGTCTCATTTGTGAGTCCGTCCACGTCTTTCCTCCGTATCATCGTTCTGTCAACCCAATTCCCATGCAATCTGGTCACGGCCTAGGGCAAAAAAAAAAGAGATTAAAAACCTCCCCAAATTTGGAAATAATTTGGAACGGTGGTAATGGGAGCATCCGAAGAGGAGAGTAATATACGAAACGAGTAATGTTGTAAACGAGTGGAAGCAGCACAAATGAAATTTGTGATAGTTTTTACGCGAAAAGGAGGATAGCCATCTTGTTATCTTCAAATTACACATGGTCTGAGCAAATAAAAGCGAAAGAAGTAGATGAATATAGTTACTTTCGGACTTCTCATCTCTTGCCCTGAAAGGAAACCAGTCCGAATCATAAGGCGCGTGCAATATAAAAAATTATACTACCCCAAATCCCGGCTTTATTCTCCTCGACAGCTGAGAACAGGCCTCTTTTTCGAAGTAAAATACTTTTTAAAAGATTACTATGGAGAATATTAGATAAGACCGGACAAAAGAATGCGTTCTACCATATATTTCCCACGTCAATCTGCGTGAAATTGAATAACATTCAAGTTGGAGGAGGACAGCAAAAGTTTAAAAAGGAAAGTGTAATATGGAGCAGCTGGATGCACTGTAAATGTTGACAACCGCAGTAATGATTTGTTATGGAAATACGGCTGGAAAGAGATTGTTTTGAATGTTTATTCAGGTGGTTTGGGGAAGGGCTTGATTTGGTATTCTCTTCTGGTTGTAATAAAACGAAGGTTCGAATCATAACCGAGAAGAAAATGGACAGCGACGGGCCGTTTTGGGTAAGTAAGTCTTAAAAGTAATGTAGACGGAACTTTATAAAAACAGGAGAGCTTTAGAAATGACTTTAATTTAGCCATATAAGGATATCAAATCACGCAGTATTTTTATCTATTATACATTAACATCTAGAGAACCTTATTCCAGCGCCGAATTACAACCAGACGTCTAATCCAAGTCGTCGTTGTAATCGGGGTCATCGTTTTGCTGTACTTTGCCCTCAGGCCAAACACAAATGGCAATGGGCCGAATGAAAAGGACCTCTTTATGGGACCCAAATTTAGATTTATGAGTTTCAATTTGTGGTTTAATGGACACATGGTGAAGGACGGGCTTCAGAAGATTGCAAAACACATCAAAAAAGTGGATCCAGATGTAGTTGCGTTACAAGTAAGTAATTATAAAGTTGCGACAACATACACAAGGCTGTTAAGAGATTTTACGTTTTGACAAAGCAAAAAGGGAAGTACTTTTTATATTAGACATGTAGAAAGAGGTACCAGACAAAGGTATCCCTAAATCAAATATTTGGATAATTAGACAACTAAATTTATCCCAATTGAAGACCTAAACAGTCCATTTTTTTGGGCTAAACGATTTTGCCGACAAGAAATTACACTAGGCATAACAAAGAGATTATCGTGGGAGAGGGAGGGCTTTAAGACGTCATAGTCAACAACTTCAGGCCTTAAGGGCCGTATGTAATTAAGGAAAAGCACTGTGAATGCTGAACCTATGCGTCGTATCTTTTTTGTGATTATTTTTAGTCATCATGCTGATCTCATGATTACAGGAAATCCAAACGGTTTATGAACTTGATGAACTTCTTGATCTTCTCGGCCCTGATTGGAATGGCGCTTTTCGAGGGGGATCACGGTATGTGGATGATGCAATTATCTCAAGACACCCGGTAAGATAGATATCACGCCTTGAAAAAGAGTGCATTTTAGTTGAATTTCACTGAATCTTTCTCCCTCAACGCAGGTCTTGGAATTGAAATACTTCCGTCTAACACCAGTAAGGTCAGAGTGGTCAGTTTGCATCTGGATTGGCACAGCATGGGGAATTATGCCACAAATAATCGGCTGGTTACTTCCATAGACCAGATTTTGGCTGGGGAAAGCACACCACCTGTATTTAGTAAGTTATCAACTTTGTGCCAGATTAATACCACTTCTAAACTAAATAACAAGAGAAGGCTTCCAAGTGCGACGCTTTCATTTCCTAAAATGTTAAGCTCGCGCTTTTGCGGATATTCAACGGTATTGATTTGCGACAACTTTCACCAAAATCTAAGCGTTGCACTTGGAGTACTTCCCCTGTAAGTTTAAGAAAATTTGATGCTCTCCAGACCGAGTAGACCAAGTGAAGCAACTCCTCTCTCACCCGACTTTCAAACGGTGGAATGTCGAGTCCACGGATATCCCCGTTTTCATCGCCGGAGATTTTAATTCTGCTTCGCATTTAGATTGGGCCGAAAATAGAAAGTAAGGGATTACTTGTTTAACTAAAGTACGAGAGTTTTATTCATGGTCGTTTTGATTAATCATCACGTGATTTCAGAGAAGAGCACGGTGGTTGGGTGGTGGAATGGCCGACCACAAAGATGATCATGGATTCTGGATTCCTCGATTCCTTCAGAGTTGTCCATCCCGATCCGATCGCTGAACCTGGTATAATATAATTGTATTAATTGTATTATGTTCTAGGAGACACCTGGTCCCTGGTCGAGAAGCATAATTGGGAATGGAATCTGACAATCCCAGAGCCTCAGGATCGTATTGACTTTATTTTTTTCAAGTCCCCGGATCTTAGAGTTGAAGATTCTTATCTTTATTCTGGAGACGAGAAAGCGAATGTTCGTCCAAATCAATTTGAAAATGATTACCCGAGTGATCATTATGCAATGGTATCCGATTTTAACTTTAGAGCATAGGGATTTCCCACATAAATTTCCGATATAACATTTATATCCAAGTACATAAAAATTAATTCCAAGAATATTTTTTTTGTTTCAAAGTTGAGTCTTAAAACAGAACACCCCAAGGCGCTAACTATTATAAATGAATAGCCCTGCAGACCGCCCTTGATTGCAATCTCGATCCAACGAAAAGAAATTATTTTTCAATGACATTAAATAATTCCAAGTTGATAATAAAAATGCCCTCAGGGAATGGCAACAATCTGATGTTATCGAAATAAAACTGTAAGTTGTTTGATTGATTATTTTTTTGGCATATAATTTGTGTATAAACCGAGAATAAATAAATAAAAACCATCTCTCTCCAATCTTATCATTCCGGTCCATTAAAAAGACTGGCCATTTTTCGATTACCATGCTTCCGAAGGCGGTGATCTTCCAAATATTTTTGTCGATTGTGGGAGCTCAAGGAATTGGAAATGGATATCCCCTGAGGATAATGACGTTTAATATTTGGATCACGGGCGAGAATGTGGTCGATGGATTGTATAAAATTGCAAAGCATATCAGGATTGTGGATCCCGATATTGTAACGATTCAGGTTGGTTGCAAAATTGAAACTTAATTTTAAAAAATTTTACCACAATCTGCGGATTTTTTAAATTAAGGATTTTCTTTAAAAATTTACTTTTAAAATTGAAATCAATTTTTTTTCAACAGTTTTTAAAAATTTTAACAAGTTCACTCCTTGCTTTTAAATTTTGAGACGAATTATTCCAATCGATCATTTTCCAATTAAAAAATATTTTCAAAGGTCATCCACTAACTGATCGCTAGATAAATAAACAACGGCTAGTTTTTTGGACGCTCCGTACCTTCATTTTCTGCAACGGAATATCCCCAAAATTATTTTTCAGGAGCATCGCTTCAAGCTTGCATGGAAATTTCCAATTAAGAATACCAGAATCTAAAAGTTTTAATATTAATTTACAACAGCTGTCAGCTAAAACGGTAAATTTTTGGAAAATTTTAGGAGCTCCAAAGTAAAGAATTGTTTGGACAACTTTTGACTGAACTGGGCCTCGATTACACTGGAGTTTACCACAATTCGAGCGGTTATCCGGACACTGCGATCATCACAAAACACAAAATAAATGACGCCTTAACCTTTCAAACCTCCGCTACAATTGGAACAGAAATCGAATTGAAGTCGGGGATTGTGGTCAGATTCGTGGGAGCTCATTTGGCCTATAAAAGTTATGGTCCCTATGCTGCTTATAATAAATTGGTCACCGATATAAAACAAATCATGGCTGGGGAAACAAAACCTGACTCTTGGAGTAGGTTGAAAAAAAATTAAAATAAAATTTGAGGTAAAAAATAATATTATATTTTATTTTTAGATCGAGCTAAAAATATCAAGGATCTCATTGCCTCGAAATCTTTCAAAAAATTCGCCGCAGAATCTGATTCTCAGCCCTTTTTCGTATGCGGTGACTTTAATTCTCCTTCTCATTTGGATTGGACGGAAGAAACAAGGTTAACTAAACAGTTTTATGTCGTTAATCCTCAGTTTTTGATACCTTTTGATAGTTTTTTAGATCAAGTCACGGAGGATGGGTAGTGGAGTGGCCGGCCACAAAACTACTGGCAGATCAGGGATTTGAAGATTCTTATCGAGTCAAGAATCCCAATGTGACCAGCCATCCAGGTAAAATTAGTTCTGCCTTTAAAACTAAAAAAAATTTTAGGTTACACCTGGTCTACTGTAAACAAATCTCCCGAAGAATGGGATTTCACGATCCCCGAACCCCAGGATCGTATCGATTTCATAAATTTTAAAGGAAAGAGGATCCAAGTGACGGACTCGTTCACTTATTGTGGAATGGAGCCGGTCTTGCCCATCCCGAGGCACAGAAATAATGATTACCCGTCTGATCATTTCGCAGTGGTCTCGGATTTTGTTATTTTATAGAATAAAGAGCCTTAAAATATAATTTGAAATTGGATTTTAGAGCATGGTGTTTAAGAGAGACTTTTGTCTCTTATTTTTCAATTTTTATTTACACAGATTGAGATATAATTGTAACTAAATGCCGACGCCTTATTGTTAGCTATGTTATTTTATATCCTTTCCGGCTGCTTATTATCCAATGTTTTGGCGCTTACAAAACTCCGGGTGATGACATTTAATGTTTGGCACTCGGGAACTCACGTAGAAAATGGAGATACGAAGATCATACAGCAGATGAGAGACGTGAATGCGGATGTGTATACCCTACAGGCAATTTAATTTAATTCTGATTTGATGCGATCAAACGAACATTTTAGGAGATCCAGAATGAAACTTTTATCGAAATCATGAAAGCTTTTCCTAAATTTCATGGACGGCAATTTCATAGACATTCCTGTAATGTGGCCATATTTTCAAAACATAGAATCATCGCTGAGAAAACACCATTTTGCGGACTGGGCGTCACCATTCAAACGACTCCCGGTCAGAAATTTGAAATTATAAATATGCACTTGCAATTCCGAGACTATGGACCCGATATTTTGGAAACAAATCCAAAATTAACGAGCGATGAGTTGCTAAAATTGTCAAGTAAAAGCTGGCCGAGTAAGCAGTAATTCTGAGTCAGTAATTCATTTCTTTTTCAGCTCGTATAGCAGAAATTTCCCAGCTTCTAAAAGGGTTAGACGGGTCAATAAAAGTTCCAGTATTCATTACTGGAGATTTCAACACTCCATCTTATCAGGATTGGGGGAACGATACAAAGTAAGGAGGTTTTACGTACAAGGCCTTCATTAAAATTTAACTTCCAGGAATCGTCATCATGGTCTGACTGTTCCTTGGCCAGTTACGAAAGCCTTGAAAAGCGCGGGATTCGTTGATTCCTTTAGGAAAGTCCGTCCGGATCCAGTGTCCAATCCAGGTTGGCCCCATTCTTTTAACGAGAACTCCTTTTCAGGAATAACCTGGTCTCCCATCGGCAAAGACATTCCAATGGACAGAATTGATTTCATATTCTATAAAGGTCTCAGAATTAAAGTTAAAGATTCATTTACTTTTGTATGCAGAGGAACCCTAAATGCAATGCCCAATCATAAACAAAATTGCTGGCCATCAGATCATAAGGCTGTTGTTACCGATTTTCAATTACTGGTATAAATATATTTAAATACCGTAGCAAACAAATATAAATATTTTTAAAGATTGGAAGCAGAGTTCAGTCTGCAAAAGGCGACCTTGTACATTGAACTTGTCCAGGAGAATACCGCCAATTTTAATTCCAAAAGTACTCATAGCTTCATTGCATAGACTCCAAAAATATTCCAAATCTTTGCTGAAACCGATCGTACTGGACCCGATACGCTTTATTCTCCATTTTTGTGAAAGTGCAATGTCATGGAAGCTAAAGATCCGACTTTTCGAAAATAAAAGCAAAGGATTTTGATTTACATCCAATTAGCGACAGTTATATACATTGGAGGAGCTACATGAATGGCACTGCAGTCCAAGTTCTCCTGTTTAGATATGATATATCCGACGCTCTTGCTCTCTTCATTACCAAATCTCCTTGCAACTACAAATTTCCGTGTGATGACATTTAATGTTTGGGACTCGGGAACTAATGTAGAGAATGGAGATGACAAAATCATTCAACAAATAAGAGATGTAAAAGTTGACGTCTACAACCTACAGGTAATTTAGATTAAAAAAATGTAAGCATTCCTTTAGGAGATCCAAAACAAGACTTTTATCAAGATTATGGAAGCATTCCCACACTTTGATGGACGGCAATTTCATGTGGATACTTGTCATGTGGCCACATTTACAAAGCACAAAATAATTCTCGAACATGAGCCAATTCGGCGATTGAACGTTAGGATTAGGACTCACATTGGGAATGAATTTGAAATTGTAAACATGCACTTGCAATTTCGAGATTATGGACCCGATATTTTGGAGGCAAACCCAAACCTGACAACCGAAGAGTTACTGAGACTGTCGAGTCAGGCTCATCCGAGTAAGAAGCAGCGTTGCATAACTAAAACAACGATCTTTACAGCTCGTCAAGAAGAAATCGTCCGATTGCTTAATGTTGATTGGTTTAAGAGAGCTCAAAAATTATCATGGATCGTCCCGATAATCATCACTGGGGATTTTAACACTCCATCTGATTTGGATTGGCAAGAAGATACCAAGTGAGATGATCCAAAGACAATATAATTGTAATTTTTTCAGATCTCGTCATCATGGCCTTGTTGTCCCATGGCCAGCCACAAAGGCTTTAGAAGACGCGGGATTGGTTGACTCTTATCGGAAAATACATCCGAGTCCAGTTTCTGATCCAGGTAACTGCATTAAAAATTTTTTGAAACCATTATTTGCAGGGATTACCTGGAGTCCCATTACCAACAATATCCCCCTTGACAGGATCGATTTTGTCTTTTACCAAAGTCTCCGACTCAAAGTCAAAAAGTCCTTTACTTACACAGGCAAGGGTGTCCTCACCCCCATACCCAACCAGAAACAAAACAACTGGCCATCAGATCACAGAGCTCTTATCACTGATTTCTATTTACTCTAAGCCTCAGACTGCTTCAATATTCTTTATACAAACATTATTATATTAGATATAAAATACCCGTGAATTATTGAGATAAGGTGAAATGTGAGAACGCCCTCAAGTATAGTAAAGATCGTCGAAAGTCAAGGGACCCAGCAGATTTTGCCGGATGATTGATGGAGGGGGATTTTCATCCACGGAAGTGGCTGTGCTGGCCGTGTCATCTTCTGTTTCTTGATGAGCTACAGCCCCTAAAGGGCTCTTGGGATTATCTCGGAGCTTCTTTGGGGATTCCGGATTCTGTTCGTCTACTGATTCTACTTGAACTTGACCTGAAATTTGTTAGTTGTCGTAAAGAAAGGAGAAGTTTTATCATGCCTTCGAAGGTGATGAGAGGATATCATTTAAAAAGCGATTCTCAACTCGGAACTAACAAAATTACAGTTTTCTGAAAATCGAATTCAAATACGAATTTTGGGCTCTCTTTAAAGGACATCCCATCCCTTCCTTCCGAATGCATATCTCTCAGTATTCCAACAAAAATTGAGTCTTGGCGTAGCGGTAATAAAATTAGTTAAGCGATTTGGATAAAGCTTTGCAACTCATGAAAACGAAGCCGAAGCCACAGAAAAAACGGAAAGAGAGAAGAAAAAACAACCATCTCACGTACATAATAGTAATAGTATTACTCGTTTACAAAAAGATGACCACTTCTTCGGGGGCTTTCGGCGATTCTGGAGATTCTGGAAAGAACTTTGTTTTTTCTTAATTAATTACGGCACTGGGAGAACGGAGAGTGGGTGTGGAACTGAGGAATAGAATAGGTACACAGTTAGGGAGGACAGGTACAAAACCAGAGAAAAAATTACTTTATCCACAAGATATCCGAACGTGATCTAAGAACTCATTGATAAGATTTTTGTCAAATTTGAATCCGTTATTCTGTTGGTTTTGACTTGATGACGTCATAAAGTGCTGTTGGAAATGTTGCCAACCCTCGTGGGCCTTCAAACTTGCCTCCAAAACTCTATTTTGAAACCCATGAAAAGATGTCGGCGCACATATTTGGTTAGTAAAAAAACTATCAAGAAATGTAAGTAAAACAAAATTGAAATAATACAAACCATCAAAAAAAATTTAATTTATGAAAACCAAGACCTTATTAGGATGTAAGTAGCGTGCCAAGTGCGTCGTGCTTTGAGGGCCCTAATTATTGTTATTGAAATGGGAAAGATTAGGAAAAGTGTAAGTGTGGTGCTCTTCTCGACACGACCTGACCTTCTCATAATAATATTTTTGTCGGGAAAGGGCAATATTGATTATGAAAAGAACGGTCTGTCTGTGTGTTCAGTGAATGTATGTTGCATTTCAGTGCTTTCCCACCTACCTTTATCCGTCAAAAGCTCCGTCTTGTCTTCTGTTTTCCTCGATGCATTCGATGCTGATCTACTGATCGATTTGGAATTCGAATTAACGGGCATTTTAGCCATTTGTTGTTGTTGCATCGCCCTTGCAACGATCGCTTTGAATGTTGGTTTTAAGCTCGGCGATGTGATTGGTGGAGGAATTGGTGAAAAATTGAGATTCGAATTTTTCTGAACATTCGGAGTCGGCGACGGCCCTCTTGGAGAGGTTTTTCTCATCGATTTGGGCCTTAACTTATCGAATGTCGCAGCAAAAGTTGAAGTTAACGGAGTTTTGAGAGGGGTCTTCTGAATGGGCGGGGGCTCTTCTGGATTCTGGAACTTGGGTTTCCGTCGCATGCATGAGCAGATTACACAGAGGCCAAATGCAAGAAAAAACACTAAAAAATAAATACTTTTACATGACCACTTCCAGAATGACTTTAGAAAATTTTACACTTACCCACACACACTCCGTTCATCAAGAAGAACCCGATCAGCATATCCATTTCCCCGGGCCCATCCGTATAATCCTTGGACCTCATTTCCGTATAATCGATGGCCTTATCCGGCCGTAGATCACTGAAAACAGAATATAATCATCAAAGAGAAGACAAATTTATAAAGACTTTGTTAATGCGTGTCAAAGACCCTGAAGGCATAAGAAAATATATCTCCGAAACCCGACTCCCGTGACATTAAGGAGAGAGTTCGCCGGAGGGAAAACGGAACAGCTGGTTATAAAGAGGAGAGTGTTACAAAGCCGGGACATTTCGTTTTGATGTTTTTTGAAGAGATCCGGCATTTATGGATGCATTAATCCCCGAATTGGCTCAATTCATGAGCCGCAAATTGTTTTTTGGCACCATTAAAAAGAAGAGAGCAATGAGAGGGGCGTGAGGAAGAGATTTTGGAGACTTGGAACTTACCTTTTTGCCATACGATATGGGCAAAAACACAGAGAAGACGTATAGAGATAAGTGTGTATTTATAAGGGAAAGAAGACTCTAGATATATCAGTCAACCTCTCCAGATGTTTAAATAACCTCAGTTCTACCCTCTTTCTCGCCGGACTCCCAGAATATCGAATAACGTCGAAAAACTAGAACAATGTTAGACCAAGAATGACTAAAAAGTAAGAGAGTTACTGTATTACCGATTACTTATTACTACCGACATTTTTGGCAACAAGATTAGTAGTACTTTCACACGGCCAGAGCTATTCTTTTAACACAATTAGAGCCTTACTTATCAGTCTGATTCTGAACCATCACTGTGACCGCCTCGTATTTATAAAGCATGGCGAGGAAGAGGAATAAATCTCACAAATTGTCCGTAGAAAAAGCGAAGTAAATGAAAGCTGTTACTCATAGACAAAATGCCGACTTTTGTGTTTGAGGATCCGCCACTTATGACGTCATCGAGGAATCGGGAAGCCACAGAAAACACGGGACTTTTTTGAACAAGTTTCGCCAAAAAGAAACCATTTTCGGCAAAAACAAAGGAACTTGGCCTCAGGGCCTGGGAGGGAAATATTCAAAAAGTAAACCGGAAGAAGTTCCTGCTTATTTTGAGAACTAAAAAGAAGTTGGAAGTTAATGAAACGGAAACAGAATCGTCACAGAACCACTTACAGAACGTCCTTCAACATCTCCAGCAATAAAATATATAAGATAATGGAACCCAAATTTAATTATGAAATATAATTGAGAATGCAAGAGCCTAGACTATCGTTATTTCTAAACAAATTGGAGAAATTGTGGGAAAACGAGATATTTTCAGAATTTCTAGTGAATAAAGACTATTATTATTACATGTTGAGCAAGCATGACGTATTATGTTCAACAAAACTTGTTTCATAGATGAAATAAGAGACCTCAACGTAAGGAGGAAGGCCACTGGCAATTCGACCAAGCCAGAAAACAGCACGCAAATTTTGGGAATTGAAATTTACTTTTTTAAAAAAACTTGTTGCTATACTATGTACAAAAAAGTAGCCGTGAAAGCCTCGAATTCGAAAGTAGAGACTAAATTCAAAGTGAAAGCCAAAGCCAAGCCTTCAAGGCAATAACAAAATAAAAGGAACTAACTTTAAAGGACGGCTTAACTTCTCATCATCAACAAACTTACTGTAGGAAAGTCGAGACATTCGAATCCATCACGATTCCCATCTTTTTCGGCACTTTTTTAAGTGAATATAAACGATGGAGAGCTGTTAATCAAATTGAAATTAACTGAACAATGGCCAAAGAAAGAAGGCCATTCCGCGCACATTTCTACTTTTTGTTTCCAAATTGATGGAAAAGAGAAAAGTAAAGGGATTAAAAAGTTGTTGTAAGGGACTTTGGGCATAAATAAATTAAACTTTCGCTGGGAAAAACTTGGAATGAATTAATTTTCCCAATGATATTTGATAGTACGATTCATAAGCTAAGCTCTTGTTATGCAGTAAAGTTGAGGGTGGAGAGTTGCAAAGCAGTTAGCAGAATTATGAGACCTACTCGTCCGTTTGCAAAGTCGCAGGGGTGATTTTTGCCGTTTGCACTATGCAGAAAAAAATAAAGGGGAAGGGACAGCCAAAAGAAAATCCAGTTGCACGAAAAAGGAAGCAATTGCAATGCAGAGTGCGATTTTCCTTTATATCAGCTTAAATCACTTCAGCGACTTTGTGAACGGACTGCCTCTTTTATAGTAGTTACACGCTAGGAGACGAAACAATATGACACAACTTAAACTTACGGAAGGTTAAAGTGTGCCATGCAAACAAGTTGGGCTGATAAGAAAAATCCTCTCTATATTTTGCCCGACGGTTCACCTATAAGCCACCTTATTCCACCATGACTTAAATAAACGAATTCCTAAGGCGCTCCCCTTGAAGCTGAGAAATGACCATTTAACAGTAATCTTGACCGCTCGTGAGCCCCGAAGATTTTGCCAGGTCTCCTTTAAGCCATTTGCACTCAAACAAATGCTAAAGGAAAGTCAGCTTTATCTACTCCTATACTACCGTAAATTTTATAATTTTTGCTAAATGTTATAAATCGCTGTACCCGTTGTATGTACATGACGTTCTATACAACAGACCAGTCGAAAGTGGCGCTGAGACAACCCTTCCCGCTTTTCCTCGTCTTCCTAATTTGGCCTTAATTCTTTTGAAACATTTTGGGCTAATCAAGGAGAGGAACTCCACTCCTTTTCGAACCCCTGAACTCCGAACATTCGGAACAAAACCCCTGATGTTCGAACATAACATCCATCTGACCCGAATATTATTTATGGTTACTCAACGGAAGGGCCCTCAAGCATAATTCCCGACTGATACCACGAAATTTAATATATCCTCTGGGCCGGGAAAATGCCTTTTCTTATTTTCGAGTAGCAATGTGTTAGTTCTTGCTCAAATCAAAACACGGTGACAATTCGAAAATAGAATTATTTTGGGAAGAATTTGATTTTTCGGTCAAAACAATAATGTGAGGAGAGGGCTGCAGATCGCAAGTGGTCGTAAACAAAGGGAATTTAGATTTGAAAATTCTTTTTCGTATCCTATGCAAGATGTAGATGTATTAGAGACTGCTTTGAAGATCTCTGTTAGTAAGGATAGAATATTAGAGGTGGAGGAATAAAATTTATTTTGCTTTTGAGTTAAAGACTACCTCCAAGATAACTGCTACTTTCGATTGAAAACGAAACTTTAAAAGTGACGTCATACTTACTTATCTCCTCCAGCAGCCGTTGCCAACGCTGCCTGGAGCCACTCCTCGTCTGCTCCACCTTGTTTTTGTTGCTGTAGCACGGTAAGGAGGGCTGCCTTATAGCTGGGTTGACCGTCCGCTGTGAAATTGACAAGAGTGGCGGCAGCAAAACGATTCATATCAGCTGAAAGTACTTGTAATAAAAGACCCCGAAGTTAATAAAATTGGAGAAACTTTGAAGAGATCCTCAAGTACGTCGTTGATATTGATTTTCAACGTTTTTAAAGTTGAGATTCTTCAAAAAAATGTGAAAAATACGGAGTAATTGCACGTTTATATGTGCGGGACTCTTTGCGAAGCAATGTTCTTTGTATGCCAAGCAAATTTGATAGAAAATAGTGTCGGAACATACGATAATATCAACGAAAATGAGAATACTTTTCAAAAATCTCAAGTTTTCCTCGCCATGTCCGCAGGGCGTGAGAAAAGGTCGGAGGAAATCAATTGGATTTCCTCAATTTGAATGCCTCTGTCATCAAACACAAGTTCATTTGTATGTTTCTAATGGCGTCAATGTTTTTGGGGTTAATTACGGGAGCTCATTATTAATACTCAAACTACATATAATATATGTAAAAAGCAACCTTTCATTTGGGGCAGACCGAGTAAGGATCGAGTTTTCGTGGCCATGTTACAAAACCGTTGTGCCAATGAGTTGACATTAAATCCAATTTCTTTTGCTAGCCAAAAGATTCATTTGGCTAGCTAAAGCGTTAGAATTCTGTGGATAGCGAGCCAACATGAATGTCAAAGAATAAGACGGGCAGCCAAATATATAAATGGCTGCTAAAAAAGAAGATTGGCAAGTCATTGTGGGGTGGCTGTAGAATGTTTGGCATGTCGACTAAAGCCGATGGCCAGCCATTTATGCAATTTGGGAATCAAAAAGTGGGGAAATGACAATCGGGAAGTCTAAAAGATATACTTCTTTATTGCCTGTAAGTATCTAATCGGAGACATATCGGAAGGTGGAGTCACACGTTCTGACACGAATCTGCAGTCCACTGTATGACTATAGCAGTGTTCCGATTAAGAAATTTTTTACTTCTTAAAAAATAAAAAGTTTCCCTAATCTTTGGTACTATTAGTAATCAACCTTCAAAACGTCCATTTTCCCACTCTCAGAACAGTCCGTCAACTAAGCCCTGAAAAATAGTCGGAGTGGATGACTAGCCATATACGGGATGTGGACTGCTTAAAACATATTTTCTCTTGCAAAATATAATAAATAGGAACACGAAAATGACGTCATAGTGTCATGAACATTATTAAAATTTTAAAACGGCTGCTATTGCTTCTAAATAAAAAATTTTTAAACAGAGAACATTAAAGTTTTCATCATGATGACCTCTTTTTTTAATGCATCAAGTGGTTCAATTTGCTCTACACAGAGACAAAATGAGTAAGAAATAAACCTGCAAAAAACTTTGCTCCTTAATTAATTTTTACTAAAAACACGCGAGTCTTATAAGAGTTCCCGTAAATGGAATTAAGACACCGGCAACAATGCTAATAAAACTTTGTGAGAATATGTGGCCAGGATGATGAAAATAAGGTGGGAGAACTCTTTGAAAACAGAGTCGAAGGGGAAAAAAATTGTAATTTCAATACTTGAAGGTATGAAGAGGCGAATTTGATGAAAATACATTTTTTAAAACTAAGAAAACAGTGTAATATAAAAGAGATGTAAATTTTGACTACATCAATATAAATGAACACGTCCTTTGGTCTCCAAACTACTCAAAAGTACTTTTTTGTAACATCATTTACAAGAAAACTCCTCAAAACAAATCATTTTCCGTCAATCCCTTCCGGGCATTTTGACAAAAAAAAGAAGAAAACAATGAAGCCTTGGCCAAGAAAACCGTGTCCCAATTTATGTGTCAAAGACATGATTAATCGCCTCAGGGCCGGCGGATTTTCCCGGCCCCAACTTTCAAGATTTTAATTATTCATTTATGTAAGAAAGAGGTGGTAAAGCAAAGATTATACATCTTGTTGAAGGAAAACACACGAGGAATCTCCACACCTTGTGATTCCAAAAGCAATCAACACCTGCATCTGCTTTGAGATATGTTCTGGGTTTATTGCCCATTTATAATGGTTATGAAATTCAATCAAAATTCGGATTGATTGATTGATGGATAACAACGAAAGAAAGGGCATTCTTAGAGTTTTTATTAATTAAGGTAAAACACGCTTACGGCCATACTGGTAAGACTATCCAGGGTAATGGAGGAACAAAGAGGGACACAATTTGGAAACCCCAACAACTTGAGCTTATTCTTCGAGATGACAGAGTCTCCAATAAAGTAATATCTCAGAAAATGATGTCTGCATTCATAAAAAAGAAGGACCTATTCGTATCTACCAGGAACTTGGAGTTACTCGAATAATTAAGATTCTCCTCTTATAAACAAAATTATTTTAAATTTCGCTTTTATTACATTCAGAATAAAACTATTTCTATAAAAATTATCATCCTTTTCTGATTACAGCCAGTTCGATGTAATACCAATAATATTTATGACTTTTTACACCTTTAAATTAAATCTTACTTACCGTCAGTTTGATTGTTGACATCCATGTTTGCAACCATTTCAACTGTCCTTTCAAATGCAGCAAAACTCTTTTAAAGTCTAGGATAAGAAGTCTGGCTCTGTTGAAGAAAAGGGAATCGTCAATTCAATCAAATCTCTATTTCATTTTCATCTTCTTGTGTCCTCAGGGCCCGGCGTAATTTGATCCAAAAAATCAGAAATTTTTTTTCGAAATGGCCGGAACTTTGTGCCCTCAGGGCGAAGTGTCGGATTGCCGCCATTTTATCAATATTTTGAGAACTTTCAGTACGCTAAAGACAGTTGCAGCTGGCAGAAGAGTATTGTCTTTCCTCAGGCAATTTGTCTAAAGATTAATCGGTTTTTATGAGTTCTGGACAAAACCGGGGTTACGTAACCAAGCAGTTTTATATGTTATTTTCTAATAATGGGTTGATTTTTCCATTGTGTTCAGATGGTACTGTCAAACTTCTAAATATACATTATTAGAAAATATCCCAAACTTTTTGGCTTCATTACCCTGATTTCCGATTTTGTCATGGTGCCGCCTTTTCGATTCAAGTTTAAAATAATAAATTTGCAAATTCGCAATCAGTTTACTTTTTATTTATCAATTCTGTAAATATTCTGATGATCAAAAACAATGTAAAAACGGTGGGGGAGGGAGGGGGAGGGAGAAAAAAGTCCATACAATTACAACCTGTGAGAAGAGTAAAGGCAGATGTCTACGAAAAGTTCACCGGATTCAGAAGATTTTAAGAAAATTTCAGGTAATTCGAGGAATCTGAGGAAAGAGCAATCAGTGCGGAGAATATTAGTGATGGGAGAGATCTGATGACATTACCTTAGACGATAAAAAAAGAAACCATCAGAAGACTCTCCCAGCAAGAGAGCGGTATTAAACGAAGAGGGTACCAAAGAGCAAGATTGGCCTAAAAAATAAAAAAAAAATGTAAGAAATATTGAACTTTTTATGTACATGACTTCACCGGGGTACGATCGTTCAAGTAGATGGAAAAAAAGACATTCAAAGTGTGATATGCATTCAAAAATCTAGAAAAAACTACGCCTGAGTGTGTATTTCGGGTCTATGGGGCCAACAGAAGGGACTACTTTTATTACTATCCAAGGGAAACGGGACGGGGAGGATCAAAGTCTGGGATCGGTGGACAAGCCCGACCCAAGCTCTGGACATCCTCGCGAAGAGGCGATCCAAATGACATGCCAGTCGAGGGGGCATGGAGCGAGTCGGGCCGCCAATTCCATAAGGGATGCTAGCGGGTTTGCCTGGGGTCATTTACGAAACAATACGGTACTTACAGTCTTACAATTTTAGTCAAAAAAGGGCGCGAGCGAAGGCCCAGAAAGCATAATGCCTCAGGGCATCTTCGCGGATTCAATGGCTGACGTTCAATGGTTTTGGGAGTAGCGCTGGGCATAAGACTTGGGTGGGGTAAAGGGGGACTATTTGGGGCTCTATTCGAAGGCAATGAGAGAAATGGACCGGGCGGGGCTATAATATTTCAGTCCGAAACTTGAAATATTTTGTCAAAAAAACCGGATGCATTGGGCGATGCTACAAAAAACAAAGTGGCCAATCATTTAAGCAAGAGATAAAGCGGGATTTCAAATTTAAGCACTGGATTGCGATAACCGGGTTGGAAATCAAGAACTGGATTAACGGAGAATAAGTGGGCAGAGACAATCAACGGGACAACATTGGATGTGTGGGGTTGAAGAAGAGGGAAATCGAGTCGAGACTCACCGAAGAACGGGACCTCCAGACTCGCAATTGGAATATACCGGGGCTCAGAGCAAAATGTACAATGTATGGACGTGAAAGCAGAGAATTACAGGGCCAAGGGGCTTAACAATGTTCGAATCAGTCAGAAATATGAAAGGAAAACAAACTTCTAACAACTAGCGCAACTAACAAAAGATTCCGAGGTCCGACTACAGTAATCCTAACGTATGGGTGTAAAAGTTGAGATGAGGTTATTTACAAAACACATGTTCAGTCAAGTAGTTAGAGCTCCATGGTGACATTTAGAGCTCTCTCTGTCTACCTGCCGTAACATGACAAAAGACCATCGGAAATCAAAGGAACAATATGCTAATAAAAATAAAAAATATTAGTATGAACTATCAATGAATGACGTTGCACTAAAATTACATACGGTTTTAACAGCGAGGTTAGACGACGAGGCGCCGCACCCTGAGGGCACGACGCTGAAAAGCATGATTACAATAAAATTGGGGAAAGACATGAACAATGTGGAGTAAAGTGTGTCTAAAAAATAAATTTTGTTTTTAGGGGACATTGATTAAGGCTTAAATGGGTGCGGAGAGAAGAGAAAGGGCGTTGAAAGAACGGTGGATTCTATTAAAGAAGGTTTCAGAAGCTCCTGATGATGAAAGGGTTGAAAGAACGATGGATTATTAGAATTAATTTAAATATTCAGTTGTTTTGGTGCTCTTCCTTCACTTGAACTGCATCCTGCATTGCCTTCTGAAGGCTGTTAACGAGCTCCGACGCTTCGGTGGCTTCCAATTCGTCTTCATCGTGCTGGAAATCTTCACGATTCGAAGTCAAGGGAGCATTATGGCTGCCGTTCACATTCAAAGCCTAAAGTATTTAATATATTGAATAAAGATACTTAAGATTACAGGTCAAATTACACGACAAAAATTGTGAAAACTTACATGAAGCCAATCCAGTACCATTCGATTAGTTTGGGCGATGTTGGGAGGCAAATTGCTCGAGGAATTGTGCGCATTCCCTCCGGGCAAAGAGACTGGAGCCTTGGAAAGGGCCAATAAAGAGTTCGCTTCAGCAATCGGAGCATGCGACTTCATGGGTGTAGCTGGAATTACAGCTTAAATCCCTTGAAAAGGACTCTTACCGCGCTTGAAACCATCCGATTTGCTGTTGGCTGACGAAGTGTTACAACCGTGCATCACAACGCACTTCCTCATGTGCTTTTCGAGAGTCGAGTGAACACTGAAGGGCATCTTACAAATGGTGCAATTGAATACTTCCTGAAAGAAACGTTTTTTACAAATTCACGAGAATAACAACATCTCCGTTCTCTTACTCCGAACTCACCTTCCCTTGCTGACCATGTGTTCTCATATGTCTGGTCAGTTTACTGCTCTGAGCACAAGCATACGGACAGAGGTTACATTTGTAAGGCTTCTCTCCAGTATGACTTCGCAGATGAACGATCAGATTGGATCTGTTTGTAAACACCTTCTGGCAGTAGTCACACCTATCCTTGCGGGCTTTGATGTCCCGTCTAGCAGCAGGCTCAGCAAGCTCTCCATCATCGACAACTATGAGGTTGTTCTCATCATCTTCAAGATTCCCTTCAGCTCCACCAGTTGTGGTCGAATGGACAGCTGGAGAAGTCAACGCAGAGTTAACGTTGATGGCCGAGCAAGAGTTGCGACTTGGAGTCATCAAACGGGGCTGCTTATTAGGAGAAGGCCCTCCGGCAGTGAATGAGTTTGCATGAGGCGATCCTGTCGATGGAGTTGCTGTTCTCCGTCGAGGTGATCCCCCCTCCAAAGCAGAGGTGGTCGCTGCTGCAGCGGCTGCAATGGCAGCTTCAACGGTGGTTGTTGGAGTCTCTGGATTGGGGAGGGTAGACATCGGCAGTGTTGTGCTCGGCAAGGAACTTGACGTTGAGAACGACAACTGATTATTTGACGCCAGATTTGAGGCAATCCCATTGAGAAGGAACGAGGCCGCATTGCTAACACCAGTCAAATTAGAGTTGGTGGTTGGTGGGGGATTCTCCAAGGAATTCAAGCTGTTCAGAAGAGACATGGCATTCGGATTGCTGTAATATTCCTGAATTGATGACAAGTGTTGAAGGAACGGGTTTTGGACACTGCTCGGCCGTTGTTGTTGCTGCTGTTGTTGTTGAAGGGCATTCAAAACAGACGACAATAAAGGAGTCGACGACTGAGTCTGTTGACTCACAATATTGGCCAACAACGACTGCGTACTCAGAAGGCTGTTCGAGACAGAAGAAGAGTTCTGTTCGTTGGCTCTTTCAGCACATTCCTTTAGTCTTTCCGAACAAAAAGTATTCAAATTGAAGGAACTCCGACTGGCCACAGGTTTGTTGCTGTTCTTGGGTTTGGGTGTACTGCTGGCAACCGCCTGAGGACGCGGAACGTAGGTGGTCTCGTTCTTGAGGAGTGAGGGATCAAGATTCTCACTGAAAGACCCACTGCTTGGGATTTCCTCGGCCACTTTGAGGTCATGAGCAGCTGATGCATGTTGAAGGAGAGCCCAAACATCATTGTACTTCCTTTTACACACCCGACACGTGGTAGAGTTTGCGTTGTGGGCTAAAAACGTTAATTGTTACAATAGGGTTGGGCTTTTATTGATCAGACTGCTGTTTTTATGACCTCAGAAACTATTTCTTTTGCTTCTCAGTTTATTTATGCCCAGAATGTGCCCTGTTTTTCGCTTGTTTTCTTTTTGCTTCGGACTTTTGGTAGAGAAGGGGATTTGGCTAGACTCGTATATCAAAAACTGTTTTCGGCATTTTAGAAAACGGGCGATTGTCCAAGCATCTGTCCCGTCAGAAAAGGATTGTGAAATCAACAAAAAAAACCTCCAGAAGACCTGAAGATTCATGTTTTTGCGCGCACTTTTGGCGCCATTACTAGTATTCGAAAAAAGGCGCGAATTCAATCCGCAAAAAAAGAGAGGAGCCTCGGACATTTGTTACGTTGGCAAACAGCCCCGAATGTTTTGTTTGGTGGAGAAAGTGAAAGAAGAGAACAGTGGGAGCGACCGTCCCTCGCCCCGGGTCAGCGAAACAGAAAACCGACGTGATCGGGGGACGATAACGTGAACAAAAACAGCGCAATATAAAAGGGGGTTAGGTGAGAGCGATGAAAGGTTTGGGTGAGAGGTCGCTGTGTATACAACTGAGACGCGAGGCCAATGTACGGGTGAGAGAGCGTCCTCCGTTCATGCCCTCAAGCAGGAGAACGCCCGACGTTAAACAACCGCCAACGTTTGTTCAGCGATTTGGCGTCGTCGTTCGCTCGAAAGCCCACGCTCGTAATTCTTTAAATAACCATTGGGTCGCGGTCATGCGCAATATTACAAAAACGGCCCTAAATCATCGCTTTAACGAGCTCTCCGGAAACAAATTCCAGAAATTACACGCTTTAAAAGTAACGGCGACGTGCTGCGTAAACTCCAGATGGCCCAACAAATTAAAACCAACGATTTCTGGAGCGCCGCATTTAAAAAAAAGAAGTTATATTGAGACAAGATAACGGGTCAAAGAAAAGTTTGCAATGAATTAAGAAGATGTAACACGAAAAGGATTTCAAAGCCGTAAACTTACAGTTACTTTCCGTCTCGGTTCCAACTTCTTTTCCAGGCAAATTTGCTGACAATGATCTCATTAAAGGCAACTGACTCTCCGAATTGGTGGGTTGTTTCCTTCGGCCTCGAGTAGAATCCGTGAAGAGGGTTGTCGACAGATTACTCTTTTTATTTACACTCCGACAGAACGTCACCTTATGTTCTATAAAGTTGGCAAAGTCCGACAACTGGAACTCTTGTCGACAGGACCCACAGACAATCATGTCCCTGGCTGAAGTCTCCCTCCCACCGGTCGTATCCGTGTCCACTCGTTGACTGAATTGCTCAGCATCTCTGGAGTTGTCCATCTCCTCATCCACATCATCGTCTTCCACATCTCCTTCCTCTTCCTCTTCTACATCATCTTCTTCAGCAATCCCAGCCTCTTCATCCTCATCGTGTTCCTCGTTGTTGGAATTGGAGCTGGTCCGCCGCCTACTCAGCGGCCTGGATCGTCGGCGGGATGAATCTTCGCTCATTTCGGAGGCCGAGCTCTCGGACGGCGAGGCTACGGCATTCCGTGGATCCGATGAGACCTGAGCATTCGGTCTTTTCTCGTCCTTATTGGCTTCGTTGATGTCCATATCTGCGTTGGATTCAACTCCGCTGTCTGAGGAGGCCATGGGCGTTCCTGGAATGGTCATTTTTTACTTGATATTTTCAGCTCCAAATAGATTATGATAATGATTAACAAATGGCCGGAAAATATAGCCTCGTATACTGTAATTTTCACGTTGGGCCCCGAGCAGACTCCCGACGAAACGAGAAAACAAGTGAAAGTGAACATAAAAGAGACTGAAATAAAAACGGCGACCGAACGACCACTCGGTCGTTCCTTTGCCTCAGCCGCCTCACTCACCTGTGGGTTTGTCCGAGTTGGAAGGGCCGGCCGTGCTCGACGAGGAGGCGGGCGTTTCGCGCGCAGCGTTCGCGGCCGGGCTGTTCTGGAGCTCGTCGTTCTTCTTGAGCTCCTCGACCTTCTCCTCACCGACGCCACTGTCCTTCTTCTGACGTTTTGCAGTGGTGGAAGGGGTGGAGGCGGTTCGACCGGCCTGGCCGGCTAGACTGGATGTCGAGGTTCTCCATCGGGCCGTGGGGGTTCCGTTGCCGGGCGACGCAGATGTGGCTGCGGCTGTGGCAGTGCTACTCATTCGACGTTGTCCCGAGGTAGTGATCTCGTAGACTGTCGTATCACCGGGTTTGTTGAGTAAGGCAAAGAATGGGGGAGTCTCTATGGGTTGGCGAACTGGTGGTGGTTAGGTCTCTTCTATAGACATCAGAATCCGCAATTCCGACAATCTATGCCAAAACACCGGGCTGGACCACTGGGCTCTCAATGGATCTGATTGAAAGAGCCGAAAAAAGTACCAATTAACTGGAGTAATTTAAAAACACGAACGCCCGATATGCACGATAATAACGCAAATAACATATGACAGAATACAGAATTCACACGTAGTGTTAAACCAAAATGCCTAAGGACAGATGTATGAAAACGTAAATATGTAAAGTTCTTTTCTGGCAGAGACACGTTTCAGGCCGGTTACTTTGTTTTTTTTCTTTTTGTCATGGCCAAAAGGAGCCAAGACAACGTCCACGAGACTCTGACAACAAATAAACCGAGGAAGTTAGACACCAGTCAACGCATTCCTCGCTCGCAATGGCCGACACAATCCACAAAAACATCAGACACAACAACAAAAAACAGAGACCAAACAGGAGAAATTGGAGACATTAATTTGCACAAGTGGTATTGATGGTCCCTCGTGAAGGTAATTCGGGAGAGAAAAGCATGACCAACACAAGTCCATAAGCGAGAACGGCCGAGTGAGAACGGCCGTGGCCAGATGACGTGCTCGCGGCCGTCCACCAACCCTTTTCCTGGGGCCGCGTGTCCACCAGGACGGCTCTGGGCGCGCTGTTGCAACGCCACGCTATTTCCGCGGGCACCTTTTGGGTATGTGTGTGCTGTCTTTGGGCTTCACCTTTTTGTGTGCTTGTTCTTCTACTTTTTTAGCGAAAAGAAACAGAAAAATGCTGGCCGTTTCCTCTTCAAGTCCGGCCCCAGTCCGTTCCTCTTCTTTCATATTTTTCTCTGTTTTTTCGGGCAAGTGTTGAGCCGGCCAGTTTCACACACACATGCATGCCGAGAGATGGCCACAGGGCATAGCCAGCGGGGAAATGCCGCAACGTCCAGGCGGCCCAAATATTTTTTGGGTGGCTCGCGGCCTTAACTGAACTCGGGGACCGTTTTCCTTTCCTATGGAGGGCGCGCCAAAAATACAAATCCAGAGCAACCAAATAGCCATTCGGCCCGCGGGGGAAGGAAGCCCAGCCGACAAAGGGGAATATCTGAAAAAGGAGGGCGAGCGGCCGAAACAGGGGGCAACGGGGGACAGTGGGTGGACCGTAGCCAGGAAATGCCGTCGGGCCGCCGTGTTTTTTCTGATGACCGAACGAGACTTGGAATGGGATGGAAGAACGAAGAAAATAAAACAGCATGACCGCCAAATGGACTTTCGTTGTCGGCGGACTATAAAAAAGATAAACGAACACTGGCGGCCATAATATCTACGGCATTCCTGTGACCGCGAACACACACACGTAAAAATGGTAAGGGGAAGCAGAAATTGGACGTGGAACGGCGGTGAGAATCGAGATTGAAGTGTCCGGAAAATCTTCTCTTTTTTCAAGAGTCCGGACTGTCCTTCAGCCCCAGAACACACACACCAAGCTCACAGGAAAGGTTATTTGCGCAAGCGCCGAGCCTCAGGGCCAACCCCTATCCAGCCCTCACGCAAACACACGTCGTCTTCAACTCTAACCCCTGCCAGTAGTTTGTTTGCGAACGGCCATGCAGAACGACTGGAGAAGACGGTCGGAAGGACCGAGAGCGGCATGGACAAACATGATCATGGACGCAAAACATCCCATAGTATCCCCTGCTGTCAGAGAAGTGGAACGATGCGCGAGAAGGAACGATGATCCCTTCTACAGAGTATAATCGGCCGCACTCTCGAGTGAAAGCGAGGCGGACACCACTTAAATTTCCTCCTATCAGAGCGGAGACCACAACTCACGGAACGTTTCCTCCAAAAAGACCACAAGTTGCGCAACGTCTGACCCTCCTGTCTCTGCCACACCTGGATGATCATGGGGCGAGGCAAACAAACATGATTCGCCTCTCAGTGGGGTTCCAATCGTCCCTCCGGGGCGGGTCGAGAGGCGATCGTTCCAAGACCTCCACGTCCTCGCTTCCGACCCATTCACTCACTTAATAGGCGACGGAAACACAGCGCGCAACTCGACCAAAAAAAGGAATCCAGAAACCGAAGGTAGACGTTCACGCGACTCAAAGGTCGTTCACGTTGGAGCGGTCGGTCGTTAAGTGCCCGGACCCTTTTATAGCCCACCCTGCGGACGGATGATTTGTGAGGTCCGCAGACATCAGGTGCAGAAACATCTCACGGCCTGCTCGGGTCGTTAAGAAGATGTTCCGTCGTTCCACAAAATGTCCACGGACCGTCCGGCCGGCCGGCCGTCCCTCCGGCCATCCCTCCAAGACCGCCGGCCCGCTCTTTTTTGAACGAGAGGAGGGGGGCGAAAACACGTCAAAAAAACCAAAAAATATAAAAAAATTGTTGGAGTGGAGGAAGGGAGGGAGAGGGTCGAGAGAGCGGCCGATAACCCCGGACAAAGGTGGACGGAAGGTGAAGGCAATCGGCGCTCTCATGCAGAAATTGAACATTCGCCAAAAAATTAAACAAATACAGAATTGCGTAAGAAGGAGTACGGTGAATGGTTACAAAAACACCCCAAACAAATGGCCGTTCACTTTTCTGTTTTGATCTCTCTTTTTCTTCGCTCTTTGGAATGCCCAAGGAAACGGTAAGAAACAAATTTGCATACGAGAAACTGGAAGAATAGCCCCGTTTCCCGCATGAACCTCAAAAACACATGGAAAGAAGGGCTGCTCTGAATCAGGCCGATCACTGCCTCTCTGAAGCCAAAGAGAAGCCGGAGAAATCGCGAGCAAAAGGTCGTGGCGTTTCGCTTTTTGTTGTCCTGTGAGCCAACAAAAAACAGTGCAGAACACATAAAAAGTAAGGGGCAAGGCCAGCTGGACGCGCGGCAAATGAACGAGCCAGCAAAACGTTGACGATCCCAAAAAACACTGACCAGAGAAGGGTGGGACGCCCGAAATGAGGGAATCTGAACGGGAAACTGGCAATTCCCATCTTACAAAAAATGCCGAAGAGAGACAAAAGGGGGACTGTAGAGCCGGTCTGACTTATATCTTTGTAGAAAATGTATGAATATGCAGGCCATGACAAACAGTCGGAAGAAATAGTAATATAATATAATCGGAAAAGAGGGAACAGAACGACCCCCATTCCTCCGCTTCCCCCACAAAACTCAGCCAACGGACCGTGAGCCAGCTGACGAGGCCGGGTTCACTGACCTTTCGCTGCGTCAATCGACGTGCCCGCGGGCCCTCTCGGCTTTTTTATCGCTCCGTTCTTCTCGCCGCCGCTGTTTTATAAATGCATTTTGCTGTGTTTTCGCGTCATTTGGGTGGCGGCGGAATTAAGGGAAGAGATTGGAATAGCCATCACGCGTCCACAAAATAAAAAAGAACCCAAAAAACAGACGGATTTGATTAGAAGCGGGTCAATCAAAGTCCAGATTGTTTGGAGGAAGGCCGGGGGTCACAAGACTCGAGAACATTAGCGCCAATTGGAACGTTGGCAAAGGAAATGGAAAGTGGCGGATATCAAGAGGTCTCTATTTTCTGTTCGTCTACAAAGGACCTATGGTCAACTCAATTCGGCTGACCTTCTGCACTTAAAAGGCCGTCCTCGATCGTTCCCAGTCATGAATAATGAGCGGAGTGACCGCTCGTACAAATGTCATCGCGCGGCCTTCCTCCGCCTCAGCCAGCAAGAGCAAGGATATGTGTCGGCCACTTTCACTCCGCATGCCCAGACTTTTTTAGCGACTGGAGCACACCGCTGACAGAAAGGCATAAAAAGCCGAAACAAATGGAAAGCGAATGGTGTCTGGAAATATTCGTAAAGTACGAAAAAACGGCTGACCACTGGTCAGTCTGCTGTCTGCAGGAAAAAAGCCGCGAGGGAGACGTCGAGGACAAACCCGAGCCCTCTCCCCCTCCACCTAGCGGACCCAGACGACACCCACCCTCATTGAGAAAATAAAAAAAGAATAATACGAAAACAGAGAACCCTGCCAGCCGGGAGTATTGTCTTCGATCGCGCAATCATAACGTGCATTCAATCATGTTATTGATGGTCAACTTGGGTCAGACAAGAATAGCAGGGATTAGTGGGAATAATTAGCGCACAGAGAGAGTCACCGATGTAAAAATTATTTTACCAAGAACACTCCCAATTCCAGAAGGACAACATCACATATGATCTCATCTTGCGTCAAAAGCTTCCAGGTCATCAAGAGCCAATAAACGCCTCAGGGAAATGCACAAACGGACATTAGATCAGGAGGGAAAACACCATCCCACCTTTACTAATTTCCATCCCATTAACATCTTCCCTTTTTTCGATTCTGAAACCGATCGACCATTAAAGTGATGAAAAAAGTCTGCATACACGTTACGCAACAACGCGCATTCTTGATAATGGAGAAAGGAGAACCCTCGGCGGGATTAAATTTTTAAGGAGACCGACCGTATAGACTGTATGATATATGAGGCTATTCAACCCAATATTTGGCCATATAAATAGTAAAAGATAATAGACGCCGGAAGAATGACATGTCTGGCGAGCAATTTATTTATATCATGTCGAATAAATATTACTATAACAGGGAAAAATTCAAGCAAAAATTTTTAAAAGTTTCGAAGTCAATCAAGAATGAGCAAAAAATGTTAATGCAATAAAAGTAAAACAAAAAGGCGAACCAGACTTTGGGATTAACGTCTAATCCACCTCGCAGTACGAATACTTGTGAAATCACGATGCAACAACATGCAAAGGACAGACTGAAAAACAGAACATAACATAGGGCAGAACACTGTACAACCGTCTCATCCCAAAAATATAAAAATTGGCGGCCGTTCCGGAAAGGTCGGTCCACGTCTCTGACGCATCCCCTCCGGCTTCTCGTGTTCCTCCAAACAGCTAAACGGCCGAAACAATTATTGCACTGTACACTATCCATGGAATGTAATGTCAGCTCCGCCCTCAACCCCTGAGGGGTTCTATTTCCGGAAACAAAGACGGGCTTATTTTTGGGGACAGTGTTTATTGTCCTGCACTGTTCTTCTCACGGCGCGGTCGTCTGTTTCAGCCGCTCCCGGCCGGTGGACAAACAATGAAAAAGAACCCCTAAGGGTGCACCCCCCCCTCCCACCATTTTTCGTATGATTTTCGTTCTCTTTCTTTGGCGCTGATAAAAACGAAAAATGCAAACAACTCCTTTTGATGGGCCGTTTAAAGTGGCCAAACCAAAAGAACCCCAGTTCTGATCTTTTGATCCCAAAGAACATCTGCACTTCGAAGAGCAAATCTCGGAGCGGAGCCTCACGCATATTTGCTCCATCGTTCGCCCGAATCGCCAGCGGAGTGGAAAAAACAAAAAAGAAGGTGAAAGTGCGCGAGACGTTGCGCAAGAGAAGAACGCAAACAATGGAAAGTAAAAACGAGGCTTGGAGTGTCACACCTCGAGGGCAGCCGGCCCGATGGCGACGTGATCGCCCCGCCGCCCGGCTTTAAGCCTCTCCCTTCCTTCGTTCCGAAACGCGACGTCCGGAAAATGCAGCAAAAAAGAACTATACAAAAAATTCTTGATCGAAAACAGCGAAGGGGAGGGCGGCAGCCACGGAAAGAGAGACAATAGTGGACTAGACAGCCGGTCCGTGGCCCAGAAAACCGGGACAGCCGCGAGTCTTTGATAAGGATACATTCTGAATTATTTTGTATTTAGTTGCATATGATTGGTAAATAAAATTAAAGAAGACCACTGTATCTCAGAAAACGACTTTTTTGGACATCAAAAAAGTTGTAATCACAATCCAGAAGACACTGCCCCCGCCCGGTTTGAACCCCAATCAGGCAGCAAACGCACCCGTGACAAGCCAGGAACAAAGAAACGAGCCTTAATTGGGCGTTTGCCCTCGGGGCATTTAAGCGCGCCCATCACTTCTTCAAGGTCTCGACGCGTCCCCTCTCACCTCCGGGGCTATTGTAAGGGAAGAGCGGGTTTAAAACAGCGACAGAAAGCGGAAAAACGCAGCCCAGCCGTTTTTGGACGGCCGCTCCCTCTTCTGGCCTATCGGTCTCTCGCCTCGCCCTTTTCTTCGAGCTACAACAACATGCACACAAAAAGAATGGAATCACCAAAAATGGGAAAAAGAACGCGATCAGAACAACGCGTCTGACTAAAAATAGTCCACGCGATTGTTGGTCGTAATAACGTGCTCGGACGTCGTATGTTTGGACAGTGATAAAAATAGAAAAATCAGTGCGGGCAGGGACTGAACAGGTCGAGTTACGCATACAATCCCCGCTCAAAGGAACCGGCCCGACCCGCAACCACTCCAGGCCAGAGGACGGGGAACCTCTCAAAAAACAAATCCCACAACATGATTATATAAAAGTTGATAAAAAAAGACCCAAACTCCGGGACCGGCCTCCAGAAACTCCTTCCAGATGATTGTGTCCTGCCAGGAGAGAGAATTGATTGAGAAAAGGACGCGTGATCACGTCAAATGGACCACCTTCGCCTCTCGTCTCTCGAAGAAAAGGGAACGGCCCGATGACCTTAGCGGGAAAACAGAAACCTACAACACCCCGAAAAAACAGAACTAACAACCCCCGGAACACGTAAACAGCGCGGAATGGCGGGTCAGGAATTCGTGATTAAAGAAACATCAATTTGCG